TATCAGAAACGGGCCGAAGCGCCCCATGTTAGGAAGTACCTCAAACACACCCGGCACCCCATCCGGAAGTGTCAGGAACGCACCGAACCGCCCCATGGTTAGGATGTACCAGAAACACACCCTGCACCCCGTTCGGAAGTATCAGAAACGGGCCGAACCGCCCCATGTTAGGAAGAACCAGAAACACACCCGGCACCCCGTTCGGAAGTATCAGAAACGAGCCGAACCGCCCCATGTTAGGAAGTACCAGAAACACACCCTGCACTCCGTTCGGAAGTATCAGAAACGCGCCGAAGCGCCCCATGTTAGGAAGTACCTCAAACACACCCGGCACCCCATCCGGAAGTGTCAGGAACGCACCGAACCGCCCCATGGTTAGGATGTACCATAAACACACCCGGCACCCCTTCCGGAAGTACGTGGAAGGGTAACTATGCCGCAATGACACACTATCTGCTATGACCGTGACCCAAGAAGACCCGAAGATGATGGGGCACAACGGTGAGGCGGGGGATGGGTATGTAGGAGTAGGGAGGTTAGGCACGGCAGCAGCGGCAGCAGCGCATTTTGGTGCATGAGGGATGAGGGTAGGCAGAAGGAATGGGGTGTGGGAGCAAGGTGGGCCATCTATCATTGCAGGATGGATGGTGCGCCAAGGTACCCCAGAATGCCAGGGATCAGGGTAAGTAAGTCTAGTATACAACGTGCGCTGTCCTGATGCCCGATAAGCCTGCAACCCAGCCCAAACAAACCAACCCATTCCAATGGAAGCGTCTCCAACGCCCACCGCCTCACGGTCCCATCCCACATTCGCCATGCATATCCCTCCCCGGTGCCAATTCACGGCAACATTGCATTCTGGGAGGAGTTAGCGTGGGGCTATGTCTTCGAGTTCCCATGCGGTCTCTTACAGGCGCACCACAGCAACAACATGGCTGGCAAGTCGTAACTTTTTCCCGGGTTAAGATCTTGCCACATGTGTATCATGTGCAATAAACTGGGTGCGTGTAGGAGCGTACTAAGCGTTAGTGGTTACTTGCGTTCTGTATATATGGAGGACAAGCATGGTAGAAAAGGAAGGTGGACAAGCAAACTGAACCAGGTCCCATGGGTCTCTCACGGAGGTAAGAGACCAGGGATGCCCGCTAGGGAAACCCTGGAAAATCCATGGTGAAATAAGATCCACAATATGGTGGTGTTGAAAAACACCGATTTCTGGCATGGAAGAAGCGCTTAGGCGGACGTGAACTTGGTGACGGCCTTGGTGCCCTCGGACACGGCATGCTTGGCGAGCTCGCCCGGCAGCACCAGGCGAACGGCAGTCTGAATTTCGCGCGACGTCAGCGTGGGTTTCTTGTTGTACTTGCTGAGCTTGCTAGCCTCCGTGGCAATGCGGTCGAACAGGTCCGTGACCAAGGATGTCATGATGGACATGGCCTTGCTGCTGATACCGGTGTCCGGGTGGACCTGCTTCAGCACCTTGTAGATGTACAGCTTGTAGGTCTCCGCCTTCGACACCTTCACCTTTTTCTTGGACTTCTCAGCGCCATCAGCACCACCCTCGGCAGCCTCCTTCTTCACGGCCTTCTTAACGGGAGCCTTCTCCTTCTTCGGAGCCTTAGCAGCCTTAGGCTTAGCGTCAGCCTTGGGCTCAGCGGCCTCAGGAGCGGGGGCAGCAATCTTCTCGTCCTTCTTTGGAGCCATTTTTATAAGATAGGTGCTTTGATCACAGCTATTGATTGCAGGTATTATTTAGTAGCCAAAAGACGTTGTTACTAAGGCTTAAATGCGGAAACATGTATTGTCTCAGCGGGACAACTCCTTGTGGTTGCTCGTCCATAGTTGGTTAAGGCTCATGGGGTCCCCGCTAGTCGCAGATAAACCCTGACGCTTAACTTGATGCAAGAGAATTTATTATAACCTGATAACTTTGTACCTTTTCCTTTCCTACACAAACATGTCTGGTCGTGGCAAGGGCAAGACCGCCGGCAAGAAGGCCGTGAGCCGCAGCTCTAAGGCCGGGCTGCAATTCCCTGTTGGCCGTATTGCTCGCTACCTGAAGAAGGGTCGCTATGCTGACCGTATCGGTGCTGGCGCGCCGGTGTACCTGGCTAGCGTACTCGAGTACATTACCGCGGAAGTCCTTGAGCTGGCTGGCAACGCCGCTCGTGACAACAAGAAGAACCGCATCGTTCCTCGCCACATCCAGCTGGCCATCCGCAACGATGAGGAGCTCAGCAAGCTGCTGGGCGACGTGACCATCGCCTCCGGCGGTGTGCTGCCCAACATCCACGCCGTCCTGCTGCCCAAGAAGGCCAAGGGCGGCAAGGCGGAGGATGGCTCTGCTGCTGTTTAAGCGCAGTGCTACTTATAATAACCAAACACCGGTGTTTTTCAACACCACCTTCATGTCTGGACACAATAGGATTGGCATACAGATTAGACGGCCATGAATGAACAACACGCACGATGCAAGTGCACGGTCCATCAGGGAATGCCATGGGATATGCATGTCCTCCATCGGTTTTCGTTGGGTGATGAGAAGGTGTTTAGGATGAAAATATTACAAGGGGGACCGGAGCTCCTGGAAGCCGTACAAGAGGCCCAATGGCTAGCGGTACACACTAGGCAGCCGCGGCAAAGCAAACTACCCCAGGGGCATGCCCTGCAGAAAGCAAAGAGCCATTCCAGACACAGAGCAATTAAAAACCAAGCCCGCTAGGGGAAAACGTCATTTGATCCGAGCCCGCGAAACAAGCAACAATGGCATAGCAGACCATTGTCAGGGGGAGGCGGGCGGGGACTCAGCGGCAGGAATGCCCGTGCTAAGGCGAGCTACGTCGTAAGTACGAGGGTTCCCTGAGCTTTAGCAGTAGGTCCATGAGGGAGATCATGACCTCTGCCCCTCCTGAGGCTCTGGCTATCTACCTGAGCCGCGTATGGGAGACCTGCATGTCTGTCAGAAACCATCTGCGCAGATCCCATAAACGGAGGCCTGTAGGGGACCCTGACTCTGACTGACTTTGATTCTTATAGTGTCCTTCGCCCCCCGGGCTCGTACGGACACAATCACAGTACGTTTCGCCTCGCGGCCAGTCAAATTAACACATTGTACACGCGTACAGACTGTAACTGTAACTGTAAGTGGCAGGCAGTCCAACAAACCGTACACGGCCATCCACAGGGGAAACACAGTCCCAGCCTCGGGGAGGCACACCTAAGACAGCAAAGGAGTAGAGGCGGGACCAGATATTAGCAACAACACGAGCAGCACCCCTGACAAAAAGAGACCATCTGGACAGGGTGGGCCGGCCACTGTTGTCAGCACACAACAACCTACGGACCTGTTCAAGAGCCGAGAGAGCGGCCAGCGCCATGACGCCCCACACATATGCATGCACACCGTCGGGAGGCTGGGCTAACCACACATGTTGCCTAGAAAATGCACTATCAAGGGAGCCCACGGGTGCACCTTGCCCAGGGCCTCACGAAGGGGTCGGGCTATAAAGCACTCCCAAAACAGGTGTAACCGATCTTGCGCCATACCAAGGGCGACCATGGGTGCTCCTCACAGGCAGGCCAATGAGTACGGACGGCCCTGCGCAGCTTCCTGGGCGGCATGGCTGTAATGCAGAGGGAAGCCCGCACAGCCGTTGAGGGCGAGCCGCTACAGCGCCTCCTTGTGTTGGTTCTCACAGCACAGGCGCCACCAGCCGCGCGAAGGTAAAACCAGAAATCAGGAAAAGGAGTGCAGGGGGGGTGCAACGGGGTTCCCGCAGGCCTCCGCCACAAAGGCGGAATGCTTAGCATGGAGGCCGCAGTAGGTAGGGGCGAGCTGGAGTTGGGTGCAAAGGCGCACACAGAGGCAAAGCTGGGGATGGCGGTCGGGAAGGGGGGTGTGTGGGGCGCCAGACAAGTGCACAGGCGAGCGCCCGCCAGACCTCGCCGGCCGGCACTGTATACGACTCTCCTGCGGCAGAACTTGCCATTTTGCCGTCCTTGGGTCCCACCTTGGGTCTGGGAGCTGTTGGGGGAGGGGAACCCCCGTGCCTCGCATCGTATCGCATCGCATAGGTCTGGTACGATATGCAATTCCTACCAGGGGCTAAGGTGCGTTCCCGGAAGTACCGATACCCACCCATGCTCCCTAATAACGCGAGCATCTTCTACCTTGAGTGCACGTTCCCAACGGTTCCTCTCCGACAAGCAATGGCGTATGCAATTGTAGTGTAGAGTAAGCTACACGGCAAGCCGACACGGTTGTGGCAAGTGCAGGAGTCAACTAATCCCTTGCGTCACAGCTAATGTCTTTCACTTACCACTCACAATTACTCAAAAAAACTAAACCGACAACAGTATAACAGGACAAGCGCAGGGATGTCATGCACTGTGACAGTGGGTCTGGTCCGGGTTTGGTGGTGTTGAAAAACACCGGATTTTAGAGGCTGATCTGAGTGGCGTCGTAAGACTTAACCACCGAAGCCGTAGAGGGTGCGGCCCTGGCGCTTCAGAGCGTAGACGACGTCCATAGCCGTCACCGTCTTGCGACGAGCGTGCTCGGTGTAGGTCACAGAGTCGCGAATGACGTTCTCCAGGAAGGTCTTCAGGACGGTGCGCGTCTCCTCGTAGATAAGGCCGCTGATACGCTTGACGCCACCACGACGGGCCAGACGACGAATAGCAGGCTTGGTAATGCCCTGGATGTTATCACGCAAGACCTTGCGATGACGCTTGGCTCCGCCCTTGCCAAGGCCCTTGCCACCCTTGCCGCGTCCGGACATTTTAGTATTTGATATAAGACTGAATAGATACTAAGAAAGAGTGTTACTATCTCTTGAAAACCCAAGCGTATATATAAGGACGAGTTTGTGGCGGTTGACCAGGTGAGCGCTCGTCCAAAACAATGTCGCATCCACTCACCGGGGCCGGCTGGGTCATGGGTGCCTGTACGACGGCCCGGCCCAGCATAAGTCCACCGCCTTCAGAGGAGCTAATAAGCAAAGTAATCTAAACACTCTCAAAAGCTTTACAACTACTACCTGAAAATGGCCCGCACTAAGCAAACTGCTCGCAAGTCCACCGGTGGCAAGGCCCCCCGCAAGCAGCTGGCCACCAAGGCCGCTCGCAAGACTCCTGCTACTGGCGGTGTTAAGAAGCCTCACCGGTATGTAATTGCATAGGCGTAACTCTGATAGTATCCGCGTTCCGTGTTTGTGAACTCCACCTTACATGCACTTCTTCCATTTGCTAATCTCCTACAGGTACCGCCCGGGGACGGTCGCTCTGCGTGAGATTAGGAAGTATCAGAAGAGCACTGAGCTTTTGATTCGTAAGCTACCCTTCCAGCGCCTGGTGAGGGAGATTGCTCAGGACTTCAAGACCGACCTGCGCTTCCAGAGCCAGGCGGTGCTGGCTCTTCAGGAGGCAGCTGAGGCTTACCTGGTCGGCCTGTTCGAGGACACCAACCTGTGCGCTATCCACGCCAAGCGTGTCACCATCATGCCGAAGGACATTCAGCTGGCCCGTCGCATCCGTGGCGAGCGCGCTTAAAGGCAGACTCATCTTATTATACAAAAAAACGGTGTTTTTCAACACCACCTTTTTGGGACGTACGATGTCAGGCCTTGTGTTTCAGGGTTTGGGTCCTGGAGAACGTTCCGGAGAAGTATCATCTGTTCTTGGCAGGCAAGTTACGTCTCCAAGATCATTTGGATTCTTTCCCAGAGAATTCCCGCACATTTTCCATACACACCCTTCTATGCTAGTTTGCACGTGAACATGTTTCAATGAAAATGACGAGCTCTTCCTCAGTCCAACCTTGCATTCGAATTACGTTATGGTAATAGTCCATTTGCACAGGGTCGTAGGACGGGGTTCCCACAGCTCGCTCCAGATTGCTACGGGACGCAGCATGGCTATTTCGCTCTTGTAGGTGGTCCCCTGTCAGCCCCCCAATCCCACAATCACCGCAAGGGTGGTGCATCCAAAACGGGTCACTCCACAAACTTCAAGACATGATGGTGTGGTCAATTGCTGTAAAGTTACCAAACCTAGCCCCACCAGACCGCTTCGCAATGTCCCATGGGTCTCTCTGCATTTCAGCCGCACATCCAGGCCCTCAACACGCATCTGTACGGTGCTTTGACAGCTCTTCCCATACTATCCATGATACGGCATTGCCTATGTGCCTCACGCCTGACATGTGGCAGTCTTAAGCCCGAATCCGCCCATGGCCACAACCCATGTTCCCCGCCCATGGCCCCCAAAAGGCATAACTATGCCAACTACCATCCCGACAACCACATTGTAAAGAACAATGAAAACCCAACGGAGAAAACTGTGGATATGACAACGCATGTGCCGCTCAGATGTGCTTGAACAACGCATCACCTAGTATGTACGACGAACTGTACAGCCTTTCACCGGTTTCATTCGTACCCTACTTCAGCACATCGAATGCGGAAATGCGAGCACACATGGAGTAGGCTAGTCAAGGCTGAAGGCACATGTACCTTCAAGTTACACTACGCTTATCGCAACAATGCCGTAACAACCCGCTCGTAACATCTGAAAGACCGCATCAAAGCAATTGGGTTTCCCTGGCCTCCCTTTGCATCCATCCTGCGAACGCCGAACTCCTAGCTAAACCATTTGTGCACTACCCGTAGGGGTTCTACGCATCCTTGCCCCCGCGCAACTTCCTCCCACCATACCAGCCGCGCCCAGCCACCTAACCCTGCTTGCTGAAGCGACGGATGTCCATCTGCTGCCGGAGGTGGTGCGGCCCTGATCGGCCTCCCCCCTGGGCCCGCCTGCCGCCGCCCGGGTGGCCCCTGGGCTGCTGCGCGCTCCCCCGGCTGCTGGCGGCGCCGGCCCGACGACCCCCGGCAGCCCAGATGCTCCTCCGAATCTCCTGCGGGTGAGGGAGAAGAATACCCCATGTGTGGGTGGAGAGCAGGATGGGGTCAGATGGGAGGATGCTGGCGCCCATGCGGCGGCAGGGAGATAGGAGCTTGCGGCGGTCGTGGGGTAGGGGACCATAGCAGCTTGGGACCCGAGTACCTCCACACAATGAACTATTTACGTAAAGGAACAAGGAAGACATAACGCTCGCATGCGGGAATGGGTCGAGTCGGAACATCGCCGGAGAGGCCATCAGGCACGGTGACGTGTATGAGGCCGCATGCCGTACACACGCCCCCTCCCCTCCTGCCGTACCTCCCTCAGGTCCCAGGGCAGCTCCGCCAGCACCCGCTCGTCCACCTGGGGCAGCACAGCGGGCCAGCAGTCGGCAGCAACAGCAGCTGCAGCAGGAGCAGCAGAGGCAGCAGCAGCAGCAGCGGCATCTGGCGCGGGGGGACGCGCCTCTTCTCGCCGCGGGTGCTCCCCTTCTCGCTGCTCCTCTTCTCCCTGTTGTTGCTGCTGCTGGCGGCTTGCCTCCTCCCCCGGGTGCAGGTGCGGGGCGGGGGGCATCCAGGCACTCAGGGAGCCCACCACCTCGGGCGGCTGCTGGGAGGTGCGGGGGCTGCTGCTGAGGGGGGCCGGGGGCGGGGCCAGCGCCAGGGGTGCGGGTTTCGGCACTGCCGCCGCTTGGCGTTGACCCCCTGGGTTGTGCTGTGTAGCTGCTGTAGCCGCTGCTGCCGTCTGCAGGGGGGGCTGGAACCAGGGCGCATCACCTGAGACAGCAGCTGGTGGTACGGCCGTCAACCCATCAGGGTCGTCACCACTCGCTGCGCCAGGCTTTGCCTCCCCTAGGCTAAGGCTGGAACCCTGCGCGAGCCCGCCCTCCACGTCGTCGCCCTCCTCCACATCGCTGTCGTCAATCACGATCACCTCACCATCATGGTGCGCACTCGCCGCAGCACCGGGGTCTGGTGCCTGCCTCCGCAGACCCTGCGGCTGCTGCTGCTCCCGTCGTACTCCAGGCAGTCCCTGCACATGTACCCGTCCGTCCTCCCGCTCCTGCGCTGCTAGATCCTCCCCTCGCAGCGGGGGAACCGCCGCAGAGGGCCCCTCCCCAGCGGACTGCAGCACCGGGCCTTGCAGCAGGGCAGCAAGGGGACCTCGACGGGGCAGCAGTCGCGGCCGAGGCGACGTGCCTGCACCTCTGCCGCCCCCCACAAGCGCCGTCAGGGGGTCACCACTGCTGCGGCGACCTGCGCTGCTGCCCTCCCCCTCCCCGGCATCAACCCCACCCCGCACGGCCTCCCTAGCAGCCGCTGCACCAGGCTGCAACACCGATCCCGCCAGCGGCACCGGCGGTGGCGCCTCCGCCCCTGAAGCATGCGGCGGCCTGACCTGCGCCCGCAGCAGCAGAGACCGCACGTCAGCTGCCGGAGCGGCCGCAGGAAGCCCCGCGCTCCGCACACCCGCGCTCCTGCCCCGCCCTGCCGGCGCCGGTGCCGGGGCCGGCGACGGTTCCTTCCGCCGGCGTTGCTGCGGCGGCTGTGGGGGAGCTCCGGGGTGTGGCGGCAGCGGCGGCGGTGAGGCTGGGCGCTTGGTGCCGCCCGGGACTCCCTCAGGCGGGGAGGCCACACCTGGAGGCGGGGGTGAGGCGCTGCTACGGGTGGCGAGGCTAGCGGCGGCGGCGCCGGCAGGAACAGCGACTGGCGCAGGAGGAGGTAAAGAGGCGCTTGCAGCCGCACCGGCCGTCGTTGCTGCGGCAGGGGAGGTGGTGATGGGTCGTGCAGCGCCCTCGGCACCCTCTCGAGACCCATTAGCTTCATGACGCTCAGAAAGCAAAGCCTCGTGGCTTGCTGCCTGAACCTGCTGTTGTTGATCTTCAAGAGGCTGCCGGAGGGGAATTTGTTGCGGTTGCGGCGGCGGCGACCTGGGTGCGGTTGATGCCGCAGCAGACAGCTGGTTCCGCTGCTGTGTCCGTTGCTGCCGCTGCTGCTGCAGGAAGCGGGTGATGGTTGATGCGCCGGTGGGCGCCGCTCCGAAGCGGGAGGCGCTGATGGCCAGGCTGGTGATGCGCCAGCCGGGCCTGATGGGGGCCAAAGACCCCGGGGTGCGGTAGGGGAGAGGGCAGATAGGAGGGAACATGGGGTGGGGACTGGGTACAGGGAAGCAATGCTTGACACAGTGCCGACGGACAATGGACGCTTCTGCGAGGCGCAGTGCCCCACACCCATGCGAGGAGCCGGAAGACCCATATTCCTTCCCCCTACCGCCCACCAACACCACCACCACCACCAGCGCGCGCACCTCTCCGCCGCCCACTTCCTCATCAGCGCCACCGCCTCCTCCGCAATGGCCTCCGCGCTCACCCGCGTCAGCCGCCCCGACCGGCTGTGACTCCCCATCCCACCTCCTCCCCCTCCACCTCCGGCTGCTGCCTCCCCCGGCCCCCCCGCCGCCGCGCCCCCTCCCTGCATGCTGAGGGTGAGCAGCGAGGGCACTCGCTCGTGCTCCTGCCGGTCCGCCTCGATGCGCTCGGCCAGCTCGGCAGCCAGCTGCTGCAACCAGTGCGACACCTGGGGTGGGGGGAGGGGCGGGGCGGGGTGGGGTATGTGATAGAATACAGTGCAATGCAACCAAGTTGGCAGCGGCAGGTGGGGTGGCTGGGAGCGAGGCGGACGAGCGGGGATGAAGAGCGGGCAAGGGGGCAAGGAAGCGGAGTTGTGAGAGCGCTTGGGTTCGCAAGCAGTGTCATGGAACACGGTGACAGGAGTGTGCAGGGGTGCGGGGATAACCTATGTCATGGAAGGAACATCGCGGCTGGGATATGCAGGGGACCGCAGGCAGTGCAGCCCACCTGCTGCATGCCAGTGAGTGCGCTGCTGCCCCGGAAGGTCTTGCCGCAGCCCAGCGACTTGGGCGCCAACCGCGGCCGCACCTCCTCGTCGTCCATGCCCGCCGCCAGCCGCAGCAGCCCCGCGGCGCCCTGCTGCCCGTACAGCGCCTCCAGCCGGGCGGGCGGCACTCGCCACAGCTCGCCTGGGGGGTCGGTAGGGGGGCAGGCAGCAGGGGAGGCAGGGGGAGAGCAGGCGGCGCGGGGACAGGGGTGCGGGGGAGTGGTGGGGCCAGCATAGGAACAGGCGCTTGCGGCCGTTGTAGCAAGAGCTTGCATGACGCGCACTGAAGGTGTGTGGAGGAGGGAGGGGAGAAAAGTAAGAAGCAGGCTCTTTGTAGCTTGTTGGCGCTGCATGTAGGAAAGCCCGCTTAGCTCCCTCCCCGCCCGTCCCCCGCAACCCGGACCCCGGCCCCCCGCCCCCGCCCCCCCCCCGCACGCACCCACAGTGGCCACCCCCAGCTCCGCCTGCACCTGCTCCCCGAACTTGCCGCCCAGCGAGCGCAGCCGGGACAGCGGCAGGCGGGACAGCAGCTGCGGCACCGCGCGAGCCAGCACCACCGTCTGCTGGTTGGGCTTGTGCAGGCCTGCGGGAGGGGGACGAGACGGGTATGAGTTAGAGGCGGCACACTCCCGGGAGCGGGGCGACCGCTAGCACCAAGCATGAGGGGATGAGAGGACAGTCTACCCACGGTACTGCCGCCCTCAACCTCAACCTCCTCACCCCAGGCGCCGCCCCTTGTCACCTCCTCCACCGCCCCGCACCCCGCCTCACCAACATGCCAAACACCGCCCTCAACCCCCCCACCCGCCCGAGCCACACAAACACCTGCGGGAGCCTTGCCGAACATCGGTAGTTATTCCTTACGGTTCGCCCACCCACATCCCCCCACCCACCCACCCACCCACGTCCCCTACCCACCCACCCGATCCCAGCTTGGCCAGCAGCTTGTAGTGCGCCACCCCCGCACTGCACGTGTAGCCCAGCTCCCGCCGCACCGCCCCCCGCAGCCCCCACACCACCAGCGCACCCGCCAGCAGCAGCCGCTCGTACGGATCCCACTGTACGACAGGCCGCAGCCAGTACGACCGCAACCGCTGCTGCTGCTGCTGCCGTACACGGGCCGCGTCCTCGTCTGGGGGCTGCGGAGGTGGCTGCGGGAGGTGATGCGGGGTGATGTGGGGTTGCCGCTCATTGCAGGTGGTAGGTTGAGGGACAGAAGCGGCACCTGTGATGGGGTGATCGGCTTCACTGGACGTGTAGGTCCCAGCTGCCCCGGTGGTATCGGTAGTGCCCTGGGGGGCGGCGGCAGCCGTGAGGGCGGCAGCAGCGGCAGCAGTTGCTGCGTCAAGTGGCAGCCCTGTATCGGCCGGCGGTGGCTGGTGGAGACGCGGTACGGTATCCATTGGAGGCGGAGTCACCTGCGCCACCTCGCCGCCTCCCTCCTCACCCTCGCCCTCCTCCTCGCCGCCCTCCCAAACTGCTGTTCCGAGGACGCCGCACGCGCCTCCGCCAACGTCGCGCCCATCGTCTCCGCCGTCACCCGCCTCCGCCTGCGCTAGCGCCTCAAGGGGGTCTCCCTCGTCCTCCTCCTGTACGGCAACCAACCGGCAGGACAGCGCACCAGCAGTTGACTCTAAACATGTGTAGGCAAACGAAGAGCCATACTTTGATACTAACCGACAAAGGTGCGGCGTGCAAGGAAGGCGTAAACGCGGACTGCAACAGTACCGGTACTTGACGGAGCGCCTTTCTCCCCCGCGTACCCGAACCACACCTCCCAGTTCCCCCCCCCAGCCCCTCCCCCCGCCGCACCCGCCCTCACCTCCAGTCCCTTCACGTGCCACTCCTCCAGCGACCAAGGCGGCGGCGGCAGCGCCGCACCTCCCCCTGGGCCGCCGCCCCCTGCCGCTACCACCGCCGCACCCTCGCCGCCAGCTGTAGCCCCCGCTGCTGCACCCCCTGGGCTCGCCCCGCCTCCTCCCCCTCCTCCCCCTCCTCCCCCTCCTCCCCCTCCTCCCCCTCCTCCCCCTCCTCCCCCTCCTCCCCCTCCTCCCCCTCCTCCCCCTCCTCCCCCTCCTCCCCCAGCTGCCGCTGCCGCCTCCGCCTCCAGCTCCGCCAGCAGCCTGTTTGCCGCCTCCGTGAGGTCCAGGTAGGCCTCGTCGATGGAGGCGCGCTCGAACACCACTGACCCACGGGCCAGGATGGACGCCACCTGCGAACACAACAGCAACCGGTCGGCAAAACCGGTTCGAACACAGGGGGTGAGTGTAGAGTCGCTCGTCCAACAAAGTCGCGGTACCTATCCGTTTCCCTTCGTTGCAGATGTAGGAGAGGCGGAAAGCGCTCCCTGGCCCTTTCACCCCAGCCCCCTGACCGGCCTGACATATGCGGCTGCACCCGTCCCCACCCTTCGCATCCTTCCCGCCCGACGGCCCGAGTAGGCTGCCCACCTGCTGCCCCGCCTGGCGGTAGATGCCCAGGTCGGCCTTGCCGTGCGCCGTGGGGACCTGCGTGCGGGGTAGGGGGTGCGGGGGCAGGTACGACTGGACAGCATTGGGGGCAACGGAGGGTTGGGCGCTGGCATGTGTCACACGAGCGCATCCCGTTAACCCTCTTGGTCTAGTGTGTGTTTCCGCCGCAATGGTTACACGCATGCACGTGTGGACACCCTGCGCTCCCACATGCCATCCCCCGACCCTGCACTGGAGGAAGGACCCTCCTCGCCCCGCCCCCACCTGCACCAGCTGCAGGGAGGGGCACAGCTGCCGCGCCTGCTGCCCGCTCATGTTCCTGCGTGCGCGCATGTGCAGGACTCAGCCAAGGAAGAGGCGCTGTGTCGCACCCTCGAGAACACAGCGCTGCAAACCAACAAAGAGAGGAGGGAGCGCCCCAGGGCCGGCCTGCGAGGCTGCTGCATGTGCTGCTGCCGCTGCTGCCGCCTGCGTATCCCCCCTGCCTAAGAGCTCTCCATCTACGTCCACCCAAGCCCATCCGTGAATCCTGGTCCCTACCAGCGGCCATCCCCCACACCCTCACCCTCACCGCTTGACTCCGAAGCGCCTAGCCTCGTACGACACCGCGATGAGGCTGCCGTTGCTGTCGTTGAAGATGCGCGGGTCCTGCGCGCAGCTCCCCGGGCAACCACTGCTTTTGGTTTTAAGCAGGGGTAACACGCACGCCTACTCAGCCTTCCCGAGTGTCAAGAGCATGAGCGCACGCGCACGCACGCTTTCCATGCCTACCAGGCCCCCCGCTTCCCCAGGGCATGGCCCCGCCAGGCCGTACCAGACCTCCCTCCGGCCCTCTCTCATATACTGTTTCCACCCCCGCACGCAGCCCCCACCCCACCTCGGGTCTCAGCGCCGTCTTGAGCGCCTCCTTGTCCCAGGGGTTGTACTGGATCACCGCAACGGGCTGCCCGCGGAGGGCGGGGTTGCGGCCCACCTCCACCTGCAGGGGGGGAGACGTGACAGGTGGGCGGGAGGGAGGAGGGGAGGCGAGGGCAGGAAGGGCAGGAGGGAGGGAGCGGGCATTGTTGGGAGGTGGTGGTCCTGGGTGCTGTACGGGCTGGTTACATGGTTTGCTCTCCGACGGGGCTGGTTCACCCATTTGGGTCGGTACTGCCGCTACTGCTCCCTAGGCGTGTGCTACCGGTAAGTCAACGGGTGTGGAACAATCTCCCCAACACCCCCACCCCCACCACCTGCGCTACCAACACCACCACCTGCGCTACCACCCAGCACCTGGCAGTAGAAGGCGTCCAGGTCGATGTGGGCAACCACCCTGGGCCGAGCCACGTGGTGGGGCTGCTGCGGCTGATGCTGCATGGGGGGCTGCGGCGCTACCGACTAGCGGATGGATAAGGCCCGCGCGCCTTGTAAGGCGTGCGTTCAGAACCGCACCATGACGTTACCGCCGCTGCTGTTCGTGGGGAAAAGAAATTGGGGAAGGGGCAACGGTGAAAGTGGAAGTGATGGGATTAAGATAGTTCAGTGGCAGTTAAGGCGTAGTCATGTCTCATGTGTGTTGAGACGCCATACTGCAGGACGAGGCGGAGAGTCCAGTCCCGCATGTTGACATGGACGCATGGCTCCGACGGCCGGGCAGGAGGCATTCCCATCCGCACCCGTACCTATGAGCCCAGGTGTACGTGAGACAAGGCTGGACGAGCGTGGCCCACGACGTATGACTAAGTGCGTTAATACTCTCAAATTGCTAGCTAGTATAGTGTTTCATGTCGTTGCGCGCGAGGATTGCAAAGCGCTGGTGACGTGAAAAGTACTATTTGCAATGAACCCCGGGCGCAACAGCCCTGGACACGCAACGAGGCTCCACATACGTGAGAAAGCATAGGTAGGTATGGCACAATACAAAACATTTTCGGCATACAAGTGCCAGTGCAATCCCTCAATCATGGGAAAGCCGTACTAGGGTGCACCTGTAGGCGGATGGCGTATACCTGTCATGTTTCCCATATGATAGCTTCTCCTATGTAACCAGAGTGGAGATGTACCCTATCCTGTCCTTCCTTGCTTGCAAAATACCATTTTAATTGCAGAATTCATAGGCTATCTGTCTCCTTGGCTTTGTAATTGCACTGTGACTCAGTTGACTTTCTGATCAAGCGGTATTGGTTACTTTTAAACGAGCAAATGGGTCGAAGCAAGTCGCAAGCAAAGTCTTCAGTTAAGCAGCCCGAGGAGCCTTCTCCAACGGAGCCGATCAGTGTTGGTAACCTTTATGAAGGAGGTGCACTAAAGCAGACTCTGGATGAGGTGGCTCGCGAGGTGCGTAAGCATCGGAAGTTGGTGTCTAGCGATCTTCTTGCTGAGCCAAGCAAGTCCTCGCCTAACAGGCTGTCCTTGATGCTGGCTATGAGGAGGATATCCGGATCAGCAACATCAAGATTTTGCTGGGGTTAGCCGCGTAAGTTGGGCGTCAGGCTTGGGCTTTAGGCTGGGTGTTGCTGTCCGTCCAGGAGTAGGGGTTTTGTCCGCATTTTACCCGCTGTCTCCGAATCTGCAGGATTGGGTGTGCGCTCTACGCACAGTTTGGTCCAGGAAAGTTCCCCGCCAACTGGTGGGCGGTCTTCGGTTGCGTGGTCGCCTACCTGGTCCTCACCATCGCTATGAACATCTACAGCTGGAGGATGGAGGCCGATGCATTCCTAGTAACACGACCCTTCCGTGTAAGTTGGGAGGCACGTGTATGCGCACGCAAATTGTACGGCGTTTCCTTGTTTTGCGCCGGATGTCTTTTGTCCTTGTTGGCGTTACGGATTAAGGAGACCTGCGTGTTATATGTTTCGTGTGCTTCGCTTTCCTGCCTTGCATGTTAACCCGTGAGTGACATTGCCGCTTGCCGTACGGCCTTCAATCCATTTGCAAAGCAACCGGGAGTGATCACCCACGCTTTCCAGCTCGCTGCGCCTCCGATTCAGATCACACCAAGCCCGTTACCTCTCGCAGCTCCCCCCTTCACCCGCTAACCCCCCGCCCTCCCTTCCTGCCTGCAGGGCAGCAAGGGGCTGCGTGTGGCCTCCCGCATGGACCGCTTCTCAGACGCCTACTCGCTGGTCATCACGGACCGAGCAGACCCCCAACTGTAGGTGATGGCGGTGGGGAGGGGTCGGTGAAACCGCGCTCACCTGTCACCTCCAATGCCCAGGCTTACACCCACCCACGCCATCCGCTCCGCGGTGCCCCTCCCTCCACCCACGCCCGGCTGCCCTGGATTTGCTAATTTTGGTCGGGCTCGTTCGGTTCGGCGGGTTGGTTTGACTAGCAACCATTGACTGGTACCCCACCCCCACCCCCCAGTGAGGTGACGTCCGCCATCCGCATCCCCGACTACTTCCACGAGGACGGCTACCTGGCGGTGGAGGCCTGGCGGAGGGAGGTGGAGAAGCTGTGTACGGAATACAGCATAAAGCACGGGGCCAAGGGGGCTAAGAAGAGCAACTGACTGGTTCAGGAGTGCGCTGACTCGGGGATGGGTGCTGGCAGGAGTAGCCTCCGCTGCCGGGAATGAAGTGGGGGGTGGTAGCTCCCTGCGGGTCGTGGTGGCAGTGGTAACGGGAAGGTGAACTTGAGTGAGGGGCTGATGCTGCTCTTGATGACCGATGACCAGTTACAAAGAGGCACGTGGCACGTGCCGTTGGCGATTGGGGTGGGTCGTATGGCTGCTGTGCTGGTGTGGACTGACGGTTCGGGAGATAGGTACACCACATGCACATAGCATACAGTCAGCACGCGCAGCGCGTGTCCAATTCGGCCTAATGTTTACGGCTGCATAGATTCCTACCCCTGCACTAGTACCATCCGGGTTGGCAACCTCCTTACTTCAATTGGATGCCACACGCTAAAGAACACTCTCTCTCACACACCAGCCAACCAACCGTTGCCCGCACAGCATCCTAACAGCTATCCGGGACTTCGCAGTGGGCGATGCACGGCGCACAATTCGCCATTTTCATCGCTGCCGCTCGCACACGCTCCGGCACTCCCAACATGCAGCAGGGTTTGCACTCCCCAATGCAGCATAGGCCCAGCAATGCTAATGAACGAACACTGCAAACCGGCAGCTGTCAACGGCCGGTGCTTCGCCGGACCCTACGGTGCACCCTAGCCACCTCCATACCCCAGTAGTCAACCTTCAAACCTCCGCAACATGAGCTCCAACAGCAGCGGCAGCTGCAGCCCGTCTTTTCTAGCCCGTTCCGTGGCGCGAGAGGTGGCATTGCAACAAGTGATGTAGCTAGACATTTACAGGCAAGCGCATGGGTCCAGAACCAATCACTCTGGTAGGCAGGATACAACCCAATGTCCCGACAACGCTGTGCTGGAGTGTTACTGGCTCTTCACCACCCTTCAGCCAACACCCAGTCCCCCACATTGGCATGGCACGAAGTGGCGCTTCCTGTTGGGATAAGTTAGGAGTACGTCACTCCGTCGAAACCGCCGTACCTCCTAACGTTCCTCCGCTCTGCCCACCCTCCTCTCCGCCACCCTTCCCCACACCACCTCCCCCCTCTCCACCCCTCACTCCGCACCCAGTCGCCTGCCGCGCCCCCTAAACGCCCGGAACTCATCCTGCCCCGACGCCGCATGAGTGTTCACCCGCTGCCCCACACCCCAGCCTGCCAGCAGGTTCTGCAGGAAGCGCGGCGTGCCCAGCAGCTGCCGTCCGCTGGTGACGGGGTACAGGTCGTGCAGGAAGAAGTACAGGTGGCCGGCCACAATGCCCAGGATGTCGTCCCAGGGCATGAAACCCTGCAGGAAGTCCACTGCAACGAAGAAGAAGGGCACGTAGAAGGCCTGGATGGTGAAGAGGCCGAAGATGGAGACCTGCTGGTCGGGGAACTGCCGGCTCCACACGTACATGATCATGTAGATGACCGAGGAGCCGAAGAAGGCCAAGCGGATGCCCAGCTGCACGGCGCCCACGGACATGACCAGCAGCGAGCCCGCGCCGAAGAGCAGCATGAAGAGGAAGCCTGCGGGGTCGTGCAGGAAGGTGGACGTCTCCAGGGTCTTGCCGTACGTGAGCAGCCACATCATCTTGAAGAGCCAGGGGAAGGAGACGCCGCCCAGGTAGAAGAAGGTGGTCACCAGTCGCCATATCTGTGCAGGGGGCCGGGGGGCGCGGTAGGCGGGGGCGGTAAGCGCGATTGCAGCGTTTGTGCAGGCTGCCACAAGCTAGCGTGGGGTTGCATGCGAGAGGTTGAGGGGCATGGATACCGTGTGGGGGTTGTAGCCCCATGCCCGACGGCCTCTGATGCAGTTCCAAACTGCTTAAATTGCCCTTGACGCAGCACCAAACTGCCTACTGACTAAACTGTCTAAATACGAATTTACCGAGAATGCATGAGCGGCGACCCAACGTGATGGTAATGCTCACAACACCCCAGCCAGGAGGAGGATTGCAGCAAAAGCAAGTAATACATGGGCCAACACTACCGTATCCCAGCATCCCCTGTTCCACCACGCATCCTAATACAGGCCCATAGGGGTATGTCAAAATCGCAACACACGGGGGCAGACGACTGGAGCAGCGTACCTCAAAGTGAGACAGGACCCGCGGCCAGCTCAGATAGATCAAGTAGGGTGAAAAGAGCTCAAACCTGACGGTAAGCGACAATACGAAGATCGCCGTTGCATAGGCACGGGTAATGGGAGGAATGCTCTGGTACCAAGCTGCTGGACCACCGCCCACAGTTGTAGCAGTAACTGGTGGCATCCTGCTCCGTCTCTGTCGTTATACCAGTTTGCAGAGGACGGTATGCTGCGATGTGGACGACTTGCTGGTTGGATCTCAACTTGCGCGTTCGGGGGGCAAAAATTGAGCTGTTCTAAACTAGGAAAGGCTAGCAACTTCAATCAGAGCCGCACTGGAATCACGTCGGCCTTCAACGTTCGTCTAGCTTCTCAGGGCCCTGGATAGCGCAGGCCTTGTGTTTTACAGAGAGGGAAGAGACGGAAGAATTAAGCTTTATATATTATATGACAGGGGGACACAACCATGAAAACTGCACAAGGAAAGGTTCCAGGCGGTTGGTCGAAAATATACAGGCTGATAAGAGCACAAGGACTTGCCCCGTCGGCAGCAAGGGTAGTCCTTAGGATACAATTAGTCCCTGTAACACAACACTGCGCACACTAAGTCGCCAGAGCGATGGGGCAGGCGTCCGCTACAGCCGTCGCCTGTCTCCAGCCATAGAACTTCTACCATGGGAATCCGAGCAATGCGTTGCTAGATTCTATACGCTTACTCCATAAAAAACGATAACCGGGCTGGGTGGCTTCCTTCGTCATACCGTTCCCTCTATGCCTATGCGTACACCCTTTGCTACGCAACAGCTTCAAAACTGTTTACTACGAGTGTCTTTGGACCAGCTTCATCTGCCTGCAGTAGCTATGTAGATGTATTTATCCCCCGCAGTCGTTGATCGTTGTTTGCCGCAGTCCGCCGTACGCCGCTTATACATTCGCTTCAGGGTAGCCGTCGGGCTTGAAACGTTCGTGCGCAGCCTGTACTGGCGTGTTCTGAACCGACTCGGGCTTCAAAAGATTGCTAGAAGCAACCCCGCCTCTTTGCCCGCCTCCTTGCTAGCCCTCGTCGTCACTGCATGAAACTAAAAGGCACACTTACCGAACACGGCGCTCGACTGCTATGGAAAAGTGAGTAGTATGTAGTTGTCGGCTAACATTCACTGTGCGCGACGATCTGCCTCCCTGCGCGCTGCAGGCTTCCTCCCCACCATCGAGAAGTTTGGCAAGTCCGTCCAGGTGCTGTTAGGCACAGATGAGGTGCACTTCATACAGACCAGCCTCAACACGGACGGCGTGCACGTCACGGCGCGCTTTGCCGCGGTGAGGACTCCTTGCCTGCTGACTGCATCGTCCTCGGCAGACTTCTGGTCAATCTACCTGCGTGCTCCATCTGCTTCCCCCCAACAGCACTCCCTCCCCCGCTCCCGCTCCCTCTCCCGCCCCGCTCCCGCTCCCTCTCCCGCCCCGCCTCCTCTCCACCCCGCTCCCGCTCCCGCCCCCCCAGGAGACGCTGTTCCACCTGGAGACCTACCGCTGCCAGAGCAAGCACTACAACCTGATTGCCTTCCAGCTGGAGGTGGGGCTGCTGCTGCGGGTGCTCAAGGGCGCAGCAGCCACCAACGCGGAGGTGGTGGACGTGAAGCTCACCAACCGGCAGGTGACGGGGCCGGCGGGGGAGACAGCCAGCAAGCCCTTCCTCTCGTTCACCGCATCGGTAGGTGGCTGGCGGGGGGATAGCGGGGGGGCGGGAAACTGGCATGTGAAGGGTCGGGGGGCAGGAGGGCGTTGTGATGGCAGCGGCCAACCGCAGATTGAAAACGGGTCGCAGGGGCCTGAAGTTCGGTGGGGTGCTAACGAGCATCTCACAGCAGCACGCACTCCCTGATGCGTTACCCCCCTCCCCCCACGCTGTGCCTCCCCTTCAGGGTGCCAGCACGCACGTGGTGCAGGACGTGCCCATCAGCCGCCCCTACAGCGCCTCCGACGTGTCGGCGCTGGTGGCGGCCAAGGAGGTGGGCTCCTACTGCCCCGCCTACGTGGACCTGCGACCCGGGCTGGCGGCGGCGGGGGCCATCGTGGACCGACTGAAGGCGGTGGACGACACCGCCATGCTGGCCATTGGGAGGGTGGGGGTGGGGTGGGGTGGGGTTACACGCATGAGGTTTACTTGCAGCGGGGTGGAGCTGTTGTTGTTGCCTTCCCTAATTCATGCATCCCTCCTCACTCGTATGAGTCGGGCCATCGGATTGGGACTCCAGTGCTTCACTTCTACTGTAATCCCCGCCCTCTCATTCTCCCCCTGCTGGGCGGGTCGGGCTGGCTCACATGTTACAAGCGACAATGAGGCCTTATCACACGGTTACTTCTCAGTTGGTTCCTGCTTACCCCGCTGCTCTGTAACCCCCCTTCCTGCTCAGGGCGGCGACGCGCACCTGCTGGTGCAGACCCCCAGTGTGGCCCTGGGCGCGCAGCTGCGGGACCTGCCCGTCTACCCGCACACCGCCTACGACCCCGCCGCACACGACCGGTCCAAGCCCGTCAGCGAGCAGCTGCAGGGGGCGCTGGACAGCGGCGCGGCAACCAGTGTGGTGAGGGGGAGGGCTGGGGCTGGGGCGGGTGGGCAGTGGGGGGGAGCAGGATGCTGCGAATGCGGCGACGGTGGTTGGGGATGTAGGAGTGCTACGGGGGAGGCGCGGCGGGGATCAACTGAAAGGATGCTACTGAAGGGAGTGATCTGACCTTCAGTCTGGGCTGCGGCTGCGGCTGCCCCGAACGGAAGCGTTCCGATGTAAAGAGGGGTAAAGCGGGGTAAAGAGGAAGTAACACGCCAAGTTAAGGGGGGTTGGGGGGACGGAGGAGTCGTGCTAGACTGGAGCGGCATACTGGTAGTTGGTCGCGTATAGCGAAGGGGTGCATACACTGGCAAAGGCAGCTGAGGGCACCCCGGCACTGCCGTCCTTCCTGCATGCACCAACCTGCACCAGCTGCCCTCAAGAACCTCCTACGACGACACCTCTCCGCACCCATCAAACACCACCCCTCACCAGCACAGCTCCCTCCCTACTTCTCCTTCGGTTGCTCTCCCCTCCTCACCCCCCCTTCCCCCCCTCCTGTTCCCCCTCCCCTCCCGCAGTACGTCCAGCTCAAGCAGCTAGCCCGCGTGCTGCACACCACACTGCTCACCGAGCCCTCGCAAGTGCTGTGCGGTGGGTGGGGCTGGGCCCGGGAGGGGGGGCATGATGAGGAGAGATGATATATTCTTCCTTCCCCGGGGGGCAGGAGGCGCTCTCTTCCTCGGGGGGCATACCGAACGGCGAAGACCTCAAAGTCAAGATCTGAGCCCGCGTCGCTTTATACCAGGTCTCACGGGAATATCTTATTACAAGGTTGATTCTGGACCAATCGCCAGCATAGCCGCTTCCATCTGCACCGCTCCGCTCTCCAACATGACACAGGAGACCGGCTGTCCCTAAAAACAGGTTTCATTGCATGCTTGCAAACACCGTTTATGCATGTCCCATGATAGACCATTAAAACGCACTCTCCCCGCTGCCTCCATGTCGTCACGTTTAACACATGCCTGCTATTGTGTTTCCTACGACGCGCATTGCAGCATTGTTCCTACACCCAAGGCAATGCCTCGAACCCAGCTCTCTCCCTCGGCCTACGGACCCCTTCCCCTCGCTCACAAATCACGACCCCATTACCCCTCTTCATCTCAACGCTGCAACTCCCCTGCTATTCCCCTTCTTCAGTTTACGTAACCCCCTCCCCCTTTTCGCGCCTCCCCCACCGGCTGCTCCCCCACCCTCCCGTCCCCCCAAGCCCCCATCCTCATTCAACACCTTGGGATTCTTCTCTCCCCCCCTCCTCCCCCAGGTATCGCCGAGGGCGGCGGCCACGTGCACATCCTGCACGTCTTCCGCGACCCGCAGCAGCAGGACTTGGTGGACGAGCAGGTCACACTGGCGTTCAAGCTGCCCGTGCGGGACGGATGAGGGGGGAGGAGGGGCAGGGACAGGGAGGGGAGGAGGGGAGGAGGAGGCATGTGGCGCCCAGGGAGCACAACGGCAGCGTGGGGCAACAGGACACACGGGCGAATTCGGGAACTGTGACGCCGTCCGGAAACACGCCTCCACTACACCCACGCCTCAACTCGGCTAAAGAGGCGCATCAGAAGGCCAATCCAAATGGAAGCAGCTCATCGTGCCATCGCACCCCGAGGCGGCCATTGGAAGCTTTACGGCTGACATGCCCCCTCCGCGCAGCTCTCTTGCCACCAAGTCGGCGCCGACACCGCATGGGATGCCTCCCTCTCTCTCTGTCATCGCCTGGATCAGCGCAGCCTAGCAGTCCCCCGTACACGGCAGTCCTCCCACCACCCGCTGCCCCCCCTCGCTGCTGCTGCTCCTCCCTACCCAACATAACGCCCACACACGCCCCCAATGCCGCCACACGCCTGGAGGCTGGAACACATGGGGCAGATGGGCCGCAGCTGGCGCCCTTTCCCTCCCTCCACCACCGCGTCACGTCACAGGCTCGCCACCGAGCCACCTCCGCCAGAGGGCTGCACCCCGCCCCTGCGCCTCCCCGTTCCGTTGCTGTGTCACCAGCGCTCCTCGCACCTGCCCGCCTCCCGCATGCCGCTCCTTCCTCTTGCCTCCCTGGCCCCCCGGCTGCCGGCTGTGCCTCCCTGCCCGCCCGCCCGCCTGCCCACCGCCAGCCTGCTGCGCTGCCCCCCTCACACCGCCAGCCGCTCCACCTTCTCCTTGCAGTACTCGCAGCGCTGGCGGGCGATGCGGTTGTCGGGCGCGTAGGTGAGCGCCTCCTGATAGGCCTGCAGCGCGTCCCTGAGGGGGGAGGGGGGTGTGGGGGGATGGTGCAGGAGGGGGGGAAATGGGGTTGATGTGGTGGAGTTGACTGCAGTAGAGGGACAGGGTGGCGCTGCGGAGGGAGCTGAGGAGGCGTGACGGTGGCGGTGGTGGTGGTGGCGGCTAGAGGTGTGCCCAGTTCACAGGATGGCGCGGGGATGTGTACGGCCCATGACGGATACGGGCCTGATGTGGTCGGTGGATGGTAACTGGTTTCGCCAGCATGCACGGTGATGGTCAGATTGATGATGGCCCGGGCGAATAGAGCCTCTGCAAGGCCTGACATTAGGGCTATGTTTTGCAAACAATTGCACCCTGCGGCCCTCAACGCGCAAACCCCACCCTGCAACACGTGTAAGAAACACTTGCTCCCCGCTCCCCTCCCCGACGGCTGCCCTCCCCACTCACTTCCACTTGCGATCCTTCTCTAGCGCATCACCCAGGTTGTTCCTGAACGGGCAGGGAGAGGGAGCGAGGAAGAGGCAGGGGCAGACAATAACTAACCAGATGACAAGGCACTAACATGGGAAGGAAGGGAGGGAGCAGCAGGCACGTAGCGTAACATGATGCTGATTGGCGGAAACTCTACTCTTTCTGGTGGCACGTGAAGCTGTGCTCACTAGGACATCATCAAGCACCACGTGGTCCTCACGCTGCCGTACTTCACCCTGGCCACCCATGCGCGCACACGGGGGGCGGGCGGGTGCAACCAGCAGGCGGGTGACCGGACAACACGGAAGCACCACTCAGGGACGCAGTGGCAGGTATTACCCTGCATGGTCCTCACAGCGCAGCTGAACTCAGAAGTATCCCAGGCTACCTCCCACTGATCGCGTCCCGCTGCCGCACCGCTCATGCGCTCGCATGCCCCGATGACAAGCCCTCCCCTCCCTCCCTCCCTCCCCACCCCCCACCATGCGGTGACGTATCCCGGCTGCAGCTCCACCGCCCGCCGGTACTCCTGAATAGCCATATCCGTCTGGGAGGAAGGGGGGTAGGGTGGGCAGAGGGAGGCGGAAGGGGGGCAACGGTGAGCGCCGGGCGGGGCGGAGGGCAGCGGGCTAGTAGGGTGGGGACAGCGGACACCGCAAACCATGCGAGCAGGGAGAGGTGCTGGACACCTGAAGAGGTGCACCCTTCGTTACCCTCGGGCAAGCCCCTTCGTTACTCTCCCCCTCCCCCCTCCCCTCCCCCAGCCTCCCCCCACCTTCTCCATGTTGAAGTAGCAGAAGCCCAGTGCGTTGTGCACCTGCGCCAGCTCCGACTCCTCGCCGTCCCACACCTTCTTGGCCTTCTCCAGGTTCTTGGTGGCCTGCGTGAAGAGCTTCTTGCGGGTCAGGATCACCCCCAGCTCGTAGTAGTCCTGGCGGGGAGGGAGAGGGACAGGGGGAGGGGAGGGGCGGAGGGAGGGGGAGAGGGAGAGGGTCGGGAGGTTGCACGGCGCAGTACCATTGTATAAAGCATTGGCTTTACAAGCATGGTGTAGGGAGAAGGGTAGATGGGGAGGTATTCATGTGATGTGCCAAAGCCCACAGGCCGGAGAAACACTGCAGCGAACGGTTCTGCATCCAGCACCTCATCCCCCCTTACCTCGCATGTGGCCTCCCCTGTTCGGATCCGCTCTCCGAGGCCTTTGGCACCCTCATCCAACTCTCGTCGGATGAGGACTTGCCGAACCACTAGGTACGCTCCGAATGCTAGAAAGCCCAACAGCGATAGGAGATAGATAAGCTGAATGGGTGTCTCCAGGCCGTCTCCCAGGGTCATCAGTTCGTGTGGCATAGAGGGGATGCTGGAGATGCCATTCTCCAAGGCAAGCGCTGACGATTGAATTGGGGTCGCAGCTGCATGACGTACGGGCGAACTAATTTCATTCTGCTTCCATCTTTATTGCAATTTGCGCATCGGCATCACAACCTACCTGCATGCACGAGCCGCCTATGACGAGCGAGGCCCGACTCCCGTCCCACAATGTAAGGAACAGTCCGATGTGTAATTAAGGGCGCAAAACAGGGCTGAGCCCGTCGGATTGGAATGCAAGATCCCACCCGACCGCTCAGCGACAACATTCCTTGCATTATCCCTCCTACAAGAAACGTTGGCTAGCCAAGATTGGATCCCGCTCAATGACTGTATAGTGTTTCCGAACGTCCTGGGTTGTTGGGTCAAAAGGTTTACAAGCTATCGGGATGGGATGGTGCACGGCCGAGATTTGTAAATTCTGTACTTACCATCTGCGACTTGCAGATATCCCTTCAATTCAACCGCATAGCTTGTACTCCTTAAGTCCTATAAGTCTTGGTGTAATGTTTGTCACGCTACCTGCAGCAAACGGGCAATGCTCCAAAAGTTGCTTCCGTGCGCGGAAGAAACCCTTTGTGGAGTGCCACGCTGCTGGTGAGTATCTAATGCCGCTGGAGATTGGAATCAGCGCCTGGGGACGCCAAACCTCACATAGCCAACCGTTGTCGACATGCATGCCTTACGCATGCCCCTCCCTTGGGCCGCCCATAAAATTCTCTGTAGGTCCTCAAAACGCTAATGAACGTGCGTTTGAGCGCTACCTCCGAAATCGGGTAAAACAGCTAGGCACCATCCTGCCGCCCAGCCCTGATGCACCCGAACCCGACATGGCGCTGCTCTGGGGCTTCCTGGGCAAGCATCTGGCAGCCGGCATCACCAATGAGGCAGTCATCATACCAAAGAGTGATGTTGCAGCTGCCGGCCCTGGAGGGAGCGGCCGAGGCAGAAGCAGCACTGCGGGGAAAGCTGCTCGGGATGGCGTGGTCATCGCGCGGCCTAAACTGCTGCCAGGTGCGTTCCTCTGGGAAGAACGGGAGAGAGAGGAGAGAGAGGTGCCTCGTAGACGATGTCAAGCAACTGTTGAGGCGTCCGGTAATAGGCCGCTGCGGCTGTTCATTTTGCTAGCCCTGCCCTCCTGCTGCTCCCATTGCCCCACCAGTGCGGTGAGGAGACCGCCATCACGAAGGGGGCCCTCATTGCTCCGCTACTGCATACATGTGATTCTTACAGCATGATACCTATGTCCATGCAACAAAGCTTTTCATCCCTGTCCCATCCCTTTCTCGTCCCTGCCGCTGTCTTGCTACTCTCCTCCGCAGCTTCAGCCCGTACAGTGCCGCTACCAATTCCCGGGTGGGCCCCAGCCCCAACCGGCCTAGCCCCTGCCCCTAGCGCCAACCGACATTCCACCTCGGCCGGCTCCGGCTCCAACAGCACTTCACCGCTGGGTACCGTTCATGTGTTCTGGGATGTGGAGTCAGCGCATCCGGGCGACAGCGACCCACGGGTCGTCGCAACGGAGGTGCTACGTATAGCTCGCAGCTTGGGACGGCTGGCCGGCTGCTACGCTTATGCTACGCGCCAGGCATGGGCATGGGTGCCTTCACACTTCGTGGCTACGTACGCACCAGGCGGCAGACCAGGCGACGCGAGCCGTGCAGACGAGGGCTGCGCGGGGGAAGGTGGGCCGGCGGGTGCTCAGGGCCGGTCTAGGTGCCCCGTGTGCGGGCAGCCGGTGGCGTCTGCGCAGCTGCAGCAGCACATGCGGCGAGTGCACCCGGACAAGTCCTCAACCAGCCTGGCGGGAGGAGCAGTAACACCAGCGGCGGCGGCATTGCCGGCGTCAGGGAGAGGTGCGAGCAGCAGTAAAGGTGGTGGTAGCGGCAAGGGTTCAAAGGCAGCAGCTCCGGTTAACACCCAACGGACAGGGCTGGGGGCGGTGCGTGAGTACTATTCGAGCTCGGGTGAGGTGTATAGGCCACCTGCAGGACATCAGCTGAGCCTCAAGTATGTGCTGCAGCGCGAGGGATTTGAACCACGGGTCGTTCAGAACGCAGACGGCGCGTCCGATCGTGCGGTCAATGGCGGCATTGACCGGCTGCTAGCGGCGCTGCGGGCTGGCAGGGCCAAGGTAGGGGAAGGGGACAATGCTGCCGGGGCGGCGGCGGAGTGCACGTTGTTGATCGTGTCGGGCTCCACGCGGCATGCGGGGGCACTGAGCAGCTGTCGGCAGCTGGGGTTGCGGACTGTGCTGGTGGACGCGGGGGGCGGGGGCGGGGGCGGGGCAGCAGGTAGGAGTGCGGGGGAACCGGATGCCCGGTTGGAATGGGAGTTGCTGGCAAGTGGTGCGTACAAGGTGTGAAGGGAGTGGTGACGCCCTCCTAAAGGACGGCGGCGTTGGTGTGGGACGATGCTAATGCTCGCCCCTCTAGGAAGGCTGTAACCGCTACTTGTAACCTAGCCGGGGTGATGGTTATGAAGGTGGTGTTGCTGTCGTCATGCAAGCTGCTGTGCCCGGAGCTCCTCCCGTGGTTTGCACGGCGTGTTGTCATGTTTGCTACCCAGCTCCCCGGTGTCCCCCAGCACACAACTTGGCAAAGTTTAGCCTTACAATCTGTAAACAAGCGGCCCTTGCAGGACAACATCCGAGTACCTGCCGCCAGAGCCTCGAGGAGCCCTGTGATACAACCTTGCTTTCCATGCGCTATTTAGTGGGCCCCTCCAAGCATACAGTAAACAGCAGAAGCACGCCGAGGCGAAATCCGAACGTGTAAGCAACAATGCCTAGCAATTGATGTCTCTCATAGAAATAATAATACAATTACTGGATGTCACGGTAACGACGCGCTGCACGAAGCGCGCTGCTGCACCCCCGGACAACGAGGTGCAGCGGAGTACGCTGACCGATACACACACCGCAGCAAGTTCCGTTCGGCCGGTTATACAGTTTATCTTCCAGCCGTCGTAGTTAAGGTGAACAAGGCCCGTTAGCTCGGCTGTCAGCGCTCATCCCCATGCCACACTCTAGATTCGCGTTCGCAGTGCTTTGTTCACGATTCCGCTCTCATATGTACACGACACAGAGTCCCAAGCACGTCGCCCACCCTCAAGAAGCCGGCACGCTGACGGCCACACCCGCACTACTGCTGCCGCCTGCCCCCGCCGCAATGCCCGAAACAGCGGTCACAGCCACAACGCCCTCCACCGCCACATCTCCTCCCACGCTCTTCTGCTGCCCCTGCTGCTGCCCCGCCTGCTGGTGCCGGTGGTGCTCGTGCACCAGCCCCGGCTGGTCCAGCAGCTGCGGCATGGCGGCCGGCAGGTGGTGCATGGAGGGTACGGCCAGGTCGGCCCCCGGACAGGGCTGCTCCGCCCCCACCAGCACCGTGGTGGCGCCCAGCCCGTGCGCCGCCGCCACGTTGCGTGTCGAGTCGTCGAAGAAGATGACCTCCTGCATGCTCACCCCCAGGTGCGCCGCAACTAGCTGGTAGATGCGCGGGTTGGGCTTGCAGAGCACGCTGTGCGAGACGTCCAGGCCGTGTGAGGCGGCCAGCTCCATGACGTTCTCAAAGTAGAACAGGCCCTGCGAGGGGGGCGGGGATGTAGGCATGGGAGGAGAGACAGTCGATGTTTGGGGTTGAAGAAGCAATCTTGCGATTAGAGCATGGCGGGGTAGAATCGCACTCCCTCATTCCTTCCCGACCCAATGCCCCCGCCCCCACACGCCCGCCCCACCTGGAAGCAGTCGCTGAGCCCCAGGCGCGCCAGGCAGCGCTCCGTGTGCTCCCGGTTGGCGTTGGTGAGGATGTACTTGGGCAGGTCGATGGAGCAGAGGATGTCCCGCAGCGAGGGGTCGGGCTGCAGCAGCGCCTCGTAGTCCAGCGCGCCCTGGTGCACGTGCTGGTGCCAGTCCTCGTAGTCGATGCGGTAGCCGCTAGCCTGGAGAGGAGGGACGGGAGGGGAAAGGGTTAGACAGCACCGAACGTGTTGGTAGAGGCGTGCGTGGAAAAGGCTGTAATGAGGACTGCATCGCGTTGGCGTGGCTACCGGTACGAAGCGGCATTCCCCATGCGCCCCTTACCCCACTTACCACTAGCCCTGCCAATGTCGTGCCATGCGCCAAGTAAAGCTCCAACGTTTTTGCTGCGACATCTTCTTGAGGGATTCCAAGCTTCTTGACCATATAATCTGCAGATAGAGGCAGACAGCGTAAGGAGTCGACGCCCGTCGGGTCGGCGGAGTCGGATTCCGCGCAGCAAGTGCTGCAAGGTTCCACGCTTAATTACCTTGAATGCAATCCTTTACTATTGCGGGAATCTGGTGGACCCTGTATAGGGTGTCATCCAAGTCTACTAACATAAGTTTTGGGTGCACCGCATGACGGCCTTTGGCCGGAGGACCGGATACGCTACCAACAGTCATTTGCCCCAGGGTTGCTGGTAAGTGTGAAAGGTTGAGATGGCTTGGCAAACCTCGACTGAGCAGTTAGTTTGCGCAAGCAAAAAAGCGTTAAGCAGTAACAAACCTCTGGAGAATATAAGAGTAATTTGGTAACAGCAATATAGATAATGCTGGTGCTTTAGTATATGGCGAAAAACGGCAGGAGATAATACACGTCAAGTACAACGCCTGTCTGCGTAAGCCATGGATAAGGAACGGTCCTTAGATGCCAGGTTTCTCACCTTCGCAGAAGTCCAGGTATCATGCTTTAAGCGCTTAACGATTAGGCTTCAACATAATTTCGGAAGCTGCAACGAGGGATGTCTCGCCAACCGTGACATAACCTCCCCGGCTCGCGCCTCAACCTGCATAAACAACCCTGTTAAGATGTGTTACAGGTCAAGGAATTCCACGCATATATAACACTATAGCGATGCTTGAAATCTTCCATGTTCGGAGCGTTCGCGGCATGCTCATCCTGCACATGGCCGTCTCCAAACCGTTTCCTGGTAGTGATACTCGTATCACGCCCACTTTAATGCTCTCTTACCAGCTCTTACCCTATATAACTGTTGGCCCCTTCCTACGCACCTTGAGGTCAGCCAGCTTATCAGCGCGCGTGGGTCCCACATTGACCATGACGAGCCTGGCTCCGGCCCGCTTTGCCGCCTCCACCAGTCTGAATGCCGAGAACACCTGCACGCTGGAGCCCACCACCAGCAGCGCGTCCGCGGATCCCACCAGCGCAGCCGCCCTGCAGGCAGCAGCAGGCCCGCACAGATAACCCCCCAACGCAGTGTCAGTGGCACCCGAACGAAGCGTGTCTGAGAGATGCGCCTGACGAAAACCTTCCAGTAGCCCACATCGCCATTGCTGCCCTGGCCCCTCAGAGCTAAACCTGAACCTAAGCCCACACCTCCCCCGCAATCACACAACCCCCATCCACCTCCTCCTCCTCCTGCTCCCCGCGCACCTGTCCTTCACCTCGTGCGCTATGTTGTCCCCGAAGAACACCACATCCGGCTTCAGCAGCCCGCCGCACGCCGCGCAGGGGGGCACCGCGAAGCCGCCGCCCGCGTCAGCCAGCTCCACATCGCCGTCAGGGCGCTGCTGGGGGGGCGAGCCGGGGGCTGGGGGGAAGGTGGAGGAGGAAGACCCGGGGCTGGGGCTGCCGGGAGTTGAGGCGGGGGTGGTGGATGGCGGTGAGGCGGCCGAAGGAGTGCTGACGGCCTGTGGGGGTAAAGGGGAGCGGGGTTGTGGTGAGCAGTTAAGAGAGGATGAGAAGGACCTCCATGCCGCATGCTCCCACGCCCCATGCACCTCCTTCATACTTCCCCCATCCCCTGCCAGCTTGTCCCCTTCCTTCCCTCTCACCACGCGTATGTTATCCCCGCTGCTGCCCACCCGCAGCGCCTGCTCCCGCTCCGCCTCCGGGTCCACCGGCCGCCCCAGCAGCGCCGCCAGGTGCGCCGCAGCTGCCGGGTTGAGCGCCGCTAGCTGGGTCTGCAGGGCGGAGCGGGGGGAGGTGCGGCCGCAACCCAGACATATGACCCTGCGGAGGGGAGGGGAAGCGCGGAAGGGGTTGTGACGAAAGGAAACGTCCGTGCACACGCCGGGAGACGCGTGCCTGTTCCCGCAGCATGCTGCCCGCTGCTGGCTGCCTTTCCCCCCCACCACCACCACCTGTGTGTGGTGCCGTGCAGCTCCAGCACCCGGCGACTGCCCGCGGCGCTGTGCAGGCGGTCCACGTTCTGAGTCACCAGCCCGCTCACCCAGCCCTGGGGAGGGAGGGCCGGGGGGATGGAAGAGGAGAGGGGGCAGCGGTAGGGATGCAAGGAGGACAGGAGGACCTGGAGGTACGCTGGCCGAGGAGGTTGGCGTTGGGGAGACTCACGTCTGCAACTCCACTCCCATGCAACTCCTCTGCAGTGGCTAACCCTCCCCGGCTCGCCAGCTAGGGCATTCACGCTGGACTCCTCCACCGGGCTCCCTTCCTCACCACTACCCACACTACCCCTTCCATCCCTCATGCCGTGCAACGCCCCCACCCCACCCGCTGCTCCAGCTCCGCTAGCGCCAGGTGCGCCGCGTTGGGCTGCGTGGCGGAGAAGCGAGGCCAGCCGTAGAAGGAGCGTGCCCAGTAGCGTGCACGGTTGGCTGGGCTGGCCAGGAACTGCTGGTGCGTCATGGGCTTGAAGCCGGTGGAGTAGGCGCCCTGGGGGGAGCGGTAGTCGGGGACGCCTGCAGGGCAGCAGCCGCAGCAGCACGCAGGTGTCGGCAGCGAGCGGGGCAGGGAACGGGAAGACCAGGGACTTGTGCGGCGGGTAATTGCGAACGTAGCACAGCCTTTTTAGGTTGCCCAATGCCGGCATAAGGGCGATCGGCACCTGACTCTGTGCTGCATCCTGCTCCTGTGAGGACGACAAGGCGCCTGCTGTCCTGGAAGGCGGACACCAAAGCGGCCACGTCTGCATCTGTCGCCGGAGGTGCAGATGGGGCTGCAGCTGCTGTAACCTTTCTAGTCCTGCAAAATCAAGTTGGATGTGCGCTAAGGTGCTGAGTGTGCGAAGGAAATCATGTGCGCGGGACTGGACCATCATCTCGCAATATGTCTAAATTTAATTATGCAGCGTAAGAACTAAGCTGATGTGCACAATTGATTAATCCTACCCTGCTGAGCGTAAGGGAGCAGCTGTGGCCGCTTGTGACCGGGAAGCTAGGGCCAAGCGCAACATGCTTGCAGCCAATAAAAAGTTAATTCTTTTATATAAACGTCTCTTAAATACTTAAGCATAAGTGGGAGGAGCCAGTCGGCGAAGTGAAACAGCCGGCTTTGATGGCCTTTTAGATCTAGTAGTACGTCTAGCCCTTCTACTCGTATCGCTCGCCCGGAGAGCCGTAACGCTCACCATCCAATCCAGTATCCATCTGGACATAACTTATTCCATAAAACTAACAACGTTTGTGAGGATAGGCACTGTTGCGCTTTCAACCGCTCAGGCCCCTGGGACACACCAACTTGCACGCTTTCTTGGACAAGGCGGTCAAGGCCAGGGCTGGCGTTCAGTGTTGTTAATCCTCCCTGTCCCCGTAAATAAGCAGCGCAGCAGAGGCCGCAGCCGTAAAGCGCAACTCACTCCTGCAAGTCCGCGACCCAGGAGGAAAATGGGCGGCCTGGGCCGTGCAGCCCTCGCAGCTGCCCTCCTCACGGCCCTGCTCTCCGCGCTGGTCGCTATGCCGTACGACAAGGAGCTGTCGTACGGCTTCCAGCGCAACACCACTGCCACGCCTGCCTCCGCGCCAATTACGGAAGCTGATGGGTTGCCGTACACTCGCCGTACCATCAAGTTCTACAGCGAAGGCACCGCCTGTGACGCCTGGCTCTACACGCCGCTGCCTCCTCCTCCGCCCCCTCCTCCCCCTCCCTCCTCTGTTGACACCGCCGAAGCAGCTCCCAACCCTGACCCTGACACCACCGGCAATGCCACAGACACGCCGCCCCAGTCCTCCGCCCCTCCCTCCACCTCCTCCACCACCTCCTCCTCAGCCCCGCCTCGGCGGCTGCCGGTGGTGCTGATGGCCCACGGTCTGGGCGGCCAGAAGGACATGGGGCTGCACCGCTTCGCTGACGTGTTCGCGCGCGCGGGTCTGGGCGTGCTGGTGTTCGACTACCGCAGTTTCGGCGGCAGCGAGGGGCAGCCGCGGCACTGGGTGTCGCCGCGGAGGCACGTGCAGGACTGGCGGGCGGCGGTGGAGTTCGTAAAGGTGGGAATGCTTAAGGGGAAGCAACTAACGAACGGGTAGGGAACCTGGGGCTACGCCTGGCACAGCGTTGCGAGGAAACGCTGACAGTGGTGGTGTAAAGGCCGTATTGAAGCCCCTTCCACACGCCCCTTCCCCCCACGCCCGTCCGCCTCCTCCTCCTCCCCCGCTGCTTCCCCCTGCTTCCCCCCTTCCAGGCTGGCGGTCTGGGCCCCGAGTACGACACAGAAAAGGCACGTGGAGGGGGGCCTGGTTGGGCGGCAGCCTTGGGCAGCTGCTCCCGATCCTGTCGTGTCCTCTGTCACTGAGTTGTTGCGACGCCCTCAAACGCCTCGCCTGCCACGGCTGCCAGCAACCGGGGAGCCTAAACACTGCTACCTCCCTCCCCCTCCCTGCCCCCAGGTGGCCCTGTGGGGCACCTCCCTGGCGGGCGGCCACGTGCTGGTGGCGGCGGCGGAGCTGCCCCCGGGCACCGTGCGGGCGGTCATATCCATGGTGGGTGGGTGGGTGGGTCCGGTGGGTCAAGGTACAACAATGCCAAGCTCGCCACGTCGCCATGTCTCCCTCCCATTTCCTCCATTTCCCCCATTTCCCCCATCATCCTCGCCTCCCTCCCCCCCTTCCCTGCATATCTAGATCATAATACCCATACTGCGCTTGCGCTAAATTAAGCATGCTCGTCCCATGCCGTACTTCGCATCGCCGCCTTTCGCATAAATACTAACTCTCGGCATAGTCCCGTCTCTTTCATCATGATAAGCCAGCCATCTTCATCGTCATACAGCCTGCGTCGATATACAGCGCAGCTCGCAGCACCAGCACAGGGACGCATGCCTGCCTTCTGTTCGCTCGTCGCGCTGCCTTCTTGTGTCTCTGGACGCTTTTCGCTCACTATTAACGAAATTTGGTACGTCTTCGTTGCACAATTTTCCCTTGCTCCGCAGGTCAGTCGGGTTCGGTCGTGGGTGGGCTGGGCTAAAGTTCGACCCAGGGGTCACTTGCGCGGGCGGGCGGGTGGGATGTTTAGGTGCACACAGCCGCATACCAGCCACAGCTTACAGCGCATTTGCGCACAGCAATGCAGTGGAGCTCAGACGCCAGCTTATAGCTCGTCAGGAATTCGTCCAATGATATGATCTCAGCACAGCCGCCAGCTTATGGAGCTTTATCACGGTTTGTACTTTGTGTGCTGCTACTAACCCAACGAATTTGACTATGCGCAATCCTAAAATCCAGCTTAATGCGGAATCTTCATCCATATTACCCCCCCCTTCCCTTCCCTCCCCTCAGGTCCCCCACCTGGACGGAGTGGAGGTGAGCAAGGCCAGTCTACGCCGCCGCGGTCTGGCGGGCTCGCTGCGGCTGCTGGCGGCGGGGGCGCATGACGCGCTGAGGGCCGCAGCCACCCGCTTGGCGCAGCGCGCGGGACTGCTGGCGGACCCGACCCTCTTGTTGGAGGAGGGGGAGCAGCAACAGAAAGAAGAGTTGGCTGCTGCGGGCGCCGCCGCCAACGACAGCAGCAGCAGCAGCAGCAGCGGCACCCTGCCGGGCAGTTTGCAGGGCGTGCTGGCGGCGCTGCGGGGCGCTGTGGGCGGCGCGGTGTTGCGGTGGCTGGGTCAGCCGGCGTACGTGAAGCTGGTGGGGGCCCCGGGGGAGCTGGCGCTGATGCAGCTGTCGCCCGGGGACATGCGGGCCTACTTCGCCAAGCACCCCAAGACGTACCAGGTAGGCAGGGGCGGAGGAAGAGACATGCCGCTACAACAGAGAGGCCGTTGGCGGGGTAACCAGGGCTGGTTGGCGGCAGGTAGATGGCACCACCCGCTTCCAAGGACGTGACAGGTCGCCGCCGCAAGTTCCATCCCATCTTTCTTCACCCGTCCTCCCTTCTCTTCTCCCTTCCCTCCCTCCACCTCCCTGCTTCCCCCTCAGGGCGGCTGGCGGCCGGTCGCCCTGGCTCGCTTCACGCTGGAGGCCTCCGCCTACCGCCCCATCACCTCCGTGCCGCGCCTGCCGCCCGGCCTGCCCGTGCTCTTCATCTCCGCCAGCCGCGACGAGCTGTGTCCCGCACACCTGGTGCGGCGGGCGGTGGGGCTGCTGCCGGGCGGGCGGGGGCGGCTGCTGGAGCTGGGGTGCAGCCACTTCGAGGCCTACCTGGGGCCGCAGCTGGCGGCGGCGGCGCAGGCCATGGTGGACTTTGCGCGGGAGGAGCTGCTGGGGGGGCAGCCGGAGGGGCAGGCGGCGAGAAGGATTCAGGAGGCGAAGTGAGGGTTGAGGAGGAGGGGGAAGGGGAAAGAAGAGTAACCAATGTATGAGGGGGAAGGGAGGGGAGGAGGAGGTGGGGGAGGAGGAGGTGGGGAAGGAGGAGGTGGGGGAGGAGGAGGGTTGGTGGAGTAGCGAGAGGTGTAGCGGAGTGGAAGCCGGAGAGATGACGAGGATACGCATGACTAAGGGTTCGGTTGCGTTATAGCAGTTGAGCTTTGTGGGTAGTGAATGGTCACAATTACGGGGTTCCGGCTGTCAATGGGGGAAGGGTGGGAGAGTACGATAAAGCAAGAGGGTTGAGCCAGTTGAGCGAAGTATCCGGATGTCCGTTGCTCGGCTCTGGGGACATGGGGTGGTGTGCACGGGACTGAATCCGTCTGTTGCTTGGCCCGGAGATAGAGGCGCTGCTGCTGTATGCTTGTATCACGTAGCCAATAGCTAAGCACGGACCCAAGACGGACCTTATTACGGGAGGGCAGCTTCCCCGCCAGTCTTAAAGCTTGCAAGGCCTAACTACCGTAATATAGGGACAGTTAATGAACCACGGGTCGGACGCCAGCGGATCACCAACAACGCAACCCAAGGAGGACTTGTAAGCAACGTCGGTGGCGTACTCTAGACGACGTAGCCAGAGCCATGCATGCTAGCCGTTTGGCTTTGCTTTCTCCTAGCCCATTAAGCCCTAGCAGCTGTCCCTGTTGGACGTCTGTCAGTGCCGGTACGGTACGCAGCAGTAGGTGAGGCGGGCGGGTGCTGATGGGGACGAGAAACACCTGTACGACTCGCTGTCGTACACAGCTTTACAGTTGCGTGCAGCATGGACATCGCGGGCCTCATGTGACACCTGGCGCACCGGGGCATCAGCCGGGCTGCTGGCAAGCGGCAACACAGCGTACCACACAATGCGCAAGTGTACGAGGCACAGGATCAGCGAGGCACGGGGGTGGACTAGCGGCTCCGTTGGCATCGTTGGGAGGAGGCTAACGCTCAAAGGTAAGCACTTTGTCAGGCATGGTAGAGCTCAGAACCTTGGGTTGGGCTGGCTGGGTTTGACACAATGCCCACGGTCGAGGAAGGAAGGCAGTCAACTGAGAGCGAATACAAGCTTGTAGACGCGTGCAACATTGCTGGCCTAGCCCTTCCCCTCGACCGTCAGCGAACCGTACCCCCATTCTTGTTGGGAGGAGGAGATTCGACGGGCGCGCTTCTCAACGGGCAACTAGTTTCGCGCAATGCAGTCACGCCAAGGGCAGGCGCAATGTGGAGCTTTAACTATCATGATTCGTCGTGTAGGCATGAAGTGCTATACCAAACCTTGTCCAGGTGCGCTGGCCCCTAAAAATCTTGGAGCAAACGTGCGTCAGCAGGGTGCGCAGGCGGTACAAGACTGAAAAGATGCGGATGACAAGCGATCAGAGCGCTTTGAACCCTTTCCCCGAAAGGTAAAGCAACTCAGGTAGTTCGCGGCAACTCAATGCAATACAGCAGGTACCCAGTGGGTACCGACCCGCACAACCGACCCTACCCGAGTCCCAGTCGTGCGCATAAACGAAAGTGAAGTTTTATAGAAGCACAACCAAGCAGTTAGGCACTGCAAGTTGGTAATCGGAAGGGGAAGAGGTGCTCCCTTCCGTGCGATAAAGTTTGCCTGTGTACGATGACCGTCCAACTTAGCACCGTTCCATTTCCTTCAGTCCATTTCAGTTGCTATTACCGCTTGTAAGCCCTAAGTCTTTGACATCCTTTACAGAGACAATCTGATCTGAGGCTCCCTCCCACTGCCTCTTGCTGCTGCCTCACGTTCATTACCGTCGACAGCAACTACTGACGCCGAAGGTGCGATGAGATCCTCTTAGTGTATTCCTCATCTGGGTCAGAACTTAATGCTAAAGCTGGGCGAGGAGGTTGATCATCCATTCGGCATACGCAAAGACACACCGATTGTTATGTTGTTGCCTGGGAACTTAAGTCTAGCCATGTTATGATGAGGACCGGGCACTTTCAGTATTTCCTGTAGCCAAAAGCTGGTTTGCGGTCCCTCCCATCTCCACGGCTGTGCAGTGGTTTGGCCAATAATGACTGAGGTTGAGCCAGCCGCTGCCAATTCCGATCTTCTGAAGGAGAAGGTTGGCATTACCGAGAGCTCAAATGGGCTGGGAGACGGAGGCTCGGACCAACCCGAGAAGGTGCCAGCCGAGGACGGCATTGAAACAGCCAAAGCAGTAATCGCCGCGCCTTCAGATGTAATTAAGGGCAGCGCTACGGATAACGCCGAAGCGCCAACATCGTCCGATGGCACTGCCAAGTCGCAAAACAACGCGGGAGCTGAGCAGTCGGCAGAAACGACGCCGGAAGCTGAGGCGTCCGCGGTTGCACCAGACGCCCCTCCTACTACCCAGCCTTCCAAGGAGCTTGAGGAGACGCCTGCTGGCGATGCTCCTCCTGAACCCGCCGCCGGTGACACCACCGACGCCGGTCAAGTACCGGCGTCCTCTGCCGAGGATAAGTCAGCAGCTTCAGCCGAGGTGGATACGGCCTCTGCGCCCGACGCAGAGGCCCCAGCTGCTGAGGCCCCAGCTGCTGACGCGCCGGCCGCCGAGCCGTCGGCCGTGGCGGAGCCCGCAAGCGCTGAAACCCCGAGTGCTGAGACCCCCGTCGCGGAGCCAGCAGGCGCAGAGCCAGCGGCCACGAGCACTGCGATCCCGGTGGAGGCCGTTGCCGAGGTGACGACGAAGCCCGAGGCTGCTGCGGAGGAGCAGCAGCAGGCCGGCAACGGCCCCACCCCCAGTGCAGCTGACACCGCGAGCGCTGAGGCGAACGGTGGTGCGGCGTCTCCGAAGGAGGCGGCTGCGGTGACGCCAGTTGGCACGGTCCAGGTGAGCACAGATGGGGAGCAGAACGGGGAGCAGCAGCTTACCCCGTGGGGGCGATTACCGTACATTCTGGGGTCCGGGGCTGCGCCGCGGGGCTACCATGGGGCACCAACCTCCTCCCGTGTTATGTGGGCATTGTAGGGGAGTTACCGGGGTATTGAGGGGTCTGTACGTGCATGTTGGCAGTCCTGAGCTTGACAGGCTCTTCATTGTGTTTCTTGCGGAATCTTCGTACGCAGTGCAGCCGTTCCAGGCCCTATTTCAACGGCGATTACGGGTGGCAACGCTGGAGGCATATAAGGCATGCTGCTCTTGTCGCTGTCCACGCCCTGCTTCCTGCGTATGCGGAGTCCCGCCCCCAACCCAACCCAAATACCCTATCCAAAACACACACTCCGCCCCCTCCCGCCTGCCGCAGGAGCTCTCGCGGCGCCTGAGCAGCGCCTCCCTGCAGGCCGGGCAGACGCCCCCGGCCACTACACCCAACCGCTCCTCCTCCTCCTCCATAGACCGGCAGCAGCAGGCGCCCGCCGCGGCGGTGCCGTTCACCGCCGGCAGCGGTGCCCGCCCCGCCAAGTCGCCCAGCGGCAGCCGCAGCACCGAGGCCTCGCCCGCCTCCGCGCATGACACCAAGAACACCATTAACGTGGCGCTGGTAGGGCGCTGCCGGGGTCGAGAGGGGGGGCTGCGTGTGTTTTGGGAGCATGCGGGGGACGCGTCGCTTGGAAGGTGCCGTGCCTTCTTCCATGGGTGGGCTGCTTGCTGCAAGTGCTTGGTGCCCTAGCAGGACCTGCTTTGGATCGTCCTGATACGCATAGGCGACATTCGTAAGAGCAAGACTGATATGCAGTTGCTGTTGCCAGGGTGACTTACCGCCCTCCTGCTGTGCCTTGTCCATCGCAGCTTCTGAAGCAAGGCGGTTTCAAGATGCAGCCTCTGAAGGACTTTGTGCAGTACGCAGAGCTGCAGCGGCTGCGACTTGAGGACGGTGAGTCACACGGACGAGTGTTCAAAAGACTCCACGGGGCCACGGAATATGTGGCTGGCAACAGCGCCGATGCAGGAGTAACCCAAATACCAATGCAACGCAAGCGATACGACGCTCTTAGGCTGTGGCCCCTTGGCTCATCCTTGCAAACGAATGTATGACACTCCTCACTTCAGGGCCCCGGAAACACCTGCTGCAGCGAGCAGCACATGCCCTTAACTCCACATCGCATCCGACCGTCATCCTCGCTACGTCTTCTTAAAGTCCTGCGGTCACCACCCTTTCCTTTCCGTACAACTTCCCGTACACCTCGCCAGGCATCGACGCCACTCGCAAGGAAGACTACCTGAGCGATACGGACTTCAAGGACGTGTTCGGCATGGACCGCGACGCCTTCAAGAAGCAGCCCGCCTGGAGACAAGCGCAGGCCAAGAAGAAGGCCAACCTCTTCTGATCTGTTGCAGCCGTTGTTAGCTTCGGGTGTCCACGCTCCCATGGCGCCCACCCCCACGCGTGATAAAGAGATGGCAGTCAATTGATGAGAGATAGGGGCCGCCGCTGCGCAATGCGTCTTACATGCCCCAGACTCCTTGGCATTGTACGGGACGTTGGCCCTTAGTATGCCGGCAGTAGTTACTCTGCAAACAGCAATAGGAGTTCAGGCTATAGCACTCGGACGGCAGGCTAGGTCCGAGCTTCGTGGCATCCGTTTCGTGCCACCCGTTGGTAGCGTTGATTAACCCGTGGGAGGCACGACACATACATTTGAGACAGTTCAGCACATTGTAGCCCCATAGCCCACCCCAATAATAGCGTCGCTGCGACGCTACACGTCAACTGAATGCTTCATATGCGCTAGAATGCTAAGCCCATGTGCGCTAGAATACTAAAGCTTAGCCCATGTACGACGGCAGGGCTGTCCTACCCCGCCAATCGCATGCATTGTAAGGATCGGGGTTCAACAGTGTTGGATTCGTATTGGACCTTTTCGACAGGGCCAGAGCGACAAAGAAACCAGTCCCAAGAATACACATCCCTCTCACATCACCATTGAAAGCCCTGTACATAGAAAATTAAAGTCGCACTTGTTTATTGAATCCTGCCCATAAAGGGATATCCAGCCCGCAGCCCGGGACGCTCTACCCGGATGCTACCAGGCCTCCACTTCTGCTCTCGGCTGCTTTCAACGACGCCTCCTGCATCTCGTGCAGAAGCGCCTCATAGCAGAAGTAATACTGCTCCAGCGTCTGGACCATGCCCTTCCGCTGCTTGCGAAGCGTGTGTACGACTGCATAGGGGCCAGTACAGCGCGGGCGAGCGAGGGTTGGGTGACTGGGAACCCACGCACATGCACTATACCTGACACGGGGAACATGCAGCTCAGCAGCCGGTGTACCGGGTATGTGCCGTCGTACAGCTACGTCTTGTTGGTTAGGATCAAGCACCTGGGTACACCATGCAGGTGTCTCTCACACCCTCCCTACCTGCAGGCAATTCGATGGCCGCTTTTACGTCCTCGGTCGCTGGTGCCGGCGACTGCTCCGCCATGGCCCATAGCCGCCGCAGCACCACGTCAATCGCCATCAGCGTCCCCGTCCGCCCGATTCCAGCGCTGTGGTGGTCGTGGTGGTAGGGGGCAAGGAATGTAAGGCTTATGCTATTGCAGGAGCTCTGTTGGAGGCCCCTCAAGATGTGGCGTGCATGACAGGACGCAGTGCCAAAAACTATACCCAACATTCCGCCGCAGTGACGCTACCACTTCGGTGCATTGCATGGTGGCAAGCGTTATTCCGCACCCCTTCTACCGCACAGCCGTACCTGCAGTGCACTACGGTTGTTTCCTGGTTGCTCCGGCTCTGCCACAGGATCCGCACCAGTCGACGGATGGGCTCCGTCGATTCAGGCACCCCAAAGTCGGGCCAGCGGTGGTAGTGATAGTGGGTCACCTCATGAACCTCCTGCGTCTGCAAACACAGCAGGTGGCGACGGTCGGACTGGCAGCAAATACACGTGTGCCACTGGGCAGCATGTAACGGCTGTGTATGACGGCGCCCCGTCTTGCCCCACTAGCTCACCGTGTAGAGTTTAAGCTTAAGGGTTCGTTTAGTAATGTCGGGGCTCACTTCCTGCACGTCCGTTGTCGTCACGCGGTATGGGCCAAACTTGGCAGTCTCCCCTGCGGCGGTGAACGAAACCCGTGTCTCCTCACGAGCAAGTAACAGCGACAAGACACTGCCTGTCAATTGTGGGTGCTGCAAAGGACGCACCAGGCCTCTGGTTGAAGTAGTCCGCACACTTAATGTGGTTGTTCTCCACGGTGCGGGTGAGCATGATCAGTATGGAGCAGTTGTTCTCAAATACCATCTTCCAAAAGTCGTCAACTGTGGACGCCAGTGGCCCCTGAGCAGCTATATAGCACCAGCTGGGGGACTCCGCTGGCCCGCTCTGCGGAAGGGCAGTACTTGTCATGCGCTGGTGGCAAGCACAGCGGATTCTACCCTAACAACGCACCTGCACCAAGCTTGCGTTGATGTAATCCTGGCCATCCTCTCCCTTTATCTTAACCCGGTTATAGTCAAACGGTAACACGTTGAAGTAGCGGTTCTTGCCGGCGTTGTTGGTTTGCTCTGCAGCTTCGACAGTCTCCAGGACGTCGCATTCCAGCAAGCTGTTATACTCGTTGCTGAGTAAAGCCTGGTCGTTTGCTAGCAAAGCCTCCGTCTTCGCCTTAAGCAAGCTGTACGCCAGCTCGAAAATGCTCTGGGTGCCCTCCCCCTGCACCGCACCCGACTGCTCCTGGGCTGGAGGACTATCAGCTCCCGCCTGATACTTTCGCTCCTTGCTGGCGGCCGAAGGCTTTCCGCAGCCAAAGAAGCCGAGCAGCCGGCGCAGCATTAAGCCGCCGTCTCTAACTTCTCATTGTCCAAATAGTGATCAAGCGTACTTTTCAGAGCAAGCTGCGCTTTAGCATGAAAGCCAGGAGGGACGCCTAAAAACTCATGGCCATTCAGTTATGTTTAAACTAAATTTAGAGGAAGCTTTGTTGAGTTGGTAGATAAATTAAACATGACTGCACTAAGAACTAACCGCACTTCTGCGAACGCGCTTACATTTGCAGCGCTGTCGTACATGGGGATGGGCCTAGCCAGGCCCAGCTAGCGCAGAAACTAGCGCAGGTAGCCCCCTAGCAAGCCCCTACTGTAGACGCAAGCCAGCAAGGCAAGCTTACAGCCGGGGGTGGGTTTAGTTCCAGAGCTCGCTTGCCGTGAACGGGCAAAGTTGGTGGCAGCATGCAGGCCACAAGGCCCAGAGGCACTTTCCCCGGACAGCAACCTCCACAGCGACCCAACCCCTACAGCGGGCGGGGGAATCTACGGCGGCTCACCCGCTGCAGCCCCTTCAAGGCGCAACTGGACCGGCAGTACACTGCCGTACAAAATGCCCCGAAGTGTCTCCAACCCTTAGGGTTTTAGGGGTGCAGGGGGACCGTATGGGGAACAAGGAGGGCGTCAGCAGTTTCTCCTTGCCCGGCCAAGTAACGGCTAACGGCATAAATCACCGCTGCAATCTGGTTTTACCTTACAACTCCTTAGCCACACAGCGCTTCAGGATACCACACCGCAAGAACAAAACAACAGGAGACGGCTATTACTTGCATCCTGCAAACAGGTAGGAAACCATAGAAACAACACAGGGTTTCACACCCGCAAAACTGTTCCTCAACCCATCCTCTTGCATTGTCCGCCTCCTGAGCACAAAACACATACTCCTAAAGCCCACCCTCTTCAACCCAACCACCAGCCTCCGCCACCCTACCTCCCTCCTATCTCCTCCCTCCTTCCTCCTTACCCTCCTATCTCTTCCCGCGGCCCTGCCCCTGCCCCTGCTTCTTGCCCCAATCCGGGTCCTGCTCCCCTCGCGCCCAGCTGGCCAGCCCCTGCAGCAGCCTCAGCGGCGCGGACGGCAGGCTCTCCAACGCATCAAACATCTCCTTCAGGTCGCTGTTGGGGTCCTGCATGGCACCGGACTTGGTGGGGATCCCCCGGATGGGCGCCAGCCGCCGCCTCACAGCGTCCATGGTGGCGTTCAGGATGCGCTTCTCGCCCAGCCGCAGCCGCACCGCCAGCCGCTCCTTGGCGCCCAGCTCCGCCTGCTGAGCCGTCTTGACGTCCTCCTCGTAGGAGCTGCCGTACGACGCCAGCCGCTCGCGGCAGTCGCCCATGAGCAGCTGCAGCACCTCGTACTCGTTCCTGGGGGGAAGGGGGAGAAGCGGGGGGGTTAATAGAGGAAACTGACGAGCTGCGGGAAGCGGGCGGGAAGGTGTAAAGCGGGGTGCTAGGCAAAAGAGGAGCAGGGAAGGGAGGTAGCTGGGCGGTACGGGGCTGCAGTGCGTGACGAACAACGCGTGAGGCTCAGGTGGTGACTGGAAGTCCTGGAGCGCCTGCAGAGTTACTTCTTTGTGTGTGACGGTGGTGTGGCAGGTGCGCTAGAGCTGTGCACTACATAAAAGGCAGCTGAGCAGGGCCAGACAGGCGTCCCCCCGCGTCCTCCCGCACCCCGGTAGCCCCCTCCACCTGCGCCCCCCGCCCCCGCACTCACATCTGGCTCAGCTCCACATCCTTCTCAAACGTCACCTGTGCAAGGAAACAGGGCAGGGCAGGAGGACTTTGCAGCAGGAGTGCGCGCAGCAGCAACAACAACATGCGCTCCTCCTGCACGCGGCACGGCGCCACAACCAGCCAGTCGACATGCGCAGTACACCTTTGCGCCGCTCACTTCATCCTACGCCCAGCCAGCCAGCCAGCCAGCCAGCCTAGCAGGGCACTACACCCACATGGCGATCACAGGGGACCAGACCCCGCCACCCCCCGCATGCTGACGCCTTATCACACAGCCAGTTAGTTGTTTCCTCTTTACCCTCCGCCGTAACAGCCCTCAGGGCCCCCCACACGGCCACCTGGACCCCCCACCTTTGCCAGCAGCGCCGGGTCCGCCACCCGCGACAGCCGCAGGAAGGCCAGCAGCTGCACCGGCATGCGGTCCGCATACACGGGGAAGCTCTCCTGCGCCCCGAAACCCATGCTCTCCAGGATCTGGCGCTTCAGCGTGAAGTAGCGGTCCGCCTGCAGCAGCTGCGCGGGCCAGGCGAGGAATTCGGAGGTGTTGTTGTCCTGCAGCGCCCCGGTGGACAGCAGCAGCTCGCCGTTGGGGCGCCCGTCGTTCAGAAGCAGCTCCGAACCCGATCTGGGAGGGAGGAGCAGGAGCAGGAGCAGGAGGGAGGAGGGGGGAGGCAGGGGGTGATGACGCCAGGCTGTGGGGCAGGACACTGCTGCGTACCGCTGTGTTTGGCGCTCTGCATCGCAGCCCCGTCACTTCACTCACAAACCTGTAGTCAGTGGGAATGCAGGCAGCAAAGCAACCGGGGCAGAACCGGGGCATCAGGGCTCTTGCGTGAATGCCATTTGCAGGGCCCTGGTGATGCGCCCCAGCCTGTACGACCCGGCCTGTACGACCCGGCCGCATGCACCCGCCCCCGCACCCGCTGCTACTGCCCGCTACTGCTCCTGCTTTGCTGCTGCGCCGCACCTGTAGGGCCGGCTGGCGGTAAGCCGCACCGCGCCCACCTCCGCATCAAAGTCCAGGTCGCAGCCGTTGCCGTTGCCCGTGCGGCCCAGTAGCGAGGCCAGCGGCAGCAGCGCGAAGCAGCCGGCGGCGGGCAGGAAGCAGGCGTGCCCCAGCACCACACTGAAGGCGCGGTAGAAGGCGGCCTCGTTGAACACGTCTGAGAGGGGGGGCAGCGGGGGCAGGAGGGGGAGGAGGGCTGGTTAGGAGGGAGAGGGAGAGGGAGGGGCGGGCGGGAGCCTGAGGGTTGCAGCTTGAGGGCTGCCGCGGTGGCTCCCACCACCACCACCGCCGCCTCCTTCCGTCTGGCCCCTCCCAGCACTCCGCCTCCTCCCGCCTCACCCCAGCCAACACGGGCCCCCTTCACCACCCAGCCGCCCACCCCAACTCCCATCCTGGGCCTCGCTCCCCGCCCCCTCCCCCACCCGGCGGGAAGCGCTCCGGCTGCTCCCGCATGAGCGCCGCCAGCTCGCCCCACTGCTGCCGCAGCGCCTCCCGCCGCGTCCGCGCCTCCGCCAGCACCGGCGAGCCGGCCAGCAGCGCCGACAGCTCCGCCTCGCTCCACAGCAGCGGACTCAGCGTGGCGGACTGTGGCAGGGGAGGGGGCGGGGAAGGAGGAGAAGGAAGGGGTGAGGAGGCGGGATTCCAAGACCACCCCTGGCTCAGCCCTTTCAACAGCGCCCTGCAGGATCACACATGCAAGCCCACACACACGTCAGGTCCGTACCCGAAGTCCCGCACCACTGGCCCACCCCCTCTCCCTCCCTCCCCACGTGCCCCCCCCCGCCCGCCCGCCCCACCGGCAGTGTTGCTAGCAGCCCCGCATGCTGCGAGTCCGCCCCCGCCGCCCGCTCCGCCAGCAGCCACAGCGCCAGCGCCGCCAGCTCGCCCAGCTGGGCCGCCAGGGGGCCCACGGCCGGGTGCTGGCAGGCGTCCAGAGAGGTGACCGCAAGCTGCTCGGGGATGGTCATGATGACCTGGAGGGGGGCGGGGTGAGGGGAGGGAGGGAGGGGAGAGGTAGGGGGGGGAAATTAAATAAGTGAAACAACGAGTCCCAATCCCATATCCCGATATGGGATATGGGGGTCAAAGACCATACCAAACCATAGGAGACCACAAGTTAGGGCAAAACAATGGGGGTAAAAGTTGGCATGGGATATGGGGGGGGAGGGAGGGTTGTGGGCGTGCGAGGAGCGAGAGGCGTAATGAACTTTGGTGAAGGGGTGCGAGCGGGAGGGTGCAATTGGGTGGGAGGGAAGGGGTGTGTGTGTTAGGACAAGATGCGAGGCGAGGGGTTGAAACAGAAGGTGGATAGCTGAGTGGTGGAGTAACCAAGGGGCTGAGTGGTGGAGTAACCAAGGGGCGGAGTAACATGGCTAGGAGTATGGGCGTGGGTGTCGCATGTGGGAATGCGCACCTCGCGGTCTTGGATGTCTCGTGCAGCTACCAGCGCTACTCGCTCGCCGACGTCACCCGGCATACGTTGCGCGCCCACGCTGTCTGCCCTCAAACCCGGCAGCGTTTCCTTGAGTTGCCGGATTCTGTCAGCCAGCGCCAGAGCATCCGCTATAGACAATGTCAGTTCGACGTCTTGTGTCGCCACTGCCGCTGGCCTTTGTATAGTCCGCACTGGTTTAACTGATGCGCCATGGTATCTCCGACGGCATGACGGGCAAGCGCCCGAGGAAAAGGGGCGTGGCCCGCGCAGCATACCTACTATATGCTTGCAACGTGTGTCAGCACCTTTCAAACCTAGCTGGAATATGGCCTACGCCTGCTAGCAGTCTTGTAATCACTGGGCTGATGTAGTACAGCTATTAAGGCGATCGTAAGTCTTATGGTCAACTGCTTCGCTCCAAACAGCGGCTCGCGTAAATGTAAAATAAAAGTGTGCAATAATGGAGGGGCTTAGTATTACTGTGAAGGGCTGGGAAGATGGTCAGCGTTTCGAGCGACAGCTTGAAACGACGGACCGTTGGGTCCTGCATGCGGCTGACGAGCTGACGCTTACATTGAGCGATGGAAACTCTGTGACAATAAAGCAGCAGGTAAGGCATATTACAGCGACCTGCAACACATCGATGGCTGCTTAGGCCGTCGGCACGTCTGCGTTGATGGCAAGCCGCAAGCACATTCCTAGTCAACATTTCGTTGTCCCCATGTCCCGCTCTCTCGCACAAAACACTGACTGACCTTCACACGCAAAGCAATGAACTCGATAGCAAATCCCAACCTTACTAGGCTACGTGACACGGTTGGCAGCCTCCCGCCTTGCGGCAGCTAGACCCCCGTTGTGTAAGCCCTATTGGTTTCACGTGCCGACATGTGGCTCCCCCTTCCTAGCGCAGCCCAAAGCCATCAACGCCACCCGAATAGGCGTGGGCGCATGCGTGTGGGAGGGCGAGCTCTTCCTGGCAGCCTATCTAGGTGAGGCGCCTGCCCGCGCACCCGGGTGGCCCGGCAGCACCCTAGGCCCTACCCTACCCTAGCCGCATATAACCCCTTTGTCCCACCGCCGCTCCGTTCACGCTCATGCCTCCCTCTGCTCTCCCTCCTCCCTCTTCCTCCCTCCTCCCCGGCACCCTCCTCCTGCCCCCCGCCCCCAGCCTCCCTGCCCCTGTACCGCTACATCGGCGCCCGGGTGGTGGAGCTGGGCTCGGGGCCGGGGCTGGTGGGCATTTTGATGGCCAAGATGGGGGCAAAGGTGGGCAAGATGGTGGATGGGGGGCAGCAGCAGGGGAGGGGCGGGGGGGCAGGGCGGGAGGAAGGAGGGGAGATGTTGGAACGACGGGGCTGCGGGAGGCGGTGGGAGCATGCATGGGCTCTGCGGGGAGCCGTGCGGGGTGCAGGGGTCGACGCGGGATGCAGGGGAGGGGTGTGACGGGCTGGGATGCCTTAAGCCTGCAGGAGGGGCTTAGTAGGCGTGCTGCAGCGGTTACAACGCATTGCTTCAGCGTGCGCTTGACATGCGCCTCTGGCCCCCTCCTAGTCCACCCATCACCGCACGCAAAGACGCAATACCCCGCCTGCCCGGCCGTTGGTCTGGATGTGCCTCAAGCCCCCCTCTCCCCCGTCTCTCCTCGCTCACAGCAGGGGTTGTCTCTAATCTCAATCGCACTGCCCCCTCCCACCTCCCGTCCCCAGGTCCACATCACGGATATCCCCAGGGTTCTGCCGCTCATAGAGGCAAACATAGAGGCCAACGGGGTGGGGCTGCAGCAGAGGTGAGAGGGGCGGGACGGGAGGGGGAGGGTAAAAATAAGGAAAATTGACGAACTGAAAGACGGGGCTTCTGGGGGAGGGGAGGAGCAGGAGAGAGGAAGGGGGGATGGGAGTGGGGACACACCCGCAAGAGATTACCGAAACAAACGCCCCATGCGTTTCTTCCCTCGCCCCGCCCTCCCCCGCCCCGCCGCGGCTGCCCAGGCGCGGCGCCGCTGCCGGCTTCGCGGTGTGTGAGGCGCTGGAGTGGGGCACGGAGGGCTACGAGGCGGCGGCGGGGCGGCTGGCGGCGGAGCGAGTGGACTGGTGCGTGGCGGCGGACTGCTGCTACATTGACCAGGCAGGGGGGGCGGGGGGAGGGAGGGAGGGGATTGGGGATATGCCGACTAATGCACAACGGGAGAGTTACTTGAGCTGTAGAAGAGTTCGCCAGAGTTTTGGTACGGCTTGAAGCCCTGTCCGCCAGGCAGGCAGTCCACACCGGGATGTACATGCGACGGAACAGCAGGGACCCGGCATCCGCCAATCCCGCAGCCACCCGCCCCGGCCCCTTCCCCTCTCCTCCGTCTGCCCTGAGTCCTCCGTCGGTCGTGCGTCATTGGTTGGGAAACGGGTGTTGGGGACTCAGGTGCTTCACGTCTCCTTCTCTGCTTCCTTACCCCCCTCTCTCTCCCCCCTCTCCTCTCCTGCCCCCCAGGAAGGCACCAGCCCCAGCACGCCCCACTTTGTGCGCACCTGCGCGCTGCTGTGCGGCCCCACCACCCGCTGCCTGGTGTGCTTCGAGCTGCGCAGCTCCGAGGTGCGCCGCGTGTTCGAACAGGAGGCGGGCAGGGCGTTCGAAAAGGTGCGGGGCGGGGGGAGGGGGGAGGGGGAGGGTAAAGGAAAACCGGTGGGGGACCGCCGGTAAGGGTTCTTTTGCACGGGGGAGGGGGGTTGCCAGCGCGTGGGTGTGTGGCGATGTTGCTCGGGTCGTAGAGAGGGCCAGCGAGGGGCGCCAGCGGCAGCGGACTGCACCCCGCGCCGAGACTGCACCGCTCTCTAAGATGCCCCCCTGACCCCCCACTCCGTCGTCAGCTGGGAAAGTAGGGCCGGCAGCGCTTGCAGCATGCGCGCACCATCATCTCGGCTCAACACCGCTGCCTTGCCCCTGTCCATCCTGCACGTCCCCGACCCTTCTTCACCTCCCCCGTGTCATGTCCCTGTGTCCTGCATGTGGCTGCTGTGGCACCGCCCCACCTGCGCTGGTGGCCTGTGGCTGCTGCCTTGTAACTGCCTGGCTGCCTGCCTGGCTGGCTGCTGCCTGCCTGCCTGCCTGGCTGCTGCCCCGCCCCTGGTGCTGCTGGTGCAGGTGGAGCGGCTGCCGCCCCACACGCTGCCCAAGCCCTGCCAGGTGGAGCACATCCTGCTGTACGAGCTCAGCGGGGTACGGCAGGAGGCCCTTGCGGCGCCCGTGGGGGACGCGTCGTAAGCAAGGTGGTTCGCGCTGGGTAAGGAGGATAGGCATGGGAGAGGGACTTGAGTTTGGTAGGGGATACCGGTACTTATTTGGTAGGGGAGGGTGAGAGAGGAGGAGGCCTGGGGCATGGGGAGGAAGGCAGGTAGGCTTCGGCGCTCAGGGAAGCGCTGCAGGATTGTAACGTTCCGAGGAGATCTTAGGTGGACTTTGTGGGGAGTGCAAGCTCCAAGCTCGCCTAGCACTATGCTGTGCATGCACGTATTTCTCCAGGAAGCCTTATGCCAGTTCTGTGTACATACTTTTGTGTGTCTCTTGAGAGGGTATGTGAGGCGGGAGGATGTTTCTGTAAGTCCCCGAAAGCATCGTGAGGAGGGCAACGAGATAGGCCCTGCGTAGCCGGCGGACCGACTCTGGAAGCTGTGAGGACGTGTAAAATTCGAAGTGTCCCCGCGTCTTCTTGAAGCACTTGGCAGCAGCAGTAAGACGAAGATTCCAGTAACATTCTAAGCATAAAGATTGAGGGGCCTAATTGGAGGGAACGCTAACGGAGTGCCAAGTACGGGCCCGAGCGCGTCTGTCTGGTGTCGTAATTGTTATGCGTTATACTGTGCATAAGATTATAACGTGTGAGTAACCTGGTACGAAAATTAACTGATTGTGCATTTAGGATGCAGCAAAAAGCCCCTCTTGCATCTTGCTGTTTGGGAGATGAAAAGTCCAGAAGAGTGAGCGACACGTTAATCGGTAGGGGCGCACAATAAACGGGAGTGGAAAAGGTGACAACAAAATAACGGAGCAGGATAAGGTTTCGAGCCGCATTAGTCAACGACGTTACGACAGTAACGGCGAAGAGAGCGACGTACCGTATGCTATGGTGTATGGGCCTCCTCGCATTGAAAACAACCCGCTGCTACCTAGCTGACAACAAAATGCCTAAAACTAGCAAGCACGTATACATATAGGCGGCCACTTGTTTGCCACGATAAGCTCATCGATGGCGTTGAGCACCGCTTGCAACATCAAGGCTACCTGCGCATCTGAGATGGTTACTTTTGCCGTCGTCTCATAGTAGGACAGCTCTATGGGCTTCGGCAAAATTTTCAGCGCTTGTCTTCCAGTCGTTGAGCGAGAAGCTGGGGACAGCGAAGGTGAGGCTCGGGAAGGCTGCGGAAAGAACTTCAATTGAATAGAATTGCCTTATAATTGCGCCCGTTTGTCGTAATTTTGTTCTGAAACATGAAAGCGCAAGTACACACTGTCGCCTTGTTTAAGAAACTGTTCAGAAACTGTTCACCGCAGGGACTTACAAGCATGGGGCGCTTGAAAACATTGATATAGGCTTTATCATACGGCAGCTAAAGAAAGCTGATTCGCAACTTCTGGCCTACCTGACAGTCCCCGACTACGCTTTTAAGGGAATAAGCTCCGGCGAAGCGTTCAGCGTCGCGTTCGCGTCTGATTCCCTACTACTACACTTTGGCTGCAGCAGTTGGAAGGTGAGCTGTATCCTTCAGCGGAGGCAGTATAAGTTGCGCGGGATACGCATCTCGTTAGTTGAACCCTGTTTCGTGTGCCCCAGGGATACAAGTTACGCCTTGAGGAATGGCTTGCGACCGATTCAGAACTCGCAGAGCAGGTTTCCAAGCTCTTCAGGTGCGGGTACGACGTTATTCGTGTTTGACCACGTCAGCGAACTTCCGATTGACTCCGGGGTGAAGTTATGGGTCAAATACAAGCTCGTTGTCAAAATAACGACGTTGCTTAATAAGCACTCTGCAACACGCCTGGCAGCGTGCGGCGAAAGCCCCATGTCCATCGCCTGGAAACCCATCCATCAACCACATCCACTTAAGCCCCTATCACACGGAAACTTCCCACAGGTGTGCCGCCTGTCACAGCCCGGCCATGCTTGTCTACCCGCTGGAAGGCTCCGTGCGACTGCGGGACGGGGTTTACAGCGTGACGCTTACGGTAGGTGCCGGTGTGAAGCCTCCCGGGGGTCCATTGACGCTGATGGGCAGCAAGGATAACACAGCTACGAACTTGGTAAAAAAAGGCGCGAAAGACGGAGGTTGCCACAACTCTTCTGTTCTATCCACCTGTCGCCTTTCGGATGCACAAATTGGCACATGTGGGCCCCAAAACTCCTTCTCATCATCTCTGCTGCACACCTCCGTTCAACCGCAGATCACCACCTGCCTGCTAACGGACAGCTCGGGGCAGCTAGCGGGCGCGGAGCAGGGCGGCTGCGGCGGCCCTGACACCGGAGTGCTGCAGCCCCCGACCCCGCCATTGCCCCTGCTGTCACTGCCCCGCCCCGGACAGCCCACACCCGCGCTCGCCGTGTCGCACCAGCTGCGGCGGCAGGAAGAGCCTCACGGCGGCCGGCTGCCTGGCCTCTTGGGGCTGCAGCTGGGGCCGGGGGGTCCGCAGGAGGAGGTGGCACTCAGTCTCATACCCATCATCGTCACGGCGCTGCTGCTGGACGGGTGCGGCCGCCGGGGGGGAGGAAGAGGAGGGGGAGAGGGATGGGAGAGGGAAATGGGAGGGGCAGTTGGGGGGGAAAGGGATGTTAATCATGTTATGCGAGCGGGGGCGAGGCGGCTCCGTCTCCGTCCTTCCACCCACTCGTCCCGGTGACCCCTATACCCGCTATTGCTACTGCCGCTGCTACTGCTGCTAAGAGTCTCCCTCTCCTTCGCCCCTGCCGCAGGCGTGTGGTGTACCAGAACCCCAGCAGCCGGCGCTACCTGGGCCCCCTGGTGGGCAGGTACTCGCCGCCGCCGGGGGCCAGTCTGGCGGCACTGGGGGGCGGGGCGGCAGCTGGGGGAGGGGGGCAGCAGCAGCCACACCCGCTGCGGGAGCTGTTTCGCTTCGATGAGGCAGCGCTGCGGGCGTTTGAGGAGGCGGTGGCGGGGGGAATGGTAGGAAGGGGCCGGAAGGGGCCGGGGACAGGAGGTAGATGGAAAGGAGCTAAGCGCCGGTACGTGGTTGGGAGGTTGGCATGGCAGGCGATGCCGCTGAGTTGCGAGGCCGCTTGCGCTCACTTGCTTCCCTCCCCCGCTTCCCCGCTATTTTCCGACTCCTCCTTGTACGACAGGAATTCCGCCAGGTGCTCAAGGTACCCAAGCGCCTCACCGCTTCCACCCACACCGGCGCCGCCGCCACCGCCGCCGCCAGCCCCCGCGATGGCCCCGACGGCCCCATTCAGACGTGCGACAGTCTGTCCCCCTCCGCCCCCACACGGCGCCCGCGGCCCGCCACCGCCCGCCTGCAGCAGGCTGAGTATGCGGACCGTACGGCACCAGCGGCGGCAGCGGCTGTCGTACGGGAGGGAGGCCTCGAGGTTTTAGATGCGGGGCTGTTTGGCGGGCGAGCGGGCAGCAGCCGGGAGGGCCCTATGTCGCCTGCGGTGGCTGTATCCGTGGGCAGCATGCGACTGGAGAGGCGGGGAGAGGACGGAGCGGCAGCAGCAGCAGGTGGTGGAGGTGGTGGTGGCAACGGGTTGGTCAGCAAGGGACTGATAGCTTCATCGGCTGCAGGTGACACGAGCAGTGGCTTCATGCACTTGAAGGCGGCTCCCTCCCTGGTTGCGGCTCCCACTCTGATGCCCGCGCCCTCCCTGATGGCGGCCAACGGGTCCGCGGTCCGGCGGCGCCTGCCCGTACGGCGCTGCACCTCCGTCGCCGCCATCACAACCAGGTCCCCTGCTGGCGGCGGCGGCGGCGGAGGGAGCAGCGTCGCTAGCAACACAAACGACAACAACAGCAGCTACTGCCTCCCATCGGCGGCCAGCTGCCAGATTCACTGCCGCCTCCCCTCAGAGCTCGGTCCCAAGCCCCCGCAGCAGCTGCCGCTGCTACCGCCGCCGAGATCACTGGGTCCTCCGCCGTGGTTGCTTGGGGCGGGCTTCGCTGCGGCTACCTCGCACCTCAGTCGCGGACTGCACGGCGCGGACAGCATCGCTGTCGCCCATGATGCCACCGCATCCGCAGCGCCTGAGAGGGGTCCACAGGACTGCGGAGGGGCGGGAGACATGGTGTCCGCGTTCGCTGTGCTGCCGTTGCTGGAGGCCGATGGCAGCAGCAGCGACAGTGAGGACGGCAGCGAGAGCGCCACGGAATCGAGCTCGCAGACAGCTGCAGCTGCTGCCGGCGGCGGCTGCGGCACCTCTACTCCCCATGAGGCCTCGCAGGGGCCCAACGCTGGACACCGGGCGCAGCAGGCAGCAGCAGCAGCGGCAGCCGAGGAGGCAGAGACGGCGGGGCGCGGTGCTGGCGGCTGCAGCAGCCCAGGCTGCGGATTGGTGGGCTGCAGCAAGAGCGGCAGCCATGGGTGCCGTGTGCGGCCCTCTGCGGCGTCTTTCACGGCCAACAATAGGACCCCCTGTAAACCACTGCAGCAGCAGCAGGACCTCCAAGACACCCAACAAGGAGCGCAGCACCGCAACCCACCAGGCACCGCCACGCCTCCCCTCTCCCCGCTGCCCTCCCTCCACGCCAGGAGTGCCTTGCTGCGCCTCAAGCTCGTTGCACGGTCCTTCACGGAGGGAGCCTCCTCAGCCACCCGCCGGCGGGCAGGAGCCGCCCCCGTCAGCCCCTCCTCCCCCTCCCCCTCTTCCCCCTCGGCTGCCGCTCCCGGGGAGTCCTGGCGGAGCGGGTTGGCCTGCCGCCAGCGCTCCCTCACCGCGCTGCCGCTGGTGGAGTCGGCGCTGTCGCACCTGCGCCGACTGCTGCCTCGCAGCTCGGGCGGCGGAGGCGGTGCAGCAGCACATGCTCGTCCTCCGCCTGGCGTCGCCCAGGGTGCTGCTGAGGTGGAGGCAGGCGGTGCTGCTCTGCGGGACGGGGGCGGCGAGTGGGAGAGTGCGGCTGGGGATGAAGGGGTGGGGTCGGCGACGACGACAGAAGGCGGCTTGCAGGTCAGTCTGGCAGGTGGCGGAGGGGAGTGGGCAGCATGGCATGTGCGGAGTGAAGCGCCGGGAGCTGCGGACAAGTGTATAGTTGACTCCACCATTGCGTCATGGCTGACGGCGCCTCAGGCGGTGGCTGTAGCGGCCGCAAATGTTACCCATGAGGTCTGCCAGTTAGCGGTAGCCGGTGTACCATCCTCCTCGACAGCAGCATGTGGTGGCGGAGGCAGCTGCTGTCGTACCGGTGCTGCCGCCGCCGCCAGCCCGCCGGTGCTGTCTTCCATCCTGGAGGAGTCAGTGGACGCTCCGCTGGGCGGCCGTGAGGAGCAGCAGCCGGTCAGGATATCGCAGCTGGCGTCAGCGCTGCCGCTGCAGCCCTTCCCGCCGCAACCCGAAACGCCGCCGCCGACGCTGCCACTGCCGCTTCCGGAGGTCCCAGGCGGGCACCGGGGCGGCGGCGGCGGCGGCGGCTCCATGCGGAGAGCAGCTGCTGGTAATCAGGACACGTGTGATGGAGCGGCGGCGGTGGTGGGTGGTGACGCTGGAGGAGCGCTGCAGGATGTGGGGAGGTGCGACGGAACGTTGTCATGGGATGGCTCAGCGATCGGAGGCCTGCTGTGTGCGTATGGTCGTGAGGTCCAAGGGGATCCTCATCATCAGCAGGTGCTGCATCGGGAGGAGGAGCAGCGGCAGCAGCAGCAGGAGGAGGAGCAGCAACAGAGCCGGGCTAGGGAGGAGCCCGGAACGCTGGGAGTTCTGGAAACGTGTCGGCTGCTGCCGTCGCCGTTCGCCCTGGGCAACCTCGACAGTGACAGTGACACTTACGCCCCCGCCGGCTTGTCGTGTCGCGCGCTGCTGCCGCTGCTGACTACCCCCGTTGCAGCATCTGCGGACCCCCCAGCTGCAACGACGCCAGGCAGTCCTCTGCAGCGCACGTCCGCACGCCTCAGCAGCGCTCCGGACGTTTCGGCGGACGCCAGCCGCCCTCCCGAACAACCCCCTCAGCGACCCCACTCAGACTTCGTCTCCGCCTCCGCCGCCGCCGCCACCGGTAACCGCGACGGCACCCTCAGCGGCAGCGAAACACACAGGACCGAGGGCGCCGGCGCCGAGACGGAGCTCATGTCTACGGTTGACGTGGAGGCTTACCTGATGTCCCCGCCGCCGCTGCAAGCGGGGCCCGCCGGCTTCTCCGCAACCGCTCGGAGCCCTCACATGTCCGAGCGCCCGCTGCTGCTGCCCTGCGGCCCCGGCAAAGCAGCCCCCATGCAACCACCCGCCTGGGCGCCGCGGCTCATCAGCTGCGACAGCGGCAGCGGCGAGGGCTTTGCGGATGATGATGATGAGGTGCCGCGAGCCGCCGCCGGGTCCGGTGCTGGTGGGGAGGAGGACTTCCCACCCAGCCTGCCTACCGCCGCCACCTGTCTCGTACCGGGTCAGCACAACAACAACAACAACAACAACAACAACAACAACAACAACAGCTGCTGCCAGCAGGGGCAGACCGGGGCACTGCTGCCCTCCTCTGCGCGGCGTTGGAAGGAGCCCATGCGCCGGCTGACCACCCGCGACCGGTTGATGAGGCTTGCGGCCTCGCTGTCGGCTCGGGAGGCGGGCAGTGGTGGAGGCGGGGCGGAGGAGGAGCACGAGTGGCACGATGTGTTTGCGTGTGTACGGCAGGATGAGATCAGCGGGCGTTCAGTGGTGGTGGTGACGCAGACGGATGTGACGGAGCAGGTGGGGGCTGGGAGGGGGGGTGGCGGGTGGCGGGATGGCTGCGGGATAAGTAGAGGTGAAGGGCAGTAGAGATAGTCACTTGGCACGCTAGCAGGGTTGGGCCAGCCTGGTCCTCCTCATCCCTACCCTCCCCCGCCCCTGCCCGCAGGTGGAGACGCAGCGCAGGCTGGAGGCCCTGCTGGAGCACGAACACAAGGTGTGGGGGCACAGGAGGCGGGGGGCGTGCGGGAGGCGGGAAGTCCCTGGCTGGGCCTTGTGTATCGGCAGCTGCTGTTGTGGGTGTTGTGCCGTTGTTGGGTTCCGTGCACCCATGACTGGTTGTCCAACTGAACCGCAGCACCTCAAAGCCCACATTTTTCCTCACCCAGCCCCCCTCCGCCACTCCCCTTTCCCGCCCCGCAGGTCCTGGAGTCTATTTTCCCCAGGTGAGTGGGTGCCTGGGTGGGTCACCTTCCCCTACCTCTGCGGAATACCCCTCTGAATCCCCTACCTGCCACCATGCTGCAGCACCCCTTCCCCTACCTCTGGAAATAGGATCGGGACTCCTGTTGCTTCACGCCTCATGTATTTCTCTCTCCTCCTCCCCTCCCCTCTCCTCCCCTCCCCTGCCTCGGTGCCTCCCAGGCACGTGATCGAGCACATGATGCTGCAGTCCAAGCACCGCAGTGCCGCAGCAGCAGCCGCGGGGGGAGCGGCAGCTGGAGCCGCCCCGGGCGCGGTAGCGGCGCTGGGCAGCGGCGGCGGCGGCACCGCTGCTGCCGGCGGTGGTGGTGGTGGTGGTGGTGGTGGTGGTGGTGGTGGTGGAGTCAGCGGTTACAGCGGCTACTGGTCTCAGCTGCGTGGGTCGGCCATGGAGGCGCTGGCCACCAGCCACCGCTGCGTGACGGTGCTGTTCTGCGACATCATCGGCTTCACCGCCATGTGCAAGCAGGTGTCGGCCATGCAGGTCATGCGGTTCCTGAACACGTGAGAGCTGGGGGAGGGGTTCAGGGTTGCATGGGGAGGGAGGGGGCGCGGGGAGGGCGGGGGCGGCGAAGTGGAAAAGCTGGGCACCCTGGGCTGTGTGACTGGGGCGGGTGGGTGGGAGAGCGGTGCAGGTGCGGCCTGCATTGCACGCATGGGCTAGCTTTCCCCGGGCTCCTCCCACCGGGTCGACATCGGGCACAAAGCCGTACATCCGTTGTGGTACGGTACCAGCAATCGTCCACCCCCCAGTCCTCCCTGTTGACCTTCCCTAACCCCCATCCCCTCCCACCCGCCCACACAGTTTGTACATGAGGTTTGACGAGCTGATCGACATCTACGGGGTGTACAAGGTGGAGACCATCGGAGGTGGGGGCGGGGGTGGGGAGGAGGGAGCAGAAGGGAGGGGTAGGGACGGAGGTTTAGCGGTGCGCTGGTGAGGGCTTGCGTGCCGCGTGTGCGCGCGTGTAGCGGCCCCGATGTTGCGAGTTAGACCGGGCAGCAGCGGGGCGCCAGCCGGGGCTGGCACGGGGGCAGTGCTGCTACATGTAGGTAGCAACCGGGCAGCAGCGGGGCGCCAGCCGGGGCTGGCACGGGGGCAGTGCTGCTACATGTAGGTAGCAACCGTTGCTAGGCATGTCGCCTACACGTCTACTGGAAGCTGCTATAGCTATTACCGTTTCCGCCAACACAGCAGAGAGCTTCAGAGCTGGAACCCGTGCGGGGTTGTATGTGCGCGGGCCATGTTGACGCAGGAGGCTTTCCTGCAGTAGCCCTGCTTTATCCCTTCCCCACGGCCTCCCTCTCATTCCTTCCCCCTCTTCCCAGACTGCTACATGGTTGCTGGGGGGCTGGTTCGCACGGACGGCGAGGGGAACAAGAGCGTCATCGGGGAGGGCAGCGAGGACGCACTGCACGCCGTGAGGGTGATGAGCTTTGCAAAGGTGCGGTGGGGAGGGAGGGAGGTGCTTGGGAAGAGCTGCGGAGGGCTGAGAGAGGGGCGGATGTCATCGCCCCTCCCTGCAAGCACTGCCTGGCCCCTGCCATGCCACCCTCTGTTCCCCTTCCGCTGCGCTCTGGACGCCTGAGTCCTTCTAGTCGGCCGCCCTTCATGCCGCTCTGCGATCATCAACGGGTCATTCTATGGTCACGGCCAGCGTTTCCTTGCGGCTCAGTTTACCTAATCCCCCTCCCTCCCCCCTTCTCTTCTTCTTCATTGCTTTGCCCTAACTTGTGGTCTCCTATGGTTTGGTATGGTCTTTGTCCCCCCTTCTCCACCCCGCTCTCCCGCACAGGCCATCATGCGCGAGGCAGCTGCCGTGGTGCTGCCCACCAGCGGGGAGCCCGTGCAGCTGAGGATAGGTGGGGCGGGGGGCGGGTGGGCTACTGGGTGTACTGGCCGCAAACGGAGGACAAACTGGGGGCTGGTGTGGTAAGAATACTGGCCGCAAGTAGGAGCGGGTTGGTGTGTGAGTATTGGGCTGAGGTGTGCGAAGTGGGGCCTCTCCTTGTGAGGTTCTGCGGTGGTGGCATGCATGATAGCTCGCCACATGAGGGGTGTGAGAGGTCCGCTCCGCTGCCGCTCACACGCCCTCGCCCCCGCCCGCTGGACCCCTGGGTCGCTCTGCTCGCAGGCCTGCACAGCGGCCCCGTCATGAGCGGCATTGTGGGCGACAAGATGCCCCGGTTCTGCCTCTTCGGGGACACTGTGTAAGCGGGGGAGGGGGTCGGTGGTGATAAAGAGGAAGCAACCTGGGTTGGTAGTGAGCGAGGAGCGGGGGACGGATGGGCAAGCTGGGTATTGTTCTGCAGGGGAAGGCTGCGAGGCCGGGTATGGGTGGGAAGCAAGTGCCTTGGGATGGAGCGTGCGTGGGAGCTGCGGGGGCGTTGCGTCCTGGAGCTGATGCCATGCTGCTGCTGCTGTCTCCCCTGTGGGAGGGTTTGCCGTGCCTTTGCTGTCCTTGCATGCGTCCTCAGGCCCTCCCAACCGCTTACACTGCATCCCCATTCCCTCACCGTTACCCTGCTACCCCACGGCTAGCTATTCACTTATTTTCTTCCCCCTCTCTCCCCCCTCCGGTCGCCGCAGCAACACCGCCAGCCGCATGGAGAGCACCTGCCCCCCCGGCGCCATCCACGTCAGCTCCGACACACGTGCGCTGCTGAGCAACGAGGCCTGGCTGCCCACCGGCGGAGTGCAGGTCAAGGGCAAGGGGCTGCTGGAAACGGTGAGTCGCTGGCCGGGAGGCGGATAAAGAGGAAACAGCTAGCTGACCGTGTGATAAGGCGTCATCATGGGTTGCAACATGTGCCACGGGAGTGGGGTGCGGAGTGGGTGCTGGTGTCGCTGTGAGGGAGTGGGGTGCGGAGTGGGTGCTGGTGTCGCTGTGAGGGAGTGGGGTGCGGGGGGTTGAGGTTGGGTGGAGCGGAGTGACCCCGAGGGGCACTCCTGTTGCGGTGCGCCTCGATGGGCTGGATGCGCTGCAGGACACCTCTTTTTGCGGTGTGCGACCGTGCAGCGGCCCCTCATATACTGTATCGCCTGCACTCGTTTGCTCCACTTCCCGCACCCTGCTCGACCCGTGTGTTGCGCGTTGTCTGCTGCCCCGCAGTACGTGTGGGCGGGGCACTCCGCGGATGAGGATGAGGAGGCGGAGCGGCGGCTCAAGGTGTACCTATGATGCCTCCCCGGGGCAGGCAGGCAGGCAGGCAGGGGGGTCAGGCAGAAACAAAACCGAATGAAGGCAAGCAGGGGGGTGGACCAGGGAGCATTAACCCGCAATGGACTCGTTTGCCAATGCTGGCTGCGATCTGTATGAGGTATGTTGGATACAGATGACAGGCGGGCCGCTGGGTTGGTTAGGAAAGCGGGAGGTTGCGAGAGGTGTGGACGAGGGGCTGAAGAGCAGGCCAGCAGCAGAGGGTCACATGACCAGATGCGGGCAGAGCTCACCACGCCCAGTGAACGTGAGAGCACAAGCGCACGCATGCCTAGGATTGTACGACGAGTTTCCCACATATGAATTTACAACCGTACGATTGCACTACCGTATGATTGTACGACGGCACGAACGTACGACTGCGCAACCGTACGAGCAATCAAGGTGCCAAAATGGTGTAGGGGCATGAGCATGCTGGATGCCTTTATGACGCGCCCGGGAATTAGCTGTCTGCCCCCGTGTCTAGGAGGAAGGGATGTACGCGGTCTTCATCAGACCTTACAACGCACGCACGAGTGGTGGTGATGTTCTCGTAAGGGAAGAGATGCGCTCGAATGGAAAGGCAGGCATATCGCAGAAAAGAAAGGAGGGATGTCGGAAAAAGGTACGAAGAGACGCCGGTATATATTTCATGACGCTCGTGAGGGAAACAAGTCATGAAAGTTGGCGTGGTTACGGCTTAAGAACTTAGGATTCATATGCGGTCTTCATCATACCTTACAACGCACGCACGAGTGGTGGTGATGTGCGGATGCAGGAGCAGGCGGGCATGAAACTTAGGTGTGCAGTGCGCGTCGGAGTGCCCAACAGACGTTGCTGGTGTTGGGCGTGCGGAGAACGAGCTGGGTTGTGTTAAGGAAACTGGCTGGGGTTTGTTAAGATAGCTGTGTATGTGCGGTGGGGCTGCGGCTGGGTGTAGGCTGTGCAGTTGATGAGTTGTATCATGTTGTTGCTGATGTTGGTGCTGTGCTGGGCGTCATTGCCCATCCTCGGGCTGGCGACTGGCAGTTGCTGGCCTGTTGGGATCGCCAGCTGGTCACAACTGGTCGCGCTTCTGAATTGCTGAAGTTAAGAGGTTGCTGTAGTTATTAGTTGCCGGGGTTATTAGGCATGCTAGGGCTCTGGCAGAAGGATTTGATTGATAACGACAGAAGTCGAATCCGGCTTTTTTCATGAATTCCATGTACGCAGTACAGTGCGGCGCGGGCGTGGGCTTTGCAGCTCAGAGTGTGCATCTGAGCCAAACCGCCGCGTCACCGTTGCACCGTAGCACGGTGGTTTATTGTCTTTGTTCGGGGCTCGTGTTCGCACAAGAGGGAGCGAGTCTGCTTGTGTTTTCTGCATCCTTGCTGCCTATTATCTAGTTGTCGTGCGAGGGATGCCGTTATACGGTTGGGAGGGCATGTGGGTTTCGTATTCTTGCGTTAGGGGCCACCCAGACAACCTGGGCCGCATGCACCGCTCACTCTCACACATGGGAGGACGCGTCTGGGAGCGCTGGAGCGTTGGAGTGGGCACTGGGCCGCATGGGGGAATGTGGAGGTGGGTGGTTGGGTGTTGTCCGTGTAGGGTTGCTTGACTGCAGCAAAGCAAAGAGTTGTACGATAGGTAAGATAGGTGTCGTATTTCCCATGAGGTGAGCTTGGGTGCTCCTCACTATCAGCACGGCGTGATGCCATGTGAATACAGGATGCCTTGCTTAATATCTAAGAGCTTACATCGGAAGCCTTTAATAATAAATACGGTTTAATAATAGATGAGAGGCGGCTGGTCTTTGTCAGTTGATGCGGATGTCAACTAAGAGCACCGTTAACGTTGTCTGTGTGCCTTGAGATTTCTATCGCTTTATGGAGCTCGGCCCCTCGGCCTCTTCGTGACATGTTATACCACTAAGCAGTACCTTACCTAATGAGTTGCCGTACATCTGAGTCCCGTGGGCGCTTGCGGCTGGCGGTCGCTACCTCCCACCATCATGTCGTGCTGACGGGACCTCGTGGGCTTCACTTGATGGGCCATGCCAGTCAAGTTGATGTGTCCTCCTTGCATGGGGCGGCTGCGCTGGTAATAATCACCTGCATATAAATACTCGGTCTATCCCGTCATCGGTAGACGTTGTTTCAGTAAGGTCTTTTGTACTGATGCGCTCGCTGCTACTGGGTTTCCACCGCTCAGAAGGCTGGAAACGTGTGGCGCGCTGCTTGGGTTACATGACGCTGCAGTGCTCCATGGGTCGTTACTACTTTACGTATGTTTGTATTCAGTCCTGCGGCTGCGTCTATGCTAATGACATCAGTAAGGCATGTGTGAACATCCCAGAGCCGAGCCTTTGATACCAGCTGCGCATTCCAGCCTACGTTCTGCGGCGTCCTCACGCCCTAGCACTCCTGCAACCAACCAACCCAACATGGGCGCCGGAGCCTTTAACAATCCGAGGAGCAGCTCCTTCTCCGTTGAGCCCGATGAGGGGGAGATTGTGGGCCTTTGCGTCTGCCGAAGCAGCATTTAGTGTGACCGATTCTAACCACCCCGGTATTGCCCTTGCACGCCTACACCCATGCTGCGTTGCCGGTACCGCGTAAGTCATGCTACAAGTTCCGTAAAGTGTAAGAGAACAACCGGAGCTGCGAGGTTTTGGGGCTAATTGAAAGGAGTGAAAAGCACGGACGTACGGTGCATACTGGGGACGGTTAGGGTTTCCTTGCGTCCTCTTGCGTTGGCAAGACCCAAGGCCTCTCTAGCACAGCCTTCTATGCAAGCATCGCCGACGGTATCAGTTGAGAGTGCCATCACATCTCTATCTTGCAAGGTAGCGCTCAAAAGTGAGGAAACGCCAACACATCCATACGTGCCGTTTCAATGTGTTTGCTGCCAGACGCCCAGACCCGAAGCAGGCATGTCAGACACACTGATGCGTGTGTCGCAAGTCGAACCGCTCAATAAGGACCAATAGCGCGTTAGTTAGCTGCTCCTGAGACATTCTGGCCATGGTCGCATGCCGTATTGTTTTTCACAGTCACAGTAACAGTTCAGACGGGCAATAGCTTTTCAGGTTATACAGGATTGCCTACGCGGAGCTTGTCAGCCGGGCTGCTAGGTTCCCGCATAATAGCTGGCAAGATGTGTTGTACGGCTGCAATGCTCCATTTCACGCGCTCCATGCTTACAACACATCATAGGACTGTCCTATGAGGCACTGCATACAGCCATGCGCGTTGCCTGTGCTTAGGGCACTAGCGCCTGACGACTTCTACCTTTCCGCGCCTGTTAGTGGCATAGGCGCTTTCGCACACTCTGCAGCTAGCTGCGGGCCCTCATGTTAGGAGACAAACCTATTTATAGAAAGGACGCTAAACAGTACTGCGGGCGTTTGGTTCGGAAAGCTTTCGTTCCCGAGGGTGCTGGACCTAAACGTCGCCAGTTCTTTACTGGAAAAGTTGTGGAATGCCCGATATTTGACGGAGAGGTCTGCTACAGAATTCGTAAGCATGTTTGGCGGGTTTGGGCTGCACCTGTTCATATGTTTGAGTTCAGCAAGACAGCCACCTGCTCGCACGTAATTCAGTTCGCCTGTGTCCTGGACATGTCTTTGCTGAAAATACTGAGCTCATTTCTGCGTGCCTGAATGTACCGCGTCGGGCTATGGTAAACTCCCGCCCCCCCATTTCACGGTAATCTTGCTCACCAGCCTTCTTGGCTATCATTACGCAGTTTACGACGACGGTGACACTGAAGATATCGCCTGGGAGGAGCTTGTGCAGATTATGCTTCCCGAACCTGAGGCCGGTTCACAGTTGCGCAGGACACAAGCTCCCGGTGCGGAACGGACGTGGTGAAGCAAATTGCTTAGCTACACACATTCGGCAGTTGCTGGTTAACTTTGTTCCTCCGCAGATGACGTTTAACTTCGCCCCTCGACCGCAGGGTTGACGGACACCACCAACCGCCTGACCAATACCAAGAATCCCCATCCCCGCGGTACGTATTCCCTGCGCGGGTAGCGTGGCACGCTAGTTTACCGTTGCTTGCGCAAGTAACCTGCGTATCTGTCTCCTCTATGGGGTTCCTTCTTTGCGCCGGCGTGCAGGCAAGGAGGACATGGACGAAGGGCCAACGGCAAAAAAGCCTAAATACGCCACGCCTTCAGCCTTGGGTACGGCCGGGGCAGGTAAGGTTGCTTGCAACCCTTGCATCTCCTACTATGACCACGACCTTGTACGGGTGCAAACACATACAGCTGTCATTGAGGATCAACCCCTTTAGGATCACAGTGTTTGCACTACGGCTTGGAGCAAAATTCAACACGCTCAACCACAAGTTAACCCGCTTCCTTTGACAGGGCGTCCAGCAAAGGCGCAAGGTGCCAACCAAGTATCTTACCTTGGCCTGTCGACCCCAGCCGTTAGCCTGGAAGCAGCTGCCACCGGTATCAACGAGCAAGAGGCTCCGCGACAGGGCCGTGTACGAAGGCGGCAGGACACCCCAGACGATGGCGCCGGAGGGGACGAGGCCGGTGGCGATGGCGGGCATGGCGCTGTGCCCCCGCCATCAACGCGCGCGCGACGTGGCCAACATGAGCAGCCGGGGCGACAGGAGGCAGCGGGAGGCAACAAGGAGGAAGAAGCACCTGCTGCGAATGCTGGTGATGCCGCTAGGCTGGAAGAGGTAAGGTGTATTAGGTCAAGGTCCCACGACCAGTCATGGTTCGTTGCACTGGAGTAAAACGCATGTGCTCGCGTTCGGGTCTTTGTCCGGCCCGCTGGATTGACGTATTATCTTCAAGCGGAAGCTAGGAAGCGAGCCCAACAGAGTTTGGTTATGCTTTGCCTTGCCCTCCCGGATCTAGGTGCCTGCGCAGCCAGCAGCAGGTGGCTTCGTGGCCCGCACAATTGGCTCCGCTGGACACATTGCGCGCATCCACCTGGAGAACTTCATGTGCCACAAGCACTTCGAGCTAGACTTGGGGTACGTCTGTACGTGCCTTTGGGCGGTTCGACCCCCTAGCCTGTACCGGGTGCCTGCGGAAACTTAAGATGGATACATCATGTGGCTGTTCTCGCTACTAGGTGAAATACCGTACTTGGCTGCAAATGGTTGCGCTGCGTACATTGCTTTAGATGCGGACTTCTCATCATTTTGCTCTTCCCTACTCTATAGGACGCATGTTACACTGGTCAGCGGCCAGAACGGCAGCGGCAAGAGCGCCGTGATGCAGGCCCTGCAAGTGTGTCTGGGCGTGACTGCGCGCAGCACGGGTCGCGGCAGCAACCTCGGCGGCTTCATCCGCACGGGCGCGACGGACGCAAAGGTCCAGGTGACCCTCTGGAACACCGGCGACGAGGCGTTCATGCCGCACCTGTAAGCCGCTGGGCATGGAGGGGGCTTTTCACTGGTTAGGCTGACCCACTAGGAGAGCTGTGATATGCGCTCTCGTTCCTAGGCCTACTGCTTCGGTAGCCGCGAAGTGTAACGACTCAAGAGAGCCAACGAAGCATGTGTCATGTGGACATCGAGTCAATACGCCCCATGGCCTCATACCTTGTTTAATTGACACAGTGGCGGCGTTACGTACATGCGAGCCCCCTTGCGTGCATGCCACTGATGCCAATAGTGTTGCCCCCTATGTTTCTCTTCCTGCAGCTTTGGTAGCCGCATTACAGTGGAGCGCCAGATAAAGAAGGCGGGTGCCTCGCCGTACGTGCTGCTGGACGAGCGCGGGCGCAAGGTGCAGCCGGAGCGCGGCGAGAAGCCCCGGGAGCTGCTTGACCGCATCCTGGACCACTTCTGTGTGGACGCCTCCAACCCGCTCACCATCATCACGCAGGACATGGCGCGGCAGTTCCTGTCAGGTAAACGGCACGCGAGGTCCTGCGGCAGGTGATGGGCTGGCAGATGCATGTTGACGGATCTGCGCAACAATTTGGGCATGAAAGAGAATGCACATGGTCCTGCCACTGTAGCACGATGAGAGCTCATGAACTGGACCTTATGTTGGTTGGCCGTGTCCATTGCAGCATCCAAGGACGACGCGAAGTTGAAGTATGAGATGTTCATGGAGGGCACTCTGCAGGATAAGACGCAGGTAATTGTTGGCCGCCGACCACATATAGTGCTATGGGAAGGAATGAGCTTTGCCGTGCATGACCGAGATGTCAAGTTTAGGCTGTCCTGCGTCTTCTTGTTGTGAGAGGGTTAATGATACCGGATGGAGGGTTGAACCCGGCATGACGTCACCTGCATGTGCGCTGTACGGCCCTGCAGGAGGAGCTGAAGGTGTCCAACGCCAACTGCGCCATCATCGCACGCACGCTGGAGAACAGCGCAGCGGAGCTGAACGCCGAGCGGCAGCAGAACGCCCAGTACAGGAGCAAGCTGGAGAAGCTCAAGAGCGCGGACAAGTGGGTGCGGGCAGGGGTGCAGGGGATGCGGGCGGGTTGTCCGGCGTGGGCATGAAAGACAGGGATGTCAATGGCACTTCGGTAAAGCTGAGACCCTAACTACCATCGTCATGACAAGGACGGTGGCTACTAAGCAAGGCAGCCCGTCACGCCACATCTTGCTTAGCATTTCGCGCAAAAACTATAGACATGTTTTGGCTACCGCACGCCCTCACTCATGTAGGTTGGTGGAACACCGAGACCTGCTCGAGCGCGCTGCGGCCTGGCGGGCAGTGCAGCTTATGGAGGGGCGCCTGGCGGTGGCCACCGCTGCTGCTGAGAGGCAGGGACCGGAGACGATTGGGCTGTGCGACCGGCACCTGCAGGCGCTGGAGCGCGCCAAGCAGGAGCTGCTCGAGCGCAAGCGGCTGTTGGTGAGGTTCGGGAGAGCGCTGCGGCAATGCACACTGTGGTGTCGGAACTTCGGGTAACGTGCGGTAAAGCATGCTAATTCGGTCACACGTTGCCATCGCGGCACTTTGCGCTGACGTGATGCTCCATTCGTAGTGATGCACCTTTGAGCAAGCTTAGTACTGCAGTATACCGGTATAACATGAAGCCTCGGTGCTTGTCTTATTGCTGCTGTACGCCGGCTGCTTTTCCGTCCTCTACTGTTAAGCGCCACCGTAACGCGCCCCTGGCCACAGGGTGAAGACATGCAGCGCCACCAGGAGGTCATCGACAACCACGGCAAGCACATTAGGTCGCTGGTTATGGCGGTGAACAGGGCTCACGCTGACATGGACCGGGTTTCGCGCGACAAAAGGGGTGTGGAGCTCTCCATTCGCACACTGGAGTCTGACAAACAGGTGGGGGGCTTCCCTGCATTATCGAGATGTGCATTCCTTTCCTCGTAAACTCTTCGGCCAAGCGCCTTGGCACGGTGGCTTCTTATCATCCTTGCCCGGATCGAGGAACTGTTGTTTGGGTGTGTTGGGTGTTGCTCTTACTGCAGGCGCTAGACAAGCGCCTGGACGAGGAGACCGGCGGCAAGACGGCAGAGGCGCGTCGCCGCGTGGAGGAGCACCAGCGGGAGGTGAGAGGGAGGCCACTGGTTCTTGAAACCCCCAGAGCGTGCGCTTGGAGTGCAATAATTGCTGAACGACTCTGTACGTGCCTCATCAGTAGCCCCTTGGGGAGTCGCATGTTTAGCCTGCTGGCCACGTGGATGGGCAAGTTTTAAGTGCTGGCGTTTGGTATTTGTGGCATCCTCAGGTTACGGTCAAGCAAGCTGCGCTGCAAGAAGCGACTGAGAGGGCCAACGCTGCTCAGCAGGCGTTCGAGTAAGTCCGCTTCTAAGCCCGGGTTCGGACGGGCACAATTACGTATCTTAACTGTCACGGTTGGCGGTGCGCAGGGCTGCTAGAAGCCAGCTGGATATCCTGGCGAATGAACTGCAGGCCGCTCGCAATAACGTGATGACGTCCGAGAAGAATGTAAGTACACGGCCAAGATGGTAAATGGTCACCCAATCTCCTGGGGTTACGTTGTAACCATAACGGTTGCACTTAAGCTTCAGCGAGTGTGGTTATGCCATGGTCACAAATGTGGAAAGGGCCGTCTGGGCTTGGACATGCACACAGTGTCCTCACCGGTAAACGGACAGTTAATTCATTGCATTCGCCTCACAGGTGGCCAGTCACCGGAACGAACTGCAGCGGATTGCAGCAGCCCAGGGCAACCGTCTGGCCATGTTCGGGGCAGTGGAGCTCAACAAGCTGATTGAGCGCTACGCACACAACTTCCGGGCGCGGCCAATCGGACCCATCGGCGCACTTCTCTCCATCAGCGACGCAAAGTACGTGGCTTGTTGGTCTGGACCACGTTCGGTGGATGAGGCCGCTTTGGGAGGGTGAAACTAGACGGCAGCACTTCAGAAAGGATATAAGCCTGTAGTCTCGCCGCATAAACCCACCTTCAGGTCGGTTTTGAAAACATACCTTGTCCTTAAACTGCGACTACGCACAGGTGGCTAATGGCGGCGGAGGTGGCGCTGGGGGTCTGCTTCTCCGACTACCTGGTGAGCTGCTCACAGGACGCCACCCTGCTGCGTCAGCTCATGGCCCAGGCCAAGTACGACCGCAAGGCTGCCATCATCACCACGCCGTTCGATCGTCCGCTCCACACTATCTCGCCTGCGCGACGGCCCGTCGGCGGCTTCGCGCCGCTGCTGGACGTGCTCGTGGTGCAGGACGCCACGGCGCATGTGCAGGTCATGAACTACATCGTGGATAAGTAGGTACTGGTTTTGTAGGGTTTGTAGGGTTGTTCCTTTGCATCGGGTGAAAATATATTTCAACCGCCCTGTCCATGATGCCCATTAGGCGACGGGGCCCTCTCAAGATCCCTGCTTGACCTGGCTGGAACCCCATAAAGCTGTGGGCGACTCGCACCTCCTTTCCTCTCGATGCCAGGGACGAACGTGATTTTATGACTGAGTCGTATGCTTCTTGCAACGGATATTCTACTATACTAATGGCTCAGTGTCAAGCACAAGTGGTGCTAACGACTTGTCCCTACATGCACTCCGTATAACACCGGCAGGTTCCACGTTGAGAGCATGGCGCTGGTCGAGAACTCGCTCCAGGGCCGGAGTATCATGTACAGCGGGGCTGCGGGACAGCACATTAGCGTGCTGGTCGACATCGAGGGCAACTTCTACAAGGGCAACAAGGACATGTGCTATGTAGACAGGAACTGTAACCCAAGGTTTGTTTGGGTATATAGAGGGGCGGGCGTGGCGCATTAACTGACTACCATCAGCGTCGCTGGTTCCATGGCATTTTTGAATCTGTCGTAAATCTGCCGTACACCAATCTCGCTAGGACGCTTGCGATTGAATAGCAAATCCTAGTACCACACGTCCATGGCTGATGCAGGCGGCGGTGCCGACTGGTGGCGGACCTATCCCAGTACGCTACTGAGGTGGAACGCGACCTGGAGCGCTACGGAGCGGAGTTGCAGGCTCACAAGGAAGACCTGTTGAACCTGCAGCACCGCCACCGGGAGGCCCAGATGCTGGTGACGCAGCGCGACCAGGAGAGGAAGAGACTGCTTGCGGAGAAGGTAGGTTCAACAAAGAGTTTACGACATGAGAGCTTGTAGCCGTTGTACGCGGCTGACAGCCAGATTGCGGCTTGGGTCTTAGGTGGATCGACCCCGGCTACGCGAGAGGTGGACGGGTGTGTGTCATACCACCTGGCATTCCTAAAGCTGTACGCTGGTATCCTGGTTCGTAAAAGTCATAATGCGCCTGCAGATTCGCGCCAAGACCGACCTGGATCGCACTGTGACGGCAGCGCCGGAGATGCCTAACTTTGACGACGACGAGCAAGCCACCGCCGTGCTGAGTCAGCTGTCCGACATACAGAAAGAGGTGTTGGAGCTGCAGGCAAGCCTGCAGACCGCGGAAGAGACGCTGGCACTCGCTATGCAGGTACGAAGCATTCTGGAGGCTGCTTTGGCTCGACGTTCCGGTTAGGAGCTCTTGCACGGTATATACATGTATCTCAGAACCTCGCTTCGGGTCCTTATGTCTTCGGTCCATTTCTCCCAACTCTGTGCAGGCACACGATCAGGCAGTCCAGCTGGCTACGGCGGAGAAGGAGCGGTTCCAGGAGCAGGTGCAGGAGGGAGACCGCTTGCGGCAGGCGTTGACTGATGTGGAGCAGCAGCTTACGGAGGTTGCCAACTTGCACAACAACACTCTGACTCGGCGCGAGCAGGCGGTCTCCGGGCTTGAGAAGCTGCGGCAGGCGGTGGAGGCGGCGGACAGGAAGGTGCAGGAGGCCGTAGCCGCGGCCACTCAGGTACGGGGTGTTGGTGACGAATGGCATGAGGCACGCATGTACGCTAGGCTGTCATGGGCAGTTGCTACGCCTGTGTTGCACTGCATTACTCACTACAATCCTCGCCTGTACGCAGGTTTGCAGCCGTGCCGACGGCGAGCAGGCGCTGGCGGACGCGCTGCCCGTGATGAAGGAGGAGATGGCGCGGCAGCTAAGCTCGCGGCGGACGCGAGCAGAGTTTGCCAAGATGAGCGAGGAGCAGCTGCGCAAGGTGGAGCGCGCGTCGCTGGCGAGGAACATGGAGTACGATGTGAGTACTGCATGCTTCTTTCCTTCCTGCTGCTAGGTTCCAAATGGAGCTTACAAACCTAACATGCCCTACCGTAGCTTGCTCTTTACTCCGCTACTGCGCCTCTGTTTGTGCCTCTGTTAGGGTCTCGTGCGGCATCTGGAGCGCGTGAACGGCAACATCGCCAAGGTGGAGAAGGAGGCCGGCTGCGACCTGCAGGAGCTGGAGATCCGCCTGGCGGACTCGGACAGGACGGTGAGGCGTACCGGGAGCGGCGCGGGAGAAGCGCGCGTGAAAGGCGGGGCAGTAGCAATAGACGATGCATATTTCTCACCATTCTACTTAATGTTCCATAGGGGGCGGGTGGCTACATCCATGCATGTATACACATCCGTTCATCATCGTATGTAATCGGATCGAGTGTACCGTTGCCGTCGCAGGTTGAGCGCAAGCTCGCAGTCCACCGCCGTATCGAGAACACGGTGCGGCTCTTCTACGCCAACTACCAGCGGCAAGTGCAGTACTTTGAGAAGAACCGCGCGCACATTGAGCACATCACCATGCACAAGTTCGATCGTTACCTGCGCCGACGCGACCACACGGGCAGGCTGGTGTTTGACCACACCGAGCGCACCCTCAAGCTCCTCATCAAGCCGCGCGGCAAGAACAACCCCCACGTGCAGGCGGTCGAGGACTTGAAGCAGCTGTCGGGTGAGTAAAGGGCGCATGAGGGTTCTGGGATATCGACTCTGCCGTATCCCTTCCATGTACCCTCCTCCTTGCTCCGCACCCTGCTCTGACACCCAGCTTCAATCTGTATGAACTTCTATTGCCACGTTCTGGGCCTCGTTCACATAATTGGTTTCTCGTACATCCGTAACCTTCTCCCTTAACCGCACTTTGCACCTTTAATCCCAGGTGGCGAGCGCTCCTTCACCACGGTGGCCTTCCTGCTGGCCATCGGCGCCAGCACGGAGAGCCCCTTCCGCTGCATGGACGAGTTCGACGTCTTCATGGACGCCATCAACCGCCGTGTCGCCACGGAGACGCTGCTGGAGTTTGCGTACGAGAACCCCGCCTTCCAGTACATCTTCCTCACGCCGCAGGACATCCAGGCGGTGGAGGACGCGCGCCAGGAGATGATGAAGAAGCGCAAGGTGCACCTGTCATCCGCCTTCCTGAGGACCGTGCAGCTGCGGCCCGCACGCGCGAACGGCACGCAGGCCTGAGAGGGTGTTGGAGTAAGGGCCTCATTGCGGGCCGGATTATGTGGTATGTCTGAAACGGTGGAGGGGGCTGTTACGGTGGTGCATGCGGCCTTACAGCGTGCATGATCATTGGACTGGTGGCAGCATTTTGACGGCGCGGTGTGAGTGAGATTGGGAGGTTGCTGCTAGTGTGGGCTGTACCATTTTACGTCAGCCTTTTACAAAGTGGCAGGTGCACCACTGCATTTGCGCCTGCTGGCGAGCAGCCACAGGCGTCAGCATCAACGCGAGGTTTTGGATCATTACGGGACTTATTTGGGCTGTTAGGTAATGGGCGGAGGTGGATAACCTCTTTCGTGTTTGTTGGGCCTTCGCTAGGTGTCTTTTAGTATGGGCATTGGTGGAATGCGTCCAAGGCATGCGTCGCATTTCTCAGCTTTACGGATAGCACGCAGGAGTTGTAACGCGGGGGTGCGCAGCCGCACTCCACGCACCCGGCAGACACTCTGTTTAGTACCGCGGGCCGTGTAGCACCCTATCGGAGTAGGGCGATGTAGGGTGCATGTGTATTGACCTAGACTATACGAATTATTGTAGCACGTGAAAAGCTAGTTCACGCCTTTAGTCATCTTTTCTCAGGAGCACTGCCCCCTCAAGAATTTGGGAGCAACGGAGTGTTTACCCCATGTGGCGGGTTTTGAGTGCTGTAGTTCACCTTGTATAGCTATTACGGGTAAGTAGCGAATCTTAACGCTTTGGTCTCAAGCAGTAAACCGTTTTTTGGTAGCGCAAATACGTGTATTGTTGCAGTACGTTGTGTTGATGCGCACGATTTTGAACTAGGGCGAAATCTAGGCTTCTGCCTGTGTTGTCCTGCACTTTGGTCTGTGGCTCTTGCCAGTACAGACGAAGGGATTAAGTATACTGGTATATCACGTGTGCGCACTTGCTTCAATGCTTAATATCTCCACCCCGGTAACACAGTGATGGCTGTTTCCAACGTGTAGGTGCACCGATGAGTTGGGTGCCGTCATGGACTTAACTTTATGCGACATGTGGCACGTGGCTTAACAGCGAAACCTAATTCGATTTGGGCAGCGTACGTCCCTGTCATATAGTTTGCACTCCAATTGGTTGTTCACAGATGCGGCATGCCGAGGTACAGCTACCGTAGATTACACGCAACAACTGGAAGGCAATGACAACCGTCCAAGGTCGTATCCAACAATACCGCAGTGTCTGCACACAGCATTAGGACGGCAGCGCACGCACACTTGTGCTCTCACATATCACATGACCACTTCCTCCAGATCCAGCGTGAGCCCAGCTGGCACCCGCAGGGCCCTGCTCCTCCCGCCTTGAACGCTCCCCCCAACCAGCTTCTGCACCACCCAGCGCATCTCCACCGGCAGCCTGCGGTCATCGTAGCATGCCCTGCCGAATGGCCTCCAGCCGGCCGCTGCGCTCGTACGCCACCCGCAGCGCGGCGATGAAGTTGAGCAGCTCGCCGCGCCCCAGCCCCTTGGCTGAGGAGGTGAGCAGCGAGGGCGGCAGGAAGGCCAGGTCCTGCAGCAGCTGTCGCTTGAAGGCGGTGACGTGCGAGTCGCGTACGGCGGCGTTGAGGCCCTTGCGCCGCTTGTCGGCCTTGGTGAACACCTACGGGGAGGGAGGGGAGCAGGGCAGGGCGAGTGAAATGATAGAGAAGTGGGCCTAAACCGAGAGGAAGGAAACGAACGAAGTGGGCCTAGGAGGGGCAGCAGCATGGGCATGAGCACGTCGGCACATGCGCCTCCTCCCTTCCCAACTGCTGTCCTCCTCACCAGTGCAAAGGGCACCTCATTGTCCGTCAGCCAGTTGGCGTACTGCAGGTCTATCCGCTGCGGCGGCACGGAGGCGTCCACCAGCAGCAGCACCATGGCTAGGTTGGGTCGGCGGGTGAAGTACTCGCGCGTGAAGGAGTCGAACTGCTGCCGGCCCTGAAGACCCACCTGTGCAGCGGGGGGCAGCAGGGGGCAGCGGGAGGCAGCGGGTGGGGGAAGACGTGTGAAGAACTAGGGGCAGGCGCTCATGCAAGCATGCACGCATGCAGTCATACAGATAGCTGGCGGAGAGGCAGCATTGGAAGTGGCGAGCAGCAGTAGTAGCACTGACAGTTGGCGGGAAGCATTGGCAACGCCTAGGAAGGTGTGTCTGAGCCGGTCCACTCGCTTACCTTTGCGAATCCGTATCCCGGCAGGTCTACCAGGTACCAGCTGTCGTTGATGAGGAAGTGGTTGATGCACCGAGTCTTGCCTGGAGGGGGGGCAGCAGGAGCAGGGGAGGGCCAGCGTCAGAGCAATCCTGAGACCAGGATCCACGGGAACACGATGGAAGTAAGACGGGGCCAAACCAGCTTCCTTCATAATGCGATCATGCCCACCCACCCTTCCCCGCCCCTCCCACCGGGCTCCTTGGACACCAGCGCCAGCTCCTTGCGCCCCGTGAGCATGTTGATGAGCGAGGACTTGCCCACATTGCTGCGGCCGATCACCGCGAACTCGGGGAAGCGCGGCGGGGGGCAGTCCGATACGGTCACACAGCTCTGAAGGGGGAGGGGGGGCAGGGGGCAGCGGACGGAGAGGAGCTGTTAGCGGCGGCGCAGGGGTGGCAGGATCGGGCGGGGTTACGTGGAGGTGTCAGCAGGGAATGGTGCCGAGGACGATACCGGAAGGCGACTTCTTAGGCAAGCTGAGGGGTAAACAGGTTGCGAGGTGGGGCTAGGTTTAGCTAGCCAGTGCATTACGGGTATGTCACGGCATCTGCGCCCCAAAGGCACCGTGATCCACCATGTTGTTCCCAACTTGCTCCCATCTTCACCCCTCCACCCCTCTGCATCCAGCAGCAGCAGCCTGCCAGGCCCACCTTGAGGTACTCCGCGTTCTTGACCTTAACCTTGTTGGGGGTGGGTAGGTTGAGCCGGATCTCAGGGAACACCTCCTCGCCATCTTCACCATCACCACCACCATCCTCAGCCTGAACACCACCGTCACACCCGTCTTCACGGCTGCTCTCGGACTGACGGCTACTCCCCTCCATCCTGCTTCCCTCTGTGGTTGCCAGCTGCTGCCCCCCGGGGACCTCCCGCGCTGCGGCCGCTTCCGCTAGCGTCACCGCAGCACCCCCGCCTTCCGCCTCCTCGTCCCCTTCATCCCCCCCCAGGAGCACGAAGCCCTCCTCGCCTCCCTCGCCAGCGTCCGCCTCCGCACCCCGAGCGGGCTGCGGGGAGTGGCTGGCGTGTACTGGGGTGAGATCCAGTGAGGCGGGTGCAGGGGATGCGGGTGCGGGCGAGGTAGGACCCAGAATGCCTGGTCCGCCCAGCTTGCGTAGGGCGGAGACTGAGGGCTGGGCAGAGGCAGCAGCAGCAGCAGCGGCGGCGGCGGCGGCAGCACTAGCAGGAGTGCGTATGGGAGTGTTGCCTTCTGCAGCAGGGCTCATCGAACTTCTGAGCCACTGGTTAGGCGGGGCGACGGGAGCGGCAGAGGCCGCTGCGGGCGGCGTGCTGGCAGCTGTGCTGCCGCCGGGACGAGGCAGCAGCGGAGATATGCGAGCGGGGCGGGTGGGGGGCGAGGCGGTGGCCTTTGCGTCGACCCCGGTGGCGCCGCCGCCGCTCACTTTGTTGGCTGCTTGCCGAGGTTTGGGCTGCTGTTGCTGCTGCTCCTTGGTCCGCTGCTGTGGTGGCTGAGACGGCTTTGCGGGCTTTCCTTTCGCAGGTTTGGAGGGGGCTTTTGACCCGGAAGCTTTCCCGCCCGGCGGTCCAGAAGTCTTCGCAGTGGATCGCGAGGACTTGGGCGCTGCCGCAACCGTGACTGCTGAGCCACGAGCTAGCCGGCCTCGCGCGTGAGCCGCGATACAGGTCCGAAGAGCGTGGCTATATTGCATGGTGCATGGAAGTACTACTGAGCTGCAGCTGGCGCTGCGGCCGCTAAGGATGCGTTCGATGCACGTCTGCATTGCGTCCAAGGAAACGCCTAACCCGCATAGAAAACGAGTAATATTTGGTAAGGTTAAATGTAAATGGACGCAAATATGAATTCAGGAAATGCTGCAAGACAGCAAGAGCGTTGCCTTCACGCTGCGTTTCGGAGCTACCGCGATTGCCAGCAAGCATAGCGCAGCCGAGACATCCGGATGTTCTGAGTTTCAGCAGTGTTGGTGTTATTGTCAATCGAACAGAGTCGTATAAGGCAGGTCCACGTTTCCCAAGAAAACCCTTACTACGATAGGATCGCAGCTCGCAGTTGAGCACCTTCTGTTCACACAATGGAGATTTCACATGAATCATAGTGATCCATACGCATTCCGTTCTGTCACTGCGGACGCGGCTCTGACAACGCTTCTCGACTTGCCGGATGCGCTCTTGCAATTAGTCATCGACAATCTGCTCTGCGCCCACGACTTGGCCTCTATCTGCATCGCAAGCTGTGCTTGCAGATGTTTGCAACGCGCGTCTTACACGTGCCTGGCGCGCTTTGAGCGTTTGAAGCCATCGGCGCAGGCATGTACGGCAGCACTGCAAGCTGTGCTTCCCCGATGCGCCAAGCTGGCTTCCCTGGACCTCAGCGATGGCCACCGCTGGGTAAATGCGGAGGCTGCCGCTGTTGTGGCCCAGGCGGCCTCCCTGACCTCCCTCAAGTTGGACAGCTGCAACAACATAACGGCATCTGGCGTTTCGGTACGACAGCAAAGGGCGGCGGGGGAAGGAGTGTGGGAAAGGGTAATGGGTGTGCGGAGTAGCTTCCTACCCGCGCAGTTGACGGCAGCTACTTGCATGGTGATCATATCTTAAACACGCCTGCCTTTGAAGTTGTTGTTTGCCCTCCTGTACAACACTACGTTCCTAACCAACAGCTCCATTCACCCATCCCGTCCCGACACCCATAAGGCGCTGTGCGGAGGGCTGCTGACAAACCTTACGGTGAGGTGTCTGCACTCGGGTCTCAGGGGCAGGGTGGCACGGCACTCAAGCCTGCCGCTCATAGCCCACTCAGTCCTCCGCTGCAACTCCAGAGCCGACATTCTTCACCCCCCGCCCTCACCCCGTCCCCCCCTGTCCCGCCCATTATTTTGCCCTACTCCATGCTTTCCTATGGCTATTTCAGGTTATTTAGTCTGTTTTGAGCTCCCTCCCGCCCACCCCCAGGTTCTGTCTCTACGCAGCGTGGGTGACATCGGCGACGGCTCCTGCCTGGCCGCCCTGCCCGCGCTCACCCACCTGGACCTTGGCTGGTGCCACAGCGTGCGGGGGCAGGCGGTGAGCAGCGGGCGGGGGAGGGGGAGAGAAGGAGGGATAAAGCTGGGTAAATGGAGAAGGAGCCCGGGGGGGGATTGGAAGAGGGGAATAGGGGAAGGACGGGGCGCCCCCTAGGAAAGGGCTGTGCTTTGTATTGCAGGGCCCAGTTCGGCCGAGGCCTTTGGGAACATTGGCTGCTCGGTAGGATGGCTAAACCTCCATACCACCTTTCACCCCATGTCACCGCCCTTGTACGGTACCCCCATGTGTACGACAGATTGTGCCGTACGGTCCCCGGCTGCTGGCGCTGTCCCTGCACGGCTGCGAGCTGGTGGATGACGCGGTGTGTGCAGGTGGGCGGGGGGGCCGGCGCATGGGGTAGGGTTGGGTTAGGGCTGGGCCTGGGAGTTGGTAGGAGCTGAACTGTGGCAGACTGTGCACCCCCCCCTCCGCGCTCCCCTCCCCAGCCCTGCCCCGCGTGCAGCATCTGGACCTGGCCTTCACGCGTGTGGGCGACGCGGGGCTGCGGGCGCTGGCTGGCGGGTCGGGGGCGCTGCGGGTGCTGGTGCTGGCGGCGGGGGGCAGCTGGAACCTGTGGAGCACGGGGCTGTGGAGCGAGGCGGGCGAGCGGGAGTTCAGGAGGCGGAGGCCGGGGGTGGCGCTGAGACTGGTGTCGTGCTGAGGCCCTTGTCACGCCCGTGGCTGGGCAAAATGGGGTTGGACAGACAATGCTGACCAACACACTGTTGACTTGGTTGCGCTGTGGACGGCGTAGGCTTGCACTCGAGGACCCGGCGATGCACGTGACCGGTAGCGCGCAGGGCGGACTCTTGGACGCGCTGTTGTTGTCCTGGGCTGTACCAGTTGCTCCACTCACGCTATAGATGATGAAGAAGATAATAGGATCGAGATTTGACGTATCACCGTTACAATCAGTCGTATTGCTAACAAGATATATAGTTGGTTCGGTTCGAGCTCACGAAGATTTGCTTCGAGAGCCAAACGACAACTCTAGCGTGCCGTCTTGGCTCCTTATATGCAAAGCAATCAGCCGCAATCGTACATTGGGCCCACTCTCCAGAAGCCCCGATGTCCTGCGGTACCATGGCGCCAACCGCCAGGCCGCGCGCCAGGCCTGGACGAGCGCCCGCGCATGGAAGCGCGGCTGAAGCTCCATTGTCCTAACTGCTACCCAGATGTCCCTCTCGATCAGCAACTCGTCACCAAAATAACGGTTAATGCTAGGCAAAACAGCCATGCCGCGAACGAGCGAGCGATCTAACTGCTTTGCGGCTAACACCGTTAAAATCCTAACAGCACCGAACTGCTCTTCCAAACGGACCCATAATCATTATACAACCACATTTAAACCGCTTTCAACCGTTCTGCACATTTTATGTCCGTGTCACATGCTAGGGCGTGACACCCTGGGGGAGGGGGTGGTAAAAAGGAGCCAATCCGTAAATAAATAAATCCGGAAAGGGGCTGAAGGAGGGGTTAGAAGAGGAGTATAGCAAAAGACCGGTACGGTAGTCACATGCTTGAGGGAGCATGGGTACAAACAGGGATACGAAGCTGGGGCAGAGGAGCGGTGGACTGCCAGGAGAGATGACAGGGATGCAGGGATGGCGATTATGGCCATGACATAGCCGATGGAGGTAAGGGATGCATATGTTGATTACAGGGATGTCATGCTTGGCCCTGTTAGTATTGGTGGATGCGGGTAATGCGGTTCGGGGACCTGTTGAACCATGGGGATGTCGACTGTCAAGGGAGTGCACGTCGCATGCAGATTGCTTAAAACAACTGATGTTGTAAAACGTTCGCTTAGGTACCAGTCCTGAAGAACGATACGTGAAAAAATACCGCATTGAGGTTAATGTTCGTTAGGTTTTCGCGTGGAAGCCACTTGGTATATATAAGCGGCAGTGCTTGAAGCCAAACGCCATTGGCTATTTCGGGCTGCCCATTCAAGGTGCTGCCGACCGTCCGACCCTACCTCTATACTGTACGGCATAAGTATGCCGAAGGGGGGCGGGCTGAGCTTGGCATTTACCACTGACGCGTTGTGTGCGTGTACGCAGCTTATTGTCATGTCGAATACTACCTAGTCAGGAAGTAAGAACAATAGTATCCGTCCTGGCAAAGTTGTTACTAACATTCGGCATGCCATTTAGCAGGCAAGCTCAGTAAATTTCGTTGATCACTCATATAAGTTCTGAAGACATAATAACGCGCAAGAATGCAGCGTCGCTTCTAAGGAGTAATTAGCATACGTAACGGGGGACCATGCGACACGGCATCAGCATCGGACCGGCAGCTTACCTCAGTGGCTGACGTTCAACGTCACGTAGCTGCATACCCGTACGACGGCATACTTTGAAATAGCCACACTTGGCTGACATTATCTACCCTCTGGAGCGTAGAAAGAACCGCGCGATTTAACCTACGAAGCAGCTACAACGTGTACCTATTCAATTACACCAACATACCTTGCAGTAATTGCGTTACTTACAGAACGGAAGCAGCAGTAATCGTTGCACCGGCAGCCCTCCTGCAGCACCTTAGCACCCACACAAACCAGCCGCGCATCCCAGAGGCTCCCTGTCGTGAAACATGGATCTAGGTGCCTCCGCGGACGCCATAACCGACCCTCAGGGGCCAGTAGAAGTGGCCCCTCACCCGGAGGAGGAGCAGTCGGGGGCCGCCACCAAGCCCAGCAACGCCAGCAGCAGCCACTCCAGCGAGGCCGCAGCCGCCCCGCCGGGAGCTGCCCCAGCTGACCTAGGAGGTGCTGGTAGCGGCCTCGGAGGCGAGGCCAGCCCTGGAGGTGCCGCGCCGCCCGCTGAAGGGCTTAACGCGGATGTCACTAACAACGGCAGCGGCAGCAGCAGTGGCGGGCCTGTTCCCGCCGCCCACACGACCACGACCATCGTGCCGAGCCATGTTGCGGATGCAGCGATCCCCACTGCACTATCTGCTGTTGCCACTGCTGGTGTTGTGGATGAGGTTCCAACTACGGCCGCCACTGGCGACATGACTTCCGCTGATGTCGCAGCCACTGATGTCGCAGCCGCTGCTGACGCCACGGCCGCTGCGGACGCCACGGCCGCTGCGGACGCTGCTTCTGCCACTGGCGCTGACGCCGAAGCTGACGTTGACGCCAAAACTGCCGTTGAACCTACCTCTGTCACCGAAGCAGCCTCTGTCGCCGACGGCGCCTCTGCCGCTGACACGACCCCCTCTGCTGAAGCTACCTGGGCATCTGACGCCGCCACAACCGGCGCTGAGGGCGCCTCTGCCGCGGCTGATGGCACCAGTGCCACCGGCGCCGTCTCTGCTGATACCCCTGATGAGGGTGACGGCACCAGTGCGGCTGATGGCGGTGCTGGGGGCAGCGATAGCAGTCCTGGTGCTGGGCCTGATGAACCTGCCCCCGCCCCTGGCCATGATGACCATGACGGTCTCGACGGCACCAGTGCTAGCGGGGATAGTGCTGCTGCCCCTGCTGCTGCTGCTGCTGGTGCCCCTGCTGCCCCTGTGGCTGCTGGTGATGATGTCCTTGGTGATGGTGCGGGCGGCTGGTGGTTGGAACCGCTGCAGTGGCAGGGGCGCTGCTGCCTTCGGGAGCGGAGCAGCGGTGCGGTGTACTGGCTGGCAGCGGCAGCGGGGGGAGGAGGGGGAGGAGAGGAGGGAGATGGAGGAGCGGGTGGGGAGGTGGGGGCGGAGGAGGTGGCGTATCCGGAGCTGCTGGGCAGGTGGCAGGTGCGGGCGAAGGGGAGCCCATTGGCGGGAGGCAATATCGGTACCTGGGGGGCTTATGGAAGGACGCAAGAGGCGGGCTGTCAGGCAGAGATCGCAACCTTGCAAGGCGACTGCTGCCAAGGATGTTCCCAATGACCTCTGACGCCGACAAGCTCCCAGCATCGTAGCCCTGCCCTAGGACTCCGTGCTCCAAAAGCGCGAGGAAGTCTTCCTCCTCCATGCCCTCCTCTTCGACTCCTCTTCGACTCCTCCCTGCTCCCGCCCCTGCTCCGCCCCCTCAGGACGGCCGGCTGCTCCCGCCACCCCGCACCTCCTGCGTGCTGTCCGCCCTGTTCCCCGCACTCGACCGGCACCTGAAGGAGCGGCGGGTGCTCTTCTCCGACCTGCTGGACAGCTACGACCGCGGCGGAGTGGGCAGCCTGGGGCTGGGGGAGCTGGCGGGGCTGATGCGGGCGCTGCTGGGGGGCGCGGGGGCGGAGGGAGGGGCAGGAGAGGCAGGGGTGTCACCAGCGGACGTCAAATATGCCATGGTGGGTGCCGGGTGGTGGTGGGGTCGGAAGCTCAGAAGGAATTAGGTGTCGACACCGGTAGAGGCTGGTGCAAGATGGTTGAGGAAGGTGGCCAGGGGCTGCTGGTTCGCACACACATGTGCGTCGCCTGCCGCCTTTTCGTGTAGTGGAGCGCCTACACCCCTCCTCAACAACCCCACTAGCCCCTCTAGCCACTACTTTCCGCCAACACGGCAGTCACTTGCCTAATAGCAACATATGTTAGTTTCTCTTGTTCACGCCAACCCCACCTCCCAACCCCCACCCCGCTGCAGGCCATGCTTGACGGCGACGGTGACGAGCGGGTGACCCGGGTGGAGTTCCTGGCTGCCGCTCGGAGCTACCTGGAGGCCAGCCGGGGGGCGGAGGGGGCGGAGGCGGCGGGCAAGGTAGGCAGCAGGGAGGGGGAGAGGGATGAAGAGAGGAGACTAGCGAGCTGTGTGCTGGGGCTTCGCCATGGGTTGCTTGCATGGGGGCGAGGGAGAGGAGGGGCGGGTAGAGCAGGAACGGCATGGTGGCTTTCAACGGCATTGCACCCGCATGCACATCAGGAGCTGGGAGCATACATGGATCTATCAGCCTTAGATCCATGCGCTCAACCCGCGGCCGACTCCACGCACCCTACCCTACCCCACCCCCTCCCTAACCTTCCCAACCCCCCCACCCACCCTCAGGCCGTGCTGCTGGATGCCACCGCCCGCCTACAAGCCGACCCCGCTGCCGCTCGCACCGCATTCGAGCGCCTGCTGGCCGCCCACCCACCCGGCTCCGAGGCACGCGGTCGGCTGGGGCCCCCGCAGCTGGCGGCCTTCCTGCGGGGCCTGCTGCCGGGGCTGGGGCAGGAGCAGCTGAGGCAGCTGCTGAGACACATGCACAGGTGGGTGGGCGGTGGGTGGGGTTGGGCGGGCAGGTGTATATCGCTCCGGGTCGCTCCACGCTGATCTGTGGCGCACTGCTTGGTGTACGGTATTTCCGCATACATCCTGGGGCATGCTTGCCATGGATGTGTGGGCGGGTTTAGCTATGCGATTGCCTGTATGACGCAGTGTTTTATTTGTAGCGTAAGATACTGAGATTGTAAGGCACGCGCTTGAGAGCTCTGTCCGAGGAGCTTCTCCTCAGGCCTCAATGACAAAAGACAGAAACTCTATGACGCCGTACACCCCAACACAGGCTGGACGCCAGCGAGGAGGGCGGACTGAGCTTCCCGCAGCTGCTGTTCGTGCTGGGGGTGCGCAGCCAGCATGGGGGGAAGGAAAGGAAGGAAGAGGCGGTGGCAGCAGCAGCGGGCGGGGAGGAGGAGGAAGATGGGGAGAAGGAGGAGGCGGTGGCTGCAGCCCCTGCTGTAGCGGAGGATGCGAAGGCGGAGTTAGCAGCAGGAGGGCCGGAGCAGCCAGCCCCAGCACAGCCACAGCCGGAGCAGGAGGAGGAGTCGCCGCCCACACAACCGCCGCCGGTGTCGGACGCTGAACAGGCAGCAGAGGGCATCGAGGGCTGTTCCTCGCATGAGCAGCAGGAGGCGGGTGAGCGGGGTGAGCGGGGCGGGGGCGGGGGCGGCCTGGCACGCGCAACGGAGATGTAAACCATCCCATGCTAGTCTCCTGTTTACATGTTTGACCGTGATGGCCAGGTACATGTAAAGTTACCAGGACACATCGTTCCAGCGGGGTGCAGGTTCTTGGCATCCGACGCGGCCTAGTTTGTTCCTGCATGGGTCAGGAGCAGCAAGTGCCGGGCCCCATGCTCTGTCCACTCTTTATGCCCCTTGCACCCCACCAACTAAGGCCGTACTGCCGCCATGTTACAAGTCTATTGACTCGACCGTCTTATCCCCCCTCCCCACCCCTTGCTCGCGCTGCCCCTGCCCCTGCCGCCAGCAGCAGCGGTTGGCTCGGAGCACCACCCACCGCAGCAGCAGCAGCAGCAGGAGCTGGCGGGCCTGGTCGACCCCGCCACCGGTGCCACCCTGCAGCACGACACGGCCACTGGGGTGGTGTATGCGATTGTGGCGGCGGGGGAGTGGCCGCAGGTGGGGACCGCAGGGGGTGGGGGGCGGGGAGTGGCCGCAGGCAGGGAGGTCTAGCTGAGCTGTACTTGTGGCAGGAGCAGAAGGAGCAGGGAGGAGGTAAGGGGGAAAGGTTGCTAGTCCTAGCGGCCCTACCTGCCTGCTTCTCGGTACCCCCTCATCCGCTCCCCACACACTTGCTTGGATGCCGGCTGCCTCTCTTCCCGCCTCCAACCCCCCTCCTCTCCCTCCAGGTGGTGGGCGTTATGGAGGCGGGTGGCGAGCTGCGGCGGCTGCAGTGGCGGCCGGACGGAGGGCTGTTTGCGGCGCTAGACACCTACCTCAAGCAGCACAGGTGGGGGGGGGCGAGGCGAGTGAAATCGCATGACATGGTGTTAAGGAGCCCAGGGGTGGGAGGTTGCCCGCAGGGGTGAGCGCACGCGTTTGCCGATAAGGGGCAAGGCAAGAACCGCTGTGTGGAGGCAGGCAGTACCGTAGTAACGCGAATGTTTTTACAAAATAAATAATTATTTGGGGCGGTAAAATTGTGTCAGAAAAATTCCAGCCTCCCCGGTAAAAACATTTACGTTCTTCCAGAAATTCAAGGGGTCGCGGTAAAAGTGTTGGGAGGAGAAGAGGTCGGCTGGGGGAGTGGTTGGGATGAAGGGGGCTGCGGGGGGGTGGACGTGGTTAGGGGATATGGGCTTCGGAAGGAAATGCTGGGGATCATGGTCTGAGTCAAGGGGTTCACGGGCCCTCGGAACCCTTCCAAACTGCCATCTTTTGTCCCCCATGCGCTTCCGGCCTCCATGAATGGTACTTGGGGCTGAGGTTACAGCCGTCGTGGGGAGGCCGCTCACAAGGTCAACGCTAGCCTCCAAGGGGCCGGGTAAAATGTTTGAGTGCCGGGGAAAACCTCGGGACCTGCCGTAAAACAATTTCAGTTGTTAAAAGTATTGGAAAATTATTTCGCTTCGGTAAAATCTTTAAAAGAAAAAACATTTGCGTTACTACGGTATATAGACAAGCTTGCCCGGCCCAAAGTTGCGCGCCAAGCGCTTGCATCCATGTAGCTGTGTGGTTGGGTGGCCCGCACCTGACCGGAGGGGGGAGCCTTGCCGGTTTCAAGGGAATCCTCACGTGCCGGGGGCGTTGCGCTCGGGTTCCGGCTCCGTGGCTTATACGAGGCGCCCTGCTGTGTGTCCCAGACAGCGCCCAAAACACAAGCAGTACATACAAGCAGTACGTCCCAGTACGTTTCGTCTTGCGGCCAGTTATTTTAACACACATCCCAGCGCACCCAGCGAGGCCTCTCTGACCCCAAACCGTACTGGCTTTCCACCACCAGCACTCCACACCGCCCCTCCATGTATGCTCACAGGGTGCGGTTCAGCGAGCTCTTCCGCTCCTGCTGCTCCGCCGCCGCCTCCCCCGCCTCCTCATACTCCGGGGGGGCGGGCGGCGGGGGGCGGCTGGATGCGGACGGCTTTCGGCGGCTTGCGCGGATCGTCATGCCGGGGGCGGGGGAGGGGCTGCTGCTGTTCTTGCAGGTGGGAGGGGGGCCGGAGGCGGGGGGCGGGGGCCCTGCGGGGATGGGTGCAAGGGTGGGATTGGCAGGGACGTGCATGCAGGCCGATATCCCCTACCTCTGTCACTGTAACTGTTAACCAAATCAACTACATCCCTTAATATTTCTCTTCCCTCGCTCCCTCCCTCCCAGGCCTTTCTGGACCCCTGCTGCGAGGGCGGGCTGGGCTACGAAGAGCTGCTGTTCTTGGCGCGGGCGGCACTGCGGGCGGGCCGGGATGCGGATCGGGAGCGGGAGGCCGGGGCGGCGGGCGGCGGAAAGTGCGGGGCGGTGCTGGCGGCGGCACTGGAGCGGCTTAGGGAGCAGTTGGCGCGGGAGCCGGTGGGTGGAAGCAGGAGTGGGGCTGTGGGGGCGGGGTGGCAGTGGGTGCATGGAGAGGCGGGCACAGAGGAGGTGCATGGAGAGGCGGGCACAGAGGAGTGAAGGTTAAAGCGGGTCCGTCTCTTCACCCCAGGGTCTCTCTTCTCGGCCCCAGGGTCTCAGAGGCTGCCGGGCTGTCGCCCAGGCCTCAACTGCTGACTCGACATGGGTTTCCCCTGCCCCCCGTTGCTCTCCTAAATCCTGCTGACGCCTGCACCTCTCCCCCCTGCCAGGCTGCCGCCCTGCGTCTCTACCGGTCCGCGGCCGTCCCTCCCCGCCGCGACCGCTGTCTCACCTTCCCCCAGCTCGCTGTCTTCCTGCTCCGCCTGCTGCCTGACGTGGACGAGGGTCAGCGGCGCGCGCTGCTGTGCTACCTGCGCATGCATGTGCGTGCCGGGGTGTGTTAAGAAAACTGGCCGCGAGTAGGAACGTACTGCCGGGGTGTGTGTGTGGAAAGAAGAATAGCCAATGTGTTGAATGAGAATTGCAAACAAGACGACGTGGGGGGTTCAGAGCTTGGGGCGAGGAGCTTGGGGGCGGGGCCCGAACAATGAAAGGAAAGATGGGGGGCTCCGCTCAGCTGTTGCGTTCGCAGCGTATCGCTTCCACTCGCTGCGCCCCTTTGCTGCTAGGGGCGCTTCAGTCTGGCCCCCTGCTTTGCTTGTTGTGCCTTATGGGTTGCCCCGTTCTAACCCCCCTCCCCGCGCGGCTCCTCTGCTGCCGCAGGATGTCGCAGACGCCGGTGTGGTGTCCTGGCGCGTGCTGGTGCGCTGTCTGCGGCTGCCGCAGCTGGAGGCAGCAGCAGCAGCGGAGGGGGAGGGAGAGGGGGTGGGAGGGTTGGAGGAGGATGAGGTGGCGGGGGGTGGCGTGGAAGAGGCGGCAGCTGGGTCGGTGGCAGGGGAGGCCGGGGCAGAAGTGGAGGCTGGAGGGGAGGCAGCGGGGCAAGCGGCAGGGGAGGGGGGAGCACCCATAACCGCAGAAGGGAAAGCAGGAACAGGGGCAGGGGCGGCTGCAGGAGGGGCGGCGGGTGCGGCAGCAGGGGAGGACTGCGCCCAGCCGCCCTGCCCACAGTCCTCCCCCCGAGAGGCCCATGCAGCGGCGGGATCTTGGAGGCCCCCGGGTCCCCTGCTGTGGTCTGGGGAGGCGAGGGAGGCGGGCGGGGCTGCCCACTCGGGTGGCGCTGCGGAGGGGCACTCGCCGGTTATTCAGGGGTGAGGCGGGGTGAAGGGCACGGGGGTGGGCACGGAGGTGGTTAGGAAGGCCCGAGAGGAAAGCTGGGTGAGGGGAGTCCTAGAAAGGCGTAGCCGCTTTCTTATTGCAAACTTTACCACAGCCCCCTTCGGTTACACGTCAGCAACAGACTTTATTTTTAAAGAGCATGCTATCCACACTATCAGTTACCCACGACAAGCCTGACCTCCTCCCCTTACCCACCTCGCCCCCCTCCAACCCCACATGTGAATTTCTTTCCCCCCTAACCCCCCGTCCAGCCCCTCCCCCCACCTGGAGCGGCTCAGCTGGGGCGGCCAGGAGCTGCTGCTGGACCGCTCCTCGCACCCGGTGTTCCGGAGGGACAAGGTGGGACATGATGCACATAACGCGCGACAATTTATGTACGCTGGATACTGTACGCAATACGGTGGAGGCAGTGGACACTGCGGTGCATCTGACACTTGTGTTGGCACTGATATTGCCCACCGCGACCCTTTACCTACGAACTTCAATGCCCATGTCCAATCATCGCTGCCTGCTGCCCGGCCCCTCCCTCCGCCCGCCCTCCCCACTGCCTTCCCCCACACCCCACTCCGCAGTCGGGCGGCTGGCTGCGGCTAGTGGGGGTGTACCGGCAGGAGGCGGTGGTGCTGCAGGTGGGGGTTGCGGGGGTTCGGGTAGATAGGGAAGGAGGGGGGGAGTTGAATCAAAGACCATACATAGGGGGTGGTGTATAGGGATGGCAGAGGAGGAGGGGGAAAGAGTGCGTGTCTCAGATGTATCACGGGGAGCCAGAAGCGTGCATGGCAACACGGGGGCTCATGCCATGTTACGGTAGCAGTACACTGCCAATGAGCAAGGCGGATGGACAGGGCTGCGAGCAGGGGCGTGGGGATACCGGTAGCAGTGACACATGACCGGCCGCACGTACTATGCATCCTCGCCATTGCGTGCACATCATTGCAAAGCACGGCTTGGATGCAACTGAATCCACGCTCCCCGACTGATTCCCTCGCAAATCTTCGTCACGTGTGTGTTAAGAAAACTTGCCGCGACTCATCCTTTCTTCCCTCCCGCAGGATCGCGCGCTGGCAGCCGCCCTGTTTGAGACGCTGGACGCCTACGTGCGGGTGCACCGCATGGGCTGGCGGGAGGTGGGGCGCGGGAGGGGGGGAGGGGGACGGGGAGGGGTTACAAGGGTTAGGAAAATTTGGAGGCATGGCGCTTGTTCGGAAGCCGGGCAGGCCCACTACCGTGTACGTGTGCAGGAGGTCATTTACAGCAATACCTCTTTCGGATTCCTCTTGCATTTGTGTCCCCTGCCCCGTCTTGCTCAAGCTGTTGGCTTCCTGCAGACACGTATTATTCCGCCACCCCTCCTCCTGCCCTTCCCCCTACCACCCCTGCTGCCTCCCCCCAGCTGTTCTCCCACTTCGACTCCCAGCTCAAGGGCTGGCTGAGCGCCGAGGAGTTCGGGCGCCTGGTGGGCCACTTCCTGCCGGGGGCCACCCTGGCGGACGTGGAGTGCCTGCAGGTGTGGGGGCGGGGGGGAAAAAAGAAATTCCAAAGTGTGGTGTGATAATGATACAAGTTACTGACAATCCCAGGGAGGGGGGGGGGGACGACAGGGGGCAACAAAGCAGGCGTCCAGCAAGCGTTGTGATAGAGCCGCATGCCAGCAGCTCCGGCTGCTGCTACCGGTAGTAGGTGACCCAGGCGGCCCAGACCCCCCCCCGCTTGCCAACCTGCTGTCCTGGTAACTGGAAGCCTCCTTCTACACCTTCGCCATCCCCATGTCACATTGTTTATTGTATTCCTCACTCTCCTTTCCCCCCGCCCCCCCTTTCATACCACACTTTGGAATTTCTTTTTTCCCCCCGCCCCCCCGCCCCCGCGCTCCAGGTGGTGTTGGACGACAACCAGGGCATCACCTACGAGATGTTCCTAGAGGTGTGTGGGGGGGGGGGCAAAGAAGGGGGCTGGGGTTGCAGACACATAGCGTCGTTTGGTATAGCTCAAAGTGTACCGCTGCGACGGGCGTGGCGCACTTGCGTGGCAATGCGGCTAGTCCCTTTCCCTTTTCCCCCCTTAGCACGCCTCTCTCCTCCCACCCACAGTTGGCGCTCATCTGCCGAGCGGAGGGGCAGGCGGTTCTGCGGGTGCGTAGTCCGGAGCCGCAGGGCGGGCCGCAGCAGGAGGCGCCGGCGGACCCGGCAGATGCCGCCCAAGAGGACATGCGGGCCGCCTCCACTCGGCCCCATGCCGCCTCCACTCGGCCCCATGCCGCCTCCGGACGCAGCGGCGCTCGGCTGCCCCAGCGAGATCAGCAGCCCGGCTGGTTCCGCGACCCGGCGGGTCGGTTTGCCTCCGGCGAGGCCCGAGGGAACGCAGGCCAGCAGCAGCAGCAGCAGAAGGCCGGCTCGCAGGGCAGCCACAGGCAACCTGCTCACGGCAGCAACAGCAGCAGTCATGCGCCACATCCGTACGGCAGCCGCATCTCGGCGCCTCCACACAGCGGACAAGCGCCGCCCGGCGCCTTCAGCAGCAGCAGCAGCAACGGTGGCGGTGGCAGCGGCGGCAACAACAGCTACCGGCCGTCATCATACGTCAGCAGTCAGAAGACCGCACCGCACGGCGGCCATGCACGACCCATGCAGGCAGGAGGACCGGGGGCCGGGGGGGCAGGAGGCGGCAACGGAGGGGGCAGCGGAGGCGCCCTGAGGCCCACCGCTGCCATGCGGCAATCAGCGCCCGACCCGCGGCGTCACCAGCCTCACGGCGCTGCCCTGCACCAGCCCGCGCCCACCCCCTTCCAGCAGGCCCAGGCTCTCCTAGCCGCACTTGGGCAGCTAGGCGGGAGCCCCCTGCTGCAGCCCCGGGGCAGCCCCATGAAGCAAATCCGCGCTAGCTCCGCCCGGCCGCTTCAGGCCAGCAGCGCTGCAGCACGGCAGGAGCAGCTGCAAGGCGGTGCAGTACGACCCGTGTCAGGCGGCCCCCCTGCGAGCCCGCTCACCTACATGCACCCCCTGGCGCTGCTGCCGCCCAATGAGCCACTTGTACGGCGGTGAATGCGGTGATGTTGCGCGATACGTTGCCTAGATGAAAGATGATGTGCCGAGTGTAGTCCCCTGAGATACAGAGAGCATCAACTGACTAAACTCATGGCATATATGATTGATACGGGCATTCGGTTCAGACATTGACTGTTCAACGGCGGTGCGGAGATGATGGGGGGCTGGCGGAGGTAGTGCTGGTGGCGGTGTGGGGTGTCTGATGAAGAAGTGGTTGATACGGCTTACGAGATACATGCTGAGCGGCTGGGCCGATGGCGCATTGCATACGGTACCCTAAGGAGCGGGCTCAGGAGTTTCTTAGTATGGCGTATTTGATAAGGTTACGGAGGGTAAATCGGCGCGTACAGCATGCTAATCACAGCAGACGGCTGGTTAACGAAGTCTATAAGGTATTGCCGTGTAGCAAAAGCCGCATGCAACAGCACAGCCTTGCGCCTTCCCGTCGCACATTTTACTCCGCCTAATTGCACAGCAATCTACCGCTATCACGGGTTACAGCGTGGGTCCCGTACAGCTAGCGCTTGTGTGTACCGGTAGTTGTTTCCCGTAACTCAGGGCGAGGCTACGTAAACGCCGCCATACTATCCCGATAAACGCTGCCGTACTCGCCTGCATTGCACTTACAGCCAAGCAAGCAGTGCCTTCAAAAGCGGGCATGGCGACTCGAGAGCAGCCCCCAATCCGGGGCTGTGCCCGTCACGCGATCCATACATGCTTGTCACCGACAGCCGCCACGACTCCACCAGTCCCACGCGAGGCTCGTCCTCAACCGCAAAAAAAACCGACACCAAGAAACGACATGCCTTCTCTGACCGCCAACAGCCGCCGGAATTAGAAAGTCTCATGAATACCCTTTTGCTCCTTGACATCTAAAGCGAGAGTCAGGGCATGGGGAGGCTGCGCAAGTAATAACTAGAAAGCATTAACATAATTGGGATGTAAGAAGCCTGCGTCGTTGTGCAGAAAGTGCGATGCTTCCAAGGCGCGCCTTCCTCTTTGAGCTTCCCTCAATGGTTAATTTCTCAAGCATACAGCGTAAGCAACATGTCAGCATAAGCTATGAACCCATGACCCAAACCCTCTTCCCGACACCAGGCCTATTCGCGTTCCAGGCCCCTGCAAGCGCCTACCCAGGCCCTCCAAGATCAAGTACTTTGTGCCCCCACATGCAATCTCGCGCACCACGCAGCGGGAACCTGCTTGCCAAGAGCTGCATGTAGGCCGGAAAGGCATGCACCTACGGAACTGCCGGTATGCCACAGCCACGCCAGCCCCACACTCCTGACCAGCGCAACTTGTAGCACCGAGGCACGGGGACATGTAGCACCAGCACGAGCGCGGCGGGGCCCTCTTGTGCTATTGCCCAGGGGCACGATAGAATACACAGCAACCCAGTCAGTCATCAAGGACCTACACATGTACCATGCACGGCTCTACCAACCTCGCGCAGCATCCATCGCTGCTGGGATGGATGCTTGGTCACGCCCATTGCGCAGCCTTAGTACCCACCATCATACCCTCCTAACACATGCTCCTAACACTGAAACATTATTATGTCTTAATCCCCCACGCACACACCGCGCCCAAAGACTACTACGCACTCCTTCACGCAGCGTCCGAGCCCCTCGCAACCTCCGCCGCCGCGCCATTGCTGCTCACCAACGATGACTTCGCCGGCGACGCCTGCCCCGCCCCACTTCCTCCCGCGCCCGCCGCCCCCTTGCTCAGCCCCGCAGCGGCCATCATCGCCTCCAGCGGCGCCGCTGCCGGCATCTGCTTCTTGGCTGGCTTGCGCGGCTGCACGCTGTCGATCTGCTTGACCATGGCGTCCAGGTCGATCTCCGTGAGGCTGGAGAGCTGCTCCTGCAGCAGCGCCATCACCTCGTCCTTGTTGCGCAGCTCGCCACGCAGCCGCGAGGCCTCCACCTGCAGCGCCTGGTAGTCGGACAGCAGCCGCGCTGTCATCTCGGTGTTGCTGTCGGACAGTGCGCCGTGGGAGGCGACCTCGGAGCGGAGCTGAGGGGGGAGAAGGCGGGGAAGGGGGAGGGGCGGGAGATGAGGAAATGGGGTTGGAAGAAGCAGGTGGGGCTTCTGTGGAATGCAGTAAGTAACAGGGTTTCTACCCGAGTGACCGGTCGTGTACAGCAGTGGCGTTTAGGCTTACGGAGAACCGAGGAATACTGTTCAACTGCCATAACCCGGTAGCGGTGCGTTCAGATTATTTTACCGCAACAGCACCCACCCATTCGCGGGAAACGGCTTCTCCCGGTTAACAGTGTGTCAGCTGATACCTCCACGCCTCCTCCTCAAGCCCCCCAACTGCATCACCCCAACACCGCCCCAGGCCCTCTCCTCACCCTGGCCAGCTCCACCGACCGGTCCGCCGCCGCCGCCGTGAGCTCCACGTTGCGCCGCTGCGCCTCGTGCAGCTGCTGGTGCGCCGCCTCCACCTCCGCACGGGCAGCCGCCTGAGCGCCCTGAAGCGCCTCGCGCTCCTGATGGAAGGGAAGGGGGTCCAGGAGGGGAAGGATGGGGAGCCCTTCACCGCTCAGGTCGTGCTGCATGAAGCACATAAGCAAAGGGGTTGGCACACACTCCTTCTGCTGTCCGGGATGCAGCTGTTTAGGCTAGCCGCAAGACCACCCGTACAGAAGTGACACCTGCTAAACAACACACAAGCGACCCCGGTGCCCTTCCGTAACAGCAACGCTGAGTTCAAGATTGAGATTGCTAAAGAGCCCCGCCCTAACTCCTGCCCTCCTGACTCCAACCGCAGCCGCCCGCACCTGCTGCAGCGCCCTCAACTCCAGCCTCAGCGTCTCAATGATGCCGCGCGCCTCGTCCAGCGCGTACTGCGTGTTGCCCAGCTGCGCGCTCAGCTGCTCCTTGAGCGTCTGCGAGCGGGTGGAGGGGAGGAAGAGGCGCGGGGGTGGTAGTGGTGGAGGGACGGCCTCGCCACTCTGTACAAACATGGCATACCATGGCTTGAAGGGATGGCAAGGCCTGAGCAAAGCGGTTTCCCCTTGTTTTAACCAGTGATTGCCGATGATCCTGTCCATGCCAGCAACTAGCAATGCCAATCTCACCATCGCCATCTGCATGTCCTTAATCCTCGCTTCTGCTGCCTCCACAGCTGTCGTGAGCTCATCTATGGTCCCCTTCAGCTCCTCATTCTCCGCCTGCAACTTCTCCTCCTCCTCCACATGCCCCACAATGGTCCGCTCCAGCTCCTTCCGAAGGTCCACTGCCTCTTGCCGGGCCGCCAGCAACTGCGCCGCAAGCGCCTTCACCCCCAGCGCTTCCAGCTGCTCCGCCGTCTGCTGCTGCACGCCGCCATTCCCAGCCTTGCCGCGAGCCTTCACATCCTCCTCCGCCTCCAGCAGCGGCCTGTCCGCGGATATGGCTGCGGCCAGCAGGTCCGCCTCCAGATCCGAAACCTGCATCTCCAGGCGGCCGCGGTCCGCCGCCAGCTGCTCCAGCTGCTCGCCCAGCAGCTGCCGCTCCAGATCCAGGCTCTGTCGCACCAGGTTGGCGTTCTCCAGCTCCGCCTGCGAGTCGGAGAGCCGCTCCGAGAGGTCCCGTCGGAGCTCCTTTAGCGAGGTGACCTCGGCCAGGGCGGACGAGAGCTGCTGGCGGAGTGCGGCGCCCTCCTTGGCGTCCTTCTCGGCGGCCTGCAGGCGGGCCTGCAACGCAGCCAGCTCGGTCTGGAGCGCCTCGAGCTGCTGCCGGCTGGCTGTGGCGGCATCCTTGGTCTGCTCTGATGCGACCGCTGTAACGGCGGCAGCAGCCTCTTGCGCTGCTGCTGTCGCGCGGAGCTCTGCCTCAGCGATGGCTTTGGAGTGCTGCTCTAGTGCGGCGGCAAGCTGCTCGTTCAGGCGCTTTGCCTCCTCTTGTGCCGCGGCTGCTGCCGTATGTGCGGTCGCAGCGTCATCATGGGCAGCTGCAAGGTCCCGTGTCAGAATGTCGATGCGGGTGCTGGCCTCCTGGACCTGTGTGGCGTACTCTGCAGCCTTGGACTCGGCCGCATCGACCTTCGCCGCTGCTGCCGTGGCCCTGGCCTCTGCTTCTGTCGCCCTGGCCTCCGCCGCATCGACCTTCGCCTCTGCTGCCGTGGCCCTGGCTTCTGCTTCTGTCGCCCTGGCCTCCGCCGCATCGACCTTCGCCTCTGCTGCCGTGACGCTGGCCTCTGCTTCTGTCGCCCTGGCCTCCGCCGCATCGACCTTCGCCTCTGCTGCCGTGGCCCTGGCCTCTGCTTCTGTTGCCCTGGCCTCCGCCGCATCGACTTTAGCCTCCGCTGCCGTGGCCCTGGCCTCTGCTTCTGTGGTCCTGTTGTCTGCTTCTGCGGCCCTGGTCTCTGCTGCTGTGGCCCTGGCCTCTGCTGTTGTGGCCTTTGCCTCAACCTCTTCCAACGTTTGCCGTGCTGAAGCACGCTCGGTTTCAAGCTGCTGCTTGGTACTGTCAGCCTCGTCCTTTGCAACCTTTAGTTGGTCGCGGGCTCCGCTTGCCTCCAGCTGAACAGCTTCCAAGTCCTTGGTCAATTTTTCAACCTCAAGGCGAAGAGACTCCGCCTTTTCCTCCGCTGCCTTAAGAGCTTCTGGCTTAATTTGCTGTTGTATGGCGTCTTCATGACGACTCTTGAGCTCAGCGGCCTCTCTTCGTTGCGCAGCTAAAGCTGCCTTCGCTTGATCAAGTTCAAGCTGCAGTCGCTCCTTCTCCTGCTTTGAAGCAGATACATCAGGTCCAAAACAGCCAAACGGCATGGTAGATGACGCCCAAGAATCACAAATGCTAATTCGGTGTGGTTGCGACAATCCTCGCAAGCTGGATCAGGCTAGATTCTGTCTAAGGAATGGTCAACAAAGGCTTGTATAGGGAAACATCACATGCAGCACAGAAACATGCACTGATGGGTAACTGGGCAAAGTAATGAGAAAGTACGGGTCGTACAACGGGCGACAATGGGGATGAGGGCCAGCTAAAGCAGCCATACTGGCGGCAGTGTTATTTTGCTTGGTGAAAAGAGGGTACCAGGACAGTTGGTTGTAAGGTTACTTGAAAACTGCTCTAGTAGTACTAACAGTATCGACGCTGACCTTTGAAAAGGAGTAAGGTATTCTTTTTACCTGAGTACCTGAATAACCAAAAACTCTTAGGCAGCGGGCGACGGACGCCCACCGACGCCATGGTAAGCATAGCCGCCAGTGCGGCAGCCGCATGGTACCACCTAGTGTCTAACGGCGGCGCGTTCGTTCCTGAAGGCGACCTTTGTGCTATACGAGTCAGCGGTGGGTTATGGGCTGTTCGAGGTCACTGAGTTCGATGAGATTGGCCAGGCTGTCGACAAGGTGCAGGAGGCCGTCAGGTGCGCCTACGGTTACGGGTTACTTGCCTGGTGCTTTGTGTGTGGATTATTAAACTTCATGTGCAAAATGCGCGCAGCGACCTGGCCCGGTTTGGACGTATCGTTAAAATGACTGCCTTCAAGCCATTCCCGTCAGCAGCGGACTCGCTGGAGCAGATCAATGCGATTTCCGAAGCACAGCTAACGGAAGAGCTGAAGAACTTCTTGGAGCAAAACCTGCCAAAGGTGCGCCGTCCCTTCTTTGCTGGGCTCGTCGGCGGCGGTTTGCTGTACCAGGCGCAAAATTCTGTACACTTAAGCTGCTGTCCCCATCACCCTGATAGGTTAAGGAGGGCAAGAAGCCTAAGTTTAAGCTCGGAGTTTTCGAGCCCAAGCTGGGCAGCATTATCCAGGAGACGACAAACATCCCATGCATCAGCAACGATGTTGTGGGCGAGGTCATTCGCGGCATCCGCGCGAACCTGGCCCGCTTTGTCAGCGTGCCAGAGACGGACATGAAGCGCGCGCAGCTGGGTCTGGCGCACTCTTACTCGCGCGCCAAGGTGAAGTTCAACGTCAACAAGGTGGACAACATGATCATTCAGGCCATCGCCCTGCTTGACACCCTCGACAAGGACATCAACACCTTCGTCATGCGCGTGCGCGAGTGGTACTCGTGGCACTTCCCAGAGCTGGTGAAGATTGTCAACGACAACTATCAGTACGCTCGGCTGGCGCTGGTGGTGAAGGACAAGTCCGCGCTGTCGGAGGAGCACCTGCCCGCCATGGCGGAGATCTTGGGCGAGGAGGCCAAGGCCAAGGAGGTGGGGAGAAGGGGGCATCGGCCGGGAGGTGGGGAGAAGGGGGCATCGGCCGGGAGGTGGGGAGAAGGAGAAAGAGTTGGGTTTCGTGCTGGGTTTAGCGTGGCACTTCGCCATTACGTTCCTCCTAGACCCATCAGACCGACCCTGCACAAAGACATACCCTGACCCGTTTTCCCTTCCCCACCCCATGCCCCCTCCCACACCCCCACAGATCCTTGACGCCGCCCGTTCCTCCATGGGCCAGGACATCTCCCCCATCGACCTGCTCAACATTGAGGTGTTTGCGCAGCGTGTGATCAAGCTGGCGGAATACCGCCAGAAGCTGCACACCTACCTGCTCGACAAGATGCACGCCGTGGCGCCCAACCTGTCGGCGCTCATTGGCGAGACGGTGGGCGCGCGCCTGATCAGCCACGCCGGCAGCCTCACCAACCTGGCCAAGTACCCCGCCTCCACCGTGCAGATCCTGGGAGCGGAGAAGGCGCTGTTCAGGTGCGGCTGGGGGCCGGGGAGGAGCAGTGGGGAAGGCGTGTGTGTATGGGCATCCTGGGCGGCATGTAGTGTGGGCTGGTATGGGGTTGTGCGTGAAGGACAGCGAGCGTCCTCCCCGCAAGCACTGGTGGGAAAAGCTCGCCTGCACCACGGGGAGCATGCAAACCCAAAACAAACGTTACACACCATGGCACGCGTGTACGGCGCCTTGCACACTGATGTCTTGTGCTCGATGATGAAGCAATTTATCCAACAACATCTGAATGGGACTTTGGTCGGTACCCTATCTAGGATGAACAGCTAATATCATCTTTCGGGGCTGAGAGCCAGGGCACAGTGTCGTGCATGGCAACACAGATCACACATAGCAGTAGACATCGTAAGCATGCATGGGCCATGAACCGCATCACTAGGCTTTCCTCCTCGCGGGCTCGTTGATGACAAATATGTGTCCCAACAGTCTGATCGGGACTTTGGTCGGTACCCTTCTCGTGATGAACACCGAATATCATCTTTCGGGGCTGAGAGCTGCTGCAGAGGGAAGCGCATGAGGACTTATTCGACTAAGATTTGAGATGAAGCATGCAAGCATCTGCACAGAACCCCGTCATGCCGTTTGCTCGCTGATGACAAATATGTGTCCCAACAGTCTGATCGGGACTTTGGTCGGTACCCTTCTCATGATGAACACCGAATATCATCTTTCGGGGCTGAGAGCTGCTGCAGAGGGAAGCGCATGAAGACTTGTTCGACTGAGAATTGAGATGAAGCATGCAAGCATATGCACAGAACCCCGTCATGCCGTTTGCTCGCTGATGACAAATATGTGTCCCAACAGTCTGATCGGGACTTTGGTCGGTACCCTTCTCGTGATGAACACCGAATATCATCTTTCGGGGCTGAGAGCTGGCAATCACGGGAACGCATGCATGCCATGTTATCCCACTCCCTTCTACATTCACCTATCCGCTCGTTGGTATCCGCAACCACGCATGCTTGTTGCTCGATGATGAAGCAATTTTTCCAACATTGTCTGATTGGGACTTTGGTCGGTACCCTTCTTTTGATGAACAGCTAATATCATCTTTCGGGGCTGAGAGCAATTCGCACGGGCTTCACACACGAGTCACCGCATGATTTCCTGCCCCTCAAACCCACGGCACGTTGGCCTGGCTCACCCCTGACACCCTCCTCTCTCCAGTCCTCCGCTACAACCGGCTGAACCCGCCCTTTGCCAACCCCTGCCTAACCCTCCTCTCCGGACAGGGCGCTCAAGACCAAGGGGAACACGCCCAAGTACGGCCTCATCTTCCACTCATCCTTCATCGGCCGCGCCAAGCAGCGCAACAAGGGCCGCATCTCGCGCTACCTGGCCAACAAGTGCTCCATCGCCTCCCGCATCGACTGCTTCATGGACTCCGCCACCAGCGTGTTCGGAGAGAAGATGCGCGAGCAGGTGCGTGTGGAGGCAGGGAGGGAGGGCTTGAGAAGCAGGGGCTGCATACTGGCGTGTCGGAGTGTGTCGGGCTTAAGGAATGACAGTGGGTAGTTGGGTGGTCTGGCTTCATCGCACACTGTCTCACACACCTGCGCTGGTTCTGCATGCAGGTTGAGGAGCGGTTGCGGTTCTACGAGGAGGGAGTGGCGCCGCGCAAGAACTCCAACGTGATGGGAGAGGCCATGGAGGTCGTGAAGACGCAGCTGGAGACGGAGGCGAAGGAGGAGGACGGCGACAAGAAGAAGAAGAAGGAGAAGGTAGGGGGCGATCTACACGAGTGCTTCTATTCAGATGTTTTACGGGCATGTGTGCTTGACTTGGGATGCATGGGGTTGTAATGGTCTCTGTGCCCATGGCTGATGATGCCAACCATAACTGCAACAATCCGATGGCAGCCCCTTCATGGGTGCTTCGCCTTGAGGAGAAATTTACCACCAAGTTTGAAGCCACTGGGCCGAGCCATTGCATAGTCGCACGGGGCATAGGGCTGACATCCTTGCGTTGCAACTCTGTTAACGACCGTAGTAACGCATACGGGGATGTACGCTACACACAACGAACTCTCAAGATGTCACCTCCAATAGTGGTGCATTCCATACTATTTGGTCCTTACACCTCATGTGGCCATGTTTATGTCCTGCAGAAGGAGAAGCGGAAGCGCGAGGAGGAGGCGCCGGAGGAGGAGCCCGCGGCGGAGGACGGTGTTAAGGAGAAGAAGAAGAAGGACAAGAAGAAGGGGCAAGCGGAGGAGGCGGCACCAGCGGCCGATGGCGAAAAGAAGAAGAAGAAGAAGGCCAAGGAGTAAATGGCTGCTACAAGGCCTTCCCATGTAATTGTTGTTGACCTTTATGACTTGACGGCGACTCGCCAACTGATAGACAGCCTTTGCGAACTCTTATCTGCACCAACCGGCGTTGGTGTAGTGTACGGACGTGTCCGCTATGTTCTCTGACTTCATGACTGATTTCGTTGTTTGCCGTACTGGTCAGATGTGCCGTACTGGCCTGACACGGGTTATTAGAGGGTAGAAGTCTCTGCGTGTAACGTGATACAGTTAGATTTTGTTACGGGGGCCCATATTGATGCGGTGCTAGTGTGGTAGGACTTATAAGATGCATTAGGAGACCCAAAGATGCAGGTGCTTAGTAGGCCAGTAACATGGCAGATTCACCCGACGGAATTGTGCGCACCTATGCTGCTAAGCATAGATACCGTGGGCACCTAAGACGTATAAGCCCCATTACGCGGACGTTGTGCGTGTCCGTTACATTGAAGTCCGCTTCTTAATGAAGAGCAGGGTCAAGGCCTATGCGTCGAACTACCTGAGAGGTACATGTAAGCCTTCTGAAGAGCATATTTTGCTACTTAATTGCATAGCAAACATGCTCAGGTCATGGAGACTGAGACGCCAACCCCCATGCATCTTGGCCACAGCAAGCCAGTCGCTATACAGCAGGAAGCAGTCCTGAGGCACCACCAAGCCCACATGCTTCCGCTCGCTCGCAGTCCTCACCCAGGGAACCCATCATCCCCAACCACCCCACCGCACTCTGGTGCGTACTATCATCGCCACTCATAAGCCCCACCCAGCATCCAACAGGAGCTGCGCCATGCACGCTGTTTCCGCTCTCATCCGCGGACCATCTCAGCCAGCACAGCCCCCAGCGTTCCCGCAGCAGGGCGGCCAAAGTCCAGTCTATCCGCCAGGTTCTGCAGCGCCTCCAGGTCCCAACCACCCGACTCCGGCAGCTCAGCCACTGCGCCGCCAGGTGACGCCCCCGCACCCAGACCCCCGGCCGCCCCGGCCCCGCCCACGTTGGCCCCTCCCGTCATGAGCCGCTCGTAGTGGTCTCGCACCGCCGCCACCAGCGCCTGCACCTGCGCGGTCGCCTCGCCCATGAGGCGCTGCAGGTCGTCCAGTGCTGCGGCGAGCTGCGCCGCCCGCTGCTGCTCCGCCGCGATGTCCGCAGCCGTGACCTGTGTTGTCGATGGGCAGGAAATCGCAAAGGCGGGTTGAGCTTAGGGCAGACCCTTATGTACATGTCAAAAGACGTCGCGTAGACGTCTCTGGCAAGACCCAACCCTGACTCCCTTACCGTATCCATTTATTAATACAGGGGTCCAAGGCAGCCAAACAGGAAACCCTTCACGGACCTGAGTGGCCTTGGACGACGTCTCCACGCCCGCCTGCAGCCGGTCCCACAGCGCCGACACGTGGCGCGCGAACCCGGCTGCGCTCTGCTGCAGCGTAATCATGCAGCGCAGCGCTCGCGGCTGGTCTAGCAGCAGCCCCGCCGTGGCGCGACGCAGGAAGTCGCGGTGCAGCTCGATGACCTGGTCCACGTCCGCAGCGCGCTGCATGACGCCCTCCTCCAGGCAGTTCCACAGCGGCTCCAATACGTCCAGGGTGCCGTACCTGGCAAGCATGCGGGTTAGGGGGTTGGACGGGAAGGAAGAGTGAAAAGGGCATTTGCAGCAATCGACTGCATCTGTGCCCATGCACGGAGGCTGGTTGCAGGCGTACAGTTGGAAGGCATCTAACCACGGGTTCCGGCTGTGCTGGGCTTCCTCTAGCAGTCTCACCGGAGGAGCTCTTGCACGGTGAAGTGGAGTTGCTGACAAAGCGCGTGAGCCACCGCCATCTGCTTCTGCCGCCTAGCCGCGGCTTGAGGGGACAGCGCGGAGCCTGCAAGACCGGGTGGGGGCGCGCGCAAGGCACATGCTCACAGCTGACACACACAGAAGGAATTACTCTTTGCAACGCAGCTGCCGCCCTTGGTAGCCATCCGCCCTAACCCCTGTTGCCGAGCCTGCGGCAGCCCCAGCAACTCAGCACCCACCTGCCCTCGCTAGGCGCTTGGTGCCCTGCAGCAGCAGCCATGTGGCCTCCAGCTGCCTCTCCACGCGCTTGAGGCCCCACAGGTGCTTGAACAGCATCTGGTACTGCAACAGCTCCTCGCCGCCCACCACCAGTGTGGCGGGCCAGTCCAGCTTCAGGGTGGGCAGGTACAGCTCCCAGCCCGGCAGGTCCTGGTCGCGCGGACCCAGCAGCCGGCTGCCCCCCGGCGTGTGCGGCGGCAGCGGGCGCCCGCCCGCACCCGCCGCGCCTCGGAAGCCGGGGCAGCCGCGTGCCGTGGGGGTGGCGTACGGGGAGTCGGGAGCCTGAGGGTATGTGTGAGGGGTGTGGAGGGTGCGGTGAGCTGCTGGGAAGAGCGCATGAGTGAGTACACCAAGCAAGGTTCGTGTTACGGCATGTACGACGAGAGTCGCAGATGGAATAGACAGATGAGTATATTTTTGTGCGCGCAGCACTTGGTTGCTTACCCCTGGTAGGGACGATGCCGTGCTTCCATCTGGCCGGGCAGGAGAGGCTGTTGCCACGGCCGCCGCTACCGCCGCCGCCTTCACCAGCGACTCCAGGGAGCGGGGATCCATCTCGTACCCCAAGCTGTCGGCGTGCGGGTCGGCGGCAGCTGACGACATCTTGACAGCTGCGCGCGCATGGAAGACAAGGAAAACAAGTGGTTAGGAGGCTACCAAGGTCTCCATGCAAGCGGCATGTTGGCATATGCGGCACCCCCTTGGAGCCGTGCATTTCTCCCGGTACCGGTCCGGCCCGTGCGCGCTCACCCATCTCCAGCAGCGACTGCAGGCGGGTCCGGTTGATGGCCTTGGCGGGCTTGCATAGCTCCTCGTCCGCCACCTCCATGATGCTCACCAGCACGTCACCCTGCACCCAGCAACACAAGGTGGGTGGGGAAAGGGGCACAGGAACACAGCATGTCAAGGGGGTCTGTGTTGCATGCTTGCATAGAACATGCCACGACGCCCTTGGACCATGTGTCAAGCCAAGGCAGCCTAATGCCACCGCAAGACCAGTGTGATGGAAGTCAGCTCAGCCGTCAAGCGGCAACCCTCAAGAGATGCCCCACGACGAATGCCGGAATGCCGGATGCCAGTCCCCACTTGCCACGTTGCCCAACCTGATCTAGGAGGAAGAAGTGCTTGATGGACCGCAGTACCGCCAGCAGACCCGCACCGCTGCTGCGACCACCCGGCCCCGCCACCGCGCCCCCACCGCCTCCTCCTCCTCGGAGCAGGAAGCCCAGCAGTGCCGAGCTGGCGGCGGCGTGTGCGGCTCGCACGTGCTGCTGCAGGCTGCCCGGCTGCGTGGGGTCGTACGACAGGGGAGGCAGCGGCGCGGGCGGCGCGCCTGCCGCTGCCGCCGCGGCTGACTGCGGCAGCAGGGGCTGCGCCACCGGCTGCCCGCACTCCCGCAGCACGTTCTGGTACTTGCCTGAGGTGGTGCGGATATGGTAGCACACGCTCAGCCTTTTGGACTTGTGTTGCCATGGGCTCATGCAAAGATGTATGCTGTGTCCCCATACATAAAAAAACGTTTGCGGTCGCACAGAACAAGGTGCATCCTCCGTTACGACGCTTACTCCGAGCTGCTACCCTGCACGTGTGCACCCCACCTGTGCGCAGGATGAGCTCCCGATAGGGGAACATGAAGACGGGGACGTCCAGGGTGGGCGCCGCGCTGCCGCCGCCCGCTGCTCCCGAGCCCGCCGAGCCAGGCGACAGCGTCACGGCGCGGGACTCGGGTTGCGCCACGTACCGCAGCGTGTAGCGGCCCCGCCAGTAGGCAGACGCGCGACTGGCGGCGTCGGCGGCGGCAGAGGGGCCGGTTGAGGCGGGCGGGGAGTCGCGGCGGAGGCTCTGCATGTAGCGCGACACGCCACGGATAGAGATACAATGGGAGCGTGCAATTGAGGACGGAGCAGCAGCAAATAATCCAGCGCATGGCCATTGCCGTTGCCGTATGTAAACCATTGGCAGCAACTCCATTCTAATTGCTAGAGGACTGCTTCTTCCAGCTTCTCACGCTGTAGCCGCCGTGCCCTTCCAACGCACCCCACAGCGACAGCGCGCCCACACGGCTTCCCTATCGACCCCTCCCTGCACCGCTGCCCCAACCCATCAGCCCAAGCTCCTTCCCCCTTACTCCACGACACCGCTTACCTGGGACACCTGGGACGTCATCGACTTCTGGTATGCCACAGTCACGGTCAGGTTCCATCGCGGCTCAGTTACAGTCCACCCATTCTCCCCCCCCATGTCCCGCCCGCCCCCCCACCTGGTCCTCCTGCACCATGAACTCGTGGTAGGGGTCGTCCAGCACGCCCTGCCGCAGCCACGCCTCCAGGCAGGCGCAGTAGGGCGCCGCGGCGGCCACCAGCAGGTGGTACAGCAGCGAGCGGCCCGGGCCGTTGCCGGCGCAGGCGCTGTAGCGGCTGTGCAGCTGGTTGAGCAGGCCTTGAAGGGAGGAGGGTGGGAGAGAGCAGAGGAGCGAGGGTAGTAGGACTGGTTAGGGTATTGGTGGACATGGAACGGAGGGTGGACAGGGATGGAAGTTTAAATTGATATAGGGGCTAGTGCGCTAGCACGCCCCTCGTATGTCAAACCTTCCAGCCCACGCCGGCACCATGGATCACGGCGTGTCCTCAGCGTGGCGCCCGCTGCCGCCCACCGCTGCGAACATGTTCCTCCCAAGCCCCTTCCAACCTTCCCTTCCCATGCTTCACGTCTTCTTCTTTCCCTCCCCGCCCCCCCCTCCTCCCACCTGCTGACGTGCGCTCCACATTCGCCGCCTGCGCAGCCACGTCCGCCAGCACCGACAGCGCCGCTGCGGGCTGCTGGCAGAAGAAGGTGAGGCGGATGAGGTCCAGCGCGCCCCGCAGCAGCTGGTTCTCCAGCATCGCAACCATCATCTACGCCAGCAGCAGCAGCAGGGGCAGGGGCAGGGCGAGAGGTGTACAACACGTTAAAACAGGCGGAGGTACCGTACAAGCACACAGCAAGCAGGTGAGGGGAGTGGCAGCATGACATCCTGACCGCTTATTGCCTCTCCATGCAGGCCTTCTATATAGGCATGCGGGTATATCCCCTATCCAAGGAGGGGATGCCGCCAGGGACCAGGCGCCCCCCCCGGCCCCACCTGCCAGTCCTCCAGGTAGCCCCGCAGTGCGGCCGCAAGCGCGTGAGTCACCCGCCTGGGGTGTGGACATGGGGGAGGTGGGGGGGAGGGATTCAGTACGGCAGCACAGCAGCAGAACAAATAATTAGCCGGGATGGGTGGCAAGGATGCAGAAACCGGAGTCAGCACTGCTGGTCTCAGGCGCGGCTGAAACGGATGTTCTACAGGCGTTTTGCGCGGCACCCTACGCAACACGGTACAACCCTCATCGGCGCTCTCTCAGGCCCATATGTCTGCAGCCCTGGCAATCCACCCACCCCTCCGCAGCTCACCCGTAGCAGTGTGTGGAGCGCGTCTCCACGAAGCGCTGCAGCACCGCCACATAGTCGCTGGGGTGGTGAAGGGGGCGTGGGGGGTGGGGTGGTGAAAAGAAGACAACGGAGCCTGGGGTTGGAATAGAATAAGGTACGTCATGCGGCTCGTTTGCAACTACCAACTACGCAACTCAAGCGTTGACCAGCCGGCCAAGGCCCGGCCCGGCCCAAGGGGGCTACGTCCATACCTAGCCCCCTACACCCCGCCATCGCCGCCCGCACCTCCCGTATACACATCGGCAACCACCCACCCACATGGCCACCCCGCCACCTCCACCTCCACCACCAACACCCACCAAATGGGCAGCAGCGGCGCCACCCGCTCCCTCAACGTCTCGTGCACCAGCTCCTCCCGCACAGTGAAGGTGAGGCAGGGCCCGGTGGCGGCTGCTGCTGCTGCGCTGCCTGCGGAGGGCACCAGCACCGGCCGCACCAGCTGGCTGCTGAGGCCCAGGAAGGCGCTCAGCAGGTCGGACACAACTGCGGAGGGAGGGGATACAGGAAGGGAAGGAAGGGAGGCAGAGGAGGAGGTGTGCGGGTGGGGTGGTGGTGGAAAGGGAGGGCCGACTCGGGGCGATGGTGTTGGCAAACCAAATGGGAGAGGCAGATGCAGTTGTGGCATGCTGTGGAAGGGTGGAAGGATGACAGCGTACAATGTTCCACGGATGTGGGTTTGATCGCGGACGATGCTCCACGCCACCATACGCGTGTGACTGCCCAACACATCCAGGCGTGCATGTAATCCCAAAACACCTCCACGCCTCCCCCCCAGCTACCTTGCATGCGCCCTCCTGTTAACCCTTTCCCCACCCACCAGCGCGCTCTGACACCATCAGCTCCTGCGGAGTCACGTCCGCCAAGTCCGGGCCTGCCGAGCCGTTGGCAGCGCTAGGAGGGTTGGATGCCGCCGCCTGCAAGTGAGGACAATCGGTAAGGAACTAGCCCTCAGTCAACAAGGCGTATACCTCTCATCTGGGTCCTTCCCCCTTGGCCAGAGCACAATGCTCATGCAGAGCTCGCAACCTCCCACCTCCTGGGCACTACCACAACGCTCTATAACGTGGATGTATCACTTACGTGCCCACCCAGCGCGCCCCAGCCCTGCGCCGACTCACCGCAATCAGATCCATTCCGCACAAGCTAGGCCGCTGGTGCATCCAGGCGGGCACCTCACACAGGTACTGCAGCTCCGTGGGCCGCCGCGACACCGCCTGCCGTACAGCCTCCGGGTTGAACAGGTCGCCGGGCTGCGCGATGGCGGGGGTGGGGTAGCCGGCGCCGGGTCCCCGCAGGCCCCCACCGCTCACGTTGCTGCTGCGGTATACCTGGGCGCGGCTGGCTGCTGCCATGGTCTCCGACATGGCGGGCGTGTAGGAGTCACGCCGCGCCAGGTAGAGCGGAGAGGCGGCTTCCTGGGGTTGGGTAGGGGTGGGAAGGACGCATGCAAAGGAAGCTGGGGCTAAGGCACGATTGTGTGTGTGTGTTTTAGCAGGAGCAGGTAGAGGACAGGTGGTGTGCAGCTATACACAGCTCTGCGGCCATGTTGGCTTGCCATGCACATGCATACACGGTGCACACGGCACGCGAGCACACCTGCATTCCATATATCGGGTTGTTGGCTGCGCTTTGAAGCGACGGCATAGGCAACTGCGTTGTTTGCCCGTTAGCCATCTGCAGACCAGCCGGAGTTGGCGTGTGCATCTGTGACGCTGTCCACGCTTGTTGCTGACCAAACGATTGCGGTTGGGGCCCTTGCTGCTGCGTCGCCCTCGCCTGCTGCTGCTGCTGCATAGCAAGGTGCTGCTGCTGTTGCTGTGCAGCCGTCCGAGTCTGTGGGGCCCCGCCGGGGACGGCTCGTGGTCCCGTGGAGCCTAGCGCAGTCTGCTGCATAGCTGCTGGAGCGCCGGGCGCCACCCCAACTGCTGGCCCTGATCCCGCGGCGCCCGGTGCTCCACTGGGCCCGCGCGGCGCTGCAGCCCCACCCGCACCACCCGCAGGAGCGCCGCTGGCAGCAGCATTGCTGGCACCGGCCCCAAGCTTCGTGCCGGCCGGTGCAGCGCCCTCCCGTGGAGCACCAGGTGCCGCCGCAGCAGCTGGTGGGGCGCTGGCTTTGGCTAGGATAGCGGCAGCAGCTGCGCCGTTGCTGCTGCTCCCGCTGGGCCCTATACTCCACGGCGCGGTTCCGATTTGGGTTGCGGGTGTGGCTCCCCCTGATGGCGTGCTGTTGGTGCTGGTGCCCCCTGCTTTGGGTGTACTGCTCGTAGACGGCGGCATGGATGGTGGCTGGCTGGTTGCGCGGGGGACTACTATGGTGGGGGCAGTTCGCTGGGCGCTTGCTGGTGGTGCCGTGAAGGTCTGTGGAACGACGCCCGTCTTGGGCGCCTGACCCAATCCCTGCGTTGCTCCTGGCGGCCTGCTGCCAGCGCCATGCTGCTGGGCTGGCCCTGCTTGGCTGTGCAGCTTTAGCCCGCCCAGGATATCCTTCTGACGCCCCCTGCAAAACGTTTAATATGAAATGTTATGTCTGGAGCCCTGGGAAACAGATGGACATCACGTCGAAGCATGCCGGCAACCTTACTTAGGTTCCCGCGCAACTCACCCTGCATGCGCTGCTGAGTCCACTCCAGCAGTAGAGGCCCCCAAGCTACCACCCAAGTCTTGAGACATTTTATCTCTAATCTGTAACGCGACGACCAACAGCAATCAGCGAAGTCTGAAAGGTGGACATTTTAAATGGGACTTCGTGCCAGCATAGACCAACGGGCGCACCTACCTGAACTACGCTATCCAATACATCAGTTTGTAATGCCCGCTGATCCTTTGTGAAGCCGTATCTCTCAAGTGTTTCGCTGCTTTTGGCATACGCTATTCCTCTGTCATGCACAGCGTCTTGCTGTCCTGGTTGGGACATGACATCTTCCTCCAACGTTAACCATTTCCTAAATTAACTCAAGCACTTGGCGGCAGGCAATCCGCATGGCCGTTGTCGGTTGCTCGATGTAGTCAATCCAAAAGTCATTCCAGCCCTGAAATCATTATGCAATCCCTTAAGCCTCCAGAAAACCTCAGAGCTTACACTAATTTCCTGAGTTACAAAGTCGCTGTGGAGAAAAGGGTTTGTTGTTCCCCGACCTCTCTGGAGGCGATTCTCCGACTTCTCCGATGCACAAGATTCCTGCCTACCCATCTGGTGCAAGACATCAGGCAGGCATAAGCAGCATCGCTTGCACAGTTCGCACCGCGTATTTGCTGCGGTGCCATGCGTAGCGCAACACGTCGAACCCCAGTCGTGTGCCACCATCTCCTCATGGAGGCCACCCAATGTAAGCTTTCAAGTCTTTATAGTTCCGGACCGCTATCGAATCCAGGTAGTGGTGGGCTGTGGTGCCTCCGTAGTATTAATCTCCTGTCAATACCGCATTCTGCTCGTTGTCAGCTTAAAGCGTGTTCCTGTTGAGAACGCCCCCGGCCAAAACCTGCCTGGCATTGGTAACTGACACCATGTCACAGCTCCCATTGCTAGCGTGACTACCAATGCCACCCCAACCATAACCGACTCCGGTTTGCTCGGCAGCCCCACCCAGAAAACCCTTGCTTCAGACGGTGTTAAGAGGTTGCAGTGCTAAGGGGAAGCACTGCTAAGAGGAAGCAGTGGTCTATATGTGCAGCTCCAAACGCCACGCCCAAGCCAGCTGCTTAGGCGCCCTGACACTACTGGAACGCTGAGACAATCCAAGCGCATCATGCAAGGAAGCGCTGTGGGTGGCTCTTTGTGTGACAGGATGTGGGCGCCTTCGTGGGAATGGTCGCCTAGGCAGGGTGGTTTCAGGTCCAGTCAGGCTTTCACCGGGGGTGGGTGCGTAGGTTGCACTTTCTCTCCCCGGTCCACACCCACCCGGGCACCCAGGTACGGCAGCCCCAGAAGGCGTCCCTGGGTCATAGTGCTGGATGCCGAGCTTGACAAAGGTATGAGCAGACGTGATTTTCCTTTCCAGGGACAAAAGCGCGGAACCCAACGTCGGTCCAGCCTCCTATGCGGCATGCAATGTCACACGAGATTCTTGGTTACGAGATTCTTGGTTCAAATAGATGATCAATGCGAGTATGACGTTACTTCCTGCTTCGTGCAGGAGCACTGTAAATCTTCTGCGATTTGCCGGCCGGGTGGCTGTACGGCAGACTTTAGCGTCCGCTCAGTTCCTATGTACTGAGTTCAATCATCTTCTGCCATCCTTCAGCAGCAAACGTTTAGATCTTTAACAAATCTTCGGCATCATACATTACTGCCTACGCACTAGCGGGGCATGCTTGGAATGCCGTGTTACCGTAATCTTGGCGACCGCACACCTCCCTCGAAGCTAGAGTCACAAGGGTCTTGCAGCCGGGACTCTAAACATTTTCACATTAGTAATATGTTCCATTATTGATAAGGTGATCGCTTTTTTAGCCCAGGCGAGCGACCGGCACCATGGCCGCGATGGGCCCCCCGTTGGAAATGGCGACCCTTGACGTATTAAAGGGCCTGACACCACATTACTACTTCAATTTTGGGTAAGCGGATGGTTTGCGGTGCCCTAAGCTTGTTTTCCGTCTTATGTCCATTGGGGTCCAGAGGAAGATGTGGGGGCACATCCTTTTGGCCAGCGCGAAGGACAGACATCTGCTGTGGCAAGTCACGCCATTTTCAGATGACGTCTTATAGGCTACTAACATGCGAGATGTCGGGGAAAACAGCCTTCGCCTGTACAGGACCTTTCACCTAACGGCTTCGGCGCTGCGTAGTCGAGCCGTGCGTTGCCGCCTTCACGCATACACCCTGTCTTAATCCGCATTGCGCTGCGCGATGTTTTATGAAACCGCAGTGTCTATTTGCAAGTGGTCGGTGAGCGTCGCAGCACACGCGCTGAGGAACGTCTGCTCCATTTCGACTTCAACTTCGGCGCCCTTAAGCTGCTCTCCAAGGAAGCCCTTAAGTTGACAATCAAGTTGGATGTGATTAACCAAATTATCTTTGACGACAGCGAGCCACGCACTGTCCTCATCTCATGTCACGACGACCGGCGCTACCTGCTAGACTTTCAGAATGCCGAGGAGAACTTACTATTCAGGCAAGAAGTGGCGCTATGCCCACATTCGGGGGCTTTCCAGGGAGAGCACACAGGCATGGACCCAATGGGTGCTGGACATTACCGGACATGACGTACAACGGGATCGCCAAACACGGCTTACTGTAGTCATTGAAGGGGGAACACGCCGAACATACCCTTTGCCTCTCTGCTTTCTGCACCATGTATCTGCTGCAACTTGATGAGCATTCACCTGATGCAGCAGGCCGTTGGAGAGGAACCCATGAAGGCACTAGTCCACAAGACTCCATACCCAACAGGTCTCGCTTTCTGACACCTTCCGCCCCCCTCCGGCTTCCCGCGCTTCCATCCGCTCAGGACCGCGTACGCAGCAGTGGTCGAGAACACCTTCGACATCAGCAAGTGAGTGCTCTCAAAGGCCACCCTGGCTCTTGGCCAGTCTACGTACAAGAGGCAAAGCCACACATGCAGCGGCATGCATAGCGGTGTCTTAGCGCTGCGACATTCTCCTTGACAAATGGCCGATTGCGAGGATGTGTAACTAATACAGCCGGCTTGTGTGAAACTCGGAATGTAACCGGAAATGCCGTGTGCGCTACCCTGCAGGTTCAATCGGAGCCTGCTGCTCAAGGGCCCTGTGGAGAAGAAGGGCATCTCGGGCTTCAAGACCCGATACCTGGTGAGCACTGAGCCCGACTGCCTACAAGGGTGATGCCCACATCCATGCATGCCATGAACCAAGGCGCAAGCAAACACACTGGCCTGAGGTTCCTGTCGCATGGAACGCTATATCCTTCGATGCCCCCTAACACCGACAGTATACTGATTATGACAATGTGTTTCTCGCAGATCCTGGTGCCCCGCAAGCTGTACATCCTGTCGTCCAAGACCTCCATCTTTCCCCGCTCCGTGCTGTCGCTGCTGGATGCAAATCCCCGGTAAGAAAGCTAAAACCCATCATGGGCCTCACCACTGATGACCGTCATGGCTCTGGGTATCCGCTCCAGTAGGTTTGCCTGCACCACACAGCACCGGTGTGAACGACCCATGGGTCGTTGTGCTCATATCATGCAAACCCCCGCAGCTCCTTTATCATTGTCATATGCCGGCTGCACTGGGACCTTCCTAACCGGCCCAGGTCGTATTGGGCTCCCCATGGTACCTCATCTATATCCCCAGCCAGTTACCGTTACGCCCCAACCATCCCTCGCACCCTTCCTACACTCTTTACCCTCACCCCCTCCTTCCGCAGCTACGACGAGTCGCGGAACACGGTGCACCTGGATGTGATGGGCAAGGAGTACGTGTTCCGCACCGACACCAAGGAGGAATCGCTGGAGTGGTTCGTGGCGCTGGCACACGGATGCGGACTGCCGTGAGTTGCGCGAGGTGGCTGTTCTGAGGTTTTAGCTGTTGCCAAATGAATTACCGTTACACCGGTTCCCTAGAAGGCTACACTGTTGTTTGGAGTGAACTTGATGGAATCTCGTTTGGGGGGTTGGGTTGGGTTGGGGGAGGATGCTGATGCCGTACAGCTTACCTGTTCTACCGGTACCTGAAAAGCGGGAATTAGCTTCGTAGGGCCGTGCCTAGGTTCTGACCGTAAGGCACCCCTTGCTTGTGTTGGGGCATTGGTTCAGATAACGCCTTATGTTTGGCGTCCACAGCTTACCCTACCGCATGTGCGTGCATCCTCCTCCACCACAGGCCGATGTTCATCGACGATATGCACGTCATGCAAGGCGGCGTCGGGGACCACTTCCAAGGCTTCAACCCCGGCGTGTCGTACGACCCCCAGCAGCAACCGTCACCGCCGCCGCTGCAGCAACGTCCGCTACCCCGCTACGACCCGCGAGCGCAGACCCCTCCGCCCGGCTACCACCAACACGCCCTACCCGAGGCAAGATCCTACCTCTCCTCAAGGCCTGCTTCAGCAGGCGATGCTCGTGCCATCGCAGGCGGTGCAGCCTTCAGCGGCCCTGACCCACGGCTGGGTGGCATGATGGACGGCGGTCAATCAGACGCCGGATCCATGCGCACCGGTGCCAGCCGCTACGCTTCCGCCGGCGGTCCCAACAGCGGCGCCTACGCCGGCCAGATGAACTTCATGAACTCGCAGCCCCAGCGGCCGCCTCCCCAGTACGGCGGCACTAGCGGCCTGTTCAAGCGCGTTGACGGGTCCACCGCGGCATCAGGAATGCCGGGAGGTGCAGGAATGGCAGCGGCCTCCATGCCGCTACCAGACCTCCCGCAGGGCATGATGGGCATGATGCGTGGCGCCGCCGCAGGCAGCACCGGCGGCGGAGCAGGCGCCCACCTGGCCCCCTGGCATGCGGCGGGGGGCACCCTGGGAGAGACAACGTTTAACGGCTCAGCCATGATGGGAGCGACTCCGGCTAGCGGCGGCGCGGGCGCCATGACCGGCGCCACTCGCGGCGTGGTGGCTGGCTCGTTGGCGCCCAACGGCGGCCGCAGTCCGAGCACCTCCCCCGGTCGCGGCGTGAGGAATGGCAGCCTGCCCGGTCCGCTGCCGCTGCGGGCGGGGATGGTGCGAGGCGGGCGCAACGGCAGCCTGCCGGGGCCCTCCACCATGCCGCCACACCCGGGGGTGGAGGTGCCGTACCGCTTCGATGTGAGTCTTGGGTGGTGGGGCGGAGGGGCAGCCGTGCACATTTCGGGTGTGAGGGTGTGTACAAGGAGGGCGGAAGGGGAGGTGAGGGGACGCAATGGCGGGTTCGAGCGGGCCGCGCCAGGTAGCCTGGGGCTGGACCTGATGGGGCGCGAGGGTCCCCAACGGTGTTCACATGGCACCTCTGGTCACACCCTCCTCCACCCGCTGCTGGCTGCCACCCCTGCCACCCCATGTACGGTATCCTGCCCACAGGGTATCCACGGCAGCCCCGCTGCCTCCGGCGTCGCGCACGTGCGCTCCACACAGACCACCGCTCAGGGCATCCTGCGAGACAAGTCCAACACCTCTCCTTGGATTACAGACACGCACACCTCCTCCCCGCTCTCAACCGGCCCCGCACCCCCCTACTATGACAACAACCAACACCCGTACTACCAGGCCGACCCCAGGCGCCCACCACAGCCGTCTCGGGACCGCATGCCGTCAGATTCCTACCAGCAGACCCGTGGGTCAGGTCGTGGCGGCGCCGGGCCGGGCTACGGTTACGGTGCAGGAGTGGAAGACGAGCGATATGAGGAGAGAGGGGGCCGGAGATGGGAGAGCAGCGGTGATAGGGGCCGAGAGCGGGAGCGAGATAAGGAGCGGGAGCGGGAGAGGCGCCGACGGTCGCGGTCCCGGGAAGACACGGGACGGCGTGGAGAGGGTCGTGGGTACGGAGGCGGGTACGGTGGCGCACGTGAAGATGAGCGCGAACGGTCGAGGAAGTACGAGGGACGGCACGAGGGACGTCCTGACATCGGCGGAGGGGGCAGAGGCGACAGGGGATACGGCGAGCGCGGGGGTGAGTTAGGGGGGGCTGCTGGGGCAATGGGTGAGCTGGCGAGGGGGAAGGTTAGCCCTTCATGGGTTTGGCTTTGTACCGTACCTCCCAGTGATCATCGCGCAAAAATAAATAATTATTTGGAAAAATGTGTATTAACGCGCAAAAATAAATAATTGGTCCGGGGCCTGCGCGTTAATAAAAATTAATTCCCCAAAGGACTGCGCGTTAACTAAAAAATTGCCCATGGCGTGGCCCCCAGTGCGTGCTGACTCGAAATTCCGGGTTTCGCTCTTTTCCTGGCCCCATCCATACCTACACCTCCTCTCTGATCCGTTTTAAGCCGTAGCTTTAAGTTCATTGCTCTGCTTTCCCGGTCTTTCTAGTATAAGCTTTAGGCTACTGCAGTACTACTTTAAAGGCTGCGCGAAGTGGAAAATAATTGCTCAGACCCCTGCGCGTTACAAAAAAATAATTCCTTACAGCGCTGCGCGTTGAAATAAATAATCCCTAAATTTCCTGCTGCGCGGTGATCAGACACAGGTACGGTATGCAGGGACCCCGAGAGCATGCACAGATAGGGAGCACTGGCATGTGCATGTGCCTCCCAAGTCCCAGCATGGAGCCAGGAGCCCACCAGCTGTCATCAGCAGCCATGCTGCGCACGAAGCGCACACAGCTACCTAGCGGTGCCTTCAGTGCTTGCATCAAATCGCCCACCTCAATTACAGCCATGATGCTCTACCACCTCGTCTGCTCACCACCCTTGCCTCTGACGCTGCCCCACCTTCGACTCCTTTTACACCCTCGCACCTCACCCTGTCCGCCCCCCTTCCGTGCCCTCGTCACCCAGGTCGCCACCCGTTGTCCGACGACGGCGGCGGCGGCGCCTACCTTGACGACAGCAGCGCCCCGAGCTCCCGACACACCACTCCTCCGCGGCAGGTGCATGAACCCCGTGGCGGCGGCGGTGGCGGCGGAGGTCCTATACGACACGGTAGCGGCGGCAGCAGTGGCGGCGCCAGCAGCAGCGCCGGCGGCAGCATCAGCGGCGTGCGCTACGCCAGCCCCATGGCACCTCGATCCCAGCATAAGGCCTCTCTGCCGACGGTGTACGAACGCGAGGTGGACCACACAGATAACGAGGTGGCGGCGTCGCCGGCAGGGCCGCGGAACGGCGCGTCCACCCTCAGCGGCGGCTGCGACAACCACTACAGAAGCCGCTCTGCAAGTCCCCTGGGACACATGACTCCGCCACCACCCAGCTCCAAGGCCCCGCCGCCACCCGGCTCCATGCAGGCTGCGGCAGCAGCTGCAGCCAGGCAGCTGCCCTCTCACTCCGCCGCTACCGCTTCCGCTGAGGCGTTCGCGCTGCTGGCGGACATTCAGGCGCGGCTGCGCAGCCTTTCCGCCGAGTCCCAGGCTGCTAGCGAGGCAGCAGAGGCGGCAAACAACCTGTACGGCGGCGGCATGCAACCGACAGGGGCCCCTCTGAGCGCCAACGGGGGTGCCGGCGGCGGCGCCCCGGCGGCTACGACCCCCCCATCGCGTGGGGCGCAACCGGGCAGCACAGTCGCGGCCGCCCCTGCTGCTGCTCCAAGTGCTGTTGCTGCCAACACTGCTGCCGCCTCCGCCTCCGCCGCCGCTGCGGCAGCTGCGGCCGCCGCTGCTGCTGCCGCCTCCATGCCCAGACCCGCCATGGCGCCCAGTACGGAGGGCCGTACGGCAGTGGCCCCCTGGGCGCACGTGCCCACGCCGTACCAGGCCCAGAACACCACGGGGGAGGTGGTGACGAGCGAATGGCTGCGGGCGCGAGGGGACTCCGTGTGGAGCACAGGTGGGGAGGGGGGAGGGAGGGATGGGGGAAGAGGGAAGGAGTTACCGGTACGGTACGGCAGGTGGGACATCAGTAAGTGGGAGCCAGGGCGGGGGTAAGGGGCGGGTGTGACATGCTGGGATGCGTTTGTCATTGGACGCGTACAGCCCCATCTGACGTAGTGTAGGGTGTCGTCGACGAAGCAGTTCGGTTGTCATTTCATTCTTTCACGGCAGCCTAACCGCAACCCCAACCTCAACTCGCATCCCGCAGGCACCACGGACTACGCCGCCATCCTGCGTGACGCCCCCTCCGCCTCCGCCGCACCAGCACCCGCAACTCCAGGCGCCGCCGCCGCAGCCTACGTCGGCAGCAGCGGCTACGAGGCTGCTGGTGGCACCAGCGCTGCCGCCTTCCCCCAGCCAGGCGCTGGATCCCCGCCGGGAGCCGCTCTGCGCCCCCCGCTGACCTCCCTGTCCGCCATATCGGGGCTGCCCTCGGGCGCAGCGGCGGGGTCTGCGGCCGGGAGGACCTGGCGGCCGCCTGGGGGCCCGGTGTCGTCCGGCGATGCTGCGTCCAGGTGGCGGGATCGGGCGGAGGTTGTGGACAGGCCGTGCATCAAGCCCTCCGTGGTGCGGAGGCATAACAGGTAGGGGCGAGGGAGCGGGGCGGGGCGGGGAACGGGGGTGCGGTGGACGGCTGACTTTGGTGGAGGCAAAAGGTTGGAGGGATGCGGGGTGCGTGCACCTCCGGGCCTGGTAGGTGAGGAGGGCAGTTAAGGAACTGCTGGTTCAAGACTTTCGGCTGGTGCGAGCTTGCGAAGCCTGCGTTCAGCCCTTCCATGTCACACTATTCAGCCGCGATCCCCTTTGTTGCAGTGCACTACTGTCCCACGAACAACGGCCCGTGCCCCTGTCCCTGCTTCCATCTCATCACCCCGCCTACACTGTCTACCCAACGACCTCCACGCCTCCACCGTAATCGCTCCTCTGCCTCCACCGCACGCTCACCCCTCCCTCCTGCCCTCTCCCCTGCCTCCCCACCTCTCCTCCGCAGCTACCTCCGTGGCCGCATGAACTCCACCGCGCCCAAGTCCCGCGCCGCCTCCGCCGCCTCCGCCTACGGCGGCGCCTCCTCCGAGCCCGCACCTGACCCGCTGCTGGGCCACCGGCGAGGGCTGCAGCTGCTGCACTGGACCTTCAGCAACTACGATTCACTGCTGCGAGACTGGCGGAACATGGAGCCGCAGGTGCTGCTGGCGGCGGCGGATGAGGAGGTGGAGGGAGAGGGAGACGCTGACCGCGGCTCGGGTGGGGGTGGGGGTGCTCGGGCGCAGCTGCGTAACCGGGTTGCCTCTGCGCAGCTAGATTGGCTGTACGTCCGCAGCACGCAGCCGTCCATGTTGTGGCGTCCCAAGCCGCAGTCCATGTCGCCAGCTTCGGTTTTGGCTTCAGCGGCAGTAGCGGCAGGTACCGTGCCGCTTCCGCCCTCACCTCCAAAGCAACTGCAGCAGCAGCAAATGAAGGAGATGATGGCGAGTTTGGGTGCAGCGGAGGAGGGCCAGATGACGACACGAGTTAGCAAGACAGCAAGCAGGGATCGCCGCTCATCCGGAAGCGGTGCAGCGGCGGATTCGACAGCCGCTCAGTCGCCTGGCACGCCCGCTGCGGCCGGCTTAGAGGGGCGGAGTGTGGGCGGTAGCGGCGGCCAGTCGCGTGTCGCCTCCGATTCACGTCGCGCTGGTCGGGCCCGTGGGAAGGCATATGCCAGCGACGTTGACGAGAATGGTAGGGACAAGGGGGACAGCGAGGAGGAGGATGGAGATGAGGAGGAGGCTGAGATTGAGGAGGTGAAGGTGCTCAGGAGCAAGAGCAAGACCTCCCTGAGCCGCAGCAGCACCATGCGGAGCACCGGAGGAGCCAGTGTGGGGCGGGGCGGCAGGGAGGGCGGCGGCGGTCGGGGCGCCAGACGTGTCTCGTACAGCGAGGATGTGGCGTTTCATGACGAGGACGAGGAGGAAGGGGTTGAGATGTTCAGTGACAAGGGACGGAGCGGTGGTGGTGCGGCTGCTGTGGCTGATCGCCACAACCCGGGAAGCGGCAAGCCGAGAAAGAAGAACAACAAGAAGAACAAGAAGCACAGCGGGCGCCGGTCTGCCCCCGCATCCTCGTCCTCGTCCTCGTCCTCTGCCTCCTCAGCGTCGGATTCTGACGAAACAGATCGCTCGTCGTCGTCTGAAGCCTCCGTCATTTCCGACGACGACCAGCTCCATCTTTACGCTTCCGAGGACGGGCAGCAGGCACTCGACGACTTTGAGGACGGACACGTGGAGGTGCTGCTCGATGCAGCAGGCCATCGAAGCCGTGAGCCTAGCCGCACCCGTGCAGAGCGCAGCCGCAGCCCGGAGAGCCGCAGCCGCCAGAAACATACGGCGAACGGCAGGGAGAGAGACGACTTTGAAGACTCGCAGGAGGGTGGGATGAGTTACTCCATCCGCAATCCGCGTCGCGGCAGCCCGCAAAGGGACCGCAGCAGCAGTCGCAGTCCCATGGGTCGGTCGTCGCAGTCCCGCGGCGGCCCGGAGGGCACCGCCGCGGGGGTTCGAGCCAGCATGGAGTCACAGCGGGAGCGGGCGGCTATGTCGGCACGCTCTCAGCAACCCGGCCAGCCGTCACGTCGGGTAGAGGAGGACGCTGGACGAGGCGGCAGGGCCCGCAGCCGCTCTCCGCGGCGTCCCGGGGGCCGGGACGGCTCTGACTTGAATACTGGCGGCATGGCTGCGGGCGGTAGCGGCAGCGGCCGGGAGGGCCGCGGCACTCGTACGGCAAGCACGGTTACTAACGCTGGCGGCGGTGGCGGCGGCGGCACCAAGTGCTACGTGGAGCTGTTGCAGCAGCACATGATGTCTGGTGGCGGCGGGCGCTCCGCAGGGTCCGGGGCGGCGGCGTTGTCAGGTTCCAGCGGCGGCGGCGGCGGCGGCGGTGGTGGTAGCAGCATGCGTGGAAGCAGCGGTGCTGCGGCGGGTCGCAGAGCGAGCTCCCGGTCTGTGCCCGCGGTGACTGCCCCTGCTGCCGCGGTGTCCATGCAACAGCAACACCAGCACCAACAACAGCAACACCACTACCAGCAGCAGCAGCAGCAGCAACAGCTGCACCAGCACCTGCACCACCTGCAACACCACCACCAACACCTATACGCCCAACCCCACGACGGGAGCGGCGGGCGGCGCCCCTCCATCTCGGCCTCCAGTGACTGCGAGTCCGTATCCATCTCCGCCTGCTCTGGCACCACCTCCGCCTCAACCGCTGACACGCTGCGGGCCGCAGGTCAGAGCGCCGCCGCAGCCGCCGCCACCCCGGGCTCGGGGGGTTACCGCAGCCCTAGCCTGGCGGCAGGCACTGCACCAGCCTTTGGCCACCCGGGCAACGGTAGCAACAGTATTAGCTACACGAATCCGCGCGGTGGAATCGCCGAGCGTGCTTCCGAGGCCTTCAGCGGCGCTGGTCCCCTGCAGCTTCAGCTACAGCAGCTCCTGCAGCAGCAGCCAGGCCCCGAGCAGCAGGTTAGCAACGCCGGCGGCGGCAGCAGCAGGGAAAGCGAGGTGGTGCACTCGCGCATTTCGTTGAGTGACTTCTCAGCCCTGGCGCCGCTGCGGGCTGATCGGTCGGTTAGTGGGGAACCGACCGATCGCGATGCGGCCGCAGCAGCTGGTGTTGCGGGCGCTGCCGATATTATGAATGCTCTGGCGGCAGCGGTGCGTGCAGGCGGTGCGGTGGATGGCACCTCCATGGAGGCACGCAGGTGGGGCGGCGGTGTGGTTTGGGGCGCATGGGCGAGGCTTGCGAGAGTGGGAATGGCTACAGGACGTTTGGGGCAGAACGGCGCAATAGAGCCTTGGATCCAGATAGATTGATTTGTATTTTCTATACGTCCCTGGCAAAGGCCCAGCCGTTTACGGTCCTGCTATGTTACCAGGCTCCTCCGCCACTGACTTTCACCTCTATTGGTATCAACCTGCTATCACACTAACGCACGCATGCCACTCCCGCTCCCTCTCACACAGGCTCGTGGAGGCTGCGCCTGCTTCGCCCCCAGCGGGTTTCCCCTCCCCGCCCCACAGCCCGGGGGTGCTGGAGCTCAAGCAGGACATCTCCTCCGTGCTGCCCGGCATGTCCCTCACGCTGCGAGTCAAGCGCCCCGCAGCACCGGGCCTCCAGCAGCCTCAGCAGCAGCAGCTGATGCTGCCCCAGCAGCAGCCGAACCCCCAGCAGGTGCAGCTGCAGTTGCAGCAGCAGCAAGCGCTGCAGCAGCCCGCATCGCCACGGCCTCGTTGTGACAGCGCACCTGCAGCTGTTGCCACGTTCCGCCTGGAAGGAGACGACAGCTTTGCCTTCCCTGCAACACCATGCAACATGGCAGCAACAGCAGCAGCGGGCGCAGCAGCGGCCGCAGCCCCGCCTGCCGCCCCCATGGACAGCGGCGCCTGCGGTCGGAATGTGTCAGCAGCAGCGGCGGCAGCAGCACCGCCGCCGCCAAACTCCCTGGCTGCGGGCTCCGAGCACCCTGTCACTTGGAACCAACTGCACAGCCTGCTGCAGAGCCACCTCTCTAGCAGCAGCAACAGCAGCATCAGCCTCAGCAGCCCCAGCACCAGTAACGGCGGTGCTGGCTCCGCCGGCCCCTCCGCTGATGTGTTGGCTGGGCTGAGCGCCGCTGTGGCTGGGGCCGTGGCTGCGGGCACTGCCCCGCCTGCACCGCATGGTGAGGCTTACCGGCCCATCCATAACCCGCTGTTCCAACAGCACCCAGCGGATGCAGATGCGGGTACGGCAGCGGGTGCGGCGCGGCTGCCACAACAGCAGCAACAGCGGCAACAACAAGCGGTTTCTCAGCAGCAGCAGCAACAACAAGCGGGGCAGCAGCAGCAGCATGACCAACAGCAGCAGTTGCAGATATATCAGCAGCAACTGCAACAGCAGCAGCAACACCAGTTGCAGCAGTACAACCTGCAGCAACAGCAGTTCAACCTGCAACAACAGCAATACAATCAAGTGCAACAGCAGCAGTTCTACCAACAACAACAACAACAACAACAACAGTCGCAGCAGCTCATGCGGCAGCAAGAGTTACTGCAGGAGCAGCAGCAGCAGCAGTCGCAACGGCAACAGCAGCAAACGCAGCAGCAACAACCCCAGCAGCGGGCTGCCAGCGTGAGCACGGGTCGCACCCCAGCAAACAGCACCACAGAGGGCACCACGGCGGCAATGGTTGCGGCGGCTGAGGAGGCTGCGCGGGGGGACGGAGACCTGCTGAGTCTGCTGCAGGCGCTGCAGCAGGCGGGATTGGCACTGCCCCCGGAAGAGCTGGCCAGGTGGGTTAGCACAGGTGCATGTTGCTGTACTGCGTATTTGTGGTTTTGGAGGTTGCATGTATGTGTATTGCCTCGCCGTGTCACGCCATATGACAATGAGTGTGATTAGACGCTGCGGTATCCACTGGTAACGGCGGTAGGTTACCCCTTTACAGTATTTCATTGCTCAAGAAATCCTTCCCTCCGTTCGTTCCTTCCGTGATGTTCCTCCCCACAGGCCTTCATCCCAGAGGTCCTCCTCCTCAGCCTTACAGTCCCACGGGTCACTGCACCAGCCGACCTCGTCCCCGTCAGCCCCTTCCACAGCCCCCCGCGAGCGCAAGCGCCCCTCCATCTCCCCCATGAGCATGGAGTCCTCCCGCTGCATCCAGCACGCAGCTATGGTGGCGGCGGAGGCGGCGACAAGCGCCGTGTCGGAGGCCATGTCCGCTCTCAGCCGCATCGGTTTCCGCGCCTCCTCGCCGCCTCCTGCACCCACCCCCACGCTACCCATGCCGCCTACGGATGTCAGCAAAGTGAGGGAGCCTCGGAAACCTGCCGGCGGCACGCCCTTTGCGTCGTCCTTCCCTTCGTTCTCATGCTCTCCGTTACCCCCTGCGACGTCGCTTGCAGCCGGCGCGGAGAGCGACGCTCAACCCCACCGCCCGCGCCATGCCTCCAACCGGGATGAGGAGGACAATGAGGACGCGCACAGCTGCGATGGCTCCGATGGTTCCTCTGAGGGCCGCCGCTGCAGCGACGACGACGAGCCCGTTAACCCCGTTCCGCCGCTGGGACTGCGGGAGGCAGGCTCGGAGCACTTCCTCAACCAGGGCTGGCAGCAACAGCAACAGCAGCAGCAACACCTGCGGTCAGCCCGCTGGGGCGGCAGCAGCCCGGCGGCGACCGGTGCGGGAGATGGGGAGCCGGCGGAGGGGAAGCGGGAGGAGGGCGCAGCGGGGGCGCTGTGCGGTGCTTCCTCGGTGACGCGGGCCAGCCAGGGCCGCCACCGGGCGCTTGTGGCGGCGCTGACGGCTGCTGCGGCCGCGGCGGCTGCGGGTGCGGGTGCGGGTGCGGGTGCGGCCGCGGGTGGCAGCCGGCCGCTGGCGGGAGCCGCTGCGGGCGGTAGTGGCGTCGGCGGCGGCGGTGTTGGGTCGGCCTACCGCGCGACCTCGCTTCAGTCGCTGTTGCAGTTGGTGAACGGCGGCTCCATCAGCAGTGATGAGTTCCTGACGAGCCTGGCGCGCGGGGGGCTGAGGCCGGTACTCAGGCAGCCGGCGGCGGGGGCGGCGGTGGCGGTGGCGGCGGTGGCCCCGGCGGGTACGTACGTGGTGGCGCAGCGGCCGCTGCCGCCGCCTGCGCAGCAGCAGCAGCAGTTGTATGAGGCGGAGTACGAGAGATGAGGGGGGAGGGATTTGGTGGGCGCTTGGCCGTGGAAGAGGCGGGTGCGGTGATGTTAAGATGTGTGTTCAGGAATCATGTGTGTGAGAAATAGACCCACCCATCAACTAAGGACACTTGTTCCTGTTTGGCTCGAGGGAAGCGACAGTGTCGGTTTGAAGGGAATTGAGACTGGACTTTGAAGTGAGTGGCTGTACGGCTGTAAGCACAGCTGACATGCCAACTTTAGGTTTCTGACGGGGCTTCACAGGAGCCTCCTTTTGTGCGTTCGGTTGCACAGCATAAGATAATAAGACGGAAGAGCGGTGCCGCTGCAATGCGGTGACTCCATGTGCTAGTATCCAGCCTCCGAGTGGACGGAAGTCGTTCCATGGAGCCATGCCGGGGCCGGTCGTCCCCTAATGCCGGGCTTCTAAGCAGTTATATGAATAGTTACTGTTGGGAAGTGCAATGCATTGCATGGCGTGCAGTACCTGGATGCATGTGTACGGCAGCACCTTCCTGGTGCCCTTTCTGCGCATGGGTTGCGTGGTTGGTTTGGCCTGAAAGTACGGGACCGCATGCAAAGTGTCCCTTCAGGTCAACCAGGACGGTACCCAGGTGACGGGGTTGGAAGCCTGTGGGCCCTATAGCTGATTATACCGTACACCTAAGCCGTATCCTAATGTAACAACACGGGTGCGTCGCACGACGACAGCTGCGAGGCGCAACTGCGTGGTCCTATTTGAAGCCCATCGCTGGGTCCTCAATGAAAGTAATGGGGACTTGAGGGCTGTATCCGCAAACTGAAAGGGCTTGCTTGAGCTGGTGTGTGACCCCAGTCATGGAAGCAGTGACCCGTGGGTCTCAGAACTGCGGGCCCACTCTGAACTCCGCGCATGTGATCTGGTAGGCCAGAATATCACGCCAGAATTCGGTCAGGATGGACGACGCCACACGCGCCGCGAAGGATTACCCATCCCCAAATCCCATCAGTAGCACCGGTACTTCCTAGTTAGGATAGCCTCCTTACAGGAGCCCGTGCGGCGAAGGCATGGACGAACTCCAAGCAAGACACCTCGGCAAGCATCTCTTGAAGCTCCTGACGATGCCCCACCCACCCACACACCACGTGAGGGAAGAAACCCTACCTGCAAAACCGTACCAGATGCGCTCCCCTACAGGGGCCAGACGGAATCACGTCACACAGAGGCATGCGCAGCGCCGTAACACAAAAACCAAAGATGGCAAAAGCCCCTGCAAACCGACATCCCACATGTTTAGGCCCACTGCTAAAGGCAGCGCAGCTCATCGTCATGTCAATCTACCTTTCATGCGGAGCTCCGGAACCCCAAGTTGCTTCATGTCGTGAACTCCTAGCCTATATAGCCTAGCAAAAGCAAGAGTGGAATGAAAGCCCTATATAAATCTTATGCGCTGCTCTGCAGCCGTTCAGTGCTGCGAGAGCCGCGCACATAGCTTGTTGATATCACGCGCCACCAGCCATGAAACGGTGCAGCGCACATGGGATGCACCGTGGCACGAATGCAAACCTGACACGAAATAAACCTCACGAAAATGCGTTGCCACCTAAGGGATACACGCCTCATCCACCTAGCGGCCCTACCCTAATCGCCATTCATCGCTACCATAACACCACCACCATCACCAGAACCATCCTCTTCCCAAAACCGCCTACAATGTCCCCATTCTCCCCAATAACACCCCCAGGCACCCCCTCGCACCCAAGCTGTTGACCCCCCCCTAGCCTCTAGCATCCCATTAGGCCTTCTCCCCCACCGCCGGCTGCTGCTGCTCCTGCTGCCCTGCCACGTTGCCGCTGGGGTGGCCGGTGATGGGGCAGGGCAGCCCCCACTCCGCGAACTTGAGGTAGATGTTCATCTTGACGCGGTCCAGCGCCGCATCCACCGAGTCAAGCGCGGGTCGGGCCACGATCTCGAAAGCCTGGGGTGCGAGAGAGGGGGTGCGAGTGGGATTGCGAGGGTGGGAGGATGTCTTTTACGGGGCATGCTGTGTTGCATCTTACAAATCATTGTTGCTGTCGTGTATGAACGGAAACAGGCTGGAGGGAGTGCGGATTCCGGGGGCTTCCAGAGGCCTGGTGCAACGAAAACACCCCAGCCACCTGCAGCGCCCCGAGAGGACCGGTCCCTTGCGTCAAGCTGCAGAGACGGCCATGCTAGGGACGTCATCGCAGGTACCCTCCCTTCCCAGCCTCCAGCCCGCCAAACCCCCCACTCCCAAGCAGGTAAGCAGCAGCCGCCCCACCTGCGGCGTGCCCGCCTTGTCATCGTAGAAGTAAAAGTCGATGATGTAGCGCACCTCCCTCCCGCAGCGGTCGATGATCCAGTCGTGGCGGTCGAAGGGCGCGGGGCCACCCAACACGTTGCGGACCCAGGCCAGCGGGCTGTGCAGGGCGGGGAGCGGGGGGCCGGGGTTTGGCGGGGGGAACGAGGTAGCACCACGGGGAAGCATGAGGTAGTGACAGCGCGCACCCGGAGCGACGCCCTATTCCTCCCGTCCTCAGCACTGGCATGGTTGGGTACTGCTGCAGGCTAGCGCCAGGTGCTCAGCGCCCCGGGCACAACAGCAGTGCAGCCCTGGCAAGCGCATGAGCATGCAAGTGACCCACTCACGGAACCCAACAGCCACGAGCCTGCGGCCCCGCTGCTGCTCCCGGAGCATCGGCCAGTGCTGCAGCGCCCGTGTTACTTCACCCGCGGTCCCACGCTGCTCGCTCTCCCGTCCCGTCCCACCCTGCCCCGCCCACCTGAGGTCATGTGGCTTCCCCTGGAAGCGCAGCAGGGTGGGGTAGTCGCACTCCTGGCGGTGCAGCGTCTCCCACTGCATCACCCGCTGCCAGGTGGCCTCGTTCATGCCTGGGAGGCGGGGGGAGGGGAGGGAAGGGGGACAGGGTGGAGGGCTCAGAGGGCAGCCGGGGCAATGGACCCAGGGACAAGGACAGGCAGCTGCATGCATGTCATCCGGCTCGTAACCGCAACACCGGTTACTGCTGGGGAACCGTGTCAGTTCACCCTGACCCAAATGGACGCAGCGCTGTTCTATCCCCCAGCGCGTCCCCTCCCCCCCATCGACTATCCTTCCCTTTCCAACCGCCAACTCCGCTAGCCTCTTCCACGGTAAAGCACTTCTAGCTCCAGCTAGCACCCCCTGCGACCGTACCCCGCTGCTGGCCCCGTCTTCCCTTCCCCGGCGGCCCCGCCTTCCCCGGCGGCCCACTCACTGTTGTGTGCGGCGATGAACCCGTCCATGTCATCCTCGCTGATGTCTTCACCCTTGCCCTTGCGCCGCAGGGCTGTGGGGAAAGGGAGAGGGAGGGGCAGGGGTGGGGAGGAACAGCGACTCAGGAGCTAATGGAAGGTCCAGGTCGGCTTCTAGAAACCAAGCCTGGAGTTCACGCCGGGTAGAGGGGTTGGGGTGTTCAGCTATGTCCGCAGTGCTTTAGATGCCCAAGGCTTCACGTTGTAACACTGTGTGTACCCTGTGTCCGACAGGCCGCTAATTGCAGACCACCTACCGTTGAACACCATCTGTGGAGATGGGAAGAGCCAAGTGCTCTCCGTGCCGCCCTTGGGGATGTTGGAAGCAACACGCTCCGTGGACAGTGGTTTACGCTGTCCAGGACAGGGTAGCTGGTTCGGCTCCAAGGGCATGTTGTTCTTTGGGTCAAGCATATCAGCGCCCTGTATTGATGCTAGTGGGCTCTTGGGTGATTGGCTGTTTGGGTCGTTGATTCGCTGACCGTAGACATTGTATACTGCCGGGTTCTTATATTTCGGGTTTACTGGACAGGAGGCCGCATCCTCAACTGGCGTGCTAGGTGCAGCAGCCGCAGCGCTCGCTGCCGGAGCAGTCGATGGGGCGCTGGGCGGCGGAGCTGAGCTCTGCTGGTTACCCATTCGTATACGTAAGGCTTAACAGCAGTGAAAGCTTGCGACGGATGTCTGTAGAGAGTAGGGTAAGTCAACCTGTAATCAACCAAATCTAGATGCCTCCGACACCGGTTACGCTTTACCTAAAACGGTTTGCCAACACATATGCGAGTATGAGTTTGTCTTGCTGTGCACAAACAGGTAACATGTCTTGACTTCGTCATGGATTGGTAGGGCATGCACGGCAGCCCAATCTTGCGACAACCTAATCATGTGTCCACAGCCTATAGAACGTCTAACAAGCTACTTATTTACTTGTTTACATGTAACACGCCTCAAAATGCGAACCTTCAGTCAGACACAGTCCCTGCCCTGCTCGACGTCAGGGCGACAGACGCCAACTATCCAAATGAGGAACACGTATAGATCTGTGGTCAAAAGCCACATCGGGTCACTACGGCGCGCTGCGGCCACGGTAAGTGCCGTGCGGAGGGTGCTTGCGGCCTCGCGACCTCAGTACTTCGATGGCAGCAACACGAATCGATGTGGCGCCGTCCGCATCCAATCCTTTCATGGGATCGGCGGTTGCTTTGTAATTTGTGCCTCCGCTCACGCGTCGCTAGGGACGACGGTGACCTCCAACCTTGCGTCGTTTCCCACAGTCTTCCTGGACCATGAAACCTCCACTCACGGCAGCTCCATGTCCAATTCGTTTGACCTCATGCTCACAGGCGACGGATTTAGCCTCCACTGCTCCAGCGCCTTCTCCATCGCAGCTACCTTTGGGAGCAGCGTTGCGCCCTCAGTTTCCAATCCTTGACCAAGAGGTCAACGGCCGCCCGCTTGTATACCTAGACAACGCCGCCACCAGCCAAAAACCACGGGCTGTGTTGGACGCGGTTGCGGAGTGCTACAACCGCTACAATGCCAATGTCCATCGCGGCGTGCACGCGCTAAGCGCGCAAGCCACCCAGCAATACGAAGACGCTCGCTCCAAGGTGGCCACGCTGATCAACGCGCCCAGCAGCCGTGAGGTGGTGATCACCCGCAACGCCACGGAAGCGATCAACCTGGTCGCCAACACCTGGGGCGCGCAGAACATCAAGCAGGGCGACGAGGTGGGCTGCGAGGGCTGTAACTGGATCGGGACTTCTTGGGGCCGGGACGTGGCAAACGGGGAGGAATGGGGACTGGTTGAAACCAATGCCCTTGCCTGGCGTGCGCCCCCGCCTGCTCACATACCGGCAAAAACACAAAGCCACCCAACGCCTGCACGTCTTAACCCAACCCCACCCGAACCTAACCCTAACCCCCCCTCCCCCTCCCAGATCATCCTCTCGGTGGCCGAGCACCACGCCAACCTGGTGCCCTGGCAGCTGCTGGCCGCCCGCACCGGCGCAGTGCTGCGCCACGTGCGCCTCACACCCGACCGCACGCAGCTGGACATGGACCACTTCCGACAGCTCCTCTCGCCGCGCACTCGCCTCGTCTCCCTGGTCCACGTCTCCAACGTCCTAGGCTGCGTGCTGGACGCTGCCTACGTGTCGGAGGCTGCTCGAGCGGTGGGCGCCCGGGTGCTTCTGGACTGCTGCCAGTCGGTGCCCCACATGCCGGTGGACGTGGGGGCACTGGGCGCGGACTGGATCGTGGCGTCGTCACATAAGTTCTGCGGCCCCTCTGGGGTTGGGTTCCTGTGGGGGCGATACGAGGTGCTGGAGTCCATGCAGCCCTGGATGGGCGGCGGGGAGATGATCCAGGACGTGTTCCTGGACCACTCAACCTACGCGCCGCCGCCGGCGAGGTTTGAAGCTGGCACGCCCGCAATCGCGGAGACGATCGGCATGGGCGCCGCTGCGGACTGGCTCCGAAACTTGGGCATGGATCGAGTGCATGCATACGAACAGGAGATCGGGTCGTACTTGTACGAGCGGTTGGTGGCGGCGTCGCCGAGGGTCAAGGTGTACGGACCGCCGCCGGACGCGCCGCGTGGTCGCGCTTCGCTGGTTGCGTTCAATGTGGAGGGGCTGCATGCTACGGATGTGTCCACGCTGCTGGACTACGCGGGTGTTGCAGTGCGCAGCGGGCACCACTGCGCGCAGCCGCTGCACCGGGAGCTGGGGGTGCCGGCCTCGGCGCGCGCATCGGCGTACATCTACAACAGCGCGGCGGAGGTGGATGCGTTTGTGGAGGCGTTGAAGGACACGATTGGGTTCTTTGATGAGGTGCATGGAGGCGAGGGAGGAGCCGGGGGGGAGGGGGCGGCGGCGTGAGGTGGGGAGAGAAAGGGGTGAGGGAGAGGGAGAGAGAGGGGTGGGCAGGAGGGGAGAGAGAGGCGGTGGGTGAGGAAGAGTTGGATGATATTCAGGAGTGTAGCGGAGAAGAGGGAGTTGCTTGAGGGGGTTGGTTTCAAGGTGGCAAGGGCCTTTTGGAGGGTCCGTGTGTAAAAGAAGAATGCTGATGTACATTGGAAAGTAATTTGCGTGGAAGGACGTGGCAGGCGCTTTCTTTGCAGGGGTGCAGCACGGGGATGGTTTGTAGGATATCGGTACGTTTCCTTGGGAGTGCTGGTGTCGTCGACGTGCCATGGATTTCCCTAATGCAAAGCATGCAGGAGGCTCACTTCAGGTTGTTGGGTGCCACCCCCTGCGGTTAAGTTGAAGGTCGCTAAGGGGCCGCAGGGCGTGGCCATGCATTCGGAGTGCATTCGTTGCCCGAGCTACTTTGGAAAGTGCACCCCACCCGTTGATGAGTTGTTTGCTGGGACTGGCCCGGGGTCGTAACGTGTACCATTACCATTACCAGTTTTGCGACGACCAGGCATGCTTCGTGATTAATAAGGGTCGGTCGCAAACGTATGAGGACTTAGCTGCCGCTATCATTGAGGGCTGTCGCCGCAGCAATGGCGGGCATGGCGGCCCCTGTGCGTTGGGTTGTTTCGGTTTGGTGTGTACTGTAACTGCATGTACGCACCTAAATGTGCGACCGAACCCCCTTGATTCAAGCCACACTTGTGTAGCGTATCGGTATTACACCTGATGGAAGAGAGCCTGGCCCCCATAACACCTACACCATGCCAGGACACAGCGCCTCTCAGTATAAAGCTGCCCACTCAGCGCCCCTCGGCTCCCTCACTTGTATTGCGGAGCTGCATGCATGCATGGGGCTGCCTACCAAGCGTGCATTGCCCACGTCCACGTCAAATAGAACCACTGTGGAGCGCAGCCATACGTCGCATCATGTCCAATCGAAGGTGGCCAGCACACCCCCAACGCGTCACCTCCCAACAGAAATCGCAGCAGCACGTGACTCGCGGCGCCTCACACTGCCCTCCTTGCCCACCTGTCTCCCGTGGCGTTTTGATGGGGACATCACCGACAATCCAGTACGTTCCGGCTCGCGTTTTCTTGCCCAGTACTTTTAACACACCGCCCATGCCGAAGGATCAACGCGCCCGGGTGGAAAGCTTCATTCAGCGTTTTGCACCCGGGGGGGATCAGCATACGTAAAGGCAACTCGTCTTCACCCTTGTAAACACCATCACTCCATGGCAATGACAGTACAAGAAGCGTCCTAATCCCGTCCCACATGTCCGCAAACGCCAACAACTACACCGCTTGTTGGCCAGTTTTAACACAACTCAACAGCTGCGCTTACCGCTGCCACCCCTTGCCAGGTCAGGGTAACCGCCGTAGCAAGGCCACCGGCATGCATGGACATGCGAACATGCTGGTGCTGATAATGTACAAAGTAATGCCCGAGTCGTCCAGGTCATTGGCTGTCGCCCCATCCCCCGTCGGCTATCTTGCTGCACAGCGACGATATGCGATTTTCATGTGTTGCATGCTCCCGTGCTCCCAGCCAGTGCAAAGCACCCCCCAGCTCTACCGCCTCTCTCTCCATCACTAGCGATCCCTCACCTCACCACCCTCTCCCTCACTCCTTCAGCACTCCCATCCGCCCCTTCCTCGCTCACAGCCTCCTCCTCCTCTCCCCCCACCTCACCCCCGTCAATGTTTCTTTATCGTTTGCCCCTCACCCCAGCACCCCATTCGCCCCCCTCCGCTGCCTGCTGCACACACAGCAGTCGGCCCCGCATGCCAGCACCGTCCCCTCCCGCGGCAGCAGCCACCAGACCGTCTCACGGGCCGCCAGCAGCGCGGAGCGGCGGCAGGCAGCGGCGGCGGCAGCAGCAGCAGCAGCCTCCCCCTCAGAGGAGGAGGAGGGCACCTGGGCGCCTTCACAGGCGGCACCGCCCGCCCCACTGCTGCAACCCGCAGCTAATGCCGCCTCCACAGGCGGCACCGGCACCGGCCCACCGCTGCTGCTGCCACCCGCATCTCCACCTGCACCTCCACTCCCACCCGCCCCTCCACTCCCACTCCCACCCGCTCCACCTGCATCCCCACCACTCCCACTCGTCCCTGCGCCACCCGCCCCCTCCTCCCCTCCCTGCCCCTCCCCTTCCTCCTCCATCAGCTTCGCCGCCGCCACCGCCGCCGCCAGCGCCTCCCCCAGCGGCCCCGCGTGCTGCGCGTCTAGCAGCGCCAGCCCCCTGCCGCCCCGCGCCGCCGACAGCCCCAGCAGCAGCGGCGGCAGCAGGGCGGCCGGCAGCGCGCAGCAGGCCTGCAGGTGCAGCTCCGCCAGGGCGGGGCAGCGCAGCTCCAGACAGGCCAGCCCGCTGCAGCCGTCCAGGTCCAGGTGGGAGAGGAGCGGCAGGGAGAGGGCAACGGTCTGGGGGGGAGGGGGCGGGGGCGGGAAAGCAGCGAGGAGGGGTGAGGGGGAAGGCGAGTAGAGGAGGGGAGCGGATCGGATCGGAGGCAGTGCTCACTGCAAATATGGTCGCTTACACACAGCACTCAGGAGCGGAAGGGCAGCCGCTGTCCCCAGGCTTCACACGTGTTCCGCCCGCCCCACCCGCCCGCCCCTCCTCCCCCCCCCCACCTGCACCCCGCTGAGCCCCAGTCGCAGGCTCCTCAGCCCCGACAGCACACACCCCGCCGGCTGCCAGGGGGGACTCGGGGGCAGGCGGACGGCCGCAGCCAGCTCGCGCCGCCGCCCGCTCGACGGCTTCCCACCCGCACCGGCAGCCTCTCTGCTGCCGCCACCGCTACCGCCAGCGACCCGCGGGTCACCCGGGTCCTCCTCCGTCTCCGGCAGCAGCCCCAGGCACAGCGAGCGCAGGCCGCTGCAGCGCACCAGGCTCAGCCGCTCGAGCAGCGACGTAACGCCAGCAGCAGTGGCGGCGGCAGTGGTGGACGGCGCTGTAGCGCTGTACGGCACCACTGCCCCACCACCTGTGCCCGCACCCGCAGCCACTGCACCCGCCGCCGCCACAGGGGCCACCACTCTTCCCTCTTCTGCACTCTCCCTGCTGCCGGTGGTGGTGTTCCTGGTGTTGTCAGTCGCACTCGACGCCCCCACCGCCGCCGCCGCCCTCCAGAAGCCCTCGTCCACCCCCGAGCAGCCGTTCAGCGCCAAGTGGGTCAGGTGCGTGAGGCCCAGTGCCAGCGGCACCACCGCCTCAGCGGGCAGCGGGCAGTACGACAGGTCCAGGGAGGCCAGCTCGGGCAGCGCGTGACCCTGGGGGCCCGGGGAGGGGGGAGAGGGGCAGAGGAAACAATTAACCAACCGTGTGATAAGGCTTCATCATGGTTGATGGCGGTGGGGGGAGGAGGGGAGGGATGCGTCGGGAGAGCAGGGTCGATGTACGACAACGGAATGAAATGGAACGGCGTACACCAGCAGGGAGCGGTATCGTGTGAGTACCCAGACGGAGTTCACAAAACGCACACCTCACAAAGCCCAAGCACACCAGAAACGCCGCCTGTCCCCCCCCCCCGCCCCGCCACTCACCCTATCCGGCAGCAGCTGCAGCAGCTCCTCCCCCCGCAGCTCTCGGCAGCTCCCCAGGCATAGCGCCGTCAGCCTGCTGCAGCCGCCCAGCAGCGGACCCAGCTCCGCCACCCCGCTGTACGACAAGTCAAGGTGGCGGAGCTGGGCCAGGGCGGCCAGGGCGGGGGGGGCGAGGCCGGCGGAGGGGCCGAGGGCGGAGCAGACGGAGAGCACCAGCGAGGTGAGCTGCAGCGGGCGGGAGGACAGCGCGGAGAGCAGGGCTGGGGGGGAGGGGGAGGGTGGGGGGCACACGGAGGTGAGCTAAGGAGTGGCTTGTGAAGGTGCAACAGGATGTGGAATGGGAGCTGACCGCCGTAGGGGGCGCCGGGGTGGCTGCGCCCAGGCGTGTGTTTGACTCCCACCGTGAAGCACCAACCCTGCGGCCAACCTCCTCCCAGGACGAAGCAACCGGGCGCCACCAGGTGCAGCAACCTCCTCCCTGTGTGTCCTACGCTACTCACTCCCGCAGCCGCCCCAAGCTGCCCCCCTGACCCACTCCCCGGTGCTGCTCCCCCTCCCACTCCTGCCCCCCTGCTCCCCCCCCCCCCGCCTCACCCTCGTCCCTCAGCGCCCCGCAGAAGGTTGCATCCACACAGGCCAGGCGCGGGCAGTCCAGTGCCAGTGACTGCAGCGAGCCGCAGCCCTTGAGGCTGAGGGAGGTGAGGGAGGGGCACTCCAGCCGGGCGGAGCGCAGGGAGCAGCAGGCGCCTGGGGGGGGGAGGGGAGGCGGCGGGGAGGTGACGGGCAGGAGGTACATGGGAGCATGCGGGAGGTTGCGCACTCCAGTATGTGTACCACCGACATGCCCACTAGGTGTATGTCACAAACGTGTCGAACACATAAGTCCCTCGTAAGAGCCATCTTGCCCCCTCCCCCTCCCCTCCTCCCCCACTCACCCAGCTGCAGGCTGCTCACTCCCCCCGGCGCCAGCTCCACCTCCCCCAGCTCCCCGCACTCCTCCAGCTGCAACCCGCCCAGCGCCGGACAGCTCAGCCGCAGCGACTGCAGGCCCCGGCAGCCGCGCAGGCTCAGCAGCTGCAGCCGGCCGTGCCGCAGCACCGCCCGCCGCAGCCCCTCGCAGCCCTCCAACCGCAGCTCGATGAGGCGCGGGCAGCCGCCCTGCTTGGAGTGCAGGCTCACAGCGGGGGCAGCAGCAGCAGCCGGGGCGGGTGCGGGTGCGGGTGCGGGAGGGGGGTTGAGGAGGAGGTGTTGTTGGGGTGCGGGTTGGGGCTGCGGCGGTTGTGCGAGGGGGTGGACGTCGTGGAGCCGCATGAGAGGGGGCTGCGGTGGGGCGGGCTGGGGGGCGGGAAGGTGGTGGAGCGGTGGGGGTGCAGGCGGGGGCTCCAGAGGGAACTGCTGCAGCTGCTGGGGGGGCTGCTGGGGGGGCTCTGCGGCCAACATGGCGAGGAGCTCCTGGCGTGGGGCTGCTGCGGCTCCCGCTGCTGCCGGGCCGACACCTGCGGCTGCTGCCTGCAGCGGCTGGTGCTGAGGCGGGGGCGGGGGCTGCCGTACCCTGTCCGGCCGCATGTGCCTCATGAACCGGCCCCACCGCCACTCCTCCTCGCTGTCATCACTGTCGCTCCCAGCCCTCGCCAGCAAGCCTCCGCGGCGCACAGCCCCCCGAGCAGGGGCAGGGGCAGCAGCAGGGGCAGGAGCAGCAGCAGCAGCCCCCGGAGCAGGGGGATCGCGCCGCTCCGCCGCCGCGTGCATGTCGCCTCCCCGCACGCCCCCGCGCCCCCTCGCCCCACCCATCACCCTCGCCCCCGCCAGATACGACCACGCAAAAGCCGCTGCCCCTCCCCCCTCCTGCTCCTCCTCCTCCTCCTCCTCCTCCAAGTCAACGTCCCATGCAAACATCCGCTGAGCTGCGGCCCATGACTGCGCCTCCTCCCGCTGCTGCTGCTGCTGCTGGGGTTGAGGCGGGGGTGCTGCCACGGGCCACTGCCACGGCACCGGCGGCAGCCACTCGTCCTGAGGGGTCCAGCGGGGCGGGGGCGGCACCGCGTCAGCCGGCACGAGGGGCGCCACAACCGCACGGGGCGGGCCCGGATCGGGCAGCCGTGGGGGAGGAGCCCCCGCCCCCGCCCCTGCCGCCCCCGCCGCTGCCAGCCCCCCTCGCTGCCCTCGCCGGCTGGGAGGCAGCAGCCCGGCGGCCCCCTCCCCCTCCTCTTCCTCATCCGCTGTCAGGAGGTCGAGGAGGTTCCTCTGGCCCTCCTCTAGCGCCGCCCAGTGGAAGAGGTCCGGGAAGGCCGGAGCAGCCGCTGCGGGTGCGGCTGCTGCCTCCACAGCTGCTGCCAACCGCTGCCCGCTGTCATCGCCTTGATCACCAGCAGCAGCACCCACACCCACACCAGCTGCTGCCATACCAGCAGCAGCAGCAGCGGCCCTGCTGGGCCCCGCACCAGCCGCCTCCGCAGCCGCAGCCGCCTCCGCAGCCGCAGCCGCCTCCGCAGCAGCAGCAGCCGCCTCCGCCTCCGCAGCAGCCGCCGGCCCCTCCCCCAGTGCCACCAGGGGTGCGCCCACTGACGCAGCTGCTGCAGCCCCAACAGCAGCACTACCTGCTCCCTCACCTATCCACACCTCCTGCCGGACCGCGGAGCCCCCTCCCCCTGCCGCGGGTGCGCCTGCTGCCTGCATGGCCGGGGGGTGTCCCGGGTCCACCCTCCTCCTCCTAGAGGGCAGGGCAGCAGCAGCACCAGCACCAGCAGCTGCAGCTCCAACAGCAGGAAGTGCCTGAGCCGCTGCCGCCGCTGCAGGGGGTGCCCCTGCTGCTGCTACCGCCGCTGCAGGGGGTGCAGCAGCAGCAGCAGCAGGGGCAGCAGGGCCAGCAGCAGCAGGGCTCCCGAAGAGCTCCCCCGCAACGTGGCGCACACGGCGGACGAAGGCAGGCGGGCGCACCACCAGAGCCAGGCGCGCAGGGAGGGGCCGCCAGGCTTCACCACCGGGCTCCTGGGGGGCTGCTGCTGCTGCTGCCGGGGCTCCCGCCCCTGCCGCCGCTGCTGCAGCTGGAAGGAGTGGTGGCGGCGCTGCAGCTGCTAGCGGCAGTGCTACCGCTCCCGCTGCTGACGCTGCTGCTCGCTGGCGGGGGTACAGCCGGTGCGGTGCCCGCTGGGGCGGCTGGGGGGGCTGCTGCTGCTGCTGCTGGGGGTGCGGCGCCAGTCGGACCTCCTCCACATCCGTGAGCATGGAGAAGATCTGCGAGTGGAAAGGAGGGACACGCCGAGTTGGTATGCACCCTAGCCAGGCTCACAGCGCGCTTCCTGAAAGCACTCTACACCGCCCTAGTCACGCTCCCTCGTTCCAAGCACACCCTCCTCCCTTCCTCCTTCCCTCCCCTCCTCCCTTGCCCCCCCTTGCTCCCACCGAGTCCCCCAGCGCATCGCAGTCCGCAATGGCCAGGTGTGTGAGTGCAGGGCAGTCCAGCACCACCTCCTCCAGCGAGGGCAGCTGCCGCCAGCTCAGACAGCGCAGCGCCTCGCTGCTCACCGCCACTCGCCGCAGAACCGCACCGCCCGGGCCGCCGGGGCGCAGCGGACCCAGCTGCAGCTCCTCCAGCCGCCTGGGGGGGGAGGGAGGGAGACGAGGAAGGTGGAGGAGGGGCGGAGGAACGGCAATGGAAGGAGGGAGGGCAACAGCCCTGCACTCCCTACCAGCAAGCGGAGATCCCCCCATTCCCCCTCCGCACCCTCCACCCAAAGCACGCAATCCTAACAAAGCCGCTCGTTCCCCCTCCCCTCCCCCTCCCTCCCACCCCCCTCACCTGCACCTCAGCTCCAGGCTCCCCAGCATCCTGCACCCGCGCACACTCACCCGCCTCACACTGCTCCCCCCCACACTCAGCCCCGCCAGCCCCCCGCACCCCTCCAGCACCAGCTCCTCCAGCCGCCCACACCCCTCCGCAAACAGCCCAGCAGCGGCCCCGGTCAGCCCCTCGCAGTGCTGCACCCCCAGACGCCGCAGCTCAGGAAAGGCTACGGAACCCCGCTGCGGAGAGAGTACGACACCGCTGCAACCGCTGAGATGTAATTCGGTGAGGTGTTCCAGGGAGCGGGCTAGACCGCGGATGAGGTCCTCGGATAGGGAGGTGTCGGTGAGGGACAGGGTGCGGAGGGTGGTGAGGGCGGTGAGGAGGGCGGCGTCGGCGGCGCGGGGTGTGGCGGTGAGGGAGAGGTGGTGCAGGGCGGGGAGGGAGGTGGCGGGGGCGGAGATGGAGGCGAGGGAGCAGGAGGCGAGGTGCAGGCAGGAGAGGTGCGGGCCGGACAGGGTGAGGCGGGAGGCCTTCAGGTCGGAGAGGTGCAGGCTGGTGAGGGAGGGGTGGGCCAGGCTTGCGTCCGACTGGGGGGGAGAGGGGAGAAAGGGAGGGGCCGGTCGGTTGCGCGGTAAGAACGGGATCCATTACATGCGCGTCAAAGCCGATGCCGCTTTGCCCTCGCCCGCCATCACATACAGATACACCCAGCCAGCCATGCAGCCCTCCCTGCCCCGCCCCCCTCTCACCGTCGCCCCCGCCCCCAGCCCGCTGTTGCTGACCGTCACCTCCGCCACCACCAGCTCCCGCAGTGCCGGCAGCTGCGACCCCAGCAGCGCCACCGCCCGCTCCCCCAGCACGCAGCCGCGCAGCTCCAGCAGCCGCACGCGCGCCAGCCCCGGCAGCAGCCGCTGCAGGAAGGGCAGGCGCTGGCTGAAGGGCAGGCAGGCGGGCGGCTGACCGGGGCCGCCCAGCCGCAGCTCCTGGATGACGGCGCGCTGGCGCTGACACAGCCGCAGGAGCTGGGTGGGGGAGGGCGGGTAGGTGCGGGTGGTAGGAGGGCTGCGGTGTGATCTTTCCCTTTCCCGCCCTGGCGCTAATGGCCTGCACACGTCCACTCTAACACAACAGTATCCCGTAAAGCAACCCCCGTTCGTTTCTTCCCCTGCACCTTCCCCCCCTACTTCCCCCCCGCCGCACCTGCTCCGCGGACACCACACGCCCAACCAGGCACACGCTGCGCCAAAAGTCCGGGTCCGCCACCACTCGCCTCCACAGCCGGCACACCCCCGCCACCCGGCACAGCTCCACCACCCCCAGCGACCGCAGCACCGCCTTCAGCAGGTCGCCGTTCTCAAGCACCGCCAGCCGGCTGTCTGCGGGAACCGCGTCTGCAAGCGGAACGCCTTCCGGGCCCGTGAGTCCCTCCAGGGAGGCAGCAGCAGCCGCTGCGGAGGCAGGTGCGCTGCCTGCGGTGGGAGCCGCCCCACCCGCTTGTGAGTCGTGCGCTTCCTGAAGTGCGACCGCCATGTTCATGTCGTCGACATTGTCAACATCAATGTCATCCTGCATGTCCATGGCGCCGGCAGCAGCGGACCCGGTGTCGAGGCAAAGTGGGAGGAGTCCAGCGGCTGCTGCTGCGGCTGCTCGGCCTTCGCGATCTGGGGCTTCGCGACCGAAGCGACGGACAGCACGGATGCGATCGTAGGCACGGCGCCAGCGCGGGTTCTCGGGGTCCTCGTTCGCGAGCATACGTTCCATAAATTGTCTGGGCATGCCTGCTCTAGGCAGCCAGCCTAACATGGCCTCTTCGGCCCACTCCTCCTCTTCGGCGTCCATGAGGGCTTCGTCGATGACACCGAGGTCAGGCTCGGCTCGGCGCATCCAGGCTCGGAGCCTGCGACCGGGATTACCGAACATCTCCCCGCCTTCCTCTTGGCCGACGTCTTGGTCTACAGGTAGGCAGACGCGGGGCGATGCGTGCGTCAAGACCCGAATGACGCACCTCAGAAACATAAGAACAGCTCCGTCAGTCGTTCAAGGTTGTATGCCAGCATGTCGATTACCCCCGTGCAATGGCCCAGGTGCAACCCCGAGAATGGGCGTTGCAAAAGTTCGAATCCAACACCGACCGTTCGTCGGCTAAGACATATCTGCTGTGACAAGATCTCAGTTGCATATCGACCGACACAAAGTACTGGCGAGCGTGCAACGGTAGGTTTTCGGCTACCAGCTGCCACCTGCTGCCCTGAATTGACACTGTTAATCCAGACCCTGTCCTATGGCGCGCGAGCTACACCCTTACCTGGTTGTTGTCTCGAACGCTTTCTCTCACTGTTTGGCGACTGTCTGCTGTCGTCGTCCATCCTCCCGACCTCTACGCGGGTGACGTGCGTTGAAGCATGGTATCCGATATGTAGTAGTGCTTAACGGAAAGTATATGTATCGGTGGCGAATCTTGCGAGATTACAACGAGTATGCTTTACGGCAAAGGTCGGGATGCCTACGGTCGGCATCAGCCACGATCCGGCCGGTCGTCGAGGCATTGCCGACATCGCGCCCCTGAATATCAGCCCAAAGGAACAGGACTATCCCTGTCAAGATTATAATGCAACGCTACCCAAAGGAACCCATCACCGGAGGTGACATCTGCAACTGCCAAGACGCAAATACGCACCAGCTCCCATGTTTCGGCAAGGCGTGACACAATCCATTCACGGCTCCCACAAGGTGTCTCACCCAAACGCTTAGCGCCTATTTTCCATGCTTTGGCCCCTCCCGTGGAAAAGCCTTGCAGAAGCATTACCCATCTGTCCGGTACGCAACGAAAAGCAAAACGCCCACTCACAGCTTGCACTGCAGAGCATGGGTTCGCGAGTTCCGGATCACACCTCCGGGGCACGGCGATCGCGTTCCCTCCAATTGCCGTTTGCCGGCGTCAGGGCGCAGCCTCGACTGCCAGAGCGGTCGACATCGTCTGACCAAGAAGGGACATGGCGACCCTTGGCGAGCAGTGAAGCCCCCGCGACTCGTTACATGGGCAAGCAGCGCTTGAGCCCGCCATTAAGTACCATGACCCGGCCCCACGTGCCAGTCGGAGGTCGCACTTACCCTTGCCTCCTTACCATTCGTGTGTCTAATTCCCCTCTGCTCCTGGACAGGCCTTCGCGCCAAGCACCATCCCCCACGAGCGAGGTTGAGGCCGCACCATCAGGAGGCGCCGAAGTCGTTGGTCAAACTTCCGTCGTCGTACGCCAGGCAACAACCATATCGGGAAATGCCGTGTTGCCGTCTTACTTGATATGCAACAGCGGTTAGCATTCCAATTCATTGTTCTCACGCACAGCCTTTTCCTTAAGCAAGGCTGCGCTTAGCGACGCTTGGCAAGCATAGTCGAACATAAATGCTCCCATCGCGCAGGAGCACATACCTCCGCAGCACTACCCTATTAGGCACTTTTGCATTCACGCTAGTTACCATATTATACTTTCTTTCCCATCAAAGTGCACAACATGGCCCTTCCGTCGTAGTCATCGGGCAGCAGCAGCAGTCGCTAACCGATAACTCAACGCAAAGCAGCGTATTAAGTAACAACTTTAGCACTGGAGAAACTGAAGTCCCAAAAGCCCAGGAGGAAGATGCCTCCTCTGAGTCCAAGCCCGAGGGAGCAGCCCTAATGATGACAACAATGCCATCGGCACCCCCGCCGACTGCAAGGCGCCCGCCCCTCACAGTGGTCTGCGTGTCAGACACCCACGGGCTCTACGCACAGGAGGGCCTCCTAAAAGTCCCGGAAGGTGGGGGTGACGAGGGGTTGTCGTACCGGGAGGGTGTTCCCAGGCACAGTAGCTGCAGTGGGCTGCATGCGCCGCAGTTGAGGAACTGGCAGCCCCCGCCAGCCCCCCAAACCTCCGCACACTCAAGCCAATACCTAGCTGCCTAGCTGCCTAGCCCCAACCCTGCTGCTCTCCCTTTCCCACTCCCCAATCAAGCCCCGTACCCGGGTGCCCTTGTAGGCCTGCAGCCCAAACTCGTTGAAACACTGCCCCGTGTGCTGTGTGCTGCCCTGCCGGGCCCCTACCCTGCCCCCCCCACCCTGCCCTGGCCTCCCCCCCCCGCCCGCCAGCCGACATGTTGTTGTTCGCTGGGGACGCGGAGGTGGGGTCGCCTGCAGAGGGTGTTGCCTTCTCCCGCTGGCTGGCTGGGTTGCCGGTGCGCGGTCCGCGGGTGGTCACTTGGGGCAACATGGACACGGGGACCGACATGCAGGGTGCGGGCTGGGGGGGGGGACTCGAGGGGCGAAGGGTGGCCGACGTTGTGAGAAGGTGGCGGGAGGTACATGTAGCTGAGGGAAGCACCTACTGGGGGTAAAGCGAGGGCAGCTAGCACACTAGGGGGTTAGGGCCCGGGAAGGCGCCGGCCGCGGGTGGAGGTGGGAGGAGGTGGAGGAAGAGCGGGGCAGCAGGGGTCGAATGAGGGAGGCTGGGCGTGACTGCAGCCTAAAGCAGTGCGGCAGGCCGCTTCTGCATTGTTGCCTCACTTGCGGACTGCGAGTCACGCCAGATGGAGCTCTGTCATGCAGGCCTGTGCCCTGGCGCCAGCGGGAGGAGCAGCTACAGCTTTCATGTGTACTCGTGTCCAGTATGCCCTCAGCCCCCTGCCCCTCCTTCCCCTCTTCCCTCCCTCTTTCCCCTGCCTCTGCCCATGCAGGTGTGGGTGCTGTCCTGGTGCCCGCCGCCACCCTCATAGTGGACTCCATCATGGAGGTCGCAGGGTGCGGCCGGGGGGGGGGCTGGAGGGGAAAGGGTAGGAGGGGCAGGTAGACCTTCGTATGCGGGGCATGGGGGTATGCGGGGTTGCGGAGGCAGTCTGGATGGTCAGGCAGGGAGGGGTCCGACCGTGCGGGTTGCGTCCCTAGCCTCGAGCAGCTTTTATTCCTTAACCTGCGGGCTAAACCCCGCCTCCCGCCGGACCCACCAAACTCCAAACTCATTCAACACGCATCCCCTCCTGCCGCCCCCGCATGCCGCACACGTCGCCGCAGCTACCGCATCTTCGCGTCGCCCTGGACCCCGCGATTCGCCGGCGCCTACCAGGTGTGCGGGGGCTAGGGGAGGCTGGGGCGACACAGGGGCGGCAGCAAACATAGGCGACACACTTAGGCTTGAGACAATGGTTACAATACCGATATGGCGCCGAGACGTGCTCCTGACTGTTCGCGGTGTTAGGTCCTACTCGGTGGTGGGGTTGGTGGGCGGCAAGGAGCGGCATTGTAACGCTTTCATCCGTTACATGCTCTCGGCCCTCTTTACTAAGCCCTTACGGCTCACCTGCTTGCGCATCGTGTATGCTACTTTCTAACATCCCCGCCTTCACCTCCCTACTGAGCCCTTCCCTTCCTTCCTGCACCTCTCCCCTCCCTCCTCCCCCCTCCTCTCCTGCCCCCCGCCCCCCCAGCTGGATGCTGAGGGCGAGGCACTGGACCGCTTCTGGGCGCAGCTGCTGCCGCCCAATGCGGATGTGGACATCATCCTGACCCATGGGCCACCCTACGGCATCGCGGACAAGGCGCGAGGCCAGCACCGGGGGGACGTGGGGCTGCTGCGGGCGGTGCAGGTACGGCCACTCGGGGGATGCACCGCGTCCGCTGCATGCTGCAAGGTTTGCTACGCCACGAGAATGCAGAAGATGGATACCCCGCCCCCCCCCCTCCCCCCCCTCAGGCCCTTCAGAAGCCGCCGCTGCTGTGGGTGTGCGGGCACGTGCACGAGCAGTACGGCAGCCACGCAGTGCCCCACCCCGCCGCCCCGGGGGGTGCCGTACCGCTGATCAACAGCGCCGTATTCTACGTGCAGCGGCGGGGGCACGGCGACAGCGCGCAGCCGCGGGTGATGCGGCTGCCGGAGGGGGAGGTGCTGCTGCCGGCGGCGGGGCCGGGGGCGACATGAAGGAACGGAGGGATGCGGTGGATCTGGTCTGTCGTACAGTGACGTGCGTGCGTCGGTAGATGCAGGGGCGGCAAGCGGACAGTCCCCACCTGCGAACAGGCAGCAAAAGTCGCGACAGCACCGCCGGCCACCCGTCAAGCCCGCAGGGCAGGGTCCGGGCCACACCGAGCCGTCTGCCTGCCTGCCCGCCGGCCGTACAGAGCGCCATGGCTGCGGTACGGCACGATCCTGCAAGCGGGCGACGAACGACTGAATCGGCGGCTTCAGGAGTTACGGATTAGCGCAAGTAGCGAGTATCTTGTGCCTTCCAGTGTGTAGGACACGGCCCGAGGAAGCACTAGCACTCCCAGCGATACAAGAAGACCATGCGGGTTGCTGTCGCCACATGCAGCTGGGTAGGTGGGCGAGGCGTGAGGACGTTGAAGGGGGAGAGCATGGGTCGGTGGCTGGCGGACCTCCCAGCGCTCCCACCACCAATTCTCTTTGTCAAGGCCGCTAACGAATAGTCATGCGGCTGGTTGAACCGTGAACGTAGAACCTCTTTGCTCTGCGACATGTACGGACCCATGGGTCACCCGCAGAGTGGGATGCGGGCATATAGGAGCAGGAATGCGTTGGGTACGGCGTTGGCTATCATGCTTATCATGGTGAACGTGCCGAGTGCGAGCGGAGTGCTTGCCAACCTCAACGACTGTTGTCTAACTAAACTTATGCGGTAAGCCCGTAACATGTAATCAGCGAGCGGATTTGACTTACAATCGGTCGGTCGCATAGATGTCATGTCGACTGTCATTCTACCCGTAAGGGTGTTCCTCGGCACTTCGCACGACCATCACCCACAAATACAGGGCCGGTAAATACGCAATTCAGAAACCCCAACGCATGGGGGTGTAACATATGCGATCGCAAAAGGACATACCATGGCCTGGGACACGTTACTGGGACCGAACACAAAACCTGGACGTATACGAGTATAGAAGCCGTGATATCGCAATTTCAAAAGAGAGGGGTAATAAAGCAATAGGGGGGATAACAACCGGCAACATAGCAACTGATCAAGGAAGGATGAATAGAGTGAAGCAAGCCAACACAGCAAGAAAGGGCTGCATGAAAGGGAAGGCGGTAAACCCAGCAAACAACACCGCAATACACCCAACCCACAGCGAACGCATGAATAAGCGGTTACGTAGCCCTGCCGAAACAAAAAGGAAGCACACTACATGCATCATACACACGCAAACGGCAAATTGTCTGGCCGACAAATCCTGCATCTCAAGTTGATCCCCATGCATGCAAACCGGCGCAGTATGCCCAGGAATGTGACATATTCCATGGGACAAACCCCGCTAGGACAGCAAGTACCATACCTCACCGTTACCAGACGGCATGAGCAACGTGGCGGACTCACATCACAAATAAGGCACTCCGGAAATCACATACATCAGTCGACATGTTGGGCAACGGCACTACTGACCACCAACGATCCACAACACGCAGTACTGGAGCGGACTACAATCCAAGCGCCTATCGTTGGTTGCATCCAACCATGCAAAACCTGCACCTACACCGACTACATCAACTCAAACCCTAAACTCTCATGCCTTCTGCGGACTCGCCGTCGCCTCCTTCGGTAAGTTAGCTGACGCCTCCTGCGGACTCGCCGTCGCCTGTGCAGCACCGGCACCCGCACCCGCAGCAGCAGCAGGCGGCGAAGGCGAGGGTGTTGCCGCCAGACTCGCCTGCCGCTGCTTATACTCATCCGACTTCATCATGTCTTGGATCATCATCCGCAGGTTGAAATCGCCGTTGAGCAGACCTGCTACCGTGTTATCCACAGCACTGTCATCCACGTCGCGACCCAGGTAGAACCGGTAAATCAGGTTGAGACGGTCCCTGCACGCCTCCCCAATCTGCTTCAGACCCTCAGGATTCTTAGTGATATCATTCACAGCCGCGTAGATCGGACCCTGGTATGTTCCCCGGCGCGGCGGGATCAGCATGGAGGGCTTGTTCTCAAACGGGGGATGCAGCTCCAGCCAGCCAGCCGGGTGGAATAGCCGAACCATGGTCGCAAGGCGTTGCTTGTAGCCCGCAACCATGAGAGCGTACATCAGGAACACGTCTTGTGCGCGGCCCATGTCCTCCGGCATGCCTCTGGCTTTCTCAACGGCGACAATGGCGTCCTTCAAAGGCGACTCGTCCTTGGTGGTGTAGTCGTAGCCCTTGATTGCGGCGTAGTAGGCGTCCAGGGTGTCTTGAATGGCGAGGTAGCGGGAGCGCTGCAGGCCGTACACCCAGAGGTGACCGATGCGGACGTCGGAACGCGTGACGGTTGCGCTGTAGCGCTTGTCCTCAAACAGGAAGGGGTTGTCCGTGTCGGTGACGCTGATGAGGCCAATGTCCTTGTCGTCACGGGACATGTCGAACATCTCGAGCATAACCTGTGCGGGCGAGCGAGGTGGGGTTGGGAACGGGGTTAGGACGCGTAACGGTGCGGTGGGTTAGATAGGATGTCGAGTTTGGGATTGGTAAGGATGGGCCACAAAACAGCGGGAGTAGTCGCAAAGCGCACATCCGGAAATCCCTGTTTCCTTGCCACTTGCCCCACACATGCAACTCTAACTATTCGAACAGCAGTGTAGCTTAGTAACCAAGCTGCCAGCACTTACGCGTAGCGCTTGCGGGTGGATGATGTTGCCTTCCTCCACGACAATCATCGCATCGTAACCAAGGTAGCCAAGCAGCGCCTTCCTGACCAGGTAGTGGTGTAGCCCAGCGCGAAGGTTTGGTTGGTGTTGAAGGTAGACATAATTGACGCCAGTTAGCGAGGAAACGTCCAACGTGTAGTCGCTGCCACCGTCCTGGGAGATGATTAGGTCAAACTCGCCCAGTCCTTCGCTGGCCATTATGGCCTTCAGAGCGGCTTTGATAAGCTCTACACGTCCTTGACAAACGTAGACCAGGGCGATGCTGCTATTCTTGGAAAAACCTTTGAAGAGAGTGCTCCGTGCCGAGGCTTCACTCCCAATGACACGCTCCATATAGGCCGCATTCGACTCAGGATTGCCCTCAGCACTGGCCGCTACACAGCCCAGGACTAATGAGAGGAGCAGCAGCGCTTTAGCCTCAAGGCGTACCCTACACATATTGCGTTGATAAGGAGAGAAGATTGCAGAAGAGTTTATAAGCGAGTTAACAGTTGATAGTAAACTTTATTCCAATTGAACGTTTATATATCTGGTCACCACTACTGGGGCGCAACGGGTCCGTCGTAAGGCAGGCTTACCGTATTCACGGCATTGTTGTACCTGCAGTTTCGAGTCAGACTTCCAGAGTTCCCATGGGACACCAGCGAAGTTATGTAGAGAAACCGTATAACAGCACAAACGTTTCTACATTGGGCTGCGCGCCTTCGCGTGAGCTGCCAGGACAGACCACGGTCGCGGTCTTGGATGAAACACCCTGTTGTTGCTTCTATGTTCGCATACAACCGCGTACAAGTCCATTATTTACTTCTTAGGTCTTACCTCATATGTAGTGCATTGACAGTGACATGGCTGTGGATCAAATGTCATCACTGTTAGACGCAATGCGCGTGCAAGGCTCCATTGGCTGCATATTGTTCAATGCATATTAACCGTTTGTCAAGCGTGCATCTTTCGCGGTACATTCAAAGCTTCGCATGTACCGCGCCCGCAGGACATCTCCCCATCCTCACAGCGCCTTAGGTTAGTATTCAGCAATTCACCCACCCCGAGAAAAGAATTGCAACCACTCTGCAAATCATTATGCACACGAATCAATGCACCAGCCCCGCATTTCCCCAGTTACCCAACGGACATTGGGAAGCTAAGAAAATGCAACACCACACATGTACCCCATAACAAGACAGAGTTCAAGCACTAACACTACCTGCCGCAATTGGTTTTGTGTTCGCTACGGACATACCGTGGTTACATTCCTATCGAAAGGGCAGCAGCAAGCAGACCAACCCAGGCTGCGCCATCGAAAGGGGATCCCAATCGACGTCACAAATTCCGGATGCTCCCTTGCTACCATACACCAGCATACCGGTACATAGGAAATTCCCGGTCATAGAGCTGTGGATGGAGGGCTAGATTTCGTGGTGTATACAGTACTGCCGCATCTGTGAGCAGTTGAAATGTACGACGGACATTTCGATCCCTGTGCGCATACACACCTCGCCTTGTTTCGCCTCGCGGCCAGTTATTTTAACACACCTTCCCTGCTCGCATGCCGAGTCCCTTCCCGCAAGCAGTGCTCGGTACACCGCCTGCTGCACACCTGCGAATGAAGCCAGGCGGCACCGTCGCCGCATGTGGCCTCTCACCACATGCCTTCCTTTAAACCATGCGCATGCACACCATCACCATCACCATCCGGCAATCACAGTATGTTCCTACTCGCGGCCAGTTTTCTTAGCACACCATCCTGCTTCCCCTCCTTACCCCTACTACCACGGTATGCCCTTGGTCACTAGTTAACACGATAGCACATGGGAAGTCCACAATGCATTACCTGACGACAATGATATGACATGTATACAGAACGAGACGCTTCTCTGGTCAATCACACAAAGAGTTCGGACAACCACGACGTCAACTGCTGCTATTTGGTTGCCCCGCCCCCCGTCGCATGCCCGTCCCGAACGCCTTACTCGCCCTCCTCGTCCGTCTCTTCCTCATCGCCTGACTCATCTTCGTCGCCCGGATAAAGATATTCTATTTCCGAGTCCAGTCGTGCAAGCCACCCCACCAGCTGCCGCCAGCTGCTGGGGTCCGCCGGGTCCTGGGCGGCGCTCCACGCCTCCTGCATCACCTGTGTGGGTGGGGTCAGCGGTATGCGGGAGGATAAGGATAAGGAGCGCACAATAGCGCAACACGTGGGAAGGCACATGAGGCACCGGTAGTAGGCAAGGACGCGGGGGCGGCAGTGCGCTTATAGGGGCAAACACCAGACAGACCTCACGGCCATGCCTCCTTAATGCACGCCAGGGCTAAGTCCGGCGTGAGATAATACTAATTGTGCAAAGGACACGGTCAAACGCGTGTGTGCGTGCCGGCCAGCACATCAGACGCCTAAAAGGTGAGCCCTGTCGCCAGCGAGGGCCCACTGCAATAGCATGGTGCTAACCAAGCCCGCGGCCTTGCACAGCAAGTAAACGATACCCTACGCACCTCCTCAACTTGGCTTTTCAGGATCTCGGTGCAATAATAGTGGTCTGAGCTGTCGTACCGCATGTCCACAGGGAGGGGACGTCCACGACGCCTTGCATGCCCCTCTCCTGCACCAACGCATCGGCTGCAGCCACCAGCTCCGCAGCCTTTTCGTTCTCGCAAGTTACGATATCAAAGATGGTGCCGCCGGCTCGGTAGCAGTTACTGATGAGGGCCACACCCGCCAACTTTCCCGCTTTGAACGACAGCGCCATAACCGTCCGTCTCTCGGATACAGGCCCGCGCACGAAAAGGTGGCGTTCAGAGTAGTGCTGCGACGCTGACGCCCCCGGAGCTGCCGCACTGGAAGGCGTTACGGATGACGTGGCGTCAGGCACCATACGCTGCACCGCCATGGACAACAGTTGTTCTCCTGACGGCAGCTGCAGCACTGGGACCCACCCGCCGCGTGCACTGGCGGCTGGCCCGGCTGCTGCTGCTGCCCCTCTTCGAAACCTGGTTGCGCATTGACGCCCGCATCCTGGGGAAGGATAGTCAGGGTAGTAGCTAGCATAATGCCGCCGGACTGGTAGCGGATGTCTTCGGGCAGACCAAACTGCTCAACAAGCTCAGCAACGACAGCTGGCGAAGTGTCATACCAGGAAAGCCGCTTGATGTGCACTCGTGCAAAGGTAGTCCCCAGCTGCCGCAGGTCCGCCACCTTCTCCAGCTGCCAAACGTGCGACAGTTCTACCACGTCGATACGAAGATCATGCGCCTCCTGCAGCGGCCGGCCTCCCGCGAGGTTAGACAGCAGCCCGCGAACCTCCCGCAGCTTGTCAGGATGCCCACCGCAGCACTCCAGCAGGTCCACGGCAATGAAGCAGCCGGCGTCAAGTCGGGCGTGCAGGCGCCTGCCGGGAAACTCACTGCAAACGTCTATATGCAGGCGCTGCAAGGAAGCTGGTAGGCTGTCCCGCAGGAGCCGCCAACTGCTCTGCGGGAGGTTGCAGCTGTGAAGGTGCAGCTTACGGAGCCCTGCCAGCCGTGAAAGGGTGGTGTTTGCGGGCAGCTCCAGGTCGCCATTCGGGCTCACCTCGTTATGGCCGCTGACCTGCAGGTGCGAAAGGTTGCTGCCGCCCCTCGCAGCCAGGACTGCCAGGCCAACGACTGCGCGGCAGCTGGGAAGGGAAAGCCACTGGAGCTGCGGCAGGCAGGCTGCAAGGATGCCGTACATGTTGCGTTGGTGAGGTGCGGAGTACGACATGCCACGGAAGCTGCGCATGTCCAGCTGCTGCAGCCCAGGCAGCAGCGGCGCAAGTGCCGATACAATACTCTCAGCACACGGCACGGCATCCTCCTAGTCCTGCACGAGCTCAAGCCGCGTGATGCGGCATCGAGCTTCTAAGGAGAGCTGCTGGAATGGTTGGGTAGCCAGGAGGACGGCGTCCGACATGCGGAAACCATGCCCCAGCTCTAGAATGAGGCGGACAGACGTCAGGCCGGTGAAACGCCTCAAGGATGGTCGCATGCCCGCCATAAGCTCTCCAAGATGCTCCGGCAGCAGGGTAGTACAGCTCTTCGTGAAGAGCCTATCGACTAGATTACAGAAGGCAGAGCACGTTATACGGAAGGAAAGAAGGCTGTACATATCCTTTATTAGTAACCCAAGTATATTATCCTTGATGTCGCCGGGCAGAACTTCAAAGCTGCTGCGCCTATCCTGGTCTGCTGCCGGGGCAGTCATGGCTGTCTTGCAGGTTTTAATTTGCCTATCAGTGCCTATCCAACTGTATGCTTATTACGATATGCAAGCCCCTGTATTCTCCGGTATATGCTGTGCAGTTTGCAGGCGGGGACAGGATGCTTGCCTACTAATACAGCGTTTCACATGCGTCGGTTCAGCCAAAGTTTGCATTAGGCGTGTCAGTTGGCCTATGCCGTTTACATTGCGGCCATATGTATATATGTTGCAAGGGCTAGGTAGCTAGAGGTAAGTTACCTCCGTTGGACGGTTGGAGGCACCTCCAATTTGCCGTACTGGTATCCGATACCTGGAATGCCAGGAAGGATGCTCTCCGCATTTTCAACCCAGTAGACCCCGTACCTGGGGTTGGAGTTAAGATGTGCAGGTACAAAAATTGGATGGGTGACCCGGTTGACAGGGGGTACATTACTCAGCGGCAGCATGTGAACCTGATGCGTTTTCGGCTGTGTGTGTGGGGCATTGAAGCCAATCGCCCTAGGGGTAGGCAACGAGTAGCGCGTGTCTGTCCTATGTGTGCCGTGCAGGGGTCGCCGGGGAGAGTGGAAGATGAGAAGCACATCCTCATTGAATGTCCCGCTTACGATGATTTGCGTGACAAGATATGGGAAAGTGGTGTCTCACGGGATGCTGATATGATTGCTGTCATGGGCATGGAGAATCAGGCATTGCTTGCTAGTGTAATCACTAGCATGCGAAGTCGCAGGATTGCGCAGACAGGGTTTATCATATGATTAGCGTTCTGTTTGTTGTCTCTTTTGTTTGCTTTTTCTTCATTTGGTTGTTTTCGCGTTTTGTGCTCGCGATCCATGAGCCTTCTGGCTCGGACGGATCTTACGAGCTCGGTACGAAGCTTGTAACACATACATACATACATGCTCTCCGGTCTCCTGAAGAGGGATGTGTAATTCCAATGACGTGAGTCGTCATAGCGTTATGGTCCATAGGGTTATGCGGTCGCACATGAGTCGTTCAGAATCCCATGTGATGTCTGCATCTCCGGTCTTCGCTGGCTGAGCGTCCATCACCAATCGGCCCAGAGAGTTGTGAGGAGATGGTTACGAGCCCTGTCCCGCGGTTTCGTGCGGCAGAAGGGCGGTGTTCATGTTCCTTAGTTACACGTCCCTCGGCAACCTGCCTGGCACCTTCTCAGACGTCACATCAATAACTGTACTACGCCACATAATCCATGCCCGCTCCACTGCATCGCCCTACTGCATGTGTCGTGCTTCCCACACCTTCCCACCTGCATCCAGGTTCCCGGCGCGGTCGACGGCTAAGCCTTCTCTTGGAGCTGCCAGTACCCAACCGCAGCTCCCGTCTGACCGCATAACAGACGTTCTCCATCACCCCGTACCCCTCCCTGCACCCCTCCCCATCACCACCACTACAAACCCAATACACCTCGTCCGACCCCTCTGCCTCATCCAACAAACCCGCTCCCGCAACACCCCAGTCCGTCCTGCTGACTAGTGCTCCACACCCTGTACTTTTACTCCTTCTCTTCCCCTCTTCCTTCTCTCCCTCCCTTCCCCCCTCCCCGTTCTTCCTCCCTCCCTCCCCCTCCCCGTTCACCGCCGCCGCTTGCGCACATTGAACTTGGGCACCACCGGCGGCCCCTCCAGCTTCCGCCTCTTCTTCGCCTCCGCCTTGCCCGCCTCCATCGCCCGCTTCTCCATCTCCGTCAACTCCTCATTCAGGTGGCTGGCACCCTTCTTCGGCGCGCGCACAAACACACTGCCACTGGGCGCCCCCGCACCCGCTCCCGCTCCCGCACCCGACCCCAGGGCCTTCAGCGGGTCCCCTGCGGGGCCCTTGGCCATGCCCGCATGCAGTCGGCGCTTCTTGGACGCCGGCAGCGGCGCGCGGCCCTTGTTGCCGGTTTCGGAGCGCTCCGTGATGAGGGCGGGGTCCTTGAGGTAGGCGGGCAGGTGTTTCAGGTGGGCGGCGGCGGGCGCGGCGGCGAGGGGCTTGTCGTGCCGCAGCAGCGCCTTCTCCGCCGCGTGGTCCTCGAAATACTCCTTCAGCCGCTCGCTGGAGGGGAGGGAGGGGGTAAACGTGAATGCAAGGTAAAGGAATGCGGAGTCCCAGCCCCAAATCCCGACTGGGGAGTGGGAGGAGCGAGGGGCGGGGTGATTGGGTATGCCCCGCGATGGCTTCGCGTACGGAACACTGGGATTGTTATTTGACAGATCTCAAGAGACTGTCTGGTTTGACAAGGCCTAACCTCCTCTGTGCTACGGTATAGCGTGAACCCCTCTCCCTCCCTCCCTCCCTCCCTCCCTCCCTCCCCGTCCCCACCTGTTGAGCAGCTCGTTCTTGAGCTCCTTGGCCCGCGCCTCCCGCACCACCGACCGGGTGATCCCGCGCGCCACGTCCTCCCCGCGGTACCGCAGCGCCTCCACCTGCGCGCGACTCAGACGGCCGTACGGACGGAACGCAGCAGCAGCCGCACCCTTGCCCTTGCGCCGCCGCTGCTGCTGCCCGCCCTCGCCTGCCTCCGCACACACACCCGCACCCGCCGCCTCATCCTCGCTGTCCTCCTCCTCATCCTGCTCCTCATCCTCGTCCTCACCCTCCGCTCGGAAGCCCGGCTCCCGCGCCGCTGCCTCCGCCGCCTGCTGCCCCGCCTGGCTGGCGCTGGCGGCGTGCTGCAGGAAGTCGGCCAGCTGCTCGCGGAGGGACTCCTCGGGGGCGGCGGGGGAGAAGAAGGAGATGGCGGTGCCGCTCTCGCCGGCGCGACCTGGGGGAGGGGTGGGGAAGAGGAGGCGTGAGGGGCGGCAATCAGTGCACCTTACCGGTATCCACCACTCCGTTCGCCATGCTGGATCGGTTTCCCTAGTGCAGCTACCTCCATAGCTGCATACGGAACTACCTGCTCCGCCATGACCCTCATCCTACTAGAACTACTTCTATAAGAACTAAACATGTGCGCGAACGACCCCACTACATTTACCCTCCCATCGCCCCACCCCACCCCCTCGTGCCCTCCCCCACCTGTCCGCCCCACTCTGTGCACGTAGCCCTGCAGGCTGGACGGCGGGTCGTAGTTGATCACCGTCCGCACGCCCTTGAAGTCAATCCCGCGCGTCACTCCAAACTCCGCATCCTTCCTCGCGCCGCCCTTCCCCGCCTCCGCGCCCCCCTTCTCCCCCTTCTTCTTCTTCTTCTTGCCGCCCGCCTGCTGCGCCGCGTCATGTGCGGGCGCATACACATCATCCGTCGCGATCAGGTAGTCGAAGAGGCCGCGGTTGAAGGAGGCCAGGATGTGCGAGCGCGAGTTGAGGGGCAGCTCCGAGTTCAGCAGCGCCGGCCGCACACCAAAGGCCTCCAGGAATAAACGCAGCCGCACGCCCTCGTCCACGGTGTTGACAAAGATGAGCGCCTTCTTGCGCACCAGACCCAGTCGCAGCAGCGCCAGCACGTGCAGCAGCTTGTCGGGGCGGGGACACTGGGGGCGGGGAGGAGGAATGGAGGGAAGAAGGGGGACGGATGAGGGGATTGAATGGTTGTTTGAAAGGGGAGGGACCAAGGAAGCGGACATCACGTCTACGGCATATACAAAGGGCTAGTCAGGCTCCTCAAACCCCGCCTCCACCCCGCCTCCACGCCCCGCCCACCTGGATGTAAAAGTGCTTGATGTCCGCCGACACTCCCGACCCGGAGGCCAGGCTGCCGCCGTCACGCGCCTCCGCCCCCTCGCCCCCCGCTGCTCCCGCCCCCGCCCCCCCCTGCGTGAGGTTGAGGCTGATTGGGTTGTGCAGCACCAGCTTCTGCAGCCGCTCCACGTCGGGGCTCACGGTGGCTGACATGAGGATGCACTGGCAGGAGCGGGGAACCTGGGGGGGTGGGTGGGTGGCAAGGGGGAGAGGAGGGGGACGGGGGGGTTAGGTGAGGCTTTGGGAGTGAGGAGGAGAGTAGGAGGAGATAGAGTAGAGGAAGAGCAAAGGGTGCTTGGGTGGGTAGGTGGGTGTGGAAGTTGGGGAACTTGGGGCTGTGGTCGATGAGGGAAGGCGGTGGGCCCTCCCGCTGCTAAGCGTCTTCCCCGCCTCAAGCCGTCCCTCCCCTCCCCGCCTCCCCTCTCCCCCCGCCCCACCTCCGGTGCCAGCAGCTGTATGTCCTCCTCGTACCCGTACGACAGCAGCAGATCCGCCTCGTCCAGCACCAGCACCGCCAGCCACTTGGACAGCTGCGAGGGGGGCAGCAGGCCATCGCGCAGCACCGTGGCGATCTTGCCTGGGAAGGCGGGGGGGGGGGCGGGGAGGAGGAGGGAAGAGGGAGGCGGAGGAGAGATGAGGGAGGGGTGTAGGGTTAGGAGGAAGTTCCGGGTTGGGGTTGGGCGGTGGGGTAAGGTGGAAGGGCGGGCTTGGGAAATACATGGCTTGTGTTTTGTGGGGTGAGGGCTGGGGAGTTGCTGGTAAGGCAGCGGCGGGGGCCACGGCGGGGTTGGGGCTGGGGTCACGGGGCCTGATGCCCCGGCAGCTGGCTGCCCTGCCGCCTGCCTGCTAGTGGGCTGCACTAATGCCTCCAGTGCCGCAGGGGCGCCCGCAGCGGGGGGCCAGCGGGTGAGGCCCTCCGCGCATGCCCAAACAAAACAGCAACACCCGGCCCCGTCCGCCCCGGCCCCGCGCGCTCGCATGCCGGCCCGCTGCTGCTCCCGTGGAGAGAGCGCCCAGGAGGAGTCCGCCCGCCTGCCGCCCCCCCCTGCCGCTCCTCCTGCTGCCGCTGCTGCTGCTGCCCGCCTCCTGCTGGATCACCGTCCTTCCCTCTCCCTGCCAGCCCGCTTTCTACAGGGACTGTAGCCCTCTTGCCCCGCCCTCTTCCGGCGGTCGTCCCCCAGGTAGAAGCCCCACCTGGCTCTCATCCGCGGCAGCAGGGCCCCAAGCCCCGCCGGCAGGCACCCTGCACGTCCTCCCCCCTCCTCCCACCCGGCCTGCACAACCACCGGTCCCGGGCCACTCCTCTACCTCCCCGCGTTCCCCTCCCACTACCTCCCGTGCCCCAGCCCGCCCGCTCCCCTCCCGCATCTGGGTCGGGGCCCGCTGCCTACCCGGAGTGGACACCACGATCTGTCCCGCCCGGCCGACAGCGCGCTTCAGCGCTGGCCCGCCCTCCTCAATCAGCGCCGTGGCCTGGGGGGGAGCGGGTGGGTGTGGTGAGGGGAGGGGAGGGGCAGCGGGTGAGAAACACACACGCGGGGGACTGGCCGGGAGATTGAGTTGGGGGGTTGTGTGCATGTCAGCAGCCTGGGCGGAGAACACCTGGCATGACCGGAAGTAGCCCCCCCGCCCACCCCTGCATCCCTGCAACCCCTCTTCTTCGTTACCCCATCCAGCCCAGAAGGACCTACCGTGATGCCTGCTCCGCAGAGCTCCGCTGTGTCCCTAGCCTCCTGAGCCACCTGCAGACGGACCAGAAGGGCGGTGGTGGGAGGGCGGAGAGGAGCAATGCGGAGGAAGGATTGTACGACGAACCCGCGCTAAGACGCCGAGCGGGTATGCAGGTTGCTTAAAAGCATCGAGCCGAGCAGTCATAATCGCCGCCGTGGGCAAAATGTTGCGGCGGCGCTAGCGATGAGCTATGCGATGGCGGCCGCCTCTGGACCAACCGACCTGCTGGCAGAGCTCTCGCGTCGGGACAAGGATGATTGCTCTAAAGCTGCCGCCCACATTGTCTGATGACAATATCTTGTGCAAAGTTGGTAGCAGGTATGCAAGGGTCTTGCCGCTGCCGGTGCGTGCTCGCGCCACCACATCCTTTCCCTCCAATGTACGTGGGATTGCTTCAAGCTGCACTGGTGTAGGTTTTGTGAATCCGCGTTTCCCCAAGGCCCTAAGGAGCCTGGGGTCCAGCCCCAGGTCCTGGAAAGACATACCTAGTATAGTTCAATTGTAATCCTAGTAAAGTTCAACAGTGTTTCGCTGGAATGAATAGGACTCGGCAAGGAAAACAAGCCACAATACTCCGCCTCAATTACAAAGGCAACTGAAGTTTGGTTAATTGTCAAGAGCTTTTAAAGTACTACTTATAACTGATATAACGTCTGAATACAAGAGCTTAATTGCTAACAACCTGGCGACACTGGCTGCAAAGGCTTTGGTTCACGGCGTGGGTGCGCAGCTATGGAGGGGTGCGTTGGCAACCAAGTTCTTCTGAACAAAAGGGTAGACACAACACAAATAGCACCCGTCGTACCTGGCAACTCGCTCCTAGTGCCTTCATACCGAGACTACCCTTATGCCAAAACGTCGAAACACCGAAAGCTCGAGACTATGCATCTTCTCATGTTTCCTGTAATACACAACATATTCGAAGAGCAGAGCAGGGCCTGCTGACGCTGTTACTAAGCCCTTTCCATGCTCCGGGGATCGGCACTAGTAAGGTGTCCTATGAAGCCTTATCGGCGTGAGCAATGGGCACACAGATTCGCCTGTCCTTACCTCAATCTGCGATTTGGGAGCACCGCTATCGTATCCAGGACCCTTTCTAAGGCTCCGGACTCTGGATCGGGGCTCTGTCGTACGTGCCCAACCTCCTCCGTCCGGACGCTCGGGTGGAGGACACATAGCATGATCATGAATAGTTGGCCCATAGGCTGCGTTCGTTGTGTCGCTCCACATTTTCATTACGTGCGTTCTTTGAAACCCTGAAAACAACAAGCATGGCACACGTGCTCAGGGGCAGCCAGCTTCAAGGCACTAACTGTCGCGCTCGTGAAGTGTCTGCTTTTCACGCAACGTTTCGGAATGTGGTAGTTCCTCACACGACTAGATCATCCGTGCCCACCGTGCACCTTTCACCGAGACCAGCCCCTTCTGCTCGTCGCTCGACACTTCATGCGGCATCGACTGTAGAGGCACATACATCTAGGTTAGTTCACTGTTATAACCATTGCACTGGGACACTCTATACCTGTAACCTCCACTAACAACAGCCGACTGCCATTCAGCGACAAGAACGCACCTATGGCGGTATCACAGATCGGCCTTGTTGGCCTTGCGGTCATGGGACAGGTGCGTGCTTGCGAGCGTAAGCGAGCTATCGGGCAGAAGTAAGGGACGCTCTTGCGGTGTTTCGCAGAACATGGCGCTAAACGTTGCCGAGAAGGGCTTCCCCATCTCGGTCTACAACCGCACCTACGAAAAGACTGAGGCGGCAGTAAAACGTGCCCAGAAAGAGGGTGGGTGCGGTTGCCCGGGTCCCGAGCGACTTCCTGCGAGTCCTCGGGACACTAATTTCGCATGAGCCCCTCGAACGCAGGTCTCGGTGACAAGCTCCGAGGCTATGAGACAGTGAAAGACTTCGTTGCCAGCTTGCAAAGGCCAAGGTGCGTTCCTATTGCCAGTCGAGAGCTAGGCAACCGGTTAACGTAATCCTCATCCACAGGCGTGTCATCATCCTCGTCAAGGCTGGCTCCGCGGTTGACCAAACCATCGATGCTCTCTGCGAGCACATGGAGCCCGGTGACATTATCATCGATGGCGGCAACGAGTGGTGAGTTTGGGAGCGCAAACGCTGTCGGGAGGAAGTGCAGCAGTCGCGGCTGAACGTGGAACAGCTTTGGATGTCGAAATCACCGATGGCAGCTTCCTTGCCTGGCGTTCTATGCGAAAAGCTGCTAAACGCTAGAGACCAAAGTAAATGCGTTTGCGGCAGCCCCCTGCTGTCGTATGTGGCTTCGAGTCAGTCCTTGCAACTTGCTTTTGCGGGCCAAGCGGCCGTTACCTCGGCTATTGATGTTACGGTGACGGTGACGCAAGACTTGCGCCCTTCCTACCCCGCCCTGTCTCACCCTCACCCCAGCTCACCTCCCATCCTTCCAACCCAACCCACCCTTCCCTGCTCTGTCCCCTCCCTCGCAGGTACGAGAACACGGAGCGGCGCATGGCCCGTGTGGCCCAGAAGGGGCTGCTGTACATGGGCATGGGCGTGTCGGGCGGAGAGGAGGGCGCGCGCAGGGGTGAGAGCGGGCGGGGGTAGGGGGAGGGGAGGTGGAGGGGTAAGAGCGGGCGGGGGTAGGGGGAGGGGAGGTGGAGGGGTGAGAGCGGGCGGGGCCCTGCCGCGGAGGGTTGCCGGAGTTGGGTTATCGTACAATGCGGAAGGGGTGTGCTGGTGGCACGGGGCGGTGGGACGCTGGGCAGAGGCGGCTGGGGGCCTGCAGCGCTGGTGGCCGCTTGTGGTCCGGCGGGGTGGAGGCAGCAGGGTGCGGCCTGGCTCGTGGGGCTACCTCCGGGCCTCCGGGCCGCGTGCGGTCTGCCCCCGCTGAGGCCCCCAGCAGCCGCAGCGGCTGGGCGGTGTGCGGGGGGTGGGGTTGGTGGGCGGGGGCGACAGGCAGCCGCAGCGGGCGGGCTTTCGGGTCGCCGGTGAGGGGTTACGCTATGATGTGAAGCGTTGGTTTTAGTTGTTACAGGTACGGTACCATTTAGTTTCCGAGTCTCTTAACGCTGCTGGGCCCCCTCCCTCCCCTCCTTCCCCCCCCTCCCCCCCAGGCCCCTCCATGATGCCCGGCGGCAGTCCCGAGGCCTACTCGCACATCCAGCCCATCGTGGAGAAGGTGGCGGCGCAGGTGGGGGGCCAAAGACCATGACTTGGGGGGAGGGGCGGGAGCAATGGGGGGAGGCGTTTGGGAGCAATGAGAGGGGAAAAAAGAAATTGAGAGGGGAGGAGTGGCCAACGTTAGCCGGTCGCGGGGAGTGCAGGCAGCTGGCAGGGGCAGGCCGGAGAGGAGCGACGGCGCGGTTGCGTCAATGCAACCCTCCTTCCCCCCGCTGCTTTGTTGGTGCTGCTGTGTCCTGTGTGCGGTTGCTACACTCGCACGCATGCGCCGCTGGGAGCCCGCATGGCTCCTCCGCTGCACTGCCGCCCGGGTGGTGCCGCCCAGCCCCACCGCACCTCGCCGCACCCTGACCTCCTGATCCTCCCCTCCATCCCACCCCCTCCCCTCCGCTAACCCATTTTTGTTTTTGTGGCACTCTGCCGCTCCTATCCCCATTGTCTTGCCCCAACCTGTGGTTTCCTATGGTTCGGTATGGTCTTTGACCCCCCCCTCCGCCTGCTTGCCCGCCCCCCCAGGTTGACGACGGCCCCTGCGTGATGTACATCGGCGGGGGCGGGGCGGGCAACTTCGTCAAGATGGTGCACAACGGCATCGAGTACGGAGACATGCAGCTCATCAGCGAGGTGGGGGCGGGGGAGCGCGGCGGGGGGGAGTCAGGGGTGAACGAAACGTCTCTGTTCCCAAGGAAGCAGCATGTCATGGGCAACTAAATAGGGAGAGGAGTCGGCGGGGTGCCACAGGACAAGTAAGGGTGAAGTCTCCAACCCCCCCCCACACATCGGAATTTCTTTTTTTACCCCCCCCCCCCTCCCCCACCTGCTCGGCTGCACCCCCCTTCCCCCCCCAGGCGTACGACGTGTTGAAGACGCTGGGCGGGCTAGACAACGAGGAGCTGGCGGCGGTGTTCAGGGAGTGGAACCAGGTGGGGGGAGGGGCGCAGGGGGGGGGAGGGAGGGAGGTGTTGGGCGACCCACCACCAGGTGACCAGGATGCGGATGCGGATGCGGGGCCTCAGCCGCCTCACCCACACAACCGCACCAATCCATCTCTCCACCCGCTCCTTGGAGCCTGTCACCTGGTGTTGCTGCTACACTCCACTGCACTGCACTACAGCTACACTACCGGTTTGCCACGCATGTACTTACTTCGTCCCCCCCCTCCCCCTCCCCCCCCCCCAGGGCGAGCTCAAGTCCTTCCTGGTTGAGATCAGCTCGCTCATCCTGAACAAGCGGGACGACCAGCCCGGCGCGGCGGGCTACCTGGTGGACAAGATCGTGGACCAGACGGGGGCCAAGGGAACGGGTGAGGGAGAGAAGGAGGCGGAGGGGGGGGGAGGGGGCTGGGGAGGCATGCGGAGGGAGCCAGGGGGGTACCACAATGACATCCGCCTCTGAAAGCCTATCCGTCCCTTAAGCCTAACCTCCTTCCTCCTCTCCTCCTCCCACTTGCCTCCCACTCCTCGCCCCCCCTGCAGGCAAGTGGACGGTGCAGCAGGCTGCGGAGCTGGCGGTTGCTGCCCCCACCATGGCCTCCGCGCTGGACGCCAGGTACATGAGCGCACTCAAGGGGGAGCGGGTGGAGGCGGCGAAGGTGAGGGGGGAGGGAAGCAGGGGTAAAAAAGAAATTCCAAAGTGTGGTGTGATAATGATACAGGGGGAGGGGGGAGGGGGCAAGTGGGGAGGGAGGGGCGGAAGGGGCGCTGCCCAGGGACATGGCTGGGAGGACGGTTGGGACCTTCAGGGGCGGCCGCTGGATGGCTCCACTGGCATCCTACCTTCCGTTGAGTAGTTGCTGCCGCTGCTGCTGCTGCTGTACTGGGAGCCCCTGAAGCAGCGGCAGTGCTGTGCATCACCACCTCTGTTACCCCAATGCCCGCTCACCCTCATAAACCCCACCTCCCCACCCCACCCCCGCCCCCAGGTGTTTTCCTCCTGCGTGTCGCCCGCCCCCGTGCCCGCCGCTGACAAGGCCCAGCTGGTGGCCGACGTGCGCGCCGCGCTGTACGCCTCCAAGATCTGCTCCTACGCGCAGGGCATGAACGTGATCAAGGCCAAGTCGCAGGAGCAGCGCTGGGACATTGACCTGGGGGGCCTGGCGCGCATCTGGAAGGTAAGGAGGGGGGGAGGGAGAAGGGTGGTGGGTAGAAATGAGGAAACTGACGAACTGAATGAGGAGGCTTGGAGGGAGGGAGGGAGGGGGATGGCAGGAAGGAGAAGGAGAGCAAGGGGGAAGGAGATGCTGCAGCCGCCGAGCAGTGCTTTGCTGGCCTCAACTGCTAAATACCTACCTACCTGGATTCATTTGGCGTTTCCATACCCGCTAGCAAACCTTTCTCCCCTTTTCGCCTCGCCGCCCCTCCCCCTCCTCCCCACCCCCCAGGGCGGCTGCATCATCCGCGCCCAGTTCCTGGACCGCATCCGCGCCGCCTACTCGCGCAACCCGCAGCTGCCCTCACTGCTGGTGGACCCGGACTTCGCGACCGAGCTGGCGGCGGCGGAGGGCGCGTGGCGGCGGGTGGCGGCGCTGGCGGTGTCGCGGGGGGTGCCGCTGCCCGCCATGACGGCCTCGCTGTCGTACTTTGACACATACCGCAGGTGGGAGTAAAAACAAATATAATTAGACAGGTGGGGGGGAAGAGGAAACAACGAACTGACTGAGGGATAAGGGGGGGATGGAAGGGGAAAAGAGAGGGGGAACAGAAGAGTAGGGGGTGCGGTGGTAGGCAGCCGTGCGTGTGTGTATCCGTCCGCCTGTCGGAGTGGGTAAGGGTGTCGGAGGGCGTATGGGTGGAGTGTGTCTCCCCCGGCAAGGGCTGCTGTTTCCAACCTGCCGCCCTTCATGCTGCTGCTAGCTACCCCTCCATTCCTTCCCGCTTCCCCCGCCCTATACGCAGTCCTTTATCCAGCCTTACATGGAGATTTGTTTTTTAACTCCTATCAATTCCTCCCTCTCCCCGCCCCCCCCCCGCCCCCAGGGACCGGCTGCCCGCCAACTTGGTTCAGGCCCAGCGCGACTTCTTCGGCAGTCACACCTACCAGCGGGTGGACCGGGAGGGGTGGTTCCACACGGTGTGGGACGAGAGCTTCGGGTCCGCCGACTCCATCACCACCAGCGGATACGTGGTGTGAGGGGGGAGGGGGGAGGAGGAGGAGGGAGGATGCTTGGGTGGGCTCCGTGCAGGTGTTCTGTTGAGGTTGGGTGGAGGCGCGGTTACCTTGGGAGGGGGTATGTAGCAAGGGGAAGGGGCGGAAGGTGTACCTACGCCATATATAGGACGGGGAGAGATGTGCTGAAAGAGCCATGTGGGTTGGGAGGGCGAGGGAGGAAGCGGTTCGTTTCCAACGTTTTGGTATAGTTAGAAGTTGTGATGCCAAGCCGTGCGGGCATTGAGCGGCCTTGTTTGGACATGTTGCTGGGCTGTACAGGCCATGTTGCGGTAGGGGCTTCTGTTGGCCGGACGTCGTTTGCCCGTTCGATAGGGATTCGGGAGTACCAAGTCATGTATGCTATCTTGCTATGACCTATTGAGTCGATGGCACCTGGTGCTGAGTAGACCCAAATGTTCGGCTTTAGGCATGACGGGTACGTGCAAGGTCACTTGTTGTGTTTGGAAGCGCCTGCGTACCCGTATTGGGGAAGGCGACATGTGCTTACGGCCTTTGATCTTAATAACAATATTCTTTGGCGGGGGCTAAAAGGCCCCACGGGCCCTGCATGTTGAGGTGTAGTAATGGTACCGGTATGTGAAGCGCTGGATGGGAACGTGTGAACGGTTGAACCTTCAACGCGTATCTCGCAAGTAAACATTCAGAACAGGAGTTAGGGTTAAAACCCAGTAACTCCTCCTCCGCGTCATACATGTATCATACCAATCAACCTCCTGTACACCGTTGTAAGACAAACAACCATCAGCTTGGGGGACATGGGGGTTTCGCGCCATGCCCCTCGCCCGCACACCTAACCCACCCCCTCAGCCCCTTCCACCTCCAACTCCCCTCACAGCCCACGCCTTCACATCCCCTGGCGGCGGCAACGTCCCCCTCCAACAACAGCAGCAGAGACGCCAGAGGGGTGTGATGTTGTGAAGCTGTGTGCGTGTTACCCATCTTGTCGTATCACCACACAACGAGTCATACCGCGGTGGTAGTCCGAAGTCAAAGCCCGATCGACCAGAGCCTCATTTATGTTCAGGTACTGAACCGAATAAAAGCGACAGCAAAGGCCGCCTCACGTGCACAGCAGCCAGCCAGCCAACCACAACCAAACAAACAAAGCCGTGCACCGGGCACGCCCGGAGCAGTAGAATTAGCGGCAGCAGGCACTGCCCTCCTGGGCCTCATGCTGCGCTGCGTACAAGCGGCCCGTGCCGCGCCCCAGGGGGTTTGGCGCTGCCACGCTACACAGCCACACCGCTGCTGCCGCCGCAGCTCCCTATCACGCGACAGTGGTGGTGCTGCTGCTGCCATCACGCCGGCCGTTTACCGCCGCCGCTGGGGCTTGCGGAAGGCCCAGTCCACCTGGGGCAGCGGAGGGAGGGCGGGAGGCAGGAGGCGAGAAGGAGCGTGGGCCGGGCTCTTGTCGCCGAGAGGGTGCACGGTTCTGCTGCGGTTGCGGGGTGATGCCTGACACGGGCTTGTAACCCTCCGCCCTCCACCAGGGAGGTGAAGGCGAGGACGCCGAGGACCACCCGAAGCATGGGACCGCATCCGTAACCCGGCCCGGCGCATGCCCCGCCACCCCTTGGATGGAACCCCTCGGGGCTGCAGGCCGGTGCAAGCAGCCAGCCCCCTCCCAGCGGGGCACGTGTATGGGGTACGCGGTGTTGAGGCGGGGCGAGACCGCAGGACGTATGTGTTTGCATGCACCGTGCTGGGCATGTCGCCATGCACCCTGTGGCTGCAGGTGCCTAGCGACTAACGCAGCAGAGCAGGGGAGCATGTCAGGGTGCGGGTGGCAAGGAGCGCACGAAGACGGAGCTTCCGGTCGCTGCAAGCTGCCGCGTATGCAGCATGGTTGGCTCGGCCGGAGGGTGTGCTCGGTGCTTGGGGGGGTGGGGTGCTATGAACCCCTTGCTCATCCCACGCGCATATGCCCCGAACCCCAAGGGCTGTGCTGACAGCTGACGAAGACACCGTCCAGTTTGGCAAGGGAAACAGTTACCCCGCCGCTGTCCATTATGCCGTTTGGCAAAGGCTCTCACCTGTATGGGCTTTCCCAGCAGCTCTTTCCCGTTCATTTCATTAATGGCTGTCTGGGCCTCCTTTTGCCCCTTGTACTCCACCAGGGCGTAGCCCTTGACGAAGCCGGTCTGCCGGTCCAGGTTCAAGTAAATGTTCTTGACATCTCCAAACTCCGCGAAAGCCTCGTGAATGTCCTCCTCCTGGGCCTCCTCGTTAATGCCGGTAATGAAGACAACCCAGCCCTCAACTGAAGCAGTAGGGCCTGGCTTGGCATTGGGATCCAACTCCCTAAAGCGCGCTCCCCCGTAACGGTCCGCCCATTCTGTAAAGTCACGATGTCCGCGGCCCTTCTTCTTCTTGTCTACAGCTTGCATGCGGTCATCGCGGTCCATTTCGTCAGCCATGGTCAACAGCGAAGGTCTACAGTGGCGGCTAAGTAAACAAGGTGAACCTACAACAAGCACGTTAATGCTATGACATACGCGGTGTAAGCCACGGCTAACGCGGAGCTCGTTGCAAAATGGTTCTTGTACGGAAAACCACCTTCGGGGCACCTGATCTGGAGCAAGAAGTATTTCACAGTTTCAGGCTTTCGGGTACGTTGACTAATAAGTTCTTGATAGTAATATTACCTGCAACTGAAATCGCGGTATTGGGGTGAAGTCCTCAAGATGGTGCTTCGTTACTTGGCGCTATCCTTAGCGTTATGATCAAGACGTCTCGCCATTGCTATCAGTGATGTACATAAGTACGTAGCCATTCCTTAATGCCGATGTTTCAGGGCTGGAAAGCGATACCGGTAGTCGCACGTGATAGGGTTGTCATGGACCAAGCGGCTGTCGACGATATGGACGACACTGCCTCTAATGCGCTGAGCCTCAGCGCGTTTATGGGCATATTGGTCCTCACGGTGCTGATTGGCAATGTCATTCGCCGCACGGGGTTCAAATGGGCGACCGAGGTATGGGGTTTCGGGCTTTCGGCTTGACAGCCTGTCAGGATACAGGCTAACACATGAAGGGAGTATACAGGAAACAAGGTTATGTACGTCGAACATAAATTGTACTCGCATCGGCCCGCATGTTAACCAACGTACGAGTGATAAGGGTCATTGCAAGTCGCCCTCAAATGGCCCAGAGTTTACACGATGAGCATGAATAACATGTGGAGTTAGACGCTTGTCTTTCAAGCCTCTTGCAAGTCGCAGTGACCCATGGGACGCCCACGGTCCACATGGTTTACGTAGTACGACACATGCAAGTCGCCCTCGCGGCCGCACCCTTCACCAGCTCTCCTTCCATTCTTCGCTCCCTTCCCTTTATATCCTTAATGAAGGGAGCAACACCTTCACCCCCCCGCTCCCTGCCTGCCACCCCCTCCCACCTCCCCCTGCCCTAACCTGTGGTCTCCTGTGGTTTGGTATGGTCTTTGCCCCCCCAGGGCAGTGTGGCGCTGCTGCTGGGGGTGTGCACCGGGGGCGCCATGTTCCTGTACTACTGGGTGCGGCAGGAGGGGGGGGGCTGAGGGGGGGAACTTGGGGGGGTGCGGGAGCGGGGAGGAGGAAGGGGGAGGTGGAGGAGGAGGGAGGGAGCGTGGAGCTTGAAGAGGGTCGTGTGTGCTCCTGGGCGAGTGTGCGTGCAAGCTATAACCGTGCCTCCTCTCTTTTCCCCCCCTCCCCCTGCCCCCCTTAGCTGGTGGACCCCGGTCACCGGGTGCCCCGGCGGCTGGTGCAGTTCGATGAGAGCGTGTTCTTCCAGACACTGCTGCCGCCCATCATCTTCTCAGCGGGTGGGGGGGAGAGGCTGGGGCTGGGAAGAGAGGGAGGAATGGAGGGCCTTGAGGAGGGATGAGGGACGAGGGGCTACTCCGCTGCTGTGTGTGTCGCTGTGTCTCACAAGCTCCCTCCCAGGCGGAGAGGGGCTGACCTGCACCCTCACCCTTTCCCTCCCTGCCCCCCTCCCTGCCCCCCTCCCTGCCCCCCTCCCTGCCCTCCCCCCAGGCTTCTCCGTGAAGAAGAAGCTCTTCTTCCGCAACTTCGCCACGCTGCTGCTGCTGGGGGTGGGCGGCACCGCACTCTCTGCGGGGCTGCTGGCGGCGGTGGCGCGAGGCGTCATGGGGGCGGCAGGTGGGTGGGGGGCAGCAGGTGGGGAGGGGGCAGGGGGGGAGGCACACTTTGGTGCTGCTGCTGGCACCGCTGCCGCTGCAGGTGTGCCAGCTCACACATGTCTCTCTCAAGCCGCATGGCTAAGCCCCCTGCTCCCTCATCCCCCCCCCCCAGCCTCCTCCCCCTCCGCCCCCCCGCTGCGCCCCGCCCTGCTGCTGGGCGCGGTGCTGAGCTGCACCGACAGCGTGGCGGCGCTGCAGCTGCTGGACCGGGAGCGCGAGCCGCTGCTGTACGGACTGCTGTTCGGGGAGGGGGTGGTGAACGATGCGACGGCGATAGTGCTGCTGGGGGCGATTGCGGTGAGGGGAAGGGGGAAGGGCGGATGAGAGTGTGGAGGGGGGAGGGGAGGGAGACCTGGGAGAGGCAGTGGCGGTTGACTCAGCTGCACACCTGGGGCAGTGTTTCCCAAGCAGCAGGACATCAGCACGTAAGAGAGGTAGTGTGACGCTGTCAAAGACGGCCGCCCTCCACAGCAGGACCCAACCATCAGGACTAAACCATCCCTTCCCCCTCCCTACCCCCTCCCTCACACCCTTCCCTCCCCAGAACCTGCCGTACGACGACGCCGGCTCCCTGGGTCCCGGCCTGCTGGGTGCACTGAGCTGGCAGCTGCTGCGGCTGTTCGCGCTGAGCACCGGGCTGGGGCTGGGGGTGGGGGTGGCGAGTGCGGCAATCGTGAGGTGGCTCTTCATGCGCCCCGCCTCCCCCTCCTCCTCCTCCTCCCTCCACCCCCACCACCCCCACCCTGCCGGCCGCCGCTCTAACTGGGGCTTCATGCAGCAACTCCATCCTCCCCACCCCCACCCCCACCATCCGACCCCTTCTCAGCCCCAAGCCCCCCACCCCAGCCCCGCCGCCTCCCCCGACCGCGAGGTGCTGGTGGTGGCGCTGCTGGGCGGGCTGGCCTACTACCTGGCTGAGGGGCTGGCGCTGTCGCCCATACTGTCGGTGTTCTTCTGCGGCATCGCCATGAGCCACTACACCTGGCACAACATGAGTCCGGCGGGGAAGGTGGGGGGGAGGGGGGGGGGAGGGGGGTGCGCTGAGTGCGCAGTGCGTCCTGCACGGCAGGCAGGCGTGCGGTGACGGCTCGGCCCATGGGTGATGCTACCCATTCCCTAACCCTCCTCCCTCCCCTCTCGCCCCTCCCCCTCAACCCCCTCCCCTGCTCATTCAACGCATGTTCCCCCATTTAACCCCCTCCCCCCCTCGCTCTGGATTGGTCCCTGGACATGGCGGCTGGCCCTTCACGTGGTTTCCCGGTCCACACCTCTTTGTGTACCTAGGTACGTGTTTATCATGTGTCGGTCTGTGTTGTTTTTTATGAGTGCTCGTGTTGTGCTGTTCCTGCTGTTGGCGTATGCCCCACGGCGCGGTGGGTCTCCACCTCACCTTCAGCAGCCTCCACACATGCCCAAGCCTATGGTAAGGTTTCTCCATAATTGGTAAGTTCGGTAAGTTTAGCTCGCTTTGCTTTCACCACCATTTCGGCTCGACTCACGGTTCATTCCACCAGGGATTGTCAGCAACTTATATCATTATCACACCACACTTTGCAATTTCTTTTTTCCCCCCCTCCCCCCCAGATGATCACCCGCCATGGCTTCCACGTGCTATCCTCCGGCTGCGAGGTGGTGCTGCTGGGGTACGCGGGGCTGGACGTGTGGGCCACTGCGGCGTGGTGGTGAGCGGGGGGGGGGGGGGGGGGAGGGGGGGGGAGGGGGGGGGAGGGGGGGGGGGGGGGGGAGGGGGGGGGGGGGAGGGGGGGGGGGGGGAGGGGGGGGGAGGGGGGGGGGGGGAGGGGGGGGAGGGGGGGGGGGGGGGGGGGAGGGGGGGGGGAGGGGGGGGAGGGGGGGGGGGGAGGGGGGGGGGGGAGGGGAGGGGAAGGATACATGCGTGCAATGAGCAGGGGGGTTGAGGGGAGGCATAGGGGGGCTTCGTGCGAGTAGCCACCGCGCACACAACCCCTGCACCCCCTGCTGCGACCCCATGCCCCTCCCCCCGCCTCCCCCCGCCTCCCCCCAGGCGCCCCGACCCCGGCCCACACCCCTCCCGCTCGCTCCTCTCCTCCGCCCTCCTGGCCGCCGCCCTGCTCGCCACCCTCCTCGCCGCGCGCGCCGCCTTCATCTTCCCGCTGTGCGCGGCGGCCAACCGCTGGTGGCGGGCGCGCGACCCCATCCCGCGGGGGGGCGCTGCGGTGCTGTGGTGGGGGGGGCTGCCGCGGGGGGCCATCACACTGGCGCTGGCGTACCACTGCTTCTACCAGGATGCGGGTGGGAGGCAGGGGGGAGGGAGGGAGGGGATTGGAGGGAGTAGGGACTGAAGGGTGGAGGAGGAGCTGCTGGCGGCAGCTGACCTCGCTACGGCGCCACCCCCTTGGAGCTCCCATGTGCCCCTCTTGTACTGGTTGCCGGCGGTGGCCCTCGCCCTGTCCTTTCCCCCTCCCCTGGGGTACTTCACTTCTCCTCTCCGCCCCCCCCCCCCCACACACACTGTGGGGACTTCACCTTCCGACATCCCAGTACGTTCCTACTCGCGGCCAGTTTTCTTAGCACACACCTCCCCTCCCCCCCAGCCTCCCACCCCGAGGCCCAGGAGGTCATCTCCGCAGTCATCATGCTGGTGCTGGCCACCACGGTTGGGTTTGGGGTGGTGACGCAGGTGGGGGGGGGAGGGAGGAGGTGTGGTGCGCAGGCGGGGAGGGGGGGCCGGGGAAGGGGAGGAGGGTGGAGGGGTGGTGACGCAGTTGGGGGGTGGGGAAGAATGTTGCGGCCCTGCATTCACGAGTGCTGGTCTCCTTACCGTTAGACACCCCGGTGTATACCTCCTGAGTCCTGAGTCCTGAGTCCTCACCCCCCTCCGCTGCTTGCTGACCTCCCTGCTCCCTCCTTCCCCGCCTCCCACCCCCACCCCCCTCGCAGCACGTGATTCACGCCCTGCTGCCCCACCATGCGGCCCCCCACCCGCACCCGCACCCGCTACCACCACCCCCAGCTCCACCCCACCTCACCACTCAGCCGCCTCAGGGCCCCCCGACACCGCCACCACCCGTCCCCGACCCGCATGCGGCCGGTAGCAGCAGCGGCAGCAGCAGCAGCAGCGGCCCCGCATGGCCCTCCCAGCTGCCGCTGCCGCTGCCGCTGCCCCCTCCGCAGCACCAACATAGCCCCTTCTTCCAGCCCCAGCCCCTGCCCCAGTCCAGTCAACCCCAGCAGACCAAGACGGAAGGAATGTGGATTCCTGGTGTTGCGGCGGGGGGCTTCAACGGTGCCAGCGGCGGTAGAGGCGGGGCCGTCAGGAAGGCTGCCTGGCGGGTACCGGAGCCAAGAGGCGAGCAGTGTCCGGCAGCAGTGGGAACAGCAACAGGGGAGCTGCAGCAGCCGCTGCTGCCGCGGCCGCATCACCGACATGCACGGAGGGGCACCACGGGGGGTATGCTGGGGGTCGGAGGGGGAGGGGGAGGGTGCGGAGGGGGGTTGGCTGCTGACGCCAACGACCTGTTGTGGCTGGGGGAGGTTCCGGGATTAAGAACCCTGGCAGCAGGTGGAGGGGAGGAGGAGGAGGAGGAGGGGGAGGAGGGGTATGAGGAGGATGAGGACGGAATTGCTGTTGCTGGGGGTGACGGGGGCGGCGCTGAGGGCGAGGATGGCGAGTCGCTGCATGGACGTGAGTGGGGCCTGGGAGGGGGAGGAGGGGGTGCGATGGTTCTTGGTTCGCTGGGCGGGGAGATGCTGCGTGCGGCTGCGGAGCTGGACGATGAGGGCGACTCGTGGGTGCATGTGGCATGGCGGCGGTTCGATGTGCGGTGGCTGCAGCCGCTGCTGGGGGGAGGGCACATGGACCCGACCACTGGCGGGGGGGCGGCGATGCAGCAGCACCAGCACCACTAGCAGCATCGTTAGCAGCGGCCGCACACTAGCAGCAGGTCCTGCTTGATGGGAGGGATGTCTGAGAGATGCTCCCGGGAGGTGTGCGCGGGATGCGGGGAAGCGGATGCGTGCGCGCGCGTGCAGGCTGAACGAGGGTTGGGGGGTGTGGGGAGAAGAGGGGTGCTGTCAGCTGGAAGGGGTGGGCGGGTGGGAAGGGGTTGATGGGGGTAGCAGGAGTGATGCGTACCCTCTATTATGAAACGTGAAACAGAGTGGGGGGTGAGCGTGCAGTATCGCAAGTAGTGCAAGCGGGTACAGGTGCATGTTTTGGGTGCAGCGGGCTAAGCTGGACCAAAAGAAGTAATCTTGCTGTGGTGTGCCTGAGTGCCGAACTGCTTATGCGGCCGGTGCGAGCTAGACCCTCCCATACTTCCATGCGAGCATTGCTTATGCGCACGTCAGGGCGCGTGTGGCTACTGCGATAGCCCACCCCACCACGTGACATAGGTGGTCCAGGCCTCATGAGGGGAGCGCCGGCTGCTGGTGTGCTGTACGGCCCCTGTGCCTGGGGGCGGCAGAGCTCCTCACAGCGATATGGTCTACCTTAACAACAAGACTAGTACTGCCGGTGTTCCAGAAATGGCGCGGATCTTCCCTGCTCTTAGTCTCCTGGCGTGCTGGGTCGGCTTTGGTTGCGAGCTTATAATGCGTGAGGACGCGTTGATCGTTGATGAGTGGCGGGGGATGAGTGGCGGGGGAGGGCTCTTCACAGTGCCCGGGGGCGGCTCTGGATGGGGACTGGTTGGATGCAGCTCTTGATTGTTGGACAGTGGCCCTGGGCTCCGCTGGTTGGGACTGTTAGCGCCATGCGGAGCCGTACTGGCCTCCGAACGTGGAGGGCATGCCCTTTGTGACGTATTGTCGTGGAGGGGATGACGGGAGTCTAGACGGGAGCAGGACCTGGCCGGGGTAGGTGACTCATCCGGCCGGCGTGCCCTGGTCGGCACTGATCACGGTGGCTGCAACACAAAGTCCTTTTGGATTGGCGTAATACGCTATGAAACTAGCGGAAAGTGCATATGATATGAAACCTTGCCTGGCATCCATCCCATCCTCATGTTACCGGCAATAGTCCGTCTACATGGAGGCTTATACAGGGCGGTGATGAGTTATATGAATGTAGGTATCTATAATGTACAATAACCTCGGTCTTATTGAACCAAATGAGGAAAGGGGCAGAAGTCTAGCGTTTCGGAGCGTGCGAGCAGACCAGCGCGTGAGCGCGAACTCAGGAAGGGGCATCCTGGTAAGGGGTCCATTATATCTGTATACTAAAATGCAAGGTGTACAGAAGCGTTAACCATAGCGCAGTCAGTTTTCGGCTTGACTAGCTTGTTAGGGCTTTTCCCGCGACCTACAGCCCTCTTTTAGACATCGTTGCCATTTTATACGTTATGTAGCCAGCGGTGTACTTAGCATTCCCTTTGAAACCCCAAGGTGGCTAGCTAGGTTACAGTAAGACGATGTACAGCGTTGGCGTCAACGGATGTCAATCCAGCCACAGTGCCTCCTCTACATCCGCGCGACCTCCGCGTCAGTTCCGTAGACGCCTTGCACTTCTTGGGGCCGCCGCGGTGCCTCTAGTTGCGGCAACCGCTGCAACAGCCTCACCATTGCAACCAACTCGGCATTCCAAATGCCAACACCAGCCTTCCCCCCTCACGCTAGCCTCAACCTCCGCCTCCGCCCCCTCACCTACGCCTTCTGTCCTCGACCTGCTGCTACCGGTGCTGGCGTCCGCAGCTGAAAAGTGGATACCCATAGCTATGTAAGACTGAGACGCCAAGCTAACCGCTGCCGTCCCCTTTCCCATTTTCCACCTAACCCTCCCTTCTGTTCTTCTTCCACACCCCCTGCCTCCTGCTCCCCCCCCTGCCCCCTCCCGCCAGCTCCGCCGCCCAGCGCTTCCTGTCCGATCAGCTCGCCTCGCTGCACTCCCCCGACTGCTGGCGCGGCAGCGGGGGGGTGCTGCGGGCGCTGCTGGCGGGGGCGGCGCTGCAGCTGGGCAGTCTGGGGCTGGCCACGCGGCTGTGCAGGCTGGTGGGGGGGGGATGGGGGGGGAGGGGTAAAAGTAAGGAAACTGACGAATCTTATGACGAGGCTTCTCCATGGGTTGCTAAATGAACCCGGCCCATCCATGGGGCCGGTGTGGGGAGGTGTGGGGAGGTATGGGTGCGTGGGAAAGTCAAAAGAGGGAGGTTGCAAGGTTGCATGCATGCCGTGTAAGGGCGGTGTGGCTTCGTGCACCGGTATTGAACCACCGCCACCCTTACTCCCCCCCCCAGGAGCCCTCCGCTGTGTACGGCGGGCAGTGGTGGCGGCTGGTGAGCTGGACACTGGTGCATGCGGGGCCGCTGCACTTGGCGGTGAGGGAGGGGGGGCCGGGAGGGTAAACAATATATATGATGAGACACTGACGAAGCCGGGAGGGGGGGCGGTGAGGGGGGCGGAGGGGTTGGGGCGGTAAGGGGGCGGGGCGGGAGGGGGCCGCCAGGTCTCAACGGGGTACGCCAGGGGGCAGGGTAGGTTGCAAGTGTGAGGGCAGGTGGACGGGAACCCACCACCTGCAACGGCCACCCTCACACCCCGGTCGCTGCCCCCTGTGCCGCACCCTCACTACGGCACACGGGGCGGCGGTGTGGTGCCCTCCTGACCTGACCTCCCACCCCGCCTCCGACACCCTACTCCGGTACACCCGCCTCCTGCTTTATCAGTGCAACCCCCTCTGCGCCCCCCTCCCCTCCAGACCAACTACGCCGCCCTAGCCAAGCTGGGACCCCAATGGGAGCAGGTGGCGGGCGAAACCCGCTTCACCGCCACCTACCTCGCCTCCGCAGCAGCCGCCACCGTCGCCTCCCTCGTCGCAATGGGGGGCCCGCGGGGCAGCCATGCAGCCAGCCTGGGCGCCTCGGGCCCCGTGTACGGCATTGCTGCCGCGCTGTGGCACTACCATGCCGTACATGCGGGGCTGCTGCCGGCGGAGGCTGACGTGGCGCTGCGGGAGCTGGGGGGGCGGCTGGCGGTGGGGGCGGTGGTGCAGCACGTGATGCTGTGGGGAAAGCTGGATGTGGGGTGAGGATGTGGGGTGGGAGGGAAGGGAGGGTGGGAGGGTGGGAGAGGTGGGTGCTTGGGTTTCCACGTGGGATCGGGTGGGTTGGCTTGTGGAAAGGACTGTGCATGCAGTGCCTTTCACCCTAACGAGCCCGGTGTTGGGCTGTTAGCTGTCACGTTCCATGCCTGCGCGCATGCCGACCGCTACCCATGAGCCACACACCGCGAATTGCGTGTATACACTTATGCCCATCGCCCTTCCCCCTCCCTACCCTCGTCCCCGCCCACCCCCCCAGTGCCCACTTGGGCGGGGCGCTGGGCGGCTGGGCGGCTGCAGCGCTACTGGGGCCGCACTACCGCCTGGAGCGGGCGGGGCGGGGGGGCGGGGGTGGGCTGCGGGGGTGGCTGCGGGGGACAGCAGGGGGAGGGGGAGGGCAGGGGTGGGCAGGAGGGGGTGGTGCGGGGGTGAGTGCGGGGGAGGTGTGTTTCCGCGACCGGCCCCGGCTGGCGGCGTGTGCGGACCCGGAGCCGCGCAGCAGCCTGGGCTTCCCCTGGCTGGGTCCGGGGTACAGGGTGGCGGCAGTGGCGGTGGCGGCGGGGTGGGCGGGGCCGGGGGCGGGGGCGCGGGGGGTGGGGGGCAGGAGGCGGTGAGGGGGAGGGGCCCGTGGAGTGAGAGAGGGGCCGCTCTGGCGTTGCTGTTTGCCGTATCCGCGGGAGTTGAGCTGGCATGCACTCCTGCTTGGTTCCCTAGTCCCAAAATTTTATCGTAATCGAGCAGGGTTGTTGACGCAGGAGGAGTTGGTGGGCAGCTTTTGTCTTGGTGGGACGATGCTGTGTGGCTGCTGCTCGGTTCCTCACGTCCGGACTACTGGTGCTGGGCGTGCTGGGTATCCGTCTGTTATCGTGGCACAGGGCTGTCTACCGCTTGCCTGCCCGCTTGTCCCCCCTTGGCGTGGAGGCTAGCTGTTGGTTTGGCGGCTAGCGTGCCGTGCATGGCTTGCTCGCCATGTGGGCCTTTCAAATGGGCTAGATCTGTGCTGTGTAGCCTGCTTGGCGTGTGCGTGTGGGTCATTCACGTGCTGCGGACCACCTGCTGCCACCAGCTACGGCAGTAAACGGGTCAGCCGGAGCATGCGTGTACTAGTGCTGCCCCTCTGCTGGGTAACGCAATGTAACATGACATCCCCGCATGCCACCAGAACCATCACTGGCACCACCAGCGGTCCGGTTAGCTGAGCGGCGCATGACTGACCGCTCGGTGAGGCGGGTCTTGCATGCGCGCCGCCCGCAGTGCCAAACTGGGTGCTGTCAGCACAATCGGCCGCTACTGCACCTTAAACAGGGTTGGGCCGTCGGGACGTGTGGGTTAGGGTTGGGGTTCTGGGTTGGTGTGGAGGCGACGTACGGTTGGTTGGCTTCGGCTTACATGTTCTTCTGTAACGCACCACGGCAGCGGGAGCAAGAACAGTCGGTTCGCCCTGGTCAGCCGCCTAATCGCCGGCCGCAGCAGCAGTGCATGCCTGCCTACCGTACCTTAAGCAACCCGCACTAAGCAATTACGGTAACTCTTAACGTACCACGTCCTCCGCAGTCCATGCCCATGCTGCACATAGCGCGCAAACCTCGTAGTTCCAAACGTTCTTCCAACGCCCTGCGGGCTGACCCATGGGACACCACGTCATCCAGCCTCCGCCCCCTTCGCCTCATCCTCCCACCGCCGGGCGCCTGTAAGAGCCACACGGCGCCTCAGGGGGTGCAGCTGTGCCTGCAGGGAGGCGTGCCGGGGGTGCAGCGGACTGCAAGGGCGATGCAGCGCAAGGGGTGGTGGGGGGTTAGGATTGGCTCCGGGTGGTGAAGGGGGAGGCCCAGCCGGCTCCTTCCGTGCTGCCTGCTCCCTCCGTGCTGCCGGCTTGCTCTGCATGTGTCGTGATAGGTTTGCCAGAGGCTGCTGGCAGGTACCTATCGCCCTGGCACCAGGAGTCGCGGGGGACTTGCGTGGCAAGAAGAGAATTGAGTTAGGGCGCGCTGGCGTCGCGGCAAGTGAAGAGGCGTGTTCCCATGCACGACCCACCATCGCGGTCATGCCTGTTGGGTGTGCGGGCGCTTCGGTAGGGGCAACATTCCTTGCCAGCCTTTACCAAGCGCTGAGCCGCCCACGTCTCTTATATCTCTTTCGCCTTTTACTAAAGAGATCAGCGAGTGCGGCTCACGAAGGCGCATATCTCCAATATTTGCAAGGCTTTTGCCTTCCCCATATGTTTAAATTTCGACTTTATGTGGAATGTTCCTTTGTCGCTTGCCCGTTGCTTACGATATCCTCACGTTGCCAGATCTACGTTTTCCTCCCTTTGAAGGCTGAAGTTTTGAACGGACGTGCGGTAGGTTGAGGACCAGGGGTGTGCGGAAGGTCAAGAAAATTTGTGCGGGGTTTCAGCCATGGCACCCCTATCCTATCTAACCCCCGAACTTGACCACCCATCTTCACATGCTCCAACCACCAAGCCTCCTGATGTACATGCTCTGCCACTGGCAAGGCATTTCCCTTGTTGCCAACCATATTTTCTACGCTCCAATGCTTAAGATTCATTATACTACAATGACAGAACCGGGATCACCAGGCATTTCGCATTTGGCTGTAGGATGTAGCCTACGGTTTCGGAGGCTGGGATGCTCATTGCTGAGGTCCTGAACAATGTTGTGTAAGGTCCAATTCCCAAATATCTGTGTACAGTACCATTGCACTAATGCTGATCAGTTAAGGAGCATGGCTGCCGGTAAAATTCCTGACACGGTCAAGGCCGCCATTAAATGGCTCTCACAAGTACCTCACAGGCTGCCAACAGGGGCCACTATAGGAGAGGTGCTCAGCGGCGAAGAGCTGTCGGTGCTTAGCAAGCGACTTGCGGAGGTCAACAGCTGTTTGGAACCGTCACCTACTCCACCCGCTTCTACCATACTGAGGATTCCCGACATCCGATTGCTGCTACTGAAGCTGACGGCAGAGGCTGTCCGGCTTTTGCCAAGTACTGAGCGGCGTGGTGGCGATGTCTTAGCAGAGCGAGCCGTGATGGAGGGAGCTTTGTTGGCTAGCAACCTACTCCACTTTATTGGAAAAGCTGAGGCTTGGGAGGACCCCCCTCATCCAGGATTAGCAGATTTTGCGCGGAAACTCATAAAGATGCAGACTGTACAAGCCTGCGGCCGCCAACTAGCTGCTGTGGCGAGCACTCTCCTTGAGGCACGCGCCCCGGACAATGCGCAACAAGGGATAGACACATCGCTTGGCCAGATATTGTTGTTCTCCCTGGGGTTGCTAAATGGCCTTGTGTGTACCATCAGCCACGTAACGCTATGGGAGATAAAGTCTAAAGTGCAGCCCCAGTACCGTGACATGCTCGCGGATGCCCTCGCGGGCAGCCGTGCCTTGGAGCATGGGGCGCGCGCGCTGCTACTTTACCTTTCTTCCTCGGCTTTGGCAGATCACAAGACCATGCAGGCGGCAGAACAGGCGTCTTACCACCTCCTAGCTGCAATCTACTTCGGATGCGACTGCAATCTCTCCCCGCTGGACCACTATTCGCAGCACGCCGCCCTGGCGCTCGGCGTGGCGCTGCTGTGTGCAGGTGATGCCGGCCCCACATACGGCCTGCCACCCGACCTGCTGCAGCGGCTGGCCTTCCTCTCCGAGGGGTCCCGCAGCGCAGACCCCGCGTCACCCACCACACCAGCTGGGGGCCGCATGGAGCAGCACATAGGCCCGGTGGTTTTCAACGCCATGACGGCTGCGCTACATTGTCGGCTGGGTAAGCCAGCCCACCGTAAGTCAAGCCAGGCGTTGTCGCTACGACTCCTACGCTTAATGGTGCGATTGGGCAAGCTGGGTGGTGGAGCGCCTGTTGTCGAGTTTGCGCCCAAGGCTGCGGCTGCACACCCTGCCAGCACTGATGAGGCAGCCGGTACTGCCGTACAGCCGGCACCGGCGGCCGCCCATGCTGCGACGCCAACTCATATTCTTGTGGTGGATCAAACGCACGTTGCGGAGGTGGCAGTTGAGGCATTGCAGCTTGTCCGACGGACAACATTTGAGGAAGGTCAAGTGCAGGAGGGCGAGGGAGATGTAGTGGCGGAGTGGTGGCGGCTGGCGATGGAGGTGGCAGCGCATATCGTGGAGCACGGTGATCGCTCCAACCGTCAGGACCTGGCTCGTGAGCTTAGAGAAGCGCTGAAGCCGCCGGCCGGACACGGTGAGCGGGGTGGTAAACATGTGAAGGTATCGGAACCGTTCTGCAGCTGTGGATAGGCCGTGGTTACCAAGTAGCTAGGTGTGTTCCATGCGCGTGCACCTTTCGTAGCTGACCTCAACTGCTCTGCTTTACAGGGGGATGCCAAACGTAAGCTCCTAACACGCATGATCTCTCTCCCAACATGTGCCCCCCGGCCTCAGGCCAGGAGGCAGTAAGCTGGTCGCCTCCGGCCGCACCCCCGCCACCGCTGGCCTGTGCGGTCGCAGTGGGCCTGCTGCCTTGGTGGGAGCGTGTGCTGCGGCGCTCCAAACCAGATAACCCCGAGAGCAATTTTCTTCATTCGATCTTTGCATATATGGATAAGGACAACGATGCCCGGCTCTGGCTGGGCCTTCTCCTGCACTCCGACCCGCGCCAGGCGGCAGCTTGGGTGGTCACAATCGCCAAGCTGCTGCGCGGGTTTGAAGGCAAGGACACCTGTGCCAGCGCCCTTGCGATGCACCTCATCCCATTCATTCTCAATCACATGGAGGAGGTTGCTTCGGGGCCGCTGGCTGAAACCCTGATCCTGGAGTACGGCTCAGCTGCGGCCGACGGTCAGCAGAGGGGAGGGCTCCAGCACCTGGGCCGGCTGATGTCGTTTGCGGTTTGCCAGTGGCTGCCTGCCGTTGTGCCTCTGTTTCAGCAAGTGGCAATGGCGAGAATGCTTGGCTTGCTAGACAAGCGCGGGCATGCTTTCTACAGCGCCTGGGACTATTATATCACACCACTGTCACGCTGGGTATCAGATCTGGCGCTGCTTTGCAACGGCCGCCACAGCACAAGCAGCAGCACCATCGCCAAGGAGGCTGAGGGCAACGAAGTCCGCCCTGCCTCAGCTGCCTGCAGCAGCAGCCGCAGCGGCTGGGGTTCCTTCCTGCTAGGCGAGGTGGCGGTGGTGCCGCTGCTGGGCAACCTGCTGCACCTCTCCCGCGACGTGGCGCCGAGCAAGGGGCCGGAGCTGGCTGAGCTGCTGGACTGCTGCGGCGTGGTGGCGAGTGCCTTCCCGCAGGAGGTGCGGGCGGCGGTGCGGGAAGCCAGCAAGGCGACCCTTGCGGCACCGGCGTACTCCTGGCCGCCTGGGCTGGTGCGAGGCATGGCGCAGAAGCTGCGGGAGAGCGGGCGTGAGAAGGCGGCCGATGACGCTGTTGCCCTGGCTGCGCGGCTGGAGGCCTGGGGCAGCAGCCGCAGCGGGGTTTACCTGGACTTCGCTTGGGTGCCGGAGCGGCTGCGGCTGCGGGCCAGCGAGCGGGGCATGTCGGTGCCGGATGTGTTGGACGTCATGCGTCGTTGCCTGGTGCCGCCGGCGGAGGCGTGCAGCCTGCTGCGCACGTGCAGCAACCCGCGCTGCGCCAACCTGGCGGGGGCGAGCGAGGTGGAGCTGCCGCTGCAGGCGTGCGGGCGGTGTGGAGGGGCGTGGTACTGCCGCCGGGAGTGTCAGGTGGCGCACTGGAAGGCGGGGCACAAGGAGGCGTGTGTGAGGAGGCAGGAGAGCGGGGCCGCCGCCAGGGGCTGAAGAGCGGGCGGCGTCGGTTACCGGTATTGTGGGGATAAGCTCGAGTTGTTCAGCTTGCATGTTCAAGTCTTTGTCGAGTAGGACCATAGGTAGCACGGCTGCTATCGACCGAAAGCACTGTAGCAAGATTTGCAGTAGCTAGTCAGGACTAGTTCAACATAAGTTTTTGGACATTATTCTTTGTTGGCATGTGAGTGTAACCGGTGTTTCGTAGCATGGCTTGTCGAAGATTGAGTGTGACTTATTAGACATATTACGGGACATACCCCACATACGAATGTGGAGATGTACGAGCCGTAGCTAGCGCCCCTTGTTCGAAGTGTTTGGTGTTGCATGTCACTTGACTTCGTGATGCAACCGCTGCTCACTGTGGAACAGCAAAAGAACTGATGCCGTACGCAAAGGGATAGCGGGCCGTCTGTCTCTGGCAGGCGCAGCAGTTTGTACAGTGCCGGTGCGGCTCAATCGTACGGCATACTTGGCTGGTGCATCAGCTAGTGTACAGATCCTGCACTACCATGTTTGTGATAGTCCCGTTTTGTAAGACCCCTGACGCGATGCCACATGGCACAAGCACACGTACCCAAGGCTCCAACCCCGCACCCGCTACCTTGTAGCAGAGGTGCTGCCAGCACTTCCGGCGCTTGCAGCGACACACACTAGCAGCTGCAATCTGCTTAATGACAATGGCCGCAAGACAACTCGCACGCGACCACATGCCAGCCATCAAAAGCGTCTGCACCCTGTTCCGAACCACCTCCACACAACCCGAGCAAGCGCACCCTCGGGCTCCCCCAACCAGACACCCGCCACCCTGCTACCCCGCAATGGGCCCCCGCCGGTGGAAGGGCCCGGCCGCCAGCAGCAGGTTCCTGCCGTTGAAGTGCAGCGAGACCACTGGGGATGACTTGGTGCGGTACTGACCCACGGGTCCATACGGCCCACTGCCCGCGCCGCGCACCCCTCCCTCCGCCCCTGTCCCTTGACCCTTCCCCGCCCCCGCACTCGCAGCCCCCGCGGGGCCTCCCGCCGGCGTACTCCCGCTCGCCCCCGCTCCGCCTGCCTCCGCCGGGGGTTCTGCAAGGTCGTTCCTCCAGAGCCGCACCGTCTCATCCGCCCCTCCGGACGCCAGCAACGTGCCCTCCCCCTGGCTGTAGCTCAGCGCCCACACCGCCCCCGCATGCGAGGCAGCGGGCTGCGAGGCGGCCAGGCGCCGCGCGGTCCCCAGGTCCCACACCGCCAGCCTGCCGCTGTCGGTGCCCACCGCCACGTGGCGCCCGTCCGGGGAGAGAGCCAGTGCCGTGGGGCTGCCGTACAGCCCGTGGGAGAGGTACCTGAGGCAGGAGTGTGCGGGGGGTAAGAATAAAGAGAAACTGACGAGGCAACTAACCAACTGTGTGACAAGGTTTCACCAGGGGGGTGTCAAAGATAGACCAAACTTCTACATTGGAGTGCAACCCTCCCTGTTGCATCCTTCCCTGTCCCAACTTCTACCTTCCTAGCCCCTCTCCTCCCATCGCCCTCCCTCGCGCTCACTCCCTTACCTGACGCACTTGCCCTCTCTCACGTCCCACAGCCGCACCGTGCGGTCAGCGGACCCCGTCGCCACCAGCGAGCAGTTGGGGTGCCAGCGCACCAGGTCCACGTCAGCACCGTGACCCGCCAGCAGCCGCAGCGGCGCCGTACGCTCCGTAACCCACAGGCGAGCCACTCGGTCCGCCCCCGCACTGGCGAACCAGTGACCCACGGGACAGCAGGCCACGTCCCACACCGGGAACACGTGGCCCGGGTAGACGGCTAGACAGGCGCCGAACTCCGCGCCCCACACGCGGATGGTGCCGTCGGAGGCGCCGCTGAGGACTAACCGTTGGTCAACGGTCATGTCAACAGCATGTACGGCGGCTGTGTGTCCGTACAGGTACGACGTGCCGGGGGGTTCGACTTCGTCGTCTATTGCGGTGGCTGCTTGGGAGGGCGAGGCGGGGTCTGCGGGGTGGGTGTTGCCGTTTGCTGAGGGATGGTGGTGCGGGGGGCGGGGTCGCGCTCGCCGCAGCTGAGCATGGTGTGCCGTGATGGTGGGCATGTCGTACAGGCGCACCGAGGAGTCCGTGAAACCAGCTGCGGGGGGAGAGGGGAAGCGGGGGTGGGATGCAAACGGTTGACAGTGATAGGACAAAGGCACGCGATGTGAGCTGGCAATTGCGCCCCACACCGCACACCGGGGCGCCTCAGCACATCACACGCTGCAGCCCCCGCCGCCCCCTGCAGTGCAGCCCCTGCAGCCCCTCCCCCGGCCCGGGCTCCAGCAGACGGGTACCGCCAGCACACGCACGCATGCTGCGCCCCCCTCCACCTCCCACCGCGCCACCAACCACTCACCCACTATCTTGGATCCATCCCGGTTGAATGCGCAGCAGGTGAGGGTTTGCTTGGCGTTGACGAAGGTGAAGAAGGCGCAGGAGGGCGGCGCGGCGGCACTCACGGCGGCCCGGCAGCCGATGTCCCGCAGGCAGGCCGCCACCACCTCGTCAGACAGGCGGGGGAGGTAGGGCTGCGGGGGGGAGGAGGGGGAGGGCAGGGTGTGTGCCGTGTACGGGTACGGGCGTTAGGTGCTGGGGCAGGCACAGCAGGCAGTAGGGGCGGCCGCATGGTTCCTACGGTATTCCAGCCGCATAGCGACATGTGGACGGCAAGGGCCCTGCCCGGGGTGTCCACCAGGTGTTGACCAGGCGGGTGGCAGCTGCCCCGCCTTCCTCCTCACCGGGTGCTCCATCCGCTCCGCCCTCACAGGCCCACTCTTGGTGGCTGCTGCCGCCGCTGCTGCCGCCGCCTTCTCAGCCGCCTTCTTGGCCTTCTTGGTGGCGGGCTCCTGGCCGTCACCTGCAGGGGGGGCAGCGGTGGGAGCTCAAGACAGCGGAGCACACGGTCCGCAGGAAGGAGCCAGGGGTGCCAGTTCGGCAGGCCAAGCATATCCCCCATGCAGAGGACGTGCCCAGCCTGACGGTAAAGCAGTTGGCAAGAGGACCGCCCCGCCCGCACCCGGTTGCGGAACCCAGCGAGCCTCACCCCGCCCCCCTGCTCCCTCCCTCCCTCCCCCCACCCGCCGCCGCACCCCCTGCCGCCTGCCCCGCCGCCCCCGCTGCCTCCCCGCCCCCCGCCGCTGCCGCCTCCGCCCGCTGCTTCTCCTGCTGCTCCCGGTACAAGTCCTCCACATTGCCCTGCGCCGGCACACAGCAAGACACCGCCAGAGCACCAAACACGGACTCATCATTGACTCAACACGTACAGCGCGCCGCAAGGCAGGCGGCGCGCGCCAGCATGAGGGTACCGGCATTGCAAGTGCCAGCATGAGGGTACCGGCATTGCAAGCGCCAGCATGAGGGTACCGGCATTGCAAGCGCCAGCATGAGGGTAACGGCATTGCAAGCGGCAGCAGCGCCGTCTTCAGCCTCACGTGTGATGCCATGCCGGCATGGCCCCTCCTCCCTCCCTCCTCCTCCCTCCCCCTCCCTCCCCCTCCCTCCCCCTCCCTCCCCCTCCCTCCCCCTCCCTCCCTCCTCCCTCCCTCTCCCCTTCCCTCCACCCACCTGCAGCAGCCCCAGCTTCACTTCAGTGCGGTTCACGATCACCGCAGTGGCGGCGTCCGGCGGGCCGCCCCCCGCCGCGTCCAGCTCCTCCTCCTCCTCGCCGCCCCACCCCTCCTCGCCCTCCTCGCCGCCCTCCTCCTCCGCGGCAGCCGCGCCCCGGGGCAACCCCTCCACCACCTGGGGGTGAGTAGGGCGTGAAGGAGGGCAGGGGGTTGAGGATGATGGGAAAAAAGAAATTCCAAAGTGTGGGAGGATGATGGGAGGGGACATGGGAGTTCGGCGGGTGGTTGGGTAGAGATGTGCGTGCAGGGCAGCCCTGCTTTCATTACCGCCACCTACCCCACCCGCCCAGTGACCCAGTGATCTTACTCCTCATCTCGTCATGCCCCCACCTGCAACCCATGCAACCGTGCCGCCCCATGCCTCCAGCTCTCCCCCTCCAGCGCCCCCATGCCTCCCCCCGCCCCCACCTGCAGGTCCACATGCCCGTTGATGATCGCCAGCAGCGGCAGCATGCGCCCGCCGCCCGTGTGCAGGAAGCGCAGCAGCAGCTCGTGCGCGGGCGGCGACAGCGGCACCGCCACCCGGCTGCCCGCCAGCCCCGCCACCCAGGGCGAGGACCGCAGCTGCTGCCGCCCGGCCAGCCCCGACAGCTGCTGCAGGTCGGAGGCGATGCGGCGCCGCAGACCGCCCTGGCTGGCCAGCACGCGGGAGCGGTACCTGGGGGGAGGTGGGAGGAGAGGGAGGAGGGAGGGAGGGGTTAGGAGGTGCTGCTGCTGCTGACACGACGGGGCGCATGCAGCAAGGGACGGCGTCCTGCCTGCCCCAGCACAATGGCTCCATGTGTTGCCACTGCCGCAGGAACCCAGCGCCCGCTGCAGCCCCCATGGCGGCCCCACACATGCGCCCGGCGCACCGGCCCCGCAGCGGGCACTGTGGCAGCTGGGACTAGTGGGTCACGGCAGCTGGGGTGGTGCCCCAGCCGACGAAGGGGCCGCATGCAGCCCCAGTGTAGGCCAGCTGGGGCGCCGCCCTCGGCATCAGGCACAGCTGCCTTGGCAGCCGACCCGCTGCCGCCCCGTGCGCCTGGTGCTGCTCGGCCCCCGCTGCATTCCTCACTGCGGCCCTCCCTCCTGCACCCTGCCTGACTGCTGACGACAGGCCGGCGGGCAAGGGGACTCCCCCCCAGCCCACGCAGGCGGTACCCTTGTCCTCCCTGGACCAGCCGGCCTCGCCCGTGTCCCCCGTGCTCCGCTGCTGCTGCTCCGCCCCCGCTGCTCCCCCCCCCGCTGCTCCCCCCCCGCTGTGGTCTCCTTTGGTTTGGTATGGCCTTTGACCCCCAGCTGCCAGTCCTGGGCGCTGAGCCGGGGCACCTCTCGGCGCACCGCTGCCCCCCAGAGCCTTGGATGCTTCCCCGGCTGATTGATCCCAGCCCCTCTCCTTAGCCCCCTCCGCACAACCGCGGGCCCATTCCCGCAGCCAACGTCCCCGCCCACCCTGCCGCCCCCTGCTGGCGCACCCCCAGCTTAAGCCTCGTCACTCAGCTCGTCACTTTCATCCTCTCCACCCCTCCCCTGCTGTCCCCGCCCCCTCCCCCCTACCGTGCCAGCAGCGCCGCCGCCACGCCCCCCGCATCCAGCTCCACCAGCTGCAGGTAGCAGCGCACGAACACCGGGTGCAGCAGCCGCCGCAGCTCGGGCTGTGGGAGGGAGGAGGGAGGGAAGAGAGGAGGCAAGGGAGGTAAGGAAGAGGAGGAAGGGAGGAGGACATGGGAGTAGGGAGAGGGAGGTGCTCATGAGGAGGTCCAGGTGGTGTTTTCGGCTAGGGACCGTAATGAGGAGGAAACCGGGGTGTTCCCGCCCAAACCGCCCAGCCTCCAACCGTCGCGCTTCCACCCACCCGGTACATGTCCAAGGAGTTGTCGACCCATGTTGCGAGCTGGTCGTACGTGTCCGTGTATACGCTAGCGTCGTTGTCAGCTGCAAAGTTAGCTAAGTCCTCGATTAAGGTCTGCTGCAGCTCCGCCTGCTGCGTCACCGACATGCCGTCGTCCGGCTCCTGCTGCTGTGGTCTGACGTAACGCTGAAAAAGCGCCTCTACATCGCGAAGTCTGCAGCGCAGGTGTGACCGCGCTCAGAGAAGGGCACGATCGGCTGTTTCAGCTGTCCAGTAGCCACGTCTCTTACCCTCTTTTTCTTACAAAATGAAGAAAAAGCTGGTCCCAATCCGCGTCACGCATTTGTTCCCCAAGGACGCTAGTGAGCGCTCAGAACATGTTCGCGCCCTACAAGCCCAACTGGCCCAGTAAGCCTGAAGGCGCTCTTTCAACTAGCTAAGTAAAAGCCATGCATCATAACGGGCTTGCAAGTTGTTTTGGTCTTGGTCGACAGGCTAAACTACTCAGAACGGCGGCCACTATCTAGCAGCAAACCTACAAATTATGGATAATTCGGTGTAAGCAACTATTCGGAATGAAAGAAAGTCCTGGCAGCTAACTTAGGTAATCAGTGCTCCTCGCTCCAACTACTGCACTGTCACACGTATTGGTTATACTTTAACAGTGATAGGGTAGAGTGTAATTTATACAATTTCAGTAATGCAGACTGCGCGAGATGCACTTGCGATTAACTGATGCCCCAAGGGTCGATCTGGGTACGTACTCAGTTGTCGCAGAAGCCTACAGTTGCGCATTTTAATCCCCACGGATGCACGCAGTATGCCCTGTAACATTTGCAAGCGACGACAGTCAAAAGCCGCTCGGCAGGGCAGCTACTGTCGTCTAGGACGGCCCCATCGAGGCACTGCGTCGTCACAGCAGCGGTGCGCGCATCCAGCGAAGCACTGTTTCACCCTTTCCATCACGCTTTCCATCATGCAAAGTCATTCCCGCACAATGAAGCCCGCCCTCCTACTGTTACTGCTCCTACCCTCGTTCCTCCTCCCCATCAGCGCAGGTAACAGCCACACACCTCCCGTAACCTCCCGTCCCTCCATCCACCGTGCCACCACAGCCGCCCATGACCCCCCCCGCCACCGCCCCTGTCACGCCTCAGATGGTCTCGCCAGCCGCGCCCCCAGCGGTGCCGCCCCGCAAGGCGACTGGGCCGGTGCGGGCGGGGAGGTTGCGCGGTGGAAGCTGGAGCGGCTGTTGGCCCTGCTGGACAATGCCAGGTGCGGGGGAGGCGGGTGGGTCGGGTGGGCACACAGACACACCCTCGCACCCCCACACCCACACTCCTGTTGCCCCATGTGCTCTGGAGCGGTATCCTCCCAGCACCCCGCCTCCTGCACCCCGCCTCCTGCACCCCGCCTCCTGCACCCCGCCTCCTGCACCCCGCCTCCAGCACCCCGCCTCCTGCACCCCGCCTCCTGCACCCCACTCTGGCCTGTTCTCTGCGCTCCCCTGTCCCAGCTCGCAACAAATGGTGAAGCCTTGTGTCACAAACTGGTGGCTAACTAGCTCATTACACCCCAGTCCGTCATGCAGACCCACGCATGTTTCCTGCCCCCCCCTACTACCATGAAGTGAAGCAACCCATGGCGCAGCCCCCTTGCCATGCACAGCTCTCATCACCTCCTTCCTCTTTAATCCCCCTAACGTGTGGCTTCCTATGGTTCCTTGGTTTGGTGTGGTCTTACCCCCCACCCTCCCCCCGCAGCGCCCTGGGCTCCGAGCTGCGTGCCTCAGGTGACCGCTGGGTTGCAGCCCGGGGCGAGGCGCTGGCGGCAGTGAGCGGGCAGCTGCGGAGCACCCTGGCCTACGAGCGGCGGCGGGTGCGGGAGGAGGTGCGGCAGCGCTGCAGCGACCCGCTGTTCGCGCCGCCCACCGACATACCCGCCACCATCATCGGTGGGGGGGGGGGGTCCGGGTGGGGGGGGGTGGAAAAATTAAATATGTGAAACAACGAGTCCCGATCCCATATCGGGGTGGGGGGAACACCCGCGCGCGACCGTTGTTGCCGCGTGGGAGCAGGAGGAAAGGAGGGAGCAGGGACGGATGGGTGAGCAGCAGTGAACTGCACCCAGTCGGAACACGAGCGTGCACGCAGGGCAAAACACAGCCAGTCGTAATTCGCTGTGTGTGTTTGTTGTCACATGTTGCATGCAGTACCTGTATCCTTCCTCCCCTCCCCCGCTGCTCCCACACAGGCCCCGGCGCCGCGCTCATCCTCACCAGCGGCTTCTGCCGGCTGGCCCGCACCGCCTCCCCCGTGCGGCGCGACCACGTGCTCACGTGCGCCGACCCAGGGGTCACCGTCACCCGCACCGTGCCGCGCTACATTTCCGCATACACCGCCCCCGCCATCTTCCTGGGCACGGTGAGTCCACCCGCCGCCTCGCTGACCCAACCACTCTTGTCTCCCGGCCCCCTAGGCCCCCTTAGGCCCCCCTGGAGCTCCTCCTACGGGTTGTTACAACGGCTACTCGATTACTAGACCCTACATACCCACTAACCCCGCCCCTCCGCCAACACATCGGATACTCCCCTTTGCCCGCTGGGCCCCCCTATTTCAGGAGTGCCGGGTGGATCTGCAGTACGGCCCCGCCGCCAGCATCTCCATCGACCTGTGGCAGCCCGGCACCCGGCCGCAGGACGTGCAGCAGAGCTGGCAGGCGAGGAGGGAGCGGCTGCAGCAGCGGTGGCAGCAGGAGAGGGAGCGGGCGGGGGGCCGGGTGGGGGGCAGCAGGCTGGGGGGAGCTGCGGCAGGGGGTGGTGGTGGAGGTGGGGGCAGCAAGGGCGGAGGCGGAGGCGGTGCGGGGGGTGCCCTCCAAGGCGACCTGCAGCGCTTCCTGGGGCTGCACAGCTCGCTGGTTGCGACACTGCGAGAGGCGATTGCGAGGTGGGGGGAGGGTACGAGCATGGCCAAGGGGACCGGGTGGGGGGGAGGGGCCGCGGCATGGGGTGGGTATCGTATTACGCAGGCTGCTGCGAATGTTGCGAGTGGGGAGGGTTGGGAGGTTGCTGAGAGGGACGCGTGGAGGGCCGGGCGGCAACTTGGGTGCCCGCTGCTGCTGCTACTGCTGCTGCTGCTGCGTAACCCGTTCCTATCTGGGCAGAAGAGTTAAAGGGCGGACTGTGGCACACTGCATCCCCCTTGCACTTGCCCTCCGCCAGGCACTCGGACAACGTCACACAGGCCCTGGTGCAGTGGAGCCGGGAGCAGCAACAGGGACTGGACTGGGGTGCGGCTGCCTCCCGGCGCACACCCCTCAGGCGCCGCAGCCGCAGGGGCAGGGGCAGTCGGCGGGGCGGCCGCCGGGGCCATACCCTGGTTGCTGCGGCCGTGGGCTCCCTGCTGCGGGATCTGGATCTGCATGAGGCTGCAGGGAGGTTGGAGGAGCAGGTGGAGCAGTACGACTATGAGCCGGAAGTGGGGGATGAACCATGGGTCGGTTCGGACGGAAAAGAAGCAGAGGAGGGGAGCGAGGAAGGAGGAGCGGGGGATGCAGAGACGGGGGAGGAGCAGGATGGGGGTGATGATGAGGGGGCGGGTGGGTTGAATGTGACGCGGGTGTTTGATGAGGTGGCGGATGCGGCGGGGCGGGCCTTGTGGGCGAGTGTGGGGGCGGGGGGTGCGAGTGAGGAGGGCGAAGAGGAGGAGGAGGAGGGGGTAGGCGACGTGGCTGGAATGGGCCAGTCAGCGGCCGACATGGGAGGTATTAAGGACAGTACGGGGAGTACAGGGGCCCAACCGGAGCGGCAGCAACAAGGGCAGCAGCAACCGAGGCGGCGGCAGCAGGGTCAGCAACCGGGTCAGCAGCAGCAGTGCCGCAGCTCGGACCAGCAGCTCATGCGGGACCTGGCAGCCGAGCTGGAAAGGCTGCTGCAGCTGTAGGCGCCTAGGAGGAGGGGACAGGGGGGGAGCAGCAGGTGGGGGCAGGTGTGTGCGGGTGCAGCTGTGCAGCTGTGGCGTCCCTGTACCTGGGAGCGCTCGTAGCTGAGGGCGTCTTCGGATGCGGCGTATTGTAACGGCGGTTTGTTTTCATAGGCCACCATGGGGTTCTTTTCCCCTGGTTTCTGTCTTAGGAAAAACTCTGTAACACTCCACATCCGAGGGGTAAATGGTGGAAGAGTGCTGAAGCAGAACGCGGGCTTAGCCGTCAGCTCAGCTAAGAAGGTACACGTTGTTTAGACGACGAGCCCGCCCTGACATTAAGGCAAGCACACGTGTGGTCTTTCATTACCGGTAGTAGTAGATGGCCAGAGATCTCCGAGGTTATTTGAATTGCTTGCGAATTCGTTGCAATGAAGGATAAAGGTCCCCGGCGCCGTAATTCAGCAACTGCGGTGTAGGGATGACTGGCAGCAGACAACCAAAGTCCGGGCGATCCCAGGCTTGAAGCGGCCTGTCAAAAACGGGCCTCTTATCGTAGTTGACAGGCCGGCATGACAGACCGTTAACAACTACGAACAACCCACCGCAAGCCCCTATTACCCAATCCAAGCTTCAATCTTACGTTCTTGCCTTTCTTCCCTTTCTTCCATCCGCAAAAAAGCAAAGAGCAGAAATCGGCATCGCGCTGTCGTGCGTATTCACCCCAACGCCACAGTCCCAGCGTCCAAATGCGTCTGCAAACGCTATAACCGGTTCTTTAGTTCTTCGTAGTCCTTCTGTCGTTATGCCATGGATAGCGTCACCTTCGGACCGGCCTTATGCAGCCCCAGCCCCCGCGCTGACACCTCTCCGGCCGCAGCACGCCCAGGTGACAGTCATCGCGCACACCTAGAGGCACCACCACCACCACCCACACCGCCCCAGCCGCAGCAACACCTCCAATCCGACATCATCACCCACTCCATCTCCAGCCCCAGAGCCAACACCTCCCCCACCCCTGCTGCCCCTGGGCGGCCCGCCGCGGAGGCAGCCACTAGCCCCTTTTCCAGCTCACTCGCGACCCATGGGTCACCAAGACCCACCGCTACACGCAAGCGCGCCCAGGAGGGCCCAGGCAGGACCGCAAGCCGGCGTGGCGGCAGCCGCACCAACCGCCCCTCAGTCGCCTCCCCTGCCATCGGCACCTCCTCTTCAGCTGACGTCGCTGCGGACACCACATCTCCCGCATCAGCACCGACCCTGAGCCCCGCCACAGCCGCCATCCAGCCCTCGCTCACCTCCCTCACCTCCTTCTACTCGGCCCCTTCTGCTGCGTCATCCTTCTCCTCCCTGCCCTGCCCAGCGCCCTCTCCCTGGGCTGCCTCGCCGGCTGCCTCCTCCGCAGTTCCCGCCGCCAGCAGCCAGCAGCGGCGGGACTGCCCCGCAGTCGCCCCCCACCGGCCGCCCCTGCCCCGCCAGCAGTCCTCCCCGCAGCCGCTGCTGCTGCAACACACACACCACCCGCCTCACCTGCAGCAGCAAGGGCAGGGGCAGGGGCTGCCCCCCACCACGCTCCACCCCCCAACCCCACCCCAGCCCCTCCTCCGGCAGCACTCCCTACCGCCCCCACCCACCTCCTCCTACCACACCCCGCCACCCACCCCGTCACCCTCCGTCCCACCACCCTCCGCCCTGGCGCCCTCGACCTCACTGCAGCCCCCGCTGCAACCGAACCCCTCCGGGCCACTCCCACCCTCCTCCTCCTGCCCCTCCTACCCCCCGCAAGGGCTCCAAGCCCACCCCGCCACCCCGGCCCCGTCCCTGCCGCACCAGCTAGCACCGCCGGCAGCAGCACCCACCCCCCCGCCGCCCCCGCCGCCATCCTCACCCTCCGTCCTGCAACAGCGACCAGCAGCTGCAGCAGCTAACCGCCCATGCCCCTCCTCCTCCTCCTCCTCCGGCGCTCAGCCCTCGCCGCCTACCGCGCCCTCCTCCTCCTCCCCTTACACCGCGCCAATCTCCGCTGCCTCCTTCCCTGCCTCATCCCCCTCCTCCGCTGCTGCTGCTGCCGCCTCTGCCTCCCCCACCTCCCCCACCTCCCCCACCTCCCCCACCTCCCCCGCCTCCGCCTCCTCCGAGGAGCAGTGCTGCCGCGTGTGTCTGGACCCCATCAGCCAGGCGGACCTGGACTCGGGGGAGGCAATCAGGCTGGGCTGCAGGTGGGGGGCTGAGGAGGTGGGGGGCTGAGGAGGTGGGGGGCTGAGGAGGTGGGGGGCTGAGGAGGTGGAGGGATGGGGGGTGAGGCGGGGTAAAGAGGAAACAACTAACTGACTTTGTCATGGGCGTGGGGGGAGGCTGCTGTCTTGCGTGGTTCCGCGGCCCCTCTTTCCCTCCTAATCCTACCTTCCCTTTCCCTCTTATCATTTATTTCCCCCCACACCCCCACCCCAACTCCTCTCCCCCCCCAGGTGCAGCTCGGGTCTGGACCTGCTGCACCGCTCCTGCGCCGACCGCTGGTTCCGCGGTGTGCGGTCCAGCAGCGTGTGCGAGGTGTGCGGCGCGGAGGCAGTCAACCTACCGCCCAGGACCAAGGCGGGAATCCGGTGAGCAGCCAGCCACCCGTGCCACCTTCCACCAAGCATACCGGTACCCCTCCTCCTGTGCTCCTCTGCTCCTGTGCTCCTGTGCACGGCTCCACACCGCAAGCACCTCCCTACCAGCTAACACCTACCGGTACATCTTCCCCTCCCCCTCCCACTCCCCCCCTCCCCCCCCCCCCGCAGCTGGCACCAGCTGTTCTTCCCCCGCCGCGCCCCCTCCGGCCCCCCCGGCTCCGGGCTGCTGGCGGGCGGCCCGCTGTCGCTGTCCAGCCTGCCCGCCTTCCTGGGCGTGTACACGCTGGTGTGCCTGCTGCCCGCCACACTGAGCTCCATGCTGCTGGTGCTATTCTACTTCAGTGAGGGGGGGGAGGGGAGGGGGGGAGGGGGGAATAGAGGAGGGAGGGGCAGGGGAGCGGAATGGGAACCCGAGCTTGCCATGTGTATGTCCCCGCCCAGCCGGTGTGTCCCCTCACACCCCGCCCCAGCACCGCACCCCCCTCCGTTGATGCATTTATCTGTATTTTTTCCCCGCTCGGCTGCTCCACCCGCCGCACCCCCTGCCCGGTGCCGCCCGCCCCTGTCACCCCCTCCGCCCCCCTAACCCCCCTCCCCCCCCCGCTGCACAGGGCACATGGGTGTGGGCGCGGGCACCACCATGGCGCTCTCCATCCTCACCTCCTCGGCCACCATCACACACTGGGTGTTCAACCCCTACAGGTGGGGGGAGGCGGGTGGGGGGGTGAGGGGTACATGTCCCATCCTCTGCTCTACATGCGTCCTTCCTTCTAGCCCCAACGCAACCCTCGCAACCTAAAAACCATAAGCCCACGGACCCTCCTCCTCCCTCCACACCCTCCGCCCCTCCCCAGGCCGCTGCTGCACGTGGCCTTCTGCGCCACCTCCCTGGCTGCCGTACTGGGCTGCACGCTGCTGCTGCGGGCGCTGGTGGCAGCCGCCTGGGCGCCCTCGCTGCTGGTCAGCGTGGGGGCGCTGGTGGGGTTCGTGGCGGGAGGGGCGCTGTTCTACGGTGTCGTACACCCGCTGGGGGTGCTGGTTTGGCTGGCGGCGGCGCACTGTACGGCAGCGGCGAGGAGGAGGCAGCAGCAGCAGCAGCAGCAGGCGGGAGGGAGGGGAGGAGGGGTTGCGGGGAGTGGGGGAGGGGGAGGAGGGGTGGTGGTGGGTGGTGGGGTGGCGTTTCGGAGGGCGACGAGTGTGTCGGGGGGGAGCGGGGTGGTGGGTGTGATGGGGATGGAGGGGGGTGGGGGTGGAGAGGGTGGGATGGGGGGAGGGAGGGGGGAGGGGCGCGAGCATGGTGGGGGAGGTGGGGGAGGAGGGGTTGGGGGTGTGACGGTGATGGCGGGAGGAGATCATGCGGCATTCTGGGTTTGAGGAACGGTTGGGTGGGGTGCAGTTGAGGGGGCGGGAGGTGCAGTCAAAGAGCCGCGGGAATATGCTGTGTTGGTCAACGCTGAAGTGGAGCGGAGCACACACCGCTAATCTGGCATACGTTGTCAAATGTTATGCACGGCGATGAACAACTGGTGCAAGAGCAATTCTATCGGCATGGAGATGTAGTAAAGATAGTTTCACCCTGACAATGGCCCAATAAGAATGGCGTGCGTGTGCGGGACTAGCTGTCTCACTTATCCCGACTATTTGCGCCACAAAGAATGCAGGCCATAAGTAATGTAGTAGGTTACCCAGCTTTGAAGGAAGCGATCTGTGCGGTTGGGTTCCATATCGTACGACGGTATCTAGCTGACGTAAGCCCAGCTCTGCTTCATAAACGCATGGTATCTTCATTACCTGGTCATACTCAACGGCTGCAAATGTGAGGTTCCTACATTTGACAGCAAGTTCTTTAAGCTTCTGTGAACCTCAACTTCTCTACGTACCTGTAAAGCCTCGACTGCGTTCGCATCTTTAAATATTCAGTTACTATACGTAGTTTAGTTATTAATTATCTCGGGCGCCTGAGCGTGGCCCAGGGAAGCGAGGATGGCTCCGTCTTACGCGTTAGGAACACATCAACAGCAGTCGTCTACTTCACACCAGCCAAGGAAGCGGGAAGGCGGTTTGCTGACCCGTCTCTTTGGAACACTGAGTTCATCCATCCGTCAGTCCAGCTCAACGAGACGGCAGGGCGCTGGGTCGTCTTGCTACACAGCGGCCATACCAACGTTGCCATCAGCACATGCGCAATCGGGATGTGTGGCATGCTCGGCGGCTGCTATGAGCCAGCAGACCAGTCAAGCAGTTGGGCAAAACTGCTGCAGCAGCGCGCCCTTCCTCGGATACGCAACCGACGTTAACACGAAATACTTGTTTGGACACGAATTGGGCAAAGGCGGCAACGGCGTTGTCCGTGTCGTAAGGAATCGGCAGACTGGGGAGGAATTCGCCTGCAAGTCAATACGGAAGGTGCTTGCAGACGCTTCGGAAAAGAAAAAACAAGGCCACATTGAAAGGTAAAGGGACATCCGTTGTGAGTCGTCTGGTTTCTCGCTCTCGCCTTCCGTTCATAACGCATCCAACCTTTCTACAACCTTCTTTTCAGCCGTATCTTCCTGCCTCACCGCTTGCCATCGTCAATCATTTGCCTGCAGCATCCGTCGAGAGGTCCAGGTACTCCAAAAGCTCCGCGGCAGCCTCAACATCGTAAAGCTGGAAGATGTGTACGAAGATGAGGAGTGCGTGCACATCGTCATGGAGCAGTGCCGCGGCGGGGAGCTCTGGCACCGCATCGGGGACCGCCACTACAGTGAACGCACGGTACGGGCAATTCACCCAGTAATAAAGGCATCCCAGGCGTCTTGTCATGGAGGAGGTCTCTTAACGTCTTTTGACATTGCCAGCTTGCCTTACTTCCCGCGCCCCCGTCTGCATTCCCCCTCCCCCTTCCCCAGGTTGCCAGCTTCATGCGTGCCGTACTTCGCACGCTGGCCCAGTGCCACGCGCAGCACATCCTGCACCGCGACATCAAGCCCGGCAACTTCATGCTGCTCACGGAGGACGACCGGGCGCCGCTGCAGGCCATTGACTTCGGACTGGCGGCGCCGTTTGATCCGGAGCAGCTGCCGCGGACAGATCTGGGGCTGGAGGGGGTGGGTGGCGGGGTGGGGGGTGGGGCTGGGGGGAGTGGGGGTGTACGGCAGAGGAAAGGGGGCTGGGGACCGCACGGTAGGGCCGCGGCTAGGGAGGAGCTGAGCGACCATGTCTTAAAGGCACCTCAGCATGCCATGCCATATGCGCCTACCCGTTCACTCATCACCTGTTGCCGCCCCCTTCTCCCTTCCCGTCCCCCTCCAGACGCCCTGGTACATGGCGCCAGGTAGGCCGCATGGGGCGGGTGCAAGGGGGGGGTCTGGGGTCCCTGGGTCCTTGTGGCTCCATGTGCTGCTGGCACTGGCAGTGGTGTCGGACGGCTCCATGGGTCCTGCGGGTATGCTGGCTCGCAGGCCGCTGTGCTCTCCTTTGAGCTCCTCTCTAATATGCTCAGCCCTTCTGGGCTTGCCTCGCTTAGTATACCGTAGTCTGCTGTTACTCATGGCTTGCCCTTCGCCTTGCTTGCGGTGTTGCCTGCTCGCAGAGACCCTGCGCGGCGACTGGCTGCCCGCCAGCGACGTGTGGTCCGCGGGCGTGATGGCCTACCAGCTGCTCAGCGGCCGCTTCCCATTCGACGACAAGAAGAACGTGTACGCGCCGGCAATCACCGCCATTTGGTGGGTGCGGGGTCGGCGGAGGGGTGGAGGGGCGAGCAGGGCTCAAGGGCAGGTCTGGGGATGCACAACACCGAGCACCCACCCCTTTTCGCTCCTCGTTATCATACCCCACACACCCCGTCATCCTCCCCCAAACACATTGGCTCTTCTTTCCCCACCCCACCCCCCAGGCGCTCCGTGCTGAACGACCCGCTGGACTTCTCCTCCTCCAGCTGGGCGGGCATCAGCGAGCAGGCGCGGGACTTCTGCCGGCTGCTGCTGGCGCGCGACCCCGCCGCGCGCCCCTCCGCCAAGGAGGCGCTGCGGCACCCCTGGCTGCGCGGCGACTCGGCGGAGCGCTCCACCGGCAGGCGGCTGGCGCAGTCGGTGGTGGCGCGCATCCAGCGCTTCGCCAGCGGCAGCGCGTTGCAGCGGTCGGTGCTGCAGGCCATCGCGGAGGAGCTGCTGCAGCACCCGGAGCTGCTGGCGGGGGCGGGGGCAGGGGGGGCAGTGGCAGGGGGGCCGGGGGCAGTAGCAGTAGCAACAGCAGGGGCGGGGGCGGTTGCCCCCGAGGCCACCTCGCTGGCCCCCCTGCTGCAGCAGCTGCGGCTGGAGGGTGCGGGTGCGGTGTTGAGTGAGGCGGAGCTGGGTGCGGCGCTGCGGCGCATGGGGTTCAGGCTGGGTCCGGGTGAGGTGTCGCGGCTGATGGCGGGTCTGGATGTGGAGGGCAGCGGGCGGGTGGGCGCTGCGGGCGTGCTGGCGAGCCAGCTGGACTGGCGGCACCTGCAGCGGCACCACACGGAGCTGTGGCTGCAGCTGGCGGAGAAGTGGGTGGGGGGGGAGGGGAGGGAGGGGGGGAGGGGGACTGGGTAGCAAGCAGCGGCAATAGGCCTGCCTAGCTTTCATATGCCAAGGATTGCCAACTACCTCTGCTCCATTCTCTCCCTCTCCCCTCAAGAGTGGGGGTCATGGTCAGCGCTTCCGCGGCTCAATTCATCTAATCCCTTCCCCCTGCCTTCCCTGGCCACCCCCCAGGGCCTTCCGCTCCCTGGACACGGACGGCAGCGGAGTGCTGGAGGTGGGCGAGCTGCTGGCGGCGCTGCGGGCGCGACTGCCGCCCGAGGAGGTGGGCGCCGCGCTGGAGCAGGCGCTGCAGCAGGCGGCAGCAGGAGCGGGGGCAGGAGGGGCGGGGGCGGTGGAGACAGCAGCGGTGGCAGGGGGGGAGGAGGCGGGGCGGGGCATCGACTTTGAGGGCTTTGTGTCATTGCTGAAGGTGAGGAGAGGTGGGGTGGGGTGATGGGGTGGTGGGAGGAGGCGGGTGGTATGGGTGCACATCTGGGTCCTCGATGTGGCAGTCAAGCACACCGCGCTGTGCTTTGAGTCACCTGTTCGGTGACACGTGACAGCAGTGGGCGGGGCATCAGGCATCCTGTTGCTGTCGTAGGGGCATGCACGTGGATCCACCTTGGCCCTCCGTAACCCACCCCATGGTTCCTCTCTGCCCCCGTGTCATGCCCCCTCCACACCAGATTGGCTCCGTGGGCAGTCTGGACCTGTACGACGACCGCATGAGCACCCGCTCGGGGGGCTCGGGGCATGGCGCGACTGCCGCCTCCTCCCTGGACCGCTCCTACCACAGCGGCAGCCTGGGCGGGGGCAGCCTGCGGGGCGCTGCAGCAGCCCTGCGCAGTGGGGACTGGAGCCGCCACGGCAGCAGCAGCAGCAGGGACAACAGCACCCGGGGGGGCGGGGCGGCCTCCCCGCCTGACAGCGCACTGGGGAAGTCGCAGCGGGGCGGTATCGTGTTCCGTTTTGACACGAACCCGAGCCGGGCCCCTGTCGCAGCCGCCACTGGCGGCATCAGCAACAAGGGTGCAGGTGCGGCTGGAGGCCTGGGCCCGCAGGGCGCCTCCTCCGCCTCCGCCTCCTCCGCCTCTCCTGCCGTCCGGCCGCTTGCAGGTGGGGCGGGCGGTGGTGGTGGTGTCCCGGCCGGGGGCATGGTGTGGCGCTTCGACGTGGGCGGCCCCGCTGCCGCACCTCCGCAGCCGCCACCCGCGGCGCCCCTCTGGCGCTTCGACGTGGTAGGTGGCGGTGGCAAGGCGGCAGCCAGCCGCAAGGCAGCAGCAGCAGCCACCGCGACCCCCACCTCGGCCGCCACCCCTATAGCCGCAGCCGCGGCCGCCGGGGCGGGCGGCAGCCAGCAGCAGCATCAGCTGCTGCGGCCCAGCGAGGTGGGCGGGTTGATCAGCAGTCTGGGTCGGCGGGGCGGCTACTGTGACCGGCGCATGCACGGCAGCGACCTGTACCACAATGTGGCGCTGCAGGCGGCGGGGGCGGGGGGGCAGAGGCTGGAAGTGGTGGCGGAGTGAGGGATGTAAGGGGGTGGAGGCTGGAGGCGGTGGTGAAGTGAGGGATGTAAGGGAGTTGGAGGGATGTGGATGATGGATGTAGGCAGTGGCGGGAGTGGGAGGTAGGAACGGGTGCATGGAAGCTGAGGTGGGTTGGCATGGAGCGGGTGTCAGAGCGGCAACCTGTGTAGCTGTGTTGGCGTGCATGCACCCACACTCGGTGGCTGGAGGGTGGAGGCAAGCGCTGTAGATGGCGGAGTACAGGAGGCGAGTACAGGAGGGGAGCATGCAGTTGGTGTTGGTGTTGGTATGATGCTGGGGCGCTGTTGGTTGGCGCCGGTGGGCGGTGGGCGGCAGGGGCGCAGCACGTCTTGCCAAGCAAGAGCATCGTGCGTGCCAGAGATTTTGACACATAGCAGCGGTCAATGCGTATTTTTGTAGGCTATCTTGCTGTTGCACTGTTGCGTTTTTCCTGTAGTAGTTCACCTTTGTTGGTCCTGTTTTGTTGACGTGCTGGTTATAGTATGAAGAATGCCGTGCAAACCCAGTCATGCATCGCAGCTGGTCGAACCTTCATCCTCATCTATAGTAGTATAGCTATTACAGCGAAATGGAGTGGCTTTGCAAAACAGTTGACCCGGTGGGGTCTTGCGGGCGTTCCTTTTGTTGGTTTCCGGCAGTTGGGTGTGCCCGGACATTCCTTTTGGAGAGAGACGTGTGAGCAATGGTATAACATTGTCGCATGACTGTTCCTTGCACGCATGCGTTACGTGCTTGGAGTTTTGTGGTATCCTATGTGTCGCTGATTTGAGACTGGCCTATTGTTGTCTCGGGGCGAGCTTTTGAAAAACTTGTGAGGGGAAAGAGTTGGTGCCTGCAACGGTGTAGTGTGCAAACAAGGTGGACACAGATGTTTAAGGTTGAGACTACGACGGTATCTAAGCGTCTTCGGGCCCCCAACTTTTGTTCTTTACCTAGAAAAGTATCCTTGGCAAAATGCTTTCGCAGATGTTCGTCTTTCGTAAATCCAAGAACTTCACCTCTGGCAACGGATTACGAAAGCCCCCGACTACCCCTCTTAATCTTTACTCCGGTCCTACAGTCCAACAGATAGGGGGAAACCGAGTAAAGGGAAACCGTATACGAAGAATTCAGCCTCATCTGTGCCGTACGGCAAATAACTAAAGCCACACAAAATACATGGGGCCTCAATAGCAGGATAGTCCTCATTGTGGGAAATCTAGATGACAGCTGTTGTTACCATCCTTTCTCTTGGTTAAACACCGATCAGTCCAGTTTACCCGCACTCGCAACAACGGTGTATTGGGTTATGCCGACTTATCCTTGAGCTGCCATAGTCGTGAACATGTACTCTACATAGCCTGTCATGGATTCCCCCCTGGGGGCGGCCCCGGTGTGCATCGATGCGTGAGCTGCTAATCCCACAGAAAGCTGACTTGCCGTACCGTACTTGCACGACTAGCTATACTGCCTATACAGGTACAATTGGCTATAGCGCCTTACTCAGTTAATTTTATATTTGTGTATACATGACACCTATACTACATAGTACATGAAGCGATTGCACTTCGTCTGACCGGAACTAGAAAAGTCGTTTACGTGCCCTCTACTCCAGTACAGTTGAAGTCCAAGTTGTATGCATAGGTAGATCAGCATCACGTTTGCCTACCAACGACTTGACGGCGGGGAGGAGCGCAACAGAGCTTTCAGCTCTAGGGCCATGGCACCTCGCGTGCCACCTCCGGCTGAGCTATTAAAGTTCGAGGGCAAGAAGGATTACCCTATCGAGCAAAAAGTCGATGACTGGGGCCTGACACCCGAACAGCAAGTGCGTTGCTTGCTGAGATGGCGTTGGTCTCCATAAGTCGAAACTTACCGTCTGGCGTCTTGCAGGAAGCGTACGTTGAACTATTTCGTCGAAGGCTCGTAGCAGAGGGCATATGGAAGGCAGACGACCACGGTAGGTGTTTGATGGCAACACCTGACAGTTACCAAAATGACGCTTACTTGCAAGGTGCATATGACCTCTAGTACGTTCGCTCGGTTCCTGGTACCCCTTTTGGAAGTCTGGCCGTGCATGCTTCACATCCCCGCAGACTACTACACCCTGCGACGCTTCTTGCGTGCACGGACCTATGACTTGGAGAGAGCGCTGAAGATGTTCCAGGACCATGTCAACTGGCGCCAGGAGCACGACATAGACAACATCCTAAAGGATTTTCACTTCGAAGAGCGGGGCAAGTTCTTGGCAGCGTACCCCCAGGGCTACCATAAGCTCGACAAGCAGGTGTGTGTATGTCCGCCACGGCGTGCCTCACCCACTCTGCCCATGCGCAACCCGTTTCCCATGCGTTCCCACCGCTTGTTACTTACTTCTTACTTACCACCCTATCTCAGGGCCGACCCATCTACATCCAGCTAATCGGCAAGATCGACGTGCACGGCATCCTGGCGTGCACGGACGAGGACCGCATGTTTAAGTTCCACGTACAGGAGTACGAGCGCTGCGTCAAGGTCATCATGCCCGTGTGCAGCCGCCTGGCGAACCGCAAAATAGACCAGACCTTCGGCATCATGGACGTGCGAGGTGCGCGGGGTGCACCAGTTCGCATGGGGGCTCTCCAACCCTAATTCTCATTTGGGTCAGGGCGAAAACGTTTCTATCCTCGTTCGTATCATCGTAGGTGTCGGCATCAGCGCGCTGACGGGCGACGTGAAACGCATGCTGACCAAGTTCACGAAGACCGACCAGGACAATTACCCGGAAATGCTGGGGCACATCTGCATCATTAACGCGCCTGCCATCTTCCGCATGGTCTGGTCCATCGTGAAAGGCATGATTGACGTGCGCACGCAGCAGAAGATCGAGGTAAGCGCCCGACCCAGATGCCCAAATGCTTCCCCTGCGATCCCGTTGCCGCCGGAAGGACCCTGCCGCATCTTGTGGCCTTATATCCCGCCCCTTCACCGTCTCCGCCCCTCTTCCTGACACCCACCACCACCTCCAACCCCTCCCGCCACCCGCCTCCTCCGACCCAGATCCTGGGCTCCAACTACATGGACGCGCTGCAGAAGCACGTGGACATCGAGTGCATCCCGGAGTGGCTGGGCGGCAAGTCGCACGGCACGTTGCTGGACGACGTGGGCCCCTGGTCCAACCCCGAGCTCATGGCGGAGATGGGGATCGATCTGGAGGCGCTGCGCCTGGGGCTGCCCTCGCCGCCGCCGCCGCCGTCAGCACCATGCGAGCAGCAGCCGCAGTCCCAGTCGCAGCAGCAGCTGGTGGCGGCGTCTTCCTCGTTCGGGCGGCCCTCTACGGACCACGACAGCGGCGGCTTCCTGACGCCGCAGGGCAGCATCTCCTCGAGCCGGTCATTGGGGTGGGTGCAGCGAATGGGTTTGGGGCGGAAGTGCTTCGCGGCTGAGGGGCTGCGGGTTGCCATCCCCTGTGGCGACACTTCGCCCTTTGCCCTGCTAATCCGCCTCCACGCCCCGTCCTTCCTCCCGCAGCAGCAACGCCCGCCTCGCAACGGCGGAGGTGACGACCAGCGCCGCACCCCCCAGCCCCATCCCTCCCTCCCCGCCCGTTGTCGTCCCTGCGCTCGGCACCATCACGGAGGCCCGCACGCGCGCGCTGCTGGAGCGGATCAGGGTCATCGAGGGGCTGCTGCCGCCGCATGCAGAGCGGCTACGGATACAGGTGAGGTGTGGGTTGCGCCATGTGGGGCTGCTCTGCGAGTTGAGTTGCTGTGATCCAATTCCTGGCCGGTCTAGCTGGGCGTTGCCCCTGGCATGCCTCTGCTCCGCGCTCTACTATGTGCCACACGACCCAACCGCCTATACTCGCTGCGTGCCCTCCACCCCCACCACAATCACCCCATCACATGCACTCGCAGACCCCTGCACGCGACGGAGTCAGCACTCGCTCCGCGCCTGAGGGCAGCCTGCTGAACCGCGTGGAGGTGATGGAGGAGGCGCTCGAGACGGTGCTCATCTCGCAGGAGGTGCTCATCCGGCAGACCAAGGAGCAGCATGCGGCGCATGCGGCGGCGCTCAAGGCCATGCAGACGCGCGCGGAGGAGCTGGAGCAGCGGGCGAGCCAGAAGGGCTGCTGCACCATCATGTGAGGTGCGCGGCGGCGCTGCAGTGGTGGCAAGGCGCTCGGTTGGTGGCAAGACGGGTGGAACAGCTATGTGCGGGGGACGCGGGTTACTGACCGGCCTTCCGTGGCCGTATAGAGTTAGAATGGAGGGCTTTACTGTGCGCCTGCGGGAAGTAGGACTAATTAGACGGTGACCTTCGCGAGCCTTTTGGACGACGTGTGTGGTGTGTGGTGTGTCGGGGTTGCGTAAGATGTAGTACTTGTGGGATAGGACTCAGGACGTGGCTTCACTGAAGAAGCTGTTCCGGATACCGGTAGTTATCGGACCGCCAAGATCCCCCTTGGGTGGTGGGGCTGGTACTTGCTGGGCTTTAGGGACCTCCATGTTACCGTGGTGATGCTCACGTGACCTATGTGGGCGGCGTGGGGAGGGGCGCATGTATGATACAGCGCCGTGCGAACACCGGCATTCTTTCTTTTCCTTGTCGCATAGAGGACAGCAGGAGATGCATTGGCAATCCGGCGGCCAGTGTTTGTGCCGAAGAGGGCATGCATTGCAGTGCAGGCTCAGCGCTGAGAGGTAGGGTGTATGTGGTAGAAACGGTGCTGCTTCCAAGTGTTAGCATGTTAGTAAGCCCGGTGCTCTGGAGGCTCCAACGGGAGAGCTGCAGGCACATGACGGGCTTGTACGTATAGTGTTCAATAGCTGCACACGCTCATTGCGGCGCATGTACATACGCGGTGCGCTGCTTTCCGATCTTAGCAACCCCCGGACTGACCGTCTTGTGTTTATCGAACTGTTATGGCCTCAGGGATGTAGCACGTGTTGTGCGCTCCTGATGCCGTGATGGGGCTGGGACGGCGCTCGCGTGACATGTCGACAGTTCCCTGGGCCCATGTGGGCCATGTAGGCGCGGATATGAAAGCCCTTCATGTATGAGGGCTTTTCCCCAAGTGTGCTGCTTTGGATGCGTCGATATCGCCTACATCCTGCTTTACCCTGAACCTCTCCACGGAGCCATGAGGTTACACTGCTAGCCAACAGCCAACACACATGCATGGATGCCTACACCACCGCTGCCAAGAGCAGCGCGTCCCTGGACACAGGGAACACCAGCAAGCAACTTGCATGCTGCATGAATCATGCCGACCAGCTGTTGCATGCGGCACCTCGACGCATCGCCCTCGCCTACAGCCGCGGGGATATGACACAGCCCTTCCACACAGCCAGCAGTCGTCGCGCGCATCTCTAGCGCCCCAGCGCCTCCTACAACAACGCAGACGTCTCTTCGGTTCAGCCCTCCCGAGGTTTCTTTGTCCTCGACCCCCTTTCCCCGCTTCCCACGGTGACCCGCGCGTCACCGCCCCCGCTTGAGGTTGCTCGTCAGGCGGACTGCGTGGAACCAGGCGTTGATGCGGATCATCTGCGCGCCGCCCAGCCCCGCCCGCTGCGCCGCCTGGAGCAGCCCGGCCTCCGCCGAGTTGAGCTGCAGCACGAGCTCCTTGAAGCCGGAGCGGCGCGCGTGCGTGAGGGCGGCAGCCAGCAGGGAGTCCGCTACGGCTGCTGCGTGGGGCAGCTTGGGCCTGGGGAAATGGGTGGGAGGACGGGAGAGGGAATTGAGAAGGGGACACGGAATCAACCCGAGGTTTGTCCGGTCGATTTCGGGAGGTGCAAGAGCCAAGGGGGGAAGGAAGGGAGGCCCAGTACAGGAAACGCCGTGCCGAAGGGAGGCCCATTGGTAAGGTGCTGCAACACACCCCTGCTGCAAGATCGGCCAACCAGCTGGCCCGGCGCACGGTCCCAACAGAGGACGCGTGACGCCACTAACCGGGAAGGCATCCCAGAGGCCTTGCTATGTCGCAGCACAACAGATGAACCAGCACAAGCCGGCCCAACCAGCACAAGCTAGCTACTTAGTCCCACAGAGGTGCCTTCGGAGCAGCAGCGTACGCACCTGACGGCCAGGTAGACCAGCTCCGCCTGGCCTCCAGTCTTGCTCCGAACCCCAACGCAACCCAGGACGCGCTCGTCCTCCGAAACAACGAAGAACCGTGAGCCGTTGTCGCTGAAATGGAAGGGGAGCTTCTCATTCAGGTCCGTCTCGGTAGCTCTCCGGGCGAGGAGGTGCAATTGCAGCAAAACGAATACGCCCACCAGCAGCGGTACAAGTAGCAGCGCGATGCATCCTACTATGTACGGAGCAATGCTGTTTGGTTGATATGTGACAAAAGCTGCAAAGACAGGAATAAGTGCGCCTCGAATCCATAAGGAGGACGGAGTCGTTATTGCCACTCGTAGGATGGGAAGCAACAGTGAGAACGTATGGGCACGATACGTGTCGATCACAGCCGATACGTCATTGTCAGTAACTTGTCGCGGTCGATGCTCGTCTTCACGGCCACGCGCTACGAGGCTACTATTCGTTTCCATGTTGGTATGTTTAAGCAATAAAGGTCAACCTGGATGTTTGCAGACCAATGTGCTATAACCATTAAGAAAAGTTGTCAACCGTTGACGGCCTTGTACGGCTTTAGTAATGTAATCACATTTGTTTGATCAGCTGACAGTTATGCGCTGCGAAGCTGACGGGTACATCATGCATGGCCAGAATGTTATGCCTGCTGGGCGCTATTCCTCATCCGGCCTGCGGGTGGATAGGGAGCCCTAGTGCGTGCTGCTACGACATTACCATGCGACATCACCATGTGGTGCGTGTGGTTTAGGTTTACGCGTCAACATGAGGCACCGGCACCGACTGCTGGTGGTAATGAAGCTTTGAGGTTAGGCTGGAACCTGTGCGCCATGACCACTACGGATCAGCCATGCATCACAGCGCCAGGCACGGCTCAAGGGAAGCTTGACGAAGGAGACGAATGCCCCAGAACAAGTTCTAGCAGGGTCTGACATGCCCCGCATAACGAATCCAACACGAGCCAGCGAAAAGCAAACACCACCATGCGGTTGCAGGCCTCCCTGCAGACATCACAAAACCTATGCGGGCAATCCATGTACGGCTACAAGGAACGCCTCCTCGCGTGAAAGCTCGCTTTCAGCATACACCCGCTGACATGCTCTTGCCTATAATACAGGAAACCGTCACGTCACTAAACACCTAGTCCAATGCAGATAGCCGCAATCGCGCCACACGTGATGGCGTGCAGCAAGTCCAAGTCAAGAGTCCTAGTATGTACTGTTGTCCTAATCCCAGCTTAATAGCCACGGCAACCTCGCCCCTGGCCAGCTTACATAGGGCTGCAATCCCCTGGGAAGGTAATCCCCTCCGCGTACCAACTGTCAAGAATGTCATCGTTGCCGCCGTGTCCAGAACCTTCACCTCCTCCTTTAGTCCCACGCCTCAACCAGCATTACTGCCCCACAGTGACCGTACCCCATGCCTCCCAGCCCAAAACGCCCGCCCCAAGCGCAACACCCGCCGCCACGGCAGCCCTCACTCGTAGTATAACCCGTACACCTGGCAAACGCAGTACATGCTCTCGTTCTCGTAGTACTCCGACGCGAAGTTGTCGGACTGCGTGTCCCACAGGCAGCGCGAGATGATGCGCATGGCCTGGCCCTGCTTCTGCCCCACAGTGACCTGGATCACCAGCTTGTACCTGTGTGGAAGGGGGATAGGGGAGGCGGGCCGCTGTTTGAGACCGGCTCTCCAAGTCATGGGGACAGGAGGCTGCTTGCCAGTTTGGGGAATCCAGGGTGGCAACGGGAGCAGCCGAGAGACACGCTGGGTCCCAGAAAGCTGACGTGCCTCACAAGAGAACGCTGGAGGCATGTGGGGAGAGAGGAAACCACGAGCCGCTTCGTAACTGGCATCGCGGCTAGTCGCAACAGCTGTACGCAGGGCATTCTGCCGCCGCCAGCTTTGGGGTTGCTGCTCCATGATGCTGGGGGGTGGGGCGCTGGAGGCACTACCGTGCTAACACACGCCGGTCACCAGTGCATATCCCCATAGTGTGAAGTGTCGCACAAGCTTCCCATGTATGTTTCAACTCATGCTGGCACAACAGAAGTCATTGCGAGGGTGCGTACATACAGCGACACCCTATCCCCGGGATGTCACCATGATTGCCACCCCTCTCAAAGGGTGGGCCCGTATTCCCGGCCAAGTATCTAGCTTACCGATCGTAGCCCAGGGCCTTGACCTTTTCCCGCAAGTCGTCCGACAGCTGCTTGGAGATTTGTGCGCCCTTTACAGGGTCGTACTTTTGTTTCTCAATGCGTTCTTTGAGTACTTGTTTTAGGACTGCTTGAACCTTATGCCGCTCAAACTTGGTGTTGGGGCCGTAGCCCTCGGGGTCTGTAATGTATGTATTCTCATATACGACCTCCTTGATTCCTCCAGACTGGAATGGCATCGAATCATCCATGGTTGTAAGCTAATTACAGTAAAGTGACGAAGTAGTTTTAACCTGATGCAAAGCTTCGTTGCCTGTCAAGACTTCGAGTAATTGCAGGATAGGACGCACAGCAGGCGCAATTGGCTAAGTAGGTCAAAAGTATTAGGGCCAACACATAACTTTATTGCCGTTTGGTAGGAATATGGCTAGGACTAGTACCGCCCGGCCGCGGGACGAGCGCGTGGATTGTAGTACAAGCCGGTGATCGATTTCGTTGAGGAGCCAGAGGTGTCCTTCGCGTGTTGTCCAGGGCACACCTAAGTCCCCACGCGTACTACAGCAAAACGGGTTGTATTTAGCTGGTTAGTCGTATTCACTATCACTCGTGAGGTCCCAGCTTGTGCACGGTGGTACGGGCTTGTCATGTTCGCCGTCCTGGGTTACAGAGTTCGCGCTGCGCACTTCACACCTGCGTGGCGCCCTAACTCGGCACCCAGGTTCTAAAAGATCGCGCACAGTACCTGCCATACGGGCAAGGGCCAAACGCCCTGCTAACTTGCCCTGACGTGACTTTAAAACTACCGCGAAACCGCCACACATCATTCATTTCGCAGCATGAAAACCTATTACGCAACGCCACAAGATCGGCCGATCCTGTACATTGCTCACTAGAGTGTTGACTGTGTGTTGCATACATACATGAGAGGATGGCCGGGTATGGCCAAGCAACTTAACCGTTGGTCCTACGTGTTAAGTAAAAGCTGGCACCAGATGTTTAGGTCCCATGGACAAGAACACATGGCAACCTGTCCCCCCAATCCAGCACTTCCACCTCCTCCGCCATGCATTCGCCACAATCAATCCGCCATAACCACCATGAACCCCATGCGCACGCGAAGCCCGAGGGTAAGCCAGTGGCAGCAGCCCACGGGTGAGCTGCACTCCGCTTGCTGCTAGCGCAACACTCCAGCGGTCGCAGGTATAGGGCCCCCCCAGCGCCCAAACGCCGGACAGTGACCTCAGGGCTGCAGGTTGTCGTACTCACATCTTCCAGAGCAGCACGGCTGTCCGCCCGCCGACGTAGATGTATAACAAGTTTCGTACCTGGGTTGGCGCAAAGCAGGCAGGCATTGGGTATTCGTATTCAGCGCTTTGCCGACGCCCCCAGCAGGCAATACACACACCCAAAGGCCAAGCCAGTGGTAAAATACAGAACCAGGCCAGGCAGGAAACCGTCGGCTAATCCTTACCTCGTATGTGATCTCGTAGGAGAAGCCTTTCCCCACAACCACGTGCCATGGCGCGCCGAACTTCTTGTCCATTTGGTCTTTAATCATCTGCGTGTGGGTATAAAGGGCATGGGTATGGCAGGTGTGATTCTGACTACGAAGGATATCCCCTGTCTAGCAGTAGTGCCAATACCCACCTGTGTGCACTTCTCCGCATCGTTGGGGTACTTCTCAACGGCCGTGATGCAAATATCCATCGCCTCCTCCTTCATCTCCACGTTCATGTCCGTGAACTTGACCAGTGTGTACTGCGGCCGAAGGTCCCACGGTCGTAGGTTACGTTGATAGCGTGTGGTGCATCAGTATGCCCCTTCGTTCCAAGCGGCGCCCAGTGTACACAAACATGGCTTGTCCGCACCTTGGCCACACGCAAGAACGCCTCCATATCTTCAAACTGCTGTTCCGCCATTGTGATGAAGTTCTTTCTATTCCTATAAAGGCCTAGCTGGGGGCCGGACTCTCAGAATGCGAACTCCTTAGAAGTGTCTTAGGTCATATGCAACCCTCCATCATCGTTTGTCCATACTACAAATTCATGATGGAACGCAATTTCTTATGTACGCGGCAAAGGTGGTCAATGTCGAAGCTAACAGGTGGTGGTCTTCAATATGCAAGTTTAGGCCGCGGGTGTCACACGTATTATCAACAAGCTAATTACAGATTGGTTCGAAGCTAGGATGGTTGGTTGGCTTGCGCCCGTTGACAAAGATTACAAAGCGTGCCGTACAAAGGAGGCGCACGGCCAATCTTGGCATACCCTGCGAAGTGCAATGCCGGTACATTGTAAGGAACGCTGATCACTCCAATTTTTCGGTATAGTATGCCATTAGGTCCTCTTGGACGCGCTGCAGTCCTACTGTGTCGACGTGGTGCCACGGTAAGTGGCCGGGGGAGAAACCATGTACGTTATAGCCAAATGCTTGAAATCTGGTGTCATACTATCAGTCTCTGGTAGCTCTTCCGCCATAACCCACTGCTTTTCATGCCCTCCCGACAGACCCAACTGTGCATCTCGCTCGGCCATCTCCATTACTGGCGGTCACTACGTGCTCCGATCGCACTTCCTTCCCCCACCGGGAACCGCGTGTACTGCTCCGGCTCCCCGGGCTTCGCATCCTCAGCCTCCACAAGCCCACCGGCGCCGGCCCCAACCGCCCTGCCCCAACCTATCACGGTGCGCACAACCCGCGCATGCCATTGAGGGAATGTGCACACACACTATTGTAAAACCAACCGGACAGGCTGGACAGGCTAGACGTGCCTTTCTACTCCAAACTGCTGATATCATTGCGGTACCCCCTGGATGGATGGCGGTTCCTGCCGACCTGCCCCTGACACCCTCCCCTCTCCCCGCCCCCCTCCCCGCTAGGACGTCTCCCCCGGCGGCGACCTGATGGCTGGCGTGGAGGTCATATCGGAGAGGTGCGGGGAGCAACCGGGGGCCCCTGGGAAGGGGGATAGGGGAGGGGAGGCAGAGCAGGGGACGAGGGGGGGTGGAGCGAGAAGGCTAGGAGCCCGCTGCTGCCCAGTGGCCGACCCATGGTTCTCCCACGACACAGCACAGTGCCCACGACCCTCCTTGCGACCCGGGCACCTAAGCACCAAAGTAGCCTTCTTGAATGGACATCCCCTGCTCCTTTGCCTCCCCTGCCTCCGCTGTCCCCCTGCCTCCCCTCCCTCCCCCCCCTGCAGCGACTGGCAGCACCTGGGGGCCCACCTGGCCGCCTATGACGAGCAGCGGGAGGCGCTCATCAAGAAGTGCAGGGGTGGGGGCAGGGGGGGTGGGGAAGGGGAAGGGGAGGAGCATGAGTATTGAGGTGGAGGGGACGGGGAGAGGGGAGGGGACGGTGGAGAGAGGGCAGGGCAGGGTGCGTGCAGAGGATTGGGTATTCTCTCCGACAGCGGGGTTGTTGCACCGGCCCGGCCCGCCCCGCCCCGCCCCGCCCCGCAGACCCCACCTCGCTGCTGCCGCTCAGCGGAGTCCTCCCTCCCTCCTCCACCTCCCTCATTCCCACCCCCTCCCTCGTTCAACTCCCCCTCCCCCCCAGACATGCAGAAGCTGGCCAAGCAGGCCGTGTACTCGCTGCACCGGGGGGAGGCGGCGCGGGCGGAGCAGCAGCTGGACAAGACAGGTGGGGGCCGGGCGGAGGAAGAGGGAGGAGGCAGGCGGCCATGCTAGTGTGATGTGCCAGCATGCGGCGGCGCCGGGATACGAACCTGCGCGGGTAAGCAGGCGGGCGCAGCTGCCACCCGCGGGTCGGGGCGGGCTCCCTGTGCGGGCGGTTGGGAGGGCTGCACCCGCACCGGGCTCAGTCCTGGGGCCCGGGCGGCGCCGCTGGGCGCTAACCGCCCCCACCCGCCTCCCACCCAGACCACCGGCAGTTCCCCGGCCCCACTCAGGGGTCACTGGGCCCGGGTGCAGACCCCGCTGCATCCTCCCTGCCGCTGCTGCTGCCATCGTGAACAGCATGCATGTCGTCGCCTTGTTTCCCCCCCTCCCCCCGCCCTCCCCCCGCCCCTCCCTCATGCAGAGTCACTAGCCCGGGAGCTGCTGCCGGCGCTGGCCAAGTACCCCTCCCTGCGGCCCGGATCCTACTCGGCTGCGATAGAGGAGGTGGGGGTGGGGGGGTTGCGGCGGGGCGGGGGCAGCCGGGTATGGAGAGGATGGTGCTACACTGCTGCATGCTGTGCCTCAACCTTCCCACCACCCTGCCTCCCCTCCCAGTAACTCCCACCACCCTCCCATCACTCCCTCCTGGCCTCCCCCTCCCGCAGTACGCTGAGGCCAAGGCGTTCTCCGTGTTCCTGCGCGAGGGGCGGCTGGTGCGTTCGGAGGAGCTGCCACTGGCGGAGCCCGAGGAGTGAGGGAGGGGAGGCAGCGGGGGAGGGGAGGAGGGTTGCATGGCACGTGTGCCTTTACAAGAGATCCCTGCTGCCTTTCACACCTCATCTGCATCGCGTGAGCCTCCCACCCACCTCCCACCTGGTCATCACCCCATCTCAAAAGAGCCCTCCATCACCCCCCTCCTCCCCCCATCGCTTTAACCACCATTTCGGCTCGACTCACGGTTGATTCCACCAGGGATTGTCAGCAACTTGTATCATTATCATACCACAACTTTGCAATTTCTTCCCCCCCCCAGGTTCCTGGGCGGCGTGTTGGACTTCACGGGCGAGCTCAACCGCTACGCAGTGGCTCGCGCCACGCAGCGGGACCGGGCGGCGGTGCAGCGGTGCCGGGACCTGGTGGACGGGCTGATGGGCAGGTTCCTGCAGGTGGGGGGAGGTGGTGGTGTTAATAGAAGCAGGGTGAGCCGCCTTACCTGGAGTGCCCCTACTCGCAGGCTCTGGGGGGTGCCCCAGCTCACCCCTATGCCTCACCTCGCCTTTCCCTCCCCCCATGCCCTCCCTTCCCCTCCCCCTGCCGCCAGTTCGACCTGCGCAACGGCTCACTGCGTAAGAAGTTCGACGCACTCAAGTACACCCTCAAGAAGATGGAGGTGGGGGGGGAGAGTGGGGGCTGGGGGGCTCCGCTAGGCCAGCTGGAGGGCTGCAGGGCCGTGGGCCAGCTACCGCTCTTCCACCGCCGCACTGCTGCCTGCTGCGCCTCGCCACCCCCTGCTGGTGCGGGTGAGGAGCCTTGTCATGGTGTGTGTTTCCCTTTTACGTCCCCTGTCGCTGCCCCTGTCTGCTCTTCCCCCCCTGGCCCTCCCCCTTGACAGAGCACACTGTACGAGCTGGCTCTGACGGAGGCGATGGGGTTTAAGGTGGAGGCAGCGGGCATGGTGGGTGGGGTGGTGGTGGTTTGGGGGCCTTGTGTGGTGGGAGAGGGCAAGGCGTAGAGGACAGGTGCTCGGCCGTGTGTGTTTGTTTCCAACATGGTCTTGTGGCGGATCGCGTGGGCTTGCTCCTTCTGTCGCTCTTGCCATAATCCAAACCACCCCTTCCCACCCTCACCTATGACACGCCGTTCATCGTGCAGGAGCCGGATGCGGCGGGAGGTTCGGGAGGCGGCGGTGGCGAGGGGGCAGGCGGGGAGGAGATGTGAGGGGGCGCTGGGGGTGGGGTGGGCCGCTGGGGTTAGGGTGGGCCGCTGGGGGTGGGGTTGCCATGGGGCTCTGGGGGTGGGCACGGCAGCACAGCGGGTGCAGCGGCGCCGGCTGAGCAGCTCAGCAAATACAAGGAGAAGGGGGGCAGGGCGAACGTGCGGCGCGGGTGTACGGCGGGGGCTGAGGGGCTGTGGTGCGGGTCGGCGTGCGTGCCCGGTCCAGGCGGTATGCAGAGCCTCGCTGTCCCGCAGGGTATGCGCATCATACGCATGTCAGCGCGCCACAGGGGGTACTTGATGCAATTCGATTTAACAAAATTGCCCGGAGTGGAGTGGAGACGCTGCATACCCTCCCGACTACCGGTAGTGGCTGATAGGACAGCAGCCAGCCGGGGTGGGGGAACTGCAGGGGCGCCTGCCGCTGTGCACTGTCGCGCGTGCACACACTGTAACACTGTAACCGTCGGTGGTAGCCGGCGAGAGCAGTCTGGCTGTCCTAGCACAGGCAGCAGCACAGCGGACACAGCACGTCCTCGCTGTCATCAGCACTCCCATGTCCGCCCCGTCCCAACCCCGCCCCCATGTGCCCTACCCTGCCCAGCAGCGCCCCACACACGGCACTCCGCAGCCCCCCCCACACGGGGCCCCTCCTACTCGTCTTCCTAGCAGCCCCTCCTCCTCCTCTCCCTAGCCCCTCCTACCGTGTCCAGCACACACACCTACACCGCACACTCCGCCAATCAACGCCAACGCAGCAGCCCCCATCGCAACCGAGTTGCCCCCTCGCACCTCCCAGCCGGTCAAACCAGCCGTACAACAACTGAGACTGCAGGCAGACAGAGACCACCAAGAGAGGGTAGCACCCCAAGCACCCTCAGCACCCGCCCCCGTGTCCAGGCGGTACCGTACCCCGGGTCATGCTGCGTCCTGTGCTCGCCATGCCATGCAACTGCGCCCCCCCCCCCACTCCCCGGCTAGTTTCCCCCCTCCAGCGCCTTCTTGTTGGCCCGCAGCACCGACCCGGGTGCGGGGTAGGGTCGCGACTGGAACAGCGGCCCGACCGCAGTGGTGTCCGCCGCACTGGGCTGCGCGCCCTCCAGACCCGTGGACCAGGAGCCGCGGGGGGCGTCGGAGTAGGCGGCCTGGGGAGGGGGGTGGGGGTGGGAGGGGCAGGGAGGCGGGGGGTTGGAGCGGGTGAGACTTGCAATGCAAGAGGTGGGTTGGGTACAAGGCAAGCAAGAGGAGCAGGGTGAGCAAGAACGGCCCTCCAAGGGTGTCCACACCCACATTCCCCAAGCTCTTCACTATCGGACAATCCGCAATTTGGCCCCTGTTCCCCCCCCCTTTCTCCCCCCCTCACCGGATCCATGGGGTCCAGCTCCTCCTCCTCGCGCTTCCCCTTGCCGCCCCGCCCCCGACCCTCATTCCGCAGCCTCTGCTGCTCGGCAATGGCCTCCAGCCGGCTCTTGCGCGACCCGCCGCCGCCCTCCTCCTCGCCGCCCGCCGCCCCGCCCCGCGGCGCCGGCCCAATGGCCGCCCCTGCCGCCGCCACCCGAGCTGCCGCGGCCGCCTGGAACGCCACCAGCTCGGGCAGCAGGCGGGAGGGGTCGTCCTGGTAGTATCCCAGACCCTGGGGGGCAGGGGGGAGGGAGGGAGGGATGGGTGGGAGGCAGGGGAGGGGTGTGAGGAAGACCCGGCGGGCAGGAGAAGGCAAGACACAGGGGGCCGGTGGAGGGAAGCGTCGCGTGTGATGTGCAGTACTTTGATCTGGCGGGGAGTCCTCCTCCCTCCCATGGACCCTCATCCCTGGCTACTCCCTCCCCTGCCCCCCTGGCATTCAACGCATGGGGTTTCCCTTCTTCCCCACACACCCCTCCCTCCTCTCAGCCCCCCCACCTGCAGCCCCATCTTGAACACGTATCCCGGGCGGGCCCCCAGGAACACGGCGGAGGGCAGGAAGTCCTGAGCCACCGGCTTCTGCCACGTGCGCTCGCCTGGGGGGGGGGAAAAACTTATATAAGTGAAACAACGAGTCCCAACAGAGGGTTAAGGAAAGAAGGGGTTTGTGTTCGCCTGTGTCAACCGCAGCTGGCCGGGATGTGGGGGTGCTGAGGTGAGAGCGAGGGCGTGGGGCAGGTGGCGGGCGCCTGCAGCGGTGCCCGGGTTGACTGGGGTGGTGGTGCGGGCTAGCAGCCGGACCTCCAAGTGCATCGGGTTGGTGAGCACACATGCGGCAGGGTGGTGGCCGGTGGGGGTGCGCGAGGGGGCTGCCCCCTGACTCCGCCCCTCCCACCCCTGCCCCTCTCCCCCCCCGCCCCCCCACCTGTAGCTGGGCAGTAGAAGTAGGTCACCCCGGTGGCGGGGTCAGCCGCCCAGGCCCAGCCGCGGGGGACGGACTTGATGGGGCGCAGCCAGATACGCTCGCCTGGTGGGCGGGTGGGGTGTGTATGTCAGATAACGAACCTCAGAAATCCACACGTTAGGACCAAGCAATGGGATAGGAAGCGGCAAGAGGCGATCCCTCCTTCCAAAGAGAAACCCAAACTGGCACCAGGAGTACCCCCGCCCCACAGCACCACCTCACCCGTGGTGGGGTTGTAGTAGTAGGGTCTCCCGTGTCGCGGGTCGATGGCCTCGAACCAGCCCGGCAGCAGCGGCTCCTCCTGCAGCGCGGGGGTGGGCGGCTGCGGGGCGGAGGCGTAGTGCGCGGAGGCGGGCGCGGCGCGAGGCGGAGCGCCGGCGCCTGCATCACCCGCCTGCTGCTGCTGCTGCGAGGTGTGCTGCGTCAGGGGCAGCAGGCCTCGGGCCGCCAGACGAGCCTTCAGCGCCGGAGGGAGGTCGGGCTTGGCGGGCTCGGCAGCGGGGGCGGGGGGCTGCATGTGCTGCTGCTGTTGTGGCGGGCGGGGCGGGGGCGGCAGCATGGTGCCGGGGGGCGCATCGTCGTCATCCACCCCGGGGGGCCGCTCAGCCAGGTCGGAGGGGGCGGGGGCGGGGGCTGCGGTGCCGGGCGGCGGGAGCTGGGGCGGCGGGCCGGGGGGCCGGGGAGGGCCGGGGGGCGCCAAGGGAGGCGGCCCCGGCGGCCGAGGCGGGGGCGGGGGGCCCGGCGGGCGGGGTGGCGGGGGCGGTCCTGGGGGCCGGGCGGGTGGCGGCGGACCTGCGGGAGGCGGCATGCGGGTTGGGGGGTTGGTTCCGCACTTCGGATCAGGGCACCTAGACACGTACCCAGCCACGATACTACTGCAATCCTCATTCTCCCCAACCAGCCCTCCGCATGTGTTTGCTGAGCCACTGGGGGTTCCACCCCTCGCACAGTGCTCAGCGGTGCGCGGCAGCGGGGTCCTACCAGGGGGCTTCGGAGGGCCGGGGGGAGGGCCTGGAGGAGGAGGCGGAAGCGCCCCCGCGCCCGGCTGTTGCGGTGGCGCCTGCTGCTGCTGCTGCTGCTGAGCCCCGGATTTGGCCGCAATGGCCGCCAGTACGGCACTGGGCGGTTGGTAGTTGGTCCAGTCGCCGGCGCCGCGCTGCGGGGCGGCGGCCAGCGGCGCCTGCGGGGCTACTGCTGCTGCTGGGGCGGTGCCGTTGCTGCTGCCGGTGTTTGCGTGGAAGTCGTGGGAGAGCTTCAGCAGCTTGTCCTGTGGGGCGGAACGGTGGTGAATGGTTGGAAAGAGGGTTACTGGTTAGTGGTTACAGACCAGAGAGGGAGGAGGAGAGGCGGTAGAGTGTCACTGCAGGGCTGGGGGAGCCGGTATGTGGTCAAGAAGGGCAAGGAAAGGGTGCAGCAATGCAGCGGGTTGTTGGTGGTGGGTTGTTCCTAGATGGCGAAGGTGGTTGCCTGCTGTATCGTACCTTTAGTTGCGCTGGGTCCCGGGGCTCATCCGTCGAGTCCTCATCGCGCTCTTGCCGCTTGTTAGACCTGCATGGGTTTGTAGCGGTCGCCACGATGACGCGAGATGCATGGGGGGTCATGGGGCCGAATCGGAAAAGGTAGTGGCGTTTGCGCTCGAGAAGAATATTCTTACTGACCTCATGGCTGCCTGCCGAACCTCCTGCTCCTGCTGCTCCATGAGAGCCCGCTGGCCCTCTTCGTCAAGCGAGCCAAGAGCATCGCCATATCGCGCTGACAGCTGGGCGTCCGTTGGCTCCGGTACCGCGGCATGGTTTGCGTCATGGCCAGGACCTGCCTGTTGTTGCTGTTGCTGATGTTGCAACCATGCTGGAATAACCGCTCCGCGACCCCTGCCTACACCATCCATGGTTGGAGGGAGCAGTAGTTGGCTCAATCTTACAAAAACGGATGCATAGTTTATACACCACAGTAACCTATTCTAGATACCTTGTGGGCTGCTTTGACAAAAGCGAAGTCGCAAGTCTTCAAGGGCCAGTACGGCAAACAGCAGCCCAGCCAGCAGTGCTTGCACTCAACCGCAATACTAGCTCTTTGTTGCATCCGTTTACTTCAAAAGATTAATTCATTCTGCTACGTGAAATCCTTTTACGGAGGACGTCGACGCGCCGCCGTGAACTAGCGTCTTGCTAAGCAATTTGGGCCCGTGAGCAATTTGTTTTACGTAACTAGTCATAATTGAGGAGATCGGGTGGAGATGGAGCCATCGAAAGTGCTGGACGCACTAAATGACATTAGCGTAAAAGTGGCCATTGGTGTTGCTGGAACCGCTGCAGCGGGCGCTGCAATTATCATGCCAAACCGCCAACAGGTAACGCAGCCTTGCATTAGGGCTCTTGATTGCTTTCCCCCCGTCTCGTCATACTGCGCCAGGCTCGTGCTGTGCAACCATACCAACGGGGACAACGGGGCTTGCGCTTGGGTGGGCGCAGGTGGAGGCAGCATCAACTGAGATGTACGGGAGGCCCACATCGCAACTCCTCCCGAATGAGCGTCGCACTGCGGAGTTCTGTGCGGGCTACCGCCGATGGAAGGGCTTTGTGGACAACAACATCTACAGCTGGACACGGAAACTGCCGGGCAGCACCGCGCCTATTGTGAACCCCTACAAGGGGCCGCGGCGGCCAGTTCGCCAGCAGCGGGCGGAGGAGGCGGAAGGTGCTGCTGTCAAGGAGTAGGTCTGACGCAAGCGTTGGCTGTAGGACAACAAGAGTTGGCGGAGGGAGCTGCTGTGTGGCAGGCGGATTGCTGCAGCTGCTACTAACACCAGTAGCACCAGCCTGTGCCAGCATGCCTGGCGGTCGCTGCCGGGCTGTTCCAGGTAGTGACGAGGAGTGGTGTGTGTCGAGGGCGGACCACGACGTGGATGACACGCAGGGATGTGGGGGTGGGGTACTTCGCATCCGAGTAATGCGGAGTACAGTCACCCAAGAGTCGCTGTTAAGTTCGTTGTTGACCGTACGGAAGGCGGTTGAGGAAGGCGAGGTGCCGTACGTTCCCGTGGGTACGCACGTGTTAAGAGTGATTTTGGAGCGCTGTTGAAAGGGCAGGTGGCCAGGTGTGCTTCCATCGGCCTCTTAGACTGCGTTTTGGCCAAGCTTGACCAATGGCGCTTGAGCGAGGCTGTTGGAGCTTACTGAGTAGGATTCTTTAGGATGCCGCCGCGGGGGCGGCTGACGTGTTTTCCAAGGGTACAATGCATACAGCGGTTATTGGTATAGAGGTAGGAGCCCACGCAATTTTGCCTACATGCGTGGAATCCAACAACGCAAACATGCGTTATTTTCTTGTTTAGCGGCATTCGTTGGCCGTAAACCCAGGACTGCCAACGCGTATGTATGTTTGCACGAGTGTTTAGGACAAGATCCGTCAACGCGAACAGTGTAACTGACCCGGACTGATACCAGCCGGGTGCATGCAACAGCCTCACACATTCTCGCCCATTCCGGGGCACAAGGTATACCAATAGTCGTCTTCGCCTCGTCATAGCAAAAAGCCGGCGATACCGGTAATCCTGGTATCTCCTGGGGGCCCGCGCCTTATCAACTCCCCACACTCCCATCCGGCACATACACCCCTCGTTAAACCAATCTCCTCCCGGCCGAACGACGGCCTCAAAAGCAAGGGTACAAGCTAGGTACTGTAACCCACTCGCACGTAACCACGTCCACAGACCCCGCCCTCCCTAGTGGCTATCAGCATGCGTACCTCTCATGGTGCAATGCTACCTCCTGGCCGCATGCGCCCTTCCCGTCCTCCTCCTCAGCAGCCCCCCCCTTCATTATATATTTTTACCCCCCTTTCATGCAACATGCACAGCAACACAGCCACCAAGGCCCCAACCCACTCCCCTCCTCAATCCCCGCCCCTCCCCTAGTTGATATCCATCACACAAATGGTCCGGTTGGCAAAGCACGCCGCCACGCGCGTGCCCTCCCTGTTCCAGCACACCTCGTAAATCCCCGCCTCCCCCTTGAACGACCGCACCAGCACACCCTCCTCCACACTCCACACATACACGCACTTGTCAAACGAGCCGGTGGCCACCAGCTTGCCATTCGGCGAGAAGGCCACGCTGTACACCGGCTCCACGTGCTTCTGCAGGCACTGCACGGCGCGCCCCGCCTCGATGTCCCACAGCCGCACGGTGGTGTCGAAGGAGGCGGACGCCAGCAGCAGCGGCATGTTGGGGTTGGCAGACTGCGGGCCGGTGGGGCTCCAGCGGATGGTGTAGATCTCGCGCTGGTGGTCCCGGAAGTCCTGCACCGGCTTGTCACTGCTGAGGGACCACACCTGCGGGCAGGACACGGAAGACACGGAAGGCCAAGGTAAGGGAGGGAAGGAGGAAGGAACAAGGAGGAGTAAGCGACGGGTTGCCAAGAGCGAGCGCGACGTCGACAGAACCAGATTGGAGCTGAGCTGCAAAGGAGCGCCGCGCCTGTACGACACAGGGGGAGCCAACACAAGCCTACACGGTGCGCTGCAGGCAGCACGCTGTTACAGCGGAACCCCCTGCCAGCACCCCCCGGACTCCCCCTCCCGCTCAGCTCGCTGCGCACCTTGGCCGTCTTGTCGTCCGAGCAGGAGGCCAGCAGCCGGCCGCTGGGGTCCCACTTGATGGCGTTCACCTCGTCGTCGTGCCCCGCGTACGTCTTCACGGCTCGGCTCTCGCCCAGCTTGCACACGTGGATGAGCTTGTCGGTGGAGCAGGTGGCGAAGGAGGTGCTGTTGCGCCAGTCCACGTCGAGGGTGGGGGCTGAGGCAGGGGGCGGGGGTGGGAACATTATAGTCCAATATAAGTGCAAACAACTAGAGTCCCAATGGGGGGGCAGGGGTGAGGACTAATGGGCCGGTTGGGTTTCCCTAGGTGCACGGCGAGGAGGTTACTGAGGTACCGAAGCCCCCTGCTACACGGCCCCCCATCCCCAACATGTCTAGCTCCACATCACGACCTACAGCCCCACCCACCCACCCACCCGCCCATCCGCCCCCTCAGTGCGCATGCACCCGCCCCCACCCGTGTGCAGGTCAAACGTCTGCTTCGCCTCCCCCGTCTTGGCGTCCCACACGATCGCCGTCTTGTCCACACTGCCGCTCAGCAGCAGGTCGCCGCGCTTGTTCCACTTGAGCGCGAAGATGGGGCCCTGGTGCTTGTCTAGCGTCTGACGAAGCTTGCCTGCAACCAGGGAGGTGTGTGAAGACAAGGGAGAGGGTGCAGGTGGGTGTGGGTGGCTGTCAGGACGGGTCGGAGCACACCAGCCTTCCGTGCAGAGCGGCACTGAGACAAGGCACCCCCGCGGTCGGGCGAAACCCCAGCACCTCAGCCCTGTAACCACCTGCGCGCAACGCGACGCCCGCCTACCCCGCGCCAGCAAGGGCCCCCCAACCCGCCTGCTCCCCCCCCACCGTCCCCGCACCCACCGTCCTTGCCCCAGATCCTCGCCAGCCCGTCGTACGACCCGGTTGCCAGCAGCGAGCCGTCCGCGTTCCAGTCCAGCGTGGTGACGTCCTTGCCCTGCGTCTTGTCCTGCTTGGCCTCGTGGTGCAGAACCACGGAGCGACCCGACCCCCCCGCGGCGGCGGAGGTGGAGAGGTTCCAGATGCGGGCGGTGGAGTCGCCGGAGCTGTGCGGGGAGAGGGGCGGGGAGCGGGGACACAACAGCAGCGCGCGTTAGAGAGGGCGGGTGGGTGCGGTGCGACAGTGCTGCGACCGGTGGTTTCGGTGATTCGGTGACGGTTGCCGTGTGTTACGCGTATACCCTACACGAGCACCGGCTCTCCCCAGCTGCGAGCTGCCGGGAACACCAGCCAGCGGCGGGAAGGGGCCCAGCCGCTGCACGCCAGCCGCTCCCGCCGGCGTCCGCAGCAGCAGCAGCCACAGCAGCAGTGGCTGCTCGCTCTCCCGGGGCACCGGCTGTGTGCACCGCCCAGCTGCCCCAGGGTACCAGGCGGCGCCGGGTGGCAGGTGGCGAGTGCGTGCTAGGCAGCCGCTGCTGCCAGGCAGCTCCCGGGCGCGCCAGGACAACCCATGTGGTGCATGCGGCCGGGGCCCCTCCATGTCGCAATGCGGGCAAGCTGGGAAACCTGGGTACGGCGATGATCTCCCGCCCTGCGCCGCTGTCACGCCCACCAGCACTGTCCCGAGCCCGACGTAACCCGGCTGGCTGCCATGCGACCTCCAATGCAGCGTGCTTAGCCCCAAACCCATCTGAGCACACCCTACCCTCCAGCACTGCCTCTCCGGCCCCTGCGGCTGTGCAGCTGTTTGATAAGCGCCCAGGACCCAGCCAACAGGCCACCGTCGCACCTGCTCACCGCGCGCCTCATGCAACACGCAACCCCGGAACCCCAACCCACCTCCTGGAGTGCCTCATTAGTCATTACTCTTCTCCTACTTCCCTGGCCCCCCTCCCCCCCCTCCCCACCCACCCTGACGCCAGCAGCGGCTCCACCGGGCTCCAGGCGCAGATGTAGACCTCGCTGTCGTGTCCGTTCAGCGTCACCACACTGCTGGCAGCCACCTCGATGCTGCCGCCGCTCACCCCGCCTGCTGCTGGGGCTGCTGGGGGTGCTGTGGCGGCTGCGGCTGCTGCGGGGGCTGCGGCGCTGCTGGGCGGGCCCCCCGGGGCGGGTGGCGTGTCCTCCTCCATGGGGGTGGGACCCGAGGAGGGTCCCGAGGACGGGCGCGGCTCGGACTTGACGGCGACAGTGGCGGGGGCCGCTGGGGGCGCGGGAGCAGCAGCGGGTGCGGCGAGCGCAGGGGGCTGCGCCGCCGCTGCTGCTGGGGCGGGTGCAGGAACTGCTGCGGAGGCGGCGGCGGCCGCTGCCGCCGCCGCTGCTGCTACTGAGGCAGCCTTTTCCCGCTCACGCTCCGCCTTCTCTGCTGCTGCCTTCTCCGCCCGTTCTGCCCGCTCTGCTTTCTCCGACCGCTCCGCTGCCTTCTCTCGCTCCGCCTTCTCTCGCGCGCGCTGCTGCTGCTCCCGGTCGGGTTTGGTCTTCTCGGCCGGCGGCGGGCCCTTGGGTCGGCTGTCCTCCTCCTTGCGCTCCGCAACTAGCGCCCGCAGCTGGTCCACGTCGTTCGAGAGCAGCTCCTCGGGCGTGAGCAGCTTGTAGTCGCCATCAACCTCGCCATCCTGTGCGGGGCGGTGACAGGGGAAGTGGGTGCATAAGCTGTGGAGGGCGGGGCCACGGCGTGCGATGCCGCAGGTGGGATGGTGCCCGTACCTGAGCGTCTAGGTTCGCCTCAATTTCAAGGTATTGAAGGCCCTTTTGGATGAAGGTTACCAGCGATCCAGGTGGAACATTGTTGGGGTCGATGTTGGTGCGGGTAACCAGGCTCTCGCTGGCAAAGGTGAATGCCGAGTGTGTGAAGCCTGCGGATGGCAGGAAGGGTCTGGCTAACCGTCTACGCGGATAATAGGGTCACAGAAAGAGCTCCCAAAGTACGCACCAGCCTCTTGCAAATATCGGTATATGAGATAGTTGACAACGTCACTCGTCAAGGAAAAGGAGCTCATGGTGGCCCAAGACTAGGCGGAAAACCTAGGAGGGTATGTACCATGCGAAGCGTCAACAAAAAAGAAGGAAGGTGTGCAAGGTCTGAGCAGTGCTAGAAGTGCCTTGGCAGTGAGGGTTCGGCGTGGTTGCAGTCACAATTCCTAGTGCTTACAAACTGAAGCGTGAACAGTACAATGCACATCTATCATTTGATTGGTATTGTGGGCATGCTGGCAACACACGGCGGGCTGCAGCTAACCTCGTACGGCGCACGGAATGGCGCTAGTTATATCTGCGCCGATGTGCACATTATACTTACTTGTGTAACAGTGAGTACCGCCTAGAGCATCAAGCTTAGAGATTTATCAAAAACAGCGGGCGTGCACAATATACTGCTAACATCCTGTGTCTTGCGGGCTGAACGACAAGACGTGGCATCGGCATACACTTCCTGTTGATATACATGAGCATGGCCGCAAGGGTATGTTGTCTTTGCGTTGCTGGAGGTTCGGAAGCGTTAAGGATGTGACAGGCGAAAGCGCGGCAATTGACGTCCTTGTTACTACATTTTCATGGCCTGACTGCGCAGCATGCTGCACCCGGTACGAAGAAACGGCTTGGAGAAGGAGCAAAGTACAGGTGTGTTAACCCGTACTACGGATTGTGTCGATGCCGGCAGCCTTTCTGATCAATCTCATTAATTGTCTGCAGCCGTGCCGATGTATTGAGGCTAAGGGAGATATTCGACAAGCATGACCACGTGAGTTGGGTGCGGAATGAACGTTTCCCTTTGATTACGGTATGGAGGGGCTGGCCTTACACCGCACAGATGACGTAAGGGGCCTTCAAGCAGGTTACGGATACTTAGACGGGCCTTACGTGTCAATAGTTGATGTACCATCATTGCCCCAAGGGAACCGGGGATGCCGGGGCAATCCCTTGCAAAGCTCACCCCGCTCCCCCGCCTCCTCCGTTACCCGCGTGTGTCCAGGACAACAACGGCCGCGTGACTATCTCGGAGCTGCTGGCGGCGAACGCCTTCAAGAACCACGAACTGGCGGTGTTCAGGGTGGGTCGGTGGGTCGTCGCCGGCGTTGTGTCAGGACAGGCCGCGGCCTCACTACTTGGCGCGAAGTCTGCCTGCCGATGCCGGCCCCTTCTTACCCTGTTAGCAGTCCCCCCTCCTCTTCCTCGGTACTCGCTGTTGCAGCGTTGCGGCTGCAGCCATACCAGCTGCATCACCCATGCGGACACCCTTCCTTGCTCCCTCCACGCCCTGTGCCACTTCCCATCGCGCTCCAACCCAACCCGCACCCGCCAAACCTGCGCCATGCCACCATATTGCCGCGAGGCCCCACGTTGCACCCACCCACCCATCGTCTCCTTCCCTCCCCCTCCTTCCCCCTCCTTCCCCCTCCCTCCTCCCCTCCCAGATGCTCGACGTCAACCGTAACGGCTACCTCACCTTCAACGAGTACCTGCGCCGCCTCTTCCCGTACGCCAACGACCGCGAGTTCAAGGTGATGCTGGCGTGGGGCATGCCGCACCAGGGGCCCCCGCCCGAACCCCTGTTCGAACCCACCTCGCGGCAGCTCGAGGAGATCAAGATGCTGTTCAACATGATGGATCGAAACCGCAACGGAGTCATTGAAGTCAATGTACGGCAGGGGGGACATCGGCTGGGGAGGAAGGATGGAAAGGGGAGCATGGCTGACAGTCGGGGGATGCAATATGCTAATGGGGAGGGTCGGTGGAGGGTGCCACATGCGTGTCGGGTGCCGCGGGGTGGAGGAGGGTAGGCGGGCGAGGTTGCGGCACGCCGGCGGGCATGGATTCACGTTGTTGTGGGCGTCCTGGTTGTGCGCCCCTCCCCGCGTCACCCATCCCCCTGCAGGAGCTACTCATGATGGCGCAGACGTGCGGCTACGAGGAAACGGACATTGCGAACCTCTTCAAGAAGACGGACGTGGTGGGTGGGGAGGAAGGGAGGGAGGGAGGGAGGGGAAGTTAAGCAGCGAGCATGGCCCATATCGCGCCTGATGCACACCCCGCATCACGCTGTGATGCAAGTAACTTGGTAACGGGCTCCATGGTTGCTGATGCAGTCCTGAGTCCTACTGATGTGTGTTTGCGCCCTTGCAGGACATGAACGGTTCCATCTCCTTCAACGAATTCGTACAACTGGTGCGCACGTCGTACATCTGAGAGATCGTTCAGGAGGCCCACCGGTGGTGCCGTGCAGCAGCGGGTTACGTAGAACCTGAGGGGTACATCTGCAGCTGGTTGCTGGGGGCTATGTGAAACTTAATGGCAGTATCTCGTATTTGGAACTTGCATGGAGAGGTGTGAGCAGGAACGGGGCGAAGCCATGTGATCCGCCCATGTGATTGCTGTTTGGTTTGCAGTGTTTCCTTTACTAATAATAAGCTTCACTGGCTTGCTATTCCTGCTTTCCTGTCTTTGCTTAAGAATAGGCATTACCACGTGCCATGGTTTTGCATGCAGCTGCACGTACGTGAGGGCTGCTCCCCCGAACGCAGCAGCGCGCGCACCAGCTAGCGAACGCCGTGTTCGTGCCGGGATGTTGCGTAGCAGCTTTGTTGTGTGTGTGAGCTAGAGGTGTGAGTTCCTTGCATTGGCGTGCCCTCTGTATTCACTGTTGTGCCACAGTTAGCACACGTGCGAAGTGGGGTCCTAGAGTGGGGTAGTTTTTGTTGTTGCATTGCGGCCCACACAGCTATTTGTGGGGTCAATAGGTACCGTTAGAACGATCAAGGCATGGGCTGTGTTTCTGGTCCATGCAGTGAGGTCGGCTGGCCCAGTGTGCGCCCTCGACGCGAATCAAGTGTCGCTCTTAGGTGTGGAGGAGGTAGTGGCGGTGGTGGTGGTGGTGTTCGCCTGTCTAGTACGCCGTGTTGCAGGTTTGTGAGGGGGGTGAGGGGGGCGACGAGGAGGTTGCTGGGCTGGTGGTGGTGGGGATCAGCGGGTGGCAGCCGGGCGGGCGGCTGCCGGTGTGGGGCTGGCTGCATGGGTGACGTACGTGCGGCGGCGGAGAGGCGGGTGACGTGGGGAGGCGGTGGTAGGTGAAGCAAGACAACAGGCAGTTAACAGCTGCTTGTGGCTGCGTTTGTGGCGCGCCCATCCTTCATGGGAACATTGGGAAGTCACTGGGGATCGCTAGCGCCAGGGAATCCGTTGCCCTGCAGGGCTGGTGGATTCGCTCCAGAATACCCCAACTCCTTATGCCCGGAATGGGCCCTGTCGAACGGCACGTTGCTCACTTAGGCGAGAATCAAGCGTATTCAAAACATTGAGCAGTAGTGCAGCTGCGGCGCACGTAGCAGCAGGGCATGGTTTTGGCATGCACAATTGCGGTTGGCTGGTGCGGCGGAGACACCCGTACGTGCTGCTGGGCTTTGGGCGTGAGGGTGTCGCGCCCATCCATACTGGTACACCGGCTTGCCTGACCATCATCCTTCCTTAAGCCTTGTGGGATAGATGAAGATAGCGCTGCCCAGCAGCCCTCCTTGCGCCTATGCATGGGCTAGGCGGCGCCACCTAAATAAATCCCACACGGTTTAGGTGCGCCCCTTACTGCTAACGCAAGGAAGCGAGGGGGTACCAGACGTGCGCAACCCCGAGCCCATTTGGGAGCTGCGCGGCCTAAGAGGAGCGACGGCTGTAAGGGTACGGCAACCGATCCGTCCTACCGCTCACAACTACCAGGAACCAGCAACACCCAAGACAAAGTAAGGCGCCAGCACAACACCTTGGAAGATACCCAGAACTACGGCGATGACACACCCGAACCGCGAAACATGCATGCAGTACAATCGCACGCAGGCATACATGCCGGTAGAATTCATATTCCGGTAACGGGGCCTGCCCGGCAGCAGGGGCGCCACGTACGCCCCATTCATGGCTGTTTCTGCGCAGGTCCTGCCGCAGGGTCAGGGGCACGCTGCAGTTCTGGCTGGGTGACCGAGCGAGCAGGGCGATGACGATGATGGGGCCTGTGTTAAGTAAGGAATGCAAGCTAGGAAAGGCATAACTGCAGATGTCAGGATCGCGAGTGCGCAGGCTTACAGTCCCCCCCTGAGGCCCCGTCTCGGGCAGCAGACGGGACGGCGAGCAAGGAAGTGGGGCCCGTGTAAGTGCGCCCATGTTTCAACGTACGCATAGATAGTGGGGTTGCTTGCACGCATGGGTACAGCAGGTGGTCGATCGGCTAGTGGATAGGATAGAGCGGGTGCAAAGGTGCTAGGTAGTAGTACCGTAGTTGGGCGGTGCACGCGGGAATGTACATATGCCTACGAGCATGACTGCATGAGCGCTGGTAGGTGGTTGGGCAAAGCGAGGATGCATACCTGCGCGCACGGGCGCCGTGATCTGGGCGGGGGTGCTTGCATGCTCACCCGGGTGGGCGGGTGCTGTACTTCGGCAAGTACGGCGTGGATCCTGCACGCATATGCATGCGCACCAAGCTAGTCTACGGAAGGACGGAGGTGCTTCTCCCAGCCAGCAGCGGACCTGGCACTGGGGACTACTCATCATCACGTGCGTACCTGCCTCAGCGGCTGATGCATGCCAGCGCGCCTGCTGCACCCCCACTGCTGCGCCCCGCAGCAGCAGCCGTAGCCGCGACCTCCGCAGCGACTTACATACCTCAGAAACGCGATCTCCCTTACAATGTTTGAGGCACGAGCGACTTGTCCCACAGATGCCCGCTGAGGTCCAGTCCCATGGGTCGGCCTCATATACGGCCTCATGTACGGCTTCATGTACGGGTGAGGTTGGTGACAATCAGCCGGCCCAGCTAGCTAGCCATGGCTCGCTCGTCTCCAGCACGCAGCACGGAGCGCCATTGCTTACATCACATACACGTACGCCCACGCGCGCTCACGGTCGTCGCACTGCTAACCTCTATGATGACACCGACCACCCACTTGCGAAGAACGAAGGGGACGTACACCCGCCCATAACAACGCCCGCATGTCCCACTCCTCGCACGACTAACCCCCTATACACACACGACTCGCGGCCAGTTTTCTTAACACACCACATGACGCACTTACCGGCGTACTCCCTAAGTCCCTATCTACGTATCCCCTATAGATCCCTCATGCTCTCACTCCATCTCAACATTCTTGCGACTCCTGCACAAGCACGTACGTTCCTGAGCGCAGCCGCGCTACCCCACCACCTCCAAGTAAGTCCCAAACCCCTCATGGACCCCTCTAGGCCACCCTACATGCCAACTGCTGCAGCCGCACCCATTCCCAACCCAACCCCCATGCCCGGCCCCACTCCCACTCCCAGCTCCCCTCCTCTTCCCCCTCCTCCCTGCGCGGCTACCGTGCGCCCCGAAACCGCGCCACCACCAACCCCGCCGGGTCCGCCGCCCTCCCCACCACCGCCCGTAGCAGCAGCAGCAGCGGCAGCTTCCGATGCCATCAGGCCCACCACCGTCGTGACCTTGTCCGCACCACTGCCACCACCACCACCAACGTTGAAGGCACCGCCACCGCCTGGCATGAGCCCTCCGGTGAGACCCTGGACACGTACGGGGGTCGCCATACATTGCGGTTGTTCGTGTGGAGCCAGCGAGCTGGAGCTAGCTAGCGAGCAAGGAAGCATGTAGAGCCGTGATCCAGCAGGAGGTGCATAGGTACGCCTATACCGGTATATTCCCGACAGCCGCCCCCCAACCTCCACCACCCTGCATGTACACCTTACAACACTCCATCCCATGTTTCCTTCCTCTTTCTCCCTTCCTTATAAGCTGACCTCAACCTAGCTCTCCCTATCATTTAGCGGGATACAGCACCCTGTGCCATGTACGTGCCTTGCTTACTACCCCATATTTAAACCTCCCCTGCCTTCCCCGCTGCCACCTACACCCACCTGCTGGGAGGCAGTGTGTACGACACCCCTGCCGTCCCCGCTCCCACCTACACCCACCTGCATGGGGGGCAGCGTGTACGACACCTCTGCCTCCTCAAGTGCCCCCGTCAGCACCAGCAGCGCGCGACTGCGCCATCTGGGGGTGTAGCGGCCGTACGTAGCGGTGGAGAGAGGTGGTGGGAGCGAGAAGGTTGGAGCAGACAGGGAACCATATCGGGAAGGTAAACGTGTTCCTTGAACGGAATATGTAGGGAACATCACTTTACTTTCAGCGTAACGGTGCTGGGAGAGCAGGTCGGTTGGAGGTAACTCCAGGGTGGGGGTCGCTCGAACGATGCTCTTGCGCAGCCGCAACCACGAGTCCCGAATAGAATTAGGGGTGTTTCTATGGGAGGCTTAGCGAAACCAAGCCTAAGCAATCCCAAGTCGTACGCTACGCGCTCCAGCCGCTCCTAAGTGACCTGTTTCTATGGACTTCAGGAACCACGGGGGAACCAGCCTTTTGTATACGCTATCCTTGAACTTAATTACCAACTGGAGTTGGTGTTGAATGTTTGTTGAACCGGACCGCGATACATGGCAGCCGTGAATGTCCGTTTGCGGTCCTGCCGGTCTGGAACTAGCCTTATAATTTGTTAGTCCAGTTAAAATAGCACCCCAAGGCACGTCGGTGCGACTCCTGGGCAGAGGGCGTAACAGCCATTTGGGGATATAGGACCCCCTATCTTGACTGTTAATATAGAAGTCTAAGGTTGCAATTCAATTCTCTTTGCATCCCATAAGTATCGCTGCGAGAGCTTTGTGCCTTGTAATACACATGAGGGGTCTCTCCAGCTTCACGCTGTTCCTCCTCCTCGGAACTGGTGGCAAGGCTGTCTACGACCACTATGTAGACCTTTCCAACAGGCTAGACACTTTCGCGGACCGTCTCTCCGAGCTTGACAAGGTTACGGCGCTATCTGTGCGGGAGCTGGCTATCGAGCAGAAGCACCTAAACGAGCAGATGCAGCGCCAAAGCGAGCAGATAGAGCGTCAAATCGAGCAGATGCAGCGCCTAAGCGAGCAGATGCAGTGCCAAGGCGAGCTGCAGCGCGACATCCAAGCGTTGGCCATGGAGATGCGCACCAAATTGTTCACGGAGTGATGTGGCAGATGGGTTGCCCATGCGTTTTGCTTATGCTTAAAGCATGATGCAAGGGGTGTCAGACGTATGTACTGTAGACTTCCTTTTCTCCTGAGCCAAAAAAATGGATGGGACCGAATAGCGAAGCTATGGGCTCCATTGGGCCCTATGCCCCGCCTGCTCCCTTTCCGTGATACCACAAGCTAGCTAAGACTCTATCCTTGGCGTCCACCATATAGGACTCAACAGCAACACCGCCGTTATTGATGCTACAATCGTATCCAGCAGCCGCAGGAGCAGCTGCTGTTGCTGTTGCTGCTGGGCAGAGGCTTGAGTGATGTCCTTGGACGGACATTCGGTGGTTGGTGTTTGAAGCGGGCGCCAGGGAGGAGCCCGAGGAGCTCCTTTGGCACATGCTGTCGCATAGCAGGGTAGCAGGGGGGAAAGTGGCGGCATCAGGAAGGGAGGCGGGGGGCAGGGGTGCAGGGTGTGGGGGGCGCAAGTTGCTTGGCATGCAGGGGGCAGCAAGGGGCGGTGGGGGGGGGGGCTATGGTTGCGCTCGCTAAAGTGGGGAGAACGATGTTGGGTGTAAAATTAGGAGGTGGCTTGCGGGTTGTTGCAGCACATGAAGGTTCCTGTGATAGGGCCTGTGTGTGTGTGTGATAGATACGGAGCTTTTTGGAGGTGTAACAACGCGGCAACAGATAATGTTGCTCCTTGCAGGGAGGGGTAGCCAATAAGGGGTAGGCATTAAAAGGATTAATATGCAAGTGCTCTACGAGAGCATTTTAAACCTGCTTTCAAAATGTTATCTAAAATTCTGAAAGCAGGTTTGGAATCCTCTCGTCGAGCACTTGCATATTAATCCTTTTAATGCCTACCCCTTTTTTAGAGGTGTCGGATCAAGCCTCTCTTCGGTCGCGTGTTGAGGTGAAATCTTCAGGGGTGCTCATCGTTGTTTTGGTGTGTTTGTGGACAGCAAGTTGTACAGGAATGCGTCGAACTGAAGGCATCCGGGCGTCATGGTTGTCTATGCGCAAGGAAGGGATATGAACGTCTGCATGCACGAGTGTAAACCCTTTGGTGGTATGGACAGAGATGCCACCACACATGAGTGTCACGATATGGGCAGTGCGGGGATGCCAGGGGGTTTTGATCGGTTTTTCCCCTTCACTGGCTCCCTTCCTGAGATGTCAACCATAAGACTAGTTCATGACGGTACCATGTATAACATTCCTTGACCCAACTATGGGCTCCGGTGAGCTACCCAAAGCAAAGGTCGTCAACAGAGAATAATGATGGCTAGCTGCCGTTCAAGCTGTCAAGCCTGATGCATAGAGATCCTCCAAAGAAGGAATACAAGTGACAAGGCAATAAAGCTAACTAGCCTGTTGCCGGATAGCCGCTGGAATGATCAGGTGTCGTACAGCCTCATCCCAGCCGCCCACGGGCTTTGGTGCTGCCAGCGATGCAATATCTAATCCGTGGCCTGCCGTGGCTACGTTTTTACAGGTTTGCAACATGTTGTGACCATGAGCTAGGCTGGCGACGGAAGTGCGACATAGATGGCGATGTTGCTCACGTTCCCGATCACGATGTCCAGTAAAATCCACACCTTCCACTCGAATGCGTGCAATATATGTCTGGACATCAGCAACATCGCAATCAATGTCGCACTTGCGTTGTAAGCGAACTCGCAGCACAACGACAGCATGACGTGCTCAGCATGCTGTGTTGGCCAGCTTAACCAGGCGGCTACACCACAACCGGCTCAAGGGCTAAGTTTACAAATAGGGTGATATTCCATATAATGGAACTTAGCCCTTGGCCCGTTATCCTTTTCTTAGGCAAGTTATGGTGTATTGTTCAGCTGTATTGTACAGCAACGACACGGGCTCTTGCAGCAAATCGTGGTTTGGTGTAAAGCAAATGTAAGGGCACCTAGTATATGGCAGTCAATGGTGACGATAGCTGTATGAGGGGGCTTCACCATTGGGTTCGTCATGATGGCTGTGGTTAGGGAAGGGGCCTTATTTTTCACCCTCCCCGTGCTTCTAGTACACCCGACAACGCGTCACGTAATTGTGTTGCCACTTACGGTTAGGGGAGGGGCTGGCCTGCACGGCCTCTCACGCACAGCGCGGATTGGGCTGGGGGGAGGGAGGTGGATGACTAAAGATGATGAGGCGCCTCCTGGTCTGGTCACATGATCGCCATTCATCATACTTCTAGCTCAATATTCGTTGGTGGGCTATGTTTTTCCGCATTGCATTCATTCCAGTGGTAACAATACGTTCCTGTACTGATGAGGAGGGGCTCCGCCCTTTTCCAGCGTTGAGGAAGCTGAACCCCCTTGTTATGGGAGAGCGTTTGCGAGAGGGCAGGTGGGTAGCGGATGGGGAATAAACAACATACCAACCCATAGGAAATTTCAGTAAGGGCAAAGCAAAGGGGATGGGAGGCGGTAGAGTGTCACAAACACAAAACGTTAAGAAAAGGACAGCCGCAGCAGGCTACAGTTCATCGACCGTTACTATGTGCCGCACACCTAGCACTGCCTTCTCTTGCTTTCGCCCAGTTTGGATTGCTAAGAAATGAACAGGTACCGTTTAGGGATCTGGTAAGCAGATGTTGGGAAAGAGGTCAGGGGCCTGAGGCTACAGTTGGTTGTATAACCGCTTTGCACTTGTGGCATCGCCTATTTTCCTACGCACAATTAGATTATGTTCTTCACCGCCGTTTTCTCCATGTGTTTTTTGCCGCTGCGGCCCGTTCACAACACAGCGGCGTCTCCCACAATTGCGGTCCCTCCGTATTCCTCCGTCCAATCTGCAGTTAGTACGTTCTCTCCGTCTTCCTGCATCCTTCCGCGCTGCGGTTTCGCCCTGAACATCGATGATCAGCTTCCGTGCCTATTGCACCCGCACATTCCATGTCAGGCGCCTTGGCCGTGTTAAAAGTTTACGAGCTCTGACGTACACTAACGCGAGCTAGCGTGGTCCCTCCGTCTTCCAGCGTCCTTCGGCGCAGCGATTTTGTGCTTACCACAGGTGATCACGTTCCGTACCTAATGCACCCGCATTTTCATTGCCAGGCGCTCGGGCTGCGTCAAATGCATATGAGCGCAGCCGTACAATGACGCTCTTCCTACTAACGGGCTAAATAGTGTTGTGGAAAAAAGAAACAAACTCTGCACCGGGGGGGCTCCAGGGAGACCACAATGCCCCCTACCAGTAGGCTTCCATACCTGACTGCAACCGCTGCGCGGACACGTGGTCACTGCGAGGGCAACCCCACCGCCTGCAGGCACACGCACGAAACCCGCCGCCTCCGCTATCGCCGCCCATCCCGCCCTCCCAGCACATCCTGCTGCTTCCTGCTGCCGCCTCCCTCCTATCTTTCCCCCACCTTGTCACATGGAGGCATGGCTAGCTGTCCCGCATCACCCCCCCTACCTCCCTCCCCCTATCTACCTCGGCGCCACCACCCCCACCACCCCCGCGAACTGCTTCACCAGCGACATCACCTGCGAGCCCGGGAAGCGCCCCAGGCCCCCCCGCGCCACCGACACCTCGTCAAACGCCCGCACCGGATCGCCCCGCACCGCCTGGGGCCAGGGCTCGCGCCAGGGACCGAACACCTGCGGACAGGGGCAGCGGGGTGGGGGGCGGGGAGGGAGGGAGGTGCAACGCAATGGCGGGTTGGGTTGGAAGTGCAACGCAAAGCCGGTCGCCCGCCGGGTCAAGGGGAAAGGCACTGGAACCGGGCGGGTAGGCCGCGGTTCGGATCGTCAGGGGCCGGAGTCTTGTTCTTTCTCCCCCAACACGCTGACCACTGCTCTCCCATGCGGTAATGCGTGCTGCTGGTTTCCCCTACCGCATCCCCTGCATACCGGTAGCTGCCCCCCCTGCCTGCCACCCCCCCATGCCCTCTCCTCACCTCAGCGGGCAGCGAGAGGTCCCAGGGTCTCCCCGCCCAAGCAGCCCTGCGCCGGGCGTCCTTGAAGGCGGCCTGAGGGGGGGGGAGGGAGGGGGGGGGGGTACCGGGTGGCGGGTGGCAGGAGGGTGCGGGGCAGGAGCAGGCAGGCACGGTGGGACACGCGCCGAGTACATGTGCCGGTACAACGCTTGGGCCCCGCTGGGACCAACCATCAAGGGGCAGCACAAGCAAGCTGCTGCTGCTGCCGGGCTCACCTGCCTCCGCAGCTCCTCCGAGGAGGGCGGGTTCTTCACGTCCGGCAGCGGGATGGGGCCCAGGTCCACGGAGGAGAGGGCGGAGGGGCCGCCCAGGGCCTGAGGGGAGGGACAGGGAAGGCAGGGTGTGTTGGGTGTGTAGGGGGCGGCATGGGGCAGGTAGCCGGGCGCTGAGGGCTCCGCAACTCATCCAAGGCAGGACAAGGAACCCCCGCCCCCCCTTCCCTTCCTCGTCAGCTTGTTTGCTAGCATCATTAAACACCTTGGGATTCTTCTTTCCACCCCCGCCTCCCCCTCCCCCCCTCCCCCCCCCCCGCACCTCCACCGCATGCCGCACGCTGGCTATCGCGAAGGGCACCGGCTCGTGCGAGTGGTCCCCGAACAGCACGGGGGTGGAGTGGTCCCCCGTGAGCACCACCGCGTAGCGCCCCGCGCCCGCCCCCTCCGCGGCCGCCAGCCGGGACAGCAGCTGGGCCACCATGCGGTCCACAACCTCCAGGAAGCGAACCTGGGGGTGGCAGCAGACCCGGGGGAGGGGGCGGGGGGGGGATGTAAGCGGCGCCGCAAGGACACACCGTCACCGTAAAAGCGGTGGAATTACAAGGTGGAGAGGAGCGGAGGGAGCCGGAGGCGTATGTTAGGACCGGCACGCATGTTGTGGCTTCATTCCTCCTCGTTGCGCTTTCGCCGCACTCCCCCCCCCCCTCACACATACCACTGCCCCTCCCTGCTCCTCCCCCTCCCCCTCCCCTCCCTCTCCGCACCTTGTTCTGCGCCATCCGGTCATGCCCCGTGTCATCCACCGCCTTCACGTGCACGAAACCAAACTCGTAACCCCGGTCGCCGCCCTCGCCGCCCTCCTCCTCCTGCTCTCCCTCCTGCTGCTCTCCCCCCTCCTGCTGCTGTGCCGCCTGCGGGGGCCTGATGCGGCCCGTCAGCGCGTCACAGATGGTGTCCACCTTGGCGTGGAAGGCGCTGTGGTAGGAGCCGGTGGCGCCCGGGGCCTCCAGCGCGTCGATGTCGAAGGAAAGACCCAGACCTGTTGCGGGGGGGTGCAGGGGGGGTGACAAAGGGAAGACAAAGGAGGGGAGGAGGAGCGGAGGGAGAGTGCCTGAGCCCTCCCAGACCGCAAGCGCCCTCCCCTTATCGCCCCTACCTACCTACCCAGCCCGCTCCCCGCCCCTCCAGCCCCCGCCTCCCCACCCGCGATGATCTTGGTGGGCGCCACCAGGCAGGGCCGCAAGCCGTGCTGCTGCCTGAAGGCCGGCACCCGGATGCGGCAGCCGCAGCCCCGCAGCAGCACCACGTTGGCCACCCCCTGCCCCGCGGCGGCCCGGGCGGCGTTGAGCGGGTGCGCGGACAGCACGCCGCGGAAGGCGTCGCTCAGCGCGTTGACCAGGCCGGCGGTGAAGTGGGCCTGCAGGGGGGGAGGGGGGAGGGGGAGGGGAGGGGAGGGGGTAGTGTGTGAGTGGGATGCTTGCAGCGGACCGGGTAGGGAGGGGATCTGAGGCGGGGTCCGGGGCAGCAGTTGGGTGTACAGGCGATGATTGCGGGATTGCAGTTCGCCTCTCCCATCCCCATCATCTTGCTTTGCATCTTTTAACCATCCCTCCTCCCACCCCCCCTTCCCACCTCCCCCTCCCCCTCCCACCCCCCCCACACCTCGGGCGAGTCCTCCGTCGCCACCGCCCTCTTCAGCGGCAGCCGGTCCCGCAGCGGGTCGGTGTCGCCCACCGCGTCCGTCAGCCCCGGCCCGCGCACCACCACCCCGCATCGGTGCTCCGTGGCGTAGCGGACGGACACGGAGTGGGAGGGGTAGCCGGGCAGGGGCAGGCCTAATGGAGGGTAAGGGGGAGGGCGGGGAGGAGGTGGGGGAGGTGAGGGGGGTGGCTGAGAGCAGGTGCACGCCGCCGGGGTTACGCCGGGCCGGAAGCGCGAGCTTTGCTTGGAGGGGCGCCCGGAGGAAGGGAGGGAGGGGGGCTACTGCCTTCCTGATTGGGGAGCCAAGGGTAAGCTAAGCTAGCGCCGTCCGGTCCCCAACAACCCCCTCTCTTCCCTCCCCTCCTCCCTCCCCTCGTTCCTCACTGTCCCTCTCCCCACCGTCCAGCGCCTCGCACAGCGCCGGCCCCATGTGTTCGAAGTTCCTGTCCGCCCGCCGCGACAGCACCACCCCGCTGTCTGGGTCCAGCGTGGCGAAGTTGCACTTGAAGGCGATGTCGCCCGGGGACATGGGGATGCCGGCACCCATGCTCTCAAAGGCGCCGCGGCCGCGGTAGTGGCTGCGAGGGGGAGGGAGGAAGGAGAGGGGAGGCAGCGGGAGGGAGAGTTAGCGGAGTGGGGGTGCGCTCCCTCCCTCCCTCAAGCTGCCCGTCAGGCCCCCCAGCTACACCCCCTAGACACGTTGCTGCACTTATCATTGATCCCCCCTCCACCCCGGTTCCCCTCACATCCTGGGCTCGTATCCGAATATGCTCATGTGCGCCGTATCGCTGCCGCACGCCAGCCCCGGCTCCACGGGGTCCAGCAGGCCCGTCAGACCGCCAGCTGGGGGGAGGGGGTAAAATTAAATAAGTGAAACAACGAGTCCCAATCCCATATCCCGACTCATGCAGTGAGGGGTGGAGGGGGAGGGGGCAGGAGGGGAGGGGAGAGGGAGCAGGGAGGGGTTTAGGAGGCACGAGGAACGGGGCCGGGCCTCCTTGGCGGGGCTGAGTGTAGTGGTGAATGCGGTGGGGGCGAGAAGGATGCGCCCATGTAGGGTGAGTGGAGGTCATGGTGAGGTTTGGGCACTGGTCTCAAGGGAGGAAAGGCGCGTGAGGTTGCAGGCTGTTGCACGCATGCGCAGGGCGAGGGCCGGGAGCGGCTGTCATTGCTCGAACCGTGATAACCAACTTCCACCAACCTGCAATAGCATCAAGGTGCGGCACGTGCGCAACCTCGAGCGGCGTCCTATCACCAAACTCGGGAATGGAGACATCGCCGATGCCATCCACGAGGAGAAACAGAACTCGCGCTGGTTCAGACATTGATGCGATTGGGGATTTAACTTGCTACTGAATGAAGATCTTACTGCAATCGACACGCTGGCATTGTGTTAAGAACTGAGAGCTCAACCAATGCACGAGCGTTGTAGCTAAGCACCAATATGGCTGTTGCAAGCTTTAACAACAAGCGAGGTTGATTACGCAAAATCAGTAGCCTCTAGTGCGATTCGTCCTTTTATGTCTTGTGCAAGCAGTTATATTTCGTGTTGGACGTTTCACGCGCCGATCCCCTTAAGCTAACAAACGCAGTGTTCGGATCAAATCTGTCAAGTCTGCCAGTGCCCTTCCTTGCACGGTGACCTTCCATGGTCCGCTGCGACTCCTCAGTACCGTACGGCAGTCGAACTTACAACTCCTGAAGTACAAGGTACGAACATGTAACTGCTGTCAGCCCTGACTGCCCCCCTCCCCCTTCTCCTGCCCTCCCTGTTCTTCGCTATCGCTGCCCTGCCATTCCTCGCAGCATCAGCCGCTGCTCCGGTGTGGTGTGCGCCTGCGGGGCGCATGGAGGTGAAGGGGGCTGGGCGGTGCTTGTGCCACTGTCTTCACAGGTGTTGTTGCACACAGGCGGGCGGCCAACAGGAGTGGAACGTGCTCAGCGGCAAGGGTGACTGGGCCACTGCTTCAGTCCGTCACAACACTGTGTTTCCATTCCCCTCCCTCCCTCCTCCCACTTCCCTGTATCCCCCTACCTACAAGGGTGTTGTCACAGTCATTCGCGACATGGTTTTCCTTGTCCCCCTGTCCCCACCTGCAGGTGCGCCAGCAGCATGCGGCCCGGGTCGTCCTCGCCGCGCCGGCTGGGGTGGGGGCGCGGGAGGGAGGGGTGGAAGCAAGCGAGGGACCACGGGCGGGTGGGGGGATGACGGGGGAGACCAAGAGGGCTACAGCCCCAAACCCGGAACGTACGGCACCATTGCCACCCACCCCCTAACCGCCTCCCACGCTACACCGATGCCGCAGAACGACACCCCTATCCAAACCACTGCCCGCCCACCCACCCACCAGAGCCATATGGGCACAGCGGTCTGCCCCCCTGCTGCCGCCTCCCCTGCTGCTCCTCCACCGCCCAGCATGGACCCCAGCTGCTGCTGCTGCTGGCATCTCCCTGCTGGCCCCGCCGCTGCCGCTGCCCCCCCTGCTGCCGGCCTGGGCAGCCACTCCGTGTCGTACACGAGCCCCCGCACCCCCGCCAGCAGCCGCCGTACACCCAGCTGCGTGGAGCCGTCCGTACGGAAGGCAGCGGAGCCGCCCAGCAACACCGCGTCAGCCTGTTGGGGGAGAGGAGGTGAAGGTGGGGAGAGGAGGAGAGAGAAGAAGGGAAGGGAGAGGAGGGAGAGAAGAAGTGATAGGAACAGGCAGGAGGAGGATGCGGTGAGCTAGGATGGTCCAAGACGGTCTACTGCAGGTCAAGGGCTCACGCCTGATGAAGATTGCAGTGGTTGTAGACTCAGCCAGTCAAGAACGTCTTCACCAATTGCGCACAACTTCATTAGAGGAGTAACCGCACGCGACGACAGCTGTTAAAGCTGTCGATGTCGCAGTGTCAGCAGCATCACAAATGAGACTCCCCCTCTCACCCACCTGCACCTCCATGAGCGCCTCCTTAAGTTCCTCCGAAGTTAGAAATTTTCCTGACCTGCAGCAGCCACCGTGGAGCGCACTGTGGGGTTGGGTGGGGTTTGGCATCCGCACCACATTACTCTCCGGAGACCGACCGCAAGGTAGTTGCAGCATCATAAGGCGGCCCAATAACGGCAACTTCAACGCTTAACGGTGTGACTGCTACGCCCAGTAGACGCTTGCCAGTTGCTAACCGCTGAAGCAACTCTCCAACTGGGACACGCACAGCTGCAGCCATAGCGGCTTCACGATGACAATTCCATAAGACCTGACATGCCATAACCTATAAAAGCTACCAAACGGAGTTTTGGGCGGAGCTAGGAGCTAGGTCTACGGTGTAACCCGTACTGTACGTTAAGAAGCGGTTTGGGCGGGAACCACATGCTTGTGGGTGTTTCTAGCCTCTCAGGGAAAAGTCCAGCTTTCCACTCAAAGCGCGACATAAAGAACGTGTAGCTGTGGCGCTAACTCGCATTGCAGTAACGCTCCGTTTCTGCCTCCCTGCATCGCGTATTCTCTTAAACAACTTGTAGCTTTGGAAGCCTATGATGATCGGCACAAGAATTGTTCCATAGTTGTAGTGATAGACGCTGCAGCAAGTTGAAACTTTGGGCATCGCCGCGCGCCCTCTCTTTGGCGCTCCTCTTCCGCTAGATATCGGGGTTGCAAGGGCGAAGGAACCATGGCGCTTGCAAATCAGGATTTGTCAGCTATGGCGAAGATGGATGAAGTTATGGCAGCGCCCACGTCTCGCTTAAGAACGGATGGAACTGTCGACAAGCGCAACGCTCCCTGGGTGGAAAAATACCGGCCGGATAAGCTGGACGATGTCGCAGCTCACAAACAAATCATCGACACAAGTAAGCCAGTCAACAAAACACAGGATTCAGGCAGGATTCAGGGATAAGACCTACAGCTGCACCCCCCGGGAACGCTCCCGACTATCCCTAACCCCGAGTCACCTCCGCTTTCCTCTTCGCTTCCTCACTGACACAGACACGTACGTCATGACCCCTGCCTCCCCTCCTGCACCCTCCATCCTCCCCCTCTGCCCTCCTGGTCTGGGACTCTAGTTGTTTGCATTATATAATTTTCCCTCCTCCCCTGCCCCTCTGCCGCCTGCCGCCCCCAGTCAAGCGGTTGACGGTTGAGAACCGGCTGCCCCACCTGCTGCTGTACGGCCCCCCCGGCACCGGCAAGACCTCCACCATCCTGGCTGTTGCGCGGCAGATGTACGGCGGCCAGCTGGCCAGCATGACGCTGGAGCTGAACGCCTCGGACGAGCGCGGCATCGGGGTGGTACGGCAGGAGATCCAGGACTTTGCGTCCACACGCACCATCTTTAGGTGGGTGGGGGCGGAGGGAAAGATAAGGAAAACTGACGAACTGTATGACGGGCGGAGGGAGGGGAGGGGAAGGGGAAAAGAGGGCTGGTGAAGGGGATGGTAAGGGGCCAGGATGGGGTGCGGTGGTGTGTGGGAGGCGGGATGGTGGGGGCCGGCTCGGGCAGGGGGGTGGGCTGTCATGAAGCTGCCATGGCGGGTGGGAGGGCGGGGGGCGCCGGGAAGGGACAAAGTGGGGGCTGGTGGGGACCTAGTGTCCCAGCAGCGGCGGGGTGAGTGGGGGCGGCCTGCGGCACAGGGGTGCGCGGCAGTGGGGCGGGAGTCCAGCGCAGCGGGGGGCCATGTCCGGGACCATGTCCGGGGCGCCGCTGGGGCCCAATGGAGGGGCGCGTGCCGTGCCGAGGCGGCAGGGGGTGCGGCAGGGGGCATGGTGGCTCCCTCCCTGTGCCCCTCCTGTCGCCCCTCCCGGAGTGATGCCTGCCTGCAAGCACACCTACCCGCTAGAGGAGGGGCCCCACGGCTAGTCCCTGAGCTGCCCTCCCACCCGCCTCTCCCGGACCCCCCCCTCACCAACCGCACACAGCTGACTGCCCGGTTCCCCTCCCTCCCACCTGTGTCGACCCCCACCCCATGGTGAAGCCTTGTCATACAGCTCGTCAGTTGCATCGTCAGTGTCTCTTTATTCTTTACCTCCCCCTCCCCCCCTCCCCCCCCAGCAACAAGTTCAAGCTGATCATCCTGGACGAGTGCGACGCCATGACCAATGACGCGCAGTTTGCACTGAGGCGAGGTGGGGAGGAGAGGGGGAGGGAGGGGAGGGGTGGAGGGGAGGGGTGGAGGGGAGGGAGGGGCTGGCACACCCCGTTCGGACGGGCTCCTTGCAGCTGCCGGGCGCCGCACCCGCCGGGCCCCCGCCTGCCACCTCTCGGTGCCTCATCTCGCCGCGCACCCGCCAGCACCAGCAGCAGCACCCGCTCCTCCTCCCTCCCTCGGGTCCGCACTGTCCATCCCAGCCCCGCAACCCATGGAGCACCCACCCACGCACCCAACCCTCCTCCCCTCTCACCCCGCACCCCGCTCCCCGCCCCTTCCCCTCCCTCCGCCCCCCCAGTGATTGAGAAGTACACCCGCAACGCGCGCTTCTGCCTGATCTGCAACTACGTGTCCAAGATCATCCCCGCGCTGCAGTCGCGGTGCACCAAGTTCAGGTGGGGGGGGGGCGGGAGGGTCAAACACCATACCGAACCATAGGAAGGGAGGAACCAAACCCTGTTACCCACGTTCCCTCCCTCCTTCCCCCCCAGGTTCGCCCCGCTGGACGGGCAGTTCGTACGGGGGCGGCTGCAGTACGTGGCGGACACCGAGGGGTGGGTGGAGTGGGCAAAAATTAATGATAAGTGCAGCAACGAGTCCCAGTCCCCTATCCCGACTCATGCAGTGAGCGCATGGCGGGGGCAGGGGGTGGGCGAGTGGGGTCTGTTGCAACACCAACATGTCATGACCCCAAACCTCTCCCTCCCCCCTCGCACCCCCCCAGTGTGAAGCTGGGTCCCGGGGGTCTGGATGCGCTGGTGGAGCTGGGCGGGGGCGACATGCGCCGCTCGCTCAACATACTGCAGGTGGGGGGGGGGGGGGCAGGGGGCAGGGGGGCGCCGGGGGGGGGTTCCCTGGCTGGAGGGTTCCTGCGAGGTGGAGGTCCCCTGCATGTTCCCGCTCCCCGTGCTACCGCCGCCCCGTGCTGCCCCGCATCCTGTCGCAGATGGAGCTGCGACCCCCCCCTCCTCCCTTGCCTCCCTATCTCTCCTCCCCTTGATGTGTCACGCGCCTGTATATGTCTTTTCACCCCCTCTCCACCCCCTCCCCCCCCCAGTCCTGCCACATGGCGTTCGACCAGGTGGACCAGCACGCGGTGTACGCGTGCACGGGGCACCCGCTGCCCGCCGACATCAGCAGCGTGCTGGCCTGGCTGCTGAACGACAGGGTGGCGGACGTGTTTCAAAGTGGGGGCCGGGGGAGGGGAGGGGGAGGAGGAGGGTGGGAGAGGGTTTGGGAGGAGGGGGAGGTGGGAAGGAGGAGGGACGTGGGGTGTGGTGACAGGTCTCATGGGGTTCTTGGTGTTACCGTGTTGGGGAGCTGTAGGAGGGGTGGAGGAGAGGCGGGCTGCCCCAACATGCTCCTTCCCGGGGCCGATGGTTGACAGGACGGAAGCAGGCTGCCACCCACACACCTGCGCTCGCATCCCACGTACCCCGCCCGGCACTACATTCCGCCTTCCGCACCGGTCCGGGGCCGCCTACCCTCCCTCCCTACCCTCCCTCCTCCCCCACCCCCCCTTGCAGAGGTTATCCAGCTGCAGGTGGACAAGGGGGTGGCGCTGGTGGACATTGTGAGGGAGCTGCACCCGTGAGTGGGGTGGGGGGGGGTGGAAAAAATTAAATTAATGAAACAACGAGTGGTGGTGGGGTGGGGTGGTAAAGAGGAAACAACTAACTGACTGAGGGATAAGGCGTCAACATGGGTTGCAACATGTGGTGGTTTGGAACATGGGTGAACAAAGGGGAGGAGGGGAGCGGAGGTGGAGGGGAGCCGGGTGGGAGGGAGAGGGCCTTCTAGACCTAACATTCTCCCCTCCCGCCGGCGGACGGTCCAGCCGTTACGTCAATAATCCATTCACCTGACCCTATACCTACCATGCTCCCCTTCCCGCTTCCCCTCCCCCTCCCCTCCCCCGTCCCTCCCCTCCCCCCTCCCTCCCCTCCTCCCTTCCCCTCCTCCCCCCCTCCCCCCCAGTTGGATCATGCGCACCAGCATGCCGGTCCGCGCCAAGGTGGCGCTGGTGGAGCGGCTGGCGGAGGTGGAGGCGCGGCTGGCGGCGGCAACCAGCGAGCGGCTGCAGCTGGGGGCGCTGGTGGCAGCGTTCGTGAAGGCCAGGGAGATCATCGCGCAGGCGGCGCAGTAGGGGGGGAGGGGAGGGGGATACCCAGCGTGTGGGAGCGGAGGGGGCCAGGGTGCACGGCATGGGTGGAGCTGCGGGGGGGAGGTGCAGGGGTTGGGGGAGGGGAGCAGGGCGAGGAGTCATGCAGGGGCTGAAAGGGTGCGGTGCGTTGTGGGGAAGCGGGAGGAGGGCCGTTGTGGGGGCGGCAGGTGCTGGGAGGGGGTTGAGGGGTGCGGAGGGGAGTGCAGCGCTTGCGGTTGCAGGGCCCCTCCGGTATGCAGGGAGGTAAGGAGCCGCTGGTGGAGGCAGCGTAGCGCCGGGGGTTGGTAGGGGCCGCGGCCTGGAACTGTCAGAGGAGCTGACTCGCGTGTGTGCGCCGCCGCGTGTAACGACGTTTTGCCGGGGTCTAGCGGTAGTCGCGGAGGGAGCAGCGGGTCGGTGCCATCTACAGCGAGGAAGCAGGATAACAGTGGTTTGTCGCTTTATGACGGAGAATGCATTCGTAGGTGCAGTGATGACCAGTCTTGCTAATGGTAACGCGCATTTAAGTACGCGATGTATACGAGGTTAATTACTAGGAGCCCACCGTATCGGAGTTGTCCAACCGCAATCCACGCGAAGTCGAGCGGCATACCGCAACGCACCTCCTTATGTATTGAAAACATCATACACGCACATCGAAATTAATTAACACAGCCACATCCATCTAAACGCTTCGCGACACACCTCGTCTAGTTTCAACCGCTGCAATTGTTATAGCTAATTTTTGGCAACTCCGTAGTAGCCTTGCCAGATCCTTGTGAAAATGCTGCTAAGTCGACAATATCAGCTGCTCGAAAGGCCGCGTCGCGCTTCTGCGACGCTGCCGGTGCCTTCATGGCAACATCGGACTGCTGCTCCGACTGGGCCGCCCAGAGCGCCGGTGAGGGACGACCTAGGCAGCCTAAATGCGCACTGGTTATACCAGTTGAATGAAGTAAGATTCTCGGGAAACCTTGCTTTGTCTCCGGGTATCGGTCGGTTACCTGTAAGCATGACGACAACTGCTTTCGGCAATTCGATCTGCATTATGTCTGAACCTTGCGACCTGGCCTTCTAAGGCATCATTGTCATTAGCTAACCTCTCGACCATTTTTCGGGAAACATAGCTGTCATGTCACACGTCTTGTCCCTAGACAGTTTCTCCGACCTTGCTTCACGCTGTCGCTCTCCTTCGTTGATGCTGGACGCCGCGCACCAGGGCACCCAGAAGCACATCCCAGCATTCTCAACCCCAATGCCCCCGTCTCCCATCTCTCCCTCCCCCTTCCCTCCTCCTCCCCCACTCCTCAGCCCCTTCGCAGCCTCAGCCCCACCTCCTCCTTCGACGCCGACACCAACCCCCCGCCGTACGACACCTCTACCTCCACCTCCGCCCCTGCTGCCGCCACCCGCCCCCACCCGCCCCCTCCCGCCGGCCCCTCCGACCGCTGCTTCGCGCTGGAGACCATGAGCGAGGACGGGCAGTCCTGGGTGCTTGGCGAGCTGGGGTCCAAGCTGGTGGGGCTGCGTCACACCACCCCTCGGGCCGCCTGCCGTACCACCCGCCTGCTGGGGTACCACGGCAACCTGGGGGAGGGGGACAAGGCGCTCAGGTGGGGGGGGGAGGGGTATGGAGGGGAGCAGGGGAAGCAGAGGGAGTGAGGAAGTTGAGGATGTGGCCGTACAGGGAGAGGGGGTGAGGTGGATGTGGGGGAGGGATTGGGCGGCAGACGGGCGGGGGCGGGTAGCAGCAGGAGGTGTGGGGGAGGCGTGGTGTTGCGGCGGATGGTGGGGTAAGCCTGTAACCCTGTAACCGGCCAGTACGGCTCCCTCCCACCCCTCCCTCCCTCCCAACCCTCCCCGCCCCCAGATGCGACGAGTTGGATCTGGATCTGGGCTGGGAGGCCACCTGCCGGGGCGCGGAGGGCAGCACCTTCACCGGGCAGGCAAAGTAGGTGGGGGGAGGGGGTGCGGGCGGCATGAGGGGACGAGGGCGAGCGGGCGGCATGAGGGGATGAGGGCGAGCGGGTGCGGATACGGGTACGGGTGCGGTGTTCGGTGCTGTTACAGACGGCTGGGCTGGGGGCCGGAGTCAGCCCTGTTCCGGGGAGGCGGGTGAACCTAGCGGCAGCTGGCTGCGTGGCTCGCTGTGTGCCGCTCCCCGGATGAGGTGGAGCCGCCCCCACATGCCCCCCCTAACCCCCCTCCCCTCTCCCCTCCCCTGCAGGGTGACCCTGGCCAGTCGCGACAAGGACGTGGTGGGAGTGGCGGTGCGTGTGGACCCCGCCTGCCTGCAGCAGCTGCCGGAGGGGGGGCGGGGGGCGCTGCAGGATGTGGTGTACGCGGTGAGAGCGGGAGGGGGGTCAAAGACCATACCAAACCATAGGAGACCACAAGTTGAGCTGCTCCATGATGGACGTGTCCAGCGACTTAACCTGCCACCCGGGGGGGCGGAGGGGGGGGCGGGCGGGGGAGGGTTGGCGGGGCGCCCCGACTTACAGCTTGGGAGGGGGGCTGAGGGGCGTGGGAGGGAGGGACCGCGACTGCTGAACTGCTTCTAACGGACACCATGGGGGCGATCAAAGCTGCCCCCCGTGTCCCCTCTTGCCTCCTCACCCTCCCTCCCCTCCCCTCTCCTCCCCCCGGTGGCAGGTTGAGTCGCTGGACACGGCCATCATGGAGCAGCTCAACGACTTCCTGTGGTGGGCGGGGGGGGGCGGGGAGTTCAGGGGGGGGCGGGGAGCTAGGGGGCGGTGGCTGGGATTGGCGGGTCAAAGACCGCGGGGACTGGGGGGAGCCCTCTGAAAACCGCATGCTGCGTTTTCCTGCCCGTTACCTCAACGGCCACCAACCGCTACCCACCCTTCCTCCCCCCCTCTCCCGCCGCCCGCCCTCAGGTCCATGGAGGAGCACAACGAGCGCCGTCGACCCGCGGAGGAGGAGGAGGAGGAGGGGTGGAGCGGGGGTGGAGGCGGGCAGGAGGAGGAGGAGGCCAGCCGGGCAGCTTAGGGTGTTTCTTTTTTATGTTATATGACTGGTGCTGCTGCTGCTGCTGATGGCTCTGCTGTTCTGTTGCTGGCGCCGCCGGGGCTTCAGTGGCCAGCGGCGGTGGCGGGGGGCTTGCAAGCCGGCTGCCGGATGCTTGCAAGATGACGCTGAGTAGCGAGCCGTGGTGCCACAAGAGGCGCACAGTGCACATGCGCTTTGCTGGCAGGCTATAGACGAGTGAGCGTCCGCTTACTGGAACGATACGCATAGTACAGAGCTGTTTGCATGCTGCACAACATGAGGGGTGCATCAGGGTGCCGCAGGAGGTGGTGCGTGATGCAGCAGGTGGCCGTACAAGCCTTGCGGGTGCGGGTGTGAGCACCCGTACGAAGTAAGGAGGGGTTGAGTCGCCGATGTTGGCTGTGTTTCACTCGTCAACAGCGGGGGCCTCACCCCTACACAGCAGGTCTTTTGCATTGAAGCACATAAGGCCACAGCTCTGCGGTACCGTTATTGTTGAATATTCGTGTGCCACGGCGCTACGTTGTTAGAGCTCACTTCACTCTTGAGATTGAGGCAGACCCGTGGTTCATTGCTTGACGTTGATAGGCACTGTTCGTTGAAATGCGCTCTGCTGAAATTTTGGGCGCGTTTGGGGCGGGGAGGGGTCGCTGCTGCCATACTGCATGGTTGGAGGTGGAAGCTGTAGAGCGACACAATTCACCCTGTCGGTGGAATGCATGGCCAGGCTACATAAGGCTAAGCCTATTTGCTGCTTTGTAATCAAGTGGCCATGTCGCACATACCATGCCTCGTTCAGCCGGGTTGCCAGAGTAGCCCATATTAGCTGCTCAGGCCATGGGGGCTCACCCCTTCGCGGTTCCTCTCGGGTGCTAGGTCGGCGGGTGCTAGGTCGGCGGGTGCTCGGTCGGTGGGTGCTAGGTCGGCGGGTGCCAGGTCGGTGGGTGCTAGGTCGGCGGGTGCCAGGTCGGTGGGTGCTAGATCGGCGGGCGCTAGGTCGGCGGGTGCCAGGTCGGCGGGTGCCAGGTCGGCGGGTGCTAGGTCGGTGGGTGCCAGGTCGGCGGGTGCCAGGTCGGTGGGCGCTAGGTCGGCGAGTGCTCGGTCGGCTCGTGCTAGGTCGGTGGGTGCTAGGTCGGCGGGTGCCAGGTCGGTGGGTGCTAGATCGGCGGGCGCTAGGTCGGCGGGTGCCAGGTCGGCGGGTGCCAGGTCGGCGGGTGCTAGGTCGGTGGGTGCCAGGTCGGCGGGTGCCAGGTCGGTGGGCGCTAGGTCGGCGGGTGCCAGGTCGGCGGGTGCCAGGTCGGCGGGTGCTAGGTCGGTGGGTGCCAGGTCGGCGGGTGCTAGGTCGCCGGGTGCCAGGTCGGCGGGTGCTAGGTCGGTGGGTGCCAGGTCGGCGGGTGCTAGGTCGGTGGGTGCCAGGTCGGCGGGTGCCAGGTCGGCGGGTGCTAGGTCGGTGGGTGCCAGGTCGGTGGGTGCCAGGTCGGTGGGTGCTAGGTCGGTGGGTGCTAGGTCGGCGGGTGCTAGGTCGGTGGGTGCTAGGTCGGTGGGTGCTAGGTCGGCGAGTGCTCGGTCGGCTCGTGCTAGGTCGGTGGGTGCTAGGTCGGCGGGTGCCAGGTCGGTGGGTGCTAGATCGGCGGGCGCTAGGTCGGCGGGTGCCAGGTCGGCGGGTGCCAGGTCGGCGGGTGCTAGGTCGGTGGGTGCCAGGTCGGCGGGTGCCAGGTCGGTGGGCGCTAGGTCGGCGGGTGCCAGGTCGGCGGGTGCCAGGTCGGCGGGTGCTAGGTCGGTGGGTGCCAGGTCGGCGGGTGCTAGGTCGCCGGGTGCCAGGTCGGCGGGTGCTAGGTCGGTGGGTGCCAGGTCGGCGGGTGCTCGGTCGGTGGGCGCCAGGTCGGCGGGTGCCAGGTCGGCGGGTGCTAGGTCGGTGGGTGCCAGGTCGGTGGGTGCCAGGTCGGTGGGTGCTAGGTCGGTGGGTGCTAGGTCGGCGGGTGCTAGGTCGGTGGGTGCTAGGTCGGCGGGTGCCAGGTCGGCGGGTGCTAGGTCGGTGGGTGCCAGGTCGGCGGGTGCTCGGTCGGTGGGCGCCAGGTCGGCGGGTGCCAGGTCGGCGGGTGCCAGGTCGGCGGGTGCTAGGTCGGTGGGTGCTAGGTCGGCAGGTGCTAGGTCGGCGGGTGCCAGGTCGGCGGGTGCCAGGTCGGCGGGTGCTAGGTCGGCGGGTGCCAGGTCGGCGGGTGCCAGGTCGGCGGGTGCCAGGTCGGCGGGTGCTAGGTCGGCGGGTGCTAGGTCGGCGGGTGCTACGTCGGCGGGTGCTAGGTCGTCGGGTGCTAGGTCGGCGAGTGCTCGGTCGGCTCGTGCTAGGTCGGTGGGTGCTAGGTCGGCGGGTGCCAGGTCGGTGGGTGCTAGATCGGCGGGCGCTAGGTCGGCGGGTGCCAGGTCGGCGGGTGCCAGGTCGGCGGGTGCTAGGTCGGTGGGTGCCAGGTCGGCGGGTGCTAGGTCGCCGGGTGCCAGGTCGGCGGGTGCTAGGTCGGTGGGTGCCAGGTCGGCGGGTGCTCGGTCGGTGGGCGCCAGGTCGGCGGGTGCCAGGTCGGCGGGTGCTAGGTCGGTGGGTGCCAGGTCGGTGGGTGCCAGGTCGGTGGGTGCTAGGTCGGTGGGTGCTAGGTCGGCGGGTGCTAGGTCGGTGGGTGCTAGGTCGGCGGGTGCCAGGTCGGCGGGTGCTAGGTCGGTGGGTGCCAGGTCGGCGGGTGCTCGGTCGGTGGGCGCCAGGTCGGCGGGTGCCAGGTCGGCGGGTGCCAGGTCGGCGGGTGCTAGGTCGGTGGGTGCTAGGTCGGCAGGTGCTAGGTCGGCGGGTGCCAGGTCGGCGGGTGCCAGGTCGGCGGGTGCTAGGTCGGCGGGTGCCAGGTCGGCGGGTGCCAGGTCGGCGGGTGCCAGGTCGGCGGGTGCTAGGTCGGCGGGTGCTAGGTCGGCGGGTGCTACGTCGGCGGGTGCTAGGTCGGCGGGTGCTAGGTCGGCGGGTGCCAGGTCGGCGGGTGCCAGGTCGGCGGGTGCCAGGCCGGCGAGTCCAGGTCGGCGGGTGCCAGGTCGGCGGGTGCTAGGTCGGCGGGTGCTAGGTCGGCGGGTGCCAGGTCGGCGGGTGCTAGGTCGGCGGGTGCCAGGTCGGCGGGTGCTAGGTCGGCGGGTGCTAGGTCGGCGGGTGCTACGTCGGCGGGTGCTAGGTCGTCGGGTGCTAGGTCGGCGGGTGCCAGGTCGGCGGGTGCCAGGTCGGCGGGTGCCAGGCCGGCGAGTCCAGGTCGGCGGGTGCCAGGTCGGTGGGTGCTAGATCGGCGGGCGCTAGGTCGGCGGGTGCCAGGTCGGCGGGTGCCAGGTCGGCGGGTGCTAGGTCGGTGGGTGCCAGGTCGGCGGGTGCTAGGTCGCCGGGTGCCAGGTCGGCGGGTGCTAGGTCGGTGGGTGCCAGGTCGGCGGGTGCCAGGTCGGCGGGTGCTCGGTCGGCGGGTGCCAGGTCGGCGGGTGCCAGGTCGGTGGGTGCTAGGTCGGTGGGTGCCAGGTCGGTGGGTGCCAGGTCGGTGGGTGCTAGGTCGGCGGGTGCTAGGTCGGTGGGTGCTAGGTCGGCGGGTGCCAGGTCGGCGGGTGCCAGGTCGGCGGGTGCTAGGTCGGTGGGTGCTAGGTCGGCGGGTGCTCGGTCGGTGGGCGCCAGGTCGGCGGGTGCCAGGTCGGTGGGTGCCAGGTCGGCGGGTGCTCGGTCGGTGGGCGCCAGGTCGGCGGGTGCCAGGTCGGCGGGTGCTAGGTCGGTGGGTGCCAGGTCGGTGGGTGCCAGGTCGGTGGGTGCTAGGTCGGCGGGTGCTAGGTCGGTGGGTGCTAGGTCGGCGGGTGCTAGGTCGGCGGGTGCTAGGTCGGCGGGTGCTAGGTCGGCGGGTGCCAGGTCGGCGGGTGCTCGGTCGGTGGGCGCCAGGTCGGCGGGTGCCAGGTCGGCGGGTGCCAGGTCGGCGGGTGCTAGGTCGGTGGGTGCTAGATCGGCGGGCGCTAGGTCGGCGGGTGCCAGGTCGGCGGGTGCCAGGTCGGCGGGTGCTAGGTCGGTGGGTGCCAGGTCGGCGGGTGCTAGGTCGCCGGGTGCCAGGTCGGCGGGTGCTAGGTCGGTGGGTGCCAGGTCGGCGGGTGCTCGGTCGGTGGGCGCCAGGTCGGCGGGTGCCAGGTCGGCGGGTGCTAGGTCGGTGGGTGCCAGGTCGGTGGGTGCCAGGTCGGTGGGTGCTAGGTCGGTGGGTGCTAGGTCGGCGGGTGCTAGGTCGGTGGGTGCTAGGTCGGCGGGTGCCAGGTCGGCGGGTGCTAGGTCGGTGGGTGCCAGGTCGGCGGGTGCTCGGTCGGTGGGCGCCAGGTCGGCGGGTGCCAGGTCGGCGGGTGCCAGGTCGGCGGGTGCTAGGTCGGTGGGTGCTAGGTCGGCAGGTGCTAGGTCGGCGGGTGCCAGGTCGGCGGGTGCCAGGTCGGCGGGTGCTAGGTCGGCGGGTGCCAGGTCGGCGGGTGCCAGGTCGGCGGGTGCCAGGTCGGCGGGTGCTAGGTCGGCGGGTGCTAGGTCGGCGGGTGCTACGTCGGCGGGTGCTAGGTCGGCGGGTGCTAGGTCGGCGGGTGCCAGGTCGGCGGGTGCCAGGTCGGCGGGTGCCAGGCCGGCGAGTCCAGGTCGGCGGGTGCCAGGTCGGCGGGTGCCAGGTCGGCGGGTGCTAGGTCGGCGGGTGCCAGGTCGGCGGGTGCTAGGTCGGCGGGTGCCAGGTCGGCGGGTGCTAGGTCGGCGGGTGCTAGGTCGGCGGGTGCTACGTCGGCGGGTGCTAGGTCGTCGGGTGCTAGGTCGTCGGGTGCCAGGTCGGCGGGTGCCAGGTCGGCGGGTGCCAGGCCGGCGAGTCCAGGTCGGCGGGTGCCAGGTCGGCGGGTGCTAGGTCGGCGGGTGCTAGGTCGGTGGGTGCTAGGTCGGTGGGTGCTAGGTCGGCGGGTGCTAGGTCGGCGGGTGCTAGGTAGGAGGTTGCCAGGTCGGCGGGTGCTAGGTCGGCGGGTGCTAGGTCGGCGGGTGCTAGGTCGGAGGGTGCTAGGTCGGCGGGTGCCAGGTCGGCGGGTGCCAGGTCGGCGGGTGCCAGGTCGGCGGGTGCTAGGTCGGCGGGTGCTAGGTCGGCGGGTGCTAGGTCGGCGGGTGCTAGGTCGGCGGATGCTAGGTCGGCGGGTGCTAGGTCGGCGGGTGCTAGGTCGGTGGGTGCCAGGTCGGCGGGTGCAAGGTCGGCGGGTGCTAGGTCGGCGGGTGCTAGGTCGGCGGGTGCCAGGTCGGCGGGTGCAAGGTCGGCGGGTGCTAGGTCGGCGGTCGCCAGGTCGGCGGGTGCCAGGTCGGCGGGTGCCAGGTCGGCGGGTTCTAGGTCGGCGGGTGCTAGGTCGGCGGGTGCTAGGTCGGCGGGTGCTACGTCGGCGGGTGCTAGGTCGTCGGGTGCTAGGTCGGCGGGTGCCAGGTCGGCGGGTGCCAGGTCGGCGGGTGCCAGGCCGGCGCGTCCAGGTCGGCGGGTGCCAGGTCGGCGGGTGCTAGGTCGGCGGGTGCTAGGTCGGTGGGTGCTAGGTCGGCGGGTGCTAGGTCGGCGGGTGCTAGGTCGGCGGGTGCTAGGTAGGAGGTTGCCAGGTCGGCGGGTGCTAGGTCGGCGGGTGCTAGGTCGGCGGGTGCTAGGTCGGAGGGTGCTAGGTCGGCGGGTGCCAGGTCGGCGGGTGCCAGGTCGGCGGGTGCCAGGTCGGCGGGTGCTAGGTCGGCGGGTGCTAGGTCGGCGGGTGCTAGGTAGGCGGGTGCTAGGTCGGCGGATGCTAGGTCGGCGGGTGCTAGGTCGGCGGGTGCTAGGTCGGTGGGTGCCAGGTCGGCGGGTGCAAGGTCGGCGGGTGCTAGGTCGGCGGGTGCTAGGTCGGCGGGTGCTAGGTCGGCGGGTGCCAGGTCGGCGGGTGCAAGGTCGGCGGGTGCTAGGTCGGCGGTCGCCAGGCCGGCGGGTGCCAGGTCGGCGGGTGCCAGGTCGGCGGGTTCTAGGTCGGCGGGTGCTAGGTCGGCGGGTGCTAGGTCGGCGGGTGCTAGGTCGGCGGGTGCTAGGTCGGCGGGTGCTAGGTCGGCGGGTGCCAGGTCGGTGGGTGCTAGGTCGGCGGGCGCTAGGTCGGCGGGCGCTAGGTCGGCGGGTGCCAGGTCGGCGGGTGCCAGGTCGGCGGGTGCCAGGTCGGCGGGCGCTAGGTCGGCGGGTGCTAGGTCGGCGGGGGCTAGGTCGGCGGGTCCTCGCGATGTCCATGGCCTAAGGTCTACTGTTTAAATTCTTGCACAGGGTTAAAGGTCGCTTAAAAGGGCTTTCTGAAATTGTAATTAACTAAGCTGAATCGCAAGATACAGAAAGTGTCACTAATTTGCAAGGCTTCGCTCTCTGAAAAGCACCAGTCATAACCTTTACACAAACAAAGATGAACTGTGTTTGTAGGATAAGGAACGGTTGTCTCCTGGCTATCCCCGTGCCGGGGGAGTCGTTCAATGCCTCTGGCGGTGAACGGAGGGGTGGCAGGCGGTTTGCCGATTACTCTGTTATGCCGGTGAGACCTACCTGTCTTTCAACCCTTCTTCTAGATTCTCTTACAGGTTGTCTTCCCGTTGCCTTCACGTTCGGGCTTCCAAGGTTGACGGTCCAAAGGGCGCCCTCGGTCCAAAGGGTACCCTATCCTTCAGGCCTTCAAAGTTTTTAATAATTTTGCACAGCTCCTGTTCGCGCAGAGGCTACGTTTCAACACGAGTCTGTGCTCATCAGTATATGTATGTGGAGGCTGCCTCTTCCAATTCCGCAGTCCCGCGGGTCCAAGACATTTGGGAAAGCTGAATTTGAAGACATCTTGCGTATAGGAAACGTGAAACTAACGTCACATCAAACAATGTAGGACAAATTAAAGGTGGTGCACTGCTATCGGCGGGCGCAGGTGCCGCCCGCACGGTCGGATACGTGCCCCAAGCCCTGGGTTTGACTAGGTCCCCCACCATGCACCCGGTCTGAACGGCACATCCTGCCCAACCACACTCGCATGGCGCAACCAATCGAGCCCCACGCCTGGCCACATGATACTACATGTCTAAGGAGTCTATAGGTGTGACGGCGGGCGCAGGTGCCGCCCGCACGGTCGGATACGTGCCCCAAGCCCTGGGTTTGACTAGGTCCCCCACCATGCACCCGGTCTGAACAGCACATCCTGCCCAACCACACTCGCATGGCGCAACCAATCGAGCCCCACGCTTGGCCACATGATACTACATATGTAAGGAGTCTATAGGTGTGACGGCGGGCGCAGGTGCCGCTCGCACGGTCGGATACGTGCCCCAAGCCCTGGGTTTGACTAGGTCCCCCCCTCATGCACCCGGTCTGAACGGCACATCCTGCCCAACCACACTCGCATGGCGCAACCAATCGAGCCCCACGCTTGGCCACATGATACTACATATGTAAGGAGTCTATAGGTGTGACGGCGGGCTCAGGTGCCGCTCGCACGGTCGGATACGTGCCCCAAGCCCTGGGATTTTTACGTCCCTGACATATACCGCCTAAACAATGCGTGCATGCCGCGACCACTTCAGCATCGCGCTTGCTTACATGCTTTCTGACTTGTCATACACCCGAACGGGCTTATCCTGTGTGTACGTCAAGGCTAGTGCGGTTTTGTAACGTTGTGCTGTCCCGTGGGCCCGTGATTTACCCATGGCAAGGTTCTCCTTTTAAAGTCGCGCATTCAAGATATATTTGATGGTTTGTTAAGTCCTGTCCTGGCGGTTTGAACGGAGCAATGTTCGCGAGAGAAGATTCAGTTTGGCCAAAAAGACCAGCATGGCCTCCAGCAATGTGCACCTCCAGCGCTTTCTGGGGCTTTCGACAAATTGTTTTACAGTTTACGCTAGATAGAACGCTGCATATTCGCAAACGCGAATTTGTGGAGGGCAGCTTTGCCAACGACTTTCGCCATGCTCACTGCCTTCGGGAAAACTCGGAAAAGAATGCCATTGCGACGCTCTGTCTAACGGTGCCCAGTGTTTTATGAGTAACACAGTATTAAGTCAGCAGTTGGGGCCAGTTTATGCCTTTTGCCGGTGCTTGTGGTCAAAGTAACAGGCGAGAAGAACTCCGCGAAAAAGCATGCCGAAATTTCGGCATGCCTTTTGCCGGTGCTTGTGGTCAAAGTAATAGGCGAGAAGGACTCCGCGAAAAAGCATGCCGAAATTTCGGCATGTCGATTTCACGGTTTATCCGGCAATTAATTCGGCATGCTTTTTGGCGGTTTTTTCATCCACTTCCTTACTGCAACGTAGCGTAAGCCCAAGGTTGGTAGGTGCCACCATTGACAATTCTGGTTAACATGTTTGCGCTCAACAGGGAGATGCAATCTTGTTGCAGTAGCGTGCTATATATCAACTTGCCTCACGCTCTCTCTGCTTATCATTCGTTTTCTCCATTTGTCTTTATAGGTCCATGGAGCCCTGGTCTGCAGTTATCCTGGGAGGGAGCTTCATTGCGGGCACGGTTGCGGGCACGGTCATCCTGAAGAGCGGGATTAAGAGCGGCCTGGAGCGTTTCGGCATTCAAACGCTGGATCATATGCGTGAGCATGGCCCCCACTTAACCGTGCCAATCCCGGCTACATACCCTCGGCCTCAGAAGAACTGAAGTGCTCCTAATTAGGCGAGTGAGGAGCGAGGACGGACGGATGGGGTCAAGAGGGCTGTGGTGCGCTGATGGTAGGAGGCAGGGCGGGGGTGGGGACTTGAGGACAGCACCATGCATGAGGCACCCACCTTGGTAGTATATACGCCCTTGTCGGGCTACAAAGGCGTTGCTGTGGGTTTGCATCCTCAGGAGTGCTTGCGGTTATGCTGCTGGTTGGCACCTTTTGCCCTCCGTGCATTTGCTCAAGTAGTTCGGAGTTATGCAGACACGTTTGCTGTCCGGTGCTCATGCATGCCCGTGGTCCTCACCATGGCATGCTTTTCATCACTTGAGATACCTATGTTGGAAACCTAACGTTGGTATAAGGTAAGCATTAGGTATGCCAGCGAGTACACCGTACCTGCATGGATGGTGAAGCATGGATGGCAAACCTGTCCCTGAAACCCTGAACAACCTGATGCCGTCTTGTGTCGACTCCGTTATTGGCACGTGCAATTCGCTGGATTCAAGGTCGCCCTGACCCTTGGTACAGCATCAAGGCTCAGTTCGACCTTGAATATATGCCAATAACGGAGTCGACGCAAGACGGCATCAAGTTGTTTAGGGTTTCAGGGACAAGTTTGCCATCCATGCAGGTACGGTACAGCAAGGCATGCTGTTGTCCCCTTATATAGCGGACCGTTGTGGCTATATGATTGTGGCGTTAGTTGCGATGTTCTTGCTACGGTATGTATGTCTGCTTGGCGAGAGGTCAACCTTTCCTTGAATTCAAATGCCATACAGCTGCCTGTGTACGGTAGTTGGGCAATGTAGCACACTGGCTAGGGTGCTGGGCTTTGCTGGTGTACCGTAAACTGCAAGGTGCATATGCGGAGGTCTCATTGCCTGTCAGTGCATGCAGCTGAATGTAAGCGTATTAACTTTCCTTCCTAGCGGAATTGTGTCTTCTTTTAAACAAAGCTGAACGTACCGCATGACATACATTCTTCCGCCCCTCCACCTACCATTGTCCGCGTCACCAGACTGACCTAACAGTCGTGGAGTGAGTGAGGGAAGAGAAGACTCATCGGCGACACAGATGGACGACCCGTCCGCCCTGCGTATATCCTTCGGTGCCATGCCTTACATTTCTGCTTGTTCAAAGTCGCAATGAACCAGATTTGCTCTCATGCATTATCCGCCCAGGGTTACGGTAACAGGGCCCTTATCTCTGTGCCCTTACCCCGACGGGCATTCACTCCCCGGTTGGCAACCCGCGTTACCAGGAGCAGCACACCTCTGTGCGTCTGGTCACGGTTTCCACAAAACCTCCATAGAACACCTCACCATGGAACACTGCAGCGGGCAAAGCCTTCCCCGCTCTGCCTTGCCCAGCAACCATGATACTTCTCTTCCCGGGTATGTGGACAAACACTGGGCGCGTCGCTCGCCACGCCAAAACAGCAAGCTTTATCCAATGCGCAAACCTGCCCGCGTTGAGCCGAGGAGAGCAACGCCACGCATGTCATGGATCACCAAAACCGGTTCCCTGATTGGAGCCGTAACTTGCACCTTTGCAGTGCACCTTCACTCGCCCACAGCTTCTCGCAGCCAAACCCACCAGGCTCCGCCTAAGGCTTGTGGACCTGGGAGACGTCGCCTAGCCAAAGTCCTCATTCACAACCCACACCCAAACTGGTTGCCGTGTAGGACAGGCACCGCATCCATGCCAGTGGCGCCTGCATGCTCAGCCCCCCCGCCCGCCCCACCCGACTGTGTTTCCCTTACACTACCCACCGCCCGCTTCTCCTATCACCTCCTTCCACTGCCTGCCGCGACCTAACCCTTCTCACCATCCTCTTCTGTAGCTAGTGCTAGCACCCCTCACCTTGCCCCTCATCACCATCCCCATCCGCCCCCCTGCCGTTAGCACGGGAATAGCCCCCCTGTCCTCCTCACAGCGTCCGACTCTTGGTCTGCTGCCGCTGCAGGGTAGCAGGGTAGTGGCTTTTGGAGCCCTGCAGCCCCCCTCACGCCACCGCCGCCACCTGCTTCTCGCCTGCCTCCGCAGCTGCCGGCTGCTGCTGCTGCCGCTCCCGGACGTGCATGTAGAGGCCGTTAGTGGTGTGGATGGTGGCGCCCGTGGTCATACCCACCTGGAGGGGAGAGCAGGGGGCGGGGGATGAGAAGACGGGTGGTAGCAGGGGGCAGAGTGAGGTGGGGGTTAGGAGAGCGGTTAGGAGCGCAGCATGGACAGGTGTTTCTCCTTGGGTGAGAGGTTACAGCATGGGTGCATGGGAGGAAAGGGGAAGAACCAAACGTAACACTCAATCAGAAAATTCAGCGTGAAATCAGAAACAGTAGTACTACCCTTTGCCTGCAGCCATGCCGTTCTCTCTCCCTCACACGGTCCTCCCTTTTTTCTCCCTCTTTGCACCCCTGCGCTGCGGCTCCTTCACTCAAACCCCCCCACCCGCCCCCCGCCCCCACCTGGTGCCCCGGCACCATCTCGAAGCTGAACTGCTTGAGCAGCACCGCCAGCGCCACCACCGCCTCCATCAGCGCGAACTGGTCGCCGATGCACTTGCGCGGGCCGCCGCTGAAGGGGATGTACCTGGCAGCGGCATGACAGGGGGGGAGGGAGGGCGCGGGAGGCAGGGCGAGAGAGGGGTGCGTGCGCGGGTAGCGATATGCGAGCGGAGCTGCACCAGACAGACATTTTTTCAGGGTAAAACTCCACGATTCACAGGGTTCACAGCTATACCCCCAGCATCACTCCTACAACCGCAGCCAGGCGCCCCGGGCCCACCCCCTTTGCCCGCCCTTACCGGAAGTCCGTGTTTTGTTCGTTGGGCACGGGGCCGTCCAGGGGGCCGAAGCGCTCGGGGATGAAGGACTGGTGGGTTCGGGGGATGGGGTGATGGTGGCAGGGGGGGGGGGGATGGGCGGGTCGGGGGCAAAGGTGGGGAAGTGGGGGGCCGGCATGGAGGGACGGATGTCAGGGGCTATTGATAGGGAGGTGAGGACAGGAGGAAAGTGACCCGCTGGATGAGTTGTCTTCGGGTGGAACAGGTTGGCGAGGGAACAGCGCTATGCAGTGGGCATCAGAGTCAGCGGTGCTGACCTCCCCCCCACCCCGCCCCCCTCATTTTCCCCCTCCGCCCCGCCCCGCCTTCACCGCCCAGCCCTCCTCACCTCCGGGTCCTCCCACACAGCGGGCGAGTGGTGGATGTTGTAGACCGAGATCATCACGTCCTGACCCACGGGCACCTGCGGGGACGGGGGGGGCAGGCGGCAAACAGGCAAGGAAGGCAAGGGATGCCATGGTCAAAACATGTGGCGGCACATGTGTCTCTGCCGTCGCCACCAACCACCCATCAATCAACCCCCCCCAAACCTCTCCCCACATGCGGATCATGCAGCGCCAGGGCTAGCCGCTCATGTGCCCTTACCTTGAGTAAGGCCGTACGGCATATCAGGGAATCCGCCAGACACTACAAAGCCCAGCCCTCGTGACCACCCCCGTGTCCAGAGCCCCTATCCCGGCCCCCCCCCACACACACCCCTGCCTCCCCCTACCCCGCCCACCTGGAATCCCCCCGGCAGCTCATCTGGCACCATCGCCCGCCTCAGCAGCACGGGCGGGTGCGGGTAGAGGCGCATGGACTCGTTCACGCAGCGCATCAGGTACCGCAGCTGCCCGTACTGCGCCATGGAGGGGGCGGGCCGGGAGCCCAGCACCGAGTCGATCTCAGCCTGTGGGGTGGTTGGAGGAGGCGGGGAAATGGTGCATGTCAGGGGAGAAGAATGAGCAGGCGGGAGGGAGCGACAAAATACTTCACACGGGGTGTATGACCAAATGGTGCAGTGCATGCGGGGTAAAACCCGAGGGATGCGGTAACTGGTAAGGTGCATGTGTACCGGTATGTCTAGAAAACAGGCCGCGAGTAGGAACGTACTGGAATGGGGAACGTACGGGATTGAGCGTGCGGGTTCATAAAGTCTGTGAGGGGTAGCACCCCGCCCCCACCACACACACACACACACCACCCCATATCCCACATGCCACCACACCCACCACCGCCTTGGTCATCTTGTCCGGGTTGTTGACCAGCAGGTACAGCGTCCAAGTGAGCGCGCTGCCTGCGGGGACAACACGAGAGAGGTGTGGTAAGGAAACCGGCCGCCGCGAGTTGGAACTTACTGCACTGTGGGAAGATGAATTTCCCCACTAAACGCCACGCGTGTGTGTATGTGTTGTGTGAGCTCTACTTGTTCGCAAAACTGAATCGACACGGTTCCTCATGCTTGCTGTATGACAGGCGCTGTCGCAGCGGGTAGTGTACCGGTATTCACATGAGCGTGGGTGGGGATGGACATGAAACTTGCTCCGTACACACGCTCACAAGGCACACAGCACACATACCGGCGCATACACGCAGCAACCGCCAGCAACCGCAGATCCCCGCACGCGGGCCGAACGGGACCCGCCGGCCCCTTTTAATTAATAACCACAAGACGCATTGCCGCCTGGCGGGGCCTTGTCTTTGGTTCCATGTGAGAACCCTCCTTCCCACTGCCAATCAATCCAGCCTGCTGTGAATACCGGAAACTCCATTGCAGACAAATGACCTTCCCCCCTCATCCTCCGCCCCCCTTCCCCGGGTATCCCTCTTTCCACCCCTTCCCTGCTGCACTTCTCAGTAATGTTTCCACTCGCTCCCCACCCCCCACCCGCTCCCCCCGCCCTCCCACCCGTCGTCTCGTGCCCCGCCACCAGCATACTCAGCAGGTCGTCCCGCAGCTGCAGGCTGTCCACCTCCTCGCGAGCGGCGATGAGGAAGCGCAGCACACTGGGGTCGGAGGCGTTCATGTAGTCCTACAGGGGGTGGGGGAAAATACAAGGATAAGTGCAGTGCGAGGGGGTGAGGGGTTGGGAGATTGGGGGAGGAGAGAAGAATACCCAAAGCGTTGAATGGGGCTGGCAAACAAGCCGACGAGCTCCTGGGGAGGAGAAGGATGTGGCACGGAGGAGGTAGGGTAAAGTAATGAACGCGTGGCATGCGGCAGCAACCCCTTCCCACCTTGCCAGGTGCCATCCCAACACCCATCCCAACGTGTCCCTACACCTTCCTGCGACCCGCTTCCTCCAACACACATGTGGGAATGTTATAGAGACATTCAGTGAGTTCCTACCCACGGCCAGTGAGTTTTTCACGGTTTTTTACCCGCCCTCTCCGGCCCACCCCACCTGCCCGCTCTCCGCTGCCGCTGATGCCGCTCGCCGCTCCTCCTCGTCCACCATCTCCTTGCACTTCCGGATGAGGTCGTTGGTGGTGCGTCGGATGAGCTCCACGGCCTGCAGGAAGGGGAAAGAGGGAGGGTGTTTACCGTTATTGAGTGAAGAACCTACACGTGCTGCTGCGGCGGCTGCGGCTGCATTACATGCGTTAGTGCTATGCGGCGCTTGTGACACTCACTAACTCATGTGTCTCATGCCGCTCTGGGTGCACCACCCCCTTCCTTGCCGCGCTGTGGCCCTCCCCTCACGGCTCCCCTCATAGCTGGTGCCCAGTACGGCACCACCGTACACCTCCCCCACGGGGGGCCCGAAAGGAGGCACTACTACCCCTCCTGCTGCTGCTGCTACTGCTACGGGAGACGCAGCACTACCGGTACCCCACCTCCAACGCCTTCCGCTGGCGGGGGATGAGCCAAGCGAGGGCGGGGAACTGCGGAGGGGCGGGTACGGGTAGCGGCATGCATGGCAGTTACAGGCATTCAGCTAGGGAAGTAAGAGTCACAAAAGGGTGATGAGTATGTGAAGGAGAGGGAGGGAAGAACAAGAGTACGGCTATAGCAGCAGGCACGATGCATTGACGATGGAGCCACGGGCCGCGTCCCTGCAGCCCTCCCCTACCACCGCAGTCCCTCTACCCCCGCCTGCCCCACCTTCCACAGAGGCAGCAGGTCGGTGGCTCGCGTCTCCGTCTCCTTGAGGGCCGTGTAGACCGCCTGAAGGGTTGCGGGCAGCAGCCGGGGTGTGCAGTCACGGAGGGAGGGCCATGGGTATATGGGGTTAACCGCAACGGGGAAGGGGGCGCAGAAGGGGTGTTGAGGATGAGGTGTTATGGTGTCCGTAGAGACCAGCGGCAGGCTGCTGTGTGGGATGCTAGTGGGAGGGCTCTTCCACTTCCCTTCGGCCAAGCCGACCACCTCACCGTCTCCCTAGTCACAGGCAGTCCCATACTGCGCGACAGGACGGCTAGGCCCACACCCGTGTCGGCAAACGCAATTCCTACGAAACCTACCTACTCCGCACACATGTCCCTCGGAACCCGAAACACCCTCTCCCCGCCCGCAACACGCCCCCCCCACGCACCTGGATGATGGGCGAGTCGGAGGTGAGGGAGTTGAAGTCGTAGTTGAAGACCGCCTTGCCGATGATGTCCAGCGTCAGCTGCGGGGTGTGGAGGCGGCATGGGGTACAGGCGGCTGGAGGTTACGAGTCCAACAAGAAGTGAGAGATCCAAAGAGCGGAGGCAGAATGGAGAGAGACGGTTGCTAGTTAGGGGGGCCACGAGGATGCCGCATCATGCTCCCATGCGGGGGTTATAGAGACCGTGAGCGTTTGTTGCGTCCGGTGTACGGCAGTATGTTTTCTCAAACCGCTGTGTGATCCCTCTGTAACTTCCATGCCCGGTGACCCATGGGTCACTCATGCCCTCCATGCGCCATCCATCGCGTCCCCCGACCTGTGAGAAGATGCCCTCCATGTTGACCGGCCGCCCCGCCGCCGCCGCCTCCCTCAGCTTCTCCGCCGCGAACAGCGCCGAGCTGCCGAACACCCGGTCCAGCATCACCTCCAGATAGGCCCTGTGTGCGGAGGCGGAGAAGGTGGTGGTGGGTTGGGAAGTAGGCCAGCGAGGAGAACTGTCCAGCAGGCATGTTCTGCCGGTTCATGCGGTTGCGGCAGCGGCAGCGGCAGCGCAGGCTCCCTCCCCCCGCTGCACTCCACTGCCTACCAACCGCGGCTTCTCCTTCAAACGGCGTTTGCTTACCGGTCATCTGAGCCCGACTCTTGGGGCTCTCAAAAGCACCCCACCAAGTTCCACGAATCCACCCCAGGAGGCCACACGGAGGTGCACGCCACCGCTGTAACAAACAGATGGCACCCAGCCGCCCCACCTGTGCAGGGACGGCCCCACGGCCTTGCGCCGCGCCTTCCACTCCTCGCCGCCGCCCACTGCAAAGCCCTTGCCGAACAGGAACTGCGACACCTCCGCCACCAGACCCTTGTTGTACACATTGCGCTGCGGGTTGTCGGTGCCGCGCAGCACATGCTTTGCCGCAGCCGGGTCGGAAATTACCAGGAAGCTGGACACGGGGCCTGGGATGAGGGATGGGATGGAGGGGCAGGAAAAGGGGAAGCCGTAGGAAAAGGGAGATCCTTGGTGGGAGCAAGTCACTTGCATGCGCATGGCAGAGCTACGCGTCTGGTAGAATAAGCCAGAGTAAAAGGATGGGCAACAGGTCGACATAGACTTTAGCTCAGATGCGGTGATATTTGCTAGGCTGTGGCACCTGTGGGCAGCAGGTAGATGGGTCCGCTCTCCAACATCCATTTGTACAGCGCCTTGAAGAGCGCCCCGCCTAGGAGCTCTTTAATATCATCCGGCTTGGCGTTTGCAACCGGGACGTTCTGTAACAATAGCAAGAACGGTGTAGCTATTAGAGATCCTGTTAGGTGTTGCAGCTGGCATCCGCATGCAAGGCGAAGGACAGACGCCCGCTGCTATAAGATGTACACAGGATCTTGAGCATTACGCTATTGGTCAATAATATTGTTTATGTTTTAAGGTATAAGATGGTCTATTTCATAATTGCACCCGAATGTCCTGGCGGATGCGCAATTCTTGACAGCCACGAAAGCAGTGCATTCATACCCACATCTTCCAATCGCGACTCACGCTTTTACCACCCCATAGCATGTTGAGCTGCGTAAGCCATCCCGGGCTGAAAATGCTTCTACCAGCGCCCGCCGAGTCAATAGACTTGCCGAGCGACGGCTTCGGAAAAGCAAAGGAGTTGAGCCATGTCAGAAGGTTACTCTTTCCAAGCATCCAAGTGAAATATCATACATCAACTATCCTAGACGAAGGCTAAGCCCCACCTCATCTCCTGCTCGCGTCGCCACTGAACCCCGTTCCCGGTGAATTGGTCGAAACGGTGCTGGTTTTCGACTAGATTTGCATTTGCTTGAATCGCAGACCCTTTGGTGGGTAGAGCGGCCAGACAGCAACATTCTTCAAGATCGGCTTACAGCCCTAACCGAAAACAATTGTCTACGCAATTCTTTGTGTCGAAACCAAGCGCTGCTTGTTTTCTCGCAAGGACGCCAACCGATTGATCAGATACTTGCCGTACGAGGCTCTGGAGCGGCAAGCAAGGCTGTTGCGCCACTCAGCGAACCAAAGCCTGCTATGGCGCACCAATACGTTAGTTGTATTCTCTTTAGGCTTGTGCAAAAAGACCAGGAAACGCGCCCCATCACTCTTGTTCGACCCTTCGAGCTGTCACTCAACCCTACCCACGAAGGCATCTGCCCAATTCCCATTATACTCCCCTCCTTGCATTCTCATTCAAACATTGGGAATACTTCTTTCCCTTCCAATGTACATGTCCTCAGTCAAAGCTCCGAAAAGCGTACAGGCGCTGCTGTAGCGAATGCCACTCCAAAACAAGGGGGAAGCGTGATGTGCTGCATGGGTGCGCTCGGGGGAATGTACTTCATTACGTTCAGAAGGCTGGCGTGCACCTGCAGAGGTAACCATCTGCAATGCACCTGCAGAGGTAACCATCTGCAGCATACATGCCTGTTCGGGACAATTCCGGATGGTGGACAGAACCAAGCATCACACCGGCGTTTGTTTCCAGTCATACCAGTAACCCAATTATGCTTACAAGCAGCACGTCGGCTGGATAAGTGTCTACCTTGGGCCAAGCAACCCTTTACCTGCGTCAATTCAACTGCAGGCCAAACCTTACCTTGTTGCGGTATTCCCCACAAAAAACAAACCTCATGAAACGGTGGGCCATCCGTCCGCTAGTCAACTAAACATAAAGGCATAGCAACATGGCAACAAAAGCGGTGTACCAGTAAGGGTTCCTAAGCACAGCAGGAAGAGGCCAAGCCAGCGCAGCAGAACGGAAGAGACCTGCAGTAAACTCTCCACTACTCTTGCAACTGCTCGAAACAAACATACGGCAGTAGGACCCAACCACATGCGTGCTTCAGAAGCCGGCTGTACAAAGAAACAGCTACAATAACTGCCAAAACAGGATATAAGGCAAAGGTGTGGAAGACGCGTTGATTCTTGTAGTGGCAAGAAAACCCAACAAGCAAATGCTGCAGACCTTTTGGCAAGTTGACGAAACAGAATGAAACAAAGTGCTACTAGGCAACCCAACCTGCTCCCATCCACGGCATCCATCCACTTATCTTCGGGTGCTACTGCTCCCATTTGCCCACAACGAGCCCCGTCGCACGCAAACTGCATGCAGGTTGTCCTCTCCTCCACCAGCGTCCTCTCCTCCTTGTGGGGTCCTTTACTTCCCATCCTTTACTTCCCTCCTCCGCAGCTGGCCAGCCTCTCAGCCTCCTCCACATATCCCTCAGCGCAGCCTGTACCAACTGAGCTCCCCCAGCATTGCGGTGCTACTCAATTGCAACCCAATTCCAACCCAATCGTGCAACGCTCAGCACCTATCCCGCCCGACGGCACATACCACAAAGGCTGCAGCAAGGACAACAGCCTCTGCCTTCGCAAACAAACCTCACTCTCTCCCTTCTCCTTCGCATGCCATGAGCATAGTAGCTATCAAATGTTGTTACACCTACAAGCTCTCTCCCCACACAACCCTTGCCAAACACAACTCTCGTCATCAGTAACCAGTACAAGCCGTCCCCCAAACCCGTCCTTCCATCATCAACCCGCATCCCCGCCCTAACCGAACGCACCGACACCTCCACCCAGGTGGCCCCAGATGGTCTGCAACCATCTCCCCACAGCCGGGTGAGTCCTGTCATGCAGCTCGTTCGTTTCTCCCCTCTCCCACCACCACCACCCTCACAGCTGGGTCGTCTGCGGCTGGAAGTGCACACCCAGGTTACCGAAGCCGCCCCCACCAACAGCGGTGCTGGAGCCAACCATAGAGGCGAGGGCAGGTGCTGCCGACCCAGCACCGCCGCTGCTGCCGCCGCCGCCGGACGCATGCGACTGCAGCAGCATGCGCAGCTGCAGGGCGAGCACGTTGTCGTGAGCGACCGCCGACTGCAGGGCGTGGAGCAGCCCCTCCTTGCCCTCCGGCGTACCCAACACCTGCGTATGGGGTAAGGTCGAGTGATAGGACGTCGGTACAAAAGGCTGTTTACAAACCAGTTCCCAGGAAGGAATGAAGACCATGCCATGCTACGGAACTGCCCGTACACTCGTTTGAAATGCAGGAGAGGGAAAGCACCCCCACCTGAGCCACCATGTTCTCAGCCGCGCTGCACCGCATGGCCCGGAGCTCCGCAGCAATCTGCGACCGACCCGCGGGACTTTCCGCCCACGTCAGGAACGCCTTGTCACGTGCCGTACATGTCTCCGCGCAGCACTGCCCGGACACGAGTTCAGCTGACTCCGCCTCCGCCTCCGCCGCCATCGCCGCCGCCACGCCGGCGTCGCCAATCAGCGCCGTCGGCAGTGACGGCGGCGGCGTGGCGTGCGAGACGGCGCCGCCGCCACTGCTCTTGCGGCCGTTCCTGCCGCCGCCACCTGCCAGGTTGACCAGCTGTTGTGTCGTCGCCGGCAGCGCCCTGGTCTTCGCCGCCGCCGCCGCAGCAGCAGTCTCATCCTCGCTCGTCACCGGACCCATCGGCGACTCAGCCGTCGGCGTCGCCCGCTGCACCTTCTCAGCGGCCGGCGGCGGCGCCGCGCCGCCAGCGGTGCCGCCGCCACCTGCTCCTCCACCGCCGCAGTCAAGTGCCAGCTGTAGTAGCTGTCGCGTCATGGGTGACAGCGGACCCTTCGCGGCGGCGGAGGTAGCTGCCGTACCCGCCGTCGCCGCCTCCGCCGCCTCCCGCCACGCCGCCAGCAGCCTCTCCGCCCGCTCCGGCGTGAGGGAGGGGTCGGTGGTGGCGGCGTGCCGCAGCAGCTGCCGCTCCAGCAGGCGCCGCCGCAGCCGCGTGGTGAAGAAGGCGCGCGCGGAGGGCCACGGCACGATGGCGGAGAGGACGCCCTTGGCCGCCATACGCACCGGCGTGTCGTGCAGGTCGGCGAAGGTGCGGGCGATGCGGGTGTAGGTGGGCAGCAGCTCGCGCTCGCGGGCGCGGATGGCTGGGTCGGTGGGGCTGCTGCCGCGGGCCCGAGCGGCGGTGATGATGGGGTCGATGCTGCGCGCGGGGAGGAGGGGGAAGGGACATGCATGTGTGGAGAGCGGTGAGGCGAGGTGAGGCTAGGCGTTCCTCCCCCCCCCCGAATGCCAGGCCGCCAGACTAGCGTAAGCGACAACAACAAGAGATTCATGCAGCACAGAGATGGGCTGCATTTGACAGTCCTCATGCGGCAGCGTCGTACCCAACCCCAACCGCCAGCCCCACACGCCCCCACCCGCACCCGCCCCAACACACACCCTCACCGGTGCATCATCTTGAGCAGGTCCGGGGTGCGGAACTTGATCTCACACACGCCCTCCGGCTCCAGCACGCCGCCCCGCGCGGAGGGGTCGGCGTACATCTCCACCGCCGCCGCGTTGATCTGGCTGTCCACCACCACCCAGGCGCCGCCTCTGGTGTGGCAGGGAGGGAGGGTGGACGGGAGGGTGGGAGAGAAGGTGAGTTTGCGGGCAGTTTGCGAGGGAGGTTCTGCGGGCTGCTCGCTATGAGCTCATGCGAGCAGGTAGAAGACGACAATGAAGAGTGGGAGCCGTAACGTGTGCTAGCGAAGTTGCAGCTGTGCTTGAGGCCATATCCAAGCACATCCAAGCATGCATGCATGGTAGCTGAGTAGTACTGCGAATACAATGGTACGGCAGCCCCCCCCCGCGCCGCCTACCTCAGCTCCGCGCCTGCCGGGATGTACACGAACACGGGCTGGCGGTAAGTGCGCAGCCGCTCCACGATTAGACTGCCGGCCTGCGCGGTTGCGGGGGAGGGAGGTGGGGTGTGCGGACAACAACATCAACAACAACAACGGGACTCAGGTGTGGATTGCAGAGGTACGGGTAGAGCCTTCTGCCTATCCACAGCCGCCTCCCAAACCTCAAATCACTACCGGTGCATTCAGCTACACATTCACAACACCGGCTCAGCCCGCATGGCGGAGACATCATACCAGGCCTTCTCCCACCGCTCAACCCCACCCCCACCCCCCACCTGCAGCACCCCGTCAAACAGGTCCCGCATGCCGCCGCTGAAGCCGCGCCAGTTGGCCAGCACGAACAGCGGCAGCCCTTCCGAGTCGAACTCCTCCATGGCGGCGGCGGTCTTGTCCGCACTGTCGGGGAACCAAACCTGATGGGGGCGGAGGGAAGGGGGGAGGGAAGAGGGGGCGGAGAGAGGGGGAGACAGTGAGTCGAGTGGAGAGGCGAAGGCGCGACGCAGAACAGCTGCAGATGAACGGAAGAAGGCCGCCGTCTCACCCCACCCTCCTACCAGGCAGCAAGCCCTTCTTCACGCACCAGTGGCACCATCCACCCATCCTTCCTCCCTCCCTTGTTTGTCAGCCTCGTTCAACACATTAGGTATTCTACCTTTCCCTCCCTCCCTCCCTCACCCCCTACCCACCTGGCCGGCCTGCGGAATGGCGCTCTCGCACGAGTCCGGCATGCCCGGGTCCGCGGGCAGCTGCCGCACCACCGTCTGGCTCTCCACCGCGATCACCCCCACCGGCAGCCCGCCCAGCCGCGCGCGCCCCGTCACCACCGTGCGCGCCCAGCCCGCCTGAGACTCCAGCCAGCTGCCCCGGTCGAACAGACCCGACTGCCAGCTGGAGGAGGAGGAGGAGGAGCTGGGAGGGGTGGGGGTGGCGGTGGAGGAGGGCGGCTGCTCCCGGCCTGGGGCGAGGAGAGGAAGGGGCAGGGGGGATACGGTGTTAAAAGGACTGTGGCGCTGTTTCTGGCGATGATGTTCGGTTGTGGTAGGGTCCGAAACCACAACAGCGGGGAGTAAAATGCTGCACCCACCTGCAATGGCGGCCCGCGGGTCCAGCTTCTCCCCCGGTCCCGGGCTGTAACCCACCGGCCGGTCCGCCGGGTCAGCCGAGGGCAGCGGGGGCGGCGGGGCGCCCAGCTGAGGTGGCGCGTACGACAGCAGCTGCAGCACAGTCCGTACCCCCTCCAGGTCGTCCGCGACCACATGGTGGGAGACGCCGTTGACGCCCATGACCCGTGGGCCACCCAGCTGCATGTGGCTGGTGTAAACCTGTAAGGGAGAGGAAAGCAGGTGGCCGGGTGTACGGATGGGGGTCACCCAGGTACTGCTGGGGACTCGTCCAGACATCCGGCAGTGCCGCAAGCTCTGAATCCCCTAGGTATCCCCTAGTACCTCTTCCCACCCCACTCCGTCCCTCCCGCCTCACCTGCCGCCCCAGCAGCTTATTCAGCGCCGCATAGCCCGTCAGCACAATCGGCTGATCCGCCCGTTGCACGCAGCGCCGGCCCAGCCGCGCCAGGTAGGCCCCGATGCCCACGGTGCGCCCCGAAACCAGCGTCACGGTGTACCCCTCCCGCCAGGCCCGGCAGTAGGCGGAGGCGATGGCGGCGCTGCCAGACAGGCACTCCACTCCGATGCCGTCCTCCGCGCCGATGACGTCACGCACGATGAAGCGCAGCTCGCCGGAGCCGTCGGGTGCGGGAATGGGCTGCGCGGAGGGGGGGGGAGTCAGGGAGGAGGAGGAGGAGGTGTAGTTCACGTGTATCTAGCGCAGCACTCAGAACGACATGTTGTACCTAAGCACGACACGTCTACACACCACTACCAAACCTCACCACCACCACCACCCCGCATACCACCCACCTCCGCTCGCACCACCGGCGGCGCCCCGGGCGGTGTGTTCTTGATCAGCCGCTCGTAGTCGCGCTGGGCGAGGTAGAGGTACTCCCAGCCCAGCTCCGGCTGCTGCGGGTCGTGCCACTGCACCTGCAGACAGTCGCGCACCTGCGGAGAGGAAGAGGGCAGGGCAGGGCAGGCGGGCGGGCAATCATTCCGGTTATCAATCGGTTATTCCACTTTTCAAATCGTAAATAACGTCCATGAAACACGTCAGGTTGAACAATGGCGAATTCACCAAAGGCGGGTTACAGCTCGCGCGGATGCCTGCCCGGGTATCCCCTCAGGTATCCCCTCGGGTGCACATGTGTCAGCCGTAGCCCCCCCCTGTGCTCCCCGCTCACCTCCGTCGCCAGCCCCACCCTCGCTCCCGCATTCGCCGCCAGGTAGAGCAGCGGCAGCCGCTCCTCCAGCGCCGCCTCGGTGGCCGCCCTGAACACCGCGTCCTCCGCCGGGCTGAAGGAGCCGCTGCCCCAGGTGATGTCGTTGGCAACAGCGATCACGGAGCGACCCTAGGGGGGGGCGGAGGGGGAGGGGGAGGGTTGTTAGGATGGGAATAAGACTGCGTCTGCAGTCAGGAACCTCCACAATTCAGACCGGCGCTCAACAGACACAAGCGAGAGGGGTCATCCGCCCGCCCAGCCCCCCTTCACACGCCTCCGCCCCACCCGCCCCCACCCACCTGCGGGCACTCCGGCGTCCTCAGTGTCAGCAGCCAGGCCACCATGCCGCAGTCGTTGCCCCCCACCAGCGGCCGACCGGGCGGGGCGGGCTGCAGGCGCGGCGGGGTGCGGAAGTCGGCGCAGGGTCCGGGCGGGCGGCTCTGCGGCGGCAGCACCAGCTCCACCGCCTCCACCAGGCGACCCGCGGGGGGCACGGACTGGGGCTCGCCTGCTCGGGGGTGGGTGGGGAGTGAGTTGGGTGGTTGAGTAGGGTAGGGGATGAAGGGGTCCACCGCAGTGCGACGAAAGCGCGGAGGGGGGAGAAGCGTGGAGCGTGTTCTGGGCGAGGAACGTGGCAGCAGTGGATAGGAGGTGCAAGGGGTACAGGGACAGGCAGCAGCAGACTCACCCGCCCCCGCCCGTGCCGCCCAGAGCTCTCGTAGCGCCGCCTCAAACACGGCAGGGAAGTCGTACACGTACGTCACATTGTGCCGCCGCGCCGCCAACCGCTTCTGTTGCAGCGGCACCAGCGGAGGGTACGGCGAACCAATCACCACTCCCGCCAGCGGCCCTGCCGCCGCCGCCGCGGCGGCGGCGGACGTCCCGCCGCCGCCAGCGCCGCTGCTGTCGTACGGCGCCGCCAGGTTCCGCAGGCTGCTTCCGCCGCCGCCAGCGGCGCCCCCGCCGCTATGCGCGTGGTGATGGTGATGGTGGCGGTGGTGGTGCTGCTGCAGGGGGTGGTGAACGAGGCCGCCTCCATGCGTCGCGGCGTAGTGCGCGGAGTAGGAGGCGGGCGGGAAGAGCGAGTGCAGTGCGGGGTACAGCAGTGCCGGCACGTACACGCGGACTGGCAGCTGAGCGGGTGACACGATCTGCTGGTGGTGCGGGAGTTTCCCTGGCGCCGCCGCAGCTGACACGTCCTTGTGCTGCTTCGCCTGCTGGTGCTGCAGGTAGGACTCCTGCAGGGCCTCGCGGTACACCTCCACATGCTCCTCGCCGTGCTCGTGTCCGGTAGGCATGGACACCACCACTCGCCATGCAGCCTCACGCAGGGGGCCCCGCAGCCGCGTCTCCCACACCGCCACCGCCGCCTGACGTAGGGCCCCGCCGTGACGCGCCACCAGCGCCGCCGCCGCCGACCGCAGCGCCGCCGCCACCCTGGCGTCGTCGCGGCCGCCCGGCGGCAGCGGCAGCGGCGGCAGTACGGAGAGGAAGAGGTGCGTCCAGTCGGGACGGGAGGCGGCGGTGTCGGCGGCACCCGCGGCGCCAGCGGCCGCAGCGGGAGCGGAGCGGTGTAGCTCGTCCAAGCACGACACCAGCGTCTCCTCCAGCTCTTGCATCGCCGCCGCCGCCACCGCGTCGCCGCTGCCGCTGTAGCTGGCGGCGATGAGCGCGGGGTGGCCCAGGCTGCGAACCAGCCCGCGTACGAAGAGCCGCCGCAGCGGTGCGGACCGCGCGTCTCGGCGCTCCACGGCCGTGTACAAATGCCACTGGCGGTTGCGGCTGGGGCGGTACATGAGACCGCCGCTTGGGGCGGCAGCGGCGCCGGAGGCGCCGGAGGAGGCGGCGGAGCCGCCCCCGCCGCCGCCAGCTGCGGAGGCGAGGCTGGATAGCTCCAGCAGCGTCGCCGTCACCGGCTCCACAGCGGACATGAAGCTGTCGGGCTGGAAGGCACCACCCTCATCGGCGTCGCTATCGCCGCCGCTGACGTCAGTGCTGGTGTCGGTGGAGGAGGCCGTCTCCGCCGCCTCGGCAATGGCGGCGAAGGCGGAGCCGGCGGTGGAGGCCGACGGCACCGCCGCCGCCGTCGCGCCGGCAGCGATCGTGGGAACCCAGCGCCAGCCCAGACGCAGCGGGCAGGCGCTGCTGCCAGGCGCTAGGAAGCTCACGGAGCCGAAACCCAGCTGGTGAAGAGCGGTGGAGGCTCCCGCCACCGCCGCCGCGACGGCGGCAGCGGTTGCACGGCTCTCCTCGACGCCCTGCTCCGCCGGCGGCAACAGGGCATCCAGCGCCGCCGGCGCCGCGTCGCTTGCAAACCCGCCGTTGAAGTTCTGCTGTGATGGCGAGCGGCTGTGGCGCGGAAAGCCGCCGCCGCTGCTGCTGCTCATGCCGTTGATGCCGCCGCCAGCCGGCGCCGCCAGCGCGACGTGCAGGGTGCCGACGTCAGCAGCGACGTCGGTACGGAAGCTCTGCAGTACGGGCGCTAGCGCCGCCAGCGCTGGGTTGAGTGCCGTCAGGCGGTCCAGCAGGATGAGTGCGCCGACCCGCTGGGTCGGTAGCGGGGTGTTGGCGGCGGCCGGGTCGTCGTACAGCCACACCGCCATTAGCGCTCCTGTGCGAGGGTTTACCAAGGATACAAGACACGCTCACCGCTATTCAATGCATACGCAGAAGAGCTCCAACACGGCCCACACGCCCCACTTGCATACACCCTCCTGGACCAGCTTCACAATTCTGCGCCGTCCCTCTCCACGTCGGGCCTCATATGGGTTCATACAGTTGGCCTAACTGACCTCCCTCCCCCCTCACCCTCCGGTCCTCCCCCGCTCTGCTGCACCAGCGGCTCCCGCAGCAGGAAGGGCGAGTACAGCCGCTTCACGTAGGTCAGCGCCGCGCGGTGTCGGAGCCGGGGAGGCGCCCCGCTGGCGTCCACCACCAGGCCCGCCAGCGCGTCCTCCACTGCGGCGGTGGCGCCCACCAGCCGGTCGATCTGGGCGCCGGTGCCGGTGGAGACGTGGATGCTGCCGGGGGGAAGAGCGGAGGGGAAAAACTTATATAGGAAGAGCGAGGGGAGGGGAGGCAAGGGCACGAGTGGCGCTTGTAGGGGTGCGTTGATATAGTTTATCCAAGTGGTTCAGCAGTTATCCAACCCGCGGGTCCCTCCCGGCAATCTCTTCTCCCAGCCCCGCCCCCCCCGCCCCCCCTCTTGTCTCTCACCTGCCCCGAGCGCTGACCGGCAGTCCGCTGAACATCCCCTCCGCCACCGTGCTCCTCCGCGCCACCGCACCCCCCCCTCCTCCCATTCCCCCCGCCGCCGCCACCGCCGTCGGACTTCCCGCTGCCCCTCCTCCTCCCACTCCCCCTCCCCCAACCCCCGCAGCAGCCCCTGCCGCCCCTCCCTCGCTCCGCGACCCCCCTGTCGCCGCCGTGAACATCTCCAGCCCGCTGAGCGCACTCGCCACCACCGCGCGCAGGTCCGCTAGCAGGCTCTGCTCCAGCAGCTGCGAGGCGCGCCCCACCAGGCGGCCGGTGCCGGGGCCGGTGAGGGCGGCCAGGCGGCGCAGGAGGGGGCGGTACTGGGCGGGGGCGGGCAGCACCAGGCGGGCCATGAGGCCTAGCACGAGCTCAGACTTGAGGGGCAGGCCCTGGTGGGAGACCTGGGGGAGGCGGGGTGGGGAGGGGAGGGGAGAGGGAGGGAATGTAAGATCCCAGGTGGAAGTGCCAGTTTCCACTATCAGAGCTTTGAGGACGATGGTCTGCATTGGACAAACGGCTAATGGGCTTGTGGGCCAGGATACATACAAAGGAAGGCAACCCCGCATGTACGACATCCAATAGAAGGCAGCACCTAGGCCCCTCTCCCGCACTCCCCCTCCGGATTCAATGAGCAACCCATGGAGAAGCCTCGTCATCCAGTTCGTCAGTTTTCCTTATTTTTACCCCCCTCCTCACCACCAGGTCCAGCACCATCAGCCACCCGCCCCCTCGCTCCCCCCTCCCCCCCCCCCCTCCTCACCACCAGGTCCAGCACCACGCTCAGCTTGCCCGCGTGCTGCTTGCGTAGCGCGTCAATGGCCTCCTGGTCGGTGGTGACCCCTGGGTCACCCGCGTGACGCCGGGCGGCAGTGAACGCCTCCTCCACCGCCAGGAAGCCCTCCAGCAGCTCCGATACCACGCTGCGGGCGTAGGCCTGGGGGTGGGGGGAAGGTGGGGTCACAAACATGTTTGTTGCCAAACACAACTCTCCATCTTGCGGCAATCACAGTACAGTTTCCTTGCCCCCCCCCCCCCCCCCCCCCCCCCCCCCCGCACCTGTCGGCCCCCTGCATGCGCCCTCGCCAGCCTCAGCAGCGGCTCCAGCGCCGCCGTCAGCGCCGCCTGGTCGCCCGGGGCCGCCTCCGCCTGCGCCCGCTCCATCACCTCGATCACCGCACCGCTAGGGAAGTCGCCGCAACCCGCCACCAACGCACCGGCCAGCGCGCCCCCCGCAAATGCGCCGCCACCGCTGCTGCTGCTGCTGCTGCCGCCAGTGCCGGTGCTGGCGCCGCCGTCGCTGGTGGCGGCTGCCTCCGGCGGCGCCTCCGCCGCTGCCGCGGCTGCTGCTGCTGCTTCCGCCGCCGCCACCTCCTGCGCGTGCTGCGCCACGGCTGCCTCCAGTGCTGCCGCCAGCGCCCCCGGCATGCGGCCGCGCACCACCGCGAACTCGCCCTGCCACTGCAGCAGCGCCAGGGCGGGACTGTCCAGGCAGGACACCAGGTCCTCAACAACCTGGGGGGGAGAGGAGGGGACAGGGAGGGTGTGTGCTTTGAGAGGGGGAAAGGTGGGAGGGGGTCGCAACTCCCGCATCGCATGAAACACCTCGCAAGGTATAATAGGGATAAAGCATCCCCGCCTCCCACCCACCCCACCTGCTCCGGCTGCACCACGTATCCCGCCATTATGTTCTTGGCCGCCTCCACCGCCGAGGACAGCACGGCGTCAACTCGGGAGCTGAGAACCTGGGGGGGGAGGGAGGAGGGTATGAGGAGAATGGAGAAGCTAGGATAGTTTCAACACGGTTACGCAGTACAAACAGTTCACCAACTAGTAAGCACGTGCCCAGCAGACGAATAAGGTCTATAATCTAGGGAGCGCTGGCAACGGTTTGTGTGTCACGAAGACATCCAAAAGCTCCTCTGCAATCCAACCACCAACCACCAACCCCTCCTCCTCTCCTCTCCCATTTCCCCTCTCCCCCCTCTCGCCCCCCCACCTGCGGCGGCCCCAGCTCGGGGAAGCTGCCCGGGTATGGTTCCGGCGCCGCCACCGCCGCCCCCTCCTCCAGCTCCAGCGATGCGATCAGGTCGCCCGCCGCCACCACCCCGCCCTCGGGCACCACCCAGCGCAGGGTGCCGGAGGCGGGGGACAGCAGCGGCATAACCATCTTCATGACCTGGGGGCGGGAGGCGGGGGGGAGGGGGGGAGGAGGTGGGAGGTTAGGAGCAGGTCAGCGGGAGGCGTTCAGAGCCCACATGCGCCCACCCCAGATGGGAGATGGCACATGCACCCCCCTTTCACCACCTCGCCCTCCCTCAGCACCCCCACTGCCACCCACCGCACCCCTAGGGGACCACCTTCGCCACTCAACCCTCCTGGTGTACCCGCCCCCCTCCTCACCTCCCCCACCCAACTAACCCTCTCCCACCCAACTAAGCACCCCCCTCCCCACCCCTCCTCACCTCCATCTCCGCGTACGGCTGGTCCCGCTCCACCCTGGCTCCCCCCGGCAGCAGCCTCCGCACCAGCTTGCCGGGCGAGGAGGCGGTGAGGCGCGAGGGGTCCTTCTCCGCCGCCAGCAGCACCGTCAGCCCGTTGATCAGCAGCCGGGTGCCCGCAGCCTCGTCCTCCACGTGAACCACGTGAGACTCGCCGTCAACCTGGCAGGGGGGGGAGGGGGGGTGCAATGTTTATGTGAATGTAGTGTTCATGTCGCAACGATTTGTACGGGTGATAGGGGTCTTTGTCCCTTGAGCCGCAGCAGAGCCTTCCTGCACCGTACACGCCCCTCCTCCCTACCCACAGTCAAGACGGTGATGCGCTACCTCTTTCTCCACATTTTTCCACCTCCCCTCAAAAACCCCTACCCCACCCCGCACCTGCAGCAGGTATCCCCCGTCCCCCATCTTGCGGTACGCCACGTCCACACTGCTGCCGTTGAGCTGCACCGCCGCCAGCCCCACACCCCGCCGCACCAGCACCACACTGTACTTGAAGCCCTCGATGACCTGGGGGGGGAGGGGGGGCCGGAGGGGTGGGGAGGTAGGGCCAAACATGCAGGGGGCAGCGGCAACCGAAGCCTCGTTCAGGAGCACCAATCGCTAGGGATTCGTGAACAGCGCCTCAAAGGGTGCCCCCAAACGCCCCCCTCCCAACCCCCCCACCATGCTGTGCTCCATGCGCGTGAGGCTGATCCCCGGTGGCGGCAGCTGCCCCTTGGCCAGGTAGCCCAGGTACTCGGAGCTGGCGGCGGCAACTGCGGCAGCGGACTTGACGACAGCGCCTGGGAAGGAGGGGTGGTGGGTGGGTGGGGGAGTTAGGGTAGGGGTCTCCAACATAACCTCCGACCTACAAGATGCGGTCTGCTAATAGTGTAACCGCCGGAAAGCAAAGCATGATCTCTGACCCACCAACATGGTGAGATGGTGGTAAGTACATAGTGGGGCACGACAAATGGCACGATATAAGTCCTTCCAACTGGCCCATAAAGGCGAGGATGCAGCCCCTCCCCCCTCCCTTCCCCCTCCTTCTGGGGGGTGGGATGGGCCGGGTCCAATGTAGCAAAACCCATGGCCAAGCCTCGTCATGCAGCTCGTTGGTTTCCTCCCTCCCCGCCCCCTCCCTGCCCCCCTCACCCGCAATCACGCTGATGTGCCAGGGTGGCCGCCCCGGCTTCACGCGTGCCGCGATCCTGCTGTCCAGCCAGCCCGTGTGGATGTTGTTGCCGGTCAGCTCGGACGTGGTGATGAGGTCGAGCACGTAGTCGGTGGTGGTGCGGATCTCCCCCCGCACCGTCAGGCAGTCGCGCAGGGCGGCGGCCATGGCGCGCAGGGCGGCCTCGCGGGTGTCGCCGCGGGCAAACAGGTGGCCGAACTGGGGGGGGGCAGGGGAGATGAATAGGAATAAATAATTATATTCCGCATAACGCTGGATTATAGGATTGCTCTTCCCCCCCACCCACCTGCGAGTCGCTGTACTGGTGGATGCCGCCTCCGCTCTTCACGCTGAAGTAGCCCCACACATCCGGGGTGGGTCGGAAGTGCAGCTCGTCAATCCGCCCCGCAGTGGGCTTGAAGCCGTCCGCCGCGTCCTCCGCCGTCACACGCACCGCCACCACGTGGCCCTCGGGCTCGCGCTGCGGGGTGGTTTCGGGGTCGAAGGGCTCGGACGACTTGGGGTCCTTGCCGTACAGGCTGCGGATTTGCGGGATGCGGGTGAGGGGCACGCCCATGCCGATCAGCAGCTGGCAGGCGGGCAGGTTGACCCCCGTGATGCCCTCCGTGACGGGGTGCTCAACCTGGGGGGGGGGGGAGGAGGGGGTGAGTGTGCTAAAACAAACAGTCCGCAAGGAGGAACGTACTGGACTGTGTGTGAGGGTGGGTCGAGATGCAAATACCATGACGCCTATATGTAACTAAACGCACTCTCCAGGGGCTGAGATGGCACATGCTTCCCCTGCTTACTGAGCAGCAGCAGTACGAACAAGCACGTCACCTCCCCACCACCCACCCCCCCACCACCACCCCCTACCTGCAGCCGCGGGTTCAGCTCCAGGAAGTAGTACTTGGCCTCCTCGATGCAGTACAGGTACTCCACGGTGGCGGCGCCCACGTAGCCCACCAGGCGGGCAAGAGCGCGGGCGCAGCGCTCCATGTCGCGCAGGACGGACTGGGGGGGGGAGAGGGAGGAGGGGCGGGGGGGGGCGTGAGGGGAGGGGGAAGAGGTGAGAAGCAGGGGGGTTGAGGTCGCCTGCAGGACTGAGCCGCAGTAAATTAATACCCATCCAGATGACCCCCCACCAGCCCCCACTACCACCCCCAGTCGCCCCGCCCCCTCCCACTACCACCCCCAGCCTCCTTCTCCCCCCCACCTGCGGTGCCGCGGTGACGGGCCCCTCCTCCACGATCTTCTGGTGGCGCCGCTGCACGGAGCAGTCGCGGGAGAAGAGGCTCACCACGTTGCCCTGGGGGGGGGAGGAACAGGGGAGGGATGGCGGGAGGCAGGGGTTGCGGACAGTGGCGAACATGAGGGCCTGAGAATGAGGAATGGACACATTTCCGACTTTGCCTTGCGCCCCGTACGCACCCACGCGGTATTCCCCCACCCTTTCCCTTACCCTTCTCCAACCCCGCAGCCCGTTGCGCAGAACCCGCCACCCCCTCCCCCCAGCCCCCCCTCAGATTCCTCGTCCGTTTCCTCACCTCCCCCCCAGCCCCCCCTTCCCTTCCCCCTCACATGCATGTCGCACAGCAGCTGCACCTCCAGGTGTCGCGAGGCGGGCGCCAGCTTCATTGCAAAGATGGGGCTGCCCGGCACCTCGCCCGCCACCTGCTTGAACACGGAGCGAACCTCCTCGTCGCTGCAAACCTGGGGGGGGGGAGGGGGTGAGGGAGGGGGGAGGTGAGGGAGGAAAATTATAAAAATTATAATACTGAAGTCCCAGTCCCATATCCCGACTCATGCAGGGGAGGGAGGGGTGTTTCGGGGATATGAGGAAGACAGGAAGCACGCGCCTCCTCATCGCTGCACTCCGCCTGCATGAAGAGGCCACCCAAGGAGACATCTGCAGGCTCCATACCGCAACTCGCTGCTAAACTCCATTACACCACCTTGCTATTCCTTCTGAATCAAAAAACCAGAGCTCCTCCCCTTTCTGTTCTCTGTCCTTCACCCCTCCATCCTGCCTAGCCTGTTGCCCTTCCCTGCCTCGGTTCCACCTAGTCTCCTGCTCTTCCAACCTTGTCCCCTCCCTCCCTTTCCCTCCCCTTCCTCACCTTCCGAATCCCCTTGCCGCCGCCCCCCCACGACGCCTTGAGCATCACCGGGTAGCCCACCTCCCTGCACGCCCCCACCGCCGCCTCCACATCGTCCACCGGGATGCACGCCGCGTTGTAGGTGGCGGGCGGGATGACGCCGCCGCTGCAGTCCTCCACCGACACGCGCACGCCGCTGCCGGACCAGGGCAGGGTGGGCACTCCGGCAGCCTGGGCGAGCAGCGTGGAGCCGACCTGGGGGGGAGGCAGGGGGTGGGGAGAGAGGTGGGGCGGCGCGGGCGGAATTAGGCAGGCGAGGTTCTTGAGCTTGCTGTATCGGGGCCCGCAGATTTACAAACACGCACGCCACTCCAGCAGGCACTCTCATGCACAGGTCTCCCGCCCCGCCCCACCTTGTCCCCCAGTGCCGCCATGGGCCCCGCGGGCGGCCCCAGGAAGCGGATGCCGTACTGCGCCAGCGCGGTGGGCAGCTCGGGGTTCTCGGAGGCGTGGCCCCTTTGGGGGGAGGGGAGGGAAGGGAGGGGGAGGGAGGGGGAAGGAGGGGAGGAGGGGGGGGTCGAAGAAATCGTGGGGGCAAGACAAATTGGAAGAAGACGATGGTGGGGGATGCAGTCTCTCCGGTGCACTCGCCGTTCCCCTTCTACCCGAGAGGCGGCAACCCCCAACCACACGCACGCCCTTCCCCCCGCCATGTCTGCTGCCCTCTCCGCCCCTAACCCACCATCCGCGGCTCAGTTTATCTAATCCCGCCCCCCCCCTGCCCCCACCCCCCACCCACCATCCCGGCCACACCGCGTCCACCCCCGCCCGCAGCGCGATCTGCACGATCAGCCCCACGTTGGCGTAGTTGTTGTTGTTGGTGCCGCCGGGGACCTGTGGGGGGGGAGGGGGAGGGGAAGAGGGGGAGGGGGAGGCAGAAGGTGGGGGAAGCAGGTTGGGGAGCCAAGGCACACCGAGGGGTGCATGTGGGACCAGGGGTGCGGACATTCATCATCTTGTCTCTGAACATACTCCTTTCTTCTTGTGTTGACCCGACCAGCCGAACCCCCACTGGCCCCTCCTCCTCCCTCCCCTCTCCGCTCTCCCTCATCCTCCTTCCCTATCAATCAACGCATGGTTCTGCCTCCTCCTTCCCCCCGCCACCCCTCCTCCTCAGTTGCCCGTCAGTTGCCACGTCAGTTCCCTTCCCCCATTCACCCCCCCACCCCTCCCCACCCCCCGCCCCCCCCCCACCTCCACGAACTGGTCCGCCAGGCTGATGTGCTCCGCGTTCACCCGCATGTCGTCCGGGGTGGCCAGCGCCACCAGGCTCACCCCCCGCGGGGCGCCCAGCGTCTGGGAGGACCAGGAGCGCACGGAGCGCATGAACTTGACAGCGGCCAGCCCGTTGTTGGCAACCAGCACACTGGGGGGGGGATGGTGGGAAGAAGCGCGGAGGGAGGGAGGAGATGTACGTGAGGGTGAAGCAGGGTGGAGAGGAACCCACCCTCCAAAACGCTCGGAGGAACTTAACCCCAACCTCCGGAGGAACACACCCACCACCAGTTTTCTTATTCCCCCCTCCCACCTGTACACCGGCTTGTCGCCCCCAGCTCCGCCACCAGCTCCTCCAGCTGCTTGGACAGCGAGGGGATGCGGCGGGGGGCGCCCGAGCCGCGAGCCCGGGGGGCGCCCGACAGGCCCGAGGGCTGGCTTGCGAGGGAGGAGGAGAAGGAGGTGAGCGAGGGGAAGGCGGGCAGCTGGGAGGAGGGCGCGGCGCTGCGGGGAGGGAGGGGTGGGGCGGGGAGGAGAGGGGGAAGGGATGGAGGGTGAGTGTGAGCGATTACGGTAGTAAACAGGTGGGCAGTCAAGATACGAACAAGGGTGCAGAAATAAGGTACAGGTGCAGGGACGCAAGCGGTGCTTGGAAGCGGCCTTTGTTAGGAACGGAGCTGCGCGCTGTCATGCGGGGGCATCGCACGGCAAGACCCGTTTGGCGTGCTTCTGCGTGTGTGTCCTACCAGACCGACAGGCCCGAGGAGCCGGAGCCGGTCCGCAGCTGCTGCAGCAGTTGTTGTTGTTGCTGCTGGTGAAAGGGCGATGATTGCAATAACGGATTTCCGCTGGCCGAGGCTGGGGGTTGCTGCTGTTGCTGCGTGCTAGGGGTGGGCTGCCTTGAAAGAAAGAGGGAGGCCGGAGGCTGTTGCTTTGTCGGCTGCTGGACTTTCGCGGCCTGCGTTTGTGGGGAGGCTGTTGCTGATGGTTCTTGTTTTGTTGGCTGCTGTTGCTGCTGTGCTGGTGGTGGTGGCGGTGGTGGCGTTTTGGGTGGTAGCAGCATGACTAACGCGGCAGTAGCACCGGCAGCAGCTGCAGCTGCGCCCAGGTGAGAAGCTTGGAAGCAGAGCAGCAGCAGCCGCAGCGGCAGCTTCAGCAGCAGCAGGCGCATGGGAGCCAGGTTGCGTAGCAGCCAGAGGAGTGGGAGGAGGAGGAGGAGAATACGGAGGAGGAGCGCGGGCGGCGTGCCAGTGGATGTTGATGGTGCTGTTGTTGTGGACGTCATAGTGGTGGGGCGTTGGGCACGTAGGGTCGCATTTGTGGGGGTGCTACTGTTAGAGGTAGGGTTGGCAGTTGTGTTGGCATCGGTGCTGGCAACGTTGTTGTTATCGATGGTTCGGCTGCTTCGGCTGCCGTTGTCAACGGGGGTACTGCAGGAACGTGTTATACTGCACCGTGTGATAAGGTGAGGCATGTGCAGAGTGTTGTTGTGGATGAAGGTGAAGGGGTCGGGTGCAACGCGGGCCTCAGCCTACTGGAGGCGAGTATTGTAAGATTTAAAAAAATGCAAGCAGAGTTGGGCATGCCGTGCGCTCGATTAGACACACGCCAATTGCAGCCAATGTTCAAAAGATTTTACAGCATATGCGTTTTAATGTTAGGTGCAGCAATAGACTTGGACAGGGGCGTTACGAGCAAGGTGTGTTGATGGTTTGGTTTGATGGACGAAGGGCTTCGGACGAAGGGACAGCCCGCCCTTGGACGGCGAGCACGTGCGGGCCCACGGGACGGACCGGCTTGGAAAACTAGGGGATACAACGCAGCTTCCTGTCTCATAAGACAAGGCCCCTTCAGCCGGGGCATCACTTGTAGCTTACCCGTCTCCTGGCGTCGTCATCCGTGGGGGAATGCCGCTGGTGACCGTCGATGCGCCTCCATCATCAGGTCGCACGTCGCCGTTCATGGTACCCGGTTGCTATTAGTCCAGCGTTTAAGAGTGCTGTGGAAGATAAATGGTTGTTAAAGGCGCAAGTTGAAGGCCACAAACTGCGAAATTTAATCCTGGCTGCGCAACCTAGGTGGTCTCCATAGCAGCTATGCGGGAAAAGCCGTCTATGAGTTCGTGAGGAGTTAGGTATATGTACGTTCAAACTGTATGTGTGATTAGTCAATTGGAGCCAAGGGTTGAGTAGAATTGCGCGGGAGGTCGTGCGCTGTCTTGGACGGGTTGAGTCGTAGCGTCCGCCTCTGGATCGAGCGTGAAAGGTATCCAATTTAAACCCCCTATTGTAAGATCTGTGTTGATGCAGTATATAAGCAGACAGGATAACCTTCGCCAACTTCGCCTAAGCGGACATACCGTACTGTACAAGGTTTCGCCCCTTACGGTCTGCGAACTCAGTTACAAGATCGAAAGTGCGCCGTCGGGCAATATAGTATGCGAAAAGTTGACAATGTACCTGTATTGGTGACAAAAATAAGGGTTGCTTGCACATCCGTAATTAAAGTAAACGTAACCTGCGTATCGCCCCGTTGGCTTGGAAAACCAAATGGGCACTTTTAATGAAACGGATTTACGTTCGGTAATCTGCAGCAGACGCAACCCTGGCAAGGATGGTTGCGCAAGGATTGCGGTCCTGCAGCGCTACTCAAACCACAGCAGCCATGTGCGTGAGTGGATCATGTATGTTACAAAGCTGCATGACTGCTCAAGCAGATAGCGTAAACTTCAGACGGGCCCACGGGCCTCCCGGCCAGTCAGCTGGTCCGTCATTCAACGGCAACACAGTCAGCTGCAAACCAGATTTGGTGGTCACAGTACAGGAAGTACACTGCCGAAGTACATATGCCGCGTTGTGGGAAACTTTACATAGCTCAGTTTGAGGAAGGACATTTACGAAAACAACCAACGATGGTCAACAATCGCTCCCAAGCCTTTGACTTAAACCCCTTGCTTCAGCTGCTTTGCAACGAGGACATGCCAAACGCCTAGGTTGCGTTTCCGCATACGATTGCTTGATAACCATGTCTTGAGCGCTGCTTAGTTTGCCTCCTCCGTCCTCCGTTCAATCTTCAAGCCCATACCGTTGCCGTGACCAATTGACTTCCTTAGGTGAGTCCCTATGACCCAGACCGCCACAGCGACTCCCGAAGCAAACCCTCCAGAGCGTCTATCTACAGCGTTTCTGGGTCAGTTAACCTACCGGTATGAGGGGTAAACGATCGGAGGCCTGTGCGACTCACTATCTATTCAGGCTATGCCAACAAAAGATGTAATGCCTAAGCCGCTGATGACTGCTGCAATAGCCAGCAACTTACGCACGCGGCGCGCATGGCACACCTAGGGTTCAGGACCTTACTAAGCCGACCTTTCGCCTCCCCGACGGCCAGAAGCTTGCTAAACTTCTGATGCAACAGCCAAACGTTTCACGCCTTAATATACCTTCTAAGCCAGATCCGACTAAGGAACAAACCCAACCTCATCCTCCTTCTCCGCTTTTTCTCCACCTCTTCTCGGTCTTGTCCAACACCTTCAGGCACATCTTGCGTCATGTCCAACGCCTATACAACCGCCAGCCGGAGCGACGGCGCCAGTCGTAGCGGCTCCATGAGTGCTCCTTCTCCGCTGCTGAGCCAAGAGCCCCCCAGCCCAAACCCCCCCTGCCACCGCGACATGAAAGCAGCAGCAGCGCTCGCTGTCGGAAGCCCCGCGGCCCCGTGGGAGGCACTCCTCAACACATCGCCTGTTGCTGCTGAATGGCCGTCTGGTTGCCTACAAGACACGTTTGCAGAAGGAGAGAAACAAGAAGAACAAGAGGAAATGGAAGGCCGGCAAGCAGGACAACAGCCATGTGCGGCCCTCCCTGACGAACAGAGGAATCAACACGGCGATCAGCTCGGCCCCGCTGGTGAGACCCCCTGTGAGGCCAAACAACAACAACAGCGGCAGCAGCAGCAGCAGCCTCCCAGCGATACCGAGCGGATCAGGGAGCAAGCCGCAGGTCTGCTGCCGCTACCCGATCGGAACACCCTGCGTCAGCGGCGTCGCAGCAGCGCCGGCGCCAGCATGCAAGGCGGCGAAGCGGCCGCAGAGCATGGAGCCGCGGTTCCCAGCCAGCTGGACCCGGCTCTTCCTCTTCCTCTTCCTTTGGCGGCGGCGGCGGCGGGGGTTCCTTCATCCGCCCCGACGCCTACTGCGACGGATGCTGCTGCCGCCGCCACCGTGGCGGCGGTGATGGGTACGACGGCGCTTGCCGCCGCCGCCGCCAGTGGCGGCGCCGCCACGCCGACGACGGCGGCGGAGCTGACGGCGGTGGCGGTGTCATCGACGGCAGCGGCGGCGGCGGCGCTGACAGCTGCCGCCGCGCTGACGGATTTGGCATTGACGGAGGCCAAGGATGCGGGCGACAGCAGCGGCGTTAGCGCGAGTAGCAATGCCATGACTCTTAGCACTAACAGCAGCAACAGCACGCAAGCCAAGGGCGTTAGCAGCGGTATTGGCAGCGGCGAAAGCAGCGGCCGTATTCGGGGGAGCGTTTCATTGTACCGGTCGCCTCTGCACACCGTGGCGCTGAGTCTGAAGGTGAATGAGAAGGGGCATGAGCGCATGACGGAATGTAGAAACGCGGATCATGCTTGTTTGGGCTGGTTCGTCTTATCACTGAGATGCGGTCTTCAGGACTGGTTTGTGTGTAGCTGTGCCAAAATGCTGTTCCGGAGGGGGGGAACGGGAAGCTGTGCATGTGGCCTGGCCTAGCTGCATGGAAATGATGCGGCAATACCCCTTTCTCACGATCCGCCTGCTACGCTGTTTTTAAGCACCGAGTTTCAAAAACCGTGCCCTGTGCAGGTGAAGCAGTTTGGCGGAATGACGTTTCCGCAGGCCTGCTCAGCGCTACAACTAGCGGCGGTGGAGGCGGCGGAGGCGGCCTTCGGGCAGCGACGCCTCCAGCAGCGCGAACGCCTGTACGAGCCGTACGGACGTGCCGAGGGCACCGCGCAGGCGGCCCCCGGTGCTGCCTCGTTTAGCGGCGGCAGCGTTGACGTCAGCGGCGTCATCCGTAGCGGCGACGGAGGCGGGATCCCGTACAGCATGCACATCCTGACGCTTCCGGGCTGCGTGCATTTGGTGATGTACATTAGGGCGCCGGGCGCGACGGATGGTGAACCGCCGGCGGCGGCGGAAGGTACCGGCCGTGGGTGGAGGCGGGCGGAGGGGCAAGGCAGGGCACCGGCGTCGTCGTCGTCGGAGCTTGTACGGCATGGTATGCGGCTTGCGCGGCAACTGGCGCTCAGTCTTGAGGCTGCCGTCAGCAGCGTAGTACATGGCTGGGCGGTACGTAGGAGGGGGCCGGTGGCGCCGCCGCCGCCACAGCCACAGCCCCTGCCTCCGCCGCTACAGCCACAGCCGCTGCCGATTGAGCCTGAGCCTCTGAACCCACCGGTCTTGCCGTCCCAAACGGAAATTGAAGACGCAGCAGAGTCGTCGGGGGCGATGGCCAGTTTCCTGCATGCACCGCCGCTGGAGAACCCGCCGTCGCCGCACGGGTCGCCGCTGGAAGACATGCTGTCACCCTTCCACGAAACACGCGCACAGGCTGCTGAGGAGGGAGGCCTGGGATCGATGGTGCCGGGCCTGGGCGGCTCTCAGGTGCTCCCAAGTCCTCCCTCAGCCGCTTCCGACGCAGGGTACGGCTGGTGGCAGGGCACGGAGGCGGATCGTACCGCGCTACCGTCGCCGCCGCCGATACTGCCGCGTGTTCGCGTGGCGGCGCCACTACCGCCGTCGTCGTCGTCGCGGCTTTCGTACGGCCCCTCAGGAGCCTTCGCCGCCGCCGGCGCCTTCTGCGCAACTCCCGCAACCGTCGCAACGACACTGAACACAAGCTTTGCCGGCAGCCTTCGGGGCGGCGGCGGCAGCATGTTCGGGAACCTCAGCGGCAGCGGCCTGTACGGCAGTGAGTACGGCAGCGGCGCTCTGGGCAGCGGCAGCGGCGGCGTTACCAGCAGCAGCGGCGGAATGACCAGCATGAGCGGAGGGCACGCCTTTCCAAGCGGTACCATCGGCAGCGGCGGCGTCCTCAGTGCAAGCAGCCTCGCCAGCGGCAGCGGCCGCCCAGCCGCCACCGCCTTGCCGTCGGCGAGTCTCGCCGAAGGCACCGTCGTACACCTACCGCCGCCGCCGCCGCTGCCGCCGCCGCCGGTGCGGCCGCAGCGCTTGCAGCTGATCCGTGAGGGCCAGGAATGGCAAGAGGTACCGCCAAGCGACTGGCATGGGATGCGCCGGCGGCAGTCGTCGCTGCAGCCATTTCTGCTGCCGGGCATTGAAGAAGCAAACACGAGCGGCAGCTATGGCAGCGCAGGGGAGGGCGAAACTGCATCAGCGGAGGAGGCTGAGCGCGTCTTAATCGCCGCATGGGAGGAGGCGGCAGCGGAGGCGGATGCTGTGGCGGAGGCGGCGGCAGCGCTGGCGCCGCCACCGCCGCCGGAGCCGGAGGGACCTCGCCCTTTGCTTGCGTACTTGGACCCGCCGGTTGTTACCGTAAGCGGCGGCGGCGGCGCCGCTGGTGCTCCTGGTTTCACCGACCTGAAGATCTTCCGTGTCGTCAACGGTCGCCAGGGTGGCGGCGGAAGGGACGCATCAGCGGCTGCTGCTGCTGCCGCCGGCGCCGCTGCAATGGAGGGTCCCAGCGGCAGAGATGCCGTGTCCGAGAGTCTTGGCGGAGCGTCGACAGAGCAGGGAGGGCTGCTGCAGCGAGGGGTGCGGGGGCGGCAGCAACAGGAGGCGCATGTGCGGGTGATTGTGGTACAGGAGGGCAGGGTGGTGGTAGATGAGGAGCTTGCCGTCGGGCTGGAGGCCGCGGCAGCGGCGGCAGCAGCAGAGGAGGCTGAGATGGGCCAAGAGGCAGCAGCGGCAGCGGTAACAGAGGAGGCTGAGGGACAGCAGGAGGAGATGGGATTGGTTGGTCGACCTCCCAAGTATGAGCCGTGCGGAAGCATGCGGTGAGGAGTGCGCAAAGAGTTGAAGGAGGGGCTGCTGTTGCACCTCGACATGCACCGCTATTGGGCTGCAGTTTCTACTCTGTACGATTGTTGTGGCCTTTGAAACAGCCATGTATGTTAACCATGTTGTATGCGTCCGGCAGCCCGCGTGCTGACCCCTAACCCGTTGGTGACCCAATTCTGGCCCCTCCTCCTCCTCCCTGCAGGCTGGACCTTCGGGGCCTGCAGGAGGGCGGCGCCTCGCTAATCGTCCTGCCACCGCCGCCAGCTGAGCCCATGCAACCGCCGCGACCAGCCAGCTGGCTAGCGCCGTTACAACGGCCGCCAATCGCCCAACCAACAGCACTGCTCCCGCCGCAGCCGCAGCCGCAGCCGCAGCTGCAGCCCTGCTACTGCCAGGAGGCCCTCCTGGCCATGCCGCTGCTTGTGGTTCCGGAGCCCGTGGCGGCGGAGCTGACAGAGGTGGCGAACGACATGGCGACGGCGGCAGCAGCAGCAGCCGCCAGCGGCGGCGGTGCTCGCATGGCTGCCGTACGACAACGGCCATTGCCGCCGCCGCCGGCGTCACTCACGGAGGAGTCCCAGTCCGGAACGGAAAGGAAGTCGGGAACGGAAACGGCTCCGGCCGGCCAATCAGCGGGGGTAGAATCTGGCACCGCAGCCCCTGTCATGCCAACGGCTGATGACCCATGGGTCCGTGCGACTGCGGCCCGCCGGCACCTCATTCCGCTGCTGGAGGACCTGGCGACCCTCATGGACCCAAGCGGCTTCCTCACCGCCCGCAGCACCCCCAGCGCTGCCACCGCCGCTGCTCCAGACATCACCCCAGCGGACAGCGGCGGTGAGGAGCCAGGCCCAGCTAGGGAGGCAGCAGCAGCAGCAGCTGGCCAAGACAGAAGCAGCAGGAGGGCACGTGGTATCGATGACGAGGCTGCCGTACGGGATCAGGCCGAAGTGTACGGCGGCGGCGGTGTTGGTACCGCTGTTGTGGTTCGGGGCAGCTTGCCGCCGGAGACGCGGCGACACCTGCGCGAGCACTTGATGCGCTATCTGGCGGCGAATGGAATGCAGGTGGGAAAACAGGGCATGGGGTTGTTCGACGTGCTAATGCGCCTGCCTTTACTTGTTGTTTGTCTTTGGCCATGGTTGGACTTGCCAGGCGACACAATCCATCACACTTGTAACAATCCATCACAATCCATGTTACAAGCACCCCTGCCTCACCCGCCCATCCGGCTCCGCCCCAATCAACCTCATTCTCCCACACAGGCCACCGCATCCTTCCTGGAGCGCACGGCTCCAGAACCTTCGGAGCACGACCCCGCACCCATCATGTAACCGCCTGTTATGGGGCACAGAAGTAGAGGAGAAGCGGAACGGAGAATGAGGTTTACAGAAGCTAAGGTGTGGGAGGGAGCGCGCCTCTCTTGGTTGTGCGTACGTTTGCCTCGGCACGGAATCCTACGTAATCCCGCGGTTACACTGGACGTGCTGGGTTCGTTGTTAAAGAATTGTTCTGCGGCTGGTTGGTTGGGGGTCGGCTTTGCAAGCTTGTTGCGCGTCACGAAGCAGAAGCGGTTGTGGGAACGTACGATTAACTTGAGTGAATGCGGGCAACCATAAGTACCGCCAGTGTACTATGGATCTGCGATACTGCGAAGTAGGATGCAATTTGTTTGATGTGCGTCATAATAATTCTCGCAGGTTAAGGGGATTTGGAAGCGGATGGACGGGTTGGCGGGCGCACCGATGCAGCCTGGCGCCTCTCCTCGTTGACTTTACTCTCCGACGCCTTTTGGACAGTATCGTGCCAAGTGCCGAGGCTGAGTTGTGCGTGCCAATGCACTGGGCTGTTGCATATAGAGCCAAATCATACGACGTTGTTTGAGCGGCGTATTCGTTGAGCACTGAACCACGGGTCCGAATCGATCGTCTTTAGGTCAGTAGCAGCGGTCGTGTAACACTGTCAAGCAATAGATGAATTAAAGTAGTGGTATTGTGTTGAACCATTTGTTGGAAACCTGCGCCAGTACACTGCATTGCGTGGGATAGGTGCTAGAAGGATGTAGAACATTGTCTAACTGATGCGTGCTGGTTGTGTTGGACTGTACTAGCAAACTTGTAGAAATCCTACTTATATACGAAATTATGGCCAGAACCGCTTTCCTCATTAGTTAGGTTCTTCGGCCTTCCACACCCACTTTTTACAAAGGGCGCCACAGTGCACTGTAATTACTGTCATTGCGGCAATACGAGTTGTCTAATATTCCTCATAGAGCGACGCCTTTTTTAACTGAACCCAAAGTAAAAAGGCTTCAAGGATGGGCAACCCAAACATCACCCAAGAGTTGGAGCGAACGAAAATCGACCTAAGCCATCAAGAGATGGATCGGTTAGTAACGGAGCTGGAGAACATCTGGGCGGCTTTTACGGTCAACGACGAAGGGCCAAGCGGAATCGAATGGCTGCCGGTGCAAGGCATCGCTGAAGCGCTGCGGGAGGACTTGGGCTATGAAGACATGGCAGAGTAAGCAAAACAATAATATAATCAGAATGAAGGGATTCTTGCAATCTTCCAGCTCAAGCGCCGCAGCGAGGTCGCCGACGCCGTCGCCAGCGTGCGGTTGTACGGAGCCCCTCTGCCAGTCCCACTCCCTGTCCAAAGTTCTCTCCCTGTCCTTCTCTGCCACCCCTGCTTGCTTATAAGTTCACCATCTGTGCTAGCGACATACCCATATGCCCAGTCCTGCGTCCCTAACCCCACACCCAAGCTTCACCCCGCACACAAAGGCTACCGCACGCTGGTGGCTGACACGCACGCCATACCCCTCCCCAACCCCCAAACACCTCCTCCAACACGCGCAGTGCAACGATAACCTCCAACGCCCATCGTTCCTACACCTTCGTGCGCCCTGCCCTCCCCCTCCTGCTGCGGCCCTCTCCCCCCACCCCCAGGTTCGAGGATGCGCTGGGCGGCTCCTTCGGCGACTTCCTGGACAAGCTGCCCCGCGTGGTGAAGAAGGAGCAGGAGGGGCGCGTGTACTTCCAGGTGGGCGGGGGGTTGGGGGGGGCGAGTAGGAGGGGGAGGACGATACCGGGGTTGGGGACGATGTCATGATGTGGTTCTTTTGGTCGACACGGACACGCACAGACATGTTGTAGAAGGAGTGATACGCCGGTGCGTACGGCACCCCGGTTCAATAATGCCCATGTGTGTTAAGGCCCTTGGCCCGCTTTCATTATCCTCCTCCCCGCTTCTTCCCCCATGCCTGCTCTTTGATAGCCCCCATCCACCTGACCCCCCTCCCCCCCCAACCTCCCCCCCTCCCCCCCAGATCACCCCCGAGCCCCCCCGCGACCAGTGGCGCGCCACCCGCCTCACGCTCACCGTGCAGAGCCGCGCAGACCTGTGGCGTGTGTGCCTCAAGTCGCCGCACGCGCGGGTGGAGATACCCGAGCTGGAGTTCGAGATATCCGCAGATGGTGGGTGGGGGGGTGGGGGGGTGGGGGGGTGGATGCCAGGACTGGGATGCCGTAGATGGGTGGGGGTGAGTGCGGCAGCTGGTGGCACATGGCGACATGGAGCAACAGGCAGCGAAGAGCCGGGGTGATGCCCACCCGCCTCAGCGCACGTGCACTCGCAGCTCGGTGGTTGCAACGGTACCGGCCTCCTGCGTCAGTCCGCTGGGTCCCCTACCTCTTAACCAGACACTGACAGTCTCCGGCTACTGAGAGCCCGGGATGCTGACACACAGCCCTTTCTTGGCCCGGCCCTCCCCCTCCCCCACCCGTCAGTTCCCCTATTTTTACCCCTCTCCCTCACCCGTGTTCTCCTCCCTCTCCCCCCCCGCTCTGCAGGCAAGAAGCACGTGGACTCCATTTACAACCACATAGCGCAGGTGGGGGGAGGAGGGGTTGAAGGGGGCAGAGGTTGGGGGTCTGACAAGGAAAGAAGGATGCCGCAAGGGTGGGCGGGCACCGGCAGTAATATAGCTGATCTGGGTCAGGAGAGCGGAGGGGGCGGAAGGTCAAGTGCGCGCGTGCACAGAGCCCCACACAGTGCTGTGTGGAGAAGAACAGGGAGTGAAGGATCCCCTTGCTCAACCCCTTCCCCCATAAATCTGTTAAAGTTACCTCCCCCATTCTGCCCCTAATGCGCTCCCTCCCTCCTCCCCTCCACTGTTTACACACATGATGACGCCTTATCACACGGTCAGTTAGTTTCTCTTTTCTCCCCACCCCTCCTCCCTTGCTTCACTTTTCACTTATTGTTTTCCCCTCCCTGCCCTCCCCCCCCCGCCCCCCAGTCCGTGTTTAACTTGGGCAACTACGTGAGCAGCAGCCGCGGCTCCCTCCCGCCCGACACCGCCACCCGCATCATGGAGACGGTGGAGGCGCTCAACGTGCTGCTGGACGTGGAGAAGCCCTGGACCTGGGTGGTGCACGACCCGTCGGGCACGTCGGAGCTGAAGCCGGCGGAGGGGGTGCTGGTGGATGAGGTGTGAGAGGAGGGGGTGCGGTTGTGGTGGTGGGTGAGAGGGGTGTGCGGTTGTGGGTGAGCTGTGGGAAGTGCGTGTGGAGGGGGTCGAGGGATTGAGTGGAGCACTGTGGGGGGAGTGGGTGGAGGAGGAGGAGGAGGGTTTGGCACGCACTGGTACGGCACGTATGCGCGATTGCGGCTGCCAGGGGCGAGATGCACTTGGGAGGAGGGTTTAGGTAGCAATGCGCGCGAGGGTTTACGTGTTCCTGGCGGAAAGCGGCACCACAGGACGGGGGCACGGTCGGGTAAGGTGACATCTGCTGGAAATGATGTGGTTGTTGCCGTGGCATGGGGCGGGGGTCGCCGTGATGGAGGGCTGGACGTGGACATGATGGCTGGGAGGGTGGAGGGAGCAGGGGGGGGATGCGGGGTGGCTTCGCGCCGCAGAGTGCAGGATGCCGGCTCAGCAGGCTAGGAGGGGCGCAAGGAGAGGGCAGGGCTGTTGATATCGGAGGAGGGTGGTGACTTTTGGGTTACATCTTACCGTATGTATCAGGTTTGTTGCTTGCGGTCCATGCAGGAGGTAGAAGGGGGGGGGGGTGTAGTTGACGATGCGGCGTTGTGTTGCGGAGCCGCAAGACGCACGCGGCTTGGTGTCCTGTTGGCCGCTATGTGAACAACGGCGCCGCATTTCTGTGGGGATGAGAGAGATGATTTATCGTATCCTGTGTGGGCCTTGTTGCCTTCTGGCAGCGTGCTTGGGTGTGATGTGGAAGGGCAGCCTGCAACACTTCTTTGCCCTGACCAAAACGGCAAAGCCGAAGCCGCACATGAGCTTGGTGTCGAAGCTTCATGATTGCGCTACTATTACCCTGAAGCGTCCTTGGCTGTTGGCCCTTGGTACTCGCATACCGGAATGTTCGCGAAAGGGTTGCATGGGCGTACAGCTCTTACCGCTACTCCGGTGATGCCAGCGTACTAGACGACAGCAGCATCATAGAAGCTGACAAAGGGTTACTCAGACCGACTCGTTAATCCTAAGCAGGAAGTTAGCGACAATGTTAGCTGCGTGACCTAAGAGGAATCAAAGTATCTACATTTCACAGGCATAGAGCACATCGGTGGTGTGCGGCATCGGAACATGTCGTACGTTTCATTGTGACGCCTTACGCGTTGCGCTGATGGCCTCTTCGTGACACCTTTTGGACCAGATGGGCACATAATCGAGGCAATGCTTTTTCTTTTATATCACTTGTCAATAGAAATGTTCTACATGTTAGGGCTCAATTCCCATGACTTTGCAAAACCAACTACACACAGTAGGTTGATAGGTTCATCCAACAAGTGTTGAGGCTCTTTCAGGGTAGCCTGCTAGGATGGGAATCATAAAAGGATGCTTCCGTCCATGTGGGCGGGAACCTGTCAATTCAGGGATAGCACCTCTGACAAGATCATCGGCTGCTCCTCCCATCATGGGTAAGAAGTTCAAATTTATGGCTTTTTTTGGAACATTTGCAGCATCTTATGGGGTTTCCAAAAAAGGACGTTGACAGCCGGCACACAGGCCCCTCAGCTCCCAAACCGAACACATCACGTCTTACCGCCTCCTTAAAAAACAGTCACATGTTTTTCTGAATCTACTCCTTTGATATACAGAGAGTTGCGCCTGCGAGGCCCTTACAAATACCGGTCCTGTCCGCATCCTGAGCATCGATACGCACCCATGGAGGGTAGCAAGCCTGCAGGTAGGACAAATTACGGTTATCACAGAGGAATATCTGCCGCTACGCTGTCTGCTGCGCTCTGCTCCAGTCCACTCTGTCGGGCATCCTCCAATATTTCCAATGTCCTCGTTTCATGCATCTCCCGGACCCCAGGATCAGCCACTCCTCTCCCAGATCAGCCCGAACTCGCTCACTCCCCTAACTTGGCTTGGCGAGGGCGCCTATGGCCGCGTGGAGCTCTGCCGTGTCGCGGTGCCTGTGCATGCTGAGCCGCAAGCCGAGGCAGTGCAGGACTGCCACGACGCGCACCTGGGCCAACACCCCAACGCCTCGACCCCAGACGCTGCTACCCGGCCCTCCAGCTCACTGCTCGGGTGCAGGCCTAGCCCTGGTGGTGTTAGCATCATCTCGCACAATGAACGCCTTACCACTGCGGAGCAGGATGAGGATGCGAAGGACCAGGATGCAGACGACTCGGACATGCCTCTTCCCCCGCTCCTCCCCAGCGCCAGTCCACGTGCCGAGGAGGCCGCAGCACGTCCGAACCGCTTCTCTGTCGCACGGCTACTTCCCTCTCGTGACCAGCCCCTCTTGCAGAGCTCCACCACACCTCATGCCGACTCAGTCACTAGCAGCCGCAAGCGACGCCAGGTTGGCGGAGCATTGGCGGTCTGCTCCTCTTTTCCGCTGTTCGGGAGCCGGCAACAGTCCTCAGTACAGCGATCGCAGTCACAGCCCCACGGGGCCGATAGCAAGAACGCTAGCGCAGTCGGGACACCCAACACCGCTGCTGGTCCTGTTGTAGCCAATTCAGCAGCCATCGGCGCAGCAGCAGTTCGCACCTCAACGCCAGCTTCTGTAACCGCAACCTCCACAAGTATAGCTCTAAGCTCTATCGTAGGCGCTGCATGGGCCCATAACGCCCCCAGCACTAATACCTCACTCGTGGGGGCGTCACAGGAGCTCCTAGCCACCCGCAGCACCGGGCTCAGTCCCGAGCACGGGGCGCGGCCCGTGTCCGCCTCGTCTACTGCCTCGCTCGCTTACAGTAACGAGCTAGTCGTGGCTGTAAAGCGCCTCGAATACCGCGACAGAGGCCAGGGCGGAGGTGGCAATGGTGCTGGCGGCAAGGGTCGGGGTCCCAGTCGCGCGCGGCTCAGTCGCATGCAGGCCATCGAGATGCTGCAGCTGTCTAGGTGCCGTGAGTGCCCCTTCATCGTGCGCGTGTTTGGCTGCGTCGACGACCCTCAGCCAGCACCGCTGCAGCATCGGGCAGGGGCGTCTCCGGAGGCACCGCGAGGCGGGGTGGCGGCGTCTCCGCCTTCGCCGCTGCGGACGAGGCAGTCCTCTGGGTCGAGATCATGCCGTATCGTGATGGAGTGGGCGGAAGGCGGCGACTTGGGCTCCCTGCTGCAGGTTAGGCGCTTCAACCTAGGACCATGAAACATGGATACACAGCACACAACCGACAACATGCATCCTGAACCGAGACGCCGACGCCATCCACCCAATGCCTACCGGCTGGCTGACTCTTATCCCTCCTCAGCTCACCACTGCTTCCCTAATTGCATGCCCTGTTCCTTACTAACACCGCTACATCGCTACCCGCAGACGCTTTCTGCTCGACGCGGCCCCTGCATGGACCCCTCCCGTGAGCGGCTGCTGATGAGTGAGGCCAGCGCGCGGTTCTACGTGGCGTGCCTGCTGGAGGCGCTCACCTTCCTGCACACCCGCGGACTGCTGCACAGGGGTGCGGGGATGACGTGGGGACATAGTGGAAGGGGTGTGTGCAGATGTGACGTGCATGCTGGCGGTCCCCAGGCTAGTGGCATTTCGCTAGCCCGCTGCTTTGTCAGGGCTTCACGCTGGTGCCATGCTCCTTGCCGCCCTCACGTGTCGTATCGCAGAATGTAAGGTCCTCGAAAGCAGCGTATGACCTCTTGTCCCTTTATGGCCCCCTTGCTTGCCACACGACAGATGTCAAGCCGGCTAACCTCCTGATCTCCTCGGACGGTCGCGCCAAGCTGGGGGACCTGGGCATGGTGTGCCACCTGGACAAGGAGGGATGCGCAGCGGGCAGGGCCGGCACACCCAACTACATGGTGAGAGACGCTGCATGGGGAGCTGCTTGGAGAGGTGTGTGGCCACTATCGCATTAGGAGCAGCACTGGATTGTGGCATGCATACAGCTGGGAAACGTCTTGGTGGAAATGGTTCTGGTAATGGGAGGGGACTAGAGACAAGAGACCTTGGGAAAGACCCCGCACGCATGGCGCTTGCATGTTTTGCCTTGGGGCCGCCCTGACACCATGTGGGTCGGCATCTCACCTGTCTTCTTGCACTATAACACAGGCACCCGAGGTGTGGGCGTACGGCAGTGGCCCCAAGTACCAGAGCTACGGCGTCACGGTGGACCTCTGGAGCGTCGGAGTCGTGCTGCATGAGCTGCTCACGGGGCACTTGCCGGGGGTGAGGAGTGGGGGCATCTGGGTCGGAGGTGACGGAGGCGTGCACCTGGGGTTCGGACTTGGCGGTCTTGGGAGGGAGGATTGCATGCGAAAGGGATGGCTATTCCCAGCACCAGCTGACCTGCCACACATCAGCCACCAATGAGTGAAGCTATTGCAACTATGGCAAGTCCAGATGCGGTCTAGTAACAAGTCCCTTTTCGCATCGTCCCCTTGTTTGCTCAGGGACCTCGTCCTTTTCTCTCCTGTCCTCTTCTCTCCTGTCCTCCCACCAGGCCCACCCCGACGAGTACCTCCGCCCCTCCTGGCGCTTCACTCCTCGGCACCCCGCCTTCAGCCCCGAACTGCGCGACCTCCTCTCCCGGCTGCTGTCGGTCAAGCCGCGCCGCAGACCGCAGTCATGCGCCCAAGTCGCTGCTCACCCCTGGTTTGCCGGCTTCAACTGGCAGGCACTGCGGGACGGCACCCTGCCTGCACCCTACGTGCCTGCCGCCCATCGGCCGCCTAGCTCTGGATCCGGCAACCTGCCACGGCCGCGTTCGTACTACTCGTCGGCCTCAACGGCTGCTGCAAGCATGCGGCGAGCGGTGGGCTGCAGCAGCAGCGGTTTGGGCGGCGGTGCGGAGCTGTTGATGCCGCCGCTGTTGGAGGAGTGCGGCGGCGGCCCTGGAAAGATGACTTCTGGTGCAGATACCGAAGCGAAGAGTAACGCCGTGCCTGTCATGGGAGGCTCCTCTTCACGGCGGGTGATGAGGTCGCTAACGCAGGGCAGCGGCACTCGGCTCGTCGATAGCGGTGGCATGGCTGATGGGGCAGCAGCACGGGGGCCCGTGCGGTCGTCTGTCCAAGCTGCTACAGCAGCAGCAGTGCTGACGTCAGCCTCCCAAGGTTCGGATCTCTGGTCTCGACCCTCTTGCCCCGCGTCGCCACAGGCCATGCGCCTGAGCTCTGCCGCAGCTGGAGGTCCGCCCTCTCATGTTGCGGATAGCTCTCCTGCAAACTCCTTTGTGCTGACCCGCTCTGCCTCCACTTGGTCGTCGGTTGCGGCTGCGGCTGCAAGGGGAACGTCCGCCGCAGCGGCGGAGCATGGTGCTGCTGCCGTACGTCCCCAGCGCGGCAGCTTTGATGTCCCCGTCGCCGTTGGTCGCCTTGTTGGAGGCGGTGAACATCACCACAGCAACGGCGTCGGTATGAGGGTCGCCGGTCGTTATGGTAGCAACAACAGCAGCAATTGCTCTGCAATCAATGAGGGCGGGTTGGGCCTCTTAGCGGCTGCTGCTGCCATGGTTTCGGGGCATGCTTCACCTGCAGCCCCTTCTTCGTGGCACGGAGAAGCAAACCTCTGCTCGTCCCCGGCTTGGTCGCTTGGAAGCGCTACCGTATGCAGGTTCCTGGGGCATTCTGCCCCGACCTCCGCCGCGGAGTCCACTGCAGCCACTCCTGCTACGGTTCCTACTACCTCCATCGCAGCCACCCGTGGCCTAACCACCCACAGCAACCTAACCGCTTCCAACCGGTCCGGTGACTACCCGAGCAATGGCGCCGCTGGTGCCTGTCCCTGCCCAGCTTGCAGCAGAGGCGAAGCAGCCGCTTCTGGGCTCCCTTGCATGTGCCGCCACAGCGGGCAGGGGCTGCGGCGGGGCAGCCTGGAGGCGTCTACAGAGTCCAACACCGCTGCTGCTGCGGCCGCCGGAGCCGCGCCGTGGCCACTGGCGCTGCTTGGCTGCGGCCCGTTTGGGCGCACTTGGATGGGCGGCCGTCCGCCTTCCCGCCGAGATGTGCCTGCCGCCCCAGTTCACGGTGGAGACAGCAAGCAGCCAAGGGTACCAAGGGTACCAGGTGGGAGCCGTGGTTTCCCTGGTAACACTCTTGGACCCGGACCCGTGGCTGCAGGTGGCGGCGCCGCGGCACCGCCCGCGGTGGCCTTCTCTTTGGTCCCAGCGCTGAGCTCCCTACAGCACCACATGCTGGGGTTGCGGCCGGTACTGGGGCTGGGGCTAGGTCTAGGGCCCATGGTGGGGCGAGCTGGCACTTGGGTGCAGCGGCGGCTGGCGGATGCAGCAACCGCAGCGGAAGCTGTGCCGGAGCAGCTGCAAACCGTCTTGGCAGCCATGGCTGCGGCAATGGGCACAGGCGGCGGCAGCAGCAGCGGACAAAAGGGAACGCCAACGTCCTCAGGCAGGGACACGGCAACAACACGCACTCGCAACCAACATCCTGGTGTTCGCCCCGCTTGCATGGCCAATGTTGTGGCAGCCTCCCAAGCCCAAAGCGAAGCTACATCCCTGCGCACGCAGCCATCCGAGCCCTCGTCCCTCAGAGTGCATCGCCGTAGCCCCTCAGTCGACCTGATCAGCAGCAACCCAATCGCCGACACGGACATGGCTACGTGCATGGGTGCGGAGGACCTCGGCACTGCTCGGCCGGTGCCCGCCGTCACCATCGCTCTGGCGGGTTCCATGTCGCCCCGTCCGCTGCCCGCTCGCCACGGGCACCGCCGCAACAGGTCGAGTCCCAGTGGCTGCACATCCTCTCTAGACACAGCTACAGCTACAGCGGTGGGTGCAGCCCCTTCCACTCTGGCAAACATCAGGGGCTATGCAAGCATGAGGCACCCCCTAGCCGACGAAGAGGGGGCAGAGGGTGAGGTAGTAAGGCCAGGAGCACCTGAGGGGGGGTCCACGCAGGGCCCGGCTGCTTGCAGCAGGAGCTCTTCCCTGGCCTCCGAATCCGTTGACCCACAGGGACAGGCAGCGCTGTCACAGGCGCCGTCGCTGACGGTACACGAGCTGACTACGATTGAGCAGGCCGAATGGGAGCAAGCTACTGGCGTTGTTGTGGTGCGGACCGTCACCGCCCATGCCTCTGGCGGCAGCAGCAGCGCTGCTACACGCACAGACGGCGGCTGTGCGGTGTCATCCAAGGCTGGCCCTCAAGACCGGGCTTTACCTCCCGTAAAAGGCAGGTTACCTGCGGAATCCTCCGGCACCGACTTTCCTAGCTTTCACCCACCCCAGCCGCAACCTGAGCCTGAGCCCAGACCGTGTCACAGGCCCAGTGACTCGTTTTGCACCGACATGCCAACCGCTTCAGGCTCCCAAAACCATGCCGAGGGCCACAGCAGCCCCTCGCACACAACCTCCACATCGGCCTACAGCAGGCGCAGCCAGAGGAGCCACAGCTTCAGCTTTGACGTGGAGGGCCTGCTGCCCGCTCAGGGGCGTGGCAGTCCGGCGGCAATGGTGGATCGCGGCAACAACAGCAGCAGTGGCAGTGTTGCCGCCGCTCCTCGGTTAGCGTCTACGGCTGCCGCTGCGGCGGCGATGGCACATGGTGCAACCCGGGGAGGACGTAGCGGCACAGAGGTGCATGCTGCTGCTGCCTCGTTGCGCAGCATGGCTGCAGCATCGACTGGGGACGGCAGGCCGCCGCTCTACAGGTTGAAGCCCTCGGGTCGGCAGTCGCAGAGAATGGCACATCTGGAAGCTGTGGCGGGGGCTGAAAGAAATGGCAGGGAGGACGGTTGGCTTGACGAGGGAGGTGCAGAGGCGCGCAGCAGCACTGCGTGTAGCCCGGAGGCGCAGCGGCGGCGGCTGCTGACCAGTGAGGATGTTGTTTTGCGGGTCTACGCAATGTGTGTTACGGTGCTGATGGCACTGCTTGCGGTGGCGTGGATGGCACCTCGTTGGCAGTTGAACGGTTGGCAAATGTGAGGCCGGCGAGGAGTACAGCAACAGCAGGAGTAGAGCTTCGTAGCATGGGGCGTCGATGCAGATTAGGAAGGGGCTTTGGGACCCGTATGCCGTGTCTTCGTATGCAGGTGTACACGTGGTCACTTGTAGTGCAGGGCGTGGCTCTTGGTGAGTTTGTGCTGCTGAAGAGACGTATAACGATGCATGTGGTGTGAACGCCGCTGTATTCTTTTGCTTGGTAACGCCATGTGGGCGGTTTGTCTGCCTTGAAGGTAAAGTCTCAGCTTCAGCGTGTTTTGGCCTCTCTATCACTTGTTTGACTGTGCATGCACTGCCCAGAAGTGTTCCATGTCGTCCGGGACAGCTCACGGGACGCCATTAGGATAGGACTGACGGCTCGTATGACTAAGTTAAGTGTCGTGTTATTACTTATTCGTGCTTGGCGACCCTCCTGCCAGCTTTCCGGTGATTGTCGTACACAAGACATGCAAATGTACATAGCGTGCAGGCCCAGCTGCAGTTTCATATGTATAGGGGCAGGGTTGCTCGGTGGTAGGCGACGCTTTGCATCACACTTGTCCCGTACATGAGCAACACGCCATGCTATCTACCGGTATTAGTCCGCGACATGTCGCTTTCTGTCGTAATACTAATACGTTCGGTCCCAAAGCTGTATGCTGGGGCGAACACGGATGCAATCTATTTATGCCGGTTCCGGTCTAGTTTAGGGTTGTACGGCCAATGTACGGCCAATGCTGGTAAAGATGATGGTGGTACTGCGGAGGGCCCTTTCGACAGGCAGGCACTTAACGGCCTGATAGGTTGCAACTGCCGTGAGCCGAGATTCGTGTCGTCATGCAGGACGTGCATGCGCGGCAATGGACGTATTGGCGTTTATTTTCAAGACTTGGTTCTGACCAGGAGGTCGTACCGCGTACGACAATTACGTTGCGATCGGCAGTACTTGTCTAATTTAAGACCTGCATGCTTACATGCAGTATGCATGTGCAAGAAACCGCTAGTGTTCCGCTACGGTATAGCTTGCTCTGTGTAGGGCCTCCGTCTTGAGGGTAGACCAACTTGTCCATCAGGACCGTCACAGCTCATAGGTCTTGATTATCCGGTATCTGTTGTCAACCAGGCATGGCTAACAACGTTGCTGTTAGCTTTACTGGACCTGTACCCCTTTGGCCACGTAACCAGAACTGCTCGGCGTGTCCCCTTTGTTCACGTGAGCCATGCTCTTAAAACATTGTGGGGGATGCAAAGCAAGGTTACAACTGCAACCGCACGGTAGCTTGAGGCCCGTGGGACGTGCATGCCATGCCACTGGAAACAGGTCAATTAGGTATTCCCGCATCGCTGCCACCCCCCTATCCGACAATGTGTAGAGGAAAGGGGCATAACCACACATCACCTGTTAATCAACTCGGGGGCGCATAGCGGCATCCACCACATTCTTACACAAGGAGAAAGGGCTTTGTGACTGCAAGCCTGTGGGAGAACCTCTCCAGACACGTAAGGATTAAGTAAATTTAAGCTTGCAATGGTTGACAAGCAGATGCCTCGGTAAGGAAACCAGCATGTAAACAGGCGTGACGTTATGTACGGCATGCAGTGAAGAAGCATTAAGCCAGGTCGTAAGCATATGAGGAGGTACTAAGCTGAAGTTCAAATATTTTGACTATTATGTTTCCTGCCTTCCGTGAACTGCCGTGCAGAATAGCGTCGTGCACCGTTCACGGCAAAAACGTGATCACTCTTATAAGTTTGATTTCCCACTGAAAAGTTCCGTCGTAGTCCTCTGGGAACTTGTCCCTTATACACGACACCCCGGCCTCCAAAATTAGTAGGGGTTTTAGAAGTTTGACGGAGCAAATGTCGGCGTTTCGCTTTTGCTGCTTTCCTGTTCGCATTCGCCGACGCCGCTGCAAAGAAGAAACGTCAAATAGGCTGGATAGGTTAAACGCCATTGCGTACCTGGAGGTAAGCCGCAAATTACATAGGTCAAGCGGACTTGCCAATCGCCGTCTCCTGCGAATAGAGTCTGTGATGGTAATTACAATTATTGACATCCTCATGTGTTCTATATTACGTGTGCAGTCGAATGAGGGGCGCACCGTCGACGCATACGGTGCATCGGCCGAGTCAGCAGGTGTGTCCCTCAACTAGTACCAGTATCATACAGGTACCATTTGAGCAATGTACATAAGTACACTAACAGCCATGCATCTTTAATGTATGCGCATGCCTTTTGGAGAAGCCTTTTCGTGCGAAAACCCACCCTCGATTGAATCAATAGGTTTATAAACTTTCGATGTCGCTTTGCTTGCCCAACAGGACGCGATCACAGCGCTACAAACGGTTTTTCCGACGTCGATGCTGGTGGATTGCCGCGACGCACTTTGTCAAGTAATTGTGTTAACGATGCTTGCGACAATGGCGCGCGGCCCTCAGCACTCAGCAACCATCAACAAACGCCTAAGGGTGCGGGGATGTTATCAAGTCTGAAACAACTTAGGATGAAAGCCTCTGGCGCCTCTGTTTCAGACGCGGTAGCTTGGCGGGACAACCAAGCAGCAAGTCCATCCATGTTGCCACCACCCAACCTGTCTCGCGGCACCTCGCTGCAAGGCCCGCCTTTCTGCCACTCCAGCACCTCACCTCCTGAATACAGTAGCCAAGGTTGCAGCAAAGTTCAGGCCGCGTCGACGTCGGGAACGTCGAAAATACCTAGCCTCCAAGCCCGCTGCTCTGCGCCTCAGCCTACCCCGACACATCCCTTGGCGCCGCCGTTGCCAAATAAGTCCAGGTCAATGGCAACAACAGCCGCTGCAGTAGCAGCTGCACCAGCTTCTCAGCTCCGTCCAGCCACAACGCCAGCTCAACAGCAGCAGCAGCACTTGCCTCGTCGCTCGCCCCCTCCCGTCATCGGCGCCAGCACCGCTGCCGCTGGCTCTTCCGAAGCCCCTCGAGGCGGTCAACCAGCACTGTCGGTACAACACCAAGGGCAGGCAAGAGGAGGGCCAATAATTCCGGACCTCCGTCCCTTGCGGATACCCTCGAAGCAGCAACGGCAGCAGCAGGACGCGCAGCAGAAACAACAGCAGCAGCCGCAAGAGTACTCTTACCTCACGGGTGCTGCCGTTGGCACCTCGGATGCTGGGGCCGGCGGCGGCAACGGCGGTGCAGCAGGTTGCGGCAGTCACTTCCTCACAGACCGTTGGGACCGTTGGGACCCTCCCACCCTGCTCCTGGGAAGCGATGCAACAAAAGAGACTGCGATGAGGGAATGGGCGAAATGTGGAGCAGGAGATGGAGTTGACCTAGGCGCCGCTGTCGGTGGCAGTGGCGGCGGCGATGGCAGTGCCGGCAATGTTGGCGATGCATGGAGGGAGGCGGAGGCGCGGCGGCTGAAGATCCAGGCAGCGGAGCAAGCGGAGTACGACAAGAGGGAGGAGGCTAAGGTCATGCGGTACAATGATGCTGAGATCTTGGACGAGTACGATAAGTACGATTTGGAAATAGATGACGCCATTGCGGATTGTACGGCAGCTTGGGTTGACAAGTCTGGCGAGTTTGCTGGTTGCTGCGACCCTGTTGACTTGGGTGGCGTCAACACGGCTAGCGATGCCGTACAGAACGCAGCAGCGGGATTGTCGGCGGCCGCGACGGCGGCCGCAGCAGCAGCAGCGACCCCGGTACCGAAGGCGGCTGAGGAAGATGACGACGGTCTTTTGGTTGCGGCATCGTCCCTGCAGTTGCCTTCACCGCTGCAGCAGCGGCCCTCATTGGGCGTCTCATCAAGCTCGAAGCTGCTCCGTAACGGCAATCATCTCCGTTCAAGTCGGATCTCGCCTGTCGCAGCGGCGATGCCACCGCCACCGCCGCCACCACCGCCGTCAGCAGCGGCACGAGAGCTCTGGCGTGGCGGCGGCGCCGGACAGTTGGCCCGTGCTAACCGAGCCGCAGCTGCAGCCATGCTCGTTACCCAGAGCCAGAAGAACGTTTCCAGCGCTAACAGCAGCAACCGCCTGAATGGCAACGGCGATAGTCGGCTCGGACAGACCCATGGGTCATCACAGCAGCAATGGCGCACAACCGCAGACGGTGGCGCCGCGGCTGGCGTAGCCCACACGGATCGAATGCGGCGCTGCGATACGGGCAGCGGTGGCGCTGCTACCAGTAGTCGCAACCTCGGCGGCGGCGTGAGCGGTGCTAGTGCCAACGGTAGCGGCGGCGGTGGCGGCGGCTGCCGCCCTGGCATGGCGGCAGTTGGAGCGGTTGGGGCGGTTGGCGTGTCTCGGAAGCAGTTGTTCCTGCGCAAGCAACAGCAGCTACAGCAGCAGCAGTTGAAGGAGGAGCAGCGCAACCCCCGCGGGATGACCAAGTCGGCGTCAGCTCGGGTGGTTGCGGGTGGGGGTCGCATGGCCTGATGTGGACCCTGAACGAGGCCGAACGTGAAGCTGTCTGAAGAGTAGGCGGGGCAGTTTGCGTGGAAAAGAAAAGACCGGAAAAGACGCGCTGATTGTGATCGAGCCATTGGTGGTGTATGCTACATGACATGGCAGGGAAGCCACTTGTAGGGGTAATCTGTGATGCTAACGAACTGGAAGGGCCATTGCCACGCCATAGCATGTGCACCGTCATACTTTGTGATGCCAGCGGTTTTGGCTTGTTAGTTGGGTGGATTTGGTCAACTAAGATGCGGATGGGTCAACCATACGCACATGTTTTGTTCCATGTCACACGTTAGGGCGTGACACCATGCAAACGTCGCTGCTTTCGGTCGGCATGGCTTGTGCATTTTCATGTAGCTTCGCGGGCTTGGGTACGGCAGGGTTGGTTGTCGTCCCCCGTTGTCTTCGTCTAGGGAAATGGTGGGCTATCTGTTCAACTAGCACGAGGGACACTTTGTTGGGTTTGTTGCTTTCTTGCACCATAGGAATTTCGTGAACAGCTCTTGGCAATCCGGTAGCCAGACTCTGACATGCGTACATGTGTGTTTGCAGGTTTGAGGGTCCTAAATTAGTGCTCCTTAAACAAGCGGTTTTAGTGTTGTGAGTGCAAGGCAGAGGCCGCTCGAAGCAAGGGGGCACCTGCCCTTGCCTTCACCGGCTTTGTGCGCGGTGCTGTGGCTCGAGAACAATAAACAGAAGCGAGGACGGCCACGAGTTGTAGGGTCGTGGAGTTGGAGTCCCGTACTATGTCTTCCTGTTGTTAATTGACGCCTTTCACTTTTGGTTGTTCCGCGCTGATTTGAGCATGGCAGGTATGAGGTGTTCCGCCTCACAATATGCAAGTCTGATGTGTTTCCCTATTCTACAGTTTTTTCATGGCTCGAACTGTATTTCTTTCTTTCTCCAAGCTGGCTTAATCGTTATGTGTAGCAGTAACACGTTGTGGGCAGCAGCTTTATGCGGCAGCAGGAGGTGTTGCGTTTCCAGCCTCTCGGGTTGCGCTCTCAGGAGTTGGTTAGCGTCATGTACTCATGTTGCCGTAACTGGCAAGGCGTACGGCAACTGGACCGTGTACGGGACACGCGAAAACGTGTTGGTGTACGTCTGATAGCCGTTGTTGATGGAATAAGGTTGAATCCAAAGAATTTCCAATGTGGCTCGCTTACACGTGAATTGCGTACTGGTCCCTTGCGTGTCCACTTGACGCGCAAAATGCGTAGGTTCTTCATTCTTTATCCCTGTCGAGTAATGAACTAAAGTTGCGCTTTGATTGATTGGAAACATCGTTGGGCGGGCACTGCGTGGACTCGGCAGCAGGCGTGTATCTCTGCACCTGTTAGCCTGTATGTTGGGAGGGTGGCTGGCTGGCTTCACCCGCAAAGTGTTGGGTGTCAACCGTTGTTGCACGGCACGGCACGGAGTAGAGCTTGTATAGAGGTCCGTGGCCTGATGAGTCTTGCGTGCGTGGGATGGGGAATCGGCCCCTATCGGCCTATCAAAACTTACTTAGCAAATGCATGTATCCCTGTGTATCCGTTGATTTGCCCCATTCTTCTCACACCAGAAGATGTCATAGTCAGGTCTTACAGACAGTAGCCCGTCAGCTTCTATCAGTGCAGCTCTGATGTCACAGCCGCGTCCATCTGGGCAGGTCGCCCACGGCCTTTCGGCAGTTGCAACTGTAAGAGCCTTTAACTATTAGCAGCATCGGTAAACAGTAGATAGCAAGCGGCTGCACACATGCACATGTGGCCACGAACAGCTGGAATCCAAGTAAGGATCCACTGGATCGCGATGGAACTCCTGGCAAATACATCCCATTTACTTTAAGCAAAAGCGTCTCAATACACTAACGTTCATTAGCTAACTTGCAAACGCTTCTTTATTTTTGGACACGTTGCTCCATCGTATTTGTGCGTCGTCCGCCCGCCCGCTGGCCAAGTCGCAATTAATTGTCTGTACTGTGGTTCAAGTTGTTAATAACTTTTTATACCCACTTTTCTGAAGCAGTCATCGAAACCTACAAATTGGCGACCAACTTATCTCATCTTTCGCGACGCCCTGGAGCATCACCCCTTTCCATAGTGCGATTCCAGGCAGGGAACTATAGGAGGATTTCGCCTGATCGATGCACGTCCCTACAAACCGGCCGCAATGCCGGTGTTCCCATGTACACACACGACGAGCTCCACTTAGGGCCAACCACAGCTTCAGCATCAGCCGTAGGCGGTCGCACTGCCAGACCTTCCTTCCCCGCACCATCACCGCTTGTGCCGCTGCCAGTAACACAACATCAGCGACCACCTCTAGCGGCGCCGGCCCTTGCAGCTGCATCACAACTGCAGCAGCAGCTGCTTCTACTGCTGGTGCAGCTGAGCTGCCTAACAACCACCAACGGCCGCCGGCACATCCGGAGCGTCAGCTCCGTACACCGCTACTGGACGCTGTACGGGATCGTGGAGACGCCGTACACGAGGCTCCTTTTCACGTGCCAGGACATAAGGTGGGGACGTTTGCCATGTACCGGTACGTACGCATGCTGGCATGCATGCACAACCGCACCCATACCGCTTCGGCGGTCCATTGTGGTACCGGTATACAGTTCCCATGGCCCCCGACCCTTTGGTGTCAATCCGCCCATGCAGCGCGGATCCGGAGCTCCTGAGGCCTTCATGCGGCTCGTACGACCGCCCCACGGGTCACTCCTGCAGTACGATCTAACGGAGATTGCAGGTGAGCTGCTGCTGGTCTGCTGCCGCCTCCTCTGATGGATCCTTCTTTGCGAGGCGCCTTTTCGTTGTAACCTCCGTCAACGCTTACTCACACCTTGCAAGGCTTGCATTACCCTCCTCCTCGAAGCCTACCAAGCTACCGTACTCCCCCCTCTCCTCGCTCCCTCGCAGGTCTGGACCTGCTCTCCTCCCCGAGCGGCCCCATCCGGGAGGCCCAGCTGCTGGCCGCGGAGGCCTTCGGAGCCGACCAGACCTGGTTCCTGGTGAACGGCTGCTCAGTGGGGATACATGCGGCAGTCATGGCTGTGACGACGGCGGCGGCGGCAGCGATGACGTCATCATCTAGTGGCAGCGGAGGCGGCAGCGGTGGTGATGGCGGTGTTGGCAGAGGCGGTGCAGGCGGAGGTACCGGAACTCTGTTAGTGGCTCGTAACTGCCATCTGTCGGCCTTCTCGGCAATGGTTTTGTCGGGTTGCGAGCCCTACTGGCTGCTGCCGGAGGTCGACCCACGGGTCGGTGTTGCGCATTGTGTGACCCCTGGGTCGGTCCAGGCGGCGCTGGAGGACGCTGCGGCGCAGGGTCGCAGGGTTGTGGGGGTGCTGGTGGTTTCGCCCACGTACTACGGAGCCGTGGCAGATGTGGAAGGTACGGGAAGGGTTCGGGATGAAGGAAGACAAGGAACACGTTGCAGACACAAAAACAAAAGCAGCTTCCTAATCCGTCGCTTCGCTTTGATCACCGGTGGTGGCCTGCTACGGACCTCAGTCCTGGACCCCACTCCGACAGCTCTTAAGTACATCTGGCTCTCCCTTGTGCCCTCCTTTCCGTGCTAATTATCGCCAACTAATACCAGTACGGCACATACTACATACCTGGTGTGGTGCACTCCCGGAAGGAAACCCTAACCCTCGTAACAATGATGCTTGCCGGCGTGTTTAATTCGACAGGTATCTCCCGCGTCTGCCACTTCTACGATGTACCCCTGCTAGTGGACGAGGCGCATGGCGGGCACTTCGCCTTCCTGCGTGACCCTCCAACTCCTGCTCCTGCTGCTGGCTCCCTGTCAGAACAAGAACAACACGTCGAACACCCGACACAAAGTCAACACCTGTCACAGCAGCAGCAGGAAGTGGGGCAACAGCAGCACCAGCCACTTTCCTCCGCCTGCATCTCCTCCCCCACCACCTCTCTCACCTCCCCCACCACTACCGCCCCCCGACTGTCGCTGCCCCGCTCGGCCCTGGCTTGCGGCGCGGATGTGGTCATCCAGTCCACCCATAAGGTGCTGGGGGCCATGACGCAGGTGAGTGTCTGGGGGGAGGGCGGCAGGAGGCGCAGCTGGGAAAGGGTTGGCTTCACACTGAATAGACATCAGGGTTCAGGAAGCTACCACGCCGTCCATTACCCGCCCTGCGCATCCATATCCTGACCCTCCCGGCCCTCTCGCTCCTCCCCCGTCCCCACTTTCAGGCCGCCATGCTGCACCTGCGTGGCCCACGGGTCAGTCCCGCGCGCCTCAGTCGCGCGCTGCAGACGCTGCAGAGCTCCTCGCCCTCCTATCCGCTGCTGGCCTCGCTGGATGGCGCCCGGGCGCAGGCGGCGGCGGGGGGAGCGTACGAGGAGGCCATGCGGGCGGCGAAGGTGCGGCGGAAGGGGATGGGAGGGGTTGGGGGTAAGGACTAAGGAGGAAGAGGCTACCGGTACCGGGGCTAGCGGGAGAAGAGGAGATTGCAAGCATGTGGCAGGGCTCCTCCATGGCAGGGGGGGATGTGCAACCGGTGATATGCTCCTCTGATCTTCCTCCCTGAGTGTGCAACCCTCTTTCATGACACGCACGACGCCCTAAAACAGCTGATCCGCTCCACCGTATCTCGAGACTGCCGCTTGCTGGAGATCTTGGACGAGCGTACGGCGGGCGCCAGTCTGGCTTCCGTACACGCCTTCGATCCGCTCCGTCTGACCCTTCTGGTGGACCGAGTAACGGCCGATGTTGAACCTGGCAGCGGCGGCGTTAGCAGTAGCATCGGCGATGGGGATCAGATTCGTGACGGTTTCGGAGCCGCCGAGTGGTTAGAGCGGCGACATGGTGTGGTTCCGGAGATGGCAACTGCCAAGGTGAGTACGGCACTGAGGACTGCTGTACTGCTGTTCGGCGTTTTCCCTGATCCAAGGAAAGCAGTACGGGACGTTTGGTACGGCAGGGTATGTTGTTATCTGTCGAAGGAGGGACTGTGGGTGTACATGTTTAATCCCTGAACATTCACATCAGATTGGTACTGACCATACGTGCACATAGTTCATGACCGCAAGCCGTCGCGAAAACCGGTGTATTCGTCCCTAACCTCTATCCGCTGCTCCCCTTGCCCTCGGTATCCTCGTTTCGTCTGTCGTAATTTTTGTACGGCGGCTCCGTACGGCACCTGGTGGTCCGTCGTACTGCATCATGCGCGCACCCCCAGACGGTCGTACTCGCTTTAGGCCCGGGTACAACCCTCCGACATGCCGAGATTGCGGCTGCTGCCATTCTGGTGGGTTTCTACGATTTCGTCACTTGTGTTTGGCAACAATGTTTCGCCACCGTATCTTGGGTGCCTGTTTAGGTATCTACCCGGTGTCCTGATCCGATGATCCCAGTTTCATCAAGCCATACGCTGCTAAGCCGCATGGATCCCACCCCCACCCTGCTCCATTAGGACCTGGACCGACTAGCTCAACAACAACAACAACAACAACAACAGCAGCAGTCACAACATCAGCAGCAGTCACCAGCGTCACCGCAAACCTCACCCACCTCCTCCTCCTCCTCCTCCTCCTTCTCGGGCAGCAGTGGACACCACACACCACCACCACCTCCACCTCCACCCTCGCCCGCAGCCCCCTCCCAGCAGCAGCAGCAGCCCCCGCGCGAGGCAGCCATAGAGGTGGTGATGTCACCCCGTGCCGCCTACTTCGCACTCACAGAGAGGCAAGCTGGGGGCTGGGTTCAGACACCCCCACACTGGCTGTCGTACACGTAACTGCAGGTGTCATGGCATTACATGCCGCTACCCACCACAACCCCTGATCGCCCCTGCCTCCTGCCCCCTTATCCTCACTACCACATCCTGACAGCCTCCCAGCCAACTTCACCTCTAAACCTCCACCCCACATCCCACATCACACGATATGCCCCCCACATGCCCTCCCAGTTTTCTTAACAAACTTCCGGCCCCCCGCACCCGCAGCGTACCCTCCGACTCCGCGCTGGGTCGTGTGGCCGCGGAGCTGCTGTGCCCCTACCCCCCCGGGGTGCCGCTGCTGGCCCCCGGGGAGCGGATCAGCGCGGGGGTGCTGGCGGCGCTGAGGGGGTGTCTGGCGGCGGGAGGGGTGGTGGCGGGGGCGCGGGATGGGCGGCTGGGTAGCATGGAGGTGGTGGTGGAGTAGTGTGGGAGGGGGGAAGGAGTGAATGTACGGCTGTAACCCAAGCTGGAGGTTTGGAAACGTACGGAAACAAAAGGAGGGGTTTTTGCAGCATGGGAATTGCGGAGCGGCGGGCGGATCGCCGGGAGACGGGTGAATTGTGATGCCCATGTCCATGCAAGGGGAGGTATGGACGTATGGTGGAGAAGTGGAGGTAAGGGAGAAAGGAAGGCCAGAACTCCCCGTCAACGGGTGGTCACGGTCAGTGGTTCCTCGCGGCTCAGTGTATCTAATCCCCGTCAACGGAGGTGTCGGGGCTGCCAGCCGATGTGGAGTTCTAGGACAGCATGCAAACTGATTGGATACCGGTAGCAAGGGCCCAAGGGCTGCTGACCCATGCTTGTTGTGGAGCGGAGCAGGTCACGTCGTCTCCGCCTTCCCAGCTGCACTGCACGTACCGGTATCAGCTTACAAACGCAGTCACAACGCAGATAACAACAACACAGTGGAGCAACCTAACCACAAAGTCCGCGTCCTGCGGAGTGTCCCCAACCACAGCCCCATCCTGCAGCTCTGTACTGCGCCGCTCCTCCTCCTTGCCACTCCTCAGTCTTTCGCAACACCAACTGCCACGCTGTCGTACACTACCCTCGCTACTATCACTCCTACAGCCCCACTCCCACTCCTACCAACACATCCGCTCCCAACGCGGCTTTGTGTCCGGCCGTGTGTACCCACGCCACCCCCTCACCGGGTCCACCCGCACCGCCCCATCCCCCCTTCCTCTTCCTCCTCCACCACCACCCCTCCTCACGCCACATCAGCTTCGCGACGTCATCCCAGCCAAGTCTAGCTCTCAAGGACACAGCAGCACCCTCTCCAGTGCCACCACCTCCCCACCGCCACCACAACCCACACACCACCCCCCTAACCCCTCATCACCAAGCCAGCAAGGGCACCAGGTTGTGTGTCAGCCAGCTCGCCAGCCCCGGCCAGCACTTGCGGTAGAACCCAAAGTAGCTCAGCAGCCAGAACTCGGGGGTGTCGGGGGTGGGCAGGCGGCCGCTCAGCCAGGCCAGCAGCCCAAAGGGCGCAACCACCGCCCACAGGAAGTGGTTGGGAACCAGGAACTCGTAGCACACGATGGCGAGGATGGCTGGGGGGAGGGGGTGGGAGGGGGGGGAAGGGGAAGGTGAAAGGGGAAGGGTTGGATGCACTAGTTGATAGAGGGAAGGGAATGGAAGGGAGGGAGAGAAAGCCATGCGGGTGGATGGAGGTGAGGGCACATGGGCACACGCCCGCTGCTGTATCATCCCTCCTCCTTCCTGCCGGCTGTTCCCTCCATCCCCCCAGTCGTCTCCTCTTTACTCCCCCCAGACGCGACTCACGGAAGAGCAGTCGGTCCCACACGAACACCTCCCAGAACCAGCGCTCATTCTCCGTGCGGTTGCGCCAGGCCCAGATGCGCTCGCCCTCGCCCATCAGGAAGTTCTCGTAGCTGGCGGGGGCCAGGGAGGGAGAGGAGGGCAGGGAGGGAGGGATGAGCGGCAGGGAGGAATGAGACGGGTGGGGCGTACTCAGGTGGCTCACTGGTGGCACGCCAGGCGGGCCCTGGCGGGGAGTTGCTCTGCGGTGGCCAGCCCCCTGTCCTCCTCCACCTACAGCATCAACCCTCCGCCCCTTCCGCCACCCCTTTCAACCCCGACCCAGTACGACAATCCCTGCAGTACCCATGGATGCACTTCCCTCCCTCCCCCTCCTCCTCTCCCCGCCGCCCTGCAGCGACGTGGCACCCCTGCCCTCCCCGCAGGTCGGTGACGCATGCGTGCATGCATGCACGCCTGGGTACCATGCATCCCTAGTTACCTTGCTGCATCATTGACACCCCGCTAGCCCTCATCCTTCCATGCAAGCCCGCCTCCGCCGCCAGCTCCCTTGAAGCAACAACCTTTCCATGCCTCGCTTTCCCATCACAACAACTACCGCAACAACCCCACGTCCACCCGCCGCGGGCTTTGCATGCGGTACCCCTACCCTACGTCCCACTACAGCTGCTGTCTCCCTCACCAACCCGGCCAGCCACGCTAGCGCCCCAGCCCTCACCGCTGCGTGCTAAAGAGCCCCTGCCAGGCGCCGAACGCCGCCCCCGCTGTTGTAAAGGGCAGCATCAGCAGCGCGCGCAACAGCTCCCGGACCCGCACAAGCGCCAGAGCTATCCGAGCTAGCGGGCTGGTTTGGCTGTGGGGGAGGAAGGAGGTCGTGAGGAAGCGGAGGAGGAGATCAGCAGGGGCGGAGCGGGAGACGGGGGCGTCGGGAATGGGTGGGATGGGGCATGTGCTTGTCGCAGGCTGTTGTGGTTGCAACAAGAAGAGTTGGTTAACAGTACGGGGAATTGTAGCTATCATGCATAGGCTTGCGCGAGGGTGATTGACCCCACTTACAGGTCAAAGCGTGCTCGTGCGATGTCGCCCGCGACCATGCCCTCCCGCAAATCCCCTAGCTCCTCCTGCTGTTGCAGCTCTGCCACGCGTGCTTCCATGAATTCCTCCCTCTGCTTCTGGAGTTTTGCTTCCTCCCTTGCAATTTCCTCCTGGAAGGCTTTGTCTTCGGCGTCCTCGTCCACCCTCTCCGCTTGCAGCAAGTAGCTTCGGCGGCTGCTGAAGAAGTTCTTGATGCGTAAAGCCCATCGAGCTGAAAAGTCTGCTTTATCATCGGTGTGTTTGCTTTTGCTATCTTTGCCGTCCTTGCCTGCCCGAGCAATTAACCTCCTGCCGACGACGCGACCACTGCTGCTCGGCGAGCATGGTGGCAAGTATGTTCTCCCTCTAGTGTTTAATGGAATTGATGGCGATGGAATATGACAGCTCGTCGCCGCTTGCATGTTGGCGGGGTTCGACAACGAGCCTGGTGAAATTAAAGACACATGGCGAGAATTGATTGCTGAGGAAGTCAATTGGGTCTTAGGTTCTCGAGATCAACATGTAGATGAACTTCGAAAGCGCACCGGAAGAAACCCACACTGAACGGTCGCGGTCGTACGAAATCGACGCCTGTGCCAGAGATTACCGGGTTTGGCATTTTGTTGGAACATCGCGTGCAAAGGTGCAACCCTGGGCGCTCTGCTGGGGCATACGAAATGTTTCAACCTTGACCACAATTGGGCAGCCTTACTTAGCGACAGGTTGTGCCGTTGCGACCTAGCTTTCCCAAGCGCCACAGCTGTTGAGCTTTAGGAACATGTTTAGCCAATTACATGTCGGCAGATCCGGCGCACCAGCGCCGCCCACGGACCGGTCTTGCCCTCCTGCATCGTCGCGGACAGCCCCGCGGCTTTATCGTAGCAGCTATTTACCCTCCAAAGAAGGTAAGGACATATCATTACGGCTGCTGATTCTGGGCAAACCCATCCATTTACTTGCAACGTCTAAACCATGCCCCACCACAAGCTCCATGCGCAAATGCCTGACGCACCCCTCACCTTCGCTATGACTTTACCATCTTCGCCGCCCCCACCCATGCCTTAAATAACTTCCCACAAACCTTGTACCCATCACTCCGACTCCCACAGTAGCGTTCCAGTCCACTTGCTCATCCGGAGCCCTCAAGAACCGCACGTCGCCCATCGGCCCCGGCAGCGATAGCACCGCCGGACCTAACGGAGGCAACCGTACGGCACGGCTGTACGAACTAGACCAGGAAGGAGCCTACACCGCCAAACTACCAGCCAGCCTACCCGCAGGCAGCGGTGGGGACAATGAGAATCGCAGCAGTAGCGGCGGAGGCAGCAGCGGAGTATCAAGCCTCCTAGATGAGGGCTGGGGTGTGGTGCCGCTCAGACCCGCTGCGGCAACAGCGGGAGCGGAGGACAGGTCGGGCACCGCCGCCGCTGTGGCCGCAGCCAGGACGGCTGCAAAGCGTGAGAAGAAGAAACAAAAGCAGCAGCAGCAGCAGCCCTCAGCTGCAGCACAGCAGCCACCGCGGCAACGGAGAGGCACGCCGTACATGGACAAGTCCAGCGAGGTCGGTCTGGAGGGGCTGACCATGTTGCAACAGAGCCTGGTGGTGGCAGGTGAGTGAGGGAGTGGGGTTGTGGGTGAGGTGGGTGCGAAGAGAGGTGAAGTGCGGTGGCTGGACGCTACCGGTACTGTGAGCCTGGAGGAGGGGAGGGAAGGTGCTGCTGCGCGGATTGAGCAGTTTGCATCCCCCAATCCGGGGGATCCGGGTTAGGGGTGAGGTGGGTATGGAGGAGGATGGGTAGGTGGCAGCTTGGTAGCAGTCTGGCAGCAATGCGGGGTACATACCGGCAGGCATGATGCGGGGTGCATACCTGCAGGCAGGCAGGCAGCATGCCACTGTTGGTGCGCCCCCACCCATGTCACCGGCCTGCCTGCCTGCCTCCCCCCCCCCCGCGCAGGGCGGATGAGTCACGACGAGGCGCAGAAGGCCCGTGCGGCGGCGGAGGCGGCGGCGCGCAGGCAGCGACAGATAGGTGGGAATGCACCGCAGCCGCTGTTGTTGTCTTCTCCTGCTGTTGGCCTTGCTGTCTTCCTGCTCATTGAGGAAAAACGGGGGCTGAACGTTGAGGACCGCTGTCCTTAGCTCCTCCTTCCACTCTTCTGTACTCTTCTTACTCCCCAGCCCAGCCCAACCATTCTTTGCCCTTCCCCTCCTTGCCCTCCTTGCCCCTCAAAACACGCAATGCCGACCCACGGGTCACCAGTTCGCCGCAAGCGCGACTGGGTGGATCCCGAGCTGCTGGACGAGGGCGAGGGCGAGGCGGAGGAGGTCAGCCAGGAGGCGCTGCTCATGCAGGAGGAGCTGGAGGGACAGCAGGGGGCGGGGCAGGAGGGGCAGCAGCAGCAGCGCCGGCAGGGGCGACGTGAGCGGGGCGTGCAGCAGTACTTGGAGCTCAATTTGGAGGCGGATGGGACCACGGTGGGGTGGGGGCGGGTGGGGGATGGGGGATGGGGTGGAGGGGGCCTGCTGGGAGGGTTGGGGGTAGGGCGTCGCAGCTGGGCCGCATTTGCCATGCGACCCAAAGCCAAGGGTGTAAGGCTGGGTCTGGGCAGGCAGGCTGGGGGTAGTCGCAAGTCTGGGCGCACTCCGGGATGTACGCAGCGCCGGCCTACACGTGTAACCGTACCAGCACGCCGCCTCAAGCATCGCCCAGGTTTCAGCAATCCCATCTTCATCCGCACCCGCACCCTCACCCGTGCAGGAGGTGGTGGAGTTTGACGAGCAGGGCCGGGTCAAGGCACGCAGGCAGCCGGGCATGCCTGTCCTGGAGGACGACATCGAGGCTGAGGACGATGAGGAGGATGACGACCCGCTGGCCTTCCTGGCAGACCTGGAGGGTGATGATGATGAGGATGATGATGAGGAGGACGAGGAGCCATCAGAAGATGCGGACGAAGTAGAGGAGGAGGAGGAGGAGGGGGACAGCAGCGGGAGGCGAAGCGCAGCGGCGGGCCCCAGCGGCCGCGGCGCTTCTTCTTCACCTTTTCCTTCTTCTTCTGCATCTCAGAAGCGGTCGCTGGTAGGCAGGAACGCTGGAAGCCGAAGAGGCGCGGAAGAGGAGGAGGAGGAGGAGGATGGCGGGGAGGGGTTGGTCCTGATGCCCGGTGTGAATCCGCTGCTGGACGAGGAGATCGAGTGGGGTCTGGATGAATTGGGACCCACGGGTCAGCAGCGGCCCTCGCTGCTACGTGAGCTGGGGGTGATCAAGGGGCGCCCGTCGGACAAGCAGCAGCAGCAGCAAAAGCGGTCCCAGGCTGCTTCCTCTTCTTCTTCTTCTCAGCAGCAGCAGCAGGCCGGCAAGCAGCAGCAGCAAAAGCAGGCCCCAGCTGACGGCGTTACCGACGAGGACGAGGAGCAGGGCGGCGGCGGAGCGGCGGGGCAGGTGGGTGTGGCCTGGGGCGGCAGCGGCGGCGCCAGTGGGATCGACATGGAGCAGCAGGAGGCGCTGCTGTCGCGGCTCTTTAAACCGCACAAGGTGAGGGGGCGGGGCCGGGGGGGGGGTGCGGGTGTGGCTTGGTGGGTGGGTGGATGTCTACGCAAGTCTGTATGGTGGAGGGTTGCGGAGGGTACCGTAGTGGCAGTGGTGCGAGGTGAGGCGGACTCCCCGCCAGCCGCATCCACCTTGGTCCCCAGTCCGACCATCCCTATGTGGCTCGGCATCCAGTGGCCGAGTGGTGTCTGGTGCTGCTGCATGTCTTGGGACCTCCCGGGAGCTCCCCGGCCCTCCCTCGCAGCCCACCAGCACCCCGCTGCCGCTCCATCCACCTCCACCTCCAACCCCCCTATCCATCAATCGGTATTTACTCTTTCCCCCCTATCCAACTATCCAGCCTAATGCGGAACATGTATCCCTATTACCCTCCCCCTCAACCCCCCCCCTGCAGGTGAAGGAGCTGATGGCCCACCAGCTGGCTGCGGAGGCGGAGCTGGCGGCCCTCAAGCGGCGCACCTCGGGGCGGGCGGGGCAGGAGGCGCGGCTGCACACGCGCATGCGCCTCATCGGGGGCAGCGCGGCGGGCAAGCAGCTGGTGTCCAGCGCGGGGGCAAACACCCGGCCGATGATGGAGAAGGTGAGGGGGGAGGGAGGGAGCGGGAGGAGGGTGTGGGGAGGTGAGGGGAGGTGTGCGGAGAGGTGGAAGGCTGGTGGGTTTGGTGGTGGGGTCAGGGTCACGAGGGTCATGGGGACGCGGTCATGTACGGCATGCATGCATGCACATGAGGGATCCCGCATTCCCCTCTCTCACCCTCTGCGAAGATTGAAACCAACTAGCACCTGAACCCCTTTCTCTCCTCTTCCCTTTCTTCCCTCCCTCCCATGTCCCCCCCATCCCCATCTTTTTTTGTTTCCTTACCCCCATCTCGCCCCCCCCCCACCCACACCACACTTTGGAATTTCTTTTTTCCCCCCCACCCACCCGCTCCCCCCCAGGTGCGCCACGCCCTCTTCAACATGATCCAGGCCCAGGCGGGCAGCGGCGCGGGACTGCCCACCACCGCCCGCTGGCTGGACTGCTTCGCCGGCACCGGCAGCGTGGGGCTGGAGGCGCTCAGCCGGGGGGTCAGGGAGTGCCACTTCATTGAGATGGACCCGTGGGTCTGCCGCAAGGTAAACAGTTACCCTAAGAGTGTAGATTCCTCAGGTTTGGTTTTATCTCTTTTATGTCCTCCCGCCTCCTTACGTCGGCCAAACCATTCATTGGAAGCATCCTACCGGCGCCCCATCCCCCCACCCCCGCCTAGGTTGGGTCAGTTAGATGTTTCCTCTTTACACCCCCGCCTAGGTTGGTTGCCACTAGTGTCACCGACGTCCACCGGGCTCATGTCTTACCGCGTTACCGGTGCTCCTCCCGCCCCTCCCCGCCCCTCCCCTCCCCTCCCCGCCCAGGTCCTGTCCCGCAACATCTCCACCTGCGGCTTCACGCGCCGCTCCGTGGTGCACACCATGAAGGCGGAGGACTTCCTGCGCCGCGCCATTGAGCTGCCCAAGTTCGCAGGTGGGGGGGATGAAGAGGGGTTGACGAGGAAACTGACAAGCTTGAAAACACGGCTTCACCAGCTGAGGGAGCAGGTGATGAGGGACAGGCAACCGCGGCTTGGTGGGACTCGGCTCTGCTGGATTCGCTGCGTCCCTGCCCTTCATCCGTGTACCTCCTCCTCCTTCCTCCTCCTCCTCCTTCCTCCTCCTCCTCCTCCTCCTCCTCCTCCTCCTCTTCCCAACCCGCAGGCGGCCCCTTCGACTTCCTGTCCGTGTGTCCGCCATACCTGCTGGTGTCCTACCCGGAGCTCATGGACCTGCTGCACCGCTCGCCGCTGCTGCACGAGCGCTCCATCGTGTTCGTGGAGTACCCCAAGCAGCTGGCGCACCAGGTGCCGCCGACCCTTGGGTCGCTCGTGACGGTGCGGGACCGCAAGTACGGCAGGACGTGGATTCGGGTGTACGGACCGGCGAGTGGGATGGGGGGTGGGGAGGAGGATGGTGGTGGTGAGGAGGAGGAGCGTGGGGAGGAGGAGGAGGCGGGAGATGAGCTGCTGCTCATTTGATGGGCCTCCCAAGTTGGCTTTGATGGCAGTACGGCAGTTCAGCGTGCAGGCGGTGGTGAAGGTATGACCGTTACAATGGTTCCCCAAAAGTGAAGGGGGTGATAAACCCTAAAACCCCCCACTGCAAGAGGAACGCAACACGCCGTGGAGGTGTCTGGAGGGCCCCCGAGGAGATGCGGGTGGCTATGCGGCCTTCCACAAGGGTAGCCTGAAGGCCCCAAACCTTGTGAGCTAATGCGCGGTTTGCTATGGTTTTCTCCACTGAGACGCAAACTGTAAGATGCGACATGCCAACACAGCTGCCCCAGGATAACATTGTCATGCCTACCGAACACATTCCTGGACACTTCTAAACATGAATTGAAGGGCAGTTAGCGCATTTATAGCGCTAACAAGTGGGAGTACGAGCACCGCAGGGCCCCGGTTTCAGAGCCTCGACGGATGGGGGGGCGGGGAGGACGTGCCGCGGGGTATTGGGGTAGCCGACCTGCCTCGTGGGGATAGTGTTTGCGGTTCGGTGCGCGATGAGGCTGTGAGCTCCTGGATGTTCGCAGTGACTTAGTGTGGCCAAGAAGCTGATGAAGTAAGTGTGCGGGCATGGGAAGCTAGCCAGGAATGCAATCTAGCGGCTTATAGCCATACGAAAGCCTAAACGGTCGGTTTCATGCCGGTTTCTCGTACCAAGAAGAGTCGTGAAAGGGCGGTTTCCTGTTGCCGAGGCTAGGACTTGCCGATGTTCAGCAAACAGTTTATTGTTGTGCAGTAAAGAACGGTATTGGGGTTACGCCTGTACGCACAGATAGGAAGACACGACAGTACAAAAAGCGGCTGTTCGTCCCTGCACTTTGCGATGTCGTTTTGGACGACATTATACGCGGAATTCCGGAATGCCGTTTTTACACACTAAGAAGTAGATGCAAAAACTTCCATCAGCTTTCCGGCCGCAAAGGGTAGGCAAGAGGGTGGATGCCGGCGGATGGGTGGGGGCCGTGTAGGAAATTTCAATGGTCCGACGTGCATTATGCGCAGGAGGATTCCAGGGGTGTCAGAAGAAACGCCAAAGATGTGCGCCAGCGGCATGTGGCCGCGTGCGCTAACTGCTAAATTGCAGCGATATGTGTGCGGATCGACGGCATCAACGGTAGCATTTCGTGAAATACTTCAGGCGAAGTGAAAGGCTGCTTTACCTTTAGACGATCTGCCAACGGATGAGTCAAAGGCCCCTTGCTTCCCGTACACCAACGGCATAATGTGGTACTAAGCGCAATCCGCGCAAAAGGTCTTCATTAACGCGAAGTACGTATATGATTTCTGCATAGCTTTTTCGTCCTTCGAAAAGCGATCACCGTTCTGCTGTGCGCTCAGCAGACGAAGAGCTGGGGACTTGGCGGTAGTCGCCTATTCTTTCGCTGGCGCGGCACCCAATCAGGCGCTAGCGCGTTTATAGACACATTAATTGGTAAACTGCTAGCACTTGTCCAGATCATTCGTGGAAATGGACCCCTTGGCCAAGGTGAGGGCGCGGATATTTCTGAGGATAGCGTGTATCTGCGCTTCGCTGGTCGACGTCAACGACGGCTTAAAGCGCACTGGGTTATAACGGGTGACTTTTACTGTTGGCGCGTAGGAGGTCGTCTTCGACTTGGACGCTGCAGCTTTTAGCTCAGATGATTTCCGAATGTTTCAGTTCAAGGTAACATTTTACTGCCCTTACACCTGAGCTCGCTTAGTAGTTCTCATTCAGGACGTTCTTTGCAGGTGAAGCGCTGCCCGCGCGCAAGGCCACACGACTGGACACAGTGTCCTTTTGCGCATCCAGGCGAAAAAGCAAAACGCAGAGATCCCAGGAAATATCGTTATTCCGGGACAGCATGCCCGGAGTTCCGGCGGGTGAGTCGTGTCGCCATCGGCAGGATGGTCACCTTGTAACCGCAAGACGACTTAAACTACCCTCCGCCCATCCTTGCAGAACGGCTGCTGTCGTCGTGGAGACGCTTGTCCCTTCGCACACGGCGTCTTCGAGTGCTGGTTGCACCCGTCCCGGTACCGCACACAGGTGCGTCCCTTCCATCCCAACCACCAATAGCGAAAATCCCGCATCCTTACACCGCACCCATACTCGTCCTACAAAAACCTCTCGCCCTGGGCTTCGGTTCCATTCACTTGTCGCAGATGTGCACCGACGGTTCGAGCTGCAAGCGCCGGGTGTGCTTCTTCGCGCACACGGAGGGCGAGTTGCGCAAGCCGGAGGAGGATCCTCTGTGGCTGCAGCAGCAGCTCCAGGCCGAGCTGGCAGCAGGTGAGCAACGGGACTTCCCGTTACTCGCGTTATCCTTACCTTATCTTGCCTTCAATCCGATCTGATCCGCTTGACGTGGCACGTGGCGGACTGCAGTTCAGCACTATTGGACTCACAGAGAGTCACAGGTTTATGCCACCATAAGTGGATACGCAGTACCACCATGTGCCATGCGTCCATGCTCACGATCTGCACCCAGCCTTCCATCTTGTCCCCTTCCTCGCCTGCCACCAATACTCCCGCTCCCGGTCCTGTTCCTCCTCCTCCTCCTCCTTCGGTGTGTGCAATCCCGGTGGGTGTTGCCGTACACCCCACAGAGCAGCAGGTGCAGCAGCAGATCCAGGCGCTCAAGGTGTTTGCCAACATCCTGGGGCCCAACACGAGCACCGCGGGAGGGCAGCAGGCGGCAGCCAACCAGCCGGCGGGTGTTGATGTGAGTTGTGGCCACACGGTTGCATACGTCGTATGTACTAGAGGGGAGATGACGTGACTGGACGTGTGAGGAATGGGTAGCAACGGAGTTGGGTCGGTTGGTCTGATGGTAGCCTAACGACCGTGTGTGATGTGCGGAGCCTATAAGCATCACCTACTAGGCCGGTCCGCTTTTTGGTCGTACGCAAAAGCTGCCTGCTCCGCACCCTACTATTATTCGCTGCTCTGTCGCTGCCTGACGTCACAGTTCGTCATGACGTCACTGTGGTTGTCTGCCCGCTGCCGCTGCACCGCATCCCAACCCCCGGTGTCCCCGCCCGGTTGCCCCCAGATGCTCAAGAACCTGCCATCCTCCACTCTGACCCAGTTGCTGGGCGCTGCGGGGCACCAGGGCGGCGGGGGCGCAGCAGCGGCCGCGGGGGGAGCCGGCATGGCGGCAGCACAGCAGGTTGGGCTGGGGGGGCTGGTGGGAATCGGGATGGGGGATGGTGGTGGTGGTAGACTGGTAGTAGCAGCAGCAGTGGTGTTGTGGGAGGTATGTTGAAGGAAGGAAGGCAAGGCTAGCGCTCACCTAAGCCCTGACGTCACTCATAAAAGCTAACTTTGCTGCGGTTATTACTATTCGCAGGGACAGTCCACCGATGGCCTGCTACAGCTGCTACAGCTAGTCGAGCAACAACAGCAACAGCAACAAGCGGCCGCCTCGGTAGCACCACCACCACCACCGCAGCAGCAGCAGCCGCCACAGCAGCAGCAGCCGCAGCTGGCTCCCACCTCCGGCGTTCCTGGCAACCTAGGTGGTCTGCTTAGTGCCGCTGTGTCAGCCGCTGCCTCCGCGGCACCCGGCAGTGCTGCTGGCGGAGGTGGCGGCGGCGGGGCAGCGGCGGCAGGAGGGGCTGCGGACCTGCAGCTGAAGTTGCTGGCGCAGCAGTTGCTGCAGCAGACAGCGCAGCAGCAGCCGGGTGCTGCTGGCGCAGACGCCATGCAGGTAGGGCATGCGGGAAGAACGGAGGAGGAGCGGACTTTGCTTGAATTGGCTTTAGCTTGCGAGGTTTTAGTCATGCTCATGACGGTACGGCATGTATAGCATGCCTGGATGTCAACTCATTGGCTGTTTCTGGGTGCTGATTGTCAGTTGGATACCTTGCACGCAAGCTCGCCTTTTGTAGGGATACATTACGGTGCCCTCCCGCCTCCACACCCGCAGGTCCGGCTGCTGGCCCAACTCGCGGGGCTGAACCTGCAGCAGCCGCAGAAGCCGGCGGACAACGAGCCGCCGCCGCCGCCGCCGCCGCCCCAGCAGCAGCAGCAGCCCAACGCTCCATTGGACCAGCTGCTATCCTTCCTAGCCGGCCAACAACAACAACAGCAGCAGCAAGCGGCTGCGGCGGCAGCAGCAGCGGCCGCTGCAGCTGCAGCTGCTCAGCAACAGCAGCAGCAACAGGCAGCAGCAGCAGCCGCAGCCCAGCAGCAGCAACAGCAGTTGGCTGCTGCTGCAGCGGCGGCACTAGCAAGCGCACAACAACATGCCCAACAGCAGCAGCAATTGCAGCAACAGCAGCAACAGGGCGCTGCTGCTGCCAGCACGCAGGCAGGCGCCACGTCATCATCCTCAGCGGTGGCGGCAGCGGCGGCGGCTCTTCAGCAACTGGCGGCGCTAGGTATCGACATCCAGTCTATTCCTGGTGTTCACGAGCTCCTGGGTGGCGGCAGCAACGCCGCCGCGACGCAAGCGGCACCAGCCCAAGCCGCTGCTGGGATGCCGGCGGTAACGCCCAACCCCGAGCCCTCCCTAGCCATGCTTGCCGCGGCCCTGCAGGGTACCCAGACGCCAACCGCCGCCGCCGCGGCCCCTGCCGCCAGCGAAGCCCCCGCTTCCGCCGTCGCAAGCAGCGCGCCCAGCCAATCCTCGGCGCCTCCGCCGCCTCAGCTCCCAACCCGGGAGCCGGCCGACGGAGCTGTTGCTGCCGCCGACGTTTCTCCCGCTTCGTCCCTAGGGGCGCCTCCGCCCGCAGCGGTGCCGCCCGCGATGGACCCTCTGTCAGCGCTTCTTGCGGCGGCAGCAGGGGGCCCCTCCGCAGCCTCCGGCAGCGGCCTGATGGCAGGCGGCCTCTCACCCGCCATGCTGAGCAGCCTGCAAGGCATGCTGGGGCAGCTCAACATGGGAGAGATGGCAGCTGGCGGCGCTGCAGCGGCGCCCGTTGCCGCCGCTGGCCTAGCGCCCGCAGCGGCGCCCGCTGCTCAGCCTCTGACAGCGCAGCAAGTGCAGGGAGCCCCTGCCCCGGCGGCGGCGCCCTCAGCCACTGAGCGGTCCACTGGGTCCGGATCCGGTTCCTTGGATGGCAGCAGCGCGGCTGGACCCGCGGGTCAGCAGCAGCAGTCGTCATCCCAGGCAGCACAGGCGACGGCTACCCAGCCAGAAGCCGCAGTGGCGGCGCCAGCAGACGCCCCCGTGTCGTCAAGGGCGGCGGTGCCGCCGCCACCACCAGCGGCGGCGACAGATGCCGGCGTGTCGGATGGAGTTGGCGTCGGCGCGGAGGACCACAACGCCGCGCTTGCTTCCCTGCTAGCGGACCTGTACAGCAAACCCGAGAGCTTGCTTACGGCGCAGTCCTTCCTAGAGCGCATGATGGCTGCCGGCGGCGGCGGCGGCGCCTCTGGTGTGATGGACGCGGCCACCATGGCTGCCCTCGCAAGCATGGCGGCAGGCGGCTTGGCCCAAGGCCCCTCCGCCGCCGCAGCGGCGGCGCCGCCGTCGGGCGCCACGTCGGCGGCGGCTGGCGGCGGTTCTGGAGGGGAGGAGGGGGCATCCTCCAGTGCTTGAGGAGTTCGGTTGGATGGACGTGGTGGGAAAAATAAATGAGAGGTGCAGCAACTGGACTCTCAGGGTGGGACGGCGCGCGGCGGTGCGAGTGTGGGCAATTTGACCTACAATTCATCGCTGCACGCCTGCCTGAATAAGGGGGGGTCAAAGATCATCCCGATAGGGGGGTCAAAGATCATCCCGATAGGGGGGTCAAAGACCATACCAAACCATAGTAGACCACAAGTTAGGTCAAAGCAATGGGGGTAGGAGTTGGCAGGGTGCCACAAGACAAAGTGTTGGTTAGTATGCCCTACGGATACCGGGTCCGCGGTGAGGATGAAAGGTTGACACTCCAGCGAGCGGGCGGAAGAAAGCTGGCGAAAGGGGGGGCCAAGGGCACATGTCCTTCGCTGGGGCCCTTTGCCTTGCCAGCATTGTTTGCTGCTGGCTGCCAGGGGCAGAAGGGGGTGCCGACATGGTAATGATGGCCTGTGTCGCAGTGCGAACAAGCAAGGTGCGGCACTGGGCAGTAGCTCGCGTGGCTTCGTGTGCCATTGTTGCAGGGCTCGCAGGGAGTGGCAAGGTCCTCGCTCCTGTTCCTTTGTTCCTGTCCTGGTGATGTGTTCGTGTTTGTTGGTCAAGCGACATGTGTCGCTTGAAACGGGCCAAGGCGGCCTGATAGATGTGCCAAATAGCGAGTTTGTGCGTTTTTGTTAAGGAGTGGCCGTGTGTGTTACTTGATTTCGTTCATGCATATGGCGGTTTGGTCGGTGCTGGATTCCTCTGTTTTGGACGCTCTCGTACAAATGTGCATGGCACTGTCAGTGCAATGAGTTAGGGAGAGAAGGGGTTACATCTGACGAATTTAGAGCGAAATTTTTTATCCGCGGATGTAGTTTCTTTTGGAACGGCTTGGATGGAGTGTTTGTGTTTTGGGGGTCCTGTTTGCTGCCTGCGGCTGCCTGTGCTAGGCAATGTTGGGAAACAACGCATTGCTGGTGCATAGGTTTGCTGCGGCCCCATTGCCGCAATGCGTGTGTCTTTTGATACGTACATGTGTTGTCATTTGCGCCCCCCTCTGCCTTCGTCCGGATCGTGCAGGCCTTCAAAGCACCCAAACATGAGACCCTATCCTGTCCTGCTCTCTGTCGTGTTCAGCTGGTCGTGCCGTTTTGTCCTAGACGTGTGTACAGTGCCCGTTTGCTGCGCTTAGTTACGATATGGATTGCTCTGCTACTAGAGACGCATTTCGAGTCGCACATTCGTCTCATGCCATTCGTGGGGGCCGCCGGCGGCACTTCCTACACAGAAGTCAGTGCCGACGAGCCCCGTTGGGCCGCCTCGTGCGGCGAGTGCAAACCACACGTACATCTGGTAACGTTGGTGGTTGCGCAGCTTCTGGCAGTTTCAAACGCAGTGCGATGGGGCAGTTGCAGTTGCTCTGTTGTCTGCTACGCTGCTCTGCCGCTGCCGCTGCACCACCACACGAACCCAGGCTATATGTGTTTGCATGCGCACGCGAGGGCAGGTTGGTCGGCGTTGGGCGGCGCATGCAGGGTGATGGTCCCGGGGGTGGAGGGACCGTTGATTTGCTGCGCATCGCCCATTAATTCTTCCGGCCCAACAACTCCTATTCTGAAGCAATGCTGCTGCTGCTACTCTTCTTGTTGCGCCCGGTTCCCAACGCACGTACTGGGCCGGCGCTTTTGATTGATTGATGCTGCCCCTGATCCAGATCCTGATGATTGACTGACGAGCTCATTTGCTGTCTTCGTAGCCCTCCATTCGTGAGGGAATTGTGGGTCGAGGAGTGACGCATCCTTTAAGTGGGCAGTAACGGTGGAGAAACGTTCAGGAGGTTGCCTAAACCCCGCTACCGGGTTAGGATGGTGAAGATCTAACACATTCCTTTTTGGGATTGCAAGAGATGTCGTGGTATTGGGTAAGGAAAGGGACGAGTTTTTGAAGAAGGGAAGTTGTTAAGAGGGGCGGGTGTTTCTGCGCTCATCCGTGCTTTTCTCGAGGGACTCTTCCCCTATCTAGAGGCGTGTGGATTCAGGCACTGCTGATGTGTTGGGTGACACTGACATGGCTGACATGCTGCGCAGAAGAGGGTTTCGAAATGGGCCCTCACATTTGTCAGCTATCGTGTGTTAGCAGGATGCCAGGTCGGAAGTGGCCCGCTGTCTTTGGGCGTTAGCACCCGGGCGCACCGGTCGTCAGCTTTCTTTGGAAGCCGAATAGGCTTTTTACGTTGTCGTACTCTGCTTGTAAATACGCACATCACATCTCAGTGTACGACGCAGGCAGCAGTACGGTAGAAGGAAAGGGGCTGCTTGTCATCAGGACTCAGTGCACTTTAGGGCAACTCGCAGATGCTGAACGCGAAGACGGGCTGTAGCTCACCATAATCCTTATGCTCACCATAGTCCTAACAAGCGTTCTCATAACCCCTCCTCCACTGGCCCGCACTGTCGCCTGCAAGCCAGTCCCCTCAAGGCACCAAACCGCGTCACGCATGCCCTCGCATGTTTGAACCCACGGGAACTCCCGCATCTAAGACACCTAGATCAATAGCCCCTGCATGACCCCCTAGTCGTGCCTACGATAAAAACCTCGTCAGTTGTCAACGTCCTGCCCGAAAGCAAACACGGCACACAGTTTCTTGAGCACCGCCACCTCCGCTCTCGCCAGCCTTCATCGTCTCAAAGTGCCAAAGTACAGGGAAGCATTCCTAACTACGCCCTCCCCTCGTGCGCAAACGCGTCCTCGCTTAGCAGCATAAGTAGGCCTGCATAGGGTGCGCTCGGGCCCGCCCGCGCTGCTGTCGCCTGTATCTGAGACAGCGCATGTTCGCATTGGCTGTTAGATTCGCTGAGGGACGGGCACGGCCCCCAGCTCGTGGCGACTGCAAGTCACCCGAATCTGCACGCTGCGGCTCCCCTGCTGCGCTCCTTTATCCCTCCATCCTAACCCCGACAGCTCGTTACGGTGACGACACGTCACAGCTTCAACCTGTGTTGCCCAAGCTGGGCAAACATCGAGCCCAGTTCCCACCCGAGCCAACTTAGCCCCGTTTCGCTCGCATCCGCTGCTACTGCCTCCCTTCCACTGCCACTGCCGAGTTGAGGAGTGAGTGCAGCAGGATGCCTGTTGCCACCGACACGTTCAACGAGTCCACCAGGCCACGAAGCAGCTCCTGCTGCTGCACCCCGTCGTTATAGGTGTTTGCTGCTCCTGCTGCTGCTGCGACTGCGCCTGTTGCTGCCTGGGGCGCCATGTCCACACGGACCAGGCCGCTGCAGGCGCGGCGGACGTTGGTGCGCAGGCCGAAGCCCTCGCTACCTGTAAATGCATGGAGAGGAGCTTTACGGAAGGCTGTGTGCTGTGTACCGGTACCATAGCCGCCATGCAATGAGATGCGATAGCAGGCGACGTTGCCATACCCCAGGTACCACCGCAGCAGCACAGCACCAGCATCCTATCCCTTTGGTGGTGAGGTGGCTTGGCGCCCGCGCTCTCAACTAACATTACTACAAGTAGATCCTAGCTTCCGGGAGCACATCCAGGTATCCTCATCCAGGTATCCCCCCATCCAGGTACTCTCCCCCCCAACGCACCTAGCACCAGGATGGTGGGTCCATCCACGCGGACCTGCCCCACGGGCTGCGACCCGCTGCCCGCCGCCGCGCCCAGCACCCGCCAGCCCTTGTTGTCGCGCGCATCCAGCAGCGTGCGGGGCAGGTTGCGGCAGCTGTGCAGCTGGAGAACCTCCAGGGAGCCCGCGCTAGCCTGCGAGCACACGGTAGAGGTGGTGGCGACGTTTCGCTGTTGGCAGGCAGGCAGGTGATGCAAGTACCGGTATCAGAGCACTTTGCTGCTTGAGCGCTAAATGTTACTGGATATCAGTGGAGATCGTAAGGTCACGACTGCGACTTTTCATCGCCTCGTGCAGAAGAGTTTCCACACTCCGTGTCAGCCACAGGCGGTTGTGGTAAGCTCGTTGGGCACAGTGTTCCAATAACCATCAGCCGTCAACCACCTGACCCCACCACTCCTATACCTTTGACACCACGGGTGACAGCGGCGCGCAGTTTCGGGCGCATGCGAGCACCCCCGCTGCGCCCAGACAGTAGGCTGAGCGCACCACTGCTCCCAGGTTTTGCTGCGGCGCCAGTGTCGTGGGGGCGGGGAAACCGTCGGAAGAAAGGGGAGGGAGGGAGAGTACCGGTAAGCAATGACGACATACCGGTTGTGGGTGGAGGGTGGCACGAGGCCATACACGAGGCCAGACGAGTCGCACATTCGCCTCATCAGGTTGTCACACCCTTCCTTCCTATCATCCTACCCAAGCCCAGCAGCCCGCTAGCAGGGCCCTCCTGCCTTCCCTCCCTACCGGATCCACCACCTCGTCCAACGCCAGCCACACCGGCGGAGCTCCACCAGCAGCAGCAGCTGCTGCAGCCACCTGGGACGCCTCGGGGAACTCCTCCAGGGAGGTCCACTCCAGCGGGGACACGTCCAACACCAGACCCTGGGGTGACCCATGGGTCGTCAGCGTTGCATGGTGTTGGTTGCGAGTCCAATGCCCCACAGCTGTGAGAAAAGCTGGAGCACAGAGGCAAACGTGTGCATGCTTGGGTGCCATACCATAAGCATGGGTGCGAGGGGCAGTGCGGCAAGGAGGGATGATGAGAGCTTTCCGCTCAGCAGCTTCCTTCTTAGCAAAACCGTTGCTTCAACAGCAGCAGCAGCAGCAGCAGAGCTTGCTGAATACCTCCTCTCTGTGACACCCCACCTGGTGCGGTCTGTCCTGCGCCAGCAGGTTGAGGTCATGTCGCCCCACTCGCGCCACCTCCACCCCCGCCTCCGCACACAGCGCCTGCACCTGCCGCAGCAGCCCCGCGTCCTTGCGCTTCCCCAGGTCCAGTGAGTCATGCAGGAAGGCGCGGTGCACCTGGCGCCTGCGGGGAGGTGGGAGGGAGGGTGGGTGGGTTAAGAAAACTGGCCGCGAGTAGGAACGTACTGGGATGTCGGAAGATGAAGATGAAGTGGGGTGGGTATGGGCGGGTGGATGAGGTGCATGAGAGGAGCCGCAAGCGGATGAGCGTTACATTGCGTGCGTATGTGCCAGGCGGGTGCCAAGCACGAGGAAGGTGGTGATGTTGGCAGCAGCCGTTGCCGCAAAATGGCAAGATGGGCAGGTCGGCGGGGGTGGCCTGACGGGCAGGTCGGCGGGCATCGTGCCGCACATACTGCACCTCGCACCTCTTGGCACGCAGGGCCGCCAGTACGGGAAACACGCCGTACAGCGCCTGGCCTTGCAGCGTATCTCGTATGGAGGTCGTACTGCCACCACCTGCGCTACCGCTGGGGGTCCGCGGATACCGCCGGGACCAGGATGGGGACCCGTAGTTCCCCTCCGCTTCCTCCAATTGCTCATCACCCGCATGCTCGTACTCCTCCTCCTCAGCTTCGTACGAGTCATCGGACAGATTACGGTCGTCGGTTTCACGGCCCTCGTCTTCAGCTCTCATGTCTGGCTTACTGTTGTCGTACTTGTCTGTCCTGCCGTACTTCGGGTACTTGTCTGTTCGGCCGCCTTGCCGTGCCTGGTAGCGCCTTTGCCCCTCTTCTTCCCGCTGTTGCTGCTGTCTAGGTGGGTCCCGACGGCCGCTCTGTCCGCCGTCACGACCGTCCCGTCCGTTGCTGCTGACGTCACGGCGGCCGCCGCTCTGGCCCTGATAGCCGCCTTCGACGCGTCTACCGTCGTTGTTGTTGCCGTACGAGTTGCCTTGTCGTCGTACGACACCGCTGTCGTACCTGTCGCGCCCATTTCGGCTGGGACTAGCAACCTTGTCACGGGGGCCACTGCCGGCGCTGCTGCTGCTGCGGTGGCGGCCGCCGTCAGCGGTGGCAGTGTTGCTGCTGTCGTCTCGGTGTTGTCGGTGGTAGCCCGGAGCAGGGGTTTCCTCTTGCCGGCTTGGGGCACCGCTGCGGCCGCCGCCGCTGCTAATGCCCCTGCTGCGGTCGCGGCCCTTGTTGCGTTGCTCGTCACGGCCGGCTCGTGCCTCTGAGCCCGAGTACCTGAGGATGCGGGCCAGCAGACAGGGAGGGAGGAGGAGGTGTAGCAGGCTGTGTATAGCAAGCGGTAATGACAGGCAGGCAGTGTGCGGTGGAACATGTCAGCGGCCAGTAGAGTTCAGCTAAACTTGGTGGGGAAATTGTCTTAATTGCATGAGACAGTACGCGAAATTTAAGCGCCGGAACACGCAATGGATTTGTGAGGAGCGGTTGCGCTTTTGAATTGATGTTGGAGTGCATGTTATCGGCTTACGTGGATGTGGACGACGACGAGCGTCCTGCATGCAGCGGTGCAAGCCTCGGCCGACGCATCACCGGAACCGTCGAGGGTATGCAGCGTAGCTGCATTTTTAGCACTTTCTAGTTGCAATTGTGGCAGGTATTTAGGGATGTAGCCTACACTGGGCCGTCGACTATCGTGCGACCGTGTCTTGTGGGAACGTCCCAAATATCGGAGATATATGCTAACCAGAAAGAGCTTGCAATGTACAATGTTCAATTGGCAACAATTGTGCTAAACACGCTCGAAAGGGTGTGGGGCTGTGGGCCATGCCGGTGTCGTGCATGGGACGAGATAGCGGACGCGATCACACTCCACGCGCAGCATTAGCATAGCGGGCATCACCAAGAGGGCATTTATTTGCTGTTCTATGCTCTGTAATACGTTTTCCACACCATTATGTAAGAAACCTGTTTTACAGAAGACCGCATCCCATCCGCCGAAAGCAACCAGCAGCCATAGTATCTTGCCTTGAGTTCAAATGGAACTATCCGAACGAGACATGAAGCTTGGTGTTGGGTTGGTAGCTGCTGCTGGTGAGTCGCATTGAGGTCATGCTTGACTGGCTCGCTGATGACCCATCATTGAAAGCCAACCCACACGCTGTGACAAGTGACACATCTTTGGTCATAACCGTTTGGCGCAGCTTCCAAGTACTACTTTAAAAAGCGCCAGCTGTGGCCCTGGCGGGTAAGGAGCCTCAGTAAAGGAGGGAAGGGTCTGGGCAATGGCAGTCATGTTGTGGTTGCTGGGCCCGGCAGCGGGGACACCTTTACCACGAACTACGCCAGTATAGCTCCTTTTCTACCCATAACCCTTCACCGCACGCGCTATATAGCCCCTCGCGAGTTTGTTATCGGCAGCCCTAGCATCGTACTGCTTACTCCACTAACCCCTGCATCACAACCTGCCACTGACGTCGTGCAGCCGCAGGTTAGGTCACACACCTTCAGTCCCAGGATTCCACGCATGTGCCGCTTGCCACTCCTGCTCCTTTCTCACACTACCGACTACACCGTCCACCCGTAGACAACATTTGCCCCCTTGCACACCCCCCAAAACCCCATTACCACCCCCAACGTTTACACTTTCCGTCCTGCACCGGTATTACCCCCCCTCCTTCCTCCCAGATCTCCACGCTTATAGCCTGGCCCGCACTGGGTCTGGCGGTCATGGACACCGTCATCGGCGTGCAGGCAACCAAGGAGGCTGTCGTACGGAAGGTGAGTCATATCATGTATGTCGTCCATACACCGTGCAGTGGACTCCAGAATCACGGTGCCCCTGTCCTACGCTCGCTTGTTGCCGCACACTCACGGTGTTCACCAACCCATCCAACCACCCACCACTTCATGTCGTACATGTGTGTTATCCTCCGCTCCACGCAGGTGGACGAGTCTCGGACGCTCCCTGGCCGACCCGAGGGTCAGGACAGCCAATGACAGGAAGCAACGACACAGAGCAGCGCGGCCTAGTAGCAAGGTAGCTAGTTAGCTGACTTGCTGGTTAGCTAGGGTTTCTGTCAGGATTACCGTGCATGGCGTAAGGAGGATAGCGCACGGGACCATGCAAGGGAGGGACGGGGTGATCAACGCCTTTGGAGGGAAGGACAGACGGAGAGGGCCCTGACGGTGGCAGCACGGGGTATGGAAACCGCCCAAGGCAACCGCAATGGTAGCATCGAAAGCCGCAGCAGCAGGGAAGGCCGCAGGCAATGTTTGCGCGGTTTCTGCAGCTCCGATTGCTGCCAACTGTGGCTGGCATGTTACTTGCAGCGGGATAGCTATTCCGTTCCGGTGTGTGAATCCTGAGAAGGTTCGGGAGGGCCTTAAGGTGCGAGCTAGGGTTGCTGTAACGTCCACTGCTGGAAGGGCTGGAAGGGTGCCACCCACCCATGTGCGTGGGTGTGTAAGCCCGATAGGCGGTAATGATGCGAGGCTGTGGATGTGCTCTTTCAGGCATCCGCCTCCCAGCGGGTCAGGAGCGGCAATAGCTTTGGCGTTGGGGCGTTGAAAGAGGAGGCCTGGAGCTTCGTGCGCATGTGCGCTGTTTGGCCTGCTCGCACACGTGGCCTGACCGCCTAAGCAGCAGTAACCTCTTTATACAGTAGGTTGTGGAGGGGTTGTGAAGGCTGGATGTGCGGAGCATGTAGGGGCCCGAAGCTTAATGGTAGATATGTTCCGTAAAGTGAGAGGTTTGATAGAGCGGGGTGGTGGATTGGTGTTCCGCGGGTAGTTAGGGCGCCCGCCGTACGATTGGAGCTGTCTCAGTGGTACGACTGGAATGTGGTTAACCGCAGGTTGCTCCTTGTGCGATCTTGGATGCGTACTCACTTCCATTTAAGAAACAGGACCAACGGTGATTCAAATTCAGGCTACTTTCCTCTCTTCACCTCCTCGATCGTGTCCGGCATTCTCACAACAAGCTAGGCTTAGCAACACCATTATTGTTCTACATCATTTGCAGCTATCCTTACTACTCAAAAGTAGTGTCTTTATAATTTTGGTGGCGGCCGACGGGTCCTCAGTGTAGAAATGCCGAAGGTTGCGCCTCCAGAGCTTAAGCGGTTCATGGACAAGAAGCTTAGCAGTGAGTACATTTTGAAAGTCCCCGCTGTTTGTGCGGGCCTCTCTTGAATCCTTTTGTCGCCGTGCCATGCCCTACAGTTACGTTGAACGCCAACCGGCACGTATCGGGGACACTTCGCGGATTTGACCAGTTCATGAACATTGTGCTGGACCAAACGGTGGATGAGAAGCTGAAGGTGGACATCGGCATGGTTGTCATTCGCGGGAACAGCATTCAGACGATAGAGGCATTGGAGCCTATTCCAAGCAACTAAACAAGCTGGAACGATGCACCAGTTCGGAGCCAGGAGCCTTAGCAGCTCGCACTAGGGACATGGGCCACACGGCCCATGCCCCCTGCTGAACACAGCCGCCTGTCGACTGCCAGGAAGCTTAAAATTAGTGCAGAAGGAGCTCTGGTGGGGTTGGGGCGGCAGATGGAGGCCAGGCGTGGCATGTGTTTTCTGTTGAAAATAGCTGCGTGGGCGTGGGGGGAGGGATCCCACAGCTTGTTGTCAAGTTGGGCGACACTGGACATGACGGGAGTAACCAAGAATTTATGGGCGGAAGCAGCTGCTGGTAGGTTTTAGAGAACTGGTGTCGGCTAGGGAGGAAGGCAGGACCTGGGGCAGGCAGACTGAGACAGCACCACCGCTGCCCCTTGGGTCTGGCATATCGGACATCAGACTAAACGCCCGACACACGCACATTGGGCACTACCACGTGACATTTTTAGCATGCACGAAGTGCGGCGAGCCTATCGTGTAACGCGATTAAGTGAAAGAAGGCTGGCGCAAGCAGGCATGCACGCATGCTGGTCGTTGCCGTACCGCGTTAACCTACGGCGAGCGCGAAACCTTACATCCAGCCTGCACAACTGTTAGTGGCCTTTGGCAGTCACAAAGAGTGCATCATTCTCCGGCTAGCCGCCCGTTTCGCTTCGGCTGCTGTGTACATCGGGCACCCTCTTGCGTCTGCAGTCCTAAAGGATTTCGGGCGCAGAATGACTGGCCCAGAGTTTAAGCCGCTGCTGCCGGTGAAGCAGCCGGTGCCATCGGACATCGAGATCGCGCAGTCAGTGGAGCCGGTGCACATCGCGAAAATCGCTGAGGCGGTCGGCTTGCTTCCCGAGGAGTTCGACCTGTATGGCATCCATAAGGCAAAGGTATGCTATCATGTGATGTGTAATACACCAATGCCGCAGTTTGGGTCGTAAATTTTATCAGGGTGCTCAGTCGGGCAATGATGGCCATCACCGGTTCCCTCATATAGCCGTTCGAAGCCATCTTAACCCTCATACTCAATCGAACATATCCACATGCATCTGCCAACATTGCGAAGCCTTCATGTCTAATTTGCCGACTATGCTTGCCGACCGTCCTTTCCTACATCCGTAGGTCAAGTTGAGCGTGCGTGACCGCCTCGCGGACGCCCCTAACGGCAAATATGGTACGCTTTCCAGCAATAGAAACTGGGTGCAGTGTGTCCCGACCGAGTCGCTGCTGTTTGCCCGCAGCTGACATTCCTTGCAATCCATGGATGCCCCAAGGTGTCGGAGCTGCATTGATAGGGCCTGAAGCATTATCCTGAATCCCAACCCTTCCCGCTTCTTATGGGTTGTCCTTCCCGTTTTCTCCCCCTCCTTCCCTCCGCTCTCCTCCCCAGTGGTCGTCGCCGGCATCACCCCCACCCCCCTGGGCGAGGGCAAGAGCACCACCACCATCGGACTCTGCCAGGCGCTGGGAGCCTATCTGGACAAGAAGGTGGGGAGGGGGGCTGAGGAGGGGAAGAGAGGAGCAGGACGAGAGAGAAAGAGAGAGATCGCAGGGAAAGGGGCAGCGGAGGGCACAAAGGAAACAAGATGCAGAGTGTTGGGGGAAGGGGCTGAAGGGTCAGCGGCGTGGCTGGAAGGCCCTGGCTAAGGCGCGTATCGCCCCCCCCCAGGTGCTCACGTGCGTGCGGCAGCCCAGCCAGGGCCCCACCTTCGGCATCAAGGGTGGCGCGGCGGGCGGCGGCTACAGCCAGGTGGGGCGGGGTGGGGGAATGTGTGAATGTGGTGGGTAGGGTAAGGGTACCGGTAGGCAGCCGGGCAGTCACGGCACATACCGGTACTGGTATAGGGTTTCCTCCATAGTTGGGCAGGCGCGCTTCCAAGAGGCTCAAGGAGCAACTAGCCCTCTTCTTCTTTCCGAGCTCCATTCGTCCCCTGCCTCTGCGCTGAACACGGCTTCCATGCAGTACCCTCACCACCACCTCCCCTGCGCCCCTCGTCCCGCTCCACTCCACTTCGCCCCTTCACGTCTCATCGCACTTCCCCCCCTACCACTGCAGGTCATCCCCATGGAGGAGATGAACCTGCACCTCACCGGCGACATCCACGCCATCACCGCCGCCAACAACCTGCTGGCGGCCGCCATCGACGTGCGCATGTTCCACGAGCGCACCCAGACGGACGAGGCGCTCTTCAACAGGCTGTGCCCCGCGGACAAGCAGGTGTGTGTGGGGGGGGCGGGGGGGCGGGGTAAATGAGGAAACTGACGGCCTGTGTGACGAGGCTTCACCAGGAGGTGTGGGTGGGGAGGCGTGGATGAGGTGTGGTTGAGGTGGCAAGGTGCTAGCAAATGGCGATGGCTCCTGAATTGCATGACATGACAGTAAGGAACACCTCGTCCGCCTACCCCGGCAGCAATCGCGCAGCTGCACCCCGGCTGCCTGGCCGCACCCCACCGCACCACAAAACCCCATCCCTCGCGCATCCTCTCCCCCTCACCCCTTTCCGGCCCCTCCCTCCCCTCGTCAGGGCAAGCGGCGGTTCGCCCCCGTGATGCTGCGGCGCCTGGCCAAGCTGGGCATCACCAAGACCGACCCGGAGGAGCTGACGCCGGAGGTGTGTGGCTGGGGAGGTGGGGGGTGGGAGGGTGGGGGGCGGGAGGGGGTGGGCCCCGCCAAGAAAAAAGAGGATACCTTGCTGTGGTGGAAGTGGGCGAGGAGGGAGGGGAAAGAAGGGAAAGTAGAAGCCCACACCCCGGCTGACCCGTGGGTCACACTCGCTACCCCTGCCTGCATGTGGCCCCTGCCTGCTGCCCTGTCCCCCTCAGGAGCGCCGTGACTTCGCCCGCCTGGATCTGGACCCCGCCTCCATCACCTGGCGCCGCGTCATTGACACCAACGACAGGTGAGGAGGGGAAAGAAGGAAATCCAATGTGTGGTGTGATGGTGGTTAACTAGCTGACAAGCCGTAAGGGAGGAGGGGGCCGGTGGGGAAGGGGCGGGCGAAGGAGGAGGGACTCATCATGTGCCATGTAGGCTCCGGGGAGAGAGGGGCGGCTGCCGTATGGCACCAGTCAGTCGAGCAGTGCTCCGTCCTGCCGCCGTGCCTCCTCCCATGCGCCCCCGGTGCTCACCCGCTCCTTCACCCTCACCTGCTTTCCTCCTCCCTCCTTCCCACCCCGTCATGCAACCATGCAACCCCTCCCTTCTCCCCCTCTCCCTCCCTGCACCCCCCTCCCTCCCCTGCACCCCCCTCCCTCACCCGCTGCCCTGCCCCAGGTTCCTGCGCTCCATCACAGTGGGTCAGGGCACCGAGGAGCGCGGCCAGACTCGCGGCACTGGCTTCGACATCACCGTCAGCAGCGAGATCATGGCGGTGCTGGCGCTGGCGACCGACCTGGCGGACATGCGGGAGCGGCTGGGGCGCATGGTGGTGGGCAACGACAGCAAGGGTGAGGGATGAGGGAAAGGAGGAACTGAGGCGGGAGGGGAAAGGAGGAAACTGAGGGGAAAGGAATGAGAAGGAGGGCGTGTGGGGGTGTGGGGAGGGTACAGTTCATGGGTTTTGGGGTTGGGGTGGTTAGAGGGAAGGGTTAAAAGGGTACGGTAACGGAGGATGGGGAAGGGGATGGAGGGCAGGCGGTATCGCCTTCACGTCATGCACCGCCCGGCGGCTACCTGGCTGTGCAAGTGAAGCCAGTGAGCCGCAGGCATGGCACTGACCGGCTTTCCTCTTTACCCCTCCCTCCCCCATCCCTCCCCCCTACTCGCCCCCCAGGCCGGCCGGTCACCGCTGATGACCTGGGTGCGGGCGGCGCGCTGACGGTGCTGATGAAGGATGCCATCCTGCCCACACTCATGCAGGTGCAGAGGCGGGGTTAATACAGATTCCGCAGTGCGGGGGGAAGTTGGACGGGCTCGGAGGTCCGTTGGGTTTGCAAGCTAGCTACTTTGCATTGAAGGCGGCGGTTACCCTTGGAAGGGCAGTCGGGGGGCAGCTGACGGAGGCAAAGGAGGAGGTCGTACGGGGTGTGAACAGGGTACGGGGTGAGGAAGGGACGTGAACTCATACGCATTCTTTCCCGTCCTCCTTCTCCCCTCCTCAGCTCATCAGTTCCCTCTTTTTCCCCCACCTCCCCACCTCCTCCCCTCCCCGCCAGACCCTGGAGCGCACCCCGGTGCTGGTGCACGCCGGCCCCTTCGCCAACATCGCGCACGGCAACAGCAGTGTGGTGTCTGACCAGATCGGGCTCAAGCTGGTGGGGCCGGAGGGCTACGTGGTGACGGAGGCGGGCTTCGGAGCCGACATCGGCATGGAGAAGTTCATGAACATCAAGTGCCGCGCGTCGGGTGAGTGTGTGTGTGGAGGGGTGAGGGGGGATGCGTCACTCATCTCTTTCTCAAGCTATAACGGTATACGGTGCTCCGCCGGAATGTCACACGCAACATGGCTAAGGGGTAGTAGCCAGTAGCGGCCAGCCAGCAGTGATTGGTCCAGTCAAGCCGCCGGCTTCTTTCTCTTCCTTGTAATGTAAGGCCCCTTTCTCCACAACGGTCCTCATACGGCCCCAGCATCTGCTGCTGCTCCTGCCCCGTCCGTGGCTCCCCCCTTCCTCTCACCCGTTTGTTCCTTTCCCTGACGCCGCATCCTGCCCCTCACCTCCCTCACCTTACCCCCCCCCCAGGTCTCACCCCCGACTGCGTTGTCCTGGTGGCCACTGTTCGCGCGCTCAAGATGCACGGAGGCGGCCCGCCCGTGGTGGCAGGTAGGGGGGCGTGGGGGGGGGGAGGCAGGGAGGGGGGAAGGCAGGGGGGGAGGCAGGGAGGGGGGAAGGCAGGGGGGCAGGAGGGGATGCGCGTCCAGCATTCTGTCGCGGTTTCTTGGGCAATTATGGGCAACGTTTGGGGGTGTGTGCGGTCTCAGCTCTGGAAGGGCATCGCTGTCCAGCAGCAGCTGGTGCACTCCCCGCATCATCCTACTCCTAGTCCCCCCTACCCCCGCATCATACCCAACACCTCTTCCCGCCTCCCTGACCCCCTCCCCCTGGTAAAGCCTTGTCATACAGCCCGTCAGTTGCATCGTCAGTGTCTCATTATGTTTTACCCTCCCCCCCCCTGCCTATTCAGGCACCCCCCTGCACCACGACTACACCACTGAGAACGTGCCGCTGGTGTCTGCCGGCTGCTGCAACCTGGTACGGCACATCCAGAACGCGCGCAAGTACGGCGTTCCGGTGGTGGTTGCGGTCAACCGTTTCGCCTCCGACACGGATGCGGAGCTGGAGGCGGTGCGGGCGGCGGCGCTGGAGGCGGGTGAGCTGATAGTGTGGGGTAATGTGTATCGGATCTAACCGCGAGTTGGGGAAAGAGACGTGGGGTTCAACGGCCATACCAAAGTGAAAGTGGGGGGGAAGTGCGTAGAGGTACTTGAATGGGTGGCGTGGGTGGGCTTGCGGGTATGTTTGTTCACCCGAACTGGGGGGGTGTCGAGTGTTCCGGCGATGATGGCGAAAAACTCTTACCCAACCCTTCTGGTTACCCTACTGCCCACCCAACCCCTCCACCATCTTCCCCCTCTCTCCTTTCCCAACCTTCCACCTCCTATCCCCACTGCTGTTTTGCCTTGACCTGTGGTTTCCTGCCGTTTGGTGCTTCACCCCCTCCACACCCGCCATACATTGGTTATTCTTCTTTCACCCCTGCAACCCCCCCCTGCACCCCCTCCCCTCCCGCCCCCAGGCGCCAGCGCCGCAGTCATCTGCGCGCATCACGGGCTGGGCGGTGCGGGGGCGGTGGAGCTGGGCCAGGCGGTGATCGCCGCGTGCAGCCCGGAGACCAAGCCCGAGTTCAAGTTCCTGTACGACGTCAACCTCTCCATCAAGGTTAGTGAATGTTGATGGCTGCAACAACATGTATATATAGCCAGTAAGCCGCAAGGGGGCGCTTGTGGGGTACGAGCGCGGCAGTGATGCAAGGCGAGTACTGGTGGAAGGTCGCCTTGCATCACTGCCGCGTTCGTACCCCACGAACGTCCCCTTGCGGCTTACTGGCTATATATAACGATGCGGCTAGCCACAATGTGAACATCCACCAGTACACATACATATTAGCATCAGTCTGTTACTTCATGCTAGCCCGATCCAAGTGCCTGCAGCATGTTGAGACCACCACCGTAATAATATCTCGCCCGCAGGAGAAGATTGAGATCATTGCTCGCGAGATGTACCACGCGTCCGGGGTGGAGTACAAGCCGGAGGTGAGGGGCGGGGGCGGGGGCTCAGGGAGTCGGCTGGGTGCGTCCGGCTTTGCATGACACAACAGCGAGTGTGTGCCCCTCCGGGTACCTCCGTTGCAGCATCACGGACTGGACATCAGCCTGCTATGCCACCTGCTCAGTTGGGTGACAACCCCACAGTCGTGTTCTCCATTTTTGGTCTTTACATAATACTCTCCTTCCCTCTCCCCATCTCTCTCCCGCCCCCCAGGCTGAGGCCCAGATCGAGAAGTACACGCGCATGGGCTTCGACAAGCTGCCCATCTGCATGGCCAAGACGCAGTACAGCTTCAGCCACGACGCCAGCCTGAAGGGTGGGTTGGCTGTGAGGGGAGGGGCACATGGCTTTCATCTAGTCCCCCGGCGTAATCAGCATCACTCCCTCCCCATGTTGAGCCTCCCTGAGGTCACGGGCAGTGTTTCCCCTCGGCTCACTTAACCTACTCCACACTCCTATTCCGCAACCCCTTCCTCCCCCACCATGGCCAATTGTTTCCTCTTCATCCCCACCCTCCCCTCCCACCCCTGCAGGCGCCCCCAGCGGTTTCATCCTGCCCATCCGCGACGTGCGCGCCTCCGTGGGTGCCGGCTTCCTGTACCCGCTGGTGGGCAACATGATGACCATGCCGGGACTGCCCACCCGGCCCTGCTTCTACGACATCGACCTGGACCCGGCGACCGGCAAGATCGTGGGTCTGTCGTAAGCGCAGGAGGAGTGGAGAGGAGGAACAGGAGCAGGAGGAGGGTGCAGGAGGAGGAGACGGGAGGAGGGCGCTGCGGGCAGGATGAATGGGGCAATTGAGTAACAGGTTGGCGTTCCAGCAGGTGTGGTGTTTGGATTTTCGCAGCAGGCGACCCGTGGGTCAGATGGCTAGCAGTGTGGCAGTGCGGCACTGATGGTCAAGGCGTCTTCGGGTTAGCCACAATTTTGACGAAATTCGTTGTTCCCTGGGATGTGTCTGGCGACTTTAAACACATGCAGAGGGGTTTCCAGCGATTGCCCCTGATGTCTGTTGGAATATCTTCATGTTGCGCAATGCACGTTCTACAAGCAGTTGCGGTCCAATGGAGATGGACGTTTCCGTTGTAAGTATACGGAGCTGGATCCTGCTGGAACGGGTTGGCAAGTTCGCGAATAAATCTATTCAATTAAAGGTTAGAAATCTTTGTTGGATTCGAGATCTGTCCAAGGGATATGGCTCGCTCGGATGCTCGGGCTTCCATGAACGCTCGGCGCCACGTTTGCAGCTGCTGGTGCCACTGCGGGTTCAGGTCGGCGACCTGATGCTAGTCTCCCCCTTCCCACCCGCCTGGCGGCACTGTCGGCTCAGCTGCACTGTGAAACGCAGATAAGCTCTAACCAACATCGGTAGCCGGAGGAGGAGACGCCACCAAACACGAAGGCATGACCTCCTGGCAAGTCCAGAAAGCATGTTGCACCGATATGGCTTCATGGCTTAGCATGCAATGTGTCACACCTGCGCCAGTGGCTCGTACATGCTCTGGATGCTTACATGTCGTACAGGGCAGTTGGTCCGGGAAGAAAACAAACGTCGTACCCTGCAGGGCATGATACAGACGTAGGTCCGAGTTACTCCTTAACACTCGTTAACTAAGACAACATAATAGTCTATGAAACCAGTCTCCTTGCCGCCGGCTGAACGCACGCTTCTCCTTGTCAAAAACGCGACGGCGAATGCCCACATCCCAACAGCCCAAAGTTGCCGTACACACGTCCATACACGTCATTCCACGTCAGTGGCATTCGCTCACTCGCACGGTTATACAAACCCCAAACCTGCCCCTTCACTCCTCTTCAAACCCCCCGCCCAATACTTCACAGTATCTTGATCCCCCCATGCGCCAATCCCATGGCTGCCTCCCCTCCCCTCCCCTCCTCCATCACCGCTCTCCATCCACATCCTCCCCTCACTGCTGCCCCTCCTGCCCCAGGTGCTTGTAGATGTCCGCCGCCTGCTGCGCCGCATTCCCGATGTAGGTCGCGGGTGTGAGCGCCTGCAGCGCCTCCACCGCCTCCGCCGGCAGCCCGTCTAGACCCGCCACGAATGTGCGCATGCTGTCCTGCGTCACACGCTGACCGCGGGTGAAGGCCTTGAGCTTCTCGTACGGCTCGGGGACGCCGTACCTGCGGGTGCACGAGGGATGTACGGCGGAAGCAGGACGGAGGGGTGAAGAAGACAGACGCGGGGGACACGTGGGTTTCTGCAGCAACCCATTACCCATCGTAAAGCCTTACTTCCCCCACAACAACACCTTGCTTCCCCCACAACAACCCATTGGGTATCTTCTTTCATCAACCTCCCCCGTCTTTCTGCAGCAACCCATAGTAAAGTCTTGTCACACAGCTCGTCTGTTTCCATTTTTCCCCCCACCCACCCCGCCTCCACACCCACCTCCGCATGACCGTCTGAATGGGCTCCGCCAGCACCTCCCAGCTCCCATCCAGGTCGGCCGCCAGTCGGGCTGCATCCAGCTGCAGCTTGCTGATGCCCTTGAGGCTGGAGGCGTACGCCAGCAGCGCGTGACCCAGCCCCAGCCCCAGGTTTCGGAGCACGGTGGAGTCGGTGAGGTCGCGCTGCCAGCGGGAGACGGGCAGCTTGTTGACCAGGTGGTCCATCACGGCGTTGGCAAGGCCCAGGTTGCCCTCCGAGTTCTCAAAGTCGATGGGGTTGACCTTGTGCGGCATGGTGCTGCTGCCAACCTGGGGTGCGGGGGGGAGGGAGGGAGGTGATGGGAAGATGGGTTGGGATGCCTATGACGAAATCTGGTCGCAAAAGGCGAGGCGATGGAAAGTGATGGGATGGGGCGAGTGTTATGGAAAACTGGCTGCGAAGAAGAACATACTGTGAAAGAGAAGCGTAGTGTGAAGAGTGGCATTGAATCCTCTCAGGCCCGCGTCATGTGGCTTAAAGCACACTCTCCCTCCCTCCCTCCCTCCCAACCCGGGCGCTTACCTCCCCAGCAATGGTCCGCTGCTTGAAGTAGCCGAGCGAGATGTAGCCCCACACGTCGCGGTCAAAGTCAATGAGGATGTTGTTGAAGCGGATGATGGCGCCGTACAGCTCGGCGATGTAGTCGTGCGGCTCGATCTGCGTCACGTAGGGGTTGAACTCCAGACCTGCGTGCGGAAGGGGAGCAGCGGGAGCGGTGCGGTGGCGAGCCGACCCATGGGTCATCAGGGGTTAGAAAAGTAGAGAGGCAAGCCTCCTTCCTTGTACTCGTAAAACCGGCTTCAATACCAGCAGCCCACCCACGTACAGCCTTCCAGCTCACATTCCCCTGCAACCCCCAAACCCGCAGTACAGTCCTCCCGCCACCCAATCGTACGAACCCTTCACACACCCTACGCTCCCACCCGCACCCACCTGCACCCACTCTCCTGCACCCTAGCCATCACCCCTCCCCCTCCCCCCCACTCACCCAGCGAGGGCACGAACTCCGCCGCCACCGCCTGCCAGTCCACCTCCGGGTAGGCGGACATGGCGGCGTTGTAGTTGCCCACCGCGCCAGCCATCTTGCCCAAGAACGGCACGGACGCCAGCTGCGCGGGCAGGGGGGGGGGGAGGTACGGCGGGAGGAGAGGGATGCGTGTTAAGAAGCCTGGCCGCGAGTAGGAAGGCACGATGTGATGCGTGTGTGTGTTTTGGGGGTGGGATACCATGGGTTACGACGCATACGGTACACATCCAAATCGCTAAAGGGAGGCTATACAGCACACCGCGACTGCTCATCACACGTCCGCATCGCGTTGAACCCAACCCTGCTCTCACCCTACATACCATGCCCATTGTTTTTCGTACAATTGCTGCCCCATCCCCTGCATTTCCCACTGCCATTTCACAGCCATTTCATACATACCCACCGCGCCGTTTTTCAATAGTGCCGTCCCGCGTGATATAGGCTTTTTGGTTCATTTATTCTTACAATGCATTTTTCCGTCCTCCGCTATTCCTTCCCTAGTACTACTACCAACGTTTCCTCCTTTCCACCTTCCCACATGTTTCGTCCCTGGCTGGCCTCGCTCTGGATTGGTCCCTGGACATGGCGGCTGGCCCTTCACGTGGTTTCCCGGTACACACCTCTTTGTGTACCTAGGTACGTGTTTTATCATGTGTCGGTCTGTGTTGTTTTTTATGAGTGCTCGTGTTGTGCTGTTCCTGCTGTTGGCGTATGCCCCACGGCGCGGTGGGTCTCCACCTCACCTTCAGCAGCCTCCACACATGCCCAAGCCTATGGTAAGGTTTCTCCATAATTGGTAAGTTCGGTAAGTTTAGCTCGCTTTGCTTTCACCACCATTTCGGCTCGACTCACGGTTCATTTCACCAGGGATTGTCAGCAACTTATATCATTATCACACCACACTTTGGAATTTCTTTTTTCCCCCCGTCTCCCCCTCCCTCCCCGTCTCCTCCCACCCACCCCCTACCTGCGCCCGCTGCCTGGACAGGCGGTACGCGAACACCGCCATCTCCTTGCCCATGGTGGTGGGCGAGGCGGTCTGGCCGTGCGTGCGGCTCAGCATGGGCACCGCAGCGAACTCGGAGGACAGGCGGGCGAGCTCGGAGATGAGCGCGTCCATGGCGGGCAGCACCTGGGGGGAGCAGGGGGGGGGGAGGGATGGTGGGTGGGTGGGGTGGGGGGAAGGGGGAAGGGGGAAGGGAGGAAAGCCATGCGACAGAGTGACAGTGGGGGTGGGGGAATGGGTGAGCGGGGTAAGGGGTGGTGGTGGTGACAGGTTGGATGCAGACGCCGAGCTGCTGCAGCACTGGAGGAGTGGAGCGGGGACGGCCCCTTAAGCCAACAGCAAGCCAGTCCTCACTCGTCACGGGCTGCAGCTCCTCGCCTTGCGTAGGAGGTATGAGGTATGGGGTATGACCAGCCCGACCCCCATGCGTTACCCCAGCACCCAGCAAACACCCCGACCTCAGCCGCCCTCCCCACCCTGCACCCCCCCTCGCCACCCCCCCCGGGCCCACTCACATGGCCCTGCACGGCCTCCTTGAGCATCAGCGCGTGGCTCAGGTTGTTGATGTCCTGTGCGGCAGGTGGGGAGGAGGGAGGGGGAAGAGGAGGGAGGGGGAGGAGGAGGAGGAGGAAAGGGAGCGGGTTATAAGATTGATGGTTGATGAGAGGAGGAAAGAGCCCAGTAACGGTGCGCCTAGGTGGGTCTAGCTGAAAAGAGACGGGCGCATTGGGAGCATTGCAACCCTTGCAAGCCATGTTCCAGCAGCAGCATGGCACGGCAGCCACATTCCCAAACCACCCCCGGGTGTCATGCACACACGCCACCGTGGCTCCCAAAGTCGCTAGCAGTCCCAGCATGCTGCTGTTGTCGTACTTGCCTCGCTGGTGCAGGCAAAGTGGGTGAACTCCAGTACGGCAGCCAGCTCGGGGTTGGTACGGAAGTGCTCCTGTACGGCAGGAGGAGGGAGGAAGAAGGGGAGGGAGGAGGAGCAATTGTAAGAGCGATAGGGGTTCAGGACTAACCCCTGCTGCCGTACGCCACCTCTCACCCCGCTGCCGTACGCCACCACCCACCCCGCTGTCGTACCGCCACCTCCCACCCCGCTGCCGTACCGCCACCTCCCACCCTGCTGCCGTACTGCCACCTCCCATCCCACGTACCTTGAGCACGTACTCGACTGCCTTAACGTCGTGGTTGGTGGTGCGCTCGATTGCCTTCACCCGCATGGCCACCTCGGGGGTGCAGCCCTCGGGGGTGCACAGGTGGTCCAGGATGGCGTTGGCCTCGGGGCTCAGGGGGGGCACCTCGGTCACTGGGGGAAGGGGGGGCCAGGAGGGGTTGCGGCAGGGGCGCAGGGACAAGCCGCCCCCGTGCCAACTGGCAGCCTGGCCGCATCAGTTGTTACCTTCTACTAACGGCACCCCTTCCCGTCCACTGTTACCCTGCAGCCAGCCAGGAGCGCCTACTCCTGCCTTCCTGGCCCCGTAGCTATGGGCCCCCATGCGATTCCTCACCGCCCTCCCTACTCACCCCCCTCCCCCCTTGCCCGCACCCCCCACCCCCCTCAGTCGTCAGTTTTCCTTACTTTTATCCCCTCCCCTCCCCGCCCCGCCCCACCCTGCGGTATCCTGGCCAGCTGCTGCAGCCAGCGGCACTCCACCAGCACTCGGAAGCGGATGAGGCCGTACTCGGAGAAGATGGAGCGCAGCGGGGCGCTGATGCGGCCGTAGCGGCTGGCAGGGAGGCGGGGGCGGGGGCGGGGGCAGGGGCAGGGAGGAGGGGATAGGGAGAAGAATGACGAAAGCGATGCTGTTAGAGAAGCCTGATCAGCAACACCGCGAGCGGCAAGGTGCTGCCCGGCAATGAACAACAACGGACATGCCAGCCAGGGCAGCCAAGGGGCCTATGCGCGCCCTTCGCAGCTGCAGGTGCAGGTGCAGGTGCTGAGTCTCACCCGTCCAGGGGGCTGACGGCGGTCAACTCAGACAGCTCCAGCTTGGTTGGCTGTGTACGGCAAAGGAGAAGGAGTTAACAAGTGGGTGTTCATTAGGTATAAAATATGATTTGCAGCGCTGATCCTGCCGGTGTAGCCAGTTCCACTATGAACTTGCTGCTAGTGCAGCCATTTGTGTGCGGGATGAGCGATGAACTAACAGACGGTTGGGCACCTGCTTCCAATCGCGCACCTTGGCAGGTGCTTGAGCAGCCTGAGGCGCCTGGCTAGGAGTTGGCGCCGGCGATGGCGCAGCAAGGGTGGCGACAGGGCGGCATGGGCCAACACGCGACACGGGGGCCGCGAGGCGCTGCTGTCGGCGGCTTGTAGCCTGACGGCTAACAACGCCTGATTGGGAGCCTGAAAGAAGTGTGGCGTTCATGCTTACAGCGAGTATCGGCTTTGTTATTCGGTAGAATTGAAGTTACGCCGACGAATACTAATTGTTAAACTACAGGGGTGTAGGAAAGGGTAACGTTCGGCGTATCGTCCGTCGGGCAATGAGCGAAATCCGTAACTGTCGCGCCCACTGGCTGGCGGCAGCTCGGACTTGCACGGCGGCACGTGCGGCAATTTTGCTGTCCGTTGGCCCATATAAAACGTTACGGGGAGTTACGGAACGTAGTCAATTCCTGTACATTCTAATGCTTTCGCAATGACATCATAAGAAAGTCCTGGTACGCAGCAATGATGCCAATGCTAGCAACAGTTATCTGGTCTGTCACGAAGAAAATTACATAAATATATACGCACTATCACACAACCCACACCTTCCTAACGCATCCTAACGCCGCGACTTAGTACCCCTAATATTCATGGCACATGCCGATTCCCACATCATCCCAATGCCTCGGAATCCCGCTCTCTTCACGCCCGCCTCACTTCCTTCCAGGGCTACCTCCTCCTGTTTGACTAAATCCCGCCTCCCTCATCTCCCCTGCAGCCCCACCGCTTCCGCCACCTGCTCCACCCTGCTTTGCACCTCGCCCATCTGCCGCCCCAGCCGCTCCAGCTGCTGGCCCTGCGCCGCCACCGCCGCCTCCACACGGCCCAGCGATGCAACCAACCCCGGCAGCAGCGACAAAAGGAGCTGCTGCGAATCCTGCGGTTGCGGTTCCAGCCGAACCTGCTCCTTGGCGCCTTCAGCAGGCGACTGTTGAGGCTGCGCCACCGCAGCGCCCTCGCCCTCAGGGAGCCGTAGCCGCCCCTGCCCTTGCTGCTGACCCCCAGCCCCTTCCCCTCTGCTTTCGTCGCCTCGAGCTCCCCGCTGCCCCGGCCCCGCCCCGGGCCCCACTGCGGTTCCGCTGTCAATGGGATGCTCATTCCTCTCTGCCCCGGCGGAGGCCCCCACCAGGTGCTCCTCCAGGCGCCTCACGCGGGCACTCACCTCCGCCAGCTGCCCCGCGGCGGCCGCCAGCCACCCCGGCAGACCGGGGAGGCCGGAGGGGGGGAGGAGAGGGGCAGACAGCGGCGGCAGCGCCGGTGGTGGTGGTAGGCCTTGCGGAGGAGGAGGCGGCGGCAAGGAAGGCGGGGAGGAGGATGGCTGAGGCAAGAAAGGTGCAGCAGCAGCTGTTGTTGCAGGCGGAGCGGCCTGCAGCGACGGCTGGGAAGCATGTTGTTGGTACAGCTGCTGCTGTAGCTGTTGCTGCTGGTGTTGGCTGGCTTGCTGCGCCGACAGCAGGGATCGAGCCAGGGTGGCGGCCAGACTGAGGTTGGCGGCAGCCGCAGCCCCATGCCCCTGCCCCTCCTTCCCCACCTCAGCACTACTGCTACTGCCACTCATCCCTAAAGCCGCTCGCCGGAGCAGCTCCCGCAGCTGCTGCGACTGGGAACCCGCAGCAGCTGGTGCTGCCGTACCGCCGCCGCCGTCGTCACTATAATCCGGTCCCACCGTGAGAGCACCTGCTGTCATTGCTACTGCTGCACCTGACATTGCCGCCACGATCTCCACTTCCCTTCCCTCGTTCTTTCCCGCTCCAGTCGCCGCCCCGTCACCCATGCCGTCCAACGGCGAGCAGTGCTGCGGCAGGAACCCGGCAGCACTCGGATCGCCGCCCACCACCGGCTGCAACAGGCGCCCCGCAGCAGCACCCTCACCTCCGCCATCGCCGCTACTGCTGCCATCGCCGCTGAAGCCACCATCGCAGCCGCAGCCAAAGGAGGAGGCGGAGGCTGCGGCGGGGGTGCCGCAGCATGGCCGGGGGGATGCCGCTGACGTTTCCGCAACACCTGCCGCAGCTGCTGGCGTCGCTGCAGCTGATGCATGCGCTGGGTTGGCTGCCGTTGTAGCTGCTGCTGCTGTTGCAGCAGCATCCGCCAGCAGCTGTATGCCGTACACGTAGCAACAGCCGCTGGCGGCGCTACTGCTACCGCTGCTGCTGCTGCTTGCAGGATTGATATCGCCGGCGGGAGCCGTGGCGGCTAGCGCACGAGATGCAGATGTCGATGGGAAGCGCAGCTGAAGGACCTGCCAGTCGGGGTAGGCCTGGTGGAAGGAGGGGGCAGGAGGAGGGCAGCCCGGGGGAGATCTCTGGGGGATTAGCTACTTGGGTACTAAGGGATTGTCGGACTGCGACTTAACTGGTTGGGGTCAGGTAGCCAGTCAAGGGGCATGGGAACATGGGCGATCTTAACACCATGCGTGCACTACGAAGCAGCATGGCCGTTAGCAAACCAACACTCTGGTCTTGGTACCTCTGTAACTAGCTGCTGAGGGCCATACACTGCCTACACCGGCGGAGCCCTCCCCTCCTTTGCTCTCACTTGGCGAACAGGAATGCGGGCGAGGAACGCCGCAGCATCCATGGATGGTCCGCCATTACGCCCGTGAGGAGTCGCCGCATCGGCTGAAGCTGCTGCTTTGTAAGGCGTCCCCCGCAATGTCTGTGCGTAGGATGGTGCTGAATCTCCAGGAGTCTGGACGTGCAGCTCGATGATGCGGCTGCTGCATATTACAATGACGTCTTCCGCTGGAGCCAAGGGTAATCGCAGCAGGCGCAGGCATGGGGCCGCGCTACCTTGCTGGGATTTTAAGATACCTAACTGTAAAGGAAACTGTAACGCGCTAAGAGGAAAGGTCCTCGGAAGACCGTCGGCTTCATACGTTACATTCATGGGAATGACTAGTTCGCATTAAGTTCATACAGTTTCATTCGATTGCAAATGTCATTTGTTACGAAATCACAACGCGCCCTGCACTGAACTGATCAGTGAACGGCCTTGGTAACTACCGCCATTAGCCACTGCACTGCAGGGAATGAATGTTTCTCTCATCATACGTTCTCTTAAACAAACTTCTCCAGTCACTAGACATGTCAGGACAACACCTGTCCAGGACCATGAATTGCATGCAGCATCCCTGCATTTTGCTAGTGGCCAGGGTTCTGCATACGCGACATCTCCAGCTCTCTGTCAAACTCGTTGAGCATGTGCCCGAACTCGCTGCCCAAGTCCTGCAGCGCGTGCACCATGGCGTCCTCGGGTGACTTGGTCCCATTGGTCTGCACCTTCACGACCATCACTGCCTCCAGCGGGTGTGGTATCCGGTAGCCAGCGAAGACGGTAGACTTGTCAGAGTGCAGCTGCATCCTCAGCAAGTTGCCGATGGTGTGGTCTTCTGACCGAAACGAAAACGTCCCCGCATCCTTTAGCTTGGTATCCGCCTTGTATGTGACTTTTCGCTCTCCCTCTGGGAGAACAAAGTTGACATAGCGATCTGGCTGGTTCATGGCCGCCCCCCCTGACGCCCCGGCACGCTAGGGCACCGTCCCTTGCCTTTAAACTACCAATACAGCTAGGGTATTATAGTGGAATGACTACAGCAACAACAATGGCTTAAAGAAGGTTATCAACTTGCAGTTGGGGTATATGGATTTTTCCTACACTTGTGAGTAATTTTGTGAAAATCGCTACTGCGTTATTAAAGTGGAAGTAGCCGCATTGCGCGAAGAAGTAACCTGCACATTTCCCTTAGCCCTCGCCTTACTGTTCGGTCTGTACTTTGCCGTACCGGTACTACGCGCGAGGAAAGGAAACTAGGCATCAAGTCCTTGTCGCCTAAGGGGTTTAAGTAGTTCTATAAAGGGGAAACGCGCTGGGAATACATGTACATTAAATCCGGGGGATGCAAACCCGGAGGTACACCTGAAACCAGGACGTACCACCAGCCAAGGGCAGCGAGCACATCCGCACGGAGCTGCACGTGACCTGTTAGACGAAGCCCCTTGGCAGCCTCTTGGCACGCTCCTTCAACAGGATGTGCCCCGTCTCACTTTGCTCACCAAACTGGTCCTAAAACGCTTGACGGCAACCTCGTCCTTCCCTTCACGCAAGCACACGTACGCACGACGAACGCTCGACGCTCGAGAAAACATGTTTCAATCTCTTGGTTTCCGCGCGCAGACGTAAAGCCTTGCTTGTCACCACGTTACGCACTCGTACAAGCAGGCGCGTTGTGGTGGCGTGATCCACACCCAGAAGAACATGCCGTACGCAATAGCTATACATACCGTCACGCTACAATCATACCGCCACCTTCCACCACGTCAACAACCCCCGTGGATAAATGGTAAACCTAAACCTAATTTCCGTAGAGCGACGAACTGGTCGCTTACAATATGTAGTACAGAACCCGCGCAACACAACCCACAGTCCCACACGTCCTGACACGAGGCACCTGCCCTACCCAAACACGCTCCCATGTCCCACCCCCCTCACGCCGACTGCCGCAGCAGGTGCGCGATGTCGTTGATGGCCCCCAGCAGCGCCGCGCCCAGTCGCTTGGCGCGCCCGGGGCTCCAGCCGACCCGCGGGTCAGGCACCTCCAGGCTGTCCTTGAAGGGCATCTCCAGCGTCAGCGACAGGCAGTCGAAGCGGTGACCCACCTGTTGCAGGGTTGCAAGGTTGCAAGGTCGTACAAGCACATGCACAGCAGTGGGCTGGAGTAGCGTGGAGTGGCTGCGAGCTTCACAGAGCATCACGAGGCAAGGGGGGTTGCACAACGACTTGAGGACATACACACCAACATTCCCCCGGCATGCCCGCACTCTATGCCGCACGCCACAACCATCTCGACAGCCACCACCACCGCCACACCACCGACACCACTCCGATTCTCGACCATTTTTGTTAACACCCGCACCCGCACCACCACACCTGCTTGCTGGCCAGTGTCAGGTTGGCCCGCCCCGGCGCGTCCCGAGCGTAGCCGTGCGCCGTTTGGAACTCGGGCGCATGGCGGGCCGCTGCGGCGCAGAAGGCGGTCTGCAGCCCCGCCAGCCTGGGTCCCCAGCCGGGCAGCCCCTCCAGCCCCGCCACGAACACGTGCGGCAGCTCCTCGTCGCCGTGGATGTCCAGGAACAGGTCGACTCCTGGGGGGCCGGGGGGAGGAGAGGAAGAAACGAACTAACCGTACGACAAGGTTTCACCATAAGTGGGGGGGGGGAAGGAAGAAGACCCAATGCGTAAGGGCAGTAATAGGTGACAAGCGTCGGGGGGCGGGGCAGAAAGGAAGAGATGGAGATGAGGGATGGGGTGAGGGGTAGGCGTTACGGTAAGGAGTACCGGTAACCTGTCTGAGCCGGTTAACTGGTACAAATAGTGGATGCAGTGGAGCCGGGAGCCTAGGGACGCACCCCACCCCACTCCCTCCCTCCTTGCTTCCCCCCAGCATACCCCTCCCCCCCTGCCCCCTCACCCGTCTTGTCCATGGCTGCTAGCGTGTGCAGCACCTCGGGGGCCGCCTCCAGGGAGGGGGCCGCCCAGGCGCGGTTGAGGTTGGTGCCCGCCGCGTTGGTGCGCAGGTGGCCGCGGGCGGAGCCGTCGGGGCACATGTTGGGTACCACGTAGAAGCAGGCCTGCAGGGGCGGAGCGGAGGGGGTGAAGAGTCAGGTTCAATAATGCGCGGATTGAGCGGAGTAGGAGCGGAGGAAAGGAGGGCCGGGTTTAATACTGCAGGACATGCAGGGTTTGCTCTGCAACGAAACAGGGAGAATGAAAGCATCGCTCCCGGTGTGCGTCCCTCCAGGTTGTGTTCCCCAGCTGGGGAACACAACCTGGAGGGACCGTACCCAGGTGTCAGCCACCCCCCCGCGCCGGCATGCACCTCGGGCCACCCCTGCACCAGCATGTGCCACCGCATCAAGGCACCCTTTGGACCCACGCCCCAAAACAGGTTACCACTGTCACACAACACATTGGGTATTCTTCTTTCCCCCCCAACCAGGTACGGTCTCCCCCACCTTCCCCCCCCCAACCCGCGGGTGGGCCCCACCTTGCCGCCCAGGCACCTCGCCACGCTGTCCTCCGGGTCCGTCAGCCGCTCCAGCAGCCCCTCAGCGAACCACTCCGCCATGCTCTCGCCCGGGTGCTGCCGGCAGATCACCCACACGCGGAGCGGCGGGGGGCAGGGGCCGGGGGAGGGGGAGGAGGTGGCGGAAGGAGCAGCAGCAGCAGGAGAGGTGGCCTCGGCGAGGGATGAGGCGGCGGCTACGGCGGTGGGGGCCGATGGACCGATCTACAAGCAGGGAACAGAGGAAAAGGGAGAAGGCAAGACGGAAGGCATCGGTTTATCTTCATGACCACCCTAGACGTGTATACCCCTCTCCCACGCACATGCTCCACCCAACCTAATGCACCCTAGCATCATCCCCGTCCCGCCCTCAACCCGACATCTGGCTGCGTACAGGCTGCGACCCACCGCGACCCACGGGTCAGTCCGCCGTCCCACCACCACCCTCCCACCTCCAGCATCTCCAGATCCCGGCCCTCCAGGCTCCTCCCCAGCACCCGCAGCCTCACGGGCAGGTCGGGTCGCGAGCGGCCCTGCATGCGGGCCAGCAGGGCGGCATGCCGATCCAGGCTGTACGGCGCAAAGTAGGCGTACTGTACGGCATCCTGCTGCGGCGTGTGGGTTATGGTGAGCACGCCGGAGGCCGGGTCGTAGTTGGTAGGCACGCTGATGGGCGGGTTTAAACGGGGGTTTAGGGAGGCGTTTTCGGGGGACTGGAGAGGCGGTTGGAGACAAAGGCAGGAAAGGAGGGCAGAGGAGAGAGAGAGACTAGGAGAGAGCCTACAACCAACGACAATGGCGGATATGGTAAGGTCATATGACTAGTTGAGATTTAGTCGTACAAGCCGCACTAGTGCCGAACTCTCACCGGAACCAGTCCTGCAGGTCGTACGAGGCGCAGGCGCGGTATCCCAGCCAGGCGGGTGCGTAGCTGGCGCCGCCCGCATTGACGATGCGCAGGCGCACCTGCCTGCCCGCCGCCCCCACCAGCCGGAAATTGAACCACCTGAGCGGCGTGAGGGGTTAAGGGAGGACGAGGATGAGGGCCGGTAAAAGCCAGCAGCTAAGAGCGCGGGCGGTGGGAGTCAGGGCGTCGCTGCTCATCCTCGCCGTTTGGATGACCGCGCTTTCCGAGACGTGAAGCGGCTACAGCCAAACGTGCTCGAGGCCTGATCAGCAGCATGTTGTGGTCCCTTCACGGACAATAACACCCGTAGGTAGCCTCTGGTTACATAAACCCTTGCACACATGTGCATGCTTAACTGGTAGTGCGCTCGCGAGTCGGAGGCGCAGTAGGGGTCGGGGCGGATGGCGAGGTTGATGGTGGAGTCATCGGGCGCACCCAGCACCTGCGCCAGGGAGGGGAGGGGAGAGAGAGAGAGGAAGAGGGGGCCCGCGTCGCGTGCGTGGAGTTCAAGCAAGCCTTTATCCATTCAACCTAGTGACCGAGACCATAAGCTGCGTGCGCGGTGAATTGCACTGGACACAGCGCCATGCAACTTCATTTATGAGAGCTAGGGTGTGGCGGCATTCATGTAGGGATCCAAGCACGGGGATAATTATGGGTGCCACCCCGGCATATCTACCGTACTGGCGTACACAAGGCAGCCATGGATGGCATGCTAGGGCGTTACCTCGATGTTACCAGCATCCATGCATGACGTTATGTGAAAGCCATAGCAGTTTGGAGAAGCTGTTGTTGTTTCCCCAGTAGTGCCCTCAGCAGTCGAGGCTAGCCTTACGCCACTGCGCCCATGGAAGAAGGAAGGATCAAGGAAGAGAGAAAGGATGATAACCTTTGTTTATGAGCTCAATGTACGGCCCGAACTGACAGACCGCGTGGAGGCCTCACGTTGGGTGCGATGCGGGGTGTTGGGAGTGGAGGGGTTGGGGCGGGGGCCGAGTAGGACTAGCGGGGGATGCAGACATTTTAAAGAGCGGTTGGTGTGTTCCCAACGACCTTGCGCTCTTGGAGTAATATTGTGTTCCGTTAAAATGTATCGCGCGCGCTATGCGCGCAGAGCTTAGGCACGCGCGCATACGCAGGCGGCGTAGACAGGTCCTTCAACGGCAGCAAATGGGTCGATGGGACAATGCACCTAATGAATAAAACGGTGTAGGGTTTGTGTGGTTTTCGGTGATAAGGGTTGTTCTATGCACCCGCCAGTGCATGGAAAGCCGAGCAGTACGGACGGCAATTTTGGCCACTGAGTGTGGGTGGATGCTGCTCCTCTGCCACAACCAACCTGCCAATACCAAAAACGTCAAATTGATCTGATAACTTGCTTATTTTAAGTACAACTGCGTCACAACAAGGTAGTATGCTAGCTGACTAGGTCGAGCCACTCACTAGCCTTAACCATAGGACAACACCATGAGTCTGCTTAGCACCACTATACCGGAGAGGATGAGCACTCCAGACACTGTGGGCTGCTCATCGCGTGTGGTGCCTCCCTGCCTCAGCCGGCCGCACCATCGCTCACCTTGGCACCAACGTTACAACCACCAGCAAGGGCGACGCGGTGTGCGCACATGCGTATATATGCCCATACGAAGCGAGGAACAGATAGCTCTTAAAGTTGAGCCACAAGTTGTGCCTCCGGCCAACTTGCTGAACGAAATTATTGCACCTGTCAAGGCGGACGTGGAGCAGATGAACCAGAACCTTAAAAACGTGGTCGGGAACCGACACCCGATGCTTATGGCGGCAGCAGAACAAATCTTTGGGGCGGGCGGCAAGAAGTTGCGGCCAGTTATTATCTTTCTGGTCGCCCACTGCACGGCGGAGCGCGAGGGCCTCAAGTAAGCCCTTTTTGCGCTTCCAACGCAGCCAATTGTCCTGCAAGATTCTTATGCAATTGGCAACCCCTGCAGGGAGCTAACAGAGAAGCACCGACGTCTGGCGGAGATCACTGAAATGATTCACACGGCGAGCCTGGTGCACGACGACGTGCTTGACGACTGCGACATCCGACGAGGTAGGAGAGTAGCAGACCTCGAGGGGTGATTATCGTCCACACGCCTTGAACGGTCGCCTTGAACGCAGGCAAGAAAACCATCAACAGCATGTATGGCACCCGCGTGGCTGTGCTGGCCGGCGATTTCCTCTTCGCACAGTCTTCATGGTTCCTTGCAAACCTGGACAACCTGGAGGTAAGCACCAGCCACCCAAAACCCCGACCGTCCAACCCCCCATCTTTCCAGTGCGCAACCGGCGTTGACATCCTTGCAACCACACGTCCTAGCTGCCCACATTTCCTCCCACAACCTCACTCCCTTTCCATCCTCCTTGTACACAATCTTTGACTGCACCACCACCGTCCTTGCCTCTCTCATCCATCCCAACACCACTTTCCCTGCCCCCACCCTGCTTTGCCCATGCGGCCATGCCCATGCCCTCCTACATTCTTTTGTCCTTCCGCCAGGTCATCAAACTCATCAGCCAGGTCATCGCCGACTTTGCAAACGGCGAGATCAGCCAGGCCGCCAGCCTCTTCGACACCGACATCACGCTCGAACAGTACCTGGACAAGTCCTTTTACAAGACCGCCTCGCTCATCGCTGCCAGCTGCCGCTCCGCCGCCGTGTTCAGCAACTCGCCGGAGGAGGTCAAGGCGGCGATGTATGCGTACGGCAAGCATCTGGGGCTGGCCTTCCAGGTGGTGGATGACATCCTGGACTTTACGCAGTCCACGGAGCAGCTGGGCAAGCCGCAGGTAGGGCTGCCAGGGTTGGGTGGTAGGGTTTAGGGTTTAAGAGGGGTTTCGAGAGACCAACCCGTTGTAAACGTAGGAAAACGCAGCCAGAGAGCACAATGAGAGAGAAGGCCTGGGGGGAACAAGAGTGGAAGTGGAGCAGGTAGCAAGAGGGGTCCTCCCATGCAAACCCCACCCAACATACCGTTCTCCTTGCCACGCACGAACGCAGCATGCAGCCTTCCTACCTGCCCTGCCCTGACCCAGCTGACCAAGCAGCACAGCTACAGCTAGCCCCAGCTACGTACTTTTCCCTCTCCCTCCCTGCCTTTGTTCCTCGCCACAACCCTCCTTTCCCTTCCCCACCTCTCGTCAACCTCCTCAGGGCCAGGACCTAGCCAGCGGCAACCTCACAGCGCCCGCCATCTTTGCCCTCGGCCGCTGCCCCGAGCTGCTGGACATCATCTCCTCCGAGTTCGTGGAGGAGGGCTCCCTGGAGCGGGCGCTGCTGCTGGTACGGCAGGCGGGCGGCATCGAGGCGGCGCAGCAGCTGGCGGCGCAGCAGGCGGAGCTGGCGCTAGCGGCGCTGGAGTGCCTGCCGGAGGGTCCCAGCAAGCGCTCGCTGAGCCTGATGGTGGAGTATGTGCTGGAGCGCATTCACTGAGCGGGGCTGGCGGGAGGGGGGGCGGAGGGTATGCGCTGAGGGGAGGAGGAAAGGGGAGCATGCGTTGAGGGGAGAAGGAAAGGCGATGGAGGGAGCACATGCATGAGCTTTCTGAGCAGCTGTGAAAATTGATGTTTGGCGGGAATGACTTGAAACACCTTCCAGCTGCATCTGTTCTACTGTGCTGCATGCAGCTTGGTGTGTTGTGCGTTTGGGGCCAAGCGGCACGTGGGTTGAGTCCATGACTTGCTTGTGCCCCGACGGTAGGGGTAGGACGCGTGGCATGAGGACTTCCTTGGGAAGGCGTTTGGAAATATTGGAACGCCGGAGGGTATGTACTCTGTAGGTGAGTACCGATAGGCCGTTGATGACCGTTTGGCGTCGTGCGTTAATCGCCGGTATGTACTTGCGGAGTAACACGGCAATGAACATGTCCGGCGTTGCGGGCGTTTGGGAAGGGTGGGCGCAATACATTACAGAGCGCATGAGACAAGGTTTGTAAAGCGAGTGATGGCACCCGTACATGAGAGAACCCAAACGGTACGTAATAGAGTTCTGAGTGCTACTTGTGTGAGAGTGCGGTTGTTGGTTGTCATCTATGGTTTTGTTTCCTCCAAGCGACAGGGCGGAAGGAAGACAATTCGGTTGCGTTGCACCCCAATTGATACGGAGAGACAACGAGGTTCTGGCTTTGAAAAGGGGAGAGAGGTACAGATTGTAGGGTCACATAAAGCTGGAATGGCCCCGTAATTGCCCTCTGAAACTGGTGGCAGATGTAACAGTGTTGAGTTTGACTGCCGTATGTATCTGTGTGGTTTTGGTGTTTGGTTTTGCGTGTGGCATTCTGCCGGCGGCGCGGCTCCGTTCAAGTTGTTTACGTTGTGCGCACGGCGATGCTTCCGTATGGTGCGGCGGAAGCAGAGATTCCTGGTTCCTGCGTTTGTTGCAGTTGGTTGCAGCCATGTGCACTGGAACCCTGCTGCTGTCTACGCATTATAAGAGCCATGAAACAGGCTGCGAAGTTGCCAGTGTAGTTGTAGTACGTACGGCGTTATGAGAAAAGGTAGTTCCGGGGAGCAGGCGTTTGACAAGGCCTGCTCATTTTCATTACAAGACATCACTGCGGTACTTGTCGGCCGAGAAATAACACGCTGGCGTAGGTAGAGAACTGTTGCTGAGTTGGATGGGAGGTGTCATGCATTATGTCTGAACAGGCATATGTGGGTGCACGTTGACGACGTCCGTGGCATCGCTTGCAAACGGCGATGTTAGAGAGAGAATGAATGATCGTTGAGCGGGTCCTAACAAAGCTTGGGCTTGTGTTGGTTTTTGAAGGTTGTGGCTTGTGGGGCACGCTATGCCCAACTGAGAGACGATTTCCTTGTATGCGAGATTTTAGCAACCGTCTGTAAAGGTTTCGTTACAATGAGGGGCATGGGGAAGCAAGGAAGAAGTCGGTGAGGTGCCTCTGAACACCCTTGCTTTGCAGGTCTCAGCATGGTGGGCTCTCGTACAGATGGGCTATGGCCCGTTGTCACTAAAATTGGTACATAATGGACTGTGAGAGCATTGCTGCTCTTAAAGGGAGGGCGACACTCGACAATGCTGGTGCCATCAAAGACCGTTTCTCCAGCCACGCATATAAGTGTCGTCGTGGGTGTGTCACACCCAGAACCCCCGACGTCACCAGGTCCTGCACAAGGAGCATTTCCTGCTATGCTTTAAATACATCTACCAACAGTTAGGTAGAAATCCTGCAATCACAAGGTAGCGATAGAATGGGCGGGATTGTTTGCTGGGCCTCGCCATCGGCATTGCATGGGTACAACGAAGACTGTGCTCATATCCAGTTTGCCGACCCATATTAATTTGTCTGTTTTCCGCATTAACAGTGGTACAGGACAGCTACATTCGAGATAGTGCAAACCGCTGGCTGTTGTCAGCGTCTGATGGCAAGGGCCGGACGGGTTTGCCATTAAAAGCCCCCGAAGCCCAATGCCACTGGACACATATCTGGAAACCATGCATATGCTTCCGATGACTTTAAGGATAATGCTAGGACATAGCATTGAAACCAGCTGTCGGGGCCTTATCATACGGCCCCCAACGTATTTGCTGCAGTAGGAAATGTTCTGACAGGGGACCTTCCCTACATACTGATGTTGCTTCTCAGAATGCCCTAACACAGGGCTATAGACAATAGGAACGACCTCGGCAATCAACACGACTGACGCTTCGCCTTACACCAGCACATGGAATCGTCATACCATACACGGTCGAGAAGATAACAAGGACCCCTGAAAAGTGCAAACGTGAACATACTCCAAGGGGCAGTCTAATCCTGGTCGTTACTAAGTTAAAGAAGTAGCCGTTACTTTGGAGGAGCAACAGAATGTGGGCCAAGAGGTTTCTATTGCTTATAGTAATCACGTAAGCATACAACAGCTGCTTTCTACTGAACTACTGCGGCAGCGTATGCTGTCGTCGTTTTTCCAGACGACTGATGTACAATCACTAAATATGCAGGGCTGCGTTGTTGGAGGTTACTTTTGCGTCTGTAGGTGAGACCTCAATAGTTTGCTACTGTGCCGCACCTGGCGAGCTTGCGTGTGGCATGTGTCCCAATCGTCGGATGCATGTCGTGGTTGGCGGCCGCGGGCGAGCATTCTCAAGTTCCACTGTCCATGATGAGTTATGCATCTTCATATAAAATTGTCGATTGTGCGGAAACATCGCCCGTGCTTCCTTGTTGAAAGTGTTAGACTCTAGTCCTAGGTCACCGTTTGGACAGAGCTTGAGCGCTGATGAACGAACAGCGATCCCTTCTGGAGTCATGAGATGATACCGGTAGATGGATGCAGGCCCCGATAGCCAACTCAGCCTGTTACCGGCTCACATCTTCCCCAACTTAACCTCCTTTTACCCATCTGCTCCCCGTACCGTACCTCCTTTCCCCCACCGCCAGCTTCACCGCCCCCGTCACCCAAGCCGCCCTCCCCCAAGCCGCCACCTCCCCCACCTCCACCTCGCATCCGACCGCCTCCACCTCCCCGACCACCCAGCCCACGGCCTCCCAGCCCACCCCCGTATCCCAGTCCGCTCCCACCCGCACCTAAGCCACCCTCACCACCTCCCAGCCCGCAGCCTCCCAGCCCTCCCTCCCCCAAGCCCCCGAGTCCCCTTCCCCCCTCCCCGCCGTCGCCCCCACCCAGCCCGCTACCTCCCTCGCCCCAACCTCCGTCACCCAGGCCGCCCTCTCCGCCTCCCTCGCCCTCACCCCCTTCTCCTCGGCCTCCTTCGCCGCCGCCCCCCACACCTGCACCTCCCTCACCTCCACCCCCTTCTCCACCGCCCCCCTCTCCTCCGCCGCCTTCGCCACGACCGCCTTCGCCCTCACCTCCCTCGCCTCTGCCCCCATCTCCCGAGCCGCCCTCGCCGCCACCTCCCTCACCTGCTCCTCCCTCACCTGACCCGCCTCCCTCACCGCCCTCACCTCCGCCACCCCCCGTTGTCTACTGGGCCACCTCCGCCGCGGGGCCCAAGGTACGCATCATGTAAAGACACGACACGTGTTGACTCATGTATGTTAACATATGGTTAAGACATACATCCTTAAAGGCCCATACATACATGCTTCTAGGATTCATGTACGATGACGACAACCAGTGCGCTATGCTACCGTACTTCAAGATCGTAAAGTTGCTTGTGAATTACGCGTGCTTGCACGCGCCTATGGCTGCCGTGCTGTCGTACCATGCACGCAGTTCACCGGCGCTGACCACCCGGGCTCCGCTAGCTTTGTGGTGGGGCCTCCCGGGCCCTTTCTGATGAACGGGAAGGGCTGCAGGCCATCTGCCGACTACGCCTGGGTCCCAACAAGGGAGGTAAGCAAGCCTGCATCTGCCCTCTGCACCGTTTTGCGTGCCAGAAGGTTAAGGCGCTATCCGCATTTTAGTGTGAGTCGCAACTTGCCTACCCCCACTTGCATGCTTCCATGCACGCATGAATCCGGCACGCGCACCGAAATAAACACTTGCACCAAAATGTTCCTCAAGAACACCCGCCCGCCCCGCCCGTCCCGCTCCGCCCCACGGCTGCAGACTCCCCGCAGCCTGATCGCGTACTACGGCCAGAGCCCGGCTGCCCGAGTCAGCCAGGTGGCGGCAGTGGTGGTGTTCGTGGCCAACCGCGGCAGCCTGGACCCCGCCATCACCGCCATCGACCTGCAGCTCAGGACGATCAGAGGCCAGCAGAAGGTGGGTACCAGGTTGGCAAACTTGGACGATGCAAGTTGCCTGGGTGCCTTATGTGGAGAGGCACGTACCGGTAGCTGCCGTGCAATGGCAGGGGATTGAACTTACGGGACTATCTAGTTAAACGCCAGTGTCTTATAGTCCCATGTTAATGTGTCCCTTCTTTCATCCGCGGAAGCCCCGTTACATTTCTGTTCACTAACGGTCACAACAACGATGACCACAACGCCGGACAGACACAGGCAGGCACGTTTTGGGTGAACCTGTACAAGGGCGGCATCGGTCAGGAGCTCACGTGCCCGGGGCTCAACCACTTTGACCTCTCGTCGTCGGCGGCTACCGGTGCTAACGGAACGTTGGCCAAGTTCAAGGACGCCGAGATGGTTGGCGTACGAATCAACGTCCTCAACGCGGTGGTTGCTGCCAAGGCAGACCTGCCGCACCTGGCAGCGGTTGGGCTGCAACTGCTGGGCTAATTATGTACTGCTATGACGTGACTATAATATAGAGATTGAGTCAGCAGTGGGGACGGGAACATGCATACACGCTCGAAGGGCATAGCCACTGCTCAATTACGGCCAGCCATAGCTGCGCCGATCTGCACGGACCAAACCTTGCCTGTCCAACAGATCTGAGCAACAAGTACAGTCGTATGGATTGATGCCTTTTTGGGGGACATGCGACCCATGGGTCGTCAGGTATGTCGTCCTAAGTGGTTAGCTGCCGTTGCAGATCTTACAGTGGAGAGGGACAAGCACGCCCAAGGGCGGCCCTCCCTGTCGTCTGGTCCTTTGGCAATACGTTTTGAGGGCTCTCTTTCCGTTTTTCCTATAGAAACCAACATTCATCCCTGTGGTTGTATGTCCCAACCAGGGGAAGGTGCTAGATTTGTATGCCGCCGTTCTGTTGTCTTGTTTCTACACCTGATTACGTGTATAAGCCTAACTATCACCTTGTATCCAAACGCTTTCGGTCGCATTCGCCGAGAGTCGTGCGATGCAGAAGGGCGGCCTGAGATGAGCCAAAGCAATCGAGTTGGGTTACGTGGTGTGTATGGGCCACTAATACCTGGGATTGTGCTTCCCGCCGTGCGAATTTGTGGCCGGAAAGTGTGCTTTTCTTTACGTGTTGTGGGGCTCGTTCGTGTGTATTGTTCTTTTCATCATAGTAACGTTCGTTTCGCTTGTGCCCATACCTTAGGGTCTTGCACTTCACCATCCCCTTTGGCTGATTATAAGTGTTGCGTGGTACTAGTAGTGGTTGGGATCTTAATCAGCAAGTAGCAGGGTCGAACTACCACCGGTTGTTGGAGCACGCAAAGCCGTACGTACAGCTATGTAACTACCAGAAAGACGAAACCAAGCCGATCAGCACGTTTCGCCGTCGCAATGCTGCACCAGTGACCCATGGGTCCTTAAATGCCATCGGTCGTGCTGCGCGTTAGGTATGCCTCAACCTAGGCGGCTTGCAAAGCACGGCCTCGTCATGCAATACATTACTGCGTCTGCTCCTCTTACATGCAGACTTGGCAGCTCTGTTTTCCACTTTCTACATACAGCACTTCTGGCTCGTGATACACAAGTCGATTGTCGACAAGACTCGTAAGACCCGAGCACTTACAGCCAGAAATAGCAGGCAGCAGTCCTCCACGGCTCCACTCCTCCAGACGCTCGTCAGGTATGGTATGAAACCAAACACAAAGATCCGGCGAAACTAGCATGCCTTTACTGACAACAACCCTCCACTCAAGTTTCCGTCCACTGCCACGGCAAGGACTACCGGCAAATCACAAAATCGGGCACTACTGCCCCAACACTCGCTTCCTGCTGCAGAGGCCGGCAAATGCCTGCCACCGCTACCCTCCCAGCTTGCTTGAAGGTAAAATGCAACGCACGTCCGGCGTCTCCAAAGCCCTGCATCAGCACGCACGCCAGCTCATCAACTGCTGCGTGTGTGGCAAGCCATGCGGTGCATGCATGCCTTGTCCTGCCGTACCGTACATGCCCGGGACCTCACCACTACTGCTCGCTCTGGTTTACTCGTCCGCATCCTCCAAGCCGGGAATGTACAGCAATTGCACGTCGAACACCACGGGGCTAGCGGGGGGGACGGAGGGCCTGCAGCAGGAACCAAGGCGCGCGCAGCCGGGCTGAGGAAAGTACCGGTATAAGGCACGCGGTCAGCTTCTCAAGTAAACCGTTGCATGCATGATAGCAGCGGCAGCACATGCAAAGGGTCATGGACTCAGACCCTGGCTTGCGTTTAGGTGTCGACAGGTGACGACCGGTCAACCCTACCCACACCGCATAGCCTTTTCCGCATGGGCCCCATGACGCAGAGTCCACTGAACCCACGGCGGCCATGAGCAACATCCCGTCATGGGAGGGGAGAGATTTCAAATATATAGGAGACGCGAGCATGCAGGGCCTCTTCAAGATGTCCATGTTACCGCTTACCGGTAGCTCCGGCGACACCCCCGCACCCCTCCACCCGCCGCCACCGCCTCACCTGCCGGCCGCTGCCTTGAGTCCCCTGGGGAACGCCAGCGACCCGGGGATGTACAACCGCCGCACGCCGCCCGTCTTCATGCCCAGGATGCCCTCATCCAGACCGGGAATGATCTGTCCGGCTCCGACCCTGCGCCGAGTGCATCGTAGTATGGCAATGTGTGTCAAGAAAACTGGCCGCGAGTCGGAACATACTGTGATCGCCGGAAATGAAGTCCCCACAGGTTTATTTGCACAACGTGAACTTAGCTGTACGGGATATACGTATGTCGTACCTGATGTCGTACGGTTTGCCCTTTTCCAAGCTGCTATCGAACACCCGCAGGTTGGGCGTCATGGCCACATAGTGCGCCACCACCTGCAGTGCGGTACGGGAACATCACAGCACTCTCAGCAGGAACCAGTTGCGTACTGCAGATACCGGTATAGTGATGGTGGTGGTGGAACCATGAGGAGAGCAAGCTACAGCCCGGAGAGGAAAGGAAGGAGAATCGCTGAGTGACGATGACCACATTAAAGCCCCAATCGCGCGCCAACATGTGCATCTAATCCCCATCATGCTCCCACGCGCCTAGCATGTTCCTTTCCCCTGCCCCACCCCAACACACCCCGCACGCCCCGGCATCACCTGGAAGCCCACACGCGGGTTGGGTCCGCTGCCCACCACGATGTCCTTGTACTGCAGTCCCGAAGGCAGCGTAACCGTTTCAACGGCATCCAACTGTGCCGTACATTCCGCGTTGCACAGCACCTTGATGTCCTGAGGGGGCAGTGAGGCGGCCAGCGCAGCCGGCTGGGACCTGCGGGTGATAAAGAGGGAAGGAAGTGGGAGTTAGGGAAAGGAGGAAAGGGGCACATGCAGTCATGGGCCACAAGGATACACCCACATGCACTGTGTGCCACGTACACCCACGAATCTCAGAATGCGCCACATCTTCGCAACCAACACTGCCAAATCCAGCCCACGCGGAGATGGCCGTGTGTGCAGCAACCAACGGAGGGAAGCAGTTGGACCCACCCAGCAAGCACAGCCGCTGCGGCAGCAAGCGCCACAGAGCCCTGCAGGAACTGCCGCCGAGCCACCTCAGCGGGCTGCTGCTGCTGTCGTTGGGGTTGGGGGCGTGCTTGGCAGCACACGCGAATGGCGCCTGCACGGCTCCGAGCTGCTCACCGGTACAGAGGCCGGTACCAGCAGTGGTTTGTGGTTGGGATGCCGTGGAAGGGAAACATTATGATAGAAATCAGCTAGGGTCTAAAAGCATGACTTGTGACGCCTACACTGGAAGGGCAGCACATGGAGTCCAAGGCTAGCATGCCGCGCAACACTTGTGGCCACCCTGGTATTCATGGCAAAGACGATTCCTTTCCACATCATTTCAACAGGTTACCTGCGGCCGAGGAGGTCGAGCTGAACGCCTGCGTTCGTGCAAGGAAATACCATGTACCAGGAGTAACAGTAAATGCTTTCAATCCAGCGCAAAGATTCCTAACACGTCTTTGCAAAGCAGTTTATCGTCTTGAAGTTGCCAAACAGCACTTGCCTTTTGTGTGGTCAGCGCCATGGTTCACAGTGCAAGCGAAGTGCTTCGGCGAGCGAGCGTAAGGCTAGTGAGAACAAGCGCGAGTATCGTTCCTAACCTTATCGTAATCCTATGTAAGCGATCCCCATCCTGGGGTCAAGGATGTTGTACCGACGTGGATTTGCATTTCGTTCGCAATACATCGCGATTGCGGGACGATAACACTTGGCTCTTATTCTCGTATGAAACATCAAGTTCAGCTGAAATGAAAACGTTCTCCGTGAACCATCTATGATTCCAATCCTGCAGCCGAAATGTCCTGCTACTTAGCGCAACAACACCAGTGGATAGTGAGAGGAGTGTGCTATGTAGTGGAGGAGGTCCGTGTAATTTACGCCAAAGGGCTAAGCATTGTACAGGAGATACGGGAGCTTGGTCTGGCGGACTGCCTCCGGTTGCCTCCAAGCAATACCATCCGACCCCTCTCCCTCTATGTCTAGCTGCCCCTCCCGCCGGCTATTCAGTGGCTGCTGCCTGTTTCCTAGGCTACAAAACTGCCTTTTTGTTGTTAGGACCTTCCTCCGCACGCCCGCACTTCCGCCTCCAAGCCAGTCCCGCCAAGCCATCATACCTCATAACGCATGCCCTTACATGTTACGAACCCTGCACCCCCCACACATCTACATTTGGAACGGTATCCCCGTCCCCATGCCTACGCCAGAAACCCCTCATTAAAGGCATGGCCCTGCCGGGAGTCAGGCACGGCACACCGTAAAAGAAGCACTCCGCCTGCAGCCTCCCAATCCCTCGCTGCAGAAAGTACCCGCCTGCCGCCTCCTCGTGGATCCTAAACCCCAGCACAAACCACCCCAAGAGTTACACCTTGCAACACGACGCGCTGCATGTCCCCTCTCATCCCACTCCCGGAGCAAGCCCCTTCCCAGCCGCCCCTTCTGTTGCCACCGCTCCTGCGCTTGTGGCGCTAGGGCTCCCATACTCACAACCTGCCACCCCTACAGGGCCACCGCTACTTGCGGGCGGTGCAGTGTGTGCAAGCTGGCGACCAAGCAATCGGGTTACTGCATGAGGGCTGGAGACGCATGTCTGGTGCTACCAATACCCACAGCCATTCGAGGTAGAAACAACACTGGATGTGTGGAAAGGTCCTTTAGCACGACAGCTGCAGAGGACCCTGGCGTAACGGCCCAGCGTGGTCATGGCTTGTGTCTTGCCGCGCGCATAGGGTCAGGATGATCGAGCGGCGAAATATACAAGCTGGAAGAGCTTAGAGAGGCTGACAGTATATGACCATGACTCAGTCAACATCCAATCAAGTATGCGGGACTTACTTTCAGTTACCCCAACTATCCACCGTGCAGTGCCGTTTGGAACCAGCCGTACAAGAGTGCCAAGAGTGCGGTGAAAGCGCACTTCTGTGCGAAGATGTCTTGGCTTTTGCTTGTTCATTTGAAACTAGCCGCAGTTTATGACGATTCGTTTCATGGGATGTTGGAAGCGTGAGGCGCGTAAAATGCACATCAAGCATAGCTAAAGCATATAAAGCCCGTATGACTCCGTGGTCGTTGTCATAAGAGGATTTTACATCATTTAGGCTCGCCGGTTGTTTACCGTTCTGTAAATGGAAGATGACGACCCGCCACCGGAGCTTACCGCGCTGCATATGTCACTCAGCTGCCAGATATGCAAGGAGCTTATGGAGGGGCCTATCACTACGTCATGTGGGCACTCCTGTGAGTTTTGGCTGCTGTGTTCGGGTTGGCGGGATACGCCCTCTCACGCTTCCAGTACCTCCCCGGTGCTCCGGTTCGCAAGGCTTTGTTGCTGGAGGCTAAAATGTCTTGCACGGACTAGCTTAAAGGCCTCTAGTCACGGCTGCGCAGAAGCTTCCTGCGGCTGTCGTTGCACCGCGTCTAACCGACTGTTTCCCCGATTTCCATATTTCTGGTATAACCTATCGCCACACAGTCTGCTCGGCATGCATTCGGAGCAGCTTGGACTTCTGTCGATCACAAAATCAGAAGACGACTTGCCCGTCTTGCCGTAAGGACTGCGACCCTAAGGACTTGCGGCCCTCAGCTGCTATACGCCAGGCCGTGGCTGCATTCCCAGCAGCCACAGCAGCCGTGAAAGCCAACACCGAGCGACTAGCCGCAGCTGAGCAGGAGATCGCCATTCTTCGAGAAGCTGTTAAAGCAAACGTCCGCTGCGCTGCTGCAGCAGCAGCGGCAGCACACGAAGCGGCTCCTGTTGCTGCACCGGCAACGGTGACGGGACCGGTGCCTGGTCCAAATGCGCAGATCACCGAATCACATTATGATGTCGAGCCTGCCGGTAACGACAAGGGCAGGGATGCTGCCGCCACAACAGCGACACTGTCAGTGTCAGCGGCGCATGCAGCGAAGGACGAAGTGGCCCAGGGCGTTGAGGAACACGCACAAGAGGCTTCAGTCGCACATCAGCAGCAGCAGCTCACGCCGGCAGCAGTAGGGGTCAAACGCCGCCGTGGACGGCCCCCCGGCAAGCGCTCAGCTGCCATCATTTCCGTCGACAGCAACAAACGCAGCCGCACGGAGCTCCGTGCCAACGACTTCGTCGATTCCGACGAGGACTTCCTAGCAGACGACGTTGCGGAGGCGGAGGATGACGGCGATGATGACGAGGATTACCGCCCGAGCCCCAGCGTCAGCGATCTCCGCGGCGGTCGGAACACCCGACAACGTACGGCAGCAGCAGCGGCTGCAGCAGCGGGTTCCACGCCGCACGCCTCGGGGCAGCAGCGCTCCTCGCGGCGGACTAGGAGGGGAGCTCCCGTACCCTCGGGTGCAGAGGCTGAGGCCAACGGCATCCACGGCGACGGCGATGCTAGCATGGAGGATGTGGACGGGCCGTCAGGAGAAGCCGCGGCGGGCATGGGCGCGGGCGCAGCGCCCGTAGCGCCCACTCGGCCAAACACGGCCGGTCGCACTGGCACTGAAACCGCAGCCACAGCCGCAGCGGCGGCAGCCGATATGGGTGCTGCTGGCAGTGGCCCCCCGGCAGCGGCGGCAGGGACAGTGCGGAGAGAGGGTGCGGGCGCCCCTAACACCGAGGCGCCTGCGGACGGCAAGGGGGAGTGTCCGCTGTGCAATGCTCGCTTCCCCATGTCGCAGCTGGAGGCGCATGTGGAGCTGTGTCTCGCGTGGACCAGCACCAAGGTGCGAGGTAGCAGCGGCGGGGGCGCCGGGAACGACAGCGGCGGAGGTCAGGCCCTTGCACATGCTGGGGCAGCAGCGGGAGGCAGAGGCGGCTTTGGCGGCCTAGGTCGTGCAGGCGGTGGGGGCGGAGGCGTGGCGGCAGCGGGAGGCCTGCGGTTGCGGGGGTCGGCCGGAGGAGGAAGCGGTGGTGGTGCTCCGGGCGGGGAGGAGCGGCCGCCGACGGATGTGAAGATCCCGCCTTCGCGGGTGTTTCACGTGGTGAAGGATAAGGTGGCCAGGTAGGCCGGGGTTTCACACCGTTGGCGCACGAGTCTACAGGGGGGTGTCGCGGCATGCGGTTGGGGTTCCCCTTGGTTGTGGTGGTTGTTGCTGTTGCGAAGTGTATGGAAAAGGAGGTGGATTGCTGCGTGCGCACATGCAGCCTGTAATAAAGCTTAGGGGACAAGGTCCTTCTTGGTCATCCGGTTCTGCGGGTTCTGCATTTTTCCGCTCTGGCTTCGTTCGCCACTGCCTACGTCACCTTCCCAGGCGGCTTCCAAGCTTGCAGCTGACAAGAAGTGCTCCTCCTCCGCTGCCCTCGCGGCTCTCCTCCCACCCGTGCAGGACGTTTCTCCAGGAGTGGGGCTTGCCGACACACGGCAGCAAGCAGGTGCGTTCGCCGCCGCCTCCTCGCCGGTCGTGAAGGGTTGCCTTCAGGGCCATCACCATGAGGGCAGCGGCCTAGGAGCCCCTGAACAATTCTGTGCCTTTCAACGACCTTGTATCCCACTTTCCAACCGTACCGCTTTGGCTCAACCCACCTTCATCCTGCCCCCCCCCCCCCCGCAGGAGATGGCTGATCGCTACACCCGCTACCGCAGCTTCCTGCAGACGGAGCGGGACAAGGCCACCACGCTGTCCATGGAGGCGCTGCTGGCAGCGTTCCTGGCCAGGGAGAGGCAGCTGGAGGCCAACAGGAGGTGGGTGGGGATGGGAGGAGGAAGGGGCCATGCAAACTGGCAGGGAACTGGGTGGGAGAGGGAAAGCGAGAGGGAAGCCTTACCGTGGTGTTGCGTTCATGCCGTACCATTCCAACAGGTCCTCCTGTGACCTCTCTGCGGCTGCTGGGGCAGCCTTACCTACGTGCCCAATCCATCTTAAACCTTAACCCAACCCAAACCCAATTCGTCCCCGCATCCCCGCAGGTTGCCCCCATCGGCCCCCTCCTGGGCCATCAGAAGCATCCAGGCAGCAACCGAGCAGATCAACAGACCCAACAGGCGGCCGACACCACCCACCGCACCGCACAACAACAACAACAACAACCACCCAGCCGCACCTGCGCCGGACTCTGCCCCGACTGCAGCCCCGGCCCTTGCCCCGGCCTCAGCCCCAGCCGCTGCCGCTGCCCCAGCAGTCGACACAGCAGCGGCAGCAGCACCCGGGGATGTAGCCGCAGCAGCACCCGTTATGGCACCGGTAGCTCCGGCAGCAGTGACGGCGGGTCGAGGAGAGGAGCTGGGCCATCTGGTTGGCACCGCCGCTAGAGGAGGGGGCCAGGGAGCGGAGATGACCCATGGGTCAGAGACGGAGGGAATGGAGGCAGAGGCAGATGAGGAGCCCCGCAGAGGAGCGGTGGATGCGGCTCAAGGTGAGCAGCAGGAGCAGGCGGAAGGGGCAGCTGGCGGCAGGGGCGGGCGTGCGGGGCCCGGGTTAGCAGTGGGAGGTGCCACACCGGAGGTGATTACCATTGACGACTCTTCGTCGTCAGGAATGGATGAGGAGGAGCAGGTGGATAGAGAGGTTGGCGGTGGGGCGCAGCGCAGCGAGAGGGGACTTTCCATTAGCCGCGGTTCTCCGGGCACTGGCAACAATGAGAATGCGGTTGGTAGCGAGTACACGGACAGGGTTTCTGGGGCGTGCAGTGATGGCAGTGATGAGGGGGGCGGGGCAGCAGCAGCAGGTAGCTCGCGGGATGGTGCGGCGGCGGCGGCGGCGGCGGAGGAGAGGTCGGCCCCGGGTAGTGGTGCGTACGGCGGCAGGGCAGGTGCACCCCCGCCGCCCCAGCAGCAGCGGCATCAGCAACAGGAGGACCCGGACCCCCACCTGCCCGAGGGCCGCAACGCCGGTGACGGCGGCGGCAGCTCCCCTGACGCATGCGGCGACAGCAGCGGCGGAGGCTATCTCGGCAATCGCGGTGGCATTGAGGGGCGGCAGGAGGCAGCTGAAGGCGATGCCGCGTTGGCGGAAGAGGGGCATGTTTCCTGGATAGCAGCAAGGGCCCATCCCAACCTCAGACGTCTGCCGCCGCAACCACTTTATTATCATGGCCCGCAACAACCGCAACTGCCGCCTGTTGCCGTACAGTTGCCCCCGCAAGCGCTGGCGGCGCTAGCACCGGCGCTGGCGGCAGCGGGGCCACCGCAACTGGCACCTTCTTGGCTGCTGCACTCCTCCTCCGCTGCCGTGGGAAGCACACCACACCACCAGCACCAACCCCGCCAGTCCCACCAACAGTCCCACCACGAGCGGGGGCCTAGCGGGCAAAACCCGGGTCAGCAACTCCAACAGCCACCGCCACCACAACCCGCAACTGCAGCGCCATCAGCGGGTGCCGCATCCACACCGTACGGCGCTGCAGGAACGCCGTACGGCGCTGCAGGAGGGGGAGGCGGGGGAGGAGGCAGCGGAGCCACGCCAGCTCCAGCTCCGGGCTCATGGAGAGGGCTGCTGCGGGTGACACCGCTGTTCCCCCACCTAGCCGCGTCCTCCTCAACACCGGCCGCTGCGGGCATGGGTAGCGGTAGCGGTGTCGGTGGTGCCGGTGCGGGGGAGGGCGGCAATGGCGGTGGCAGTGCTGGGAGTGGCGGTGGTGGTGGTGGTGGTGGTGGGCTGATGGACATTAGCAACAGCAGCGCTGCTGTCGCGGGTTTGCGAGGGGGTAGCGGTGGGGTGGCGGTGGGGAGTCCGGGGCGGAAGGGGCCGGTCATGGGGGGCTTTGAGGCGATGAGCGGAGGGGGGCAGCAGCCGCAGCCGGGGCAATGGCTGCTGTAGGTGGCGCAGCAGCGAGGGGTGGGAGAGCAGCGTGGGGTGGCAGCATAGTAGGACAAGAACTCAAGGGGCCTCTAGGAGTGCCTTTCTCAAGGTTGAGGGTGTAGGGTTGTACACGTATTTAGGACCAGGATAGGCGTGCCGTGTGAGTGTTGTAGTGCTAGTGGTAGCTGGCAACGGGAGTGGTTACGGGAGCATTGCTGAAGCAAGGGGTGCAAAAAGGCCACTAACCTTCGCATAGCGAGTGCTTATTCGCGTTATGTGCATGTAGATCAGTTGTTGAGGTGGTGTCGTTGGTGACCACAGTAGGGCGTGCGGATGTTACCGTGCGGTAGCGTCACCACGTGTGCTGCTGTGAGCGAGGCAGAGAGTACGTGATATTTCACAGCTGAAGTTTCACACCTAAATAATCAGGCAATACCGTGCGTGCCAAGGGTGCTGGAGGGTGCATGGGTTAGGAGGCGTTTCGTTCCGTAACCATGCGAAGAAGCGGTGCAATGTCAACTGCTCAACTCACCAAGTAACAGGTTCGTGGTTAACAGGCTTACAGCACTGCTCATCGCTATACGTGACTGTGCTGTGCCCATGTATACGCAAGGATAGGCCCGACCGCGCACGCCGTTCGAATAACCGTAGCTCCCGCCCCTTTCCGCAAACCCCTCGCATGAAGGCTCATAACGGCCTCTTCGGTGCCGCACACCAGAGCTCTACCCGCCCGCTGCCGTCGCGTTATGAACAGGCTGCACTGTGACTGCCCTCCGCCGCCTCCCGCCAACCACCCAATAGCACCGAATATCCCGAGGTATGAGTGCAGGTCCAACCATTGGCCTGGCAAGTGGTGTAGCTGGTGCAGTGCCCGAGGAGAGCTCCGAGCTGCAGCCCCCCCAGCACGTTCCGCACATGCATGCGGGGGAGCCCCACATGCGCTCACAGCCACTACCGCGAGGGTTCTCATCCCCCTTTTAACAAAACAAGGTGCGCAATGAGAGGACCCTGTTGGCACTCTGCCTGTCGCCTCTCTCCTTCCACCCGGTCACTGGAAGACCCCTTTGCACATCCATGTGCTCCCACACGCATGCGGCCCGCATTGTATCATCAGACCGCGCACATACACCTCTCCTCATGCAGTGCGCGCCTCCCATGTGCCCCCTGCTCCGCTCCACCTCTCCCCAGGTCCGGGCGCTGCTCAGCTCCGCCGCTGCTAACCTAACATCCACTAACCCCGCCGCGCAGCACCCCTGCTGCCTAGGAGCCCCGATACTCAGCACCTGTTGCACCCGCTCAGCTGCTTCCCCCCGCTGCCGCCGCCCCCGCCCTCTGCGCCGCCAGCGCCCCCAGCCCCGCGTCCAGCTGCTCCTGCTCCTGCGCCAGCAGCAGCTCCACGGGGTTGGACCCGCTGGCGGAGCTGAGCTGCGGCCTGGGGGTGAGGGAACGGGAGGGGGTAAAAATAAAGAAACAACGGGAGGGGGGGAGGGAGGGAGAGAGAGAGAGGCGGCGTGGGCAGGGAGGGGGGGAGGAGGACACGAAGGGAGGTGACGTGGACGCGCGGAGGGCACTGGGCGTGTCGCTTACAGGGTAGCGGCACAGTAGGGATCGGCCTCAAAACTGTGCGTGCCCGTCCATACACACCTGCCAGCCCAATCCCCAAGGCACCCCGCACAGCCGCACACGGACGACCGCAGCTAGCATCCCAACTCCTGGCCCCCACCTCCCTCATCCTCCTCCTCCCACTCTGATCCCTCCCGCCACCCGCCCCGCCGTCCCACCTGCTGAGCGCCTTCAGCGGCTCCGCGAGTTCCTTCTCCGCCTGCGTGAATGCGGACGCCGTGTCGCTGCCCGCCTGCATGAGCTGCACCTGCCGCTGCACGAAACGCCGCGCCAGGGGCGGACGGAAGGAGTCCAGCGCCACCGGCTCGTACTTGGCCTGCGTTTTGGGATGTGCAGGTGTGAGGTGGTTGGGTAGGGAAAGGGGCGGGTGCGTGGAAAGGGATCGGAATTGCTGCAAGGGGGATGAGGAGTGCGAAGGTAGAGGACGGATGTGTCTTGCGTTGCCCCTGTGCCCCCAACCGCCTCCCCCAGATTGCAGAACCCCGATTGTTTGCCATGTGGTGAATCCCTTAAGGACGAAGACTGCTGTCCATGCCAGTCCCGTACGCCGCCACCAACCGAAGCTAGTATCCCACCTCTGGATACTTTTGCAGGAAAGCCTTTATCAGTGGCTTCTCTGGAAGGTCCACTTTTGGTAGCTGCGTCATGCCGAGGGACAGCTGCTCCGTGGGATATCTGTTTAGACGATGAAAGTTAGCACTGGCAAATTCGTTGGCAAGGGCTTACATATCACAGCATATGAAACTTGCCTTATAAGGACATCATAAGCCTTTGGCGCAATAAAGTTGCCGCTTTCAATGTCGCGCATCAGCTTCACTACTAGGTTCTTATGCCGCACTGGCTGCTGGACAAGCTTCCAGAACTCCATCTTGGCGCGGGCGCCCTACTACAAGCGCCCGGCCTTCGGCGCTGATAAGAGAATTGGTCTCGGGATGTAAGGGTCGCGTAAGGTGCCGAATAGTCAGGGAGCGGCTAAGTCGCGATTACTGTTGACGTTCGTTTCCGCAGAGGCGCTAAGTTCCTGCCTGTTGCCAAGCTTGGCTTCACGATGCATTTGCCGTACAGGGGCAGGTCGACTTGACTTGCCATCGTTGTGATCGTCCGGTTATGCACCTTTGGTGAGAAACTTAGAGCCCGATGCGTGTGCTGACAGTCCGTCGCTAGCAATGCATTACCTGGCCCGGAACTTAACTCTTAGCGCGCGCAACAGGTTTGCTGAAGCAGTTTTTAGCGTACCCTGCCACTCTCGAGCGCTTCCGTTACTCACGCTGCCATAAACTAGCTTAACAAATGGCCGCACCCTATGCGGACCTTGAAAGTGGCCACTCGTTCCTGCCGTTAGCGGTTCGCTGCCGAGGCAGCACAGGTACCATCGACATCACACCGCAAGGAGACTTTGTCTTCAAACCTCATCCGGTATGTCCCTTTCCTTGGTTCCCTTGATCATTGTCCGCGCAGTACCCAGAACTCCTTGACATGTCAAACCCTACATCCATTTCGTCACCTCCACTTCACCGCTTGCGTTATGCAACCCGCAATCCCGCGTTCGGTGACTCACCTACCGCCCCCCCCAACCCATCCCGGCATGCACGTCTTCTCCCCCCTTCCCTGAATTCGATAGCGGCCTCGTGGCGTCCTTCCATGGCTATCTGGGCTTCTCCATCCCCATACGGCGCAGGTCCGTACTTTCCTGTGGGGAAGGCTTTTGGGCGGTAGAGCACTCAGGCACACGAGGCAGGGCACGGCCCTCCTTGCTGCTCCGTAGTTGATGCTGCTGCTGCTGCTATCGTTGCGATGGTTATTGCTGCAAAGTTCTAGCAGGCTGCCACCGGAATGCGCTTCAACCTGCACCCAAGCAAGTCCCATGCAGGCCTGGCAACCTGCGCCCAACCCCCATCACAACCCCCACCCTCTCCCCCCCCCTCCGCAGCACATCCCGGCTGCCCAGCTGCTGGGCGCCCGGCGGGAGGGGCCCGGCGCCTTCACCGTGTGGTACGCGCAGGAGGCCTGCAGCCGCAGCGGCTGCGTGGAGAAGAAGCGCTACCGGGCGTGCAGCACGCCATGGTGGGTGTAGTTGGGAGGCGTGCGGCATGGCATGGTGGGGGTAACTGGGAGGCGTGCAGCATGGCAGGCATGGCGAGGTGCGGCTGGCAGGGGGTCGGCGTGTGAGGACGCCGTGAGGACGCGTGTGACGACCACCCCTGCCGCAGGACAAGCCTGAGGGACCTGAGGGCGAGCTGTGGGAAGCAGCCTCAGGAGGGATGCTGCGCGGCATCCTGGGGAGGGAGGAACCCGGGGACGGAAGGAGAATCTTGTGCCCCACCGCATGCGTATCTGGGGAGTACCTGTCGGGGGAGACAGCACCGATCACCACATGGTAGTTCGCAACGGCAAACAAAATTGCCCGGCCTTTCCTCCTCTCGCCCTACTCCTCCTCACCAGCCCTGGTCTTCCTCCTCCTGCTCCTCCCTCTGTGCCCTCCTCGCAGCTTCGAAACCAAGGAGCCCTCAGCCGTCACCGCCCTCATCGACCTCGTCCGCAGCATCACCCCCACCTTCACCTCCTCCTCCACCTCCTCCTCTGCACCCACCACCACCACCATCACCGCCAGCAGCCCTCCCTGGAGCCCCCGCCGCCGCCCCCACATCGCCGCCATCGTCAACCCCGTCAGCGGCCGCGGCGGCGCCGCCCGGCTGCTGCAGCAGCAGCTGCTGCCGCTGCTGCGGGACGTTGCGGGGCTGCGAGTGACGGTGCTGACCACTCGGGCGCCCCTGCATGCCGCGGAGCTGGTGCGGGACATGCGGTTGAGGAGCGGCTCCGAGGGGGCGGCGGCGGGGACGGAGGGGGCAGCGGAGGCGGAGTCAGCGTCAGCAGCAGGGATAGCGGTGACGGGTGTGGAGGAGGATGAGGAGGCGGTGGATGTGATCATGTTTGTGGGTGGAGACGGGACGTTGCATGAGGGACTGCAGGTACGTGTGCCGTACATGGAGGCGGCGACGCAGCGACGTCTCCTGAGCGGCTTGGACGCGTTGTGCTTTTCCGGCATCGCGACATGTTCACCTCAGAGCCTCAAATAGTTTCCTACTAGTGCTTGTAATTCCATTCCTTTGCTTGTGATACCATGTGCTCTTCCAACTAACGTCAAACACGGAAATACCTCCCTCATTTCAGGGTCTCTTCCAGCGCCCCGACTGGTCCTCCGCCCGCCACGTGCCGCTGCTGGCTGTTCCCTCGGGCAGCGGCAACGGCCTGGCCGCCAGCTGCGGGCTGTGGGACCCCGTGACTGCGGTGGTGGCGCTGCTGAGGGGCCGTACGGCACCGGTGGATGTGGCGTCCGTACTGCAACCGCCTGGCAACCGCTTCTACTGCATCCTGTCTGTGGTGTACGGGGCTATGGTGGGTGGGGGTGGATTTTACATCAAGGGCGTGTCAGCTTGTTTCGGGTTTCTGGTCTTGCGGTCATACTATGTTGCCAAGAGTTGCAAGAGTAACCTCTCGCGTCCTGCTGTCTGGTCTTCCCTCATTCCCGCCCAATGTAGGCCAACTTGGATGTTGGGACCAACCACCTGAGGTGAGGTGGCGGGGAATGAAGGAGTGCCATCATGCTTCCTCCTCCTCCCGTCTCCTTCCACCGTCCTTCTCCTCACACAGTAGGCCCTCCCTGATGTATACGAGGTGGATACTGGTAAGAAAGAGCTTCACACCATCCCTCCATGCTACCCTATGCTCCTGTCGCATACCCTACGCCTCCCGCAGGTGGATGGGTGAGCTGCGGTTCCATCTGGGCGGCCTGTGGGAGCTCATCCGGGGCCGCTGCTACAGCGCCCGAGTCTTCGTGCTGCCGCCAGCAGCGCCGCCAGCAGACGTCCCCAACAGCACCAGCAGCACCAGTAACCCGGGCAGCAGCAGCAACCCCGGCCCGGAGGAGCCAGGCCTTGCGCCTGCCAGCGGGCCCAGCCGAGCTCTGGTGACAGCAGCAGCAACAACAACAGTAAGCAGGCCAGCAGCAAGTGGGGCTGGCGAGGGCGGCAGCATGAGGGAGCGGCTGCTGCCGCCGGAGGAGCCCGGGTGGCTGGGCGGGGGCGGGAGCGGGAGCGGCGCTGCGGATGGGACGCAGCTGTCGGACTACCCGCCAGGTGGGTTGAGCCCACTTACGTCGCGGCAAGCGTCATGCGGAGGCCCATGCACGGTCCTGGGAGCACCTGCCCCTGCGCCCTTCTTCCTATCTATAATCTATTAAGTACCAGTATCATGTCCCTCTTTTTGTGCCTCTTGTCGCGTCGAGTAAGTCAAACCTCTTGCCCCTCGCCCCTTTCCCGTGTTCCCTCCTCGGTCCCCTCACTTGCCTTCTTCCGGCCCCCCTGCAGGCCCGCCCCTCCCAGCCCTCTCGCAGCTCCCCTGCCTGCCCGCCCGCCTGCCTGACAGCCCCGCCGCACTCCCCGGCGGCTGGCGGCAGCTGCCGGACGCCTTCGCCATCTTTGGTGTCTACAACACGCAGTACATAGCCCTGGGGGCGCGACCCAACCCCGGGGGGCGCATGGGAGACGGCGCATGGGAGGTGTGGCACGTGGAGGCTGACGGCTGCGAGGATGCTGACAACACCGCCGCTGCTGCTGCTACTGGCGGTAACAGCAGTAACGCCGGGGGAGCAGGGAAGCAGCAACTGCAGACACAACGCAAGCATGCGAGTGCGGGGCTGCGGTTACGCTGTCTGCGGGTGTTGTTGGGAGTGGAGGACGGCAGCTTCGCGCGCACGCCCGGCACCATGCGCAAGCTGGCGGCGCGGGCGCTGCTGTTTGAGGCTCGGGACCGGTCCACCTGGACGGTGCTGGACGGGGAGGAAGCGCCCAGCCGGCCGCTGTTCATGGAGGTGCACCCGGGGCTGTGCAGGCTGGTGGTGGCGCCGGGGTGGCGGGAGGAGGCGGTGTAGTGTGGTACGATGGGAGGAAGCGGTGTGGGGGAATGCTGTAAAGGAGGAGGTTTTCAGTAGGTCCCTTGCCCGGGTAGTACGGTAGGTAGCAGGGCATGTGCCCCTGTGTAGGGGATGTCATAAAACGTACGGTAGCAAAATAAGATCTCAATTATTCGCAGGGTGTAACCGCTCTTGCTGTGCAGCTGAGAACGATCTGTGGCTATTTCTGTGCATGCATGCAATGGTTATGTTATGGTTAAGTTAGTGCCACACTGTGCATTCAGCGGGGATGCGAACGAGGTGAACGGTCCGTAAAGCTTACATTCCGAATTCGTCGAGAGGTGCCTCAAGCGGCATGTGGTATGCACGCTAGCATCCCTCCCATATCCCCTACGATCCAGGCCCGCAAATGAATGGGCATGTAGCCATAGAAGGCCGCATGCTAGGTCACGCTTCCACTCCTACCCGCATCCAAAACATACCCAATTTACAAGTAACAAGGTCCGCATGCGCACGTGGGGAGAGACGAACATCACCGTTATGAAGCAGGAAGTGCGCGGAAACGATTGACAGGCCCGTAACTGTGGGGTCATGTCAAGTCCTGAGCCAGGCAAAACTGCTCTGAGCGCGAGACTCCTAGCCGTGCCCATAACCCGGTCATTCGGTTAGCGTGTCGTCCACCCCACACGAGTGGTTTGATAAGGCCTCACGCACAAAGTATACAACCCAGCAACAGCAGCATCTCGCTGCAGCCCAAGGGAAAACGGCCCGCCATAGTTGGTTAGTGTTACCGTTGTCAGTTAATGAACATCAACGCTCTGTATGCTGCCCTCCTCTTTCACTAGTCGCACGCAAGCAACAGTGCACCGCTTGCTTTCTTACCGCCCCCCTATCATAAAGGCGAGCAGCAATAGCAGCAACTCAAAGCCGGCGCACGTGTCTTGCAAGAATCACCTCTCCCTCAACCACCTCTCCAAACAGTCACCTCCGCTCCAAAAAGATATGCAAAACATACCAGCATGTTCTTCTCCAGTAGGATCTGTTGCTATTGTTGCAGTACGGATTCGTTACCTAGATCCGTTACCTAGATCGCAACCGCAGCACTCCCTCGCCGACCGCAGCACCGTGCGCGTGGCAAGCACGTTTAGCCCTTGAGCACGGTCTTGATGAGCAGGCGCGCCACGGTGTATGGGTCGACGTTGGCGGCGGGGCGGCGGTCCTCCAGGTAGCCGTAGCCCTTGAGCATGACGGGCAGCGGGATGCGGATGGAGGAGCCGCGGTCAGCCACACCGTGCTTGAAGGTGTTGATGTCGCAGGTCTCGTGCTTGCCGGTCAGGCGCGCCTCGTTGCCCAGGCCGTACTGGGTGATGTGCTCGATGTGCGTCTTGGACAGCTTCTCAACCGCCTCCTCAATCACCTTCATGCCGCCGGGCACACGCATGGAGGCGGTGGAGAAGTTGGTGTGCGCGCCGGTGCCGTTCCAGTCGCCGGTGCGCACGGGCTTGGGGTTGAAGGTGGCCACGATGCCAAAGTCCTCTCCCAGACGGTGCAGCAGCCAGCGCGACAGCATCACCTCGTCGCCCAGCGCCAGGGGGCCCACGGGGCCGATCTGGTACTCCCACTGGCCCGGCATCACCTCGGCGTTGATGCCCGAGATCTTGAGGCCGGCCTTCATGCACGCCTCCATGTGCGCCTCGGCCAGCGGGCGGCCGAACGCCGACTCGGCGCCCACACCGCAGTAGAAGGGGCCCTGCGGCGCGGGGAAGCCTCCCGCGGGCCAGCCGTAGATCTGGCCGGTGGTCTTCTGCAGCATGGTGTACTCCTGCTCCAGCCCATACCAGCAGTCCTCAGCCAGCACCTTGTCGTCGATGATGTCGCGCAGCTTGGCGCGGGTGTTGGTGGGGTGCGGGGTGCCGTCGGGGGCGAACACCTCGCACATCACCAGCACGTGCGGGCCGCCGCGGATGGGGTCGGAGATCACACGCACGGGCCTGTGCAGAGGGGAGGGGGAGGCGGTGGCGGGGAGTTGAGCGGTGGCAGGCGATACAGGGAGGCGATGAGGGTAGTGCAATGAAGGAAGCAAAGGAGTCGCATGCGAAGGTGTGAAGGCTGACTTCCTAGGGCTGCCTCAGGACCGTGAACCACAACCATCGTTAGAGCAGGCACGCATGGTTACTTATTCACCCATGGAAGCACTGCCCGCGCAAGGTACGTGTGTCGCTCGCACCTGAGGATGCAGTCGGAGTTGTTGCCCGCTGCCTGGCCGGTGGAGGAGCCGTCGAAGGACCAGTCGGGGTACTCGGCGGCGTCCAGGCCGAGCGGCTCGTCGAACACCTTGGTCTTGGAGCGCATCTCGTTGAAGATCATGCCCTGGGTGGCAGGAGGGTGGGGGGAGGCGGGCAGAGGGAGGGGAAGGAGATGAGATCAAAGGTAGTTCGTTGGGGAGGAGAAAGACCGTTGGAAAGACCTAGTTGAGGATTCGCAAGGCTGAAGCTTGGGTAAGGTACAATATGAAGATGGAAGGTGTCTTGTTTTATGCACACATCGTTCCAGGCCTCTGTGGAAAGCCGCGCGGGTCGTATGGAGGGGCTTGGGAAACCTTTCGTTTCTCTAAATAGTTACTTCCATATTTGCTCCTATGCTAGATAACGTTCATGACCCATATACTGCGGACAGTCGTGAAGGGTAGAATACCTGCTTACTTGCAAATGGCTAACAAGGGATGCTTAAGCAACAGCGGCAAGGGCGTAAGCCATAGCGAAGAGGCCACATAACTGGGCTCAAGACTCAAGACTCCAGACCTAGCCGACCACATGAAAATCAGCTCATCTGGGGTACTGAAGCGAAGGTTCAACACTGTTGCAGGGTACATGGGCAGGTAACAAACTCACCTTCTCTGGGCGACCCTCGTTGCCATCGGCCCAGATATACTCGGCCTTCATGCCATAGGCCTGAACGCGAACGGTAAGCTTCCGGCCCTGTGCATGCACAGGAATAGAGACTGGGTCTAAGTCGCTGATGATGATGTACAAGGCGCACGCACATCAAAACCCGCTCGCTATAGCATTTCCTATGATGTTTTTAGCTGTAAACGCCATAGATGCCATGGGTTACGCCAGCGCCGCCAGTCGCCAACAAACATCCCATGCAAGCAGCTCGCGTTTCCCTGTACTTACCGCGCGGGCGACGCCAACGCGGCCCTGAGCCTGCGGGGCGTAAAGGTCGGCGATAGTCAGCGGCTTGCTGAAGATCTATGCGAGAAGGAGGCTTAACAAACTTTCAAGGGCCACCTTACCTTAGCGGACAGGCGCATGGTAGCGGCCATTTTGTTCAGTCTTCGAAAGTCACAAAGACGACAAATGATGTTTGAGCGGCAGCGCCTTTATGAGTTAAGCGACTACGGCACGGATGTGTACGGTTCGTACAATCATGAGCGACGCGGTTGGCATGGAGCCATGGACACATGGTGCTCCTTGAGGGTTTAGAGTGCTTAAAACTAGGTTAGCAACTCCCTTAGGCGCGCAGATTTGTAAGGCTGTACCGGTCGGCAAGTAGACACGTGCTGGATGTGTGGTCTTGGTTAGTCCCCAGTGATATGGGCCGCTGGTAGCGTAATGTATTAGCTGTTTTTTTAGCAGAGCAAAGTGTCAAGGGCATATTAGAAACGGTGGATTGCCCTTGGAAACTCCATATTGCTGCACGGACCCCAACAGCGGTTACTTTCGACGCCAGGATGGAGATCCATGCGGTCTGAGCGGCAATATGTTGTTACATAATCACCTTCGAACGTGTATAAGAGCCAGCATTATTGCAAAGGGAAAGTCAACGACTTTAATTGCGGTGTTCAGGAAGGTGATGATCGCGGCATGGGTAAGGGTTTTCAACAGGCGATTAAAGCTAGTTATAGAATTCATGGGAGGCGAGGAGGTTCAGGATGCACTGTGCCAGGGCAATATGCATGGTACATGTGGAGAGAAGGTATTAGCCCGATCCTGGTGAATGCATGGTAATGCAACGATAGACAGTGTGGTATGAATTTGCTGGATGTCTTGGCTCGTCCGGAGAATTGGCGACACAAAGGAGATGGGCTCCTTTAAAGGAGATGGGTTCCAAGGAAAACCATATTTGTTTGTACTGCCATGCCAACATAAATTAGGACACCCACTACTGGCTAGTGATGACGGCAAACCCTTTGCTCGTTTGCTGTACTGACGAGAGCGTACACGATAGGCAGGCAGCCTGTGTGCAGGAATTAGGCTGCTCAAGCTCAGTTAGGTTTTTTGAAAGAGCCTCGTACGCAGCATGATGCCTTAAAACATACGCTTTGCAGCTGGCGTTTCCTCATTGTGGGTTGCAGGAGGAGGATGGCATGCCTCATGACATGCCAAAGGCATATACTGAAGAACCCTTCGCTAGCTGGTCTACTTAAATCTCCAAGGCATCAGCATTTGCGTGGGGCCACAACGCAAGGGGACGGGGAACCGTATCCCTCTTCGCCCTAATATGAGCAATGCAACCATGTAGTCAGGGCCTGCCGGGTCTGCGACGCATCAACAGGAAGCAATTCAGCGCTATAAGAGCTAACCACTCGTGAACATGGCAAAGAGCCTACCATCGAACATTCCAACGGACTGTTCCACGGCGCTCCGCTTAAACAAAGAGATCAACAAACTACAAACGGCGCTGGCCATGATCTTTATTGCATAAAGTCCTGCTGGTACATCACTAACCCTTGTTTTATTGGCGCGATCTCCGAAACCTGCAGAAATCTCGTACAGCGTTCCCCCATAACTTACCTGCAAGTCCACAAGGACTTCCCTTCATCCAGGATCTAAAAATGGCGTTCACCATGCGTAGCCTGGCTGCCAAGCCACAGGTTGGTAGTTGCATCGCATTTTAGGACTGAGAGCTGCGCTCACAGAACTTGTCTCACACTTCAGTCCCTTCTTCCTACGACGCAGGTCCAGCGGGCCGCTGGAGCTCGCGCTGTAAGTTGCTCAATAGACATGGCTCATGGGCGGCGGCGGTCTTCCTGCCTTTCAGCCCGCAGCCCCTGCGTACACATGATTCTGCTTACTATGACTCAAATAAGAAGTATGCGCTTATAGCGCTGCGCAAGTTTGCTAAGGATCTCCAGCGCTTTGGTTGGAAGGGCCTAGTCGCCTTTCCACGTATGAAGGACTAGGGCTTCACCAGTCGCCGCGTCGTGTATTTAATTTTGTCGTTAGAAATAACACCTTCAATACTCGCTTTTTATTCTATAAAGTTTTGCCCTCGTTTCTTCTTCGCTACGTTGCTCGCAGGGCCGCACCCTGACGGTGCGCGTCCAGGCCTATGGCATGAAGGCCGAGTACATTTGGGCCGATGGTAACGAGGGCCGCCCTGAGAAGGTACGCCTCGCGAGCAGCCCGCTCTGTTTTAGGCTTCCAGCACAATGTTGGGCCCCTTCTACTCCTCCTCCCAAGTGGCCCGCTGTCCATAGCTTGCACGCTGTTACCCTTCGCGCTCCTGCTGTGGCTCTCTTTCTCCGGCCTTGTGCAATACCCTTGTATGCATGTCAGTATTGACCGTACAGCACTGCAGAAAGCCCTGCCTATGCACCCAGATCTCCCTTCAATCCTCCCATACCGGTACATGCCGCACTTCCAACGGTCTTTCTCCTCCCCAACGAACTACCTTTGATCTCATCTCCTCCCCCTCCCTCTGCCCGCCTCCCCCCACCCTCCTACCACCCAGGGCATGATCTTCAACGAGATGCGCTCCAAGACCAAGGTGTTCGACGAGCCGCTCGGCCTGGACGCCGCCGAGTACCCCGACTGGTCCTTCGACGGCTCCTCCACCGGCCAGGCAGCGGGCAACAACTCCGACTGCATCCTCAGGTGCGAGCGACACACGTACCTTGCGCGGGCAGAGCTTCCATGGGTGAATATGTAACCATGCGTGCCTGCTCTGACCATAGTTGTGGTTCACGGTCCTGAGGCAGCCCTAGGAAGTCAGCCTTCACACCTTCGCATGCGACTCCTTTGCTTCCTTCATTGCACTACCCTCATCGCCTCCCTGTATCGCCTGCCACCGCTCAACTCCCCGCCACCGCCTCCCCCTCCCCTCTGCACAGGCCCGTGCGTGTGATCTCCGACCCCATCCGCGGCGGCCCGCACGTGCTGGTGATGTGCGAGGTGTTCGCCCCCGACGGCACCCCGCACCCCACCAACACCCGCGCCAAGCTGCGCGACATCATCGACGACAAGGTGCTGGCTGAGGACTGCTGGTATGGGCTGGAGCAGGAGTACACCATGCTGCAGAAGACCACCGGCCAGATCTACGGCTGGCCCGCGGGAGGCTTCCCCGCGCCGCAGGGCCCCTTCTACTGCGGTGTGGGCGCCGAGTCGGCGTTCGGCCGCCCGCTGGCCGAGGCGCACATGGAGGCGTGCATGAAGGCCGGCCTCAAGATCTCGGGCATCAACGCCGAGGTGATGCCGGGCCAGTGGGAGTACCAGATCGGCCCCGTGGGCCCCCTGGCGCTGGGCGACGAGGTGATGCTGTCGCGCTGGCTGCTGCACCGTCTGGGAGAGGACTTTGGCATCGTGGCCACCTTCAACCCCAAGCCCGTGCGCACCGGCGACTGGAACGGCACCGGCGCGCACACCAACTTCTCCACCGCCTCCATGCGTGTGCCCGGCGGCATGAAGGTGATTGAGGAGGCGGTTGAGAAGCTGTCCAAGACGCACATCGAGCACATCACCCAGTACGGCCTGGGCAACGAGGCGCGCCTGACCGGCAAGCACGAGACCTGCGACATCAACACCTTCAAGCACGGCGTGGCTGACCGCGGCTCCTCCATCCGCATCCCGCTGCCTGTCATGCTCAAGGGCTACGGCTACCTGGAGGACCGCCGCCCCGCCGCCAACGTCGACCCGTACACCGTGGCGCGCCTGCTCATCAAGACCGTGCTCAAGGGCTAAACGTGCTGGCCACGCGCGGTTGCGGCTGGAAGGACGTCTATGCGTTGTTGTTCCTCGCCTTGGTGGATGAAGTTAGTTAGTCTGAGAGCCTTGAGAGTGATCCTCTGGAAGCTGCACCTACAGCCGCACGTCATGCATGTCATGGAGGGCTTGGGTGCGTGCGGTGGTAGAGGTGCGGCGGTTTTGTTGCTGGAGGGTCAAGGAGGGTGCTAAAAAGCTGACCACACGCTCACAAAGTGAAGTGCTCACGAGTGGGCGTGGACAGGGGTCAGCACGGCACCGGCGCGAGGAGAGATTTGCGTTTGGTAGAGATGGGTAGTGAGGAGGAGAGGAGAATGGTTTGGAGTGGGGTGCCGGGTATCGAGTGCGTTCGTAGGGGCACGAGGAGGTGGTGCGACAGGATTTGCTTGCTACTGCTTGAATTTCCCCTTCTTGCGTTGACACCTGTGTAGTCTGGCCCTGAGAGAAGGGCATACGCGGGTATCGCTCAACGTCGCTGTTTCCCTTGTTGCTAGAGAGCTGCGTGCATCAGAACACTTGGTCGTGCCTTCCGTTGTATGAACACTGGAAAAGGATTTTGTCTGGAGGTCTTGACTCGCTGCTTGCTACGTCCTGCTCGCTGGCCCGCACGCCTTCCCTGTGTAACCTCCCCTCACGTCCATTGCTAATCCTATAGAGGTTAATTACCATATGACCATGAGGCTTCAATTCGCAGGAGAAAAGGCAGAGGGATAGTGTACAAATTCAACACGAAGCACAGGCACCGCCACATCGTCCACCACAGCCACCCAACGCGCATCAATGCTCCCCTCTCCAACGGCAACTTTGTGTTGCATGCCCCTGCATCCGGACCTCAAGTCACACATCATAAAGCGCTGGTAACGCAGACCATATGACGCCATGGGCTGCCGCTCCAGGAACCCCTCTTAAATCCCGCACATACCAAGCAGGGGTCAAGCACACACAGACAATCACAGTACGACGTTACGACTCGCCGCCAGTTTTCATAACAAAGACAGCTCGTGCCAAATGTAAAGCCAGACGAGTCCTAACCGATCCGCAGGTGTAGTTAGCCATAGCGACTGGTCTGCATTCATGCGCTCCACCCAACACACTCGCGCTGCACCAGACCTGCTCGTCCTCATTTGACCTAAACTGTTAAACTGCTACGAAGCGCAAGCACCTTGCTGCATTGACAGGTCCCTGGTGTCTTGCATGCTTCGTAAAGAGGCGTCAGTCGCTGTGTGTGGTATACCTGAGGCGCAGAACTGACACACGGACCCTGGCCGGCTGCTGTGCGTGCGCTCGAATCCTAACTACCTCCCTAACGCACCCCACTGATAGCGAGGTAGCAACAATACCTCGCCACGCAGTCCAGCGCTGCCCCTTCTGCGTTGCTCCCTGCTCCGGCATCCAAACACACGCACATCACGGCCTGGTCCTACTTCCTCAAGACACATGCATGGCAGTATACGCCCATGCACGGTGACATCCTTCCAGTTGGTCGGGCCCTCCTGGCACCGTCGGCGCATCATGGCTTGACCTCTCTAACACCCACGGCGGAGACTCAGGTCGCTTTCCGCTTTCAAGACAGCCCCTGCGACAATACACGCTTGCATAGGGTGTGGACTGTGGCGCAACCCCGCACCTCCCTGGCTCCCTGTACAAGCCCCCAGAGCGCCTGCAGGCATGTCGCCCATTCGGGCCACTCCCAAGGCCCTGCATGCGCACCCCACATCCGTGCGACTCATGGCATACTCAACCACCCCCATGGCTTAGTCACCCAACGACCGCCATAACACCTACAATGCCATACTCCGCAAGGGTGGCCGCACCAACCTAGCCAAGCTGCTTTGCCATGCCTTCTCAACTCGCGCCCACGGCACCAGCCGCCGGACCTCCGCTCCCGCCTGCCCCCTCGCCCCCAGGCCCCGCTCCACCCACACCCGCCTGCTGCGGCTGCGGGGCCGGTGACGCCAGCAGCCCAACACCGCCAGAACCCCCTCCTTGGACCTGCTGGTGATCCAGCTCCGCTGCCGTTCGCCGTACCGCCTGTTGCCGCTGCCGGTGCAGCTCCGAGGCGTTCGCACGGCGGTACGGCCGCAGCATGTCGCCTCCGAAACCAGGAATGTACAAGTTCCAGCTGCGCTCCAAATGCAGCGCAATGTCACGCGCTTTAAGCACGTTTGACTTGCGCCGCTTTGCCGCCTCGCAGCCCAGGGCAACCGCGTTACCGATCCAGTCTGAGTAGAAATCCAGCAGGGCGGTTTCCGTCGCCGGGTCGATTGCATACTCGGGCTGGTTCAACCCAGCCGCCCGCAACGCCATGCGGATACCGCGACGGGGTAGCAGCTTGTGCTCATCGTCCGCGTCCATGGCGGCAGCGGCGGCACGTCGTCTGGCGGCGGCCGCGGCGGCAGCCTGCGCCGCTTGCGCCTGGGCCTGCGCCTGCGCTGCCACCTGTTGGAGCATCACCGCCGCTAGGGGGTTGGGAGCGGCCAGGGGGTTGGGCCGCCCTGCGGCCGCGGCGGCAGCCGCCATTGACGCCAGCGCCGTCAGCTGCTCTGACTGCTGCGCAGGCGCCGCCGACTGACCCGGGCCGGGATGGAGAGCCGCACCGGGCTGCGGGGGCTGCTGCTGGGGTGTGGCTTGAGCGCCGGAGTAGGGGAGAGGTGGGTTGCTGCCTGCGGGGGATGGTCGGGAGGCGGCGTCGTTGGGCTCGGGTTCCCCGGGTCTGAGGCGCTTAGCGGCGGCCGGGTTGCCGTCAGAGCCGTTGGGCGCGTTGGATGAGGCGTCCGCTGCACGCTTGAGCCCCGCTTGCGCTTGCGCCTGAGCAGCCTGGGCCTGCTGCTGGTGCACCAGGTGCTGAGCGAGGGTTTGAGCAAAGACTTGGTTTGGATGGAGGTTGATGTTCAGGACTTGAGTTGCGGATGGGTGTGAAGGCGCGGGCTGCGGTGCGCCTGGGTTCATGTTTAGTGGTGAGATGGGTAGGGCTGAAGATGGAGCACCTCCAGGTCGCGGCGCGCCTCCGTTACCCGGACCAGGGCCTGGAGCCATCCCTGGAGCCATATTCAGGGGTTGTATGGGCGGTAGTCCCGGTGCGCCCTGTTGTGACGGGAGCGGCCCTGGATGCATTGAGAGCGGCTGCTGCCCAGTCGCCATTCCAGTGGACTGCGATGGGCCAGGCTGCATACTTTGCTGAATAGGCCCAGGTTGCACGCCTGGGAAAGCGCCACCGCCCAACGAGGGCCGTTGTGGGCCAGGGGCCATCGCCCCAGGCGGTGGCCCCCCGCCCGGTTGCGACATTGCCGCCTGCTATCAGCGGCGACTCACACGTTAATTGCAGAAGAACGTTGATGGAGCAACGTGATCTGGGCGAGGAGGTCTTTGGCGGTACTAGCTTTTGCCCAACAGCCTACCCGCTCAGCGCAAGTGATGGGGAGATATTATCAGCAAAAACTCTCAATTACGAGTACCAGCAAGGTAAAGAGGTGCCTCCTTCCAACGCAAGTGTTGTCGCGCGTTTACAATGCGTGGAACGTTTTACCCGAAGATACAACTGCTACAAAAGTATATACAGTGTTTAGCAATGTCGTAACGGTATTGGGAAAGTAGCCAGCGTTTGCTTCAGCTGCAGCAGTTGTGCAAGTCGCTCCAAGACCTTCTCCAGCTCCGTACAAATGGGCTGTTACCTTTGTTGAGCTTGCCTGCAAGGTTAGCGCGCTGCAAGGCGCCTCTTGCGATACACTCTGTAGATATGGCTCCAAAGAATAGTAAGAGTGATGACGAGGGCGATGAGCGTGCCCCATGGGAGGACGGCGCGCTTATGGTGGGTTTACCTTCCGCACAAGTCACTTCGACGTTCAAGGCTTCTACAACTTGATCATGTTGTCCCTGAGCAGGTCGATGTAACGTCCGTGGCCCCGGAGCTCGTGCTGAAGAACTGCCTGAGCAACGACCTTCCATCGCGGTTGGCCTACCTCAAGGTACGCACGGCTGTTGCGCTGCTGCGCTCATCACATCCGGACGTCCTTTCTGCTGACGGGTTGCTGCCACCGGCAGGAACATTAGCCCTGAAACACACGCAGCTGGAGCCTCCCCATCTTTCCTCACCCATCTCCCTCTACACGCCCACATGTGCCCTTCCCAGCCTCCTTGTCTCCACTAAGCCCTCTCCCCCTCTCTCCCTCCTCCTCTCCTCCTCCTGCTCCCCGCTCTCTAGGGTTTGGCTGCTGCCGCGCCCCGCTGCACCCGACGGGAACTGACTGCTCTGCTGGACGCGCTGGGTCCGCTGCTGGAGGACGAGGCGCTGGGAGTGCGGCTGGCGGTGCTGCGGGAGGTGGAGCAGCTGGGTGAGGGGAGATGGGAGGGGAAGGGGAGGGCTGGGAGGGGATTGTATGAAGGCGGTGTTGATGGGGCCAGTAATCAGCATGCGAAGGTGAAGGGACTGGAGATAAAGTGTGAGAAGGAAAGGGGGTCTTTGTAAATGGAAGCATGGCTGGAAGGGTGGCTGGAGGGTTGCAGGCGTAGTGCTGCTTAAGGTTGCTTGACCGGGCTCAAAAGGAGCCCAGGGCTGCGCTGGGCTGCGAGCGGGGTGTGCCGTACTGTCGGGCGGGTCAGGGCCAACTGCCTGGGTACTCGGGGCATCCACACAGCACCTTTAACCCCCTTCCTGCCGCACTGGGTGCAAACCCTCTCCTCCTTTGTCGCTGCTGTCGTACAGCCAAGCTGGCGAGCAGTACGGCATCTCCCGAGGAGGTCCGAGAAGCGGTGTTGGATGCCCTTGAGTCGCAAATCAAGCCCAGCATCTCGGATGTTGGAGGCAGTGGGGGAGGCGGAGGGGGTTACGGAGCAGGCCGCCGCGCCGCAGGGGGGGTCTCGGCGCTGCCTATGGTGGGTACTACCAGCTACTATTGTCCTTGTTACCATCGTTGCCGTCTTGACCGTGTGCCTGATAATGACCCGCGGGTCATTTTCCTCCTTTGATTGCCGGTAGCCCCGTCCTCTACCCTCCCAACAGGTTCGTGAGGCCCAGCTAGCCACACTCGACGCCGTGTGTGGGGAGTTCATGGGCACAGGCGGCGCCGGTGGCAGCAACGGCGTGAATGGCACCATCAGCAGCAGCCAACAGCGGCAGCAGCAGCAGCACCAAGAGGAGCAAAGGGAGGCCGCCAGGGCAGCCGAGGACTTGCTCATGCGACTGTACCGCACCGCCGACGTTGCTGTCGACAAGCTAGCAACGGCTGTTGCAGCTGCTGCTAGCCAGGCTACGGGCCCTGGGACAAGTGGCAGGGTGATGGGTGCCGCCGGCGGCATAGCTGCAGCAGGCGGCGGAGGCGGCGGCGGAGGCGACGGCGCCCTGATGGTGCTGTCGGTGGCGGCGGTGGCGGTACGACACATGGCGGCGGATCGCGGCGGCTTACAGATGGCTGGACTGGCGGGGAGGCTGCGATGTCATGGGGACACGAAGGTTCGCGAGGTAGGGTCTTGCAGGGAGGAGCAAGGTTGTTTACTGCTTGCATCTTGTGGTCTGGAAGGGCGTCACTTTTTGGCTTGGCTTGCCTGTGTTACGTCTATGGGGAGGAAGCTCTGCAACTACCCCACAGCTGCCAAGGAAACCTGCCTCACTCTTTCCTCGGGCCTTGCGCCCCTGCCCCTGGGTTCCTGCGCTGCTGCGTGCTGGCAGGCCCTCGCCACTGCCCTACCGCAACTGTACGGCAGCTTCGTAACCCACCCCGGCGGCATGGAGGAGCTCTTTTCGGTGTATGAGCAGCTCGTACAGGATCCGGTGTGGTGCGTACGGCAGGCCTGTGCGCGAGTCGTGGCGGAGATATCGCGGTTGTGCGGGCGTGTCGCTGCCAGCAGTGCCTCGGCCCCTGATCTTGACGGTTCCTTGCAGCAACAGCCAGGGGATCAGCAACAGCAGCGACGGTTGGAGGAGCGGGCGGACGCCTTCCAGACGCGGCTGCTACGGCAGTCCTACCTGGCTGTGTTGTTACCCGCCAAGTCTCAGTGGGTGGTCACAGCTGCTCGGCAGCAGGCGGGTGCCGTGATCGCCTCCTTGCTGCCTCCAGCAACCAGCGCAGCAGCAGCTGCAGCAGCTGCAGCAGGCGGGGAAGTGGGCGGAGGCGGCGGTGGGGAAGGCGGTGGCGCAATCGCGGCTGGGGTGAGGGGGCTGCTGCCGCAGCTGCTGGATGTGTATTGCGGCGCGACGGGGGCGGTGGGGGCTGGGGCGCTGGAGGTGCGCCGGGCCTGCGCGGAGAGCTTCACCGCCGTGGCGGAGCAGGTGGGAGTGGGGCGGGGGGGGGAGGCGGGGGCGGGGGCGGGGCAAGGTGTGGGGGCGTGGGAGATATACGGTAATTGGCAATCTTCAGAAGCGAGGTGTGGGGTGGCGTCTGGGGCTCTGGGTTAGGGCTGGAACCCAATAGCCCTTCTGCTTGCATGGACGACACCGTCAGCCCTTCACTCGTGCGTTGAATGGCAAGGATCTCCGAAACTCTAGGAGTCCTCATCCCCGACATACTCCGGATGCCCATTCCTTCCAGGCTGGTCACGAGCACTGGCCCCAGCTTCAGCCCGTTTGGGTCCGGCTGCTAGCCAGCAACGACGGCCCCTCCCTCTCCAGCCTGGTGGCCACGGCGGAGAAGCTCATACGACTGCGAGCAGCGGCCGCCCCCGACAACACAAGCGGCAGCAGCTTGCCTGAGCTGCACCGCGCAGCAGAGCAGGTGGTTTCGGGGCCGTTCCTAGATCAGGTGCTCCGGAACCGGCTGCATATGGTCGCTTCCGCCGCCGCAGCCGCACTACCCGGGCTGCTGGCGGTGTGTCCGCCGGCGATACAGCGGGAGCTCTTGCAGCTGTTGCCGCAGCTGTGCGCCGCTCCGGATGGACCCACGGGTCGCTGCGGCGAGTGGCGCACCCGCCTCAGCCTCGCTTCTCAGCTGCATGCGGCCTTGCGGGCGGTGATGGCGGCGGAGACGGGCCCGGATGCAGCGGCAGCGGTGGCTCGGTGCGCTGTCACGCTATGCGGTGACCCTGTGTGGGCTGTACGGCAAGCGGCGGCGGCGCAAGTGGGCGTTATCTTGGCGGAGGCCGTGTCGGCAGCTCCGACGGCGTCATCGGCGGCTAGTGAAGAGGCTTCACCGGTGGCGGACGCAGGTAAGGCGGCGACTGCAGCGGAGGCGGACACTGCGTCGTCTGGCCTGCCTGCAGCCGGCACTAACGCTGGGCGGCAGGATGAAGGGGCTCCAGGCGCGTCTCCCTCGGGGAGAGGCAGCGGCGACGCTGGGTTTGGCACACCTGGCGCCGTCGCAACCACCTGTGCACCGCCCCCCTCAGTTGCTGACGCTGCGGATTCCGAGGCCTCGACGTCGGTGCCGGCGGCGCCGGCGCAGGAAGCAGCAGCGGAGGCGGCTGACGCTGGAGGCCTGACGGAGGCTCACCGGGCCTGGCTAGCGCGTGTAGCAGAGGCCGCTGCGGCACGTGAGAGTGGCGAGGCGGGGGCTGAGGCGTTGGGTGTACTAGCCGCATGGCTTGCGGAGGCGGCCCAGTCGGGCGGCAAGGCGGGGTTGGCGATAGCGTCATGCTGCTGCGTAGCGGCACTGGGGAGATGAGATGTACCGGTAGGTGCTTGATGTACCGGTAGATGTAGGTGCTTGAGATGTAGTCTGGCGCTTGAGAGGCATGCGTGACTGATGGTAGGCGGTGCATGCTGTGGATCGCCTCCGAACGTAATTGGCCGGGGCTTAAGAGTTCCGGGCGGTAGTCTGGTGTGTTCGCAGATTTTGTTTTCCTTCCAATCAGGCTGTTTGGGACAGCCAGAAGAGCTAGCCCGCTGCAACACGCTGGGGCAGGCAAATACTTTGTGGTGTATGAGTACATCGGATGCTATTCTTCAGGTGCCATTGCTTGTTACCCGTACTTGCCCCAAAGGGAGTACTGTAAGAAAAGGAAGCGATGGAAATGTCACAAAGGTTGCCTTATGTGAGGTGTCCATCCATTGTGGCCCTATGAACAGTAGGGTCAGTAACGGCACAGTTACCCGCCTGGCGTTAGCGGAGTTGCAGTAACATGCAACATGCGGGGTCAGCTCCGCAACGCGAAGTGTGCGTTGGACAAGCGGCATGACAGATTGCAGCGTCCAAACCCAACAGAGGAACACAGAGATAACGCCATTCATAACATCCAACCGTTCACGCCAGGCAAACCCTAAGACCAAACACAAGCCACGTACCGGTACCGCCAGTGTAAGAAAGATGCAGCCAAAGTTGCAAGCATGAATTCGAAAGCAAGAACTCGAGCGCACCCTGCTATGCCCAATGTACAGAGCTACATGACAAGGCGGCACTGCGAAGGGCGCACTGGTATTGTTGTGGCCGTTCTAGCTAACAGGGAACGCGTCCGAAGATGCAACGCAGCCTCCATCCCGCAACACGTCACCCGTGTTCCCCTTTAGGGAGCCACTGTAACGGTCATTCACGCCGCCTGACCGTACCGAATGCATGCCAAAGCGCAGCGTGGAGTGTTCCAGTGTTATGGTTTTTACGTCCTAAACAAAACCAACCCGGGAAGAAAGATGAACTTACGCCACAAACACACGTCCCGTCGGGTGATGAATGCATAACTAATACGTACACTCAGCTATGTACCATCAATAACTAACTGCTGTCCTGTCGCCAAGCCACACCCGGGTGTTACCAGCCCGTAACAATAACCGGCCTTGCTCAGTGTCTTCGCCCATAGAGGGGCCCACCATGTAACAACACAGTAAAAAGATCATCCTCCATCCTTACCATACGTGAACTTCCTTGCCCAGCCGGTGATTACCCGCAATGCAAGGGTATTCGCTGCCGTATGTGAGCAGCCTGAGGACCGGCCCATGTCGCCCTCCTACATTCAAACAGTCCGCAGTCCTACAGAGTCAAACCCCACAATGCAACCTCCAGTCTCCATGCATGTCCTTCCATTTGCCAGCAGTCGCTACAGCAGTTGCCACAGCGCAGTCACTAACCAGGTGAGTACTACTAACGGTAAGGTATATTAACCCACTGGAACAATATTTCGAAGCTAACTCGTCGCCAAGTCACCACATGACCCACGCTACAGGCTGCGGGCACACAGTGCACCCTCGTAACATAAACCATGATTGTCACAGATCCGCCCATGCAGGAAGTCCGATTGTCATCGCCCATGTCACGTAGTGTAACTATACATGTATCTATACCTCAGATGCGTGCTGTCGTCGTCGTCACGAAGGGCGAACGCAGGGTCTCAATGCATTACGGAATGAGCCACATGAGTATGACTTGGAGACGTGTTGAGCGTCCCTTATGGCTTGAAGACGTATGCAACGCCCACCTCTTGGCGTCGGGCGAGCGAGAATGTTGCTGCAATGCTTCTTCTGTGCATCAGCATTATGCCTCCTCTGCGCACCTATCCTTGTCCACACCTGGATAAACCGAATCCCCATGCGCCTCCATGCCGCTCGCCTTGCGCATAAGCCTCTCACCCCTCTCGACCCAGATGCCATTGATAAAGCACGCTCCCAACAAAACCCTTTCGCTGCTCGCCTCTGTAACCCATGAACCTAGCACCGCTGTAACAGTACCCACGACCCGCGCTTCCAGCGCTGCTGTTCTGGGTCGCTACATATCTTAGGCTAGTAGGTAATAGCCCCCTTACTTGAAGAAGTACGCCAGTGCAATGAGGACGTAGAGCGCGATGAGCTGAATGCCCAGCAGCCAGTGGGAGGTGGCACCCGCCGTCACAAAGTTGGACTGCCGTTACGGAGGTGATTGAGAGACGGGGAGAGAGGGGCACAGAGCGGGGCAGGGCAGCAGAGTAGGGGTGAGATTTTGCGAGCTGGTGCCTTACCAGAGGCCCGGACAGGCACCATGTTCCCTAGGCACACATGCAACGGGAAGTATGCACATGAATGCTGCGAAGGGTACCGGTAGTGGCTACGCGGCACGACTCCGAGGCCAGATAAGAAGACATAATCCCTTCACTGCATGCCTGCGCATAGCCCGACCCCTGAATACTGCATGCTGAACACTCCGCCACATTGCTTACTACCCCCAGTCAGTGTTTCCGCGGCTCAGTTTATCTAATTACCCCCCTTTGCCCCTCTTTCCAAACAACCCTACACGAACCTGAGCCACGGATAGCATGAGCGCCAGAGCCGAGAAGGGGTCGAAGTCCAGCGTGAAGGGGTGACCTGGCGTTGGAAGGGGTTTCACACGAGCCTTACCGCAGTGCGTCATGTGGGTTGGGCTTCGGGAGGTGGTACAACCAAGGGGTACGTGCGGCAGGCATTCTGGAGGGGACGCATAGACAACTCCGTCCCTGCCTCCCTGCATCACCCTACAGCGCTACAGGCGATGTCAGCCCCCCTCCCAGCCGCTGATGCCCCCAGTCATGCGCACCGGTCATCCAGCCCACCACCACTGCCAGCGGCACCGCGAAGAGCGCCACCTGGATGGAGGAGCCCACTGCCACTCCCATCGACCTGCGCATCACAGGAAACACACAGCGGCAGCCGTCGCTCAAGAAAAGGAATGACGTAAAGCAGGTAAAGTTGACCGCACGAGGAAATGTTCCAGGCCCCAGGTGTCAACTGCAGTGCCCAAGGTGTGGACTCTCGGCTGTATGTTGCCCCGAGACCTGACCCGAGCCGTGTTGCTCCCTCCCAAGAGACTTACAAGTCCATCTTGTTCTTGGTTGCCACGATGACCGCCGTCATGTGCTCGCAGGCGTTACCCGCGATGGGCAGCACGATGGTGCCCAGGAAGGCCTCACCCAGGCCGGAACTGCAGCGCAGAAACAGGGTGGGTGTGGGGTAGGGGGATGAGGGAGGAGTAGGAGGCGACACTGGTATGAAGAGGTGGCAGGCAGCAATTGGCGACGACGACACAGCACTTAGCTGGGGTGCCATTCCTCGCTGAACCACATTGGTCATGGGACCTCACCTCTTGCTAAACTCCTCCAGGGAAGACGTCAGGTACCTGTTAGATAAGGACAGAGGCGGGAGCACGCACGGTGCAAGGGAGGAACGTCAACGCTGGCGACTCCTGGCGGCAATCTCGGCAAGCGGGCAGCACGCAAAAGGTCAGCATTCAACCGCAGCCTGCAGCCTCCTCCAGTATAACCTCCAAGGCCACCTCCTACACCACCAGCCACCATGCCACCCGCCACCCCGCACCTCCCAGCGCGCACTCACTCCGAGCACACCGCCACCAGCACCGTGATCAGGGTCAGCAGCCCCAGCGACGTCACCAGGCTCAGCATGGGCTCCTGCCGCTCCTCCTCCTCCTCCTCCTCCTGAGCGCCCGCACCCGCACCCTCAACGGCACCCGACACGGGGCGCTCGCTGACCTCCTGCAGGGTCAGGAAGATGCGGGGTCCCGTGACCCACATGGGGTTGCGGCATGCGACATGCATGGGTGGGCCCCCGTGACAGAAGCACTGGGCTGCTGGCGTCCAGGCGACCTGCACCAGCGTTGAGAAGGGTGCTAACAAGGAGGAAGGCGCGGCCTTACCTCGAACAAGTCGGTGTGGGTGTAGAGCTGGAATCCCAGGTAGCATGCGTAACTGCGGGAGGGGCGTATGAAGCGAGAAGGGCGCTTATTGTTTACTTGGGGTTCGCGTCATTAGGAGCCCGTATGCGGCATGAAACAAGCGAAGCATTTCACACGGGCAAAATTTTCCGAAGCATGAGGCTCCATGGCCAGCAGGCCACCAACATCAACAACCCGGGCCAAGAGTCGTCCCCAACCTCTCCTCCATACCACCCTACGCCTCCTCCACCTCGCCAACCCCAACCAGCCCTCCTGATCCCTCCCAAGCCCCTCCCGGTAGCCCCCCCCGCCGCACCAGATGAGCAGCACCACCGCCGTGCCCCTGCTGATGCCCAGCACCACCTCCTGGGCGTTACCGTCGCGCCCGCCGCCGAACAGCAGCGAGGCGCCCGTGGGGATCAGGAAGCCCAGCGCGGCCAGGAACAGCATGGAGCTGGGGGGGAGAGAGGGGTGCAGAGAGAGGGGGAGAGAGATAAGGAGAGGAGAGACGGGCGGGCAGGTTAGGGACTTGGGGTGTGAAGGGAGAAGGGGAGGAGGGGAGTTGGCTTGCCAGGAAGCAGGCCGGATACAAAGGTGATTTGGGTCTACGAGCATGTCGCTACCCCGTAGCCCCATATGAGGTAGTAGCTTACCTGGCCGCCTGGTTGCCGTTGGCATTGTACTTCTGCGTCTTATTGAAGATGCCGCCGAAGAAGAAGCTGCAGCCTGTGGCAGCGGCGCGACCACGCATGTTCATTTACGTGATGGAGCCCTACATCCATGACATGCAGCCTTCCATGCGACTCCCCGCACCCCCACCATGAACCCCGCCACGCACCCCGCCATGCACCCGGCTGGCTCGCTGCCCCCGTCCCCCCCTACCCGTCACGAGCAGCAGGTTGGACAGGATGGAGCCCAGCAGCGAGGCCGCCACCACGCCGTACAGCCCGTTGAGCAGCGCCGCGATGGACAGGATGATCTCAACGATGTTGCCAAAGGTAGCCTGCCATCGTAGCAGGAAAGGACAGGATGAGTAAGAAGACCGTGAACAATAAGGGCGCCAGGAGACCTTTTTCCTCGCTCCAACAAAACAGCTCGACGTGTTACCTGCCCTCCCGCCAACCGAGATCCTCGAGGACACCCTGCCCCTAATGACCCTTATCCTCACGTTGATGAGGCCCCCAATGACGGAGCCGTATCTCAACGCCAGGTCCTCCGTCACATCGCCCAGAACCAGCGCCAGCGGGATGAGAGCCAGGAAGTTCTGCAGGAGGGAGAGGAGGGTCATGCCAAGGGAAGCGGATGATGTGAATGGCGCGTAGCAGAGGTACGGTGCACGGCCAGCCTAGGCACGAAAGGTGTGTGGTGTGACGTGTGAGCGAGAATGGGGGTGTCGCTTTCGTGCTGTACAAATCGCAGAGACTCATGCTTTCGACTATGGACGCCCCTCCTCAACTCACAAGTGAGAAGACGTACGCTTCACTCCACTTCAGCGCCCCAGCAACGATGCCCAGCGGTACCACCAACAATAGCAGGTTTATCCAATTGCTGAGGATTTCCTTTAAAGCAACCAAGTCGCTGCGCCACCATCCCGGGGGTGGCCGAACGCTGAGCGTGCGGGACGAGCGGCCCGCTGTGCTGGCTCCATCCTGAGACTCACGTGGACGTCCCGGCAAGTACGGCTGTGGCCGTTCTGGGTCCAGCAACGCTTCCGTCTCTGTCCATTAGACAAGATAGGGTGCACACAGGGCTCAATTATGGAGTCATAGGACGTGCAAGGCAGCAACAGCCGCAGAATGCCGGAGTGCGTCAAAGGATGCCGACACATGTCACCAACGTTTCAGCAGCCTGCATGTGGGTCTAGCAGCAAGTTATTTAAGGTGCTACAATATAGCTAACCTGGCTGTTGGTCTTCCTCGTCTAGCTCGTCCTTGCGCTGGGCTTCACGCCGCTTGGCGGCCAATACTTGCATCCTGGCCGCGGCCCTTACGACCGTAAAAGCTTGCGTCCTTGATAACATTTTTGCCTTAATAAAAGGAACGAAGTGCAGGAAAAACACAGAAGCCCTTGCAATCCGTAGGTTTTCGGTATTTCTATGGAAAGAGACAGGTTAGATTAGGCGGGTCACTGAATAAATGATGATGTGTCACAGTGATCAACTGGGGAAGCCACGCATGCTTCCAGGCAGACATAGAAGCCTGTACGGCATAAATTTGAACCGCTGCGCACTTTACTGGTACCTTGGAAGCAGCCTGACAGGAGATAGTAAGGGGCAAGTCTTATAATTATAGTGGGTTTGCTACGTTTGAAGCATGTTTTGTCATAGATAGAGAAGACAACTGTGTTAGCTAGAACCTGCTGGATTTGAGGAGTTTGACAATCCGGATTCCATCAGTAAGGGCACTTTTGCGGTGGATACATGACGCTTTGCACATACGCGAATGCTGCAGGAACCCTACACTGTAGACCTGTGTGGGCAGTCCGCACGTTTAAAGCATTTCCCTCGGAGCAAGCTCTATCCCATTTTTGGTTAGAAACAGCGCGCACCTCAAACTATCTTGCTAGCGTTTAACCTAGAGCTAAAGTGTTGGGTTACTGACGTGGAGTGTTATGCGGGTCTCGGATGGTATGGTCGTAAGAGCTGACCTGCTACCTTGCGCACGTAATCGGGCCCATGAGCGTGAGTGCGAATGTACATGATTGATTGAGGCGCGGACATCGCACCCGAAGAGAATACCGGTACTCGAGTACGCAAATAGAAACCTACTATAGGAAGTTACACTGACGAGCGACGGCGTGTGCGATGCTGGATATGTAGCCATCAATGTCCGCGTGTTTGCAAGCTATCCAACCCCCGCAGCGAGGTCTGTAGGAGGTCCCTAAGGATAAAGCGTTATCCTGCGTTACCCATGTTGAAGTACATCGTCTGGGGGCCGTCCCCGACTTAGGAATACACACGCGTGCCCAACGCACAAAGCACGCAACAGAGCCTCCCAGACACGGATGCCGACTCAACTAAGCAACAGTCGCGCACTGTATTTCCTCTACAACCTGGAACGCAAACGCATTGCCAACGAGCCAGGAAACCGACCCCCGTTCATAGCCTGGCCCCCGCCAGGCTAACTTAATCTCCTCTTACCACGTTAGCCAGCTCCACACCTCAAGGAACACCCCAAACCCCTCCACCCCCAGAGCATTCCCCTCACACCACCACGCCTCCTCCTCCTCTTCCTTCCCACCGCCTCTCCCTACCCCTCCCCCCTCACCCAATCACCATGCCCGCCTCTGCCGCCTGCTGCTGCTGCTGCTGCGCCGCAGGCGCCCCAAACGGCGCCGGCGAAGCCCCCGCGGGGAAGGGCAGATCCCCCACGAACTGCGGCACCTTGTCCCCCGAGATGTAGGTGTGGTGGGCGCCGCGGCCGTCCAGCGTCACCAGCCGGATGACGCCGCCGGAGGAGGCGTCGCGCGTCATGGCCAGCGCAATCGCCTCCATCACCCAGTGCTCCGCCTCCTCGCGGGTCATGTCGTCCCTACATGGTGGGAGGAAGGGCGAGGAGAGGGGATGCGAGGGGAGGGGCCGGCAGGTGAGGAGAGCGCTGGAAGGTGCGGTGGGTGGGGGTGAATGGGAGGGCCTTGGGCCCAACCTCAATGCGCATGGACACGGCGATGATGCAGTACCGGTAGCCTTCACAGCACCGCACGGTCCAAGCTGCTGGGTGCTGGTGACCGCATGGCAGCACCCCACACACGACACCGGGGAACTGGGGAAGACGGCCCCCCTTCACGTCCCTCCGTGGGGCTACACTCGCCGCCCTGCTGTTGGGTCGATCAACCCAACCGCACCCTCCCTCCATGTACGTTCCCGCCATTGCCCCCTAGCACAGACCATCAAGTGTTCGTACAAGGCTTGCAATGCGTTCCCCCCGGGGCCCAGCACACCGGACCAGCCCTGGTACCCCGACAGTCGCAGCGGCTGGGATGACTCGTACGCTGCCTGCTATGCCCGTTGGTAGGGTCCCTTTCTGCCCCTGTCAGACCCCGCAACGCCCCTTCCATGGTCACTGCCAGGGGTTTCGTAGCTCCCAATCCAGCAGCTCTTCCCAACGCACCCCGCCGCATCCCCTCCCCAAGCCCTCAGCTCCAAGACTCCCACCAAAACCGCGCTTTCCCCGCTGCTCCCCACCCGCCTCTCCCCCGCCCTCGGCCCCACAACAGTGGAGCCTCCTCTCAATCCCCCTCCTTTACCCCCCGCCCAGCACCCCGTCACCCACTTGAACTCGCTGTCGCAGTAGCCCCAGATGTAGGTGCTGCCCGACCCGTCGATCGCCCACTTCTCCTTGGACAGTGTGCCGCCGATGGGTGCGCCGTACACCTGCCCCCCGCCGTGTCGGTCCCAGCCCACCACCAGCATGGCCCCCACCAGGTGGTCCTTGTTGTTGTAGTTGATCTAGGGAGGGGGTGGAAATAAGGAAGGGGAGGGGGGGGAGGGGGGGCAGCGGAAGGAGGAACGTGGGGAAGGACCCGGAGGTGGTCAGGGTTTGGACGCAGGAGGGTGGAGGTAATACATAAGGAGTAGGAGGGGCAGGGGCTGGGGCGCCACCTGCCGTCAACATAGATAAGTTGGGGAAGGCTTCAGGACCATGGCAGTGCTGTGCCCGAGCACCCATTCGAGGCTCAAATACCCTCGGATGGACCTTCCTGCAGGACACTTACCAAGCGGACCAGGTTAGCCGCCATTTCCACTGTAGGCTCCTCCCCGGACTCGGCGCTAATCTGGTCTAGGTAATGTCTAACTGCAATTATTGGTCAGGGCCAGCGCATGGAAGTCAAGAGGCCATCCCGGGAAGTTGACGCTGCAAGACTCGCGGTTTGGCCCAAACCTCACCGTTATCGCTAATGATCTGTGTGTCTGGTGCACTGCCAGAGCGGCATAGGAAAATGTACTCCGCGAGGGGTGCGATCTTGTTGGATGCGCGGTTTGTAATGTAATTCCCTATGCTAACTCGCCCGTCAGCACCCAGAACGACGCCTCCTTTGTACGTGCATGCTACAATCGTGGTACCAGTCGAGGGCGCAGCCTCGGCGTGGCTGGCACCCCGCGACACGTCCATAACTCCTGCTCTTTTCCAACTGCTACAAGGAAGCTTAAAGCAGAAGTATATACTATATTGTATAAATGTGTGCAAAGTAACACAACGACGACAACTTTTTGCAAAGTATACCCGTAAAATGCACGGACGAATGAGATCGCGTGAAGCAACATAACATCACCGCATCGCCGTCGTCGGATGGCCTAATCAACAATTCAATGTTAGCCATACAAACACATTGCAGCCAAAGCAGCTGCCTTGCCTACGACGCGTTTAGTTGTCTTCCGGTTAGAGGATATCGGCGTCGAATCCTCCGCCGATGCCTCCATAGGGCATCCTTCCAGCCATCGCACACATATGACATAATTAGAACCGTATCATGCGCATCAGCTCCAGTTTCGCCAGGCGATGTCGTCGACTTGCTGGAATTTCTACAGCATGAAGCCGCTCCGTATGAGGTTGTTGTACCCCCTTACGCCCAAAGTGCGGTAGCTCCAGCCTTCAAAAGCCATCAACGACGCACGGGGCACCGGCGAGCTCCTGGCGACGGAGGAGCAGCTCGACCCCGACGCGCCAGCCAGCCCACCCAGCAGCAAGCAAATGGGCTGACTAACACCGATGGCCATCCCAGCACCATCAACCCCAAGTGGCCCCAAAAGCGACCTGCTGCTGCTGCTTCCGGCAGCCACGCGACAGCCTTGGCAGCACAAACCGAGCCTGCTGATGAGTCCACATCAATGGCCGGGACCCAAGCCGCACCCAACCTGCAAGCGACGCCGTTGTCAGCCACAAACCCAGCTGCGGCGCCTCGCGTTGCGCAGCAATCCACTCCGTCAGCACTCGAAGGCAGTTCCCGCAGTGTCCAGGAAAGCTCCCGTAGAGGACGTCCGAGTTTGCAGCAGCCTGCGGCAGCAGCTCCAACACCCTCCGCCACTGCTGATGCGCCAGTGACGCCAGCCGCCGCCACAGCAGCCTCTGCTGCGCCCAAGTCCTCCACACCAGCCCCGACTCGCGCTGCAGGCTTCACTTCCGCCTCATACACCCCATCGCCGCCCGCAGCTGCAACGCCGCCATCCGCCTCCGGAATCCCGGCGGCTAGCAGCGGCGGCAGGACTAGTCGCGACGATGACCTCACGACCCACAGCAGCAGCAGCAGCAACGACAGCACTGGGCCCGCAGGTGACACTGCCAGCAACCGCACCCCAGCACACACGACCGCACCTCCTCAACAGCTGCCTCAGCCGCCACCGCCGCCGTCGCAACAGCAGCAGCCCTCCCGGGCCGACCCACGGTTCCAACCGCAGCTGGACCCGCAAGCCCAGGCGGTTTCACGGCTGCTGGCTGCGCGCCGCGCTGCAGTACAGTGGCAGTGGAACCGTCACCTGGATATTGCCTCCGCCACCTCCGGCACACCAGGAGCCGCAGCTGCTGGCTCCACCACTCCTAAGCCCGCAGCCGCACCAGTCACTGCAGCCAACCCAGGAAGCGACGCCGTGGCTGTCACCACCAGGCGTTCTGACGCGGCTGGCGAGTTATCGGACCGCTTGGGCTTGGAGCAGCAGCAGCAGCAGCAGCAGCAGGAGTGGCAGCAGCAGGAGTGGCAGCGTCAGCAGCATGCCGCTCCAGCGCTGGCAGCGGTTAACCCTGGCGAGACGCGACAGGCGCCTTCCCTTGCTCCCCCCACGCAGTCTTCAGGACTACCCGGCACACCACCATCCAGGCAACCGGAGGCAGCAGCTGCAATACCACCACCGCCACCACCACCGCCACAAAGAGCAGTAGCAGGTAGTACAGCAGCAGCAGCAGCGAGCATGAACGCTACAGCCGCTCCCAATCACCCCCGCTCGTTGGCCCCAAAGCCCTCCAACGCACCGCCATCTCAGACACCGCCAGCCGCCCCTCGGCTTCCCTCCTGGCTGGTGCCGCTGACGCTGCAGGGCAGGCTAGCCCGCATGGACGCGGCACTTGCGGCCCACAAGGCATCCCGCCATGCCCCCTCCGCAAGCCATGCGCCCACCTCCGCCCCTCCTTCCTCAACAGCCTGGGATCCCAGTCGAGCTCCTCCCCAGCCTCCGCGTCCCCATACCTCGACTTCCGCCGTCCCCGCGGCGGGAGCCGGGCGGGTACCTTCCAAAGGGCCGCTACCTGTGTCCGCGCCTAGCAATGGGGGTCGTACTGTCGGCAGTGAACTGCCCACTTGGCGCACCGGTGCCAAGACTTCGCCAGCAGCAGCCACGCACACCCTAGGTCCTGCGACTTCCGCAGAGAACACTCGATCGGTTGTGAAGCCGTTGCCAGCTGTCGTAACCCCTAGGATTCCTGGCTTACCAGCAGCAGCAGCCGCGTCATTGCCTTCACCCGCGGCAGTGGACGCACAGGCGCTGCCGCCAGAGTTAGCAGCCGCCCGGGAGCTGTTCAAGCGGTTGGCGCAGTACCGACCCGTGGGTCGTGAGGACGGTCCGTTGCTGCTTGCGCCTCATGCGCGGTACCAGCGTGTGCTGTATCAAGCGGCGGCGCAGGCGGCGGCTGACCGCCATGATCTGCTGCTGGCACCGCTGGCATTGCCAGACTTGTCGTACATTGCAGCTGCTTATGCTGCCGCTGGTCATAAGTACGAGCCTTTCGTACATGCACTGGCAACGGTCGCGAATGACAAGATGAAATCATCCGGGTTGATGGGAAAGGCGTCATCGCTTACTAAGCGGGCAGCTGACCGCAGCGACGGCGACGGAAGCGGTTCGACAGATCCGGCGGCGTCGGCGCCTCTGACGTTCCGTACAGCATGCATACTGCTGACGGCGCTTGCACGGTTAGCTACCTACGCACCCACCACCGCCGCCGTTCCGTACGGCAATGGTAACAGCAACGGTGCTGTCGTGCGGCTTACGACGGCGCTAGCCATGTGGCTAGCACGGCTGCTGAAATCTGGAGCCGTTACGCCTCGTGCCAAATGGAAGGGCACTTGGCTGGCGGCGGCACTTTGGGCCTACGCAACTCTTCAGCGCAACACCAGCGGCGGCGGCGGCGGTTCCACACCTACTACTGGCGCCCCTGCCGCGGCCGGTAAGGCGGCTGCAGGTGCTACAGCCGACCTGGCAGCAAGTACGGCAGCGGCGGGCGCGGCTCTGTTCACGGAGGCTGCGGAGGCGGTGCGTGTGGCGCCCGGCTGGCTGCATTTGCTGGACTGTCGGGAGGCGCTGTGGGCCCTGTGGGCGTTCAAGGTGGCGGCGGAACTGTACGGCACTGATGAAAGGGCCACGGGAACCTTTCATGCCGCCGTCGCCGCGGCTGCTGCTGCTGCTGCTGCTGGTAGTGGTGCTGCCGCCGGCCCCACTGTTGCCGGCGCCGCCGGGCCTGCATGGGCGACGGATCAGAAGGGCAGTAGCGTTCAGGTGGACAGGGAGGCGTCGACTGCTGGCGGCGCTGGGGGTGTCACGTTGCTGCCGGCACACCACCTGGGGGGTGCGCGGGCGCATGTGCGGTACGAGCCGGACGCGCTGATCGAGCTCAAACTGGCGGCGAGGGCGATGTCGCAGGTGCGGTTTCTTGGGGTTGCAACATTCCGGCATGCTCGGCGCTGAGTATGTGACATACCCGCCCTTAGTAGCCCTTGTGCGCTACCTCGCTCTCGTTTGCCCCGCTCCTCCTCTGTCACCTGCCCTTTCCTCGCTTTTTCCTCACCCTCCCTACCTCCCTCACCCTCCTCACCCCCTCACGCCCCCCCTCCCCCAGTTCGCCCAGCTGGACCCGGGCCAGCTGGCGGAGGCCTTCGCGCTGGTGGCGCAGGCGGGGCTGGCGGCCGGCGACCCGCAGCTGCTGGCGGAGCTGCGGCGCTGCAGCCTGGCGCGTGCGGCAGCCACCCGGCCGCTGCCGCTGGCGGTCATGGTGGCGGCGCTGGCAGTGATGCAGGTGCGTGGGGGGGGGGGGTTCAGAGACCGTACCAATCCATAGGGAACCACAGGTTAGGGCAAAGCAGTGGGGATAGAAGGCGGCAGGGGGGGAGGGGGCCTGCCGAGGATTGGGGCTGGCGGGGCTGGGAGCTTTGTGTTGCCGCGCTGTGGTGGATAAGGCTGAGAAGGAACCGTGCTTGCTGTGCTCCTCTTTTCCCGAGCAGGTGCAAGACGTGGTGTGGCTGTCGGGGCTAGCGGCGGCGTGTCGCAATCAGATGATCAACATGCAGCCCGAACAGGTGGGTAGTGGGGCGTGGGAGCGGGTGGACCGTACGGCAGGGGTTGCGCAACATTTGACAGCGCGCGACCTGCCCTAGTCAACACATTGACTCTTGCACGCCGCACGCCAGCAGCATAAGCCGCTTCGGCTCTCCTTGACCCGGCTCACTCAACCCATTCACCGCCTTCCCTATCTACTTGCCCCGATCCCTGCGTCTGCCCCCAGATCGTTGTAATCCTGCACAGCTTCACCGCCGCCCTCCGCTTCTACTACCCGCCCCTCTTCCACGCCGCCGCCGTCATGTGCACCCTGCCCGGCTACCGCCGCCTGGCGCACATGGGCCCGGCCGAGGTGGTGCGGCTGCTGGGGGCCTTCACAGCGGCGGGGCACTACGAGCGGGTGCTCATGCGCGTCGCGGTAAGCGAGCTTGGAGCGGGGTTGGCATTAGGTGTGGATGGGTCAAATTAGACCAAAACCATAAATGGGCGTGGAGGGGGGATACGATGGGGTCTAGAATGTGCTGTAGCCTGCAGTTGTGTGTCGAAGGAAGGAGTTCCCTCAACGGGCAACACTTGTGTACTGTATGCGTTCACATTAGTCGTCAACGCCTTTGAAGTCCAGCTGCCGGAGTTTGGTGGGGATTGGAAGCCTGCATGCAAGCGGTTAAGACACTTACGAAACCGCGAACTCGTTTACAGTACAACAAGGAGTACCGCCTTGTTAACCCGCCACGGCTTCTGAAACACGCCCCGGTCCGGGGTCCCCTTTCTCCTGTTGCCCCTTCGCAACCCACCCACCCATCCTTCCACTGCACGCAGCCCGAGCATGTGTTGTCGCTAGGCCCGTCCGCGTCCACGCCCTGGCAGCGGGCCACCCTCCTGCACCTCTCAGCGCGCCTCGCGCACCGCAGCAACCCCCTGCTTCGAGCCGTCGCCGCGGAGACCTTCGCCCTGCCGCTGCCGCCGCCGCCGCCGTCATCCGTGAGTCCTGCCTCCACACCCGCGGCGCCGGGGACGCCGTCGGAGAGGCCAGTGACGGCGCCGCCAGCGGCGGCGGCGACGCCGCCACCTGCCGTACTTGTCGCCACCGTGGCGGCGGCATGTGGGCAGCTGCAGTACCGGCCGCCAGGGCTGCTAGCGGCGATGGCGGAGGCGAGGACGGCAGTGTGGCCTCGACTAGGGCTGGGCCATAAAGCGGCGTTGTGTTGGTCGTTGCTGGTGTTGACGGGAGGGCTGGCTGGAGGAGGTGACGTCAGCCGCGGGGCTGAGGTTACAAACTCCGGTCGACAACAACAACAACAGCAGCAACAGCCTCAGAAGCCCCAGCACTACCAGCATCACCGCCAGTTAGTGGCTGCACTACTGGAGTACCTCCGCGTGTTGGGAGCTACACCCTGGCGGCAATGGCCCTCCGCTGCAGCAGCAGCAACAGCAGCAGCCGCTACTCCGGCGGCCAGCGCCCCAGGTGCTTCTGCCGTCATCACTGGTGCTGTCGCCGGCGCTGGCGCCGGCGCCGCCGTCGGCTCTTACTACCACACGCAACTGCTGGCGGCATGCAGGGTGCTGGCTTGGCGGCCGTCGGTGGATGGACGCTATGGCTTAGTGGCGCCGGCCGCCGCGGCTGCCGACAACGACGCCGTCGACGCCGCTGACGCTGACGCGGCGTCAGTGCCTGCGTCGGCGGATGCTACGTCGCCTGTGGCTGACGGCGGCGCTTTGCCGCCGACTCGGCCGGCGGCGGCGGCGGCGGCGGCTGACGCTGGAGGTGCTAGCGGCGGCGGCGACAGCGGCCCCTGGAGTCGCTGGTCGGCGCAACTGGGGTCGGAGCTGCAGCGCCTGCCGGTGGCGGCGGTCCGTCGTACTCTGACTGCACAGCGGCGGGTGCGCTGGGCTGCACTGGAAGCCTGGGCTGTGCAGGTGGCGGAGGTGATGCGAGGCGCGATTGAGGAAGCCACCCAGGGTGCGGGCGCTTCTGAAGAGGGGCTTGAAGTCGAGGAGGAGGAGGAGGGCGACGGCGGCGGCAGTGGTGGCGGCGGCGGACGGCGGCAGCAGAGGATAGCAGTCGCAGGGCCGGCGGCGATGGGCCGCCGGCGGCGGTTTGTGCTGTCAGGCGGCCGCGTGTCGACGGGGGTTGTGCTGTGTGAAGGAGCCCTTGCGGTGGACGTCTGCCTAGAGCTGGAGGTTAGTGAGGAGGCGGGTGAATCTGGCGACATGGAAAACGACATGGAAAAGAGGGAGGAAGGGGAGCTAGTCCAAGGCCCGGCAGTGTCGCAGCTGCAGTTACGACAGCGGTCTTCCACGCTCATGGTAGCGCTCGAGCTGTGCGCTCCGCCGCCGCCGGGTGGAATCAGCAGCAGCAGCGGCGGCGGAGGCGGCGGAGGCGGTGTCGTACGGAACTCCCGGTGGTTGTTGTCGGGTAGTGCGGCGCTGCGGCGGCGGCTGCTGTCGCGGCTGGGTTGGAGTGTGTTGGCGGTGCGGGAGGGCAGCTGGCGGGAGCTGAGGTCGCCGCAGCAGCAGCGCAGGAGCGCCAGGGGGCTGCTGAGGCAGGCTCTGAGGCAGATGGCGGCGGCAGCGGCGGCAGCTGCGGTGACAACGGTAGCTAATAACGGAGCGGAGGACGGTGGGAAGATTGGCTGCAGCAGTAGCGGTAGCGGAGGCGGTGGTGAGTCTGTTGACGGCGATATTCATAGTATTGGTGAGGAAAGCGTGGTTGGCAACACGGCCACCACAGCCTCGGTCCTCGGTTCCTTTGCTGGCGACGGGCAACGTGGCGATGAGAACGGTGCGGGAGCGAGTGCTGTGAGGTTGAGGGAAGGCGTGGCTAACGAGGGGGTGCATGTGGAGCCCAGCGCTGCGGCTGGGAGAGTGGCTGATGTGGCTGCGGCTGGGGGTGCAGCTGATGTGGCTGCGGTTGTTGCACCTAGGAAAAGGGGCAGGCCACGGCGGCAGGTGGCTGCGACGCCGCGGTAAGTGACATGGCAATGAGAATGGTCAGAAAGATAGCTGGGATAGCCGCTGGGAGCCAACAGCAGCCAACCAGTAGAGTAGGCCGCTAGATGCGGCGGCAGCGGTGGTGGCGGTTGTGCCAGCAGCCATGAGCGGGGGGGCTGGGCACTGACGTGCCATTGAAGGCCCGGGAGAAGGTGGGGGTGCAGAGAGGGCGGAGGGTAGCAGCGCGTAGGAGGGCAGGGGGGTTTGTAGGGCAACTGGCGACGTTGCAGGAGGTCTAGGTAGGCAGTAACACACCAGTTGCTTGGTGCAAACGGTGGCGCGTGTGCGGTAATGCATTGTAGCATATGTCTTCCTGGGCGTATGCGTTGGAACGTGTCAGGGTTTCTGCTGGACGGGACATTTTCACTAGGTTTCCTAGGTTTCTCTAGGTTGTTGCACTGCGTTGAACAGTGTCGTAGTGATGTTGATAGTGTTGCAGGTCACGTTACACTTGTCCGCAGCACAACAAGCATTAAACCGACCCGTGGGTCAGGAGGAGTCCACCGGCAACAAGTGCGATTGCATTACCCAGAACCGGGGCAAAACTCAATTTGACAGATGCGAGAGCATGCAGGGGGGCTCAGCATGAACCACATCTTGGGACCACCCTGACCTCCGGTAGCGCTTCCCCCGCTCTCCTCCCTTGGCCCTCCTTCCTCACTGCCCCGCTTCCAAAAGTGCAAGCAGATGCTATTGACAGCTATAAATAGGAGCAATTAAAAATTTAATCCAAAATTCCCTTCATGCAATATGCTAGGCGGAAGAGATGCAGCCCTTCAATCCAGCAGGAGCTCCTCCTGTTACCGGGGCAAGAGGTGAATGACCCGCTGCTTCGTAATGTCGTACCGGTATCACATCCATGTCAATGTCAATTCGCACAGCCGCATGTGCAAACCACCGCCACACCCCATACCACGGCCGACGCAACACATGCCGCGCTCAACTACGTCAGCAAGTAACCATTGTAAGCTCCAACAATCTAGTAAGGTCCAAGAATGCAGACAAACGCTTAAGCAATCGCCACGCTAACACAGCCCTTTTTCTTAACACATGCCCCGCCACTGCCGCCTCCGCCTCCCTCCTTACAGCCCGGTCCGCTCCTTGAGCCGCTCCCGGGCTCGAGCCGCACTGCCGCCTGCTAGTACCACCCCCCAGGGGTTGGTGGCGCTGGTGTGGGAGTAGATGTTGTGCGGGTTGACCTTGGGGTGGTGCGTCTGAAAGGGGTGGTCGCGGGGGTGAGGCGGAGACAGCGAGCCCGCGAGGTACCTGCGGAGGGAGGGAGGGGATGGGGGAGAGGGGTGCATGCATGCAGCAGGGGTTGCATGCAGTAAGGGAGTAAGGCTTGCGACTCCCAGACAGACTGTGGACGCAAGAGACTGTGACTGCACTGAGCCGCAGTGACTGAATGACTGCACTGCGGGTCAGTATAAAACCCTCTTCCTAAGTCACTTCTGGCGAGGGCATATGCAAACGAACATGCAAACGGGACCCTGCCCCAACCCACGGGCGACTTACTTGTCCCAGCACCCCTCACAAAGATTGAATCCGCTGCACCTCTCGCACTCGTATCTGCAGCAGCAGCAGAAGCAACAGCACTTGGCAGCAGCAATCAATTACTGCAACCTCCATAACAGCCGCCACAGCAGCAGCAGCGAGTGACCATGTATGTCAGCGCCCTGCGGCAATATCCCTCACAACCCCAGCAGCAGCAGCAGCAGCAACAGTAGTAACGCAGCCGTCGTACCTAAACTCCCCCCGCGGCGCATCGCTTTGGCGGGTGAGGATGCGGTCCGTGCCATCTGCGGGTTGGGAGGGTGGCAAGGTTGAAGTGCTTACGGCAAGCAGCGGGGGAAAGCACAAGCGGTGCCAACCCAACGGTGTCTGCCCATCAACACGGGGCTCGTCCCAGACAGATTGCGTGGGCGATGGACGGCACACCGGACACACCGCGCAACGACCTTCACCTCGCCCGTTACCATGCCGGTACTCAGTCACAAACGCCAGTCGGGCCCACCCCCTTCCTAGTTAAACCCACCCTTCCTCCATGCGTACTCATGCGTACACCCTTTGCAAGTCCCTTACCCCTAACCGAACAGTGTTTGGCACCCGCCATACACCCTTCCTTCCCTCTGCCCTGCCTATACCCCGCTTGCTTGCGCTAACACATACTCAAACCGCGCTGACCTGGTTTAACACAAGCTTCAACGCACACTTCATCTTCCGGTAATTACAGTATGTTCCGCCTCGCGGCCAGTACTCCTAACACACTCGCGCCCGCGCACCGTTGATGGGTCGGCTGCAGCAGCTGCACTCCACAATCTCCTCCTGGTACACGAACCCCGGCTTGCCCCGGTGCCGCGAGGCGGGGGTGTCGCCCCTGTCGTCCGCCTCGCGAGCCGAACCTGTGAAACCCTGCAGGCAGGCAGGCAGCGAGGGGCCCGGGGGGGTGCCTGTTCAGGACTGTGTTGCAGCACCATGCTAAGGGTTCGGCTAAGGGAAGAACCCAACCCAATCCCCGCACGCCGGCTGCCTCTCCCCTGCGCCACCCACTCCCCCCCACCTTCCGCGTCACTAGTTGCTGCAGCTTGGCGTTGATGAGGGTGAGGGGCCGCAGGTCCGCTCCCTCCGACGGAAAACACAGCAGCACCTCACTCCCTCCCACTCCCCCTGCTGCCCCTCCTGCTCCTGCCCCTGCCCCTGCTGCTCCTCTCCGTGTGACGAACCCAGCCGCCCGCAGCACCTCCTCCCCGCCGTTCATGACGTCCAGCGCCTCCCGGATCTTGGGGTTGGAGGGGCGCACCGTCCTGCGGGACACAAGAGCACATAGTTCGCTAACCCGGTCAGGACATACAGGGAGGACAATCAGGGCAGAGGTAACGGGAAGAGAGGGGAGCGGTGGTCCTCGGAGTGAGGAGGCAGGATTAAGGAGGCCATGTTCAAGGGTTGGGAGGCATGAATGGTAACAGTAGCCTTACTGGAGAACGCATGATGAGTGGCGGACGCAAAAGGAGGAGGCCACCTCACTCCATTTTTCGCGACCCCGACCCATGGGTCACTCCTCAGTGGCATTCGACTCGCCCGCCGACACGCATGCAGCTCGCTTCCCCCCGCCCACCTGTACTTTTCCACCGTGTTGCCGCAGTTGACGATGTTGGCTGTCAGCCGCGACAGGAGTTCCGCCGCGCGCCACAGCGCCATGCCCTGGGGGGCAGCATGCAGGGGGAAAGGGAGGAAAGGAGGAAAAGGGAGGACAGCAGTCGGAGGCGATGCGGAGGGGGAGATGACATGGCAGGAGCCGCAGCAACCAACAGACGCTTCCGTGGCCGAACAGAGGGCCTTCCCCACGGGCGGTGCAGCACATCCCGCTCCCTTTACAAACAACAAATCGCCCCAACGTACCACCGCAACACGTGCCCCAAGTCGCCACCCCACACAACCGCACCTTGTGTGCATTGCTGTTTATGGCAAACAGCAGCGCCGCATGCAGCTTACGACAGCGCCGTACATCCAGTCCGCTGGTGGCGGCGTCCAGCAGCCACTCAGATAGCTGCAGCTGCGGGGTTTCGGAGGAGGGAGGGATGGGGAATGGGTAGGGTTTATGGTTTATGGAGCTGGGAGAAAGTGGATAGGACAGGGCAAATTGCCCCAATAAGCCTCACCCTCTTACATTTCACTTCTCCCGCTCTCTCTCCGTAAACCTCTTCAAACCTTACGTACCTGCGGCGGCATCTCCCATGACGTTTTGCCGGTTGCTTTGCAGTGGTAATAGTAGCGGTTGTGGCGGAGCGAGTAATGCTCTCGAATGCCACCGGGCAGCAGGGGCGGCAGCGCGTAGAGGCAGGCCTGGAGGGGGCAGGGAGAGGGGAAGGAGAAAGGGAGATGGCGGGGGCCGGAGAACTGCGCTGCTTTGAGGCAAGCCATACCCATACGACGTGTATAAGGAGCAGCGGAGTGACATGTGAGTTGCATGCAAGAGAGCTGCTGGCTGTCAAGTGACAGGAATAAGCGGACCAGGTCGGTATAAGCGATGTTTCAGGGGCAAGCAGATGCGCAAGGGCAGGCAGCGGCAAGGTAAAGGGCGTCGCAGGGGCGCCAAGGGGCCGACGAGGAGGCGTTGGGTGTTGCGCGGAGGCATGTCACAGACTGGCGGAATCAGTCTTAAAGCTCGCGGCACGTTCAGCTGGTGCTGGCGCTGGTTAGACAGGGATAGGACGAGCGTGATGGCAAAACTGTCACGCATGTCGCAAGGCAGTTTGCCAGTATCCCTGCGCTGGGCACATGCCAGTAACCGCAATATAGTTCCTCCTAGACTCCTACCTCTTCAAGATTGACGAAAAGCTCTTCGCACGCCCTCGCTACGTCCTGACTGACGCCTTTCGCAACCAGTTGGGCCTCTAAGGATGACATCTTGCAAAGGCAAGAGTAAGGGACTAAATTACAGGCTAAGATAGCGCAAGACTACAAAAGGATATATCATTAATGGGTCAGTCGCGTACTGATGGTTCGCTCATCGTGATTTGGCCGTTTTCCAAGGCATGCAAGCACCACTTCATAGAATATTGCAAACTATAAACTGTGTTTACTTTATGTAGCACTCTCTTCTGATTGGCAATTGCCACGCAGCCCAGCACGCAGTACCGGATTTTGCTCGAGGCGCTCTAGACGAACTTAACACAACTAAGAAAGACGGAGGTAACCAACTCCTGAACTACTGATAAGCGAATGTCTCAGGGCCCAGAGCGGGGTGTGCTTAAGCGCTCAGCACCCTCAACCATTGACACGGACGACGAGCTGCGTCTTGAGGAAAAAATCCGTCACCATGTACGTTGCTCAAACACTAAACGCTCACAATCCTGGTGATCCGCTTGGCGTTTGCACTCTATCTCCAACTGCATGGGCAATTTCTCTACCTGCAGCTGAACAGCTCTGGCAAGCGCGAGGAACTAAAGCAGCTTCTTGCTTCTCGCCTTGCCGCTTGCGGTTGGCGCGACGACATCAAGCAGCGCTGCCGCGGTGAGAGCGCTTTGCCTTCCCGAGGACACTGTAGTTCTCCCCTAGTCGTCCCCTCAGCCTCCCTGAACTTCACAACTGTGCTGCCCAACGTCCAATCCTCAGATCCGCAATCCTGCACCAAAGATGCTATCCAGGACGCATCCTTTGCTTCACATTTCCCTTGCACGTGCTTGTAGTAGTAACACCCGCCCTTCTCGACGGTCACAGGAGAGCTGTCACTGTCACTGAGGGAAGCATGGAACTGAGTAAAATTCTGTAGAGCAGAAGTCCGCCTGCCCTTTACGTCTTCCTCCTCTGTCGCCCCTCCCACACCCCCGCCCCCTCTTCTCCCTGTTCCCTCCCCTCCCCTTTCCTCTCCTCTCCCACCCGTCTCCCTACCAACTCTCAGACTTCGTGTCCAAGAAGGGTCCAGAGGCGGTGGTGAGCACCGACGACATTGTTCGCGCGGTGCGACCCGCGGGTCGGGCCAGCGTGCCGGACAGCGTCAAGGCGGAGCTGCTGGCGGAGATCAAGAAGTTCATACTCAGCATCTAGCTGGGCCGTACTGACTGGGCCCCTGGTTGAGCAGCAGCTACAGGACAGCAAGGCACCTGCGGGCGGGGCTTCAGCTACAGGGAGGCGCTGACGTACAGCGATAACAGCAGTAACAGCAAACACAGGCCTGATAGCAACAGCTGCAGCTACAGGACGGGAAGGCGCTCTTAACGGCAAACAGGCTTGATAACAACAGCAGCGCTAAAGGACAACAGCACTTCGACATGGCGTCCCCCTCACCTCCACCATCCGCAGCAGGCCCCTCCACCTCCTCCTCCTCCTCCCCAGCACCCCTCTCCTCCCCCTCCTCTCCCCTCTACCATGTCGCCGCGGTGGACCAGGGCCTGAACCTGGAGCCCGAAACCCTGTCGTACTGGGGCTACGACGACGGCAGCAACACGCTGCTGGTCGTCAAGGGCGGACTGGTGTTCGCGTACGACATCTCCCCCGCTGCCGTACCGGGCAGTCCGGAGCAGCTGCGCTGGACCTACCCGCTGGGCGAGGGCGCGCCCGTGCGGCGCATGCGGCTGAGTCTGGACGGGCGGCAGCTGGCGGTGCAGCGCGGGGGGCGGCTGCTGGAGGTGGTGGAGCTGGCCAGCGGGAATGTGTTCGTGCAGGTAGGGGGCTGGAAGGGGGGTGGAAGGGGCGGCTGGGAGGGATGAAGGGCGAGCAGCGTGTAAGGACCGTAGACGGAACAGTTGAGCCCAAACACCCTAACCTCCCTCTTCCGCCCCCACCCTCCCCAAAGGGCTCCGACCGCGGTCGCTCCGAGGTGCTCACCTTCTTCTTCACGGAGCTGCCGGGCAGTGAGGTGGTGCTGGTCACCCCCGCGGGGCTGGAGCTGCTGGAGTGGGTGCAGCCCAGGAGGCAGGGGCTCAGGATGAGGGACCGGGTGAGGATGGGGGGCGGGAGGGGGGGGGTGAGGGAGCGGGTGAGGATGGGGGCAGGAGGGGGCGAGGGAGCGGGTGAGACAGGGGGGCGGACGAGGGAAGGGGCTAGGTGGCTAGGTGGTAGCTGCGACGGCTTACCCATGCAACGTGCTGCCTTCCGTTGGGGGGCCACCGGACAGTACCACCGGTACTTGCCGGCACCACCGACAAGCCATCACCAACCGGATACCGTGCCCCCCGTCACGTGCCCCTCAGGTCAAGATGCCCGTGGAGTGGGCGCTGTACACCCACGAAACCCGCATGGTGCTGCTCGGTACGGCAACCGGCGGTGTGTCGTACATCAAGGCCTTCCAGTTCGTGTCCACGGGGCTGGTGACGCTGCCGCCCTTCACGGCGGGGGCGGCGGCCTCTGCCATAGCGCTCATGGGCGGTACGGCAGCGGCGGCGGCGGGGGCCGGTACGGCAGGTGGTAGTACGGCAGGGGGAGGTCACGGGGGAGGCGGAGGGGCGCCGCCGCCGCTGGTGGGGAGTCCGGTGGCGGCGGCGGCGGTGGCGACGCCGCCAGCCCGTGTGGCGGCGGACTGCTTGCGGCTGATCAAGGTGTACGGCAGGTGGGTGGAGGTTTAGGGCTGGTGGTTGGTAGGAGGCAGGTCATGTGCAGGGCGATGGTCCGGGCAGCGGTGGTCATCCGTACGTATGACGCATTTCCTCGCTACGCTACTGCTGCTGCCGCCACCATATAACGCTATCCCAGCGTTGCATCTCTCCCACATTGCCGCATGCCCCCCACACCCCGACACACACAGGGTGTACTGCGCGCACATCAACCGCCGCTCCCTCCGCCTCGAGCTCTACCGCTTCTACACGGACACGGTCGTACTGCAGCACACGTACGAGCTCTTCTCGCCGTACGTGGATCTAGCCGTCGTGGATTCCGTCATTGTCGTACACTACCACCAGCCGCACCAGCACCACCATCACAACACCAGCAGCACCGCTCGGACCTCACTGGACAGCGCAGCGGCAGCGGCCGCCACTGCCAGCGGTGGAGCGGCGGAGGACCCTCCTGCCGCCGGTGACGCCTGCGCCGCTGGTTCGACAAGCCCTCCCCCTGATTCCTGCCTTGCGGGTGTGGCCATGTTGTTTGACGTGGCCGCCCCCACCTCGCAGCCCATCGCCAACCCGCTGCCCCTGCGGCTGCTGCACCTGGGGTCAGGCGCGGAAGGGCCGGGTGGACTGGGATCGGGACCGCAGCAGCAGCATGATATGGAGGAGGTGGTGGAGGGCGCCGGCGGTCTGGAGGAGCAGGGGGCTAGCGGCCAAAGTACGGCGGCAGGGCAGCAACCCCAGCAGCCTCAGGCGCGGCGTTGGGAGTACCTGGCCCCCAATGTGGTGCTGGACCGCTCCCGCCAGACCGCCTACCGCCTTGCCCTCCACCTGCCCGCAGTGGTGGAGTCGGGCGGCAGCAACCCCGCCGTGCTGGCCGGCTTCCTGCAGCGCCGCAGAGGGGGGGCGGCGGGCGGGGTGAGCAGCAGCACTACAGGTATGGTAATGCAGCAGCCTCCGCAGCCTTCTCCGTCCGCATCTACATCAGCTGCGGCAGCCGCGTCCAGCCCCTCCCCCAAGGCGCTGCTGCTGTCGGTGGTTCGCAACGCGCTGCAGGAGCGCCTGCCCATGAGCACCGTACGAGCCATATTCGAGGACCTGTGCGCCGGATACGCAGCGGCGCTGGACAGGCAGGTTGATGCAGCCGCAGCAGCAGCAGCAGCCAGGGCAGCAGCAGTGACCGCGGCTTCACCTTCGGCAGTGGCTGCTGCGCCACCGTCAGCAGCAGCAACTACCTCCACCTCCGCACCTGCCTCTGCCCCCGCCGCCTCCGCACCCTCCGTGTTGCTGCCCCAGTTCGTGAGCGCTGCCGAGGTGGCCGGGGTGCTGTTCCGGTGGCTGCACGACGAGGAGGTGGTGGACGCGCCCTACCTGCAGGCGGCGCTGTGCGAGTACATGAGCGCGGCGGAGGGGGCGGGCATCCCGCTGCCAGAATACATGCAGGTGCGGGGGGGGAGGGGCAGTGAGCTTCTTCTTGCCTGTGTTTAACTCTTCCTCGCTAGCTGAACACGCGTAATAATCTGGCTCATGTTGCTAATCCGCCCCTCACTGCCCTTGCCTCTCAACCCCGCTTCTCCTCCCTCCTCCTCCTCCCCCCACCCCTCAGGAGCTGTGGGTGGAGGTGCTGCTGCAGCAGTCCCAGCCCGACCAGGTGGTGCAGCACTTGTACGGCCACCCAGAGCAATGCGCAAAGCATGCCGTACAACGACTGCTGCAAGCGGCACCGACACCTCCGCCACCTGCCGTACATACCGGTGCCACCAGCGTCAGGGACGGCGGCCACATGGGCGACGTCAGCACCGCCGCCGACACCTCGCCGCTTCCACGTCAGCTAGGGCTTGACGTACTGGCACGTGAGGCCCTGGCGGCCAGGTACGAACCCCTCGCTGGCGGCACCGCTGCCGTACATCCCAGCGGCGGCACCAGCGGCGGCACCAGCGGCGGCACCACTGACGCCGGCGCCTACGTATCCGCTCTGCTAGCTGAGGGTCAGGTGCTGCGCGCTGCACGGGTTCTGCGGCGGTACCGAGTGGGGCGGCCCAGCGTGCGGGAGTTCCTGGCGGCGGTGGGGGCGCGGGGGGAGGAGGCGGAGCTGGCGGCGGTGTACAGGGTGTTCCAGGTAGAGAGGACGCAGCGGGGAGGCTACTGGGAGGGAAGCAGAGGGGGCTTTCAAGGGCGTCGCATCCAGCGGTGGGGCATCTTGCGTTGGTGTTACCGCCGCTGTTTCTTCGACCCATGCAATGCTTGCTCACATCTTATTCGCGAATCTGTCCGGCGCTCCTTGCCTGTTGTACAGATCCCTTCCCGTTTCTTCCTGTCGTACAGGACGAGCTGCTGGCCACCTACCCCAAGTACGACCTGGCGGCGAGGAAGCTGCTGCCGTACCCTGCCACACCTATAGTGGCGACGGTACCTAGCTGAAACACAGTTGCTGTAGTGGACGGCAGTAGTGTCGTTGAGCTAGCATATGATATTTGCAGCCAAGCAGGGTGGAGTCGTGTTGCAACGTAACTGTATGGTACGTATGGGTGGGGATAGGGTGACAACTAACAAGGTTTCATGCACTCATTGTTTAAGGCCGACACTAAAGGCGGAGGCTGCTGCATGCAGTCAGACCCGTGCTGCGGTCTGTGTAGCACGAGGATGGCATGTAAGCAGAGGGCTGACGAGTTGCTCGATCGGTGGCAGAGTTGTTCTGGGTATATTTAGGTGATGACCCAAGCAAGGAGGTGTAGGGTTGTAATGTTTGGACCCAATACTCTTACAGGTGTCTTGCATTAAACCAAGCTCGGATCTTTTTTCGCTAAATACCCAACAACACCCTTATGCAATTCCTCGTTCTGCCTGAGGTCTCCTTCCCAATCTCTACCAAATACCTCCCAACAGCCGTTTAGCTTTGCGCACCCACAGCAGCTTTGAGTCGACCACCTGCACCTTAATTAGGTAACCTTGGCTGGCGCAACCCTTCCACTTCCTCAGAAACAGTAACTAGAACCTCAGACGTCCGCAGGTCCCGCCCACCCACTTGAGGACGAATAATAATCGGTTGCTTAGCGAACAAGCGCGATGATCAAACACTTCCAAGCATATGTCCCAACACAATGAATACCGTACATCTTCTACCATGTTTGTGCCATACCAGATCCGCTACCAACCAGCAGAGGCGCATTGCTGCCGCATAGGATACGAGCCAAACATGTATCACAGAGACCCCGAAAACAACTGCGTGCAACCCGTGCATGGCAGGGTTACAATGCTTCAAGAACGTACTGGTCAAAATTCCGCCACGATTATTCAAAACTGCACTTCACCTGCCTACTCCAAATCAGCCCTACACTTGTGGTGTTGTGGACCGTAAGGACTCCACCTCGGGCCTCAACTTATTAGACGTCGTCCAGACCCTCCCCATGGCCCACAGGCATTGCAAGATAGGTGGAATACGCCGCGAACTAACCCCACATGTGTTTGTAATCCTCAAAAGTAATGAGTAGGTGCCTTAACACCTGCTCCGACGAGGCTAGATATTGTACGCTGTGCCGCACATGGCGCAACGTGTACCAGGTTACAGCAACCTTGGTGCTGTCGACCCACACAATGGCACCCTATCATACGTCCGCAATAATGGTCGCACGTTAAGGGGTTGTACTATAAACGCTGAACGCATGCCGTTGCCATGCAACGGCAACGTCCCTCAGCAAGCATAAAATAACATAGCAGTCAACGTCAACGTTTAGAAAGGCGATAACCAAACGTGGGCACACAGAGATGCTGAACTGGAAACTAACCGACGGGGGCAGACTCTTGACACCTAAATCATCGCATCAGTAAGCCAAATCTCTCATTCCTGCTGTCCACGAGCAACCCAACCTCATGGCGGCGGCGGCAGCACTCCGTTGGTGGGCTCCAGTGCAATCTTGACAGCTGCCCGCCACCGCCCGACTATGTTGCCATTGGGCCATTCCTCTGGGGTCAGCGGCCGGCCCCTCCATTCAGTGACGATGTGCCGCAGCTCTTCCAGGTTCTCGTTATTCCCAGTTCGTAGGTAACGGTAGGCCATGTGGTTTGGAACATCTTCCACGGGTACGTTCACTACATCACGGTAGTGACGCAACCTCATTGCCAGCCTGCCTTCCTGGTTCTGCACGTAACGCAGCATGAAGATCTGAAGCAGCCGGTCATATGCCTCTTGCTCCGGCTGCTGTATGCCGGCCTCCAGCTCCTGATGCTGCTGTGCATCTGGTACCAGTAGCTCATCAAGCTGGTCCTGCAAGTCTTGCAACCAGACCCGCTGACTCTCCTGCTCTTGCTCCTGTTGCACCTGCCTCTCTTGCAGCTGATTTAGGCTCTCCTGCTGCTCGTGCAGCTGCCTTTGCTGATCCCTCTGTTGCTCTTGCAGCCGGGTAAGCTGCGGTTGCTGATCCCTCTGCTGCTCTTGCAGCCGGGTAAGCTGCGGTTGCTGATCCCTCTGCTGCTCTTGCAGCCGGGTAAGCTGCGTTTGCTGATCCCTCTGCTGCTCTTGCAGCCCGGTAAGCTGCGTTTGCTGATCCCTCTGTTGCTCTTGCAGCCGGGTAAGCTGCGGTTGCTGATCCCTCTGCTGCCCTTGCAGCCCGGTAAGCTGCGTTTGCTGATCCCTCTGCTGCTCTTGCAGCCGGGTAAGCTGCGTTTGCTGATCCCTCTGTTGCTCTTGCAGCCCGGTAAGCTGCGTTTGCTGATCCCTCTGCTGCCCTTGCAGCCCGGTAAGCTGCGTTTGCTGATCCCTCAGCTGCACTTCCAGCTGCCTCAGACGCTCTTCAATTTCATTTTTTAGTTGCCTGATCAAGGATTCAGGCGAAGGATGCACACGGTTCTTTCCTGTAAGCCATTCGACAAAGTCGGCCCAGCAGCCGCCCATCTTCTTTGGCGACTAGGGACTAAGATATCAGAAACGTTTGCAAGACTTGTATGATTTTGTTGGATGCAAGCTGGCGGTAACCTGATTTGTCACGTCTGACCGATAGAATGCGAAGGTAGGGCCGATATGACATAGAACGCCGTACAGTACCGGAACGCTTAGGGCTGCGATTCGGACGATTCCCTTCCACCGCCGCCAGCAAAATGAATACAAAAAAACTATAATAAACCTACATAAAATACCCCATTTATCATAGTGTGGTTGGTATTGTTGTCAATCTAGTACATGGCCTGGTCCCATAGGGCCCATAGAGATGTGCGCCGCGATGTCCCCCTTTTCCCCTTCGTTTTGTTACGATGTTTGCGTATATATATATAATATGCCGGAATACTTGTGTTCACATACCGGTATGAAATTGTGCAAGGGGTCCCGGAATGGGCCGGCTTCCTATTATGGAAAGCCCCTAATTATAGCCAACTTCTTTTTAGCCTGCCCTTGAGTCCTGGCGCTCTGAAAGTTCGCGGCTTGGAAGCAAGGGAGCGGCCTAAATAATACTTCGACCGATTGAAGAAATTGTTATCTCCAAAACCAACCATTCACAACATCGCAAGTTTTGTTGCGTCTATTAAGCCGTATTTACACCAGACCGAAGTGATCTCGTGGGCTGCCCATGTGTTGTGCGCCGGCGCGTGGGGATGCATGCATTGGCTGGGCTGTGGCGACTGGATGCGAACGGGCTATGCTATGTTGTCTGAGATGGTCATATGGACTTTGTGGACTCTGCGTGGTGCATAGTGACACCCCGGCCCAAACACCGGCATTCGCTTCGGAGTGTTCGGGTCGTACCGCAGTTCCCGAAGCAGAAATTCGGTATCCGAAGCTGCCCATGCGACAGAAATAGGCTGTGGCGACTCGAACGATAAACACACAACCCCCTAAAATAAAAATTTTCGCTACTGAGGGAGGGATTGGTGTTATCGGTTTAGTTAGTGCCCAGGATTCGCAGGAGACTAGTGCCTCGCAGAACCGTATGAGGACTGCGTTCTACGATGCTCCTAAGGGATATACCGGTTATAGCCTTGCTAACAGACCGATGTTAGGGGTGTGTCAGCGTTGCCTGACTTAGTTCTAAGTATCGAGATGAGAAGCTCTAAGTATCGAGATGATTAGCGACAGGGAAGGTAACGGGAAAGCTCAGGTTGTACGACCTCGAGGCCAAGCTATCTTGCTTTGGTATCACTTACTCTTGACGAGAAGGATAAGCTTAAGAACACAGGTTCTTTCCTATTGCGGGTACGCTATGTAACTTAGCGTAGATCGGTAGTTGAGATGCGGGAATGGCGACCCTAAGCGTAGTCACTTAACACAGCCTTAAGCTGCTTCTTCGGCAGAATTAAGGAGTCTTGGAGACGATTACTCTTGTTCCTTCAAGAGCAGGGAGAAAGGGAGGGGTTAAGGCTGTGGCTGGTTTGCCTTGGGCCTTGCTTGAGACAGGGAAACCGGGGAAACCGAAAGTAGGGTTCGTCTGTCGTTACAGAGTATCGAACCGGAGACCTTAAGGAGTCGTTGAAGGGCCAGTAAGGTTTGTTGTACCAGTGACCTTAGACTGTTGTTACCTCTTATCAAAACTAGAAAACGCCTCGCCTTTTATAGTAATTGGAAGCCTGACAACGTAATGCAACTCCTAGACAACGTAATGCAGCTTCTCAGATCAGCTTCCACAAAGAAGCCGCTAAGAAGCTGAAGCTACAAAGAAGGTGCGTAAACCTCCTTACGTAACCTAAGTAAAAAGGCATAAAAGGCCTAATCAAAATAAGACGCATAAACGCCTCAGTAATGCCAAAAGCAAAGCACGTGGCCCGTTATCAGTTATACGACTGTACTACCTTAACCGTACAATCCTCGCAGCAACAAAGTAAATGTATCAACTGAACTCAGCCTGAAGGTCTGCCTGAATGTTATTATCAAAACCGCAGCTTCAACCAGAACTTCGCGACGACTGTTATTGTCGGACCGCACTTCATGCCAAATGCCTACAACAAAACAGCGTTGCATCGTATTGTCACATATCATTCCTCTTAACCATCCTGTAACTCAACTTCCTACCAACAGTACCTTCCGTCGGAAGCATCTACTTGCATCGGCTAGCAAGCAAAACCGCTATTCAACTCTGCCAGCCTTCGCGACCAAAACCATATATCCCGCTTCCAATTAGACTAAAGCCTACGCCACAGCTGTGGCGACTACCCCACACTGAAAATTCGTACGCCCTCGTACGGTGCAGCCTAAGGGGCGTCGTGGGACAGCTAACTCACTACTAATTGCACCGTTCTTGGACTCTTGAAAGCCTTCGGAACTTGGTAATCTTGGTCTTGTCTGTTGTCAGGATGACTTGGTATGACGGTGTAACGTTTTACCCGTACTGTTGACATAAAGACGATGGGCTAGTTGCAAGTGACCCTTGGGTCATCAAGGCAGGCGAAGGCTGCTTTACTGCCTTTATACGTTCCAAACTCGCGGAACAAGCGTAAAACAAGCATAAAGCTGGGAGCAAAGCATTGTTATGGTTGCTTTACATGCCACCCCATACTGATTCGAGACATCAGGGTGCTAGGCAGCTAAGAAGTAGCTGGTGGGTGCCATAGTAATCTGCTTCTTGGATGTTGAACGAAGGTAGTAACAACCCATGCGGCTGCCTAGAAAGCACTGTGGTGTACGGCAATGTCACCGTAGGCCGAGGGAAAGGGGTATTAACAGAAGGCAAATGCTCTGTAGGTGAGGGATGGCTGGAAGAATTCTCAGGC